TGGCAGATTTGATCGAGGATGGCGAGGAAGTTGCTGTCAGTGACCCAGCGTACACCACCACATTCCGCTTCCGTCTTCACTTCAAGTAAGGGCAACCTGTTCTGCCGTTCCATGTGAAAATTACGAGAAATCAGATAGCTTATGACCGGAATGATTAGCCTTAGTTAACTGCGTAGAATTCAAAAGATAGCTGTTGGGCTCTTTTCCAAGACAATTAACACATCCAGACTCCAGCCTCGTGAGGCGAAGCCCTGATCGACTTTTCGTAAATGTACAGCGCAAAGGCAGCCAAAAAATCCAACGCCAAAGAATGCATATAATAAGGTGTAGCAGAGAAAAGACCCATTGATCAACCCATCAAATCGGTCAGGCCTCTCTTCCACCGGTTGCACTTCAGCTTCATAACCTTGACAGCCTCCAGGAAGAGCATGTCACTCTCAAATTGACCGGTGCTCTCCACGTTGAAGATGAAGTGATCCCGAACCCGTCCCAGCTTGACCTTACCCTGGAACTCATCGTGGCGCAGACACTCTCTGCTGACAGTATCATTGAACGCATCCTTCACGACAGCCTTCTGCTCGCCGGCGTGGCCCTCGTATCCACTTCCACGCTGCGCGGCCTCTGCAGAGGTGACGGGCTCAAGGCCAATCACACCCTTAGGGAAGCACTTGGCAAACTTCTTCGCATCGTCGCCAATGATGGGACGCTCGATCTTAATATCAGGCAAGAGACGGTATGAAGCGGTAGCCACGGGCGAGAACTTGGCGTGGTCGGCACCGATACCCTTCTGGCAGTGGAGTTCCATCTCGATCTTTTGGCCGGGACGAAGCTTGGCGATCAGAATATCCGGGTTGACAGGGGCGATAGCACCATCGCCGACGAAGAACTGTTCCTGACGACCGACGGGCATGTACATGAGGTCCTTGGCGTAAACATGGGCGTTGGTGTACAGCTTGCGGGGGTCCTGCTCGTCCTTGTCTGCGTACTCGTTCTTGTAGCATTCCACGTCGAGATGGAGCACAATGGTGTTGAAGTCGCAGGGGCCATCTTCCTCCTCGGTTCCGTCTTCAGACGCCTTCCTGAACCAGTGCATCCAGTTGATTCCCTCGACAGAACCCTTCAGCGGGATCAGGCCCAGTCGTTGTGCGAGCACTTCGTCTTGAATGACGGAAGTGTTGTTGTGAATGAAGCAGTCTTCAATGGCGATGGTGGGGATCTCGGCCATAAGAATACGACGGAAAGCGTTGGCGACTGAGGCGTCGAGTCCGATCAGCGAGAAGGAAGCCTCAAATCGCTCATTGCGGTGGAATTCGACCTGGAAATTCTGTTGGGTGTAAATGGTCAGAATTGACTGAATCCAGTAGAGTATACCTTCCTGGTAATATTTCAGCACATACATTCTTGAATTCGTCGAGTGCCCACCCATGCGGCTCTCCGGGCCAATGGCCAGGAAAATCTGTAGAGGGGATATTGGTGACGGTTTCCGCATTGATGCCGATGATCTGGGACGATTAGTATTCTGAGCTGCACGGAATCATTGTTGGAGACATACACGGCGGCGCTGCAGCTCCTCCTGCGAGGCAACAAGAGGCGCCATGGTGAGCAACTGTATAGGGTCTGGTGAAGGTTGATGGTAAAATCCGCGATCACCGATAAGAGAGATTTCTCGAAGCAATTTTCTAGTTTGCCTAAGGCAGCAAAGGGGCCTTTAATCTGCGCACATAGGAACGCATTACATAATCCATAAGAGTGGAATTATGTGAGTAATGCACATCACTAAGCCAAGGAAAGTCTAGTGTGGAGCCGGCTCGCACACAGTATAGTGGCCCTTCAAGCCAACCAGCGCACGGCTGATGACCCGGCAGCTTTTCACGTGACCGGCCAAAATGCGACTCCCAACTTAAGACCTTCAGCGAGTTCCCTATCCGTAGCGAGCCATATCCACCCATTGAATGCGCCTGGATTGAGGATCATCTCCCCTCTTTTCCCTCTTGGACCTCCAATTCTCCATCCTCCATGGCCGCTTCTTTCGCCCGCCTAGCGGGCAATGCGCCCAAAAGGCTCTGCCTCCGCCCCTCCTCGCTCAACACATCCATTCCTCGTTCCCGCTCGATAGCTACCTCTGTTCCTCGCCGCCAGGCAGAGGCTACTAGCTACCAGGCCACACGACTTGTGCCGACCGACCCGACCTTCACTTCCCTCGCCAACAAGGGTGTTCCCGAGGACCCCGATGCTGCTGGTCTTGAATCCCAGGCCGAAGGGACTGACCGCAAGATCCGTCATTACACTGTCAACTTTGGTCCTCAGCATCCCGCTGCTCACGGTGTGCTCCGACTGATTCTGGAACTCAATGGCGAAGAGATCGTTCGCTCCGATCCCCACGTCGGTTTGCTTCACCGTGGTACCGAGAAGTTGATCGAGTACAAGACCTATATGCAGGCCCTGCCCTACTTTGACCGATTGGATTACGTCTCCATGATGACGAACGAGCAGTGCTTTTCCTTGGCAGTTGAAAAGCTGCTGAACGTCGACATCCCTGAACGTGCCAAGTGGATCCGTACCTTGTTCGGCGAGATGACCCGAGTCCTGAACCACCTCATGTCCGTCCTGTCCCACGCAATGGACGTTGGTGCCCTCACTCCTTTCCTGTGGGGTTTCGAGGAGCGTGAGAAGCTTATGGTGAGTAATTGAGAGCTTCGTAAAAGCCATCACGGCCAGGTCTTACTTACTGACACTTCGGGTGGTTTAGGAATTCTACGAGCGTGTCTCCGGTGCTCGTCTCCATGCTGCCTACGTTCGCCCCGGTGGTGTGTCGCAGGATATTCCCATTGGTCTTTTGGACGACATCTACCAGTGGGCCACTCAGTTCGGTGACCGCATTGATGAGACCGAGGAGCTGCTCACGGATAACCGTATCTGGAAGGCCAGAACCCAGGGTGTCGGTGTTGTTAACGCCACGGATGCGCTCAACATGAGTTTCACTGGTGTCATGCTCCGTGGCTCGGGTGTTCCCTATGATATCCGCAAGTCGCAGCCATACGATGCCTATGACCAGGTTGAGTTCGACGTTCCCGTCGGTGTCAATGGTGACTGCTACGACCGTTACCTCTGCCGTATGGAGGAGTTCCGCCAGTCCCTCCGTATCATCCACCAGTGTCTGAACAAGATGCCCGCTGGTCCGGTCCGCGTGGAGGACTACAAGATCTCCCCCCCTCCCCGCGCCGCCATGAAGGAGAATATGGAGGCTCTCATTCACCACTTCCTTCTCTTCACTAAGGGTTACTCCGTGCCCCCCGGTGAGACCTACTCAGCCATCGAGGCCCCCAAGGGTGAGATGGCTGTCTTCCTGGTCAGTGATGGCAGTGAGCGGCCATACCGCTGCAAGATCCGTGCTCCTGGTTTCGCCCACTTGGGTGGCTTCGATCAGGTGTCTCGTGGTCACCTGCTCGCCGATGCTGTCGCAATTATCGGTAAGTCTTTTGATCCCTTGGCTTCTTCAATTCCAGCTTCTAACTTTGAATCTCTTCTAGGTACTATGGACCTTGTGTTCGGTGAGGTTGACCGGTAAACGATATTGGAAACGCAATAATAAAAAAGAAAAACCAAACCCGAAGAAAACCTTCCCATGGCATCCTCTTAGATGGTTAGATTCGCCTGTGCTGGGGGGAAAATCAGAAAAGAGGAACCACCCATTTCCTTGATGTGATCTATAAACCCTAGAACTTTCGATGCTGCTAGGGTGTATCAAATGCTCCATGTTTTCTTCCCATGGCGTTGTGCTATTATGTCTTGTCATTCTCCTTTGTCTGTTTTTTTTTCTACCTCTACTGCTTCAAACAAGCCCTGTGTATAGTGAACATCTGATTCTTCTTCTGTGACTGTTTCAATGTAGGGATACTATGTATCCATAAATCTAACCAGCACGAGTTCAAACCTGATTTATATAGTACAAGATATATAGTACAAGAGACCTATATAGACTGATAATTCATATATCGAAATAACCTGAGACGCCACAGCCGTTTTATTCATCACATTTCCAGCAAATAATAACCCGTGGACACCAATGTGGTAAACACGTCCATGGTTTGCCCGTGGCAATATCCATGGACCCCTCTGACCGCTTTTGTTGTTTGCCACGTTTGTCAAGGGAAGTGGCAGAAACTTACCGCCCTGGTGATATAAGAGGGGCCTCCTTCCCCCAGAACTTCCTCTTCTTTTCTTTCTTCTTCAGCTCTCTTTGCCTATTGGCTTAGATCAAGTGTAGTATCTGTTCTTTTCAGTTTAATCTCTGAAAGTTTCCGTCCAGGAAACACTTTGATTATTCCTATTTTTGGACCCCGCGACTTGGCCCCTGTGCTTGCGCATGCCTCGTTGCACAGTGTCATTGGGCTTACACTACCCCCGATCGACGCGAACTCCTTTTTCATCAACTGTTCGGCTTGTCCGGGCGCTTGGAGAAGATGTCTGTTTAGAATCTATGTCCTTGTCAATGCGTTCTATTGATTCCACTCCTTTTGTTTTTGAATGTCTTTTGTAAGCTAGCTCCAAGGTTGCCTAGGTATGGTTAGTTTCCTAGGCAACCTCGAACTAGGAGTTCGACCAACTCGATGCGTCTACCACCCCAACCGCCCAGGTATCATCCCACTCGCTGGTGATTATTAGAATGTCCACCGCTAGAAATGAATGTATAAGTGAACCCAGGCTGATTGATAAGGAGAAATAGCGGTATCCACAGGCACCTAGGCTTTCGTCGCTAGTCTAACAAGAACACTGACAACTTCCTTAATCCTTAAGACATTCACGGTACAAAGAGTATCCATAGAATCAAACATTTGCGATTATAACAGCCTACTTCATCTATTCGGTAACCCCCCGCACCGAGGGCCGGCTTTGTGATGATCTCCAAATCGGCTATATGGCACTGTGCAAGATACAAAAAGATCCAATGATTCTTAATTATGGTGGAGACAATGCGAAATCTATTCGAAATATTCAATATGAGCAAATCAATAGACATCTCTCAGTCAATCCTTTATCCCAAGTGGTTCGGGGGTTCTGCATCATGCATGGCGGTCCTCGTTTCTCACCCTTTGGACTTGAGTGAGTTCAGCTATTCCAACTCTTCCAAAAGCACAATTCTGATTCCTCGATCATAGTTAAGGTCAGGATGCAAATGGAGCAGGGTGGTGTGAAAGCTGGGACACTCAATACTTGCATTCGAATCGTTCAAGGAGAGGGCGTACTTGCGCTTTATAACGGGGTACGTCTAATCAAACACGGTGTTAATTGTGATGAGATACTCATATTCTGAAGCTTTCAGCAGGTTTTATGAGACAGTGTTAGTTCACCTAACTATTCCATCTCTTCCATCGATGCAAATTGACTCATCTATCCGGCAGTAACATATGGCTCAGTCCGCATCGGCCTCTACGAGACACTAAAAGAACAAACCAAAGCGAACAACATTCCCACCCCCCCACCAGTTCTTGGTCTATTAGCAGGAATCTCTGGATTTATTGGCGCGATCTTCGGCAACTCCTCAGATATAGGCAACATCCGCATGCAAAATGACGGTTCACTACCTCCTCATCTTCGTCGCAATTACCGGCACATATTCGATGCGTGGAGACAGATCAAGCACCAAGAAGGATGGAAGGCCTTTGGACAGGGGTTGTGGCCGAATGCTTTCCGCTGTGGTATGATGACCAGCTGCCAGCTTGCATCATATGATGGTTTTAGGGATCTGATAGTGGCAACTACTGGCATTCATAACGATCATCCCGGTTTGCATTTATCGGCGTCGTTCTTGGCGGCGCTGGTTGCTACAACGCTCTGCAGTCCCATTGATGTGATTAAGACTCATTTAATGGGGTCTTCAAGCAAGCAAGGCATATTGTATGTGATGAAGGATCTTACAACCGCAGAAGGAATGAGATGGATCTTTCGAGGGTGGACGCCCGGTTTTGTTCGGCTGGGGCCACAAACTATGGCAACGCTGATTCTTTTGGAGCAGCATAAGAGGTTATATAGGGATTTCAAAGAAACGACAGATACTCGGAAAATCGCACTCTAAGTCAGTCCTTCGACATACTTTGGGCTCTATGAATGACCGAGTATTTGATCTCTCACATTTGGATACCTACATGTACTTATATATGTACCTAACTACATATGTAGGCTTTGTACAATTCATAAAGTTTATGCCAGCAAAATCTTTTCTCCCCACTATGAGAAGTGTACTTTGACCCTTTCATGGCGATATCTTGAAAAGGGTAAAGGGGCAGAGCTAGCTAGAGATATTATAGCTAGGTATTGCCAGAGAGGCCCCTCGCTCTCACCGTTTCGATGTTTTGTTCTACCCAGGTAACTTCTAACCACCGGAGCCTTGAGCGACCGCATGGCGATTACCCAAGACCGTCGACCAGGATATGAATGAAACTTTTGTTTCGACAAGAGTAATCGCGATCTTTTGACGACTGCCAATCAGGCTCATCTTTCTTCCTGCAACTCAGCTTTGCTTTACCATCCACCACATCCAAGCTGTCAGCCCTCTTGGCCCAGCTGTCACCCTGGGCCTCTACCCTCCCTCCTATCTTCTATGGAACCTATCTACTTGCTGCTATCATTACCATCTTTTTCAAAATCCCCTCTGCCCACCGCAGTCAGTCGTTGATCTCCCTCGAGGTCGATCGCAGATGTTATCAGGTACACACCCAAACACGCTGGATCACGATTCGAGATATGAAAATCTCTAGTCAGCTCTTGGCCGAAACGCATGAGAAGTGATTGAATCTCGCTTTTCCAGCTCAGCATCAATGGAAACCCCACAAGATCACCAGTCTGAACGACTAACTTCAACCCCTACGACACCTCTACTCTTCACGTTTCCCGCCGAGATACGTTTGAAGATATTTGGCTTCTGCGTCCCCCGAAAATGTGCAATCAAAGTGACAAGCGCGATGTACCGGCCCTACGGGGTCGAACCTGTAGTTTCCACGCGTGACCCGTCCTTCTACCACGACAAGTTCTCCAACACCAGCCCTCTCTGGACTAACATTTTACATGTTTCGAAACAAATGAGCGATGAATGCTTGGACATCCTGTATGGCGAGAGCTTGTTCGAAGTCTACCTGAACAGAGGAGCTGAAGCTACGCTGAAGAAAACATTCAGCAAAGAGAATCTCCAGCGAATCCGATTCATTCTCGCCATCGCCCCCGGCCCATGTTTTAGCGGCGAACTGAACCCACCCGATATTCCTTTCTGGGCCATGACGATCCCAAACCTGAAGTTGTTTGAATGGGTGACCCAACCGGACAAACGAGCCGAGCAGCACATGAGCGATCTCGTGATGAAGCAAGGGTTGGAGGGCTGGATGGAGTGGACGGACGCATACTTGGACTGCTTTGGCGAATTTCTGGTGGATGGGGTGGAGTTCAAAATGAGACTTGACAAAGGAGATGGTGAATATAGGCAGATTGGGAGACTTGCTTTCCGGCGAGGACCTTTCTTCAAGAAGGATGGGCAGCAGAAATGAGTTGACGAGAGCCATGGGGATCCAAGAGGGATTCCTCCACAATGAATGTTTAGATTAGGTTTATCCTTCAAATACAAAGTCTCGAACCGTGTTATGAGATATCTAGATCCAAGCCGCTAAATCCAGCACTGCTAAGTAATGCTTAATTCATTACGAATTGATCATCGTAGAATCTGGCCTGGGAAGCTCTTCATCTTCGTAGCTCCACAAACTTGCGATACATATGTATTTTTAGCCCTGGAACATTTTCTGATAATTATCCAGAACCCCTCATATATGTTTTTGGTGGGACTGCTCACGCCCCGGGCCCTCCAGCGCTCGACTGCACTCCCTGTCACAGCCTTACAACAAAAGCCAGGAAAGGAGAAGAACTGCATACATGTTTGTTAGAACCTATCGATTTCCAATGAAGCTGTAAAAGCCTCAAGCTAAGGTAACTACCTCAGGCATTTGCAGATGACAATGACTTTATCTGCCGGCCTCTCTCCCTCTCTCTCATCTCTCTCCTCTCTCACATCTATCACATCTATCGGAATCTATCGGAATCTATCATATATATCACGTCTCACCCCTCTCTCACATCTCTCTCCATCGTCATCATCCCAGTTCTACATCACGAATACAGCCTTGTGTCTCTCTAGTACTAGCCATATTCTCTGGATACTCTTGTATCCGGATGCAAGCAGCATGCCCCGTCGATGGCGAGAGCCGCGAGAGTATCGAAGACGATATCCTGCCTGCAATCTGTGTGGTGAGAAAATTTGCAGCTTTTCGACCACTGAGATTTCCGAGATCCTATATCGCAATGCACCGAAAGATCTGAACATTCTCTCACCGCACAATCCATGGATCCAAGGAAGACCAGCAGATCTGGATGATATACACTTCGATGAGATGTGGACATGGTCTTGCCCGTTTCGAGTTGGTAGGTGTTGTTTTTCAAAGCCTTGATTAGATGATCGTTATTCTAACCTTGAGTGTGGTCTCAGTGATGTTTAGGCTTGAGAAGGAAGGACCCAGATTCCATCTCTCTGGTGTTGGCGAGCTTCGACCGACCCATAAAGTAAGCCTCCCACAGGATGAGGACGAAATGATTTTGTGGAATCACCGAAGCGAAAGTCAGCACGCCCCTCTAATTCCGAACTTTGTCTCGACGCCGGCATATCCGCTGGGACATCTGCTAGGAGACGGATACCACAAAGCATTTCCTATGCACGAACGATGCTGGCACCTCATGACCCGAATTCTCGACGTAGAGTTGATCAAAAAGGATATGGATATATTCTTCCGTGCAATGTGCGAGCCACAGCGCGTCACATGGCGAGAAGTTAACTCAAGCCATGTCCCCCCCGTGTACAAGGAATGGCTTGAGTTCATTTCCGGTTTAACACCAATATCCTACCTAATTCCTCTGCGATTTCGAGCCAAGGATGATGCGAATCCAAGTCATATGCCTCGTCACTTTCGCAGCGCAGATCCTCTGAATGACTCCTACATGAAGAACCTGATTGCCAAGTACACAGCCAAGTACACCAAGCAGAGGGAGAAGGGATTTGAGCCAGTGTCGCAATACTCATCACCCACGCATACAATGTCCCGACGATCCCAGGCTACTTTCAAACCCAGGAACGTGCTTCTTCCAACCGAACTCATCTTGAACATCGCAGACTATTTGGAACATCACAAGGATATCCAAACTCTGCTTTGGGTGTTTCCGCGTTGGCACTCAATGATCCCTGATAGCTACTGGAGACGTCGATTCATTGATGATAACTATCTAGAGAATGATCAGTTCCCACCAGCGGATGCTCTTGATTGGCAGCATGTCTATCTCAATACTGACAAGCTATTACGACCCTCGTGGGGATGGCGGAACAGGCAGCGTATCTTGAGTCGACTTGAGGAGACGAAAGCCCGATTCTTGCAGCAACTGGAGCAGAAAGAGATTCAAGACTGAGGCATAGTTGAGGGTGGAAGAGCTTGCAAGGACCGAAAGAATGTTTACCGGCCACAGACACATCGTTGGGGGTGCTTTTCAGCTTCAATTCTTTTTTTCCTACTTGCATTAGTTTGAAATTTTCAATGATTGAACCGAATTCAACGACTAATCGTGTGCTTTTTGTCTGCTTTGCACTCCGTATCTTGACAACAACCTTGGCATGGCATGATAGCAGCGCATAGTTCATGCGATGCCGGAGGAAGCAACGTGGCGTATGATGTAGTCTATGTATAAACCTGCTTCTGTTGTGGCGCAGTGCATGCAGGTTGCCATATTTCCCCCAACAAGCTGTCGTGGTTCTCTATACGTTGTACAACTGTCAGCCTCTGATTCGGAGATTAAAGCGCCTGTTAAATTTTTGGCGAGCTTTTTGTCTTCGCCTGAATCCCCAACTAGACTAGCAGCCTCTGCATTGTGGCGTGTTGATCGCTGCGCGGAGCACTCTAGCTGCCAATGACAATGGATCTTTGTCGCATCTCGTATCCTCTGAAAGAAAATCCGGATAATTGAGCATCCATGGATACATTGGAGAAGTGTCATATTGTATTGGTTTTCTGCTCGGACTCGCCGAATTATATGTTCATCCAAAGCTTCAAGAAGAGGTGGATCTGGCTTTGTTGCCTGGTGTCCGGGTGGCCAATAGGATCATTCTAAATTGCTTATGTAATTGGTGTAATTGCCCGGGCAGCTGGGGACCTCCACTGGGTAAGATCGCGTCTCTGAGTGTCTTTCCTTCAGCAATCCAACTTCCATTCTTTTGTTTATCCCGCAGTATAAGATTTGGTCTGCAGTGAATATCAAACATCTGATTATTATCACAATTACTTCTGCTTCTACCCTCTCTCCCTTTCACCAATTCCACCCTACCTATCTCCGATCGCAAAATGGCCACCGACTACAGCAAGAAGACCAACGCCGAGTTGGTCGAGATCCTTAAGACTCGCTCTCTCCCCCACACCGGAAAGAAGGCCGACATGGTCTCGCGCCTCCAGGAAGCCGACGAGACCAAGCCATCCGACGCTCCTGCCGCAGCTCCTGCCGCAGCCAAGACTGACGCCGCCGAGGACGTCATTGACTGGGACGACGAACCTGCCGAGACAATTATCGAGCCATCCACAGAAGCCGGCGCAGCTGCGATTGCCGCAGGTGGCCAGGGCGCAGTTTCCAACCCCGTCGCTGTCCCCAACCAGCAGCTCGACGAGAACCCCGCCACCACCGAGGACTTGAAGGTCGAGGCGACCGGCGCCGTCGCTGAACCAACCACTCAGCCCGAAGCCGCGACTGAACAGAAGCCTGCCGTCGATTACACACGAGGACTGCCCCAGACCGATCTGGAGGCGGAGCTGGCGAAGCGCAAGGCTCGCGCGCAGAAGTTCGGTATTGTTGAGGATGACGACACAGCATTGAAGGAGGCTACGAAGCAGCTGGAGCGCGCCAAGCGATTCGGCACTGGCGCCGAGGCTGAGACTACCCCCGCTGCCGGTGTAAGTCGTCTTGACCAGGCACTTCCTGATGAGCGCTCCCGCAAGAGACGTAATGAGTCCCGCAGCGACAACCGCAACGACCAGGGTGGTCGTGGAGGTAAGAGACGTGATACTGGACGTGACACTGGACGTGACAATGGACGCAACCGCAACCGTCAACGTGGGGATGGAAACCGCAACCGCGACCGTGGCGATGGTGGGAACAAGACCAACGCTGGCGTGAAGAAGCCTAATGCCGGTGGGAACACTGCCCAAAAGTCTTGGAGTGAGAAGGATAATGCGGCCATGGAGGCTCGCAAGAAGCGGTTTGCAGCTGCTGCTTGAATGTTTCCAATAGTTTGCTTTGTCTGGTCTTTGACTTGGGCTTCGGTTCCATCTCTTGTTCTTTCATCATGGGCGTTTGTGTGTTGATATGCTACCGGACAATTTCAGGGTCAACCATTCCATTCTATTTGTTTTAATATATGTGGATCTCAATGAAAATGTACAAGTGTATGGAGTTTTATATTTTGTAGCGCGGAAGTAGCCTGTCCGTATGTCCATGGTGGTGTATGTGTATGAGGACACCGGATATCTCTCAACACGTGGACTTATCCATTTCCCATATCTAAGCACCGACCTACTCTACCCAGGGAAAACTCAATCTTAACTTCTCTTGCGGCCCCCAGAACTAATTCCCCGGTGACTGCGTGCGAAGTCAGCTGAAGAGTGCATTAGTCGCTTGTTCCTGCAGGATGGGCGTCGACCAGTACGACCAGTCACTCGGCGAGTATTGGCCAGATCGTGATTGTGGGACCTCAAACTCTTCCTTTACTACTCCGTATGAGAGTCCGAGAGTATTCTGTATGAAGTACGGAGTACGGAATACAATATTACAATAGCAATATGCAACATTCACTGGTCAATGTCATTCTAGACTCATTTCCCGTTGTCATTCGTCGTTCCTATTGCCCAGATTAACGCCCTCCCCACTTAGCTCAGTGGCCTCCCCGCGAATCGCAACCCACAACTCACTTTTTTTTTAGATGGTGGCTGCGAGCTAACATTTGAATTCTCGTCTAGGGCTTGTTCATTGCTCGATTATCCGGTGGGCCATCACAGCCCAGTGACTAGCGGGCTCCACCGTCTCGAGGCTCCACGGCTTGCACATCGAACACCCCAGTCCAAGGACGAAATGGCTCTTTGTGGATAGTCACTGGCTCTTCGAATCATACAAGTCTAGACGTTAGACTCAACTTTAAAGCCCCCTCGCTTTCTTCCTTGAACTTTGAAAGGATGTTCCCCGAAAGGTTCGGGACGGGCCTCTGTACCAAACTATGGACAGCTATGGCCGTTGGGAAATATTGAGACTTCAAGTTAACATGTCTCAGAATATACGACATCAAAAACGTTGACTCGGAAATGAATATGCGACTGTTTCGGAAAAGATGAAGCATTTTAGGGTAGAGACACCCTTACGTCTATCCGCATATGCATGGTCCCTTGAAACCACGTTGGGAAATTCTCCGAATGCCCGGGAAAGGCTGGAATTGCAAACCGCCAAAAAAATTAAAAGAACGAAAATGAAAATCACCTTCACGTCGATCATTTTACCATTTAGGTTTGACTCGTTCGGCGTCTCCGAATGCGCTGTCTAGGAGGCGAGGGAGACGCGATAACCAGACTGGTTGTCAATACGAGATTGTCGCTACATCAATGTAGTGTTCCAATCCTGCAGATACTCAGCTTGAGTCTATCAGCTGATCTGATGTGCGGACGAGTCACGATTTGTAGGGGGTTTTTTTAACGACTCAAGCCATGCATGACGAATAGCCTATGGTACGCCACGGGTTGTACCACTGCCCTGTCACGTTGTGTCTGGCCCGATACCTGGGGGTGTTTGCCGCCGCGAGCCCATACTGTCTAATCAAAGCAGCCAACGACAAGTCCGTGCTAAGGGAGAACCCTCGAGTGGACCGGCTTTTACCTCCCCATATGGGCTCCCGTGCGCGCAATTCTCTTGATCCGGCCACTGGGGGATCGCCCTGGTTATTTGTAGAATTCCCCTTTTGACTTTGCGATGGGGGCTATCGTCGCTTCAGAAGCACCGCGCAACTTTCGCGACTGGTCCTTTTGATACGCTCCAGGTCTTTGCAGTCTCGATTCCTTCCCGTCTTATCACAGTAGTCACATTACTCTCTTGCCAATGAGATCCCTGGCTACGTTCTTTCTATATAGCCATTCCGGTTTCGAGGCATTTTCCCCCACATCCGAGGGGCAACCCCAGTAGCACATAAATCTCTGGCGTCTCGGAAATTCCTCAATATCCTTGATCTTTTTGACTTTCGTTTTGACAACACAATTTATTTTTGCATACTTCCAGATTTTATCTCTGACGTGGCCAACGCTGGAGAGCCCTGAGATACAACGCCACATTGCTCCAGACTGTGGCGAAGCAGCTGCAGCTTTAAGGCTTCGCCGATCCACAGTGGACTTTTCTCGTTTATCTACTGACTTCTGTGAGTCCATGTGTCTTTTCTTTTTCGTTATGATTCTTAACATCCTTGCAATGTCTATTGACACTTAATTTTTAGTGCGACTTTGAGATACCATTGTTTTTGCGAATTCAATCTACTTTTACTTAATACTATACCCCCACTCTCAAGCGCTAGGCGCCCATCAATATTGATCTTTTCGTTTGACATGATTCAGATGCTGTGAGCTTACATACTGAACATGACCAAGACCAAGTTGGACCAAAGAGCTGATTAAACCAGATAGCCATATACCCCCATAACGACGTGATGGTTACTATAACGAAGTACATGTACCCACCGTTTAATCATTTGTCCCCGGATTGGAGCCGGGAACTTCACTCATCCGTACGCCATGTCGTATAATTCTGGCCATCACATGCCACACGATGCTTCTTCTTCAAACTTATCACATACCAATGCTGGTGCCTATGGCCGACCTCCGCGATCCCAAATTGCGAGACCAGTCAATCATACCCCTAGGAGCAGAACATCGTCATTCTCAGATGTCGAAGATACTGGCCCTGTATCAGCGCTGTCGGCTACCAATCGATCTACCAGTCGTGGAAATCGCCTGTCCATGCTTCCGCGCCCCAGTATTGGTAGCACACCCTCTCCAATTACGCCAGTGTCTGCTTCCTCTTCTCAGAATTCCACCCAGCCAATTCCTTCCTCGTTTTCGAGCCCGGAGATTAATAAGCCCTCGCCTTTCGTTGCTGGACAACAATTGCCCCCGCCAAAACGAGCACGGAATGTTCTTCGAAGGAGGGCACCGACAATAGGGAAACATGTGGAGCAATTGCACTCTGACAAGCTTAGCCTTGTTATTCCGCAAGAGCCTCATTCTCTCGTTATGAACAATGCGTCAGGACACGGAAACTCGTCATCCTCACTTTTAGGGCAATCAGCTTCCTCTTACAAACCAAACCACAAGAATGATAGTAATGTGGCGGTGAACTCGGTGAGGTCTAGGTTCAATGGTCCGGTGGAACTGGCAAGTCTTCGAACGACAGTTGATACGCAAAACTTGCCAGCACCTCCCACTCCCTTCTTATTGTCAAGTAGCCCCTCGACAAGATACTCGGAGTCTCCGAGTATTTGGAGTCGGGGGTCTACCCCAACATCATTATCGTCATATTCCCCGGGCATTACAAAGATTGGTCGTCTGAGACAACCGAGCCCGTCTCAAACAAGATTGCCAGTCTTCTCTCCTCCACCGACACACGCAAGCCCTCAGCAAGAAAGACCGGAGTTCAAGACTCAAAAGCGGGTACTTGCTACAAAGCCTTCTGGTCCAAGCTCAGTAGGGACCGGCAAAAGCCAGGGAGTACCACCATCTAAATCTCCCTCCACAGTACCCCGAGGCCCACCTTGCAGTCCACCGCCAAGAAAGTCATCGGTCAATTTCAGCCCCTCAAAAGCTTCGGACATCGACGTTGAGCAGGCTCGGAAGGAAGTGGAGGAAGCCGAGAGGCGTCTGTTTGACCCACAAAGAGTTATGGAATGTTCCCCCTCACGGAATGCGGAGACACCACAAACTCCACCACGACCGAGCAGAGATGGAACGCATCGCTTAGAGATTGAAACATCGCCGATTGTTCAAAGCAACCTTCGGTATCTTAGAACAACGGGCCACACAAGACGCGAGTCGATAGAAAAGACCCTAGCGACCCAACAGCCACATCCAACTCCCAACCAGTCTACCGCTGCATCCATTGACTCACTGCAATCAAGAAGCATCTCTCAAGTCCCTTCGCGGAATGACGAATCTCTCATACTATCCAAAAAGACGCCTCGGACATTAACCAAAGAAACTCCCAAAGAGAAGCTGGATACAAAGCAAATACCAACGCAAAAACGGTTCGGTCTGTTCGCAAAGAAGTCCAAGCCAGATATGTCAGAGAATTTAACGGATCAAGCTCGAGCAACTCGCAAAGGTCCAGCCGCAGGAACAGGCCACGAGGGCTACGGAAAATATGGACAGCGCGGCCGCAAAGCAAGCGGTAGTAGGAGCAGCGGAACGAGAACCAGATCAACAAGCACGACACGGAGTGCCGCCAGCAAAGGGAGTCAATCGAGTCGCCCGGAGTTGGACATTGACGATTTTCTAATGAGCCGTCTGGAGCCTGTCATTATCAATGGCGGTGGACTAGACGGTGCATCGTTGTCACGAACACACAGCGAGCAAAGCTTCAGCAGCATGAGCGTTGCGTCGACTTCGAACTTGCCGCAGCAAAAACTGCTATCATACTCGACTAGCCAGTCTACCGAGTCCCTCGCAACTTCGACGGGGACATTTGGCGAGACTATTACGCCAAGTTATTCTAATGGCGCTAGGCCGATGGAAAGCAAGAGCCCTGAGTACCAATCTAACGCGAGTGATCGTCCAAATGCATCGAAGTCACGCATGCCTGTCCCAAGAGGAAAGAGACACGGCATTTTTGCGAACCCCCAGGCTGCTGTCACAAACACGTCTCTTCTTAGCCATGAACCAAGCACTGCTGCCTCACATGAACCGAAGCGTGCTGAAAAGTCCCCCGAAAAAACCACCAAGCCCGAGCAGGTCGAGAAGCAACAAGCCAAGAAAGGAAAGACATCCATGTGGAACTTCTTCCAGAAGAACCGCGCCAACGACCATAAGAGCTCCATTCCTCCAACAACCTCATCCCAAACTGCGAAACTTCATGCGGCGATCTCCCCGGTTCTGAACACTCGGCCCGTGGCCCATTACGCCTTGGTGGATGCTGATTCGGACGAGCTCGATGAAATCATCAACAACATCGAAGACTCACCACCAACCGAGGAGGAAACAATTTTCCATCCGGTGGAAGTTCCAAGAGGCTTGAGCATCAGAAAAAGAAAGCCATCAATTCTGTTGCCATCTCCGCCAAAGATGCATGGCGAGTTCGAAAATGATGATCGGCCATCGCCGAGAACCGCCATGTTCAATCGTAACCTTATGGCCCCGGAGCTCGAGACGTCACCTGAACAACGCCCACGCTTGGCCTCTGTCGGTCGGATCCCACAGGTAGTTTCGCGCCGCGATAGAAATCATCACCCCGCCATGCAGTCATTCTCGCGTCCGTTCAGTGTTGTCGAATCGCCTTCCCTCACGATTCCAACGACGGAAGGCTCATACGAATCCCCACTTGTCGCCAATGTTCCGTTGGATTTGGGGATTGGTCCAAGCGAATCTTCAGACTGGGGCCATGGGTTCAACCCGACTTTTAGCGCTTCCGAAGAGACCAGCGCTTTGGAGTTTCTTGCCGGACCGTTCTCAACGTATGAGTTTCTTCAATTTCCGCCGAAGAAAGGCTCAACATCGTCGGATAGCTCTGGAGCTCTGGCTGCAGTTACAGCCGTTGCGCCGATTCCAGGTTCTCCGCCGACTGAGGACGAGGTGTGGAATGAGTACGACGATCTTATTGATCACGTTCTGTCACCAGATGAACCGAAGCCTGAGGAGTCGGGAAAGACTGAAGAAGAGGACAGATTTGAACTTGCAACGATGGCAAGCAGGGCTCTTCAGGACGAGTTGAATAATGCCAATCATCCTCAGTCAGTGCCTGGTGGCAATTCGGTCCGCTCGAGTGGCAGCTCTGTTCATCTTCGCCGTTCTCAGATTGTCTCTGCTTTGCAATCATCTACCGCCCCTTCGTCTCAGCCGTCTTACAATGATCTCGTTGCTGCATATAGAGGCTTAAATGATGAGAAGACCCAGCAGACTGCCAATCCTACTGAACAGCCTTCTTCGACAGATCAGCACCGTGAAGAGCAGTCTACATTTCTCCACTCCCTCGCTGCTGTTCCTTCGCCTAGACTAAAGTTCCACCGAGAACAAGAAGCCGCATCTTCGGAGCGTGAGTGGGACGCAGTGACGCGGACTAACATGCGTTCTGCCTCGCTCATGACTAGTCGCTGGTTATCTTTCGGCCGAGTCCTTTTCAGCCCTGCACATAACCATGTCAAGGCCGGAGGACAAGGGCGAATTCTTGTGGTCGACGGACTGGGAAATGATGACTGGTCTTTCTACTGTTCCTTGACGTATCCCGATGCCGAGGTATACAGTCTAGGTGGACGTCCTGTATCCGCGGCACCTCCCCACCCCGCCGCATGGCAGCCCCCTACCAACCACCACACCGTGTATCACGCAGGACTGGACAACCCCCTCCCCTTCCCAAAGGATTACTTCACAGTCGCCGTACTACGATTCCCCGCTGTCTGCTCCGAGACCGTGCAAGGCAACATCATCCAAGAATGCAGACGCGTTCTCCGCACTGGCGGGTATCTAGAAATGAGCCTTCTAGACCGCGACATGGTCAACATGGGACCTCACACACGCAAAGCTATCCGCCAACTCAAAGAAATGACCTGTCTCTCAGACTCGACCCTCAGCCTGAAACCAACCAGTGACAGCGTCCAACGCGAGCTCGGAGCCCAGGGCTTCGACAGTCTCCGTCGCTGCATGGTTCGAATTCCAGTTGCAGGAATGGTCCTCCGATCCTCCGACTCCAGCTCATCAGCCCACTCCATTTCAACAGCTACCCCTTCCACTGCTTTCTCGCTGCCTACTATATCTGTCACAACTACTGGTGGTAGCCAAAGTACGGGAATGGCCTCTAAATCCCCCTCCAATGATGCGAATATCTCTCTCGGCGATTTGCTCTCCGATCCTTCCCCTTCTCCGGCAAACGATGAGTCAATCGCTAAGATCGTTGCCCGCGTCGGACGCTGGTGGTATTCGAAATGCTACGAGGATCCTATTTTCTCGACTGCAAATACTGATCCGAGTATTTGGAATGACCGAAAGGTACTCCGCGAGTGCCAGAAGCGTGGGACCGGGTTCCGCATGTTCATTGCATACGCCCAGAAGCCTAGTGAGGTTCCGCGACGCACGGCAAGTGTGTAATGGAACAACACATTGATATGTTTCATTTTTCATCTTTATTCTTTTCGTTTTTCGTTTCGTTTTCGGCTTTTCTTTTTTCTTTTTATGAGATACATGATTGATTGAACTCTACGCTGCATGGAAAAATACCCATATATATGCCTTTATGAAGTCTGATTGTTTTTGAGCGTTTGGAAAATATGGACTTTGTGGCTTACGCTCAAGGTTTGCATTGCTTCTACTTGTTTTTTTTTATTCGATATGGCGTGCATGATGCTATGATTGATATGTGCCATAGAGGAAGAGGGGTGTGTTGTGTCGGATTTCCATTGTACAAGCAGGACTTAATATGGATAAACAATTACTTTAATTATTTCTATCCCTAGAGACCTGAAATTCAGCGAGAGACAGTAGTAAGATAAAAGATGTTAGTATGAGCATGCTCAACAAGAAATCCTAAGAAGTCTACATGGTTATTCCGCAGGTGCAGTTTCATAGCCATTATCATTCCCAGAGGGTGCTGGCTGCATCGTCAACTGAAAGATCAAAGTATGCTGAAGACGCTTGCAAATGCATTCTCTCGCGCTGGTCTGCAGCCTGCCTGATTATGATACTAGCACCACCCACGAATTAGACACAAATCCTACGCCATGAGAAGAATAACCAGATCACATACGTTTGAGTAACCCTAAGACAAAACATCTGTCTTTTCTTCCTCAATTGAACAATCTGTTTCAATTTCTCCTCCGCCTCGACTTTCTGGGCTAGAAAGTAGCTCCGTCGACCAAGTAGTTCCACAAGGGAAGACATTCCCTTTGCGCTAGATCTGCTCTGACTTTGTGCGCTAAGTTCTCTAGATGATGGTATTGTTGACTCTGGCTAGCTTCGGATGTAGGTCACTGGCAATCAAATGGGAAAGGCTTTGGAGCCAATGTGCAACCGATTCGAATGCCGCGAATTCATCAAGAAACCGATATCCAAAATCTCGCATGTCTCGTTCAGCATTCAGTATGCGATTCGCGTGGAAAATGACAGTGACTAATATTGCGTATGCTAACGTCAGGATTCCGATAATATTGCCTGTTGTTGAAAGGGGCTATCGGCGCATGATAGTATTTGTATAGAGCTGGTATTTCCGGTCATAGCAACTGGATTGAAGTATTTTTAGGGAGGTTAATAAATGTTCGAGTCGAGTCGAGGAGATCTTTGACGAATATTTCAAGAGACGGGAGATTGTATACGAGGAATCCAGCTGACATCGGCACAAATTACCCAGGCACCTAGATACCAATGTGGCGCAAGCAAGCCCCTTTCTTATTGTGCAGGATCAATATGTGGAGAGAACATGAAATTTTGACGTTCGATATAGCTCAAGTGTTAACTTAATCTCATAAATAAGCCTATACCCTGGTTAAATAAACCTTCAACGGACCCTTTTCCCACATCAGGAAGTTCCTCTGTTTGATCCAATCACGGGCTTCATCGGCAATCTCCATATCAAAACTAAAGATGATCAAGGCGAGGATTAGACGCATCTCGCTATATGCAAGACTAAAGCAACGTGGTTAATATCGCCTGTTATCTCCCGTGGTGATCTAGGCCATTACTTACTTTCTTCCAAGGCAATTTCTCGGCCCAGTATGGAATGGTTGCAATACCTCTCGGCGATCATCTGCAAATGATGGATCACCCAGGAATCTCTCCGGGTGGTATGTGTTGGGGTCCTTGAAGTACTCTTCGCGCCGATACAGTGCCCATTGATGAACAGAAACAAAAGTCTTAAAAAGCACCGTCAGCAGGTATCAAGACGTAGTATTCACATCAAATGAGACTCACGTTTGCCGGAATATATTCGCCCAAGACCTTCGCACCGCCCTCGGGACACACACGGGGAAGACCGTTTGCAATGGGTGGATACATGCGCATTGCCTCATCGAGACAGGCAAGCATGTAGGGCAACTTGTTAACAGAGATCAGGTTGATCTCTTCCTGGCTTTGAAACACAGTACGCACTTCCTCTTTCAACTTCTGATAGGCAGTTGGATTCGTGAGAAGGAGGTATGTGGCTCCGCTCAATAACGAGGCTGTGGTCTCGGAGCCACCGATGATGAGAATTTCAGCATTTGCAATGAGTTCCCCAATACTCAGGTTCTGACAAAGGTCAGTTATTATTCTTAACGAAAATAGACGAAAACTCACCAGTTCCTCCCTCTTTCTAAGAAGTCCCTCAATCAAGTCGGGTCGACCCTCTTCCTTCTCCATCCGACGCATCATCTTCTGTTGGGTGAGTTTCCGATGTTTCTCGTGGGCCTCTTTCATTGACGCAGGCACCATTGATAACAGCGTCCGCTTCACGAGTGGATAGAACGAGAGAGCTTGCAAGACAATGCCAAGCCGGCCGGCGTCGAAAATCCCCTTTATCCATCCGTCAAGGTTTGATCCCTGAAGACAGCCAAATGGCTCACCAAATGCCAGGTCTCCAATAATATCGAAAGTGGTGTAGTTGTACCAATCGGAAAGAATCACCGGATTACCAGGCTTGCAAAACTCATGTAATCGGTCAAGCAGCATATCAACATAACCACGAATCATTGGCTCCTGCTCTCGCATTGCCTTTTCAGAGAACCCGTGCGCCATTTGTCGGCGGAGACGCCCATGTTGCTCTCTGCTTTCGTTAACTACATGTAACGGGTTGTCGTCAACCGGACGGTAGAACCAGTCTGCCTTTGAGAATTCAGGTCGTCCTTTCTGGTGGCCCATAATATCTTGCCAGGCATCGGGGTGAGAGAAGGCCAGCTCGTCCGGCGCAATACGGACAATGTCGCCATACCGCTTATGCATTTCCAGCATGTCAAAGGGAAGGGTTCCCCGAATAGACCGGTAAACGTATGCCAGTCGTGATATTTTGTGTTCCAATGGCCCTGGAAACCGGCTCAAGGGGTGAAAGTACACATTGTAGATCACTTTAGAGGCAAGATATAACATCGCCTAAACGCGTTAGAAAAGAAGTCACAAAAGATATCGCATGATGTACCGTGAAGAGACCCGTCATCAACACATGTTGCACGTTGAAAATAATTCCCATTCTGTCTCGATATTCGCTCGCAATAAATTATTTCAGAGAGGAAGTCCGATGCGACATGTGAGGTCTTATATGTGCAGGTCTTGATCAGGACCGAGGTTGGCCGTTGATCAACATGGACATTGATATCCCTGTAACGGAATCTTTAATTAGTTCAAGATCATAGCGGCAATTGGACTATTTAGGGGTCAAATAGAGTCAAATGGAGTCCTAATCCGAATCCGGACCCGAACCCGAACCCGAGGTTGGATCAATCAACGTCCACCAAAGGGCATCACGAATGGTACGAATACGAACCCGTCCACTAAGAACTAAAACACGGGGATCCCATTTAGCATATGCATAATATCTCGGGATCCCCTTTGTTAGGTTCACGGATATGGAGAAGCCCGTGGAATTTATGCATTTCATGCATATGACAGACTTGGACGCATTCAAAAAGTCTGTCGGCGCACACCAAACAGCCGTGTGTGTGTGTTTGTTTTCTCAAAATCCTCAACATGGACAGAAAATCGCCTGATCCTGAAGCGCAGTTTGTCAGACTGCCAGATGAAAAAGCCAACGAAGAACACACGGCGGATGTGTCCGAATACGATGTCTTCTGGGAGGAACCAGCCAGTGAAGACCCCGAGAATCCGATGAACTGGAGCTCCGGGCGAAAATGGACTATCATCGGAATGGTATCTTTCATAACTTTCTTGACGTGAGTGCATAAACTTCTCGTATAGACCAAGGTTCTGACAAGACCAGTCCCCTCGCCTCTTCGATGTTTGCACCGGGCATCAGACAAGTCCTCGAAGACTTCGGCTCAACATCTAATCTCCTCTCGTCTTTTGTCGTCTCGGTTTACATCCTAGGATTCGCCTTCGGTCCTCTGATAGTCGCACCCGTCAGCGAGTACAGCGGCCGCACATGGGTCTACAATGTGTGCAATGTCTTGTTCGTGGTATTCAATATCGCCAGTGCGCTCGCTCCCAATATGGCGTCTTTGGTGGTTTTCCGATTTCTCGATGGGGTTGCGGGCGTCGCTGCCATCACATGTGGTAGTGGTACAATTGCAGATCTTGTTCCGAGAGAGAAACGGGGCCAGGCGATGGCTATCTGGTCTCTGGGACCCCTGTTCGGCCCAATAATTGGCCCCGTCGTGGGTGGGTTCCTTGTGGAAGCGACAAATTGGCGATGGGTGTTTTGGGTTCTTGCTATCGCGGTAAGAAAGACAACATCAGGTCAAAAGAGCCTCATTTCTAACTCATTTTCTAGGGCGGAGCCGCATCCATCGTCTTCTTTTTTGCCGTGCCTGAGACTTATGCCCCGATTCTACTTGAGCGGAAAGCTGCTCGGCTGCGAAGGTCAACAGGAGATACGGCGTACAGATCTCGTTTGGATTCCGGAATCCCTCCAAAACAGCTGTTCCTACGGAGTCTCATTCGGCCATCGAAAATGCTTGTTCTGTCCCCAATAGTGGCCTTAATGTCCAGCTACATTGCGGTTCTTTACGGCTTCCTCTACATCCTCTTCACAACATTCGCAATTGTCTTTGAGGGTCAGTATAATTTCTCTGCCAGCGCGAGCGGCCTCTCATTCCTAGGAAGCGGAGTGGGCATGTTACTTGGTCTTGCCTACGTGGGGACGTTGAGTGATCGCAAGATCAGGATCAAACTCGAGCGCAAGGAGACACCTATCCCCGAAGACCGACTTCCTATGTATCTTACCATACCTGGGTCATTAGCCATCCCGGCGGGCCTCTTTATCTATGGGTGGTCGACAGACACAGTGGTCCATTGGATCGTTCCCGAGATTGGAAATGCTGTTACTGGTTTCGGGATGATCATTATATTGATGTGCGTTCAGACATATCTGGTAGATGCTTTCCTTGCACATGCTGCCAGTGCTGTGGCTGCTTGTACTGTTCTGCGAAGCTTGCTTGGGGCTCTTCTCCCTCTGTGTGGATTGCAAATGTACGAAAAACTCGGCCTTGGGTGGGGAAATAGTTTGCTGGCGTTCCTTGCTTTGGCAATGGCCCCTATACCGATTTTGTTCCAAACTTGGGGAGAGAGGCTGCGGACGAAGTGGACTATTAACCTATAGCCTAAAGGGCTAGGAATTTGTAAATATCCAGGTAGTTTATACCGTTAATATTAGTTATACAGCAAATACAGGGGTCCCGAAGTTAATCAAAGCAGAACATAATGTTTTTAGCTTCTCTTACTGTCGCACTCAACACTATCTGTCTTGCATAGCTCGTATTCCTCATTTCAGATCATGGTATCTCAAAGTAAATGTAACCAATCATGAACAAGAGTCATTCAAAGGTCATAATGTGTACAGGAATAAAATAAGAAAGGAAAAAGAAAAGAAAAAGCCTTCTACTCAAGAAGAGCAACCATCAACCGCTGGTAATCACTAGAGGTCTCGCCGCGAACCCGATCAATCAAGTTCTTCTTATACTTGTGTTGGTAAGCGCGCTTGACCATCTCCTTGTGGTTGCGGTCCCAGTGGGTTCGGACAACACGGACAATAAGACGCTCGTCCTTGGTGCCCATGCCGCTCATGGACTCCTCAAGTAGGATAGCATCACGCATGGCAGGATCTGTAGCCGTGCGGAGCATCAGGAGCAGCGCGTCTTCCATATGACCCGAGAATTCCTTCTCGATATGCCTCTCGAGGGGGATATGGTAGCGAGACTCGAAAGTCTGGCTAATAGCGCGGAGCTCAGCATTGGACGCCTGGGCAAATACTGCGCACACCTCGGTGACGTTCTTCCCTTGCAGAGCGCGAACATCCGTATCGATGGTTTGCGGGTTGATAGGGGTAGACTCTTCATGGCGACTAGCACGAAGGACAATGGCAAACAGAGTAGACGTCTTGAAGGAGAGGTCGCCTTCGACATCCTTAGAAAGCGAGCGCCTGTGTCTCATTTCGTAGGCCGTCCGGATAGCATTCATATCGGCATTGGACCGGCCGAGCAAGATCTCGTTGAGTAACCACTCCTTCGTTCCAGCGCCATCGATTGCCGAGTGCAAGTTCTCGACATCATGCATAAGCGGTCCGTCGATCACGGCAAGTAGGCCATCGCGGAAGTACCCGCCAGCCTCGGAATTAACATCCTTGAACAGATCGCGGCCGAGGTGCTTGGAATATGTGTCGCGGACAGCGGCCATCTGGAGCGGGTCGAGCCGCGCGAGGACTGCAATCAGGGCCTTTTCGTCCGTGCCGAAGCCCTTCATCGCTTTGCGAAGCGCATCTGCTTGGGGCCGGAAGTCGCCTGGTGCTACTTGGCCAGGGATGTAACCCAGAGACGGTTGTGATGGTGCACCCTGGGGTGGGAAGGCGCCGCCGGGTGGTGGTGCGCCGTATCCAACGGGTGGTTGGCCTGGAGGTGGGTATCCGGGACCACCCGCGGGCGGTTGGCCTGGAGGGGCATAGCCATGTGGCTGTTGGCCATATGGAGGTTGTGGGGGCGGAGCATGGTATCCGTGGGGTTGAGGAGATGGCGCGCCGTAATGTCCTCCCTGCGGGGGAGGGGCACCGTAGTGGCCTTGCTGGGGTGGAGGATAATGCCCCTGTTGAGGCGGGGGGTAGTGGCCTTGCTGGGGGGGATATTGTCCTTGCGGGGGAGGGGCACCATAAGGCTGCTGATAGCCCTGGGGCGGAGGTCCTGAAGGAGGACCTTGCTGTCCGTATTGGGGTGCATATCCTCCGTAGGGGGGCTCTATTGACTGAGTTAGCTCGTGGCTTGAAACGTATTATTTGAAATGACACTCACGGTTAGGTTGATAAGACATGGTATGCAGACTGTGACTTGTATGTATCTAAGTAAGAAACGTCCGGGCTGAGGGGCTGAGGGGCTGTTTATATGTCCCGGCTGCTCGGCTCCAGTGTGGCGCAGTCAGGTGGGGGTGTTCACAGCCTTGCGGCTTTCTAGAATTCCCAGGTTGTTGACGTCTGCCAATTTACAAATGTGGACTTCATAGTTTCGTGTTCATGGTTCTACCTTGTGGGTTTGTTCTAATTAAAGAAAATTGCTGTTGCCTTACTGTAAAGTTCGATGGGACTGGTGTATACAAAATGGACTTCGCCAACTTCACTTCGATCAACCCCTTGATTCATTTCAATCCCAAAGTCCTCTCACATATTCAAAACGTTATGATCATGACTCATTGCAATCACAACTTCAACCATTTCCCTCCGCCGCCAACAATGGTCCCGTTCTTCACCTCGCCATCGCTGAAGGGCATATCAAAACCGCCCGTAATTGCAACCCCGTTCTTGAGTCTGAGTTCAATCTGGTCCTTTTCTATAGGTAACTCTTCGAATTCTTCGGTTTCTTTGTGTAACTGGTCGGCTGAGTCATAGGTGACATCGGCATTGGGAATGGAGAAAGACTGCCCAAAGCCAGTCAGGTTGCCCACGAAGATATACTGAGCGCCTTCAACTTCAAATTGACCAAGGACTCGTCCTTTATCGCTTGTCAGGGTTCCAGTTCCTTGTGGCATCTATTTCATGAGTTGATCAGTATCTGCGAGCGCTACCCATGGGAACATGGAAGTGTGCCAAGTGCTTACTGTGAGGAGATTTTGCCAGATATTCGCTGGTATTGGGATTGATGCTACGAATATAGGTGGTCATTCAATGATTTAAAGAGACTGGACAAGGAAGAGCGGTCAGTTTTCAAAGTTCAAGGTGGGATACCGTGCAGTGCATCCGATGTCATACATGCAGGTCAAGTGGAGAGCCGTGCTCGGCCTCCATGTTATGGATGGCCGTTCGTCTTATCGAGGCGCTTACAGCACAAAACATGGTGCATATCCAAGGTGCAACGCATACCAGAGATGCGGGGCTACGTAATGTGATGGGGCTTCAGCCGCCCGCAGGTCCTGAATATAAAAGTCAAAGAAAGTAGCGGGCAACAACCTGTCGAGCTGAGACAGCATGGTTATATACATTACCGCGATCTAGATGAAGCTAATCAACGAGCTTCTTCTAAGGAAATGGCTCATAACTAGGACAAGACGAAATATATATCTACACAGAGATATACATTAAATTGAGATATTAATATCTACGCATGTAACTTTTCACCAAGAATCTTTTTGATAATCGTGTAACTATATGAAGAAAAAGCTATTGTGCTATTGTTCTTGTGGTGTGTTTATTCTTCCCCTTCGGTGACCTCCAAGTCTGAAAAATAAGCTTCTGAACACTGTTTTATTTCATGTTGAGCATGTACATATACATCATTCTATATATGGATAATTGGAACCATATTGATTTATTCCAGATCATATATAGCCTAGACTATGCTTCTTTCTTAATTCTAAAGGTCGTGAGGTCCATACTAAGAATATATACTGCTTCTTCCCCCTATTATCCGCCAAGGCACAGATATGCCTATTCAATTGGCGTCGCCAGTCTACGAGCATTTACATAGGTGGGGCCCGTTTGGACGATCTCATCCATCACATCCACGGCCATTTAGGTTGCGTGTTTCAGCGCCCATTATTATGATGCTGTTGCCCTGTGCTCCCAGACTGGAACAACTAAAGCGCACACAAACATAGACCTCCAATAATTAATCTTCGTTAGCCGTAGAGGACTTCCGTCAGCGTTCATGAGTTTTTGAAGCATGGTACCTCTTCCTGCTAGTGGGCGGATAGTGACCAACTACCCAGTCACAGGGCATCACTCCAAAAGCCATACAAACCATTTTGCTTGATAATATCCTCAACATGCAAATCACGTAGACGAAACCCAACTCCCGCAGCCGAACATAACAACTCAAGTTCCACCTTGAAGACCGCAAACTCCTCTAACATGGCAGGTATAGGACGAGGCTTAGCGTTAGACTCCTCAGTTGACTGCTGGACATGCATCCAGTTTCCCTTGACCTCTAAATAAGTCAGGTTTGGGCAGCGGTACTTCCCTCCTAAGAGCAGGTCTTCAAACGCCTCAGCTAGTTCAGTTGTATGCTCGGTCTCTAGACCATCAAGGATAAGGCTTTCCAGCGATAGAGGCAGAACACCACTGAATCTATTCCTTGATGTCTCGTTTAGGTCACTCCAGCCTCGTTCCCAGTCTAGCATATGAGATATCTGCAGCCGAAGTTCCTTCAGCGCACTAAATCCCGCGAATGATCCGACGTAATCATAGTCGTGACTCTGGTAAGCGGTATAATTGTTGGTGCACTCGTCGGTCAGTGTTAACGTTTGCAAGGTCTCCCGATGTCTTTGCAATGGTGGGTAGCATCTCGACGCGTACATCCCCCCATCATCCAGGTAATTCGGGTTATCGGAATGCTCAAAGATGAAAGATTCGAGGCTCTTAGGTGCGCCGATCAAATTCGCAAAGCCTCTTCGAGAACAACTGGACTTGAGGTGGATATGAGTGATATTGGAGTACCGAACATTGTCAGGCACGTAGCTAGCCGCATCGAACGCTTGATCTTCGGCATGTTCCTCATCAGAGCTACCACCATCACATATCATATGGCCACAAAAGCTTCGTAACGAGGGAAGTCGAAGTATTGGGAGAAAGTGCGATGAGCTGAGGCCACCATCTACATCAGAACACACGACTGTGAAGTGTCTTAATTTAGACAAACCAGAGCTTTCTTTTTCGGCGATCCTGACCATCCACTCGAGAGTGTAGTTTGAAAATTCATGAACCTTCAGGACCAGATCCTCCAGATTAGGCAAGAGGGCCAGAAGCAGGACAGTCCATGCGTCATTATTCCCTCGACTCTGTAGTTCACAGTCCCATATGGATAGGTTGTCGTCGGGCCCCAGGGTTGATTTCAGAACTGGCAGGATAACCTCCTGTTCATATCGCACGCCGGAAGTCGGCCGCCAGCCATGGGAGACACGGAAAGTGCGCACTTCTTGCGCTAATGCCGGCTTTAATGCGAGCGTGTGCACCAGATGACTCAAGTGGCCATTGCGGTGCTCTATCAGGTCGAGCGATGTAAAGACTTTGGGTAACAAAAGTGGATATAAGGCACGACAACAGGAGGCGAGCCGCAGAGTATCCGTGTGGCTATCGAGATAACTTGCTATTGAGAGCAGCAGCTCTGCTGGTAACGTAGAGAGCATGTTTCTTTCTGAAATTTTGGGAGGGGGGTTTCTGAGTTAAAGCATAGTGAACATGGTGTTTATGGTTGGTTAAGAAAAGATTTTAGACATCGGCCGGCAGGCAGCACCAGGCATCCCAGAACTGATAACGCTAGCCGTATTAGGCTAGCGCAGCCCCTTCGCATCTGAGATGTGCGCCTCCGCAAAAATCCGCAAAATAGGCTCCTAGATTCCATCTCAATGGTGCAATTTATATTAGATGCCTCTCGAGGTCCATAGGTTCACGGTACACTAGTGATTGACATGGCCACATTTCCTCCAGGCCGCCGTTCGCACCGGAAATCGCGATCCGGGTGCTTACAATGCAAAAAGCGAAAAGTCAAGGTGAGATATTCATCAATGCACATGTCTTTCTGTTGAGCGCTAGCTTATAGTCCTGTATCAGTGTGACGAAAACCAGCCACATTGCCGGAACTGTGAGAAGCACGGGGTAGTTTGTTCCTTTGCCAGTCCCTCAACCGTGCTTTCCACACCAGCGGATCTAGCAGAGTCACCTGTGTCACTATCTGGCCCAGAGAGCACTGTATCTGGAACAATTCGTGCCCCAGCACAAATCTCACAAGCCTTACCAAGTTTGTCCTCATTAGGACCATTCCCTTCCACATTGGCTGTTTTTGACCTGGAATTGTTGCACCACTGGACAACATCAACCTGCTACACACTATCCCGAAGCCCCGCTGTGCAGACCGTCTGGTGCCGTGAGGCACCTCGCATTGGCTTTGCAACACCACCAGTATTACACACCTTGCTAGCATTTTCCGCGCTCCATCTAGCTCGCTCCGATGAATCCCGACGCGCAGCCTGTCTTGCTCACGCACATATGCACCACAGCACCGCCGTGAGAGAGATGATCCCGCTCGTGTCACTTCTCGCGCGAGAAAATGGCGCAGCGCTTTTCATTTTCTCCTCTCTAACGTGCATGTTCTCCTGCGCCAAGCCATCGGAAGAAGGCGATTTCCTAGTCCTTTTTGAGCGTGGCAATCTATCAGAGTGGGCCCGTCTTTTCCGAGGGACAACAACTGTTATCCACACCGGCGGTGAGGATCTTCGTACCGGGAGGTTGGCACCGATATTCACGAATGGATCTTATCTAGCTGCTGCCTATCGCTCGCCACAGGCCCTTGAGCAAGGCAAGCCGCATGTTTGGGAGTTGCAGCAAATGATATGGAGAGAGTGCGCAGCTGACCCTTCACTTCGGGCTATCTATCAAGAGGCTTTAGATGAACTAGCCCGAACATTGGGTCTAACTATAAGGCCTGGCCCCGTGCGGAGACTCGAGACTGCAGATGTCTTCCGGTGGCTTCTTGATGTCTCCGATGAATATTTAAACCTCTTGCGCCAGGAAGCACCGATTGCACTCATTATATTTGCTCATTGGTGCGCGTCTATTCGTCAGATTGAGTGGATGTGGTGGATGGAAGGTCTAAGCTCACGTCTTATGACACAACTATACTCTGTGTTGGATCCGAAATATCGAGATTGGCTTTCGTGGCCACAGGAGATTATTAATGGGAGCCATGAACAGTTAAATTAAATCAGAATTATAATTACCGGATTATGTCTCGTTACATCTATCGATTTGCCATGTTTGCCATCGGGACTCGCGACTTACCCGAACTGTCTGGACAATGGACATCGATCTATGCGGCCTTCTTCGAGCTTTTCACTACAACATTTCCCAATGTGCCCCGTGGTCGAGAATAAATTCGAATGGAATGAGCAATCACTGTGAATGATCAAGACCTAGAAATATTTCTTGATGAGAGAACCTTACCAAAAGCATATATGGAGGATAATGTATGAAAGTGGATCTGCTAAATCTATTGCTCAGTGATCTGCTCGGAGCCTCTGAGCAGAGTTGAAATGTTTCTCGGTCGTAGACCAGGGGAATGCTAAGGTACCAAGGAGTGGGTGGTTTTGATCTAGTGTACGGCTCCTGGGAACTTGGTTGGGTCTCCATGGCCCATCTTTGGCTGTTGCGGAGGTTCTGACAACCCTGTTTGGCAGGGCAGATCATCATCGCTAGCTAGAGTTTGCTCGTCGTTAAGCTTGGGGTCGCGCACGGCCAAGGCAAACGCCATGAGTGGCACGCAGAGACAGATACCGGTGATAGTGATACGGTGTTGGATGTACTGGTAGGAGCTAACAATAGCCGTGCGTTCAGGTGTACCCATGGGCCATTCGGCGATTGCGGTAAACGGATCCTTGTATGCAGAGATGGCCAGGGCGGGGTTAATACCGCTGAGTTCGGCCTGGAGCGAGGATGGTAGGAGCTGGGTCCAGATTGCTCCGGAGATTGTGTTTCCAATAGCAGACCCGACGTTGTATGAAGCCAGGAACGTGCCTGTCATAACGGCGAGGTGTTCGTGCTTGATGTGAGCCTGCATCGAGGCCTGAGCCGGCCATGAGAATAGTGCGCTGCCAAAACCTAGGAGCACTTGGCCTGCAACGACACCGACCTTGCTGTTGCCAGCAAGGGACCCGCGGTATCGGATTAGGAGGCCGAAGCCGATCATGTATATGCTAGTCCCGCCAATGATAAACATCTTGAGCCGCCGGACCCGGAAGACGATCAAGCCGAGGAGGGGCCCGACTATAACTTGGACGAAGGAAAAGAGAGAGGAGATACGGGTCGCGGCGGTGATATCAAAATCGAAACCCACGACAAGGATCGTATAAAGGTAATTGGCCTGCAGATGGTACCCAATATTCCGAGAAAAGGCAATCCCCAACGGAGCCCAGACAGCTCGGTCTTTCATAAGAGTCATGGAAATCAACGGAGAAGGAGCCCTGCGTTCCCACCAGATAAAGACTGGAACACAAAAGGCGCTAACAACGAGAGGCGCAATAATATGGGCGCTCTTCCATTGGGACTGGGCGCCCCCGGCGATGGTGAGCGGCGCAAGAAGAAGGGCCAAAATGGCGACGAGGAGGATGATGCCGATGATATCGAGCATCCAAAAAAGTTCGACTATAAACGCTGTTGGGCCGAGAGCCTGGAAGGGGGTGCTAGATTTTTCCAAGGTGCCCTCCTTTTTGACCCGCCGGGTGACGGCCCAGAGGCTAATTATGAGAGGAAGTGCAGCAATAGGATAAATGATACACCACATCCCAATGCCCCAATGCCAGTCGGTGACGGAAAGGACGGCATTGGCGATGTTGCCGCTAACCCATGTGGTGATAAGAGCCGGCGCGATAGGAGTGTAGCTGAAGAAAAGGCGTGAGCGGGTCGAAGTGAGGTCGGAAACGATGATTGAGTTAAGAGCTTTAATCATACTCTGGCCGACCTGGAATATAACGCTACCACCGGCATAGGTGGATACGTTCTTTGCGACGGCCTCGATGACAGTACCGACCACGTAGAGGAAGACGGAAAAGGCCACTAGCTCGACTCGACCGAAGATATCGGCGATCTTGGCCGCCGTCGGCTGGGAAGCAGCGGCAACAACGTTGAGAATTACATTGATGGTCGATAAGAGGGAATGCTCGCCAAAGGAGGCAGTGGCATAGGGATTATACGTGCCTCGCAGCAGGTTGTCGAGACCATAAGCGAAACCAATAATGAAGATGCCAGAGAAGATGGCAATTCGTTCCACAACCGTGAGGGAAGAGTACAGGGCCTTCATGCGAGCTGCACCGGGCAACTTGATGTCCCTGGTAGAGGCTTCGGGGCATGGTGGGGAAACTGTACTGGCCTCCACGTTGGAAGACTTGAGGTCCGACATGACAGAATAATATACACTAGACTGTAGACTGAGCCAGGTGATTCCTTGCACACGTAGCTAGAGGAGAATACCAGATATTTTATAGACTCGCCATCTCTACGGCGAAGTTGAATTCCGCTGTGTGTGGTGGGGTTCTAACGGCCGAAATTTGCTAGCAGACTTGGCAGATAGAAAGGCAGTGGGCCTAGCTAAACAAATGATTATGTACATCAACGGTTGATATAGAGCAAGTTATGGAGTATGTCGATAGTATGATTATTCTCTGCCTACGACGTACAGTCATAGGGCTCACGGGGGTAACGCAATTCACAGCCGGCCACACAAGCGGGCTGACCACGTCCCACGTGCCCACCTGCGGACATACTATACAAAACTGCGCTGATATATATGTAGAGAGATTATTGCATCTCATTATTCTCGTTGAAAAGCTTCAAGGTAGTAGGGGTGGCAAACCCCGCCGCTCGGCCGTGTTCGCCGCTCGGCCAACTCCCGACTGTTAGATTATCTACTCCTATAGCTAACAATTAGGGCAAATGGTCTGCTCAATATTGTGCATATTTGAAGGAAGGACAATGAAGGGAAAGAAATGGATAAGAAGGAAAGTCGAAACAGTATACTTTCAATGCTCAAGGAGAATTCATTCTACCCCAGCCCCATATGTACTCTATGAATTTAGAATCGCCTGGCGTGAAAGCCAAGCAGAACTACGCAAGTCGATAATAGGGCGACGTATTAAGTCCTCAGTAAGATAGTATTGAGAAGATGGACCATGCTAATAGTGCAGTCCCCAGCCACTTATTCGGGGTTCTTGCAAGAACTTTCCAGTCATGTTCGGAACAAATGTATACAGTCCTTAACTTACAGAACGATAACAGGCCTTCACGCCACCGTATCGACACCTAAGAGGCCTGAGGGGAGATAGATGACTGTTCGGTCGACCACAAACTCGATGGGATTCTGCAGCCATCACGACTCGTCGTTCTCCTCGGTGCGATTTGTTTTCAGCAAACGCGACTTGAAAAAGACACCATCGGACTCATCCATGGCCCAGTGAGCAGAGATTGTGACCTGGTGGTTGGTGGCTATTGCTGCAAGAAGAACTCGACTGCGAACTGTCCATCAACACAGCCGGCTCAATACGCTGCGTACCATGAGAATGTGGGTGCTGTCCTCCTACCCTACGGTTTAGGGTTCGGGTTAGAGTGACACGTCCCCGGGTTGCTAAGACCGGAGTCACCCCTGGAGAGCAAACTGCCCCCGTATACACTACCCTCGTACGCGCTTCTTGTCTTCACCGCCGCTCGTCTTCCTGTATCCACTCGGTCGTAGTCATTCTACCATCCCTTTAATTGAACTTCCCATGGACTTTCTTCAGATCGGCTTTGAAGGCGGCTTGTTCTCAATGGCTGCCAAGTTCCGGGTCGATATTTCCCGTCTTTTCCTGGGACTGGGGCTTCGACACAACTGCAAGCCCTGTGCAGAATTTGCTGATTGGTAGTCTCCCAACTGAATCACGACTTCGTGCCTCCGTGCCACAGAGCTGCTGCTCCAAAACCCTTAACTGGGCTCTCAGCGTCTGATTTCTCTTGGCCTCGGCCTCGGTGGCTTCGGCATCATCGTGGATTGTTGGCTCAACAATCAACACTGTCACGGACTGTAGCAGGTGGAATAGCCTGCGCCATGTCCGGGGACTACTTGATGTTAGTCTCAAAACTGTATCGTAGGGGTGTTTGGGTAGGTATTTGGATGGGTATTCGGGCAAGGCATTCTTGACAACTCCTTTGGTGTTATGAGACATGGCGTATAGGCCGGGCAATACGGAGGGGACATCCACGGATATGGGGAATGAAATCTCCTAAGCTTACCTGCTCATGCATCAAGTCCCCGCCACGAACACGGCGAAAGAAATGACAATGCTTCCAACAAGTTGGAAGAGGTCACTGTGCCAGTATGCGGCCATGGCCGCAACGAGCACGAAAAAAATAAATAAAGGAATACCGGGAATTGCTGCTAGAAAAGAATGCTTCAGATGGTATGACAAAGATAAGAAGAGAGAAGAAAGAAAGAAAGAGAATAGAAAGAAAGAGAAAGAGAAAAGAATAAAAGAGAAAAGAAAAGCCCCAATGTATCAACAACGAGCGTATCTAGCAGCTGTAGGGCCCGGGGGTCATAATCCAACTGTTTCGGGGGGTTGGGATTATCTCCAGCGGAAAATGGTTCACTGAGGTTCCGCTCTAATTCTGATCGCGGCAGCTACACCTGCGGCGGCCCTCGGCCAATGGATGCTTGGTGGCAAGTTGACTCCCCGTTATCCAAGTCAGACACCGTCTGATATGCATCACCACGCCGCTGATATTGTGGCCATAAAATAAGGTGAGAGACGGTTACCAACGAAGCCACGAGAAAGAAATGAGAGACAAGTGAGGGAAATGAAGTGAGGAAAGGGGAGACGAGTGTAGTTTTCTCGGGCACGGCTGCTCCTTCCGGATATAAACCACCTTTCCCTCCTTCACTGTATCCATGGATGTCTTGCTAGATCTGTAAACAAGCCATCGTAGTTTCCTTCGAATCTGATATTGGCGGGGATAAGGTGGTAGTGGTGGGCTACTGGAGGAAACACCGACAGCACGTCAATGTAAGGCAGGCGCGGACGGTGTGGTTTCCCTGAAGTGTCTTTAAATAAAAAAGCTGGAAGTGCAAAACAGGTAAGTCGTCTCAAACGGAAGCTCGAAGCCATCTTTTGTATGCTTTAGGGACAGTGAGAACTCTTGTGTAACCAAGGAGAGGAGAAGAGAATAAGAAATGCATTTCTATTCATGCACGAATTTATAGGCCACATAGAAGGTCTGAACTCAGCTAGTGAGCCTGAACAAACAAGCATCAGGCATCTTAACAAGGATAAACGAACGCCACGCGGTGTTGATGCGTCGCCCACTCAGATTGAATTCGGCATAATTTTGTTTGGGCTGAGTGCCTAAAAAGTAATATAAGTTAGTCAGACAGCGAGACACTAAAAACAAAAGGGCTTGTTTTTTGTCAATATTTGAAGTAAGAGAGAGGCTAATGAAGTGGGAAAAAAAATGGACAAAACAGTAGAGTAGGTTCAGAACAATGTACTAACAATACCTTATTGTTTGTAGACTCGATGCAAAACTATCATGAATTCGCCGCAGGTCCGCGATAGTTCACTTCGTATGTTTTGAAAGGCGAGCCAAAGAAGAAAGGCGCCTTTTCTCCAGGTCGACGTCTTAATTCTTCTTCTCGTTTTCGAACTCGTCGACCGTGTTCTTTACTCCGGCGCTTCCTCGCCTTCCGCTGCTTTCGCTTTTCTGACATGGTTGAAACTTTGCCAAATATATCCCTTAACCAGCCCATGATCTGTTATCTTTGGGCACTTCGACTGATTTCCAGCAGATTGTCAGCCGAGTGATGAATAAGGTCGTGTCACCAAGAGGGTGTCGATGCAGATGTTTAAAAAGAATCAGGACTCACTTCGAAGAGTAGACTGCAGATCCGGGCGGCACAACGGTATCTCGATGTATTGTGCTAATGTGAGTCTGGGGCTCACCATGGGAATCGAAAGGAAGAAGTTCGCTGGGCTCTACGCATGTCTGGGGTCTTCGAGCTAACCTATTTGGGAGACCGCTCAGCCTTCCCAGGTATAGTCCTAAACAGAGAGATACTTAAGTGGCTATACCTTCTTGTTTGTTACATTTGTTCGTTCAAAATGCTGTAGACTGTCAGTGATAGGTAAACCTTCCTTGTAAAGGTGCCGGGAGTTGTGATCACCGATCTAGAGCCCCCTTAGCACGAGTAGCAAATTGATTAATGCATTTTACCTGCAGTACTCCGGTACTGTTACGGCCCCCGGCCACCATACCCTACATATGTATGGCCCCAAAGATCGTCAAGAAAATACGTCATTAGTTTCTCGATGAGTCGATAAGTATTGACAAATTACTCCGTCCTCATCATAGATATATACTTTGTGCACCTAGCTTGCCTTGTCGATGTCTGAGTGTTTTGGTCTCCAATATTGCGGATGGGCTGGTAACAGTCATACGGAGGAGGGTAGCCTCTTTTGCATTACTGATACCAAAGTAGATCCCAACGGAGCTATATAGAGAGACCCACAATTCTAACATACATATGTATCAATCTAGTATTTTAGTGATCCTTTAGCGGTCGGGAAATTCACTAATTAAGTCGGTTGCCGCTGTAGCTTTTATGTTATTCTTTTCTTTTGCCCTTCTCCCATCAACCTGAAGGTTATAAGAGAAGGATCTTTCCAGAAATTTATTGGGATCACAAAGAAATCTCCTGTCCTCTCCAAGATTTCTCGCGAAGCAGATCAAAATCCCGAAAAGGAAAGGGGAAAGCAAACCAAGTATACGTGAGTGTGACACCCAGAAAATTCCATTAAATTTCGAATCGACAGCGTTAACAAGCCATGAAACACATTCAGCAACTGGTCGAGCGCGAGTATACCACACAAGATGGAATCTACAAACCCAGAGACTCACGCGCACACGTCTCCCTCGGATAGGCCCGATTTTGATATTGAGAAATTGCCCGAACAGCCCCAGAAGCGCACTCTCAAAACCAACAAAAGCTACAGGGATGAGTGGAAATATGGTTCCAAGGCACGCGTGGTGAAGTATTATGTCGTGCATATCTGTATAGGCATACTGGTTGGCGGTATTATTGGTGTGGTGGTGGGTCTATGTGTTCGGTATGTTGGTAAATAGTCCTACTAGTAGGGACACATCACAGGTGTTATGTTCGTTCGAGTATATCATGGTATAGATGTAGATATAGTCCGAGGTTCATTGAATCTAACAATAGTATGTATGCAATGCGAGGAAATGCTCATGCAGCATTTAAATTCATAACTCCGATCATCATAATCATTGTAACCATGCAACGAAAAGACGCAAAAGAAAGGAAAAACAGAACAGAACGGGTATACGATGCATGTAATGCGTATCATATGTGGGTGCGATATTCAAAAGCAGAAAAGCCAAGACATCTTTACCTATGGACCTCCCTGACGAATTCAACATGCGAACCAGGAAACAGTCCCGTTCGACCAGCATAGCATCCCCAGAACCAATCGTCGTTGATATTCTCCGACTCGGTGATATGCGCACCGCGCGGGAAAACAAGCTCGTCTTCGACTTCATCTTCTGGGTACCAGGACCACAGAGCGTGAACGACGAGCCCGACACCACCATCAGGCGGGAACCGGCGGAAAGGCAGAATACCCTGGGTCGGAGTTGCGGTGGCACTGGAATGCGGTGGATTCGAGGGATCAGAAGCAGAGACAGTGCTTCCGTTGGTACTGTTCGTGGGGGCAGGCCCGCCGCGCAGACGGGATGCTTTCTTACGGCGCTCGGGGCCGTCCTTCCAGCTCCAGTCACCGGTTCCTAGCTCTGGGGATGCAACGGGGCCGCCGGTTGCTGGGGAGGAAGTTGGTGATTGTAGTTGTGATTGTGCTACGTGCTCGTCTTTCAGGGCGCGGCCACCCACAAGATCGCGGACAATGACGCGGCGCTGGCCTTCTTCGTGGTCTTCAAAGCCGACTACTATCATGCGGTGGCCGGCGAGGCAGCGGCGCCAGCCGTTGTGCCCGTTCTCTTTGTTGATTTTGCCCGTTGCCACGAGTTTGAGGTAACAGTTTGTACAGACGTCGTAGTCACCGCTATTGCATTCCAAGCAATGGTATCGAGTATTTGAGGCTGGGATTGGGTATGTGCAGATATCGCAGTTTGTTGAGAATGAGAGAATTTTGAAGCTCTCGATCTCGGATGATGTGGGGAGGGTATTTGATCCAGCCGGCGGTGGTGTGGTGGATGCTGATGGGGGTGGACTATGGGTAATGCGCCGGATGGGTAACAGGGAGTGGGTGCAGCATCGTCCTTGGTTGACGCAGGAGTTACAGAAACCCCAATCTCCCTCGTTGCACTGGTTGCATTTCCAAAAACAATCGTTTGTCGACGATTGACATGTATCACAGAAGAGACCGCTTTGTAGCCGGCGGACTAGGTTGTCGCTGGTCATTAGTCTTTCTCCGCTCATGGTTTGATGGGCAGTCTCGGAGGGCCGCTGGTATTTGAACCACATTAGCACATGGCCTGGGTCATTAATTTGTATAGGGCGTCGAGTAGACGACGATATGATTCGTTGAAAGGTCGTATGTGCGGATGGACCAAATCCGTTCCATCGAAGACAGCCACGACCCAAGCGGTAACATCGTAGACAAAGGTGGAAGTTTCCTTCCTTGCAACTTGTGCATTTTTTATGTAGATTATATTGGATGTTGTTCTTTCCGCAACGGTCACAGGAGATGGACGGCTCGGGGAATAGTACAGTGGGAGATGCAGGAACATTCGATCGGGACGAAGATGGTCTTGTTCGTCTTTCTGATCGAACTGGAACAAGGGGCGAAGATAATGACGGAAGGCTGTGGTCCGTGGGAGTCGAATGGCGGGATGAATTTGAAGGCGCAGCGCTAGAAGTGGGAGAGTTCATGGCTGATTGCGTCGTGGCCTGTCTAGAAGAGCTTCGTTCTCGTCCTCCGGACACCCATGCTCTAGAGATATTCTGTTCTGACTCTGTGGCCCGTCGCGGCCTGGCTGATGATGATTCTGATCGTAAGCGCCCAGCCTGAGAGACGTGGCGATCCGCAGTGATATCACTCGAGGATCGGGCAGCAGGCCTTATGGCTTCATCTGACGCAGACGCCTGATTTGTTCGGACAGGCGAGGTCCGTCGGCGCCCAGCCACTTGTTCCGAGTTGCGCCTTTGATGGCCTGCGATGCTCGGCCGCGTGGGAGCTGAATCGAACAGATGCGGTCTGGAAACTGGCGGTCGTCTAATATTGTGTTCTCGGGTAGCCGCTGTTGGTTCCGCAGTCCTGTGGGCGGACTCGGACCTCGCATGTGTTCGCGCAGCTCCGTCAGCCTCTTGCCGCTGTTCTCGTCCCTGTTCTTGTCGCTGGCGAGACTGCGATGTTCGCATATGTCTCCGACGGTAAGCCTCCGCGATGCGTTCACTGAGTTCCTCTTCTTGTCTTGGCCCAAGATTATCAAGATTAATATCGTCCAGTAATCCGTCCTCGAGAATTTGCCGCAAGATCTCTGCCTCCATAGTCTCCGCATCAGTTGACAAACTCAGTAATGACCGCAGACTAGATTGATGCTCGACTCGTCGCGTGCGGTCCGAATCATCGGGCCGTAATGTACGTTGCTGCCGCGTCGTATCGTCATCCCTCCGACGCCTTGACCGGCCGTCCTCCGCAGGCCTCTCGGCATTGGTGCTCCTCTCACGCGTCCGCGAAGAGTGGCCCGTCCGCCGGGTCTCGCGCCTAGCTTGTGCCCGGCTTTCGCGTAGACTCAGCTCGCGTACCTCCTCCAGAATGCGTCTATCATCCTCACCATCCTCTTCCGCGCTCTCTCCGCCCGAAGGAAGTGCCGGAAATACCGACTCGCCCTGTGTGTATCTCGTAGCTATTTCTGCCTTTTCATCTGTCGCTCTGGCACGATCTGGGTGCGCGCTCAGGACCATGTCCAGCAAGGTCGTGACGGTGGCATTTGGGCGGGTGTCGCGCACTTCAGCGCGACAAGATGGGCAGGTGAATCGGGGCGAGGCACGGGAGCGACGCGACCCTTGTGCGGAGAACCATTCTTTCACGCAGGATCCGCAGAACGTGTGGAGGCAGTCGAGGAGAGTGAGGGGCTGGTAGAGGAGTTCGGTACAAATCTGGGGCAAAGAGCGGTGTTAGAAAACGTAAGGGGCGGAATGGACAAGTACATACCGAGCATACCAGCTCTTTTTCAAGGTCCGCCAATCCGGAACTTTGTACTTGAGACATGAGCAGGTTTTGGAGAGGTCCCCGTAAACAAGTAAACAGAGGTGAAGACCAAGGATCGTAAATGTGGGAGAAGTTGGCTCCACCAATGGCTGATCTCCCGCTTACAGCTTCACCTTCTTCAACTTCAACGCTTCAACTTCAACTTCAACTTCCTCTCTTTCGGGCTTTGAATCTGGACTGCCTTGAGAGAATTTTCTCTTGTACCACTGTTACAGAGTGGTTCTCGACACCGGGTAGATTTCTGCACACCCGATGAAACTTGATGAAAATGGTTGAACATATCACTGTGGGTGGATGAAAGATGGAAGATGGAAGATGGTCGATGGTTCCATCATCAGATCTTCTTTGGAAGGTTGCGAGCCTTAGGCGGAAAATGGGCTCAGCTGAGGTTTCAGGAGAATACATATATCTAAACATGCCATGCAATTTCTTTGAAGATTCCCGGTTTGAATTTCAAATTGGAATGATGTGCCATAGAGCGGAAGAATATCAGCAAACACATTATCTTGCTGTATAACAACGGCCAGATTTAATTGATCATCAGCAACTACACTGCGATCCCTCAGTATCCGGTCTTGACCATCAAGTTCCAAAGTGTGGTCACTCGGCTGCGAGATCTCACATAAAAGGCAGTCCCTACCGCAGGATATATGCCGAACAAAGGCATCGTGTCAAAGAAGCCCAGGTAGGCAGAATAAATCTATATGCCATTTTTGTCTTGTATACAAAAGGCCAAGCGGTCAACGGAATGATATTCAAATCATCCGATACCGGTCATTCCAAGGCCATGAGCATGTTCTAAACCAGTCTATAGGGATCTGTCCTATTCTTCGCCATCTCCCCGACAAAACCACCCATTCGCCGACGCAGTGGTGGCGGCAAAGATGCAGGACACGTCCCTCAACGCCATGGAAGCACAACACGCACGGTCCATGGGCAGAGATAGAGGTACCTCCCAGTGACAATGCAATACAAGTCCGAGCACCGGTCCCTGAGCAGACCAGGCCGGCCGAGAAGAAAGAGTTTCAGTCGAGTTTTAGTATAGTCCTTAGCTCGCCACATTAGGCGGGATGGTGGAGGGATGATGGCCCCAGCGAGGGAAAAAAAAAAAAGGCGGATACAGAAAAGTCTTTCTAGACCTCGCCTCTCAGGTGGCGGACATTGCGGGCAGTTTCCATTATTCCTATGGGTTGATCTGGCTATCACAGGTAGCGGTGAGGGGGTGGCTGCGAGAAAGCGAAGAATTGACTTTGAAATGCCATTTCCTCGGAGTCTGAGCACAACTGTTGTGAGGCCGGAACGTCGGAACTAGACACCTGACATTATGTGTCATGTGAGGGAAGGGCGGAACTTTGTGTATCTCTGTTTTGCCTTTTGTCTCAGTGTGCATACGACATCGCGTGGGAAATAGGCGCTGATGCTGTCTTTCCTCACTGATCTCCCGGTGCGAGATGCATGTTGTGATCATCTGCGTCGAAGTGTGGGGAAGGTCTGTGTCAAGGGAGCTCGGCTTGTAGGGCCCGTCACTGGCTCCCGCTGTGGCTTGAGGATATGGGAGAGCATAGCTTCGGAGACCTTGGATGACAGGAACAGCAGGGGATCTATTCGTCAGGTAGTGTTATCAGTTGAGGGGCTTGATTTGCTGTCCTTGTCTCGTGATAATGTCTGCATTGTCAGCTGTTTACTGGAAAGGCATAAAACACAACCTCGGAAGAGTATCAGATGTAAGGTGATAATGTCGCTCGGACAGTATGAGGTGGCAGATGCACCCCGCAATTGGGGGGCGCAGGGCGACAAGCCCAAATATACTCATCTCCGCAGATAGCGATATCCGTTGAATCCGAGAACATTGTTAGGTTACTCTGTTCTGTGTTCAGGCAATATGCTAAAGTACCAAGTCTTTGGTTTACTTACATAGGTGGTCTGGTATAAGAATAGTCGGCTTATGCCTCTGTTCCAGACATGGGATTTTAATAATATAAAAAGCTACCCGCGGACATAGCCAGGTCGATAGATACGTATATTAGAATGATAATTTTTGTCTTTTGGATGTCTTCTTTGTAGAGGGAAGGATGAAAATAATTGGCCTACAAAACCACGTTTACATGCATAATCTTTGATAGCAAACAAGAAAGAGTAATAACCTTGGAAATGATCACCCTAGCAGCGATCATTATTACTCAGATACCCCTAGACCCTCTTCAACCCCACAGAGGGACGAGCTCAATCCCCAGGGATTCTACCCCGCATCCATGGATCCTTATCTCTGTATGTAATCCAACCATGGAAACATTTGAACATTGACTGTATCTCAATAGGCGGGAAATGAGGGCCGAATTCCCGACTTACAGGGCTTTACGGGCGTTAATTCTCGTATCAAAAATGGGCGTTCTATAATGCTGACGACGGAAAACGCCTCTCCCGTGTGGAATGATAACGGGGACCCCCAAATCAGCCAATCCTCTAGCTCGGGCGTATTATGGCGGTTCGAGATAGCCGAATGCTATCCATGGATATTTTTCTATTTGTGGCTTGACTTTTAGGTAATCTATCTGCCATCCGGGTTAACCTTGGAAGATCGCCATTTTTATATAAAGAGTGGATTGAGTCAGGATAATAATAACAACTTAGCCGAGAGCAATATCAATTGAAGATTTTCAGAGATTTGATTAACCTCTCAAATCCCAACTTGTCAGACGAATTGACAATCAACCCCATGCCTGCAACTAGCAAATGTGGAGATAAAACCCCGCGACTTCGGGGTACACCTGCAAGTTGCACATCATTTTCCCCAGAGCAAGCCAACAAAACCATATATGGATACTTCCAAGCGCAAAGTGTAAACATGTCAACATGAAACCCCTGAGATAAACCCACATCCAACAGCCCAGAACAACGACCACGCACTGACCCCGTCCGTCATGCATAGCAATTGTCAGTTCGCCGCACTAATGCAGCGCCTTATGCACGGCCGCGCAGGCTAATCAAGCTATCCATGCCCCACTATCACCGCACCGTCGAGTCGTAGCTCCGGGATCGCGCGCACTGACTACCGCGCCTCCGTTCTGGCCAGTGGTCGAACTTGGTGGGGGTTGCTTTGACGCTGGCCCTTTCTCGCAATGCTATGCATAAGCGTGGGGCAAGCCAAGGTATACATACAATATACTTACTTCGAGTGAGGCTACTAGTTTGTCGGTAGTATAGGTGGCTGTTTGAAGTATATATTAGGTACATTTTTCTATAGAGTTTTTATCACATATGCACGACTAACGTTCCCAAGGCCCGTGCTGTCCCTCGACTTAGTACGTATCATGTATACCACCCAGCCGATGTAGACCGAATCGACTAAAGCGGCTGTCCCTGATCGCCTGGCCGTCTTGCCAGTGGTTGGTTGATGCCAAGATGTACAAGGTGGTGCCACTTCCTCAACAATCTTTTTTTTTGAGATACAACGTCCGGGATACAGATGCCCCTTGGGAACGTGTGTGGTCGGCAGGGATGTTAGAAGGTCAGGTGCTCGGTGTAGTGCATTGCAGAAGAGGCGCGCCTAGGATTTACGTGACGTGCAACACTGCATAGTCAGCCCATATGCGCTGCTTGCGTGCGATTTTCTTATTCTTGAGCTATCAGTAGCTGCGGGCCAATCATCGTTGAAGGTTCTATCTTGTGTCATAAATATGAATAGCGCAGGGTTGAAACGGGTTGAAACGCCTATGCTGTACAACTCGTGATTAATTGAAATGTTTGGCTGATCACAATGTTCCAATTGTATGGAGGTCTAATTGTCGTATTGAGGTCTAATCGGAATGTTGGATACACATCTTCCATCGGGTGTATACTCTGGACGATTGGACGATTGGGATATCTGGGCAGATTCTAGTTCTACAACCATAGTGCAGCGAACCGCCATATCCCATTGGCAGATCTAGACCTAATCATTGCCAACCCGACGCGAATCCGGGGGTATAGCTCGCGGGGTAAGAAGCCTTGGGGATCAGAACGCAAGTCAGCATCGCCCGGATCCCGCCTGGGGTCCGCATCAACTCCGAGTTCGCAAAGTTAGGTATGTACCATGAACGCAAGAGCTGACGCCAGCCGTATCCACGCGGGGTAGCTAGAGCTCTCTAGGAAACGCGCTGCCCCTCTCTCATTTCACTGATGCATACATACTATACTATTCACGCTTCATTTCCTTTGGTCGTTCTTGGCAAGCAGCGACTGCAGCCTGCACAGGCCGCTGCCCAAAGCGGCGGCGTGTTTTATCACCAAGTTGAAGCAGGGGAAGCTTATTCTTAGCAGTATCGGGTCAAATTGCGCGAGATGATTCTCGGAACTGAGCCGCCGATGGAGAGCTCGGTCGATGGCGCAGAGAGTCTGAGTTCAGCCACGCTAACGCCCTCGGGGTGAGTTGCAGTTTGGAATTGTCGCCAGCGAGAGAAGGCGAATTTCAAGGAGCACATCACTCCGAGTACATTCGAGTACATTACTCCGCCTGTTGAAAATGTCTCAATATGTACAGGTTGAAATTGCAAATTGCAAGATGAGATCGCATCTGGGCGATCATTTTTGAAAGTAGATCAGCAAAGGGCTCGCAATCCGTCAGAAAGTAAAATCCTAAGGCTGAACTCTGTAATCTCAAGGTTCATATGTGAACACTGTATACTTCTGATAGGTTCTGATCTGACCGCTTCGACGCTTCGACCCTACAATACTTTCTACCTACAACATAGGTATTATTCAAGGGTTGCGGGTTATAACCTAATTCGGGTTTCCCATGGACCGGACAACCGATGGAGGGGTTCTCAAATTTCGGGATCAAATTAGAAAAAAGCAAAGAAAAGATAAAAAAAGCAAAAACAAAAAGCGCACGGAAGTTTCCAGGGTCTCGGCAAGAAGGGGCTAAACGGACGTTATCGCCCTGCAGCTCGGAATGTTGCGACCTTGCCGCTCACCGAGACGTTCATATTGGCAATTTGAGGATCCCATCAGAACTGTATCGGGTACGCCCGTAGGCTACTCCGTAGATTATCCACCTGCGCACATTCAGTCCGTGGATACCAGGAGTTTTGCGGGAGAACTCCATCCTGAAAAGGAGGGGTTACAAACCTGGAGATCAACAACCATGAGGTTGTGCAGATGAGTTCGAGACTGTCGAACGGTTACGAGTCGAGACTCTGGCCGGGTACCCACCATGCGCCATTGGGGGGCGCTTCAGGGTTTCGCCAATCTCGTGGCATTTCCGAGGAGATCATTATTAAAATAAAACACCTCGAATCTATAACGCCAAAGCCATAACGCCATCTGAAAGCCACCTGTTTTGTTGGGATAGTTCAATGAATAGAGTGGCAAAAGAGGAAAATTCTGCGCCGCTAATACTTTGGAACAAAGGGGTTGGTGGTCCGGGCGTGGGCGTCTATACTCCGTACAAGAGCTCGGGAAGGCTTGCTTGGAAATAACATTTCAAAAAAAGAACATTATAATAATAATCACTTGTATGACACTTTATTGGTGAGACATGGAGATGAGAGTCGCCGTGGGGGCTGAAGGGATCGTGAAACGCCAAAAACCAATTCAGATATTGGCCTCGTCACTAGGAATTCCACAGCTAAGTCAATGATTAGAGCAATTAATTTAATTAATGCAACTTATACTTCCAAGCTCAGCGAGCATGCCACTTCAACTCTACACCTACGTATGTTGAAGATTGTAGGATCAAAAGAATAGTGGAATATGCATCATGATACTTCCAAGACTTGGAATTATTAAATGTCTTGGAGTACAAAAAAAAAAAGTTGGTTGATATGCTGCACGAGCGACCGGGGGTCCAGACCTCCCGCCAAGTGGACGAAAACCAGGCATCTGGGGACTATCAAATGCACGTTGACATCATGGACTATCCGCGTGGAATTACCACGACCCTATATATTATATTATTTATTGTACGGAGTATACATATGAGAAGTCGTGATTTCGGATCTGCATTCGGACATTGGAATTCCTTCTGGGGAAGTCGTGATCGATTCGTGATTTCTTCAGTTATTACACTAATCCGATTGGAAATCATCCGACTAGAATAATCTCAAACCCATATCTCTATATCTCCATATCTTCATACTCCATACTCCATTCTCTCGGACCGGCTTTTTGCGGCACCCTTGGTGGAGCCCTGGAGTGCATGTTTATGGGTAGAGATCCACCGAACTCCGGAGTACAGCACAAGTGCACTTACAATGACCGAGACTATATTCAAATGCACCATGCACGTCACAGTAGGATTCCATACATAAACTGGACAACGACAATTTCGAAATTCTTGTTCTCGGTTTGATATCTACGTAGTTGGACCATGGTCGTGTAGCGGGAAAGGAAACCTACTGTCGTTCCACCGCCGATAACATGTTCATTTGTAGAGTACCGTATCCGGAAGTGTTGGAAAGTCTCGATAACAGAGTATGATCGAGTTAATTTACATTCTAGACACTATTTTCCCACTTTCTTATTTCGCTATCTATTTCCTTGTCTAGTATTTACAATGTAATCCGACCGGAGACAACTCCAGAGTAACTTCAACCCCTTTGGCACTTCCCCCAGGATTTCATATCGCATATGCTGGAACACGGTGTAGTTGAGGTGTGCCGAAGGGGAGGGATGAGTGGATATTATGCTTCTAGCACTTGCATGGCGCAATGTATCCCTAGTTACCTGTGCGCGCCAAACGAAAAAAAAAAAAAGTTCGACTCTTCTACCTGCCACAGGCTAGGAGAATCTGGGTCAAACAGGTTTTGGCTGGGCCGATCCATAAATCTCGACCAATCTTTGGACCACGGGGCCTCACTAGTCAATTGATAAGGGAAGATCAGTGTACCACACACCGATTCTCCATGGCACTGGGAAAAGGTTGGATAAACGATAAGAGTATATATTTTTTTCGAAAGACGCATTTTGATGTTTTGGGGATAATGATGGGTGTTACAAAATGATATGCGTCAGGTCAAAAACAGGGAACACAGTTGAAGCAAAGTTAGTGTACGGAGTACATGGACCTCTTTAGCGCCTGTGGGCTGATGGAGGTCTGTAGTCCGCTAATTGTGACACTAGGGGGAACGGCCAGTGCATTATAGTGAGCTCGCAAAGTGTAGGATCGTCCAACGTTCTCGTGCGAATAGACCACATGTCGGAGAATTTGAAAAAAATCAATGGGAGAGGGGGGAATAGCAGATGGTGAGATCAATTAAAGAAGTCCACGGGTATATTCGAGGATATCAACTGCAATCAGATTGACAATTGACAATGGAATGTAGAAATAGAAATAGGTAAATGATAAAGTCTAGTAAAAAGAAATAGAAAAAGAAAATAGGAAAAAAAGACCTAGAAAAAAAAAAAAAAAAAAAAAACCTGGAAGTATCCCCCACCTATACGGGACGCACTGACCTTGGTGGTATCGAAGCGGAGTCTATGCAAAGCAGACGCACCTTGACAATAATTTTTATGGCATTATCTTTATCTACTTTTTATTTTAGGATTTAGGATTTAGAATTTCTCGCAAAAAGCTATAATACCGGATTTTATCTCTTTTCTGGTGAATATTTTCTTTACATCTCCCATCCCGGCTTATCTTCTCTCAACGGTCATAGCGGGAATGGCTGCTTGATTTGCCACTATAACTTCCAAGGTACCTTTAAATCACCTCTCTCGCCCTTGATCGCGGCTGTGCCGGGAGCTTGACAATTTTTTTTTCCTTTCTTTTTTATATTGTACATCTTGTCTCTTCTCTGTACTATTTTAAACGATTCCTTTTGCCGATACTTTTGGCTAATACCTCGCCACTCGATGTTCATGCTTCACGGTATTGATAAGCTCTCTCCTTCCCTCAAACCCCAAACCCAATTCCCTTCAAAGTTATCTCGTTCCGTGAAACCTTGACTTTTCCACTGGCACCTTCCTCAAGTGTCACCCCACTCCCCTTTTATTCCCTGATGAAATGGCATGTCGTCTTTCCTCGCCTCTTGCCACTCCTTCACCTTTGCCACAATACGGAATTTAATGAACCCTTACTGACGGCCAGAGCTACTTCAGACACTTTATTGTGATTGAAACATTGGACACCCGCGAGTCTTTACTATCTACCTTTCATCCCCTTCTTGTGTTGAGACACACAAGTCGGCCGGATGCCATACACTGCGCCGTTGAAGACGTTGCTCTCCGCGCAGCACATTGAATACTCCCAACCAACCGAGCCTTCTGAGCGGCCCGGTTTGGCTCGCTCCTCGTCGGGACGGGCTCAGAATTCCCGTTCATATTCCTCTACCTCATATACCCGTCGTCATCGGAGGAGTCCTTCGAACAGCAAACCGACAGTGCATTCCACTCCAGAATCCCCGGCCCGGGCTTCCCCCTCTATCGATCCACATGCCAGTCTCCGTCAGTCCCCACCGCCGATAAGCAATGCTATCATCCCTCCCGGGGCGGTAATCTCCCCCCTGAGTCTGGACCGAACTCAAGTGATGAAGAATCACCACACCGGAGTGGTGAGGGTGTCAAGTTTGACGAGCTGGAGGCTGCCGTTCGATCAATCAAATTGAGGCGGGAGAGCTCACCGGAAAGAATGGATTCATCAGACCACCCAGAAATGCCGGCTCGGCCCTCATCAAGTGCGCCGTCAACCACTGAGGCAAAGCCCACTCGTCCCAAGCTCCCCCCACCTACCATTATCCAAAGAAGCTCGCAAGATTACTCATTCTCGATCATCCACTGAAACCGCCATCGAGTTGGCTCGTGAATCGGCACTGACTAGCTCGCCCGAAGGAAGTGACGTGGAGATGCCGTGCAAGCCCCCAATGGTCCGTAAGAAGTCAGGTGAGCTTGTTCGACCTGCCCTGCGCCCTTCTTTGGCACGGCGACGACCATCCAGCATGCCTGGTACTCCCGTCTATTCCAAAGCGGTGCACTTTGACTCCCACTTGGAACATATCCGTCACTTCCTCCAGCTGGACAGACCATTGGCTGTCAGCACAGAAACATCACCAGTTGAAAACCACGACACCGAGGCCGAGTTTCCCTTTGGCGGTCCATCGTGGGAATGGGAGATCAAGCTCGCCAATTGGCCCAAGGATATCTCGTCACGTGCGACTTGTCCGGTCCGCCTCGAGCGATTGTTCTTGTCGACTGATAAGAGCACTTTGATCGGCACTGTGGCAGTGGCGAATCTTGCTTTCCACAAGAATGTGACCGCTCGTTTCACACTGGATTATTGGAGGACTACCTCGGAGGTTGCAGCGGCATACTGCCACGATGTTCGCCGCCAGCAAGCTGCCGATGGGTTCGATCGCTTTTCGTTCGATCTCAAGCTGGATGATCAGGCCAATCTGGAGACCAAGACCATGTTTATGTGCATCCGCTATAACGTGGATGGACAGGAATATTGGGATAACAATGATTCGGTGAACTATCAGGTTGATTTCCACAAGGTGCCCAAGAACCCTACGAGCAAGCCTCCAAGTGGCGGATCTCGCCCTGCTCTTCCGCGCAGCCGATCCTTCACCAGCTCTCATACCGCTCGACCGCAATCCATGCCGCCTAACTATGATTTCCCCGATGTCAGCGATAAGACGCCATTCACGAATCCTTTCGATGATGCGAATGGTGCGCCCTTGGCCCGTAAGCCCTCGGATGACATCGATACGGTCGCGCCGCCCAAACGCCGTGAAAACTCCAACCGCCAGGCATTTGGGAATCGGTACGACTTCGGAGCGTCGCTGTCTGCTGCTATGCGGTCAAAGGCGCCTCTAGATCGGACCGCTCTGACTGCCCGCGCGAAATCTGGGGAGACCGTGGCGCCGGAGACCAAACCCACCAAGAAAGCCCCCAGTTTTGGGCAGGGCCATGGTTCTGCAGTGAGCGATAATTTCCGCACCGGAGGTCGTGTGGGAGATCTAAAACCGTCCTCTTTGGTATCTAGCAAGCCACAGCTCGAGTCTTCCGTGTACCAGGAGTTGGTCGATAAGTACTGCTTTGTAAGTTTCTCAACAGCAAATCGCACCATCACAGCCAACTAACTCTCATAGTATGGGTCTCCGCAAGGATCGAACCTGAAGGCACACCCATCGATCTCGAGCGGTCGTGAAGGCGAGGCCCCAAAGCATATCTCTGCCCCAGCCTGTTCTTCGCCGCCGCTGTCTCCTCGGTCTCCTGCTCCTCTCCGGGCTCCTGTCGCCGAAGCACCCCGTGCTTCTGTTAGCCCACGCGCCTCTCCGCTGCCCTCAGCCTCACCCCTGGCCTTTCGCCATTCTTTCCACCACAATTTCATGAATGATCCTCACTCTCCTACGGTCATTAGAGGGTGAGTAACATAGATTGTTCTATGACAGCGTCCAACCTGGCTATGATCCTCCCGGTCGGCCTTTGAAGCATATCGTTGACGACTGTCGTGAAGGGCATCTGGTAGTCCTTGTGTGGAAATGGACAGATCTGTTGGCCCAATTTCGACCCCTTTGACCCCAGCGCGTATCTGTGCACTTTGATGGATGGATTTCTTTTGTCTTTTTGACTCCCTCTCAACATTACCTGCTCTATTCGCCAGTGGTTTCGACCAGCAGCACATGTGAGCGATTGTCTCTGCGATGCCTAATAAACCGCGGACGTTTCGTTGAATCATTCGTTGCGGCTCGTTACCACCAGTCGTCGGCCCAATTTATCGACGCGCCCGTCCCAGCTGTTGTCTGGTGCGGTCATTCTCTTTTTTTGTTTACCTCTGTGTGCTGCTTTGGCCACGCATGATGACGCTACGATTTCTTTTCCGAGGCCTTTTTCGATTCTTTGCTGTTCTTTCTTGGATGGCCCTTCCTTTTCAACGCAAAAAGTTTTTAGTATGCCTGCCTCCGCTCTTGATCTCGATGCATTGACTTTATGGGTTTTTCTTTTTTGATTGCATGGTGTTCTGGCGTTTTCTCTTTGCTGTGTTTTTTTTTCCGCTTGTTATTCCGGTTTCAGTTCCACTACAGTCTAACTTTCTGGTTGGACGTGGACAGGGGATGCGAAGACGTGAGGACGCGAAGATAGTGATACATGAATGCCTACTATATAGGCAACGCGACATAGTTTTGAAATGACACGAGACATGATGAACGCGACCAACTGGATCTTCTTTTGTCACTCGTAGCTTGTTAGGATAACTTCTAAAACATAAATTATTTTCCCGCTACTCAATGAAAATGCTAGTCACGCGTTGAAAAGCTAAGGAGTAGAAAAGAAGTAACTCACATTCATTCGAGTGGTGAAGTCTTGGGGTATACTTCCAGATTGGGCTAGCGCCACCCCTATCTTATCGTCACGTGATCAGTATCAATGTCGCTGGACGCAGGAAAATGCGGGTTCGCCGATGCCTGGTAGACGTGCTGGAAACCGACCCTTCATAACGCCCTTTTTCTTTCCCCGCCGCCCGCCAATCACCGCCGCATTGCAGAATGGATAAATCTCTCGCTTACCTAAAATACCTACTTTCCGGATCACGCGTAATCGGCTTTCCTATTTAAACTGCCTTCCCCCTCCATGTAGTGATTTTCTTATTTTACCCCCCTCTCTTATCCTCAACGCCAGCCCATTAAACGCGTGTTTTTCATCGTTTATCAACACCACAGATCTCGATTCATCTACATTTCTAAAGACTTTCAATTCTTCATATCTGAAACTATGTCTGGACGTAAGTATTACTATTTTTTCCACGTGTTGTTGTCACTACATACCCCCATCTGTTTGTTGTCGGCGTGGTGAAGTTCCCAAAATAAGAACTGGTGATGCCCCTTTCGGCACGTGATTCATGCCTCAGGCACCAACTGCCTCCCGCCTTTCCTAATTAGGAAAGGCCGTTCGCCTTTACGCATCTTAACACAACCTCCAATCACCCTCAACTCCCTATACTCCCCTTCTCTTCATCCTGTTTTATATTATACTTCCACATACCAAGCCCTACTACCATCCCACAATTCCTCGAGCAATAACTAACAAACCAAAACAGGCGGCAAAGGCGGAAAGGGTCTCGGCAAAGGCGGTGCCAAGCGCCACCGCAAGATCTTGCGTGACAACATCCAGGGAATCACCAAGCCGGCTATCCGCCGTCTCGCCCGTCGTGGCGGTGTCAAGCGTATCTCCGCCATGATCTACGAGGAGACTCGCGGTGTCCTCAAGTCCTTCCTTGAGTCCGTCATCCGTGACGCTGTCACCTACACCGAGCACGCAAAGCGTAAGACCGTCACTTCCCTCGACGTCGTCTACGCCCTCAAGCGCCAGGGCCGTACCCTCTACGGTTTCGGTGGTTAGATTTGTCTTGCGACATTCATGGTCTTGAGCGAATTACTGCTCACTCACTTCGTGTGAGCTGCTGTGCCGGTCGGAGGCTTTCACTACTTAATGCGCTACGGTGTGATGGGTTTCTTCTTTTCTGCGTCAAATGGTTATGGGGTTTAGGGAATTTCTTTGGGACTGCTTTTTTGCCCTCCGAGGGTTGGGATCGACTTTTCTTTTCGTGTCAAGGGCCATCGTCCTTCAACTAGTTGCTGATAGGCTCTCGGATTGACTCCATGGAGTTCAATACAACGTCTGCTATCAATCATGTGGTCTTTGACGTAATTTGTATTTTGCCGTAGCAAATAATTTTAGTAGTTGAGGTAGTAGACTGGTTATGTATGCTGTCTTGAATAAATGACCGTCTTCCTACCCGGAACGGCGGAGAATATTCCCCCGCACCTGACTTTAGACTCCACTTCCAGCAGGCTTCACCGATAACACAATTGGATTTTCCCTCCTCATTACAAAGTGAACTCGGCCTCTTGAGCAGAATGTCTGTTAGCATCCCACCAGTCGTTGCAAATATGGTTTCACCTTTAGTAAAAGGAAGGTTTTTCTTACCTCAGGAGACTGCCCGTCATGCCGCGACCATTCTGGGATTCCCATCCAAAGCCTCCATCGCCTCGACATACTACGAAAGTGCATGTGTCGACATTGCTAGTTTGGCTTCTGTCATCTCGGCACATGAGCCAGTTCGACTATATGCGCGACCCGAAGATGTCCAGAAAGCAAAGTCAATGATTAGCCAAGCTATTACAAAATATCCGAGTGACACCTCCAATATCTCTGTCATTCCGTTCCTCACAAATCACCTCTGGGTCCGCGATACAGGCCCTGTCTATGTACGTGGCGTTGGCGAATATATCCATCAACGCTTTGCAATCAACTTCCGTTTCAGTGAATGGGGAAGAAAACATGAGCTTGGCGCCCACGACCGGGCTTCGGATGGGCTTGACTGGCCTGTGATGACGCCTGAACAGATCGAAGAAAACAGAAGCTTTGCCCGCAGGGTTATCGAATCTGATGTTCTCCCGTCTCGGGTGACTCAAGTGGAATCACAGATTTGTTTGGAAGGTGGTGCACTAGTTGTCGATGGCGAAGGCACACTTCTGGCCACTGAAAGCAGCATCATCAATGAAAATCGCAACCCAGGTCTCTCGAAGACCGCGATTGAGACAGAGCTGCGTCGTCTGCTAGGGGTTGAGAAAATCATCTGGTTTCCTGGCAGAAAAGATCTGGATGTTACTGATGTCCATGTTGACGCTGAAGTCAACTTTGTCCGGCCCGGAGTTGTTGTCCTCTCGCGGCCCCATTCTAGCGTGCCTAAGGAATGGGTGGAGGTTTATGAAGAGATCAAGGACATTCTGGGGAAGTCAGTCGATGCGAAGGGTCGCCCTTTCGAGGTACACGTAGTAGACGAGCCGAACCCCAACATCTTCGGGGTCTTGTCTTACGATGAACCAGCGACGAACTACGTGAATTTCTATTTCGTCAATGGAGGGCTTATTCTTCCCCAGTTCGGTGATACTCGGCGAGATCAAGAGGCCCTGGTACTATTTCAAAAGCTGTGCTCTGATCGCGTGATTCGGCCTGTGTTTTTGTCTGCGCTTCCATTGGCTGGGGGTGTGATTCACTGCGCAACCCAACCGATACTTTTGGTGGACGAGGAATAGTACCACACGCATTGTGAAATAATGACATGCTCTTAACCCATTATCTCTATTACAGACCATAAAACCCTGGATCTTAAATGAGATCTATGGATCTGATCGTAATACCGGAATAGGAAGTTAATACGCCGATCAAAACGGGAAATCTTGGGGCGAGCGGGGAAATCGGGCGATCTTGCCGGCCCCCGGGGACCTCCCCGAATTCATACAACCATTGACATCCATTTTGGAAACTGAGCAGACTGCTTCCAGTCTACTCCACGGCTCGCGATATATTGCTATTTATATTCGCGGATTCGCGCTAGAATTATGGGGAAGGCCTGCGACTATTGCAACTTGAGTCAAGAGAAAGAGAAACGCACTGCAGGTGCTAGTCCGACATGCATCAGATGTAGTCGTCTAAAGACTGGCTCTACCGCTCTTCATACAAAGCGCATGAGATACCGTACTTCTGCGAAACACTTCCCACATGAGGATTTGCGGGTTTCCACTGTGGTGTCGCGACAGCGCGCCAAGTTCAAAAAAAGCGAGAGCCATGCCTCATCTTCCTCATCCAGTTCGGGCTCCTCTTGCAGCTCGCCTCCCAAAGATGACGAATCTTGGACACCAGACAGCACCGATATCAGGATAATATCGCCAGAGAAATTACTCGCCGCCCCCGCCAACTTCGAAACGATATCAGATGCGTTGCGCACCGTTGGGGATTCGGAACAATTCTCAGTTACACATGCACCATTCGTATTTGGACATAGTTTTCTTCCGGGATTCCAAAAGACTATTTATGCTGTTTTGCAACTATCCGCCCCGATCCTGATTGAAGGATACCTGGCCTATCTTGGACTGATGACAAATTACCAAAATTCCCCTGTTATACGCCGGAGCCCGCCCGATATGTCTAGGGCAGCGAAGGGATTGCAGCGTCTGAGAAGTGTGGAAATCACAAACGATTACGACGCAGCCTGCACTCTCTTCCTGGGCCAGAAAATGTACGTGTTCGATGTACTCACGGCAACATACTCTAGTACAGCCCACACTATCGTTCGGAGCTCCCTCATTTCGACCAAAGCATGGCTTCCCAGAATGGTGCAAATCCCAATGATGGACATAATAACCATGGCCCCGATTCTGATAGACACGGTCGAGTGTTTAATACACCGTGAGATCCCTATAATACGACTCGATCCCCAGCGTCGCGTCATCGTTGACCGCTGTCTTGGTCTTTGCGCAACACTCCTTCCTCATCTTTACGACATCTGCGAGTGTAGTAATACGTTGAAGAGAGAAACTCCTGCTGTCGGGTCTGAATCACACTCAGCCATTCATGACCGACTAGATGAAATAGAACAGGCGATCCGACGCTGGCGGCCCCGAACCCCCACCGGACTGTTCGACACTTACGGCCAGTATCCGGTTCTAGCAATGGTGACACAAGCAAATGTGTATCGTCTGGCAGCTTTATTAATCCTCCATCGGCTGCGATATCCGCTAGGAGTCGAGGATGGGCCAGCGTGGACACTTGCAAATGGAATATTTTCTGAGTTGTCGTTCTTTGCCAAATTGGCGGTCAATGTAAAGGAATCTAGCGCGCTGCCTGTGGTGTTTCCTTTGACGTTGGCCATGTTTGAGATACATGGACCCGGAGAAGCTTTGGTGGAACGCTTGACCTCATTCACAGTCCAAAGTGTGTGCATATCGCGGCTTCGGGAATTTGTGAAGTTGGCTAGGGGGTCGAGGGAGTCTGGATATGGGGGCATTTGGTTTGACTTGGTTGATACACATCTTCGTGTTGCGGTACCACCGTAGCTCTGGGTTGGTCTCAACAGCAATCCTTTCATGTATAGTATTATTTCAGCGATGGTGGCTTGTTTCAACGGGTCAGATGGCTCTGTTTTATAATGTTGTCAGCTTGGGCACATATGAAGGCGGGGTAATAGTACTTCTCAGCGCAGTGTCCATCAGTCTTACATCTCTTGCTCGTACGAATTCATAATGGACAACTCGCTGTTTTCTCTATATTTTTCATACAAGAGTGCGACAAAGTCTGTCGTGGACTGGCTCGTTTCGACAGTTGGCCGTGAACGGTTCCACCTCGATGCACGGCCCAGCACCACTGAAATCGTGAATGCTGCAATCCTTGTTCGCGACCAAAAGTTACCAGTTCCAGAATACGTGCTCGACAAGCTTCGAAACATTCTCAAGAAGAGAAGGGCAGTTCATAGTCTCTATGTAGAGCGCGCTGCCTCGGACCAACAAGAAGAGAACTTGAAGCATAAAGCTTTTATAGATAGGTGCAATGTCTCGTTTCAGCAAGTTTCCGCTTGTTATTAGTGACTGATCGAGTCAACAGACTCGAGCAGACATATCAGATATTGTTGCCACTAGCGAAATCGACGCAGTCACTTCCAGTTTCGACCAGCAAGGCAAGCGAAACAAGATCATCATCTTCGGCGCCTAATCGATACGCATGCTTGGCAGATTTAGATCTCACGGTCCATCATGAGCCTGATTCTGGAATGCAAAATCAGGACCCTACTAGTGCAGCAAACGCCTTAACGACAGAAAAGGTCGAACACGTGTTACAAGATGATGAGCTAGGCGAGTACATCGAGCTCAGCCTCTTGGTATATGTACGAGAAAGGTTCCAACTATTTCGATGAACAATATTAACACGATAATTAGGAACTCGATGCCATTTGCGAAAAGGTGAACGGATTCTGGGTCGATGCAGCATCGGGAAATCTCTCTATCATTGTCGCCGGATTCTTGACCAATACGGCCTACCACGCAGTAGAAAGAATTATGCAAAGCTCAACTGGACTGGCGGATAATGCTATACTGATCTCTAAATGGTATCTCACCAAAAGAGACTTCAGAATCAGATTCACCGATATTCCAGAACTCCAGCATGATTATCAACGTTTCGCTAACAATCTTGGATTGATGCATTATTGGCAAATTCTTCACCACTGCCGCACCCTTGATGAGTATAAAGAGATACTTCCCACCGCTGGCAGTCAACAAAATCCGAGAGATTTTATACACAGACTTGTCGACAGTCGAGCATCCTACAATCTTGACGATTCGGCTTTTGATAAAATGCAGGAAAGCATGCGACAACTTCTTGTTTCGGGCCGAGCTATCAGTTCACTAGAAGAAGAACGGATGAAGGCAGAACCTCTTCTCCCTGCTCTAGATGCGGCACTAAGAAACCCAAAATCGCCAATTCCAACGCATCTTGTTTTCGGTATGGATATGCTGCTATCAACGTACAAGTCATTCTTGTGGTCCAATGAAAATACAAATCAAGTAAATTGCCGGATTATATCATTGAAGTTCGCCAACGACGTCATCAAGAGTATCACAGATTGCATGCCATGTTTGGAGAAGCTTTGTTGGTGTCAGACTCCGGACAATTGCACCTGCCCATATAAACAATATATCTGCGATTTCCGAAGCAAGCTGGAAACTTACTTCCAAGAAAAAAGGTTTGATCTCTACTATCAAGCACCTTGGGTTGCATCTGGCCACATGATCGAGATCCTCTATTTATCCATGTATGAAGGGGTCAACTTGTGCTGCGCGAGTAACTACGTCATGACAGTACTCCATCTCTACAACGCTCTCTTGGAAGTGAGCCCGCAGATGCAGCGAGTGACTTGGCTAGATCAAATGTGTGTGATTTTCACAAAGTCCCTCTTCCCGGGATCAATCCCAAAAAGCAACTTCAGCTCAGTCTTTCGTCGGTCGAGTGGAGGCCAGTTGATCAAAACTTCGAGTTTACACAGTGAGAATGATTTCCGATTCTCTCGTGGACCCTCTTTCTTCAGCGATCGACCCACCGGTTGTCCTCAGCTGTCTCGGTTTTATGCTCAGCATATGATAAACTATCAACTAAGCGGAGAGTTGTGGGTTCGGATTTACGAAGAGCGGAGAGTGGACAATCCCACACCAAGTCAAATAAGAGCGGCTTCCCAGCAACTTAGTTCAACCGTTTTCACCGTAACCATGGAGAAAATCAAAAATACCGTGTTGCCAGAGCTTGAAGGAGATATGCCAGTAGCTCGGATTGATTATTTTGCAGTTTTCCGGGTTTGCATCCAGATCTTAGAGGACTTATGTGTGCACATGGAAGGTTCAAATGACCCGGCTACTGCTCAGCGCGGCTATGAGTTAGTGGACGCTTTATTGGGCGATATTAGTCAACATGAAAAGGATGCTGAGCTCGGTCGTTGGCTCCCATACCTACGGCCGCTGAACAAAGCTGTCCTCGCGTTTGCATCGTTGGATAAGGACAGGTCATTGCGTGAATTTGCCTGGGATATTTAGCCGTGAATTGAATATATTTCCCTACGATACATACATTTCCACTATTGTCCAGGAGTATAATAAAAAAGGAATACGTGCTAGCTTTATTTGAGCCTTGCGACATGGGAAAAATAATTGAATCATGCTAGTTGAAGTTTAGCCTTCCGTCTCTTGTATGTTGAATGCATAGGAATAAGTAAGCCAACTATCATGCAACCATAAAAATGCCCCTCTTAAGTCAAATCCCCAAGTTATTTACCCTCAAGTCCCTCCATAATGCTCCACGCTGATATTGTGGTATATCAACCCCCACTGCTTGATCAACTTGGAGCCTTATGGTTGTCAAAAATACAACATAAGTTGAGCTTTCATTGATCAGATGTTTCAGTGGGAGGGGGAGTGGGGCCTGATTGACCCGGCGCTATTCCTCTCAAAACCTCCCACTCATGCTCTAGCATGGACAAGTTGATACCATCATGCCAAGCGCGACGATAGTATACAGACTCACGTTCGCGACCTTCATCCACAAATCCAAGCTTTCTGTAAAGCTTCAATGCATTGTGGTTGAACGAAAGTGCCCCTATAGAGACTCTGTGCAGTCCAGCATGCTGAAATGCCCAGTCCAGTGCCCAGTTGATAGCTTCTCCGCCGTATCCTTTCCCCCGGAACCCGTCCGCAAGTGAGATTCCTATCGTCGCATTGCGATGATGAGCTTGAGTTGGTCCAGCCACGCTGAAAAGGCTCAAGTGGCCAATTGGGACTGGCTTGGAATTTTGAGCAGGCCGATCCAAGGTCTGGGTCTCAGTTGAGGGGTTTGTTTCTGCTTCGGGGGAATTCTGAGCAGGAAGACATATAAACACTCCTAGAAGGTTGTCTTGGAGTACTTTGATGAACTCCCCTGCGGAACCTTTGTGATGCGGGCGCGGGAGACGTGCAGTGCTCAGTGTTTGGATTGTAGGGTCGTTGATGAAATCGTGGAGAAATGCAATTTCCTCTTCAGAGTTCTCTGGGGCTCGGTAGACGAGCCGGCTAGACTTGGACAGTCCCTGTATGGCTTGGGTTGATGCCATATTGGAAATTTAGAAATTAGTGGAATTCAAAGTCCGTTATCCGTTCACTTGGGGATTATCGATAGCTTTATAGGAAAGAGAGCGGGAAACAATGGTTTTGATAACCAATGAGCTTTCAAGGTTGACGCCCTGTTACATTGGGGCTAACGTAAGGTAAGCACTATCAGCCTCCAGAGTTGGAGCTAACCCCGGCAGGGTAATCTCGGGCTCCCGATTAGGCTTGGATGTCTCGTGGTCAGTCCTGTAACTAGCAGAGGCAACGCTGATATGGTTGAGAACATAAATTGGTCAAACCTGAGGCACCGACACTACTACCGTATATATACATGAATAAGCTTGTTGGCTTTTCTTCCTTTTCTATTTTCGCTACTTATCGGGTTATAAGAAAACATCACCGAAATAATTAGACGCCGGAAATGCACTTTTCTATATAACTCTACAATATATCCTTCGCTCTCCATTATTATCTGTGTAGGGGAATTTCATTCTTCATAATATCCTCGGTCAGTTTATAGTTAATCTAGATACAGGCATATGTATCGAATGCTGTGTGGTTTAGATGTTTCCAAAATAATATATGTAACGGTCAATTTAATATTCTATCGTCATTGCAGGAAATGAACCAATCCTCACGAACGAGCGATTGATCATGGTCCACAGGTTGGGATCCATGGATGTTCATAATGACATTACCGAGCTGTGTTTGCTTTCCATTTTCGTTGCGAATTTCGACCACGGAAGTTCGGCGGTAGATATCAACATGTTCTTTTATGGAAGCCCGATTGGAGGGAGCACCGTTCAGAAAAGGAATCCGTCGCGCTGGAGCAGGGGCTGGAAATATTTGAGCCAGCAGACCCTCCGAGATGGTCCTCTGCTTTTGAGGAGCCAAGTGACTGGATAGATACCTAAGTATCGAGATCTTCGAATGGGATGAAATGATATTTCAAACGCTATTATGTACTCCGGTAACAAAACAAGGACTGGTCGTAACAAGAATGCCTAAATATGTAAAAATCACAAACAGTATACTTTGGCCCTCAAATCAATCCCGATGCGTCCCACGATCCTTCTCCCAAAACCAATGATAGAGGCTCTTCCACTCGACCGCTTCATCCTCAACATAATCACCGACCAGCTCTGCCGTCTCATTGAGCTCATCAGAAACCGATGGAATAGAATCCTTCAGACCTGAAGAAGCATCGATGCCACGACCCGCACCTTCGGCAGCATCAGCAGCACCCGCGGAGTTCGATGTCATATCAACAGCATTACCGCCAGAATTAGCGTTCAGCAGCTCCTCGGCGCCCTCCCTTGTTCTCTCCGCTAGGTCACGCGCTCCTTCACGTGCGATCTCTGTATACTCCTCCGCCTGTTCGCGGGCACGTTGGATAAGTTCGTCGGGCGAGGGATAGCGACGTCCGAGCATCAGAAGGAGGTAGTAGCTCTTGATTATAAACGCGTACACGGCGTCTTTAGCGAGCATTGTAAAGCCGTGCGAGAAGAAGCCTTTTAGCACTTCACCATGAAGGCCGGCGTAGAGTCCTGGTATACCATCAGTGCGGGCGATGGTGGCGACTGTGGAAAGTATTTCGGGAGTCAGAGAGGCGAAAAGCGAGGCCCGAGACTTATCCGCAGTTTCGGACTTAGACTTAGAGCCCGAGCTCATTACTTGAGCTCTGGTTTTCGCAAGGGAGAAGGGGTATGTGATTGACGAGGCGGCGACTTTGCTTAGGGCCGCCAAAAGGAATGTCAAAGCTGGAGGAGGTTTGTCGCGCTTTGAGCGTGGGAGGAGGGTCCGTTTGAGGAATTCATTGAGGAAGAACGTGAGAGATGGATTCAGGGTGAGTATGAGAGTGGCCGAGTATCCAGACCAGAAGCCTAGGATACCCTTCTCAGCGCGGATGCGAGCTGCGATGTCACTGGTTGACAAGTTCTTCGTATTTCCACCCTTGCGTGCCGCAGACGTTTGCTTGCGCGCGACAATATTCGACAATGGCGTGGTAAATAGCTTGGCAAACGAGCCAGCCAAGATACCAACGGCAAGTTCGTCGAGTATCGGAAGGACGATATTTTTGCTCTTTGCAGCCCGCTCTGCGCCTACATGTGCGACTATCCTCTTCTGGCGGATGGCACTATATGCAAGAAAGAAAAGGAACGAATCCGCGACGGTCTTCCAAGTATCCTGCGCCAGACCAGGGTAGAAGCCACCTATGCCTTGCTGCGCATATATCTTGTGGGCAGCATCCACCACGCTGGTATATCCTTCGTCGGCATTTTCGTCGTCATCTGATTTCTCGCTGGAGTCGCTTTCTTTCTGCTTCTGGGTCTGTAGACGGGCGACGATGACATTGAGGGGGTAGACGACAACATTGGAGATGGCTGCGCCGACTGCACCGGCAGTTGCATTCCCTAGGGCGGGGAGTGCTGGGCCACGAAGAGCGGCGGATTTCCAGTCGCGCGGGTCATGGGCTTCGTAGCGGTAGGAGGGGTGGTAGACGTCCTTGATTGCGTGAGGTTAGTATGGTCCGATGCAGTCCAGAGGTACGGGTCGGATGTGTGAGGAAATGGAAGCGAGCTGGTCTTCAAGACACACCAGTTGAGACTCGTAGGATAGCTTGTATTCGGCCATGGCTCTGCTAGGTCGTGTTCGAAATTTGGTGCTTGAGTTCGAAATCCAGTTCTGGAGAATTGATGTTATGCTCCGGATTGTGCCCCTCAACCTCTGGTATCCGTTTCAGACAGGATGTACATGAGTGAGATAGTTTCCAAGAAGATTTGAAATGATGGTAATTACAGACAGTGGGAAGATTGTCAATAAGTTAGGAACGTGATCTCTTTGGATCAAGGCCGAGGTCTACTGCCCCGGGGCCATGTGGAGGGATTACGTCATGTAGATCATGTGGTCCGTGCATGTGTCAGGCAACAAGGCAGTCAATTCCTACATACATCGATGTACAACACACACTGTACTCATTACATACAAATGGGAAGGGACCCCTTTGGGAATCCTTTCCAACAGAATTTACCGCTTGATATCCCATCTCAACATCCCCTTCTTTCTGGGATCAACCCTCCCAGGCTCGGATTCGAACATTTAGCGGAGGCAAAATTCCAATTCCCCTCGCTGGATGAAGGGATGTGCCCACTGGATCTCGCCGTCAAACCCCCAGTCCATATTTTTGTCTGCGCATGATACTCTCGAGGGGCTGGCTGTGTTGATCCAAGATCTGACGTACTCGGCGGAGTTTTCAATTGTTGTCAACTTCACTCCAACCTGGTTTGTGATTTTGAAGAGTTTCTCGAATAAGTGCACGCCTTTGTCCTCAAAAGGAGCCTCAATTATGATCTCTTTGAGGCGTTCAAATTGGTGAGGCTCCGGCGAAAGGGGCTCTGTTCTGCTCTGGAGACTTTCGCACAGCTTATCACGCACGAGCGTGAACTCGAAACAATCGTGGATTTGGAAGATGTGCAGCTGCTCAAGTGATTTGGGAAGTAGCTGATGCAAAGGCTGTAAACTGTTGTAAGATCCTTCTTCGTCATACAGCCGCCAAAATCGACCCTCGAAATATTCCATTTTCCCTTCAGTCTGGACAAGATAGCCCGCCGAAATGCGTAGTCTCTTCAAATGAACAAGCCCCGATAGATTGAGAGGCTGAAGATACAAGTCCTCGTAAATCTTGCGGCCACTTCGATTGAATGATAGTTCAAGACAGGTCAGGGTCTGAGATGTGTATTGAAGTGCTTGGCTGAGATCCGAAGCTTTCAAGACCCAATCCCTGTAAATCGTCCACCCGCGTTGGTAGATAAAGGTTTGTAACTTGTGGGTTTGTTTGAGGAGCCTTCGAAAGTTCAGGGCGTCAAAGGTGCAGTCACGAAGTTCGAGGTGGACGAGACTGGAATATCCAGGTACAGGTCTGATCCACCGTCCTGCGTTGGTCCATTTGGTGCCGAATACATGGGTCAACGTGGGAATTCGAAGAAGCACCGTGAGCCAGTCAACATCAGCCGAGGGCGTATTTGCGTCGACTTCGACTTTCAGGTGGGTGAGCTTAGACAGGGTAGGTGGAAGCATTCTTGAAATGCCATTTTCATCGGTGTACATCGAGCGTGCACCGGCAATACTGATCAAGACACGTTCAACCAGGCTCCAATCTGCGACTGGAGTACTGAGCGGGTCCTCACTCTCCATCGGGATCTCAAGACGTTCCAGGGCAGGCAGATACCCCAGAAGAACGGCTAGCAACGCATCTGAGCGGGGGACATTGGGCTCAAGCGCTTTGTACATCGCCACCCTGACTGTTGAATACAATGGTAACTGCATGCAGGCATCCATGATCATTTCATGGTCTCGTGAAAGGAGGGGTTGAAGATTGAGCTGTCTTCTCTCCGGGTGAGTACTACTCAGCCTGTGCGAGTAGGAAAGCTCGTGCAGGTCTGTCAAATCAAGGGATTTCACGAGTCGCGCAAGGTGAGGCTTGCGGAGGATCGTAAGAAGAAAGAGTTCAATCTGTTTTATTTCAGATGAGTAAGTGAAAGTAATTATCGGAAAAGAGGCAACTTACAGAGCGACGATCAGCGGGCCATGCTACACCGGGCCAAATTCGATAATGAGGAAAACTTCCCAAAGATACATCGGCGTACAGCTCAGGCATTGCCATGTTATATAGCTCCCTGTTGCAGGCAGCCACACGGCTCAATGTCAAGGTGTCACGACGAAGGTGGCGGATGATAACAAGCTTGATTTCTGCCGGGAGATTTTGGAAGCCCGTCTTTGGGGTAGGAGGGGTTGGATAGCACAGGGGGATCAGCCCCATAGGCAAACAGAACGCCATTTTTGTGAGATCCGACTTTGGACTGAAAGCGGTAGAAGAAGAAAATAAAAAAGGTTGGCGGTGACGAGAAGAAAGGATGGATTGTGTAGGAAACTGGAGGATTTATCTATACAACCTGTTGCATATGTAGAATTATTCATATGGATTGCTTAGTCGCCATAGTGATTGATTACATCGTGTTCTCTAGGCTTACATCGTCATGATGTTGAAATGTTGTTTCAGGGTTGGTTTGTGGGAATCAGGAAAGAAAGGAAACATTCAATTCACGTAGTTCAGTCCCTATAGTGTTCCTTCCAAAATCATTATTCCAGAGAATCTTTTCAGATATCGTGCACATCTCAGCTGTGTGCCAGCCGGAAGAGTCGGTTAAGGTGAATGCGCATGCATATATGAATACTGAGTAGTTGGCTCGTAGTCAGGTTCAACAACTGTCACCAACCTGTCACTTTTATCTGTTCGATCTACGTGCTCTTGAACAAGCACAACAAGAGGCTCTGGATAACAGATAAAGGACTACAAAGTCTCCTCGTGGATACCTAGACAAGAACTCCGATAACACTTTCCACAAAGGCTTCAAAATGCTCTCGGACTTGAGCGATAGTCGCCCTATCAAAGCGAGTCTTACCTCCGAAAACAAGACTGCGGTACCCACCGTGTAGAAACCGGTGAGATTGCTCGTCCTCGCGTTGGGCATGGTGTGAATGCCAGTCTATCGTAGCTGGGATGTTTGCTCGGATCCCATCAACGGCAGCCTCCCAATAAAGGTCGGACCCCAGGGTATAATCAGTACGATAGATAGTATACCCCCAGGGGGGATTTCATATACCAAGGCTTACACGCACCCCTTCTAAACCAGGGTTGGGGTTCCAGCTAGTGGACTCTCTATAGATGTTCACGTTCCGTTTCCTCAAGTGTGAAATCTCCGGACTTAAATGACCATGGTGGGTCCGAGCTCTCATAGTGAAACCACCAGGGACTCGAGACAGCGTCCCGTTTCGGTGGCATAATGACGAAAATTGAGAATCGTGCAATCAAGAAACGGTGGAAAACGCAAGTTAATAACGGGAGTACGCCAAGGCAGTCAAAATCATTATACTAGTCATGAGGTAGCTTAGGAAGCCGTGACTAAGTAAGTCTATATTTTTATTTAATTCTAGTGTTCTAGCAATCTCATAGGTCAAGTAGATGGTTTTATGGTTTATAGTCATCTCGAATTTATGTGATGGTTGCTGTGTCGATTTAGAGTAGGACATTCAAGTCTCGGTGATAACCTCGGAAGCTATGCTTTGTGCCATATCACGGCATTCGGCGTCTCAGGTTCCAAATCATAAACAATGCCTATATATAATGCCTTGAATGAAGACTGGGATTTTATATAGAGGTTATGATGGTGATCATGAATGACCACGAGCAGTTTAAGCGCCTTAGCCAAAACCTCTTGGTAATATCTAACAGTATAGACAATCGATCTTGTTTGCAACGCCCCCTCGAATGCATACATAAACAACTGTCTAGTCTTTGAATCCGCTGGTATTATCCCTAATACTACATATGCAATAACGTTGGAAGCTACTGTTTTCGACACTGGTTCTGTGGATCTAAATACTATGCAAGAAGCCTCGTGAACATTATTTACTATTATCAACACCGGGTAAATCAACAACTGGTAATGCTTGAGAGACAATGGGATTCTATCGCAATCTAGTTCATCACAATCCTGAACAGACGTGGCAACAATTTGCCAGCCTCAATTTGTACCTGAGGATATAACCAATCAAGATTTCCGAAAATAGAAAGAAAACAAGAAAAGGCTTCAGGCATAAGTTCATGCAGGCGTTCTATTAACACCCACGCTCGGACCGAGCTCACTGGCTCTTCCTCTCATTTTGAGACTCCGCTGCCACAAAGGCACTGCGTAGCTCTTGCGCCGCCTCCCACAACACCCACAGAGGGATAAAGACCCAGAGGGTGTTGAAGAAGAACAAGTACAGCCAAAGGTAAACCGGATCCTCAGTAGCCAGTTGGGAGCTCCCCGTCAGCCACTCCGGCGCAAAGGTCATAAATCCACCATACAACTCGGCCGTAGCAAGCATGGTTGAAACCAGCCACAACGTCGCCTTAACACCACCACGGGACTTAGCACTGATCTTCTCATTCGACGACCGGCACAGCAGATAGCAGATATATATCGCAGCCGGACCACCAAGGAAGACGGTCAACAACTCCAACGAGACGACAGTCAAATCAGCGCTAGCCCAGCGGCGGTCAGCCTTGGCGTATTCCTGCCACAGACGCGAGCTAGGTCCTGTCCCGTAGGCAGGACCATAGATACGGGTTGGGTCGTTGAGGAAGAAGGGCTCCACGCTGTGTTTTCCAGTGACAGTGGTGTAGCTGAAGAAGCATTCGTAGAGCCAGGAGCCTTCGATGAAGACGTGGGTGAGGGCGTCATAGGCGTGCCAGAAGAAGAGGATACGATCGCGTGTCCTGTGGGCTGGGACAAGTGTCTTGCTCAAGACGTATGCGATTGGCATCATAGAAAGTGAGAATACGACACAGAGGACTGTCGTGGCGTCCAAGGTGAAGGACGCGGTGGACGCCATGGTGGATTTGATTATTTGGAGATCGTGTCAGGTGGTCTATGATGGTAGGCGAGCTTGTAGTTGTCTCGGCCTGGTGGAATCAACACTTTTTAAATGTGTTTCATGCTTTGTGGAATCGATTGACAGCTGGATGGGGTGTCTGATAGGAAAGAAAATAAAAAATTAGGGGCTGAGCTATCGCGACGATCAAAAGTTGGTGCCTCAGGCAGGAGGTGGGTCGCGGATGAGTGCAATTTCTATAAGAGTTTGGAGAGTACGGAGTTGGTATATCTATATTGGCAGGATTTTTACCTTTGTATCACTGTGTCACTTGAAACAAGCAATGTCCTTGCAGCTCATTGCATATTGCAGTGTTGGACTCTGTTGGACCACCTTGACAGCAAAATGCAGGGAATAAGTGGACGGTTTCTACGCGTTCAACTTCATGTCCTACCCAAGCCGAAAAACACCAATCTGGCAGGAAATCTAATAATTCTCTAGCCTCTCAATCGTTTGCATACTTCCCGTCCAGCTTGTAGTCACCCGACACCACTTTTTTCTACGCTTCTTTGTTTGCCTGCAGCACACACAGCCTAGTGGCGGGTTGTCAAAGAAACATGCGTTTGGAAACAGCCGTCTGCATTCTCCACCGATACCCATTCATACCATTGATTCGGTTCAGTCAACACATATGCCGTGCGAATTGCTGACTTGGAAAAGGTACCTGTTGTTGGGTGCACCCATCGAATAGTCGAATCATCCCCGATCTCCGTATTGGCTCAGAATGCTTGGCGGGTTATCCTTCGAGGCTGTCTCTTTCACAGCTATTAATATAATGGCTAAGCGGTTTTGGCTTGTCTCTGGGTAACACTTTGTTATTATTTACTGCCTGCCTCAGTTCGGACCCGTTGAAAGGCATTCTGTTTGACTTCCTGTGGATCCTGACTGTTTGGGAGACTGCTCCTCTCACGGCTTCTTGCCTGTGCTCTCTCAAACTATCCCGCATCTTTCGCAGTGCAATTTATTGTCAAAAATTCCTTCAGGTCTCGGTGTTGTTGAGATCCCCGCCCTCGCCAAGGTGACATGGGACCTATACAACCAATGCCAGATCATCGCGAAGGATGCTCCCGCAGGATTCCAAAAGCTAGTAACTGAGCTGGCCTCATTACAAGGCACTTTGCACACTTTCGCCGACGATGTGAACTCGATCGTATCTTTCTTCGAGAAGATGGATGACCATCGCAAACAAACGTTCGAACGATCCCTCGGTACTTGTCTCACGACCCTGCAGCGATTGAAAGAGCTCCTTGCCCGGTTGAAAGGCTTCGAAACTGGCGATGGAAAGGGTTTCTGGCAAAAGATCAAATGGGCGACACAACGAACTCAGATTGAGGATATCAGATCTAAGATCAGGGTGCACACTTACTATCTGAGCCTATGTACAAGCCCTATAGGGAAGTGAGTTTGCTTTGCTTGTCCCAAATCCAGGGCTCATAATCTAATTGGTGTAGTGTATCGCTTGCTCGTATAGAGAAAACAATGCTTCTGGCGATGGAAGAGGATGAAAAGATCGTTCTCAGTACAGAGGCATCACCTGTTCGGGATACAGACTCCGTTGTCTCGCCGATGAGCCCGGGCCAGGGTCTGGTGGAGCTACCAGCTAACAACGAAGAAGACTGCGAAATCGACATAATCCAGGAAGTTCGCGCCAGAATGTCGGAGCTGGCCACTAACAGAAGCTCCGTGGGCAGCAGCAGCAAGGTCAAACATACTTCTACATCCTCCGAATCGGCGATAACTGCATCCGATGATTCGCTCTTCGACAATACCTCGCCGACTTCTTGGTTATCCTTGAACACATCACCATCCCTATCTACCAGGGGCCGAATAGACCATACACGAATGTGCAGTGAACAGCTTCTCTTTGGCGGCTCGATTGACGGTCGGACACTTGATGGTGGAATATGGGCGAACGACTCCAACCTGGCGGGAAAACAAGTTGTACATCACACTCGAGGCTACTCTGATGCTGACCATGGCCATCCTCACGTTATCGAGGATGTGACGTCCGCCATGCAACATCTTCGTGATGTTCGGCATCAGGAGCATATCTCAAGGCCTATACATTTTGAGCCGCAGAATCAACTACATAGGCCAACTACGGAAACATTGAGGATATTCGAGGCATCAGTGAATGACGGGTTGCAGATCACAAGGCTAACCACAAGAGATTGGCTTCGTGTGGCGACTTGGTGGTTGTTGAAAGTGAGCTCTCCGTGCAAAAAAAAAAAGGATCCTATATTTACTAACGGTTTATCAAGGGGCGTGCGGCCTTGGCAAATTGCAACAGACATAACTATGTCAGTGCTCGTGGCAGTCTGAGTCCCTCCATGGAATCGAGAACGACTAGTCACCAAGCTTATCTTGACCTCCTCAAGGCTTCATATATTCTGTACGACATCGTTTTGGAGGAAGAAGCCTCCCCTTCTCTTTTGGTTGATGAGGACCGCAAGTCAATTGTCGAACTTTCTGAAGTAAGTGCCTTCGTATCGTTACTCCAACCTTTGACTAATTCAATATAGAGCATCAACGAGGAGCTCTCCCAATATACTTCCGTCGACATCCCCGAACCATCGAACCTACATAGCCAAAACCTTGCCATTTAAGAGCCCATGCAGCCGGAGGAAAATTGGGATGGTGGTATTGATCTAGATCTTGGCTTGGACAATATGCTCTGGATCGCCGTTGATCTGGAGGATGCAGGGAACGAACAGGAAAAGGTCCTCTACCGCACCTTTGTCAACGCCGGAATCGGGGGCAAAAAGTCTCGCATGCGCACCAAGGGTGCTCCCTACATGCTCTTGCTGGCAACACGAGAGGGTGAAAGCGAACCAATGATTGTTCTCTGCAACCAAAGTGGCACTCTGTGTCTTGAACGAGACTGTAAGTGATAATTCTCACAGTACCCTCTAATGGAGTTGACCGATGCGGCTAGTCGTGCTGGATGATCTATCGCCTCTTGTTCAATTATCGAATGCCACTTTGACTGGCTTCCCTGGCTCCCGAGTGTCCGAGCCTGTGCCATTCAAATTTGATGATATGAGCGTTTCGATATCATTTCAGTTTGATGGAGATCTCGCACAATTCATCAATATTCCGAAAGCTTACTTTGACGCCGTATGGCAGAGAGAGCCAGTTGATGCAACCGAATTTACTGAGAGCGTTATTTTCAAGACCTCGGTGGATATGTTCGAGCAGCTGAACACGCCAACTATGAAATCAATGAACCCGCCTGTCGTGGTGAAATCCTGCGAGGTGCGCATTCTGGAACGGTCTTTTGGGGAAGCCTGGCGGTCTATCCGACGCATGGTGATCACTTCCTCTGCTGCCGAGAAGTCCCCACGAACTATGGAACTTTTCATGCCTCTCAGTGGAGTTCAGATCAACCGAGGAGATAGGTCCCGCCAGGTGGTATTGCAGTGGTCCGACACATGCCAGGCGCGATCTGACAAGACCGACGTCAATTACAACACCCTGCACTCCTACGTGTACGATGACACTGCTCCAAATATCGGTGTTGGTCTGCAATTTCACTCACATCAAGAGGCAGAAGATTTTGAAAAATCCGTCCTAGAAATGAACTTCCGTCCGGAGTTCTCCTGGTCGCAGCCCAGTAGCTCCGGTCTCATTTACAATGTGGTTGATGCTGGTACTGAGCACAAGCAATACAAAGCTGTGCTAGTATTTCGAACTCGTGGATCATGGCGATATTCAGACTTGTACTATATTTATCGCGACGCCGACTATGAATACGACCACTCCTCGTTCAGCATCCATTTCCCCCGCATCTACTGCACAGACTATATCTCAACTCACGTTGACCAACTCTACCATCCAGAAATCCCGGTCACATTCTCCCATTGCGACAAGAAGACCAGCCAGACAACCATCGAGTTTGGCAACGACCTTGTAGCCCGCTCATTCCTCAGCTCTCTCTCTCCTCTATACGAACTCCTCTATTCCCGGCGGATCCAGTCCCTATCAACGAAAACCAATTCGCTCTTCGGGTTCCAAATGTCCGGCAAGCGCAGCGCCGATATCCAACTATGGCGTCGCGGAACGGCTTTCCAGCTTGCCGCTCGGTGGGATGACTCCGTGCCGGACAAGTGGCTTACCATGACTGTTCCGTCGGAGTTCATCGATTTCTCAAAAGACAATACCCGGCTCACCCTTCCGCGTCTTCCGTACTTGCGTGGTATGACACTTGACATGATGAATGTTATGGCTCGGAGCCCGAAGAACTCCAATGCCAAAAATAAAGAGGGTGCCATGTCGATTTCTTTTCAAACAAGTGAAGGTTAGTCTGCCTCGTTTTTTTTGGAACTGGTTTTCTTTAACTCTTTCTGTTGTGCTAATATGCATGGGATGAATCATAGACCGAGACGAGTTTCTGGCTGTGTTACAAGGGCAGCAATTGCCGAAGTTCCTATAAATATCTCTCATCTACTCATATTGAATACACAAATCTTAGCATTCCTCTCTTTGAAAGATATCAATTTTTTCCCAAGATCTTCAATAATATTGATCAAGCTGGAAGCTCTTATGATGTGGTGGATGAAGAACGGCCATGCGGAGTTCCACACCGGTATGACTACAGTTTGTTTGTATGTAAATTATATGTCCGTAGTATGTATGAGCATACAGTCACGCGGCTTGGTAGATTTAGTAGGCTCTATGTACATGTAGGTGTGAGATCAGTAATTTCAATTCTTGTATAAACAAAATAAATTCAATTTAACAAAAAGATGATTCCGGGCAGAGATTGAGAATTTCTCAGCTCATCATCATCATCTTTAAGGATGAACCCTTCATCGAGGATAAAGGGAAAACCTAGTTCGCGCGCAGTTTGAACCGCGAGCTTTAAAGGGACCTCGCGCACCCAAGTAATGGTAGAGGGGCTTTGCCCCTCCTGCTCAGCCATATTGGCTGTATGGGATATAAGACGGTGACGTCGTATTTAACCTACTGACTTTGATATTCTACACAGTATATTAGTGCATGAGGTTTCACATCAGGATTCTGTACATAACGTTTGTTATTCTCTACATATATACATAGGTATACCAGATGCAGCACCACCCGTGGACAGAGCTAGATACCTTAGGTATCAACGACTTTCCCAGAACTGCGCATCAAGAGCAACCAACCGATTGAACAGTTGATTCCGTGATCTCATACCAGTAAGATGGTAAGACTGGCCCAGCTCATCACCGCTAACAACCAGCCCATCTGCAGCCTCCTTGCTCCCAGCCGTCAGTTCAACAATCAATTTCCCCTTCCAGCCAAGTCCCTCCGTCTTCTTCAGCTCTTTAATTTCGGTGACAGGAATCTGGAACAGAACAGATCCCTTCTTCCTACTTTCGATGCGTAAATCATCCAGTCCAGCGGATTGATATGTGGTAAAATACAAGATAGGAGGTTCCTTCGACGAGTCGATGACTGCCGCGCCTCTCTTGCGTTCGAACTTCGCATCAAACTTCAGGGGCCCAAAAGGCGTTGCAGCAAAGTGTCCATTTTGCAGCATTCCAATCAGGTTCTTGGTATGTGCTGACCCTGCAATGGCTATGGCTCGGTCAAAAGCAATATGGCCCTTGATTGCCGTAGCAATTGTGCGGCGAAAGAATTTGAAGAGCTTGAACACAAATCTCTTCTTTGGCACCTTTGTCTCCGGAAGCGATGTGGTGGAATCCGTCGACTGAAGGTCCACAGATGATCCCTGCCTGGTGACGTCTGTAGAGCTCGCTGCCTGTGACTTTTTGCGGCGGATGGGCCACACTGGCTCGTTGTCATCGAAGGATGGGGCGGGTGGTAGTGGCGAAGAATTGATCTCGCCAATTCGGAGCAGGGTCAAAGTGAGCTGCGCGTTTGTGGGAACGCCAGCCAAAAGTGTCCTGTATCTCGAGTTAGCAAGGTAATAAAGGGCTGCAAAAAAACGAGAGCTATCATACTTCTGTAAATCAAGATGATCTTTCCAGTTTGGTACTTTATCGTTCAGCAGATCAAGGGTGTAGGTGAAGATTGGGTCCCCGAAGAAGCCTAGTCCAAGCGCGAAGCCAACGAGCTTGATGATCCAATAACTAGAGGTAAAAGGTACGATAACGGACACGATGGTAAAGATGCTCGCAAGGCGGAGTCTAGATGTAACCAAAAAGAACGGAGGTGTTGGAGAAAGGATGCTGTTATATCATTAGTATCGCATGTTCATATTTCTTCCCAAAATGGACTTACTTGGCGAATTTCTCATAAATATCAGTAATATCGCTCAGAATACGCATGACATTATCAGTCGCGTGTGATACCTTCTTTTTCATGGGCTTTTTGGTCTTGTCTTCAGGAGAATCACCGGTCGGGGTTCCGGCTGCAGCCTCGGCAGCTTCTAAGCTTTCAATGAGCGCAGGTCTGTCGGGGGAGTCCTCTGTAACTGTTTGACCATATCTGGCCGCTGCACTCTCCATAGCAACATTGGCAAAGCTGTCAACCAGATTCTTGGCTTCTTGTTCAGCGGCTTCACCCTTGTGGTTTTCGGGGGCGCCCGTGAGACTATCCTCGGAATGAACTTGTTCTTCTGTAGAAGTGCTTCCCTGTGGACCGTCTGTTTTTGCCAACCCAGGGAATAGTAATAGCCGAACGGGGGGAACCATTATCAAAGCTACGACAGTACCCAGAATGGTTGGAACCAAGAGATCCACGGCCCAAGCAACAAAATAGCCCTGTAAATTATTAATATCCCATGAAAAACCTGACTTTTCGTGATACACATACCGCGCAGAACATTGTCGTTCTCACTGGTTCCTTCCATGATCGCAGGCGACTGATATGGCGGAAAAGCTCGGTCACTCCGACAACTACGGAGATATAAAACCTCTCAAGCGTCATGCGCAGTTTTTCGGGCGGAAACTGCTCATTTTCAGTGCGATTGAGATCCAAGTTCAGAGAAGCGGTATCATGAACCGCTTTCACATGGTAGATTTGCTGATCACATGTCAGCGATTATTGTCGACAACTAGAGACCACACTAACCTTGTTAAACCGTCTGATCAACATCCATAGATCTTCATTGGACAGGCCCTTAGCAAGAGTATCATCCGCTTTGTGCGATGATGCCTTCCATTGAGTGTTGGGCGGTCTCGGGCTCAGTGTCTGGAGGGGACCAGGCTCTTCTGGGGTCTGGGTGAGATCGTGACTCTCATCGTCCAACTGACCCGGCATTTGTGATCCATGGCTCATCTTCAACAGTTATTCAGGAAAATATACTAACGAGGGAGAGGCTTGGTATTGCTTACCACCTGCTAGGTGGGCAGCGGACGTCGGGCTAGCGCGTACCCCGTATTGATAAAGTGTGGGGGTTGACGTCATGGCTTGGCTATTTTGGGGGAGTTTCGACCCCTGATTCCGGATATGGAAGGCGGTATCTGAGTCATCTATAAAGGACACCCTACCAGATATTCTTCCAAGGGTAATCCTACTTATCCTTCTAGCTATACCACGACAAGGACAAAAAAAAGACTACCAAAAAGACTATCAACAGACTACCAAAAAAAGACACGCGTCGTCATACTTACATAGTTACCTCTCTAGGTACCTACATGTAGGTACATAACTAAGCCACTCAATTACTACATTTGTACATATGTAACTAAGATTGGAGTAACCCCCCCATCTGGCAGGCCTTCCCACTTTGTGTTCTATATCTCCAGCTAACACGGTTTTATCAATATGGTGTCTTTTAAAGACGTTCTTCCTTCTACGACATCAAGATACAACTTCGAGGGAATCGAGCAATGTCTTAGGGTTATGGGCGAAGAGTTCTACCAATATGAACGTGAGGAATCTGAAGGTTTATCTAACCCTTATGTCATCATGAATGTTGATGAACGCTCCTTCCTTGAGTGCTTTGTGAATTCTGGAGAGAAACTCCCTACGCTGTCATGGGAGATTTACGACCATGCCTCTTAGTCCACTCTTTTAGAAGTGGGGTCGGGTACCCGCGCAGTCGTTGCCGGAGCGTTCAATGCCATCTTCTTCGCTTAGGAGAGAAGCCTGGTCGATACCAAACTATCGCTTACAGCCACAGGCGCTGTCCGTGGAGAGACAATTACCAAGAGAGCAGAAATTTCCTACACGCCGACCAATCTGTCAGGCCGAGGACTTCGCTGGCCAACTTTCGTTGGGGAAGTATCATGGTCCGAACCATGACAAAGACTCCTACAAGATATCGAATTTTGGCTCAAAGACTCCAACGGTCAAGTCAACGTCACGATCGGAATCACTGTCCATGCTCGTGGCCTAATCACCATCAAACAGGGGGAATAAAGCCAAGGCCCGACGGGAGCATGGACCTTCGGATTCCTACTCAAAAGATCGAGATCGTCCGCAAACCAGCGCCAAACTGCCCCAAGGTCAATGGACAGCTTAAGCTGCAATTCCGTGCCATATTTCTTCGCGAGAAAAAGGGCACTGAGACCGATTTTGTTCTTACCGAAAGGGATATGGAACACATTGCGCGCCTGATATGGGCTGTCCAGTTCCCATAAGAGGTGGCCACATAGGCAGCAGCATGCTTATCCACCTACTGTATCTTTCTCTTATCGGAATTGGACTTGTTTAGACAGCCAGCAGAAAGTGGGTGGCCACCGCGACGTACAAGCCGACTGCGAACAAAGGAAAACAAGCTGACCAGGGATTTCTTCCGCCATCTCGCCGCCCGCCTCCCCCGGGCACCCTCCCGGCTGGCCAACCCTCGCCATTGAGAAGAGGCTATCTGAATCGTTATCTCAGCTCAGACAAGATGCCCTATCCACAGAGGATATGGAACAAGAGAAGGATGATCTTGAATAGTCAAGGTGGAACGAAGCTCTTCCCTTTCTCCAAGCCACGCTCAACTCTTCCGTCAACGCTTCCACGGGCTAGTCCCTCCACGAATTCATGTACGGCGTGGAGCTGCGACAGCCGATGGATATGATGCAGAACGCGCTGGAAACGGAGCGAGATTTCTCTTTCGGCTAGACGCCGAACACAGCTTGGCTTACGCCGCAATGGCAATGAGGAACTATTACGATAAGACGCACATTCGCAAATGGTTCAGCCCCGGTGACCACGTTTATCTACGCCTGGACAACGGCTATAACATCCAAGCTAACCAGGGCGGTCCGGCCAGTCGGAGTGTTAGGGTGGTCAAGTGGGCCGAAGTGGAGAAGCAACTACGTAAATGGTGTAATCTGCTTCGTATAGGCAAGAAGATCACAATCGAAATTGCCTTCACTTACAGGGAAGACGATAGCAATTATATACCTCCATCAAGAAAAGTTGAAAAAAGAGGCCGTGTGTCCGCAACCAGCAGAATGTTAGCTGAACGTGAGGCACATATTGTGGCGGAGGAAGAGGTTACTGGACAACCTTCGACTTAGGAACATGTATATGAGCTAATGCGATGTGATGTCCGCTCATGTCCGCATAAGTCTGACTGGTGCTGGGAGGACCCCAGAGACAAGAAACATTACAAGCTCAGGGCACCTCATCTAGAACGACTTATCGATTATGTCAATGATGGTGGTATCCTAGATGGTCATGACGACGTTCCGGGTGAAATTCGTCGAGACCTAGCCCTGGAGAGCCAGACAGCAAGAAAGTCGAAAAAAGCGGATGCATCAACAACGGAACCACCATATCATCCGACCATTATCAATGTCTTGCCAACACAGAACAGTAGTGCTCCTATGGTCACTTCATACCTACCTAGACCGTTATCTGAGGAGCGGTTGATAATCGCCGGGCCTCGTGAGACAGCCGTTAGAGAATACTGCAAATGGCTGGAGTCACGCGCCACTGAGGAGGCGTACAAAGCTGATTTCCGTAAGATTTGCCAGCGCGACATAAATGAATGGGCAACTGCGATAAAATCAAACGCACATCTTGATCCGGCCGCTGAATAAAGTCTCGTTGATGCCTCAAAGACTTGACATCTGCCTAATTTACAGTACTTTGGGTGTGGCAGGCTCCACAGAGGGTCCATGGCATGATCATATTTTGGACGAGGCATTCTGAACATTTTTATGCGTGTTAATCGCCGTAGATTGATTATGAGATTATTGGTTTTATACAATTTTCTTTTCTCTAGCACGCGGAGTATTTTTCAGGGAGCCTCCTTCACCAGACGAGAATGACTGACTTTATATCTACATGTACTAGCTCACAGTCTCACGTCTTCAAAGAATGTATGGGGGACCTCGGCTTCCACCCTCCTGATAAGCAGGACCGACTTCTCCACGCTCACCTTCAAAGTCCCCTTTCCAAACACGCTCAAACCAAGCGCCATCATAATTACTCTCCGATCCATCATCCTGCACCCGCCATTGCCTGACCACATTCCCACGGTCGTCCAAAAACACATGCAACAAACCCCCGCCATTCACCGCAACATCATCCTCCACATACATATGGGTAACAACACACTCTGCCTGATACAGAGCGTATGGCTCAAGAGGGTTTTCATCCCAGTCGCCTTCTTCGGCATCCTCTATCGCGTCCCTGAGGCTCTCCTCTCTGATCTCAAAATCGACCCGCTCATTTGCGACACGCTCAGGAAATATTTCCAGGGCAGCTGCCAAATCCAGGCCACCGAAGATACTTTCATCATCAAGGACAACCCCATCATAAGTAACCCATTCTGCGAGTTCATTGGCAGACCATAGAGCATTATGACCCTCTTCATTCGTGTAGCAGAGACGAAGCCAGCAGCCATTGTCAGCAGTGGTATTATGACCGTAGACACGCAGTGCTTCAGGCCTTGCAGGCCGAAGAATATCATCTATTTGAGCTTGAGTAGGAGAGGGTGGTGAATTGCCTGGTCGATAAGGCTAATAAGTTGATATTCGGTTAGTTCAATATTGTGGTCTTTTACGAGGTATAGAGGGCATTGACCTGTCTTCCTTCGCATCCCAATGCGAGAAATTGGCGTAAAAGCCTTTTGCGACGGTCGGCGTGGGACTCATTAGAGACTGAGGGGTCTGGGTGAGGTTTTTCCCATTCGGAAAGGAAATAAACATCCAATCGAGTCTTCCCCCAAGCAGGTATCTGGGGGTTATGTTTTTCAATGAAGTGGAGTGGCATTTTGTCCTTGTTCGTCGCGTGGCATGGGAGTTCTAGGAGGAAGATACACAGAGGAGAAACACACCAGGCATAATATAGTCAGAGACTTGGCCAATCTATACTTGGAAGGGATCGCTGCGTCCGCTTTATCTGGTATAGCGCTGTTCTAGCACCACAGTGGCCCCTTCTACCTTCAAATTAAATTTGGTTTGAAGTGAACCTAGGGCTTTTTTCCAGCTGTAAGTAATCCGAATCAGCCTGAATCGGACTTATCAGAAGCGCTAAATTCCGTCTTTTCATCCTCACTGCCTTTCTTTACGCTTTTCCACTCCATAGCCATCACACCAATAATAGTCACAGCTGATAAGACTACACACACCAAAAAGCATTCCTTGAGTGCCTCATTGTATACTTCAAGCACCTTTGTTGCAGCCACCGAACCATATCGCTTTGTAACCACCGTCTTCAATCCAGATGCACCATTTGGGATGATTAAGTCAGAGTCTACTTTATTAGTGCTGCTGTTTAACACCTCAATCAATCTATTTTGAAAGAGATTATGTCCGACAGCCAGGAATATAGCTCCACTCAGCGTTTGGGCAAGGACTAGAACGGACGTGGCGGCGGCAACGTCAGTGCCTTTCATAATTGTTTGGACAGCTGTGAGCGGCATTTGCATGCCTATTCCGGTTCGGAATCCGATCAAAACCAGAGTTCCGACCCTGTTCTACAGTGTTAGTGACCCGGGAAAGATCACGCTTGACCTACCAATATTCAGTCGATGTGTCGAGGGTGTACCGGAATATCAAACCCGCGGCAACAGACACGATAGTTGTACACAGAATCATTTGAGGGACATAATACCCGATCTTGGATGCCTGGTTAGAGTCAGTACAGTAGAAGTCTAAGCTTCAATAAGCCCATTACTTACTGCGATACCCGAGAGAACAGCACCGATTGTCATAGCACCAGATGATGCCAAAAAGTTGATACCAGACTGCTGCGCGGTTTGGTTCTTAACTGCCTGAAACCAAATCGAGACATAGTACTCAAACACAAAGACCGCTCCATTGATGCCGAACATGAAGAGAGTTCCACCTGAAACTGATCGCTGGCAGGCGATGCGAAGTGGAAGTGTGCCTTTGTCACCCTGGCTGTATTGAAGAAGAAGCCATGCCGGAAGAAGTATACCAGATAGGCAGAGGCACAAAATGACTCGCCAGTTGCTCCATGGATAAGTAGCTCCGCCCCACTGAAGAGCTAGCAGGAGAGACACCATGAAAGGAATGAACAGACCAGTTCCTAGCAAATCGAGTTTAGCGAGAAAACCGGCTATTTTTTGCTTTTCGGCTGCTGAAGTTGATGTCTGGTGTTTAATGCAGAAAAGCACGATCACTGCTGTGACTGCACCGATGGGAAGGTTGATCCAGAAGCACCAACGCCATGTGGTGCGATCGGTAAAGACACCTGTTCGAGATCATGTTAGCTCATGCTCTATTTCAAGACTCGAAGCCAAGTAAACCATTACAACCCTCCGAGTGTAGGCGCAATCAGCTAGGAAATACCAGCAATACCACCAATTGCCCCCGTGTAGATTGGGCGCTTGTGCACAGGGAAACTCTGAGTGACGATCAGAAAGGCCCCGGATAGTATACCCGCACAGCCAACCCCAGAGATTGCCCGGCCAACAATTAGAACAATAGAGCTCGGCGCAACAGCGGAGATCAACGATCCCAATTCAAAATGCCCAAGTGCAGTGAGAAATACCTTTCACTTTGAACTCTGTGTAAAGCTTGCCAAACATAAGTTGAAAGCAGCATGTTGTTATGAGATATGATGAGCCATACCAGGCTACGTCGTCGAGGGAGTGGAATTCGCTGGTTATTTTGGGATTGCTGTCGCGAGTATGGTGCGGTCCTTGAGGATGATGTATTTTAGCTTCGAGGATTGAAGATTCAGTTGCAAGACTTACGAGTCCTATGCAAAAGACCGCCAAGCTTAAACCACCAATTATATAAACCACGTGAATCCCATGGGCATACTGTGTGTCCTCTGCTTTGGTTTCTTCACTATCAGGCTGCATAGTCCGGACTTCAGTTTCTGTGGCAGGCAGATTTTCGCAAGTTTCGTTCGAAAACATATCTTTGACAAGGCGAGAGGTCACGAGCGAAATTGAAGCAGTTGAATAATCTGCATTTTCAAGTGGCCTTTCGATTTAAGTATTCTATAAACCATCGGGTGCGGGCATCAAATTGTTTTCCAAATATAGAAAGTTGGTTGATAGATGTGGGATATTATTGGCTGTTGTTGGATCCACCGCTCTTCCTTCCACTGTCCGGGACCCTTTTTGCTCTCCGGCCCGACTGAGGCCAACTGACCATCTCCGAACAAGACACCGACCATGTCGGAATCTTCTGGCGTTGCTCTAAAAACAAGCGCTTGCTTCAATTGTTCCCGCGCCAAAGCCAAATGTGTCTGGACCGATGCCGATCCTGAAACATCAGCTTGCGAGAGGTTGGTCAATTCCGGTCTAATCTAAGCTTCCCGAGAGATTTGAGATTAACAGCACCAAGGTGTTTGAACAAAGGTCTCGACTGCTCTCAAGCCGAATCAGGCCCAAAAAGGAAACGAGGAAAGTCGACGTATGTCATTGCCAATACTCAACCGTCGCTTGTACCCCAGCGGAACTAACTGGAACCTCTTAACATCTCAATGCCTCAGGGGGCAGCTCTCACCTTTATCACAATATATGGTACCAAGAATAATCAGCCCCTTATGCAGCCTTGCCATTTCTTTTAAGCAGTCTTTTAAGCAGTCTTTTAAGCAGTCTTTTAAGCAGTCTTTTAAGCAGTCTTTTAAGCAGTTTTTTAAGCAGTCTTTAAGTGGTCTTTTAAGTGGTCTTTTTAGTAGTCTTTCTGGTAGGCTTTTCAGCAAACCATCTTGTATAACCAGTTCGGGGTCGATGATGGTCATATCCCTGCTCGGCAGCCACATATTTCGAATAAACAACACCCGCCAACTATCATTCCGCGCGCACATTATCTGTTTGCAAAATTTCCATGAACTCCAGGTAAGCCTTCTCCGCCGCGATCGCCCAGGGCGTCTGCCCATGCACATTGGTCTGGTGTACCAACTCGGGGGCTTTATTCACAAACAAGGACAATGTCCGTTGAACTTCAATCGACGCGAAGTGATCATTGGAGCAGTCAACGTCAGCCAGATAATGCAATACGTTGTTTCCCTCGTAATCTACTGCCCTCAAATCCGCGCCCCGTTCGTACAGGGTCATTGCACGCGTGGGGTCGCCCTCCTTCCAGGACGCCGGTGCAATTTCTCCACCTCGGAGCGGGTATGCCGAGACCGTGTAGGCATACGAATCAGTTCCAGTCGCACAGGTCGCCGCTGCCAGCAGCAGCGTTTTTCCTGTAGGGTCGCGTCGTGCAAGGTCAAGGTCGGGCATATCTAGCCATGGTCGGATGATTCCTCCGATGGCGAAGATCTGGTGTAGAACCACTTGGTCTGCGTAGCAAGGCAGGAAAGGATCTGCGCCGCGTTCTAGCAGGAATTCAATCATCCGGCAGGCGTGGTCGCGGCTATTGGGTTCGTTGAATGGTGGAATTGAGATGTAAAGAAGAGGGCTCAGGATGAGCCCGCGGTTTACTGGGACCTTTTTGAAACGGTGGGTGTGCCAATGTGGCTGCGCATCGGATAACACCGTCGTATTGCAATCCAGGTCCATGCCTAAGAGAGCGGAGGCCACTTCTTTGTTGAAACTATACAATGCAACAAAGAGTTCCATGGGGTGCTCCTGAGAGGGATATGCTCCATGTTCGATCAGTAACTGGAACAACGGTGTATCATGCGCCGACATAGCCAGCGGCGAATAGCCACACGTCGCAGCGACATTAGGATCGGCGCCGCCCTCCAGCAAGATTCTGGTGATTTCGAGCTGGCGGTAACCGCCCAGCTCTCCCCGTGAAACTGCATTGCATAACGGCGTCTTACCCTGGTCATTTCGGGCGTTGGGGTCGGCCCCATTTTCCAGGAGGTACCGAATGGCTCCTTCATACCACCAGTGTGTACCTTGGGCCAGTTGATGAAGAATCGTGTCTCCCGGCTTGTAATGCCGCTCCAGTGCCATCGTCGATTGGTAGTATACCGTGGGTTTATCGACCATGCCCGCTTCAAATCGGATGTTAACATCCGCGTTGAACTTCTCGACCATGACCCGAATAACTTCCAGATTGGGAATGTCTCGCTGAGCAGCCGTCAGAAGATACGGAGTCGGCTTTTCGCCCCGAAGATTGGTGTCGCTGCCGTTGATCCAGTTACCGGTCATCGTACTGCCAATCCGGCCAAAGAGCTCCGAAAATCCCCACCTCGCGAGAGAGGCCATGATCGCTGGCAGGGAGGATTTGTCCTCGATAATCGAAGCGTTCTTTTCCAACGCCTGTGCAACCTCCTGGTGATGGCCGAGCAAGATCATTGGAAGCACATTATGTTCAGAAACATACTCCTTGAATTGTTTCTGGAGCAGGTCTGGGAGGTGCTGAGAGCGCAGCAGGTAGAATTCAGTCTGCGTAGGGCGGAAACCCTCCATCCGAAGGCTCATTTCTCGTGATAACCGGTCCAATTCCACAGCCATTTCCTCATTTCCCTCGGCAACCGCATAATACATGGGACCAGCGCCAAATATCTTTTCATATGCCAAGGCTCCATGAGACGCCAATGCTCGTACGATTCGTCCAATTCCGATTGTCGAACTTTCGGATGTGATTTCTCCTTTCCACCCCAAACCTTTGGTATTGTGATGCGCCTCTTTCATCTTCGATGTGGGCTGTGTCGGCCGGTTGTTGTCTTCTGCCAAAACCCCTGCCGCGGAGCGCGTGTTCATCAAGTTTTCTTGGTCATCAGCCCCCTGCCAGAGCTGGTCTTCGGCGATGGACTCGGCGCATGCATCTAGAGGGGTACGGTTGTGCTTGTCCTCAACGTTGACATCTGCTCCGTATGCGAGGAGGAGGTTCACTGTCTCCAGTCTTCCAGAGCGGCAGGCCTCATGCAATGGCGTTCTCCCATCTTCCGAGCATGTATTGAGCATCAAAGCAAGCTTCTTGGAGTCGCAGTGGTCTAAAATCAGCCCAACAGAATTACTTTGGCGCGCGGTTGACGCAATATGCAACAGATTGCGGCCATCCTTTGTTGAAGCGGTGGTATCAGCCCCGCGAGCGAGTAATTTACCGACCAGGTGCTCCGAAACTGTGGCAGCGAGGTGGATAGGTCGAATTCCCTGGTGATCACTCATGTTTAGAGCGACATCAAGACCCGCATCTAGGAGTACGTCGATAGCACACTTGCCTCCCTCTACGGTCGCCGCGAACAAATCGTTGGAAGCCTGACTGCATATCATATGCAGAGGCGTCCGACCTCGGAAATTGGGAACGGTCGGGGAGATGCCCATCTTGATAAGTTGAACCATGGCTAAAAGAACCTTATCTTGGCTTATGGTAGCAAAATTGGCTGCGAGATGATGCAGGAACGTGTCTCCGTCGTAATTTACCATTTTTGGATCTGCTCCAAGGGACAGTAGAAAGTCCAAGTACTCGGATCGGAAATTGTATGGTTCGATCAGATACGATAGTACCCCGTTGCCTTTATAATCCTGCGCATTGATATTGGATCCGCGGCTGATGAGGTAGGGAAGAAGCTCGCGGCAATACCATTGCGGGGTGCCGCGCATGGCCTTGGTGAGAAGCGTACATCCGCGATAGTCTCTAGCCTCGAGATCTGCACCGGCTGCGCAGAGAATGTCCAATACATCCTTGATGTTTTGTTCGGACCCCTCGACCATGTGAATTGGCTGTTGCCCTTTATGGTTCCTCTGGTTTGGGTCAATCCCAAGCTTCAGCAGTTCGACTATAGTTTTGCTCCCGTGACAATGTTTCGCCGCGGCGATATGAAGAAGCGTGTTGCCATTGCCATCAGTGATCATCCAATCTGACACAAAGGGCTTGAACAGCGACAGATCGCCCAGCTGACATTTAGACGCATAAGCATGCAGTGGGGTATGGCCATCTCCATCTCGAACAATGTCCAGGCGGGCGCCATTCGCCATAAGGCCCTTGAACCACTCTGTGTGGTCCAGGGGGTGGTGGAGGAAATGCGCAGATGTGCCTCCCCGATCCTCTGCGATATTCGGGTCCGCCCCATGTTGCAAGAGAAATGGAACCAGGGCGATCTCATTGTGTACGGAGAGCAGCAGCGCTGTATTTCCGTGGGCATCTTGTGCATTGATGTCGCACCCAGCATCCAGCAACAACTGCATCAGCTCTTCGTAGCGGGGCAGGTCTTCCAACTTTTCGTAGGGATACAGGCTGTCCGCCACTCCGTGGAGAGGTGTAAAAGATGGGGGCTTGTCTCCGGACCGCTTGTTCTTGGATCTGATCGTGGCATCGGCCCCATGCTGAAGCAGGAGTCTGACTATGGCCAAGTCGACCTTTTTCGCGGCCAGGAATAAAAGCGTGTCTCCCTCCACCGCCGCGTTGACATCACATCGCCCGGCCTCAAGCAGAGCCTGGGCGCTGGTTATTTTACCAGATTGGCAAGATCGACATAGAGCGGCAGTCAGATCGATAGGGTCCGCAGTGGCAGCCAATTGGCGCACCTGGTCCACATCTTCTGCATCAACTGCCGCATGGAGCGGAGGAAGAGGCTCTTCCGGCTCGGGGGATCCATCACTGCCCTCGAACAGCCCAGGCATTGTGTTACGGAGAGAAGACAAGAAGCCCATTATTTTTTTGGCGGTGAAATGTTGGATTAGAAGCCGAAAGTGGCAGACATGTCTTAAATAAATATTGCACCCTTAGCCTCATCTAGGCTCCCGCGGCAAAAACGAACCACTTTACCGAGCCTCACCAATGATCTCCCTCACACTCTCACATTGCGCACGTCTACCTGAATAAATGTAAATCGTGACTGATCTGAGGCTTTTTTCCATGGCTACTGAACATTGCTGTTCCTTCCCGCCCTTCGGCGCAGGTACGCAGCGGTAGAGGTGCCATGCGACAAAACCCCCTTTTCGGTTAATATTGATGCCTGAATGCCTGATTATCCCTAGAACCTCAACCGCTTCTTACACTCTATGCAAGGTATTTGTAATATCGATATGTCATAATTAAGCTTTGACACTATAAAAATTCATATATCACCGCTTTTTAGGGTGGTTCTGGTTCTCTACCCCAAATAAGTGGTTATGTATGAATTTGTACGGTGTCAAAAGCTTCATTTTCATGAGAGCTATAAACCAACCAAAAAGTGGCGATGCATGGATTTGTATGGTGTCAAAAAGGCTGATTTTTACACTTCAGACGATCAGCTGACAGAACTAGGGTACCTTGTTCATTAAGGCCTCTGGAATAGTAATTGAAGTATCTTCATTTTTCTGGGTTGTACAATTTTGTCCCGTTAAGTACATGTAGATAGTAGCACTTTTGAGAAAACGAGAAAACCAAAGGCACAACAGACTAATTTTACAATATCCATTTTAATGAGCAAAAGCAACTGGTTGCCTTTCAACTCCCGAGCGATAGCTCACCCCATCAACTTTCAGTCCTTTTTCGTTCAACAGTGTGATGGTATCGCCAAGGTTCGAGAGATGAACATCTGGAATGTCGAACGCTTGCGTCGACTTAGCACCCAAAGCTGCATCACGCGGCAGTGCTTGGATTTCACCAGCTGAATTTTTAATTTTCCAGGAAGACAGGGGCATCTTGTGGTCTTTTGGATTTGTGAGAGTAACCGACCTGCGTCCGGCTTCAGGGTTGATCAACGCCCCGTCAATTATCACAGAGTCCTCGGTCAGCTCGGTTTCTCTCTTCTTCTTCTTTTTCTTTGTCTCCAGATAGTCACCCCATGTCTCCTCTGATATGGCATGCCCATTCTCTTCATCGGTGTGCACAGCTTGTGTTGCGAATCCGATAAAGACCCCGACCCATCGACCAGATGGGTAGTTGATCAAAAGGCCACCATCTTGGAACACACCGTCATCCTGTGCGAATTTCTCAATATTACCTTGATTCATATGCACATTGTGAATACCTATATGCACATTGTGAATACCTATATGCACATTGTGTTTACCTCTTCGATTGTCGAACGGTTCTCCAAATAGGTAAATTTCGGCCTCTTGTTCAATCGCCTGTATAACTTCAGGTTCTAGAACATCAATCATATCATTGTCCCGACCTGGTTCGTCATGGGGTAGGACTCGACCGGTGTTGATATTGAATAGGTTGCTCCGGATGTAGTCTAGTCTCACCCCAGCAGGGTTTGGCTCCGATTCTTCGAGGGGAGAAAACCCCGAGGGTAGGTCTGTGAGATTATTGACGATGGGGTGATTTTTGAAGTCGTGATTCACCCAGTAGGTAAGTCGCGATTCATGCTTATCACCAGACTTGATGTTAATTGCTGCTCTGAAGAGCCCAGGGATTTCTTTGTCGCCTTTCTGGCCTTTCTGGCCTTTGTGGCCTTTGTTGCCTTTGTTGCCTTTGTTGGGTCGGCTGGCCCGGCGAAAGTCGAAGCCAGAATGGTGACTCAGTCCTCCTTTATCACTAAAGTATAGTGATAAATGCGGGCTTTTGTTGTCATCCCATTCATGTTCAACGACATAGTGTACAGGTTTTGCTTTCCAGACACCGTAATCACTAATCGGCATATTGAGGAGGAATTATTCAGAAAAGTGGATTTGTATAAGGATATGACTGAGGAGCTCGTTTCTTAGATGTAGCGGGTGAGATAAGTGCAAGTATAAAGTTGAGGTGGGGGATACTTATAGTCGGAGCTCAGCGTCCAGGGCATGTGACATGGATGTGATGTTATTCTAACGCTGGGTAGGTTAGACCCACGAGAAAGAAGCGTTCCGAGATGAAAGTATCACATGTGATGTTTAAGACCAGTCTAGACATCCAATGTGGTTGCCACCAGTGCCTTCTTCTGCTATGGTGTAGTATTTCGCCCTGCCTAGATGGAGATCAGACCACTACGCATTGGTGACTTAACCGTTACAAACGACCACCCAATGGGCACAAATGGACAGATAGATTGTCTAGACTTTTGACAGTGATCTGGATTTCAGCTAGGCCTTGACAAGTCCCGCCGATTTGGTCCGACCTTGGCGCCTACTTGGCGCCAAGCCGCTAGTTTCAGTTCTGTCTTGGCATGGTCATGCCGATCACTTTCCTATCTAGGTAGTTTTCTAGCCTAAATAGGTATGGTCGCAGCACCACAGCACCAGAATGTATTTAGTGCTGCGGGGCCGGGACCAAAAATCGGATGGTGCTGCGGGACTTGTCAAGGCCTAATTTCAGCCTCGGTTTTGGCCATATGGCTCTGAATGTTAGGGACTTGGGGTATGCGGATTTGGACCCTCTGTCATCCACATGGTATACCACAATCCAATCCGAGAACCGGTTCTTCATCCCTCGTTGAAACTAATGCAATCTTTGCAGCAAGCAAATGGATCATGAATTATATACCTAGGTATGTGGCTTTGCAATTAGAGTTTGCGAATACATAGATCTGTTCCCGTAAGTTTCCCACGGAAACGAGTCTCAAAATAGAGCTATTCAAAGCCACGGATAAGTTGGTCATCCGTGATCCTCAACAAATACACGGGGGTGTTCGAAACTATCTAGGCTCCCGCGCTTCCGGAATACGATCGTCTAGCTGTAATCTAGATCTAACGTAGAGCCGGCCGACCCAGCTAGAAAAATGTGGTATGTTTAGCCTGTACCGACCAGATGATTGCCACTTTCGGGTACGCCATATGACGCACGTTGATCATCCGATCCCGTAACCTTGTGCTGGGTTTATCCGTGAAAATCAAACCGCCGGTTTGATTTTTATATAAACCAATTAGTATGGAGTAGACACGAGGCTGAACTCAATATATACAGAGGGAGATTACCTAGAAAACGTCAATCGGCCCTACAGCGTGATCCCATCCTAAGTAGGAACAAGTTGTGTCAGTTCTATATGAATAGAAGCTATTCCCAAGTTTCATTCACGTTATTCTACTGATGATCAAAAAAGAAATAAGCCTAGACCAAAAAAGAAAAAAGTGCAAAAAGAAATCTCTCCCTCGGGGAATCGAACCCCGGTCTCCCGCGCTTATCGGTATTAATGACAAGCGGAAATCATCACCACTAGACCAAGGAAGATGCGATGGTCGAGTTACTGCTCGGCCACTTGGCTGGTTGATGGAAATACTCGTCCATATTGGCTATATAAGCAAATCTCTCACTGAGTATCCTTTTGGACGATATTTTCTCGCGTTTGGATATTCTCCCATTATCGAGCCCCGATGAACACATAACAACTCTACATCAACGATATTCTACTAGATAATGCCCACCTGACCAGGTCCACAAGCTTCCATTAGACCATTAGTACCATTACTAATGGTTCGTTCGGGCCCCGAGGTTATATATTTGACATCCCGACCCCTTCTATTGATTCCAATCTCAATCCAAAATATTAAACCATTTGTTTTTTGTTCCTCTCAATACTTTTATCTCTAATGAGATACCCCTATCCTCACACATCCATTTGGATGCCAATTGCCTTTCCGTCAAATCTCTAGTATTCACTCTTGCTCATTCCTTGCTTCATTCTTGGGAACATCTGGACTTATTTCAACCACCCACATCCCGGGCTTTCACACCCGGGGCCATCAAAACTCAAGCCATGCTCGACGCAATAGGTCTCGCAACGCGCTTAGTTCACAAATTCCTCAAGGAAGGGGGTTACCAAAAATGGGGCTGGGTCTGCTACCGCTCCACGTATACATACAACGACGAAGTCTGGAACTACGTTAAGGGGGTGATCACGGAGGAACTGCGCAAATCCATTAACCAAAACTCCAGATCTCGATACATCTCTCAATGAGAGTCTGAGCATGACATTCCTTGAGAACCGTTCTAACTTTGAGAATGAATCAAAAGATCAGGTTCGCGCACACTTTCAGAATTGGGCTCAGCATTCGTACAATCCGACCCCGATCTGGCGACCACACCGAGATACAGATACTTTATCCAGATTGACGAAGAGCCACTGTAGAGTCTTCTCCACGATCCTGAAAGCGGTCCGCGGCCATGGTCACTAGAAAGATATGGCCATGTGAAATTTGTAGATGTCTGGTGGAAATCATTGACAGAGCAGTATGCAATGAACGGAGAACTAGACCTCAAAGATGAAATTGATGAGCAACTAGCGGAAGGTTATCAGTCAATCGAGGGCTGTATTGAGGAAAATGCTGCTGGACGATGCTAAACAGGTTGGATATGACTGTGGAATTCTACCACTACACAGCTGGGTATGTAGAGGATGTGTGGCCTCTCTATTGCCAGCGTCCTCCTGTCATCGCTCTCTAGTAAACGTACAAAAAAAACACTCAGTTCAGAGCTTGTATGATTATGGCGGAGAAGGAAATTACGCTAGTGACTAACAGTTCAGACCTGCATCGTGAACATAATGGAAACTCGTCATCTATGTGGGTTAGGACCAAACCGGCCCCGAGACTTTGCGGGCTATAAAACCGTTCCTGCAGGGGCAGCATAGGGCCGTGGGCCTTGGATTCTACATTACTTCTGTTTTGCACAATGGCAGCTTCATGGTATATAAATTTCATTTGCTAAAAGTTCAATAAACGATCGCGGCTGTCTGTTCCTTTCATAATCGAATCGACCGTACAATGGAAGAGAGCGCAATCGTGCACACAATGAGATATCAAGTCCAACACAATTCAAGACATGATGGGAATGATCAAATATTCAAGACCCGGGGGAACACAAGCAGCGACCGGTACAATTTAAGTACCGGGCGCACACATAGATCGAGGGTAGGGCTCGAGGTGAAAACGATGTACGATCACAGACGATTCGCTAACGCGTACATAGTTGCCGCGCGTGTTGACACCCGAGTACAGTCACACCCCTACAGGGCGGACCACACTCGGTTCCTGGACCTTGAAGCAAAACAGCTTTCAAATCATGGCGGACCAGGTATTGATTCTCGCCGAACGGTCGGGGGTGGGCGTCATCATAAGATGGATGTAAACCAGGGGGTAAACGAGACAAAGTAGATCCAACAGGGGTTCCACATGTTGAATGTATTTGAAATTGCAGAGAAGGAGCATTCATTCAGCTCTCCTTGTCCTGGCTGCGGAGCTTATCGAGGCTATCACGGACAGTATCGCGAACACTGAAGCCACCGAACAGCCAGTCATTCGAGTGGCGACCGTAATGGTTGACAGTTCCACTGTAGCGTTTGTAGTCATCGCTGTTCTTGCGGGTGGGAGTAGATGCACGCTTAGGGCAGTCCGCCTTCGGCGAGCCCATGCTGGAAGGCATCTGGATGGGGCTGGTTGAGGTGTAGTCTTGGTCTGGGAAGTATGAAGATTTGTGATTGCTCTGCGGGATATCTCGAGGCTGTGACATTGTGTTTTGGTGGCTCGTGGGGATATCGATTGGTAGAGGAGAGTTAGATCGGAAGACCTTTGAGAGAGAGTTCGACAATTTGGAGCGCTTCTTCTCTTGAGAGAACTGGCTAGTGTGAGAGGAGGTTGAAGTAGCTGAGGTTTGGGAGAGCGATCTCTTGGGATAAATGTTGGACTGAGTGTGCATCACTTAGAATATGGGGTAAAGGATGAGAAATAGAAATCAAGTAGCCTGCGGGATGGGTTTATTTATGTTCGAGACACTCCAGTAATTTCCCAGTTGGGATCGTCGGGGTCCCCGTAGGGCAACCAACCAAAATGCAGCACTATGATGTAGCCAAACACGGACAAAGGAAAAGACACAGCCAATCAGCTTCATAACACATGACTTGGCGCGGGACCTGTCCACATCTCAACCAATAAGAATCGAAGTGAGGAAGTTGGAAGACCCACCGGTAAGGTTTAGTGTGATTGTTTGTTGTCGGTGAGATTGGGAGGTTCCGAGGGCCAAAGTGCCCTATCGCCCGCCCACCAGCCAATCAGCAATTGTTTCTGCCTTGGAGCCTCCTCTTCCCGCTCTCTGGACCCCGCAGATTCACCGCTTGACACGTCTGGGCTTATTTTTCTCCCACATTTGAAATGACACGTCTACAATCTACACTTTTTCGGTTGGAATGTACATAAGCGTACTTCGTATACCATTCAAAACCAAGATACATGAAAGTCTTCCATACCCGATTCCTCTCCGGATTTGTGACTTCATCGTTCCGCCCAAGTGGGTCACTCCGCGGGGTTGACAAAACAAGAATTCGAAATACGAAGCCTTTATGAGACATTCCCGTGCTCCAATTTTCTTATCTTCGCCAATTAACTCCTCCTAACTCCCCTTCTAGCGTCCTTCTAGAATGCCGTTCTAACCGAAGGACACGGCAGGGATGCTTGAGTGAGTCACCTGGCCCCGCGAGTCTGTCAGCCAAGCTAGTACATAAAAGGATAGTATAGGTGAGCGGCAATTGGCCTCATGCCCAATTGAATACGTCAAGTGGGGTGGGTTATAATGATGTCGACTGAGTTGGAAAAAGGTATGCTTGAGATATATTTGATTGTTACACAGTCTCACACGACATTAATATTGACCATGTCTTCTTATTTATGCGGGCCTGCGATGCCTTGGGAGAATTTTTATTTAGAGGTCTAGGGTCTCTTTCTAACTACTACCTCAGATCAAAATAAGTGGTTTGATATTATTGCTCTTCCTCGAAGAAAAGAAAGACTAGGGCAAAGCCATTTGTTAGAAATCGAAGAAACAAAGACCGATCATCTAGCAAAAAATCACGGGTCGATTCAATGCGACAGTAGCCCGATCAAAAACAGCCCTAGCCCAAACATGCAACCCTAGGAATGAACGTTGACTTTCCATTGTTTGTTAGGCCATTGACCATCTCCTAGGTCCCGCGTGGTGATTATTTCCACGAGAGATGGCTCATGACCCCTAGGCATTTCAGGACGGTTTGAAGATACCAGAAAGTAGCTATTTTTGTGCCAACCGGCATAGGCAGAGCCAGCCTCATCAAAAAGCTTTCTAAGCCACTTCGCTATCTCCCTGTGTGCCTTCGGATTTGCAAGAATTTGCGACAAAATATCTTGCGATCCACGTATTGCATAACATGTCATCACTTCTAAAGACTGCGTAGGCTCATCGATCCAAAGTGTCGTCATGATTTGAATTTTGACAAGAGGGTGCCGAATGAAGGCACAATCATGCCCTATATGATCACGGGCGTTGCCCAATTTCAGATTGTGAAATAAATCATAATGGTGATCTTTTCGGCGATCCGGTAGCCCGTCTTTCTGTGATTTTACCATATCAATCAAGTGACGTACATCCGGAAATTTAATGCTGAAGCAAGGGCAAATATCGACCTGATCAGCATAAAAGCATGGACCTCGAGAAAGTGGCCAGATAAGGGGAAAGAGCCGTTTTGGAGGTGGGTATAGTTTCTGGTAGCAGTGGCAGAAGTAATGGCAATGTTTCCAGTGGCTATTCTTAAGTCGATGGAGTAGACCTGTTCTTGACCTTTGATCTTCGGGACATAGTGCGGGGGGTGTTTCATGTGGCACGAGATGAGATCCACAAAGGATGCTTATAGGTCTGGTGAATCGCCGCCTTATATGTTGTATATCCATTTTGCATGACCATCTGTATGTTTGTGGATCTAGAAGTTGGTAAAAATAACTGATGAGCTGGCCTGAGTGAGCGTATTTGTACGTCGAGATGATGCGGAGAGGCTATTTCCTAAATTGGTTTAGTCCTGGAGCTGGATTATGCCGGGGCCTGGAAGATTGGAAGCGGAAAGATAAGGCATAGGTGAGGGTGCGAAAATATGAGATCTTTTCCATCAAATAGGTGCCATGATCTAGTGGTATGACGAGTCATTGTGGTTCAGCGAAGCTGACTTAGCCGCACCAGGGCTATGTGTGGTGTCTTCTGTGATGACGGGTATCGCATATTGGAGAAGGGAAGAGTGAAGATTAGAGAAGTTACAGAGAAAATATAAGCGCAGTTTAGAAAAGGAGTGAAAGCTCAAAGCTCATAGTTTCTTTAGACGACGACAGGACAATATCAGACAGAGATTATGAAATATCACGTTGTAATTCAAGTTCTTGAATACAGAGGTTTGTCTTGATCTCTCCAAAGAAAGCCTCTTCGTCTTCCCCTGAGCTTTCCTTCAAAGCCAGTTGACCCGTCTCCATGTCGGCCGTAGGATCATCTTTCGAATCCAAATTCATCTCTGGAGGAATATCATTAAGATCCCCCCTTGTAGCTTCCCTGAGATGTCTCTTACGCCTGACCCGACGAATGGTAGGAGGTACTTTTCGGCGGGGTAGTCGCTGTGATTGAGCTATACTCAAACCTTCTAGGCAATCCAGAAAATGATTCATATGTTCCACTGTTGGTTCTCCAAAATAAGAAAGCCAGCGCCAATGATTTCCACCTTCCTTCTGGACTCTCACGGCGATCATCAGCCTACCAGCACGGTCTGTTGAAAGAGCTCTCCTACCGTAGTGGAGCTCCTGGGGGAGTCAAAAAGAAGTGGGCAAAGGAGAAGTTTATCTCCAGCCCTCACCGTGAGTTGTAAGCGTCGTGGGATACTGAATTCGTGAAACCCCCAGCTAAAGCGAAGAGTATACGCATTTCTTCTTATTGTTACCCAAAATCCGGAGTCTCTTAATTTTCGAAACCTCTCGAGTTTTTCGCTTTCGGTATGATACATCAGTATCTACCTTCTAGGCTTTTCCAATGCAGCGGCTAGGATTCTTGCCTCCTCCGACCTACGTTGCCAGTATGCACTAAGCTACGGATCAGGGAGTGTTTCGGAGGTCGTTAAACGAGTCTCTGCGAGACTTTGCCCACTGACGAATATCGCTATTCGGGCTTCGGAGAGCATCGGCAATTGTTTGGTGTGTTATAGGCTCGCCGTCCTTATCTGTAAAGCCTTGGAAGATAGATAGTGCCACGTTCAGATGTAGGCTGGCACATGGCCTTGGGATATCACCAGGTAGAAACAAAATCAGATCAGCCCCGCGGAGTGTCTGTAGTGTACAAGCTATGAACATCTCCTGGGGATTTAGCAAAAGTGCATAATCATCTGTCGCTAGGTTTTGAGGGGCCCTAAAATTTGATAGGGTGAACAAGTTTCGCCGCATATGCTTCCAGAGTCCCAGAGGCTGTATTGAAGTGACGGGTGATTTCTCCGATATTCTGGGTCGCAATGTCTTCCAATTCGCTCACTTAGATTCAGTAACTGGCCGAAGTATGGCGAAAACTTTTTCTCCTTCGTCCAAAGGATATGTAAGTAAATCCCTACCCCTTCGTCATTCTCAGGGTTTCCATCGAGATTTATCAGCCTAATAAATATTAGTCTAGAGTTAGGAAAACGATATATGGTTAAAGTACTCATCCAACCCAATTGATTCAGACCTAATAACCTCCAAGAGTGACTTGGTTCTAGAGGTCAGAGCGGTTTTTAGGATATCTTCTACCGAAGATTTTCTAAGGTGGCTTAGGATTTCTCCATACCGAGCGTGGTGCTTTTCGTCTGTCCTTTGCAGCATGTGGGTAAGGACCCGACCAGAGTCAATCCCGCCTAGTCTCTTCATGGGCTTATCCATTAGGGTGACGATCTCTTCCACCTGTTGGTTCAGCCGGGCGTGCCTATGACTCCGAGGTAGATATTTCTTGTACTTTTTATTTAGCTCCTTTTGGGCAGCAAGTTCACTCTCATAGCTATAAGAGGATACTAGTAGTGAGAGGTTAGGGATGACTTATAAATTTGAAGCCGTAGTAGAGGGTTGTAGGTAGTAAGAATTTTGTAACAGATAGCACTTGCCCAGGGGATTTCCAGGGCTATAGATGGCAAAGGGGATTTTACTTAAACCTTCGAAGTCATCCATAGATGGATCTCCACTCCTACTTTGTATATACCTAAGTAGGAACCCCCGCACTAGCCAGTTTTAAACCTCTTAACAAGTATGTACATATATAACTACATGTAACTATGTTGTAGATAAAGGCCTAGATAAAGTGATAAGTCTTAACTTCATGTAGCCAAAAATGCGATCCATCTTATATAAAATTGGTGCCATGGTCTAGTGGTATGACGATAGATTGTGGTGAACCACAATCCAGGAACTAAACAACCTCTCTATTAGCCCCGGTTCGATTCCGGGTGGCGCCATATCTTTTTATTTTTCTATTTCTATTTCCCTTATAGGGAAAGATCAGGCTAGCTAATAAAACAAGCATGTTCACGTTTCTCTATCAAATTGGTGCCATGGTCTAGTGGTATGACGATAGATTGTGGTAAACCACAATCCAGGAACTAAAACACCTCTCTATTAGCCCCGGTTCGATTCCGGGTGGCGCCATATCTTTTTACCATGCAAGAGAAGGGGATCCAGGATACCGTAATACAACCGTAGTGCTACGGTATCGAGACTTGATACGGTATCTTATTGCTATCCATGGATGTACTCACTTCTTACAGTACTGTTGATACCGTATCACCAAAAATGCGGTATCCGGTCGTTGATACAGTGACACAGCAAAAATTTCACCGCTACCGCCTTCTTCATTAGGTACCGCCCGTTGTGCTTCAATTTTTTTGATTGATGGATTCGACCGGCAGATCGGGGCTAAAACTTTTGCTGTCACTGTACGTAGCGATACGTTAGTTGACGTAGCAGCCACCATTGAGCTATCTGTCCCTAAGTTGTAAAGGCAAGGGCTTATTTGAATGGTATATTCTTCTAGAGAACATCGAAAGGAGCGTTTGCTACCACATAGTGGCTGCTACGTATCAGCCGCTTGATACGGTAGCTCGCCTGATACCGTAGTGCAGCATTGTATTTTTCTATTTCCCTTATAGGGAAAGATGAGGCTAGCTTAATAAAACAAGCACGTGCACCTTTTTTTATCAATTGGTGCCATGGTCTAGTGGTATGACGATAGATTGTGGTGAACCACAATCCAGGAACTAAAACCTCTCTATTAGCCCCGGTTCGATTCCGGGTGGCGCCATTCCTTTTCTTTTTTCCCCCAAGATGTTAGGGCAAGCAAGTTGTTAATAAATGGACGTTGTACACACGAGGTGGTAACTCCTCGGTGAATATTGAGAGCGACAACGGAGCAAGACATCCTTTTCTTCATTTCTACTGACTCTTTTACACCTGGCCCAGATTTCATTGCAGATAGAACAATTCGATAAACAGTTCAACAGTATAGAAGTTACCTGGTTGCAGATTTTCCCACCCCCTCCTCTCTCTCTGACCGAAGACAATCTCCCCAGTCAGAATGGCAAAGTATTCATCGTAAATGGGGGCTATTCAGGAGTTGGCTTCGAGCTATGCAGAATTATTTATCTAGGAGGAGGAACAGCGTATCTTGCCGGTCGGTCTGAAAAAGAGGCATTGGATGCGATTTCGAAGATGAAAAGCTTGTGTACCTCGACTTCAATTAGCAACTAATTGTCTTGGGCGGCATCTTTTTACCCAACTTCTTCTGCCGATACTACGCCGCACGGCTGAAATTACACCTGTTGCCAGTGTATGGGTTATCTAGACAGCATCGATTGTCGTTGATGCATTTGCGCTTGAGACCGGGATAGAGCTTGCAGAAGTATTCTAGACAGATGCGGATATATCACGCCATTACCTCAACACCAAAGTGGGAAACTGGTTTTTGGCAGATGCCCTCGCGAGCCAGATTGGTGGAAATGGGGTATCAAGCTTGGTGCAGAACCCAGGCAACATCAAGACAAACACCATGCGCCATAGTTAGGTTTTTGTTCCTTTTATGCTTGGGCCCTTCCTTTATGCCACTAGGTCTGTGACATATGCTGCAATCTGGTCTGCTTTTGCTAGTGATCTAAAAATTGGTGATGAGGGGGAGTATGTCCTGCCCTGGGGGCGTATACATCCGGGTCCAAGAGCTGATTTGTTGCGAGCTATGAAGGGAAAAGAAGAGGGGAGCACTAGGGATGCAGCGGCGTTTGTACAATATTGCGAAAATCAGAATGCTGCATTTTTATAGGTGCTTTACCTTTGGACTTGGGCATCTTTTCGGGAGATAGTGAAAGAAGATCGTTCATTGATGAGCCAAAAAGCCGAAAGATCCAGTCTCAATTTTGTGTTTATTTTTAAGATCTTTATCAGTACCTGACCGAGGATGGCTTGGGTCTTGGGCTTGTCAATGGACACTAATTAAACAGATTTCCTTTCACGCCGTCGAGCCTTTTGGAATTCGGTCAGATCTACCTTCTCATAACTCAATCCTATAAACGGAACAGCATATTCAAAGAAAGATTACAATGCAAAGCCGGCAAAGAGGTCCAACAAAAGCTTCCAGCGCCAATCATTCTTCATGTTCCTGAAGTGTCCACAATGTAGCGCTCGGCTTTCTCCATGCGCGTGGTTGTTCAGAATGACACCTCCGATGTCGTCTTTCAGCCATGAATCTTGCTGCGCCGACTCTAACCACAGACGACCTCCCCCTGTCTGAGTCCGAGAGAATAGCCTGCTCAGCCAAATCATGGGGTGGTCTCAAACCAGACATTATATATGGATCACCGGATCTTATATCCGAAGGTACGACAACCAAAGAGCGAGTCTTGTTCAAGGGCGGCCGACGTGTCAAGCGACGCAGAACACTCCGGTATGACTGTTTCATCTGCCCCGACGACCCCGACAGCGAGCTCTGATCGCTTTGTCCCTTGGTGGCTGATCGGAACCAGAGCCGAGACATTCGTTTTGGTTGGCGGGAAAGTTCTGGCATTCCCATATCAACGTAAAGCAACTCTTCTGTGCTGAGCGGGACCGCTGTGGCTTGTTGAAAAAACAGTGGGATATGAGTTGCGGGGCCATCGCCTGGCTTGGATACATGTATCTCTAGGCCGCGAGGTTCCCGCATACACAGTTCTGAGCCGCAGAGGGGCCATGTGTGGTGCCTTCTGTGGTGGCGGGTATGTGGCATATTGGAGAGGAAGAGAAGAGGGAAGGGTTAGGTTGAACGAGATAGTAGCGAGACTATCCTGGATTCATGATGTGTATTTCAAGTTAGAGGAAGATAAACTAGATCAGATAAACAGGGATATATATTTGGCTGGCAGAACGCAGCTTTATAAAGCCGACGGGTAGCATATTTAGGTAGCTTGCACGTGTAGAGCTATACATTATTCAGAGGCTTTTCCGGGTGACCAAAGACTCATCTGCAAGTGAAAATGACCAAGGCACATATAAATTAGAATATCAGGATCCGGGAAGTTCAGGATTCAGGTGGCGAGCAGATTTACGAGGAAAAACAGACGAGAAAGAACGAAAGAATAACTTTGTGTAAGTGTCGTGTTAAGCACTTTTTTGTATTAATAACGATAAGTTCAAGTTATTTCTCATTTTGAAATAGAATCTCTTGCTATGTCGGGCCCCTAAAGGAATGACCTCCTAACCTGATGTGGTCAAGAGGACGGCAGAGTGTCCCATGACAGCAACGGCCCGACAAGGTACAGGCGTTGGTTGTACTTCACTATATGACTCAAAGTGTCCAAATATAGCTAATTTTTGATGTCACTAAATTCATCTGTAACCATAGTCTGAGAGATGACCTGCAAGATTAACCTAAACCTAATTATGTATGTATTTAGGTAAGCTAACTAAGTACTCAATACTTTGGTCTAAGAGCAACTCGCACAATAAAGGCAAGTACCCAATACTTGTAAAGTACTGAACTTGAAGGAAACCAGGAGTATACCCCAGTGTGCGCTGCAAATGACTAGAACCATGTTGAACCAGACTTCCATCTATCCGAGACCAGATAACAGTCAAATATTCGCCATCTACCCCACTCACACACCGGCTGCATGTCTGTATCATGTTGCAGCACTAAGCGAAGGCGAAATATTTACACAAAACAGACTATTCGCCACTAATACTTACAAGGGTCTTACCTCAATAGGTTAGTAAGTTGATCTGTCTAGCGAGTATAGATAGAGTATAAATTTCTGGATGTTTGGACTGGATATCTAGTCCGGTTGGGCCTGTTGCCTTTTCCTCGTGGGCTTTTTTGTTCTCTTTGTAATCTATGAGGCGATGAGAACATGTATCTTTGCCTATGTAGGGAACCTAATGTCTATAGGTATTCTACACGACGCTCGGTAATATGTAGGGGCATGTGACCCGCTCATTAATATACATTTTATGCAAATCCCGTGAATATATTAAGCTAAGCAGTTGCGCATAAGGCTCCATTCTAGTTATTTGATCACACCCAGCAGACATACTTGCTCTATATAGAAAGAATGGTTGGAGATATCTCAAGCCCTATTTCGAAATTAGTACATTGTAGTTTGCCAGCTTCTTTTCTCATGCAAGACATTTTTGAAGGGGTATCATGATAATAATCGGACTACTCCCGAGGTCTGAATTAAAGGTTTTCCCAATCCGGCCGAAGTGCGAGGCTCTCCGTCCCCGCAATAAGACTGGTGTGTTCTCTTTTGATCCTCTTCTGGTTCGGAGGCGTAGTCTGGATATCTTCCGAATATGTTTTGAACCTACCAGACGTATAGGCAATGCGGGGTTCCTACATACTAAGTACCTAGTAGTGGATACACTCGAACCGAGAACCCTCTACTCGGTTTATCATGAACCAGAGAAGAACCTCGGAAACTGTGTGAGGTCGGGATCAAACCTCGGGGTTTGCCAAAGCCCGGTGATCCCGGAAGCCGACGCTAGGACGGTCAGTGGAGAAAAACCCCGAGTCCCTTCGTGTGAAGCAAAGGAAGAAGATCATGATTTGTTTTGAATACCTGATTATATCTGCAGCTAAATTGAAAATCTGCAGAGATTAACATTTGGTTCGGTTTGGGTTAGTGTATGCGCTAATAGATAGAGGAAAACCCATCCGAGACCAGAGATAGGCGCTAAAAAAATGCAATGGGGAGTATGCATGCAGAAATTATCTGAGAAAAGGTGGGTATAGAGCGCCCGAGACTAGTTGCTGGAATTGAATTTGTTTAAGAGAAATTTATTACTATCCTCCGTGTGGCCAAAACCCCCTCATCCAAGGTTCTGGTACAGGCTAAACATGAATAACGCGGAGATCCCCGAAGCAAAAAAAAAAGGGAAAATGCTATATGTCCTTCAGTCACGCACGCTGCCATGCCGCGATATCCGCAGCGGAGATATCCAAGTTTTCGGCCGTGAGCCGCTGAAGTCGTGCCAGCTGAGTGGGAGCTAAAGTTTTGAGTGTAAGCAAGAGTCCGAAAGTGGCGAGCAGGAGGGGCTAAATGTTGGCCCTAAAGGGAAACCCGTCATGGCGGGAGAGGGGCAGATCACAAAAGAACGGGAAAGAAGATGAGACGCGGAAAAAAGGACCCGGAACAAAGCAAAAACGACCGAAAGCAAGGAAGGGGATTGACCCACTTGGCCGTTGGGCAGCCGCACCGGCGTGCACATGGATTATCGTCGAATCAACATACTCCTTCGTTACAACGCCGTTGTACGAAGCCGCGCTAAGCATCACTCGCAGCCGAAACTTGCCTGGCTGCGAGATAGTGAGAGGGCTGAGTTTTGCATATCCGCTCATTGCGCTATCGGTGCGGCTCCGCACGCTTGCTGTGAGATTCCCGCTCAGGCCAACGGCAGCTCCTGTGCCGGCTTCGTCGCGGAGGGAGGCGCTCACGACAAGGTGCTGCACATTTTGGGCGGGTGTCCCGATTGGGTTCACGGCAATGACTACTGGGATTGTGAAGGGGAAACCGGGCTGGGCGGCTGTTGGGGGAGTAGTCTCGAAGGACAGTGTGAATTCACGGCCGGCCATTTTCACTTTTGTTGGATGGTATGGTGCTTTGGGGCAGAGGAGTTGCCTTGGATCACTTATTGATAGAAAAGAGTTTAAAGCTCGAAGACCTGCTTCAATCCAATCGAGGAGTAATGGGAGTGGAGAGATCGTGGAACTGTAACCGTGAAGTATAATTCAATAAGATTAGGATGCAAGAGAGGCAAGAAGAATAGGGAGAATGATTGGTGAGATGGATGAATATAAGAATCAGGTCAAGTATAAACATGGCCGTACCCTGGGCTTCATATACCTCATGGCACTCGCCGAGAATCAATAACGGACATACTTTGGACCCATAACCTCAATTGTTTGGCAAGTCACGATGGGCGCCACGGGAATGTCGCCACCATCCAAAAGTACACAATTAGCCTGGGGATGGTCGGTGACCAGGTACTTGGGATGGCCAAGGGAGCCACCATGCCCGCAGAAACAATATTTGTGAGCTCAATAAAAGGTCTGCTCGGCATACTGCAGGATCCTTGCAGCAGCACGTTCCGGCAACGGAATCGAACAGTGGGGCGAGTGTGGACTGCATAGTACTTTGTTCCTGTTTGAGCGGATCGACGGGTACGCGTCCTAGTAGAATATCAGATGTGGAGAAGGTGCATCTGTGAGATCGAAGATGCACTGCAGGAGATCTGAAGCTAGTGTTAGGATCGACCCTAGGTTTTCGTCACGACAGGGGTTCCACCATGATCTGTACAACGTAGATGGTTTGGCCCTTTCGCGCATGTGGAAACCTGACAAATTTGACAGGGAACCGGCTTGGCATGTATGATGGACGTTCATGTGCGAGGATACGAGTTGTGAATTTAGACACAACCTCAAGGCGATGGGGTCGTGCCTCGGGGTCTATTCTTTCAATAGTTCTGTGCACGGATCAAGTAGAGGGTCTCAGACCAAAATTTTTTTGGTCTTTATCGCAGCATCGGTATCTTGTTATTCGGTTGCTGGCATCTGGTGAGTCGCCAGTGTCATGCCCGGACCCTTACTTGTTGGATGTGGCGCACCACTAGTATGCAAGTCTCTCATCTTGGTCATCGTACATATAAATGGAGTAGGTTTGTTATGGAGGTGCCTACCCCCGCCTAGACCTAGTTGGACAAGATCCCCGAGTAGGATCAAAGGAGAAAGAACATCAGACCGCAATTTCTGGATTTCCAAGGTTCCAAGTTGTCTAGCCCCTTTAATCAGCAAATACAAGCCACACCATAACGGTGAACTGTGGCGTTGTAGAGTCAAGTGGACATCGTCTTCGCCACTCGGAAACACCGACATATCCCACTCGAACCCCGAAAGCCTATTTTGTGCTATGAGAATTCTCATTCATTTTCAAGTTCTATTAGAATTTTCATCTTTCAACAGTGTTGCCTAACGGAGGTAGAAAAGAGGCGTTGGATTAGGGCGTTCATACTTTACTATCTTGAACATTTTTGACGAAATGCATAATCAGCCTCACTGGCCCCCGGCCGAGACTCGGCTTTTGATAGAGATTCCATGTGTATGCAAGTTTGGGATCTGAAGTAAACTCCACAAGCAGCTTGAACCATCTCTGTGTGACCCTATCATATCCTTCATGTGATGGGCGATCGTCCCGACGATCTCATCAATAATTCAAATCAGTCGAGGCCCCGCCGCCGCGACGGGACGAAACCATACCGGAAAATGCGATATTCTTTGCTTTTGGTGGTCGAAACCCGTTGGGCAGAAGATTGTGACGCAGGCATGCAGAATAAAATCTGATCCCAAGTGCTGGGAAAAGTGAGGTAGCTGCGAGACACTGACTAGAAGAGAAAGCTAATCATCATCCTGAAAAGAAACATATCAGAACTGTGAATGACGATACCCAACGAATATGCAGAACCTGAAGCCCAACAAAAAGCAAAACAAAGCAAAACAGGGACGCAACCTTCTTTCGAAAGTCAATAGTTCGCACCGCCACTATGTCAGCCGTAAGTGGCTCGAGCGTGGCTGATTAGTGGCTAGAACTGCAAGGAGTGGCTGAATCGGTGTGGCTGTGGATCAGGTTCTTTCCTAATTGGGCAGGTGGACATGGGCCGAGAGTTCTCGGATCGCTGATCATTTCATAGGTTCATCTGAGATATATTTTGCCCATCTACTTTGCCGATCTCCAAGATCTTGTACGAGGTTGGCATGTGAAAGCAAATCTGATATGATATTTTGGTATTAGAATTTGGAGCTTTGTTAGCGTCACTGCGAAGGTATTTCGCCACTTAAAGGTATCTGCCTACCATAAAATACCATCAGAGTTAGACGAGACGGTGAAGAAGCGAACTTTTGTGGTCGAGAACTTCAATGAACTATGCATAAATGTGAGTCAAACTACCACCTACATGGATGATTACTATTGTAGATGCCGGCCAAAAGTACAGAATAAGTCACGTAGACATGAAGTCTGACTTGTGGAACATTGTCTCACTCGAACAGAAACCTTCTCCACAACTGAGACCAGAGCCCTTGGTAGAGAGAATTCACTACATTGTATCCCATATCAACACTGAAATATCCTTTGCCCGCAAACACAGGTCCTCTTAGAATCCTTGACCTTAGCCGGGAAGGAAGGTCGATTCTAGGGAGCTGGGCACCTTGATAACAGCACGAGAGGACAGGAGTGCATCCTGTAGCTCTAGATTGACACCTTCACACAAATGTAAATTTGGGTATTGATGGTCTTTTTATCCTTCAAACACAGCTCGAGAGTCAATAGAACTAGTCTAGCATGGTTCGACAAGATTTAAAAAAGGCCGACAAGCCTATCGTCTGAATGGATTTCGGCAAAGCTGGCTGCATTGGTTGCTAGTCCCAATGTCAAATAGGGATGCTTTATGTCAACGCTTATTCACAGTCCCTAAGATAGCGAACCTGCACTGCCCAAGAATAGCCCAAGAAATCTTGCTATATATTGCTTACACATAATAGAGTATGAGAGTGACCCGCTGCCCAAAAATGCATTGAACGGCAAGAATTATTGAGGAGAATTATAATACACCGAATGTGGTTCACTCCGCGCGTCCGATTTGGCTGGCAATATCAATATAAATTCAATCCCTGGCACTGACGGCGTTTCTCACGTTCAATATTAAATATTGACGCTCTTGCTCGTCCTCGATGGGTCGTGACTTGGATGAACCGCAAATAGCTCGGTATAGATAGACGTGGAATATCAAGCATTGTAGAGCATTTCGCGACCGCCTTGTAGTATTTGCCATTGAATTTTCATTACAGGAATAATATTCTGAAGAAATATGGCTGTGATGAATGTATGCAGAAAACATCGAAGTAAGATATGGTAGAAAGGTTCCGTGCATCACTTGCTGCTTCCTCATCTCTCACAACCTCTCTCATTTGCACATTGCGAGAAGACAGTCTTGACGACACTTTGTGCTATATATTCTTACTGATTCCTGGATAGTATACCCAGGCTTCCACTAAATGGCGCCACTAGCCACTCGACAGAGTCACTCCTTGGTTCCTGGTATCCCACGTCTCCCCGCACGACCTCCAAACACAACAGTCAAAGTCCATAAGGAAATTGACCCTATGGTCATCATTGAGCTATTTGTCGGAACCGTTGGAATATTCATAATCGCAGTCCTGTTTTGGAAGCTTGGGGGGTTCATCAGACGATTCAATCGAAACAAGGTGCTGAGAGCAGGCAAAAATACGAACACCCGATACGCACGCACATGGTATGGCTGGGTCACGCAGCCGACACACGAGAGAAATAAAAGGGTAATTCATGACTTCTTCGCTCGAATTTGGAAGTCAACCACGTGGAAATCGACTCGAGACGACTATAGTTGGATTTGGTGGGATCCTGGCGATGTGGAAAAGCAAAAGCACCGTCGAGAACAGAGAGGATTTCGTTGGCTACCAGATTGGCTCAAGAGCTATGATGATTTTCCCACTGCCGATGAAATCTGGAATCCTTGTTTGCGACCCAAGTGTCATGGAGCTTTGAAGGACAGTGTTCCAATGCCCCAGCCTGTTCCAGTGCCGGGCTCTGTGCGGCGGCCGCAAGCGCAAGAGGACATATCGGGATCAATCCTGCCACGGCAACCCACGTTGATCAATAATCAACCAGTTATCAGTCGTTCAATTCTAGAGGAACTTCTCAGGGACCCACTGCAGCCAAACGATGGCAGTTCGGATCATCAACCCTGGTTCAATTCTTGCAAGAATGCAGCGAGGCCAGCTACCTGCGCACCGATGCGGTTCCGTCAGGTCCAATCATTACCATCTCAACAAAATAAATCCTACCAGACCCGAGGATCAATCCCATGGTCGCGTGGTGAGGGATCCCAAGATATCTCATGTCAAATCCAATCTGTCGTGCAACATGAGGGGATCCAATATGAGCCAGCGGATCCGGGTGGCTCAATGCACACAAAAGAACCCAAACCACTTAATCGACATAGTAATCACCGCAGATACCGTGGATGGTCAGCACGAATGCAGATGGGGCCAGAAGAGGAAGTTCTTGACAACAACATAGGGGATTCATCTGGCCCTCCTGGGACGCCAAGGACCGAATTGTTGGTCAGCTATGTCTCGGACCCGAGCTCTTCTCTTCGTGGTCACCTCAAGCGGCTGCGAAATAGCACCGAAGGGCGCTTGCGTATCTCAGAAGATGGAACATCGTTCAGTTCCAGACTCCTCATTGGAAATCCAGTTTTCTTCTCAAGTGAACGGCGGAGATATACCAAAACCATCCAATGGAATTCGGCTCCAGCAAGAAGTCATTTCCGAGGAACAGGGACCAATTCGAAAACGAGACCAGCATTGTCTGATGAATGGCGATTTATGTGTGACCCAAAACATCCTGTCCTCTCCCGTCGTAAAGGGAAAAGCCCGGAAATAGACGTCACTCGATGCTCTGCGGATCAAATCCAGCTCAAAACGGGAGGCGCTGTCGATGAGTTGAGTGATTGGGAGGTCAGAATGATGGAGAGGCTGGATCGAAAACTGTTATGGCTCTTCAATGAATTCACACCAGGGCAAAAACCATACCATTTTGCCTTGCTAGCCAACCACTGGCTGAATAGAGAAACATGGTTTGTTTACGATCCCGTATCTAGGGTTCCCACTGATGCACGTCGGATATGGGGAGACCCGCGATTCAACGTTCCTTATCCAGAGCCAGTTTTCAGCCCCAGACCAAAGTACCCTGTGTCCACACGGAAGCGCGCGCAGACTCCTCGTATCGACTCCTGGCGGGCCGCAGTGAATAATCAGCGGAAGGTGTCTGGCATACGAGACGCCATTCGCACTGTTACACTGTATGATGAATCAGCCGAGGAACCGCCAGATGGTCATATCGATCCAGGCTGCTGGGTTTTGCCGAAACCACCTCAAGGCTTTGAGATGTCCACTGCGCAGAAGAACGCCTGGTATGAAGGAGGGGCAGGCTGGCAAGAGAAGCTTGATGATTGGCAGCAAGTCCACCGGGGATATCGTGTCCACAAAGCCCTCCACGAAGGCCGAGTCAATCGGGGCAGGGCAAAGGAAGTGGTAGCCCAAGTCAACAAGTGCTGTCGTACTGCATCCGGGAAATTAATCCCAAGCTATGATCTTGGGAAAACAAAAGCTCCAAACTTCCTTGTCTCATGATTCTTTTCGAACCGCTCGCTTTTCACACCAGTCCCTTATATTCATTTGTCCTTCCTCACCTGTTACCCAATCAAGTTTCGCACTCCACACTCATTTGAAACGCACTCAAAATATCCATCACTTCTGGTGCCATACGTTCACTACCACCATGTCTGTCGTTGCATCTATATCATTAGTATACAGCCGGAACCACGGAATCGAACACAAATAAATATCCTTGCCAAATGCATTTGAATTCAAAGCCTGATCTAAGCGCTGGGGTAATCATGGAACATTGTAAGCCACCATCCTCTTCAGAGCGGCCGCGCTGCAAATTCCAAAAAGCCAAAACTCCGGTTGTCCATATGTTGTTTTTCGCTCCGGCAAGTCCCCTGCCAGAGTCGAGTTTCGGATGTATAGTACATGTGCGGGGGAGAAAAATCCGTTTAGAAACCGGGAGGGTTGACACGTTGGCTGACACGAGTCCACTTGGGCAGCTCTGAAGGTAAAGAAAGTGGTTAGCTCAGCCGATCCACACAGTAACAAATACCAATTGGTGTGAACATGTGAAGTAGAAGTGGGACAAGAACATACTGTGAATGCTCTTCCGGTAGCTCTTCTCCTTCTTATCGAAGAGAGTGTACTTGTCCTTCGGCAGCATTTCCTCTTCGCGCGGCATCTCCGCAAACCACCGGCTCACAGCCTTGGAGGTCTGACCATTGCGCTCAAGTGCGGCGCTGACGGTGTCAACGACCCGGTCCACGGAGCGCAGGCGCTTGCGCTGTCGTGCCTTCTGAGGGGAGGAGAGACGCCACGGGGTCTTCCTATTATTTGGGAAGGGTGTTAGCCTGGGTTCGAATTGGGACATTGGTCAAAGGGCCAGAAACGCACCAGAGAAGACCGCCAAATAGTGCTTGGGTTGATTTAAACATCGTTGGTTGTTGGTGCTGTTAGGGTGTAGCCGGGAGAAAATCGTGCTCGGAGTCGGGAGTGTAGTTGGTCCGTGCGCTGAATGTATACAAAAGTTACTGATGGAATGGTGAATTTACTAATTAATACAATTGATATAGGGAGACTGGAGAACTCGTGTGACTTGGACAGTAAGCCCAAATTGTTGATCCTAAATTATAACTAGTCATATTATTAAATAAAAAAATGGGAATGCTGGCCTCTGGTGGTTTACTGTGAATGGTTACCCCAACCAAAATCATGTGATTCCGGTAATCTGTCGATTTCCAGGGACGCGATATTTTTTAAAACTACACTTGAGTCAATTTCAACTGCTCTTCGGAGAACATACTCCTTTCCAAGCTACTATTAGCTTGTGCAAAGCTTCTTCTTGTTCATGGATTGTGTATAGCAGTTTTACACTATCCACCATGGACTCGAACGCAACGGCAGAGGCCCCCTCCCTCCCTTGGAGGGCTTTATCCAACACAACAATGTGGGGAGTGGCGGGTCTATGTCGTGGTTTCCTTTCGGTTTTCTGTCATGCAGAATGTCACGGGAAAGAAACATTCACGGAGCTGTTAGACTCTCGGCATGACGTTTCGCAACGGACACGAGGATTGATTACAGGTATGTCGGGACACAGCAAAGTTCAATAGACCCAGTGCAGTTGCTAATTGATTTATCTGAAAATAGTATCCAATCACATTAGCGTGTACGTGCCTCCAACAGCCTCGGACCGAGACAATCCATACTCCAAATGTGAAGATGGCTGACATTGCGCCGGAATACCAGAATGGATGACCCGTTACTATGGGGTATTTTGCCTCCGCGATTTTGGAATAAGCGGTGGTCTTTTGGAAGCTACGATATTTGTTATCAGACAAGGTATTTAAAAGTTTACCCGAAAGCTTCTATGGATTGTTTTGCTGACTGGAATAATCGCAGACCACTGGCACTCTTCTTCACTATGGGACAGGTCCTGCCCACTCACCGTTCCGCGCATTCTACATTCGGTGGCCTAGCTCAACCCGCTATCACTGAGGCTATTCGCTTGTTATCGAAGGGTCCTTTCCCCGTTGACCACCACCGCGCCAAACCTGAACGTCAGCGCTGGAGCTTGCACAATGTCTGTGTCGATCCCTTCTCGGACCTCTCAGTCGCCTATACAACCGATGGCAAGGACTCACACATCGCACCTACCGCATACTCCTGCAACTCGAATTCGTGGGTTCATATCTTCCCCGAAGGCAAGATTCACCAGTCACCACGAAAGACCATGCGCTATTTCAAGTGGGGAATCGCACGGCTCATTTTAGAGCCCAAAGAGTGTCCGGATGTGGTTCCGATGTGGATTGAAGGCTTCGACGATGTCATGCACGAGAGTCGCGAATTCCCGCGATTCCTTCCTCGGCCTGGCAAAGATGTTAGCGTTACCTTTGGCTCCAAGGTGGACTCGGATGTCGTATTTGGGGAAATGAGATCTCGGTGGCAGAAGCTGAAAGCGAAGGTCGCAAAGAGCCACCCCGATTCCCGAGATCTGCCCCTGGGTGTGCTAAGTGATGAACTGCTGAATGATAAAGAAGCTGTCGAGCTACGCAAAGAGGTCACCTTGAAGATCAGGAACCTTGTCTTGGACGTTCGCCGATCGCGCGGATTGCCCGATGAGGACCCGAAGGAGGGCCTGGTGGATACCTGGCTGGAAGAGGGTGCCCAACGTGAGGGCCATATGAAGGACGATTCCTGGGTTCGGGACATCTGAGGCCGTGTGCATAGATTGTATAACATTGTATAAATTTTATTATGAGCAACAGTGAGTCACGAGCATAGACTCACTTTCATGCTTTGCCCAGGTGACTCATGCGGACACTTTCCGCCTGTTTTGTAAGCCCTAAATGTCAGCCTCCTGCGCTATACCCCGTTAAAGGCAAACTGATCAAATGTGGGGGCGATAAGTGATAAAGGCGGGAAAGCATGGAGACACTTCACTTCGTCAAACTCGCAGCTCGACCGCAGATGCCCAAAAAGCACCAGCGGTTTCACGCAAAACCGGCCAACTTAGCACATCACAGTCTTGCACCATCTAGGTCTCGTCATGATGGCGGGTCTGGGGTACAGGGCTCCGCGTCAGCGACGTCAGTCAACGACTTAATCAGTCACCTCCGCCGTACACAGATCCCTAGTGGTTCCTATGATGATTCCCCAAGCCCACAACGGGCTCAGCGCTCGTTTGTGGCTCCGCGCTCAGTTCATCCATCTCTTCGAGATGTACTTGAGCTCCCTGAAACCGCGCCGCCGCGACCTCGCCCCGGTCCCCGCCGCACGGTATTCGGGGTGCGTCCAACTCGACCAACTGTCGGGCCTCCGGCGCCTGCAAGTTGGCTGTCCCAAAATACAGATTTGGCGGGAGACTATGGATTGCATGACCAGATGCCTGGAGCCTTAGAGGAGGAAATCCACCGGCTGACCCGCCTCCCGGGGCCGCAGTTTCCGGACCAGAAGAGCCTGGTACATCTGACGCTGAAAACCATGGCTTTGAACTGGTGTTGGCATGTTGAATATGATGGCCCTTTTTTGTCTCATCTTCCAAATCATATCAAGGAACTGCTTCTGAGTTATGTTGCTGTCTACGCGAGAGGCTCACCTCTGAAAGGGTACATGAAGGGGCTGAAGCCGCTCTTTTTGACCCGGCAGGATCAGGATCAAATTGGCGAGGAGATACCGGGTTTCAACGAGGCGAGAGCTGTTGACGGGGATTTCAAAATCGTGCGATTGGACCTGGGGAATGCTCTGGGAAACTGGATAACTTTGAAGCAGCTCACACACGAGGTGATCATCTCGCCAGCTCCAGCCGTGGGTTTCTCAGATCACGAAACAGAGGATGCTGTCCCAGTTTCATGGGATGAATATGCTCACAACGGCAGAGGGGAAGCTATTTTTGATTATCTTCCAGCTCCGTCCATGCCCAAGGCCATTACACAGACTCTACGCTTCCCCGAACTCCGCGCCTTATCCCTAGCACACCCGACACCTAGTGCTGCAAGCTGGACCGGTCTTCTCAACCTGCTAGCACATTTGCCAACACTCACTCATCTCTCGCTTGCCCATTGGCCTATACCGTGCCGGAATCCACGCACTGCTACTACTCGCGTTCGCGGCCCAGTGGCCCGCTTCTTGACTCCAGACGCCCTTGACGACAACTGGGCCGAAGCTGCGAGTATACTTCGTCAACTCTCCCGTTCGACCTACTGCCTGAAATGGTTGGACCTCGAGGGCTGCGGCGAATGGCTACCAGCCTTGAAATGGGTTGGGAAAGACCCGGATGGGTTTCCACAGAGCCCTGATAATGTTGGCCCAGAGTGGAACGGATCTTGGAGAGATGTCGAATGGCTTGGGATCGGCCCTGGCTTTCTGGATTTGACGAAGTCTCAGGACTCGTCCCATGTGCCGTCCTATGAAGTCCCCGACCCGCAAACACGCTCCTCGGATTCTTCTATCTATGCAGATCACCTTCAAAATGCGCGTGATGTGCTGAGGCACATTCGGCAGATAAGGAGGGGGAGGAAATGGCTCGAAATCGAGCTCGGGTTAGGGCTGGAAGATGTTGAGCCTGAAATAATCAGATCGCTGGATGGTCAGGAATTGTCGGTTTATCTATGAGGGTGCTATGCGCGCAATGTAACACATATATGTACAATGCATGTCACTGAACAGAAAAAGAAACCATCCTACGCATGTAACCGGAAACGCAAATTGAAAACTATTTTATTCATGTCTGACTATACAATGGTATCCGGACAAAACGCCCGCAGATTTTAAACTATGCAACTATTTCTTCGAACGATTAAACGTCTTCAGGGGATCAACCTTCCCACCAGACTTTCCACGAGCACGGTTGCGATCTCTCGCCTTGCGAATGCGATTCTGCTTCGACTTCGTGAACCCAACGAACCCAACACTCTCCTTCGAGAGACCCTTGCGTCCCTTGGCAGGCATCAGGTAATCAGGCACATGCTTGAGATGAGCCTGGACACGTGCAGCGCGCAGCTCGCCGTCGTGGCGCAGCTGCCGCAATTCATCGGGGTTTTCCTCAAAATGGCGCTTGAGCTTTTCGCTCTTGATCAGTTCCTGGCGGATCTCGCGTCCTCGTGCTTCTTGCACTGCGAGTCTGGTCACGGAGCGCAGGGCATCCGTCATACGGTATCGGAAGGCGTCGACTTGCGTCATCTCGAAGTGGTAAGGCTTGACTTCGTGGCCGAGCTTGGTTTGCCGCTTGATGATCTTGGCGAGCAGGGTCTCGTCATTCTTTGTGCTGGGGATTGAGGTGGGTCGGTGCTTGCCATGCTGCTCGGTGGGGATAACGAAGGAGAGGGCCATTCCTGCTTTGCCAGCGCGGCCGGTACGTCCGATGCGGTGGGTGTAGGATTTGGAGCTGGTGGGGAGGTCGAAGTTGAGGACGCAGGCGACATTTTGGAAATCGATGCCGCGAGCAATGCTGTAGTCCTTTTCTTTGCTGGTCATCTTGCGGCGCTTCTTGGTTTCCGGCTTCTTTCCCTTTCCGCTTTCATCAACTACCTCTTCATCCTCGCTGCTTCCCATCTCTTCCTTTGCTTCCTCTTCGGTTGCCTCCTTGGCTTCGCGCGACTTCTTCGATTTGGTCACTCCCAATACTGCTTGCTCGTCGGCTGCGACAATGATATCGTAGACGCCCTTATTGAATTCTTCGACAACGTGGATCCGCGAATTGATGGGGAGTTCTGAGTTGAGGACACAGCTCTTGAGACCGAACTGTTCGAGGAAGAGCTTCACACGGTAGCATCGGTCCACATCTGCTACGAAAATGATGACCTTGCCCTTGATCAGCTGCAGTTTGAAGATAACGTATGTGAGAAGGAATTTCTCGTCTTCCGCGCAACTGTTGGGAATTGAGTTAGCAACTGCTGAAATAACGGCTGTAGCATATTGTCTTACCGGACAACAAATTGGCTGACACCAGCACCCTTCTCTTCCTTCTCCTCTAGCTTAAGAATCACAGGGTTCCGGCAGTACAAGTCCTTCAATGTATCCACCTCCGAAGTGAGAGTAGCACTCATCAAGAATGTCTGCGCTCCTCGCGGGATAGCCTTGGAGAGAGCATTGATCTCCTCATCATATCCGTATGACAAGACCAGATCCGCCTCATCGATAACCAAATGAGTGACTTTATCGAGCGACAAAGCGGAGTTGTTAACATTGCTGTAAACTCGGGTAGGCGTCGACACAACGATATCCGGGAAATCGGCCAGCATCGAGCGCTGAACTTCATCAGACACCTTCTGTGTTAAGTTGACAGACCGAATATCCTTTCCGCAGAAACTGGCAAAAGACGTAATCACTTTCTGGACCTGTTCTGCAAGCTCGCGAGTGGGGACAAGGATAAGAGCGGTTGTGGCTTTTGAGGAGGGATCGGTCTGTTTGTACACGGTTAGGATACTTTCTATACGAAGTACTCATAGAGAGGGGAAAGAGTGAACGAACAGTCTTCTGCTGGAGGATGGCTTGCAAGATTGGGAGGACATAGGCGGCGGTTTTGCCAGAGCCAGTTTTCGCACGGGCTATTTCTGTCAGTAATTGTCCTTTGATTCATCGATTCAAGAGGCTCGTCTCACCAAGAATATCCTTTCCTTCCAGAGCGAGCGGAATCGCCTTGGACTGTACAAGAGTGGGTTTGGTGAACTTTTCCTTGATCAAGGCCTGGCGCAATCGAGGATCGAGATTGAGGGCTTCGAAGTCCAGTTCTTGGTCCTCAGCCCCAGCAGCCTCGGGCGAAGGGACATCGTTTGCGTCCAACTTGCGTTTCATCGTGATTGTACTAGGCATTTGCTTGATCAAATCTGCGGAAGTTGAAACTTTTTTGGGAAGATTTATCGGGCGGTGAGAATATTGCGGGCGGTAAATTGGAAGATTTTATGTTGACATAATCTTTGGTGCCTCAGGCGGAAACTCCATGGAACAACTACAAATGATCGAAAAGAAGTTTGTGAGTCTTTCAGACTTCGCTAGTCTAAATGCCGCATAATAGTCCTGTCGATATTTGTTGTGTAATATATACTATGGATATTCATAGACAAGTCATTTTTAGCCACCTACCCGCCCAGCCGAAAATATATCCCCGTAGTTGATATACATCCAGGGCTAGATATGAAATTTTTTTATGGAGTATCACCAATGAACCAAATGTTCCTAACTAATGAGCATAAAGAGCCTCTAGAACAGACATATTCCAAGATATAATACAGATATATCAACTTCAAAAAAGGTTGGCGAACAGCAGTACAACAACGAAGGCATACAGCGCACTGCGAGGCAGGACAAGGACAGTTTCTGCCTACGGACCATCCTGTAGATCACTCATCCTTAGCAGAAGCTAGGATTAGAATTCAAGATGAGATGATATTGACCTGTATGTACCCTAGAGTGTTCGAACCCGATATATCAAAACCAGCCTATAGCTCGCGGCGAGTACCCATGAAGTCTTCACTCGTTTTGCAACCATTGCAGCAGGATTCACTTATTGTGCAATTGTGATTTTCCTTTTCCAGTTGTCATAAACCACTGGTATCTCCAGTTATGGGGATATATACATAGTTCCCCGACATTCCTTGTGGTACTCACTGCAAGCGACATCATGTTGCCCTTCTTTTTCAAGATCGGATACAAATGTCATGAAATCCGAAGAATAAGCGTTCATAAGGAAATCGCTATTCATTGAATCAAATAACCGCAGGTGGTGCACACCATACCATGTATTTCCTTGCTGTAAAGACAAAATGAGCAGAAACAATATTTACAAAACCTGAATCAGATCTGGAGGCCACACCTTGTCCACTATAGGTAGTAATGGGTCTGAAATGGTGGATTAGTATGATACAATGCAATTGACGTTGGATGCGAATGTTCACACGTACACACACCAGCAGCAGCCCCTCTGCTCTTTGACCACGACCATGCGTTGGATGCTACTGTATATGGGCTCTTGATACTTGTCCCTGGTGAACGGGCTTGATGATGGAGGAGAAGCTTTCTCGCTGAGTATAGTTCCATGCCAACCTGTATTCTCATGCCAGAGCATCGAAAAGACCTATATGATTGCAATCAATTATTAGTAGGGCCTTAAAGATGAGACGCATTTGACAGGTAAACAAACCCTGCCAATTCGGAAAAATCTCTGAGGATCGCTCTGCCTTTTGTAGCCTGGTCCGTGTGAATTATCGTTAGTTTATTGTTTCGGGTATGCATGAAGCGTGCCTAGGCCGTTGCTTACGAGGATCCAGCGTCTCACGTTCGCCGTTACTGCCGGGGATCACGTATGCTGGTTCCAATGAATTTTGCTACATCTCAAAATCAGCCAATCAATCAAGGAGGAAGCAAGAAATCATTACTCACCACCTCCATGTCATACTTTCGTTGGACATCTCCCAGAATGAGGTCATTGCGGTGACTGTGACTGCTGGCCCCATAGGGTAGCACCATATGCGAGGCTGGATGATCCCCGGGACTAAATCCCTGCAGATCATCGACGTGGACTCGCGCAATGGATGCATCACTTCTTGACGAGGTGGTGGCTTCGCCACGGTCGGATATGCTTGCACGCCCTGTTCTGCGACCGGTTGTTTCTCTGGCTACCTCGTACAGCATTCCGGGCTCCATTCAGGCGGACTGCTCGCCTTGTCATTTGTTACTGTTCCTTCACCTAGGTACATGCCATCATGCACACGATGATTGGGGGGCTGCTGGTATCCGGTGGGTGGAGAGTGGTGATTGAAATCCATTCGATCATTGGTATATGTGTGGCCGTAATCGAGCGGGTCCTGCCGCTGTACATGATCTAGGCGACTTGCATGACAGCTTGGTCCTGGAACGAATGGGGCCTGATGCCCATATGCATCTTTGTGCTTGGGAAATGCGGACCCGGAGGTGCTTCGTTGGCGCGCCGCGACGCTTTTATTAAACGCATTACTTCCCTGGACTTCCCACACGAAAAGAATGAAGAACTAACCTTGAACCTTGACCTGCTGTCGCAGGAGTTAACGCGCCACCTGGGTAGTCCCATTCGTAAAGAAACTCTCCTTCCGTTTTGGTCGGTTACTGCAATCATTCTTCATGTAGCCCGTGATGCTCACCTGAATGGTTGTAGATGGATCGAACCCATCGGTTGCTCTCAGGATGAAGTACCCAGTCCGAGGCCGTGGTTTTTACATATCTGAACAAGAAATTAGGAATTGAGGAAGATCAGGCAGACAAAATATAAGACTTGGGGTTTCTATATTTTTCATCTGGAACTCCTCAACTACCCATACCATGCGGCTCGGACAGTTCACATCAACAGTCTCTCAATAGACATACATATAGGAGTATATGCATGGCGCGTATGGCACGGATCAAGTTGGTCTGTTGGCAAGCGCTCACTCGCGGAAAAGAGAATTTGGCAACCTGCACATGATCGCGGACCCTAAGTGGGATCCCAATGAGATCCCAGATGAATGAGGGGAATAACTTATTTGGTGGCTGATATACCTCGAATGCTTTGGCTCACGATTTACCATTGCCCTCGGGGAAACCAACCGAACAGTGAAGCGCGGGCGCTAATGCAATCCAGGAAGATTACGGAATAACGGTCATTGGAGATTTCCATTTGGGCACCAAAGCGTAACTGCGCCTTTAACAACCTCACCCCACTAGAACCCTTAGTTATCGTGTGACTTGACTCCGAGGACAAAGCTTCTCTATTTCCTGCTCTTTAAAAATTGCACGTTTTATCAATAGCATTGTTTCCCCCAGGGCTGTTCAACCTTGCTTACCAACATTCGAATGTGTCGATCTATAATCTCCTTAGCGAAATATGACCGGGTGGTACTTTGAAACGCTTTAACAATGGCATCTTGGCCAGGGGTCATACGGGATCGTTTATCCCAGGTGAGTTAACCTATATCAATATGCATTATACTCGAGGCTCATCACGGTCTCACTATGTAGCCGCCATCCACGGCAGACTGCTGTACCAGCACTAGAAGTGAAGTCTGCCTTCCCAACCTTTCATTTGCACCAACTTCATGGCGGGAGGAGCTGCAAGGGGGCGCTCGAGCATCGAGCTCCGCAGCAGCGGAAACTCTGCACCGATTATCGCCACTTCCTTCATGTGGTTCTGCTCCAAGAACAACATCAACAGCGCCAATATTCGGCTTTGCCGGACTAGACTTGGTAGACAAGGAGGATGAAGCCACGAAAAGCGAGTCCTGGTCACCACGAAATCTCCAACAATGGAATGAATATGATGCTTTGACCGAGTCATCCGTGCCGTCCTTCCAGTTCCAATACTCCCCGGAAATAGATGAGCCAACCAACTGGTATGACATGCCTGCGCCGCCTCCCGGATCAACCCGTGACACCAGTGCCAATGTGGCGAAGCTTATAGGAGAAGTACTAAGCGCACATGAAGATGTGTCAGCCAAGCGCTATCGGATCCGGGAAGTGCGGCATATGCTTCGACAGAAACGTAATGAAGAAGATGATGTACGGGTCGCGTTACGGAGCAAGTTGAATCTCATAACTGCCGAAAACGTTCATGAGGATCTTGCTGCTATCAATCACATAATAAACGACCTCCAGGCTGCGACAGCGTCTTATTTCATCTTTGAAAATGAGTATCATAGACAAGAAGAGGAATTGGCTCAGCTGGAGTACGATTACAACATACGCTTAGAAAGACTGCAAACCATCTTTAAGTATCAAGGTGGCTCGTTGGCACACCTCCAACAGATTGACTCGGACACCGAATCTTCCTCGGCGGACTACACATCTGACTATGGAGACGAAATATTGCCCCAAGCGGCTGATTACCTTTCCATGGTTGGCGAGGCACGCATACTCACGGAACGGCTGTCAGAGTTAGAGACAGAATACCTGGTCCTAGTCGACCAACGCGAGCTCCGCGAACGAGTCGGTATCCCACTCGACAGTGCGGCCCTCAACTTCCTCCTTCGATACCAAGATGAAAGGACCAAGATTGAGACCGAGCTAGAGCTAGCGCGCCATAATATTGAGTCGCACCCGGAACATGCCACTCGCTCCGCGCAGATCGCAGAAGAGGAAGATAACGAAGACGAGATGATACAGCATTTCATGCCCGAGAAACCGGAGGATCAGACGTACAATGATCCGCTGCACTCGTCGGAATTTGAAGATTCATCGCCTTTCTTTGCGTCCGCGCACATACAGCCTGTCAACAAAGGCACTTTCGTGAATCGATGGCTTCTTCATCGGTTGCGACACTCAAGAGTTGAGATTATGCGGTTTAAGTCTGCGCCTGAACTGATAGACCTGGATAGCAAGGGATGGGGGTCAGATAATATTAGCAAGATGGCGATGATGCTTTGGTTTCAAGATGGTGCGGCGAGCATGGAGCATATTAGGAGTCAATCAGCTGGGTAGTGCATATACCCTACCTAGCAGCGTTAGGCGTTTGTAGATAGTGTCAATGATTTTCTCTCTCTTCTTTTGTAGTAATCGAATTATAGATTAAGACTCGATCTACTTATTGACCACACGTTGATGTTGATCTCACATACACACACGGTCATAGTATCTCAACCCTAACCTTGACTACCACACTCGGCAATGCTCGCCCCCATACAAAGCCTCGACTACACCAGCGCTTTTGACTAACAGTAACTTCTAAAGTCGTGAGTATGTGAACATTGCCAACATCAATCCAACCCGAAAACAAACCTCTCTAGGTCCACATAAGCCCTTTCTAGATCATCATTAACAATAACTCGATCAAAAAACCCAGCAGTCTCAGCAAAGTCAAGCTCCCTTCTCGCCCGATCCAATCTAGCCAGAATCTTTTCCTCACTCTCCGTCCCTCGACCCCTAAGCCGCTGCTCAAGCACATCAAGATCCCGCGGTTTAATAAAAACATATCGAGCCTCAAACTCAGGGTCTATTTTCACCTGCTTCACGCCAGTCATCTCGATATCAAGAATAGGGATGAGTTGTTTGTCGAATATCGCTGCGAGTGCTGCTTTACTCGTGCCGTAGAAGTCACCGGTGTACATTGCATCTTCTAGCAGACCTCCGTTGGATTTGAGAGTGTTGTATGTCTCGACGGAAACAAAGTGGTAGGATATACCGTCTTTTTCGCCCGAACGTGGTTGCCGGGTTGTGTGGGAGACAGTTAGTTCGAATGTGTTCGGGTGTGCGTCAATGAGCTTTTGGATAAGGGTTCCCTTTCCTGCGCCCGAGGGACCGGAGATGACAAGAGGTCGTCGATCCTGAGGTGTTGCTGCGGGGGGTTAGAATGGATGGTGTGGAGTTAGAAGGGCGATGACGTACAGGAAGCCATGTCGTCAACAACAACGGGGTTCTTGTCTTGACGACGGGTACCGAGAATTTGGGATAGGTAGTAGTGGACTATATGCAAGGAACAATGCCCAGGTATATCTCAAGCCCAGGTTGTGGTTTGAGGGAAGTACTGGTATAGACCTAAATGTACGTCGGACAAACTTAACTACCGCTCACCGTCTCATGGCACCGGCTCATGGAAGCGACATTTTCACCGAGGTAGCCTACATTAATTCACGTCTGAAAATCTGCAGGTAGTCCGATAACATCGTATGTTGTATCGAGATGTTATCCATTCGTATCGTGATTCTGTTCATTATGTACATGACCCAAACAAATTCCCATATCCATATCCATAAATCAATCGGCATTTGCCGTAAAAAAGACGCTGATTCCATAACCCAAAGAATTGTTGAACGTTCAAAATCAAATCCCATACATCAAAATCGAGCCCAAGCTGCAGTCGCAATTCAAGAGTACTGTGTCTCGCCCTCACTATCACTCAGACTATCACGACGACGGCTCCGTCCATCACGGCGGTATCCCTTGGTCAAGCCCGGAATCGGATGCTTGTAGCTCTTGGTACCGGAATCCTCGGTGTCAACGTTGGAGTATTGGTACTCGGAACGGGAACCCGCAGATGAGAAATCCAAGGGCTCAGTGAAGTGACCCTGGGGTGCGGAGCGGCGCTCACGTTGCTTGCGAGGGCTGCTAGTGCGGGGGCTGCTAGTACGAGATGAAGGCGCGGGTGGTGGACCAGACGGGGCAACCTCGCTGCGACGGTCACGACGGCGGTTGTGGCGGCGGGTGGATGGGTCACGGATACGAGGCTCTTCGGTTGTTTGGCTGATGACATCCTCGCTGCCTTGGGTGAACGAGAAGCCAGAGGGATCGCGGCGTGGACGGCGGGGCTGCTCGTAGGCGAAATCATGAGATTGGCTCATCTCGCTCTGTTGGTAGGAGGTAGGCGGGGCGGAGGTGTCGTAGTCGCTGCCGTTGTAGGTTCCATCGGCTTCACGGTTCATGCCGCCAATGCGAGCGGGCTTCTCTTCTCGGTATGCGCGTACGTCGGCATCATCTGCGCCTTCCCACTGCTCGTGCTTGTTGCGTCGGAGGAGCTTCTCTTTGGCAGTTTCTCTGAACTTCTTGCGCCGTGACTTCTCCTCTGTAACAGTTGTCGCCGTGTCGGTATACGATCCTTCTGTAAACGAGTATCCGTCGTCGGTGTAGCCCTTTCCGACAACACTTCCGCCACCGAGCTTGGTACTCGCTGTGGCGTTACTGAGAGTCTTTCCGTCGGGTCCCTTTCGTCGTAGAACAGTTGACTTGTAGTCATCCCAGTCGCCCTTGCGCCAGACGAATCCGCCGTTCTTGGCCCAGAAGAAGAACCAGATTCCTCCTATGACAAACAGCAGTCCAATAATGGCAAACAAGGCCATCAAGCCTTGCATCTTGATGCTGTGTGGGTCGACCGTGCCTTGGCCATATCTTGGCTTGCCGGAATCTTCTGTCGAGGAGTCGGTACGTGGGAGGAGGTTGTGGGTATTAGGGTCGACGGAAGATAATGTATCGGCAATGTTCTCATTGCTGGCATCCCGAACATAGAGTCCGGCAACGATCGCTCCTGGAGTGTCGGGGGAGTTCCCGATGGGCCAAAATGGAGGCATGATGGAATATTAGAGTGGTCAAGAGCACCCGGCTCAAGACTGGACTCACTATGAGATCATTAGCATGTGGAGCATTGTTAAAATTGAGAGATGAAGTATATGAACATACATTGAAGGAAGTGATCAACACCAGATGTGAATAGAGATAGATCTCTGACACGCTGGAATGTGGGTATAGAATGTGGGTGTGGAATGTGGACAGAAATGAAGCACAGTGTCTAGATGGGTATTAGTAGGAGGTTGAAGATAAGAAGATGGGAAAAATATCAACCAAGATATGATTCAACTAGATTTCCGTCGCAAAATTGAGGAGGTTGGAGGGGAGGCTGGGGATCTGTGTTTACATGGTTGTCACGGGTAACCCGCTTACATCATCCCCCACACTGCCCAGACATCCACGGGTCCGTGGACGGGTAGAGTTGGGCCACCCGTGGGTCGATCTATTAAAAAGAGTCGATCACAATTGACTTCTATCTAGATCTGAAACATGGCGTTTAAAAAAGGGGGTTTAATTATGGATCAATTATATCAAGTCGACAAATGCCACCCGCTGGAAGCCTCCGAGAGAGGCATACACGGTCGAAAGCTGTGATCGCGCCCAGACAGCTTGCGGGGTATCAAAACCAACTAAACAGCAAAAGCAGGAAAAAGAATCAAGGCCGATGGACAATAAAAGAGACAAGGAGATCAGCGAGACTGCGAAAATCAACCGAATCGATAAAAAGCCCAAAAAGAAAACTACGAGGCCCCCAGCAGGACCAAATACCAACAAGACACATAAAATCATAGATATGGCCAAAAGAAAAAGATGACCTGTTGAGACATGACAAGTAAACAGATATGGGTATAATCTCTCTCCGCCACTCGGAGTCGCGAACAAGGTAACCGGGAGAAAGACACAGGCCCAACAAGAAAGGCTATACACGGAACGCTGACAAAAAGAAGACATCAGAAAGTAAAGCACATCAGACTTGTCATTGCAGGTCATCAGAATCGTACAATCATATCGCCATAACAAACACATCATCATGGGGTTTGTGCCCGACCATTTTGCCCAAGCACACATAAAAAAAAAATCGAGACAGCAGTTGCAAATGAAATCACACACAAAAAGTCCTCCCAGGTTAGCGAGACTGTTGGGCAACAGGCAACTCTAGACTTCATGACAAAGTCCAGCCTGTTCCCAAGTCGCCCAACATAGTCTCGCTTTTGGTAATCACCATTGTTTTTTGTTGCACAAGCACCCGATCCCGAAGAAAAAAAGAAAAGAAAAACGCAACATATGCAAAGCAATCGAAACTTTTAACAAACGAACAAGACCAGCCACAAACGGCTATGCAGACACAAGATGGAATCACAACAAAAATATACCTAACCATGAAAAACGAAAACACGAAAAAAGGACAACACATCTAACAGGGTGGGTAACAAGATCAATGGTAGCGAGTAGTCCCGTAGGCCGACTGGCTGTCTCGACGACTTGATCGTTCCGACCGCCTATCATCCCGGGGACGCCTCACCACATCTTCAAGTTCCCGACGGCTGGAGCCGCCCGTATAATCAGAGCTGGTACCGTTCACATGCTGCTTGGATGGCCGCGGGCCGCCGATGTTCAACCGAACAGCCCCGGTGTCCCCAGCACGAATGTTAATAGATTTGCCTGCAACTGCTTCAGATGTAAATCCAATTTGGAATCCGTTCAATGTGAGGGTCATGTTCTTGTCTTCTTCCTTCCGTGAGGCTGTGGCACTGCCGCGGCTGCTGTTCGACCGACTATTCTGGCTGCCGCTCTCGCTCCCGTTGCGGTGAGACGCTTTGGTAGGGAGCAAGGCCTCTGTGGAGAGAGGCAGTGCAGCCGTTGAGGTTCGGCCGGATCGGGCTGCCTGGTAGTTCTCAGCTTCACGCTCGCGGTCTTCAAGGTCGCCGGCGCTGGATGGTTCCTCGTAGTAGTACTCGGTTGGCTTCCGTCGCCGAGAGCTCGCCACGGCCACCTGAGCAGTCCGTCGATCATCCTGGTAGGACGTTGATCGTCGGTTATCTCGTAGGCTATGGGTTCTCTCTGGCAATGGGGCGTCCCTTGACATTCGACGATGGGACCGATCCTGAATCACCGGCAAGGCAGCTGCAAGTTCCGGCATGTCCATGCGGTCCATATCTCGGTCCATGCCTCTGTCCCTGTCCATGCCTCGTTCTCTGTCCATGCCTCTGGATGGGCGACGAGAGGGAACAATACCGGCAGAGGTATGCATCTTCCGTGGTGGCTCTGGCCGCTCTGGTCGCTTTGCCTGGTGAATCTGTGGCCTGGGCTTGGGCTTGGCTCCTGGTGGTGGCATCCGATAGTAGTCTTCATCCTGCTCCTGGTGTCTTGTAGGAGGACGTTCACGGACTTCTCGCGAGGAATAGTGTTCCATAGGTGGCTCATCATCAAACCATGGCGCATACCCCCCAGAGTCCACGGGTGGGGGATTAGGCGCAGTATAGATAGATGAAGACCGACGGCGTGATGGCTCCCGGGACCGGGACCGCTCTCGTGGATACTCCGATGGGGGGTAGTCCGAGGCTGATGGGGCGTAGTAGGAGGATTGTCCGTACGGAGATGACGAGTATTGGTGCATGTACGCTGAGCTGGCTGGTGGAGGGCCATGACTATCGTATCCGTGCTGGGGGTACATCGGAGATGCCATTCCTGAACCCATTCCATGTGGCATACCATGGAAACTCATGGGTCGTCCGTCTGGGTGGTAGGTGTGATACGAATTGGAGCGGCTGGGTCGACCAGGGTGACTGACGTGAATGTTCTCTATAGCGCCGGCTGGATATCGAGCATTGTGCGGGGACGATGAGTATTCCGGGACGGGTGGGCGTGGCTGGGTGTAGTAGGAATATTCGGTCTGTCGATGGTCAACCGGGGTTGACTGATGGTACTGAGTAGGGTAATCGTAGTAACTGTCGTGATATTGGCGGGCATGGGAAGATTCTCGTCGACGAGCCTTGGACAACGACCGGGGCACGTGAGCATGATGGGCAGCGCCCGGATAGGCACCAACCATCTTCTCTTCGCGCGAGGGTCGTGATCGTTCTTTGTCCTTGCGTTCTCTGGTTGAACTTTTCCTTGCGAGGTCGTTACGCTTGGGGGTGTCCAGCTTAAGAGGGATCGGGGGGCTTTTTCCGCCCGACGGCCCAGATTGGGTGCTATTAACCGTAGCGGCGGTGCGACTAGAATAACCTGAGTCACTGGCGCCGTCGATCAGCGGCTCCTGGAATCTTTCCAACCTGGAGGATATTTTGGCAGCTGTATTGGCAGCAGCAATATTGGCAGAAAGCCTAGTGTCGGGTAGGATGGCGTGGTGTTCTTCGTCGTAATCTTCGACGCAGGCAGGCCGGGGGCCCTTACTGGCCATTATGTGGGCTGCAAGGCGATCGGGTGTCTGAAAAAAAAATTAAAAAAACTGGGTTGGTCCCGTTTCTGACAAGGGCGACGTGGGTGGCTCCCACAGGGCTCCAGAGATGTTCAACTTACAGCAAGCCACTGCTCCCCTTTGACGATGAGTCAGAATGGATATTATTCTCCCCTCTATCGACCCCGTAGATCTGACGAAATGGGCTTCCTTTTTTTTCTCTTTCTCTTCTCCCCAGTGCCCAACCCAAGCGGGCCACTCAAACAAGTAAGCGGACCTGCCGATCGCAGCGGGCGATGGCAGGCGACGGGCGACGGGTTCTGTCAAGCGGAGAGAGCGAGATGGTACTTTTCAGATCGCAACGTCTCCATCGAAGTGGGATGTTAGGCTAGGAGTCGGGCGGAAGCGTTGGGTCAAAGAAAGGAAGAAAATAGAAAATGACCTCTGGCAGACGATGAGTGGTGGAGCGTACTGCAGCTGCAGAGGTTGGGTTGAGAATTTGGGATCCTCTGCCTGACGGTCTTAGAACCCAGTGGGGAGAGTGGAGTCGATGGGCAGCGATAAAAAAAAAAAAAGAGGTGAGGGGGTGATTTGATATCTAAAGGGAGAGAGAGAAAGATATCTATAAAAAGGAGAGGAGTATAGAGAAAAAGAAAGAGAAAGAGAAAGGAGGAAGAGTAAACACCCGAAGGCACAGGGCACAGGGTTAAAAAAAAAAGGAAAAGAAAAATCAAAAAGTTTCACGAAGAGGCTCTCGGTACCCAACACAAAAGGAAAAAAAAGAAGAAAGTGGGGGACATCGTCATCAGCTCGAAGAAATTATTATATATTATTGTATAGTAACTCGGTACAATATACTTAATTGCAATACTTCCAGTACAGATGTATTTAAGCTCGGGACCCGCTGGAGGGGAAATCCTTGGTTTGATTCCTAGGATCCATGGTTGGCCTTGACCTTTACTCTTATCTTTATTTACCTCTTTTTTACTTCTTTCCCTTTTCTACAATTTCCCTTTTTCGTTTTTTATCCCGTGTTTGAATGGACTTTGCTGGATACGGTGATGTCGCATTCCTATTTCTCCCTAAAGTGCATCATCTAAGGCCCAACCGGGTTTGCGGCCCAATGATCGCCTCCACCGTAAAGGGTCTTCCCTGTCAATTAAAAAGGAACCTGTTCCTCTGGCAAAAATCGGCTATGACTCGGTTCCCGGGTAATTCGGTTTATCCTTCTCTCCGATTGTTCGTTGTTGGATCCTTTTCTTCAGTTATTTTCGTGTTGGTCAATGCAGGGTTTCAAGTACAATGACAATGTATTCGGTACACGGGAAAAAGTCGGTGGGGATGACACCCTGCAACCCAGGCTGCAACTCAGGTCTGTTAAGGTGACTCCTACTACACTCCGTACTCCCCTATAGTATGTAGGATGTAGGCAGACACCTGTATGTGTCGACAACGAAGCCTGGCAGAATCGCCACTGTGGAGTGAGGCAGGTTTACTTTTACCATAGAAACCACAGACATCAAACGGCACTAGAACCAGAAGAGGGACTGAGCACTGCATGGCATTCGTCGTCAGAGTCCCTCGTCCATGTGGCAGGATATCTTTGGACGTTGTTTCTTCTCCGCCTGCATACTTCTCATTAGTGACTCACACTTGGTGGAAACCCTTTGACAATGTGCTATCGGTTCAATGCCAATATGTATATGTATTTGTACAAGTATCGAAGTACTCCATACACGGAACACTATATCGTACTAGTGATGAACTAAATGGCCGGAACCTTCTCTCGGAAAGCAGAACTAGCTAGATCGGTATGACATGCAGCACGGACGGTCTATCATTGCCATTGTGGATTCCTTCACATCCCTTGCGTCCTTAGATTAAGAGGTTCGTGGAATTCTTACTCCGCACGTGTGGGAATGACAACATTCCAAGGCTATAACTAGCAATGCTCAATATAAACTATACAGCGTAGCCGATAATATCCAAAACACCCTGGACCCTGGGTATGTTTGCCGAGCTGATCGAAATCCTATATTGGGCCGAAGTGGATATCTTCAGGCCAAGAGGCTGAAAAATTGAACCAGGAAAAGGGCTCCGCTCCAAATATAACTAAGGATCTCCATGCGGCTCCAGTATTGCCTTCCCACTTTCCTCTACAGTGATACCTTTGACGGGCACCACGATAGACCTTCGCATCGGGCCCGGGAGTACTAGGAACATGCTGTACGCACGGGGAAATATCTGAATTTGGATTGCATGGCAAAACAGCCAACAAGCTTTCCTCGCATATCGAATTCAGTGCGATCACGTTGACATCTGCCGCCAGTGATTCAATAATTTATCTCGGGGAAGTAAAACAAGGTCAAGGGAGCCACCCCCTTGCTTCGTTCTGCGAGATGGCATCAGCTCCTCGAGGTCGAGATCTTCACCGCTCTTTTGTGATTACCGATATACAGTACTCCGGTGATGAATATGAGGGGAAACCAGTCCAACTCTATTCCTTTCTCGGTTCGAGAGGCTTCTATCGGGCTTCGAGTGGAGGAAGAGGAAGCGTCGGAAACATTATGAAAGTTTCATGTACATGGTACATCGGTATACATGACTTGCATATTGATCGCATCACCCCGTTTCTCTTTGTAAGTGATATGATTCGCTAGTTCCAGATAGCCTTTTTCATGACGGCGATGTATGCTCCGGGTTAGGCTTCGGCACTCGATGGGTAATTAGCATTGTCTGATGTCGTACGAAAGACAACAGCCATGTAAGTCAAGTGTTTCCGTGGCCATACTTAAAGGCCAGCGTGCTACTAAGGTACTACAGAATCTGCAGTAACTTGCTCTCTTGGGGATTGTGGCGCCTCTTCAGGGTATCGGGGCATAGGTGGCTGCCATTCCGGATGAAGCTCCCCAGGTGAAAGCACATGTGGTTTTCAAAACAAATACTTTTCTATCATTTATGTCCACCCAATCCGATTATTATCCACAAAGATAATAAATATAGGCATACACTTCAATCTGCACCAATATCCCAATTAAACCCAGAGTATCCCTGAGGAAGCTCAAGTCCCTCGGCCTCCTAATTCCTGCGCAGATAGAGAGCAATCCACCCAAGGACTCGATATCCTGCAATAATGCCCAGAAGAATTCCAACCCACTTCCCGGTCCGACCAGTGGAATACCCATACGACTCCAGCACTCCAGTGCCCCGGATGAGACACTGATCCTCCAGGTCAGTAGACCACATGCATCGACAGCCGGCACCACACGAGTAATTCCTCTCGGAGAACTCATTGACCATCATACCCTGAAAGACATAAGCCTATTCCATGTACCAAGCGAGTTAGTGATCATTCTAACAAGAAAATAAACTTCTGATAGCAGCCCATCATAAATCATACCTGGTAATCGATGTAGTGGAACACATATTTCCAAAACGGATTGAGAATCTTCGGCGTAACCAGAAACCCTCCGACACTCATCCAAAGGCCATTTGCAAATGCGACAAGCGCCAAGGAGATTACAAAGTTTGGGAATATCGATGTCACGAGGACCACTAGCGATTCGGCCGCCACAAGATCAAGGAATATCCACATAACCCAGGTGAAGAAGGCTTCTGCCGTTGGTTGGAAATTGGAGAGCCAGTATGAGACAATCGAGAAGAGGACAGATATCAAAACTAGACACGTTAGAGAGCAGGCATATAGCAGGAAGTATCGTGTACATACACAGGTAGGGAAGCCCAATGAGAAAGTTTGAGACCATGAATGGTGTCACACCATATAGGCCGTTGGCTCGCTCTTTGGTGAAATTTGCCCGGTCTTCGAGGAATGCGGGCACGTATGCTACCGCCATGAAAGACATGAACGCGGAGCCAAAGAACTATATCCCACGTTAGTATCGGTATCCCTTCAATTTCAACCACATGTAAAACTCACAATGGCATTGATAAACGGCTGTATATAATCCTGGGATGGATGAAGACGTAACCACACTGTGCCCATCATGATAGCCAATCCTATGCCACATTAGTTCCAGTATGCTTTAAAAGGAGCATAATGTTTCGTACCAAGATACATTGCGATCCGGATTCCATAAGCAATGACATCGCGGTAAGACTTAACAAATGAGCGATGCAGCAGAGCTATAGTAATCGAAACCGTCCCCGGTCGAGTATTTTCTTCCATGCAGGCTTTGTTGGCAAGTTTCTCTGCTGAGCGTACTCGCTCGGACACTTGTCTTGTTAGTGATTTTGCCTCATTCGAGTTTGCCCAGGCAGTTTGAATGACCTCGACTCGGTTTTCGTCCAAGTCCTTCGAGCTGGCAAAATCAGAATTGACAGTATCCAAGAGAAATTCAGCAGGGTTGGTTTGCGTGGGGATTGGATAGCCAATGCCATTGAAGTAGCTCTCTACACCCGAAATTGCCCCAAAATAGCATGTTTTTCCTGCCGAGAGAAGCAGCAGCTTATCGAAGAGCTTAAACGTCGTGGTTGATGGTTGGTGAATACTCGCAATGATGAGAAGCTATAATGAACAATGTTAACAACAGCAGGGAACCCATCTGATATGAACGTACATTATTGGCTCGCGCGAGCTCCTTTGCATACGACATCACCTCAAAGCTGGCAGTCGAGTCTAGACCGCTCGTGGGCTCATCCAAGAACAAGATCCTTGGATTGGTGATGAGCTGGCTAGCCACACTGACACGTCGCTTCTGACCACCACTGATGCCCTTCCGGATCGGGGTGCCCACCAACGTATTTGCCTGGTTCTGGATACCAAATGCTTCCAAAAGTGTCCGGATCCGATCCATACGCTGGCGTTTCGAGACAGAGCTTGTAGATAGAAGTGGTAAGTATCGGGATATATGGCTGGGATTGGTCGGCTGTTATTTCAACTCGACATACCTGGGCAACGAGAGATCCGCCGCGAACTTCAATGTCTCCTGCACCGTCAACGACCCGATCAACACGTCTTCCTGCTCGACGTACGAGGTCACCCGCTGAAAATTCCGCGAGTCCATTTGTGCATCATTCACGTAGTTCTCCCCGAGAACCTTCGCACCAGCTGACGCGGCACGTCGAGCAAGCACGTTGAGGAGTGTTGTCTTGCCACAGCCTGACGGGCCCATTAGGGCAACGAGCTCCCCTGTCGAAATAGTGTCAATATGATAATCTTGATATAGAGTATGGACAAGGATACAAACCATGCTGCACATCACCACTGATATCATTGATGAGATCGCGGGGTGATTTTGTTTCGCGATCTTTGACGGTAACCGTTAAACCTTGCCACGAGAAATTCCGAACAGTCTCGTTCATCAGGAAGTGTCCGCTGTCATTGCGCTCCAGGTCCGGGGTTCTGGATGCGCCCGGGGGTGAGGGATCGCCCATGCTGCAAGATAATGTAGACGGTTTACGGAGAGAATTGGAATCTAACCCATGTCCAGGTTCGCGGGCTCAGGTTTTATAATTTTAAACACACCCATATTATTTGTACCTAGACCCACGGACTTATAAATCCCTGTCTAGCGTCGAGACCCCGGGACAAAGCCCTTATTACGTGTCTGAGGTGGTCCCCGACTTGCCCAGGTGAGGCTGAAGATAGGGCTCAGTTTTGGGACTCAAGCCCGAGCTGACATAATACCTCGATGGTCCCCGATCCCCCGGGGAGACGCCGTCCTCTACTCCGTAGTGGATAATGTTAGAGAAAATTCATGAGCCTAGATAAAATCCCTTGGATGAGATTCCACAAAACAATAGCGCTTTTGCTATGTGGGGTGCATGGGTAGTAGATGCGTGGACGGGGTCCAAGCCCCGTCCCCGTCGGGGATCGTCCCCATTTTTTTTCTTAAGAATGCGGCGTTCAAAAAAGAAAAAAAAAAGAAAAGAAAAAAGGGGAAACCTGAGAATGATCTCGGTAAAAGAAGAAGCATATGCCATTTTTATTCGTCCCGCTCTTGGAGCCCAATGCAACTAAATTAAAATCAAGGTATACCGAAGACACCAGTCTTTGAGAAATACTGACTACTGAAAACACCACACAGAAAAGTGAGTAAAATCGGGCGAATAAGCCGAATTTACATACTAGAACGGATGAGTTAGTGATTGCTTCTTCAACAAGGATGGGAAAGACTAACCGCTGAACAGGGCTGAGACCAAGAACCCGCATGCCGTTGTTCAGAACCTGGCGGGCCGAGGCATACAACGCCATACGCGCCTGCTTGACATCGGGCTCGCTACCGATCACCTTGAGTACATCGTAGCTAGAGCTCAACATGTGTGTCATCCGGAACAGGTAACTGAGGACAGTGATGGGCTCAAGAGTCTTGGCAGTCTGGAGAAGTACGTCGGGCCATTGAGCCAGCAGGCGAACCAAGTCGACAGCATGCTGCTCGGTCAAAAGATCGAAGTTGGCGTTGACCAGCTCGTTAACATCCAACTCGGACTTGCGGGTCATGGAGCACAGACGAGCGTGAGCGTACTGCAGGTATGGGCCAGTGTCACCCTCGAAGGATGTCATGGCATCCAGGTTGAAGTCGTAGCCGTTAACGCTGAAAGGAAACATACAATTAGTAAACAGATAGACGGAAGTAAGCGGGAAAGAAAAACACTCTGTACATACCGCTTGCCAGTCATATCCTGCACCATAACGGAAGTGATACCCAGAATATCGGCAGTCTTCACAGGATCCTCGACCTGTGCGTACTTGACTTCATTCTTCTTCATGACCTCGTGCATCTTGTCACCAACATCGCGCAGGATGTCATCCAAGAACTTGACGGTACCCTTGCGGGTACTCATACCACGGACCATACCGAAGTTAATGTGCTGGCATCGGGAGGCCAGGTCCTTGTGGCCCATAAGTTCAGTGACCTTGAAGAGCTGAGCCAGGTGGAGATCCTGTTGAGCGGCAACAACGTAGATCATCTTGTCGAAGTGGTACTCGTTATCACGCTCGGTGATGGCACCGATATCGCGGGTCAGGTAGAGAGGAGTGCCATCCTTGCGGACAATGATAGCCTTGCCCAGCTTCTTGGCACCGTGCTTGGTGAAGTCCACAATAACAGCACCCTCGGACTTCTCGGAGACACCAGCCTGCTCCATAAGCTTGTAGGCATCGGTCATGCTCTCAGACTTGATCTGAGATTCACCGGAGTAAACATCGAAGTCGATGTTGAGACGAGCGTAGGTCTGCTTGTACTTCTCAATGCTGAGATCACGGAACTTACGCCAGAGAGAAAGAGCCGCGGGGTCACCGTCCTCCATACTCTTGAAGTAGCGACGGGCCTTCTCGTCCTCGCTCACGTCCACAAGCTTGGCAAGCTGTGCCTCGAGCTCAGCAACATCCTCGTTCTTCTCCTTCTTCGCCTTGATCTGTTCCTTCAGCTCCTTGATAGGTCCATCCTGGTCACTGACGTGACGGTTGATCTTGACGTAGACATCGAAGAGGTGGTTGATGGGGTCTTTGATAAGAGCTTCCTCATTGCCGTATTCCTTGAAGCCGTTGGCCAGCAAACCATACTGCTTACCCCAGTCACCCAGGTAGTTCATTTTGATGACATTCCATCCCATAACAGTGTAGATATTGGCGAGGAAACCACCGATGATGGTACTGCGCAGATGACCAGCGTGGAAGGGCTTGGCGATGTTGGGGGACGAGAACTCGATGATGATCTTCTTCTGGCCCTTGGAGGGGTCGGAGGGGTCCTTCTGACCCTGGTTGCCGTTTGTTCCATACGCGGCCTTCTCCTTCAGGATACGTCCAAGAACATTGCTGGTCAATGGCTGAGGTTTGCAGAAGAACTGGATGTGAGGACCAAGCTGAGTTGGGGGGTGAATAAGGTCGGAGGCGGGGAACTTGGAGACAAGATCCTTGGCAAGCTCCACGGGGTTTTGCTTAATCTGAAGAGAAGCCACCTAGATGTATGCAACAAGACATTGTTAGTCTAAGGCCTCATGATTTTGCGAAACATGCGAATTGCGCTTGGCATGTGCCACCACATACCGGCAATGAAAGGTCACCCTTGTCCAAAGTACTGGTCCAGGCAATGCGCGGGTAAATCTTCTGAGCATCGATATCAGCGGCTTTGCTCAACTCCTCCGCAATGTGCTGGCGGTAGATATCTATCGGATTCAGTGTCGGGAAGCAGCCGGCGAATTGAGACTTCTGTGCCGTGGATTGAAGCGAGAGAGCCTCAACAGAGGCGGGGAGAGAAGCTGCGGACATGATTGAGAATCCTCGCGATGTACCGAATGCGCGTATCAAAGTCGGAAAAGTCGAAGGTTTAGAGGGGCAACGCAACGGAGAAAAAATGGCTGTGAACCGCCGAGCCCCGCTTAGACAATGACCCATAAAGAGGGGGAAATCTCTCGGGGATCTTTTTTTTTTTTTTGCCTTTTTCTTTTTCCTTTGGGCCTTCCCTTTTTGACTTGCCCTCTGACTCAAAGAGGGCGGTGAGTCACGTGTTTACACAGGTCTTATCGATTAACTGTGACGTCACTTGAACGTGATCTACTGAAACCCTATATCGAATATACACTACTAGTTTAGATCACAGACTACATACACACCCATATGAGACAGGCGACTTTCAAATACTTTTATCCTGAGCGAGATATTAAGCCTGAGCCTCTAGGTAGTGAGCGAGGAAACTCCCAGCAAGCTTGCAGACAGCTTCAACGACAAACTCCACCTCCGGTGTGCAGACTACTACCCATCTTGGCAAATGATCCAGGACGTTGTCAAGCTTCTGCGAGATGCCAATGCAGTCGACTACTCGGCATCGTACAAATTTTCAATATTTTCGGAAGACAGGGTCCTATCGCTATTACAACGACCAACTGCGAGTGAATATCGCGTGGGATTTTTGACTATGGTTGTGGACATGATTGAAACGCAATGAATAGATATTTGCTCTAGTAGTTGATTCTGTCAGTGAATTGCATATCTCTTCTCCTTCGCTCTTCAGATGGAGTATTATTTCTATACACTAGTATGATATGTCTTAGGTCTTAGTTTTGGGGGGGGTTGCTTTCTGTTGTTTTGCTGCCATCTGGCTGGCCATTTATCTCATAACAATGTCTCTGTATATACTTAGCAAGAGAAAGACATAAATAACTCCAAAATCCTCGGCAAGTGCCCGGATTGTCGAACAAAAATGCATAACAAGACATATGGCTTAGCCCGTAAAATGGTAGAGAATACACGAGCACTCCGGACTTCCTAGAAGTGCAGAAGGGGTGGCAGTACAGGGGTGGGGGGTGATAGGGACGCATTGCGCAAAGGGTACTGCGGTTACTATTTAATGAACTTGCCTCCAACTCACGTTTACCACGGTCACTTCCACGTTTATCACTGTCGCTTTGCAACGCGACCCCCCCAACTTATCAATTTCCACGGTCAGTAGCCATCTGTATTCTTTCATCCTTCCTCTGGCCCACTAAGTACTCATGTTCACAGAGATCTTACAGATTCATACGGTGTACAACTTTATCAACGCCATGGCGTCGCCGTTGCCCCCAAACATCGATCCCAGACTGGATTCTCAGCTTGGTGAACTGATGGATATTCCCAACCCAATGAAAACAGAGCCCGATGAGGCCTCAAACGCCGAGACTGGTATCGCGACTCCTTCGCCTGATCCGTCTTTGTGGCCGTATGATGATTGTTGGACAAGCTCCCGTCCCATCGAGCCTACAGTCTGGGCGTAAGTACTTACCATAACGTGTCAAACACATTTACCGTGTATGCACTCCTGGCTAATATAGTATCAGTCCCAATGCCAAGCTTTGCGACTGTCTCGAGCACTCCGAAACTACTTGGCCAGCCGAGCATGCTATTCTTGTAACTCTCGGGTGTTTGAAGCTGATGTTTACTTAACTGACACGTCTCCTATCCAGCTCATTCCAGACTGTGCAAAACGGTGCCCGTACTGTACGTGGAAGACCGACAAGTCTGCACAGGTCAATGTCGAAAATCCTGCCCCATTGTTGCGTCGACACATCCGTGACTATCACCTGGTAAGTATTACACACGCTGAACACAACTGACTCCATGCTAATTTGACTTTAAAGAAAGGGAGCAATGACTACCCCGGTATTACCGTTGATCCGCTACGTGTGTATATCTATCGGCTTTTCCTCTATTTATGGTTCCCTGCTAACTCCGGTACCACTAGGTGTAAGAAGGTTCGGTAGTGAGTCGATCCGCTCTGTCTGCTTGCATGGGATTTTGCTGACCTTTTACCTTTCTAGCACTAACTACGAGCTCACCCGAGGCGGTCGTCCTACTCTCGAGAAGAACACCGAGGAGGCATAGAAAGAAATCTGTGGGAGGCGGAGAAGGGATACCTGTAGCCCATTCCTTGTCGATTCCTTCTTTTGTATCTCATTATCACCCGCTCTCCCCTCCAGTGCCACTCTGAAAAGAGAACACAATGGCCGGGGATCACGGAGCTTGGTAGAATTGCAACAAAACAATGAACACCACAAATAAGTTCAAAGCTTTGTTTCCTGATTCGTATTCATCAAAGACTTGACTTGACAATGGGATTGGAACATAATGCCTTTGTTCTCGCCAAAGGACCCAAGGTAATATGTCATAAGGAAATATTCTTTTATAGTCGGTCAGTGCCTTTTATTTATTGGGTTTCCATTCCCAGCATCCATTTCACCGACAAAGCAACATTATTTCGCGACCAAAGAACTCGACAGAATCACCCGTCACGGGTATCGTCATCTTGAAAATATCAGCCTCTAAGCAGCCAATGGACTTAGGGAGCTAACCAATATGTCATATTACATTACCATCCACCACGGCCCAGGTGTGGATGAGTGCCCCGAAAACACGTGGATCAATATCACCTTTACTATCAAGGATCATTTTTACCTTCGCACTGACGGAGCGTTGATTTGCTTCATCATTGAACGTATCCGGGAGAAGAAGTTCAAATTTAGTAGTGAGCCCATGGATCGACGATCTCGGTGGTGTATCTCGATACCAGTCTCCAAACCCCATAGAACCACGGGCGGAGCTGTTGCCGACGCTTTGCAACTGGCGGAGTGGTACAGGGTCCAGATTCTGAATGGGAATGCAAGTATCAACCGCGAACTGCTATTTGATCTGAAGCCCTTTCATGAAGGTAAGGAATGCTGTAGAGACAATGTGTGCGATCGGATGGTGCATCCGGAGTGGTGGGCAAAAGATACTAGTGAGGATACCAGTGAAGATACTAGTCAAGATACTAGTCGAGATACTAGTCGAGATACTAGTCGAGATAATAATAGTAAAGACTGTTAGTGTTATGGTTGGTTGAAATGAATGCATATACAGATTCCACATCGTTGGTTTTTACTTCATAATGTGACTAGTGCGTGTTCAATGTTTGAGAGCTTTAGGAGCTCCCTATATATTAGTAGCTAAAGATGGAGACGCTGCATACTCATGGTGCGTTTGGCCTGTGCCTATCTCACGCCAGCAGGGGGGAAATAGACTTGAGTATGTAGAATGTTCGAATCCACTAAGTCCCTTCTAAAGGTGCATCTTATGGCGTTGTTCTAACTAGATCCAAGCTCGAAGGGATTATGATCATGCATTACAGGGGCAGAACGATTTCATGTCCCGGCATAATTGGATCAAACAGATACGGGTCTGTGGGCTAAACGCTACGAGCTATGTCTGTCTATATGATGGTAGCATGAGGGCGTTGAAGGAAGGTCTAAGCACCGTGACTAGAGTGTTATGCCAGATGAAGCTTTTGAAGCGACATCAACTGTACACATATGACGAAGATAGAGTAGATGATATGTAAAGAAAATTATACACATGTGTAGTTAGATATTAACGTCGATTAAGAATGTGGTATTAATACCAAGATCTAGGCGGATATTTCACGCGTTCGAGCCCCGAGGGACATCTTTTAATCCCTAGGCTAGAGTCTATTGACACATCTAATCCCACACCAACAGAGACTATACATAAAAACAGAAATGCTTCGCCCGGACCCGCTAATATTCTATAGCCGATTCGCATATATAAAGGGCAGAGTCAAGTTCGAAAACAGTAACTTTTCGTTGATTCGCAGCGAATCCCTTAGAAGCAGAAGACCTGGTCCTCCAGCTTGCTGACAGGGCGCGCCTTGGTGTATCCAAGAGCCTCGGTGGACTTCTTCATGGCGCTGACCATGGGAGGGGGACCGCAGAGGAAGATCTTAACATCGGCAGCGGGGGCGGGCAGGCGCTCCTATAAGAAGGTTTAATTAGTATTGAGGTAGCACAGCCGAGCACAACACGCAAACTTACCTTGATCATATCGGGAGTCACGAAGCCGACACCGCCGGTCCAGCCCTCGGGCGGGTTGTTGAGAACGTAGTAGACGCGGAATCCATCATCCTCCTTCTCCAACTCCTCGAGCTGGTCCCTGAGCAAGATGTCATCGGGGTTGACGTTGGCGAAGATCAGGTCAACCTTGGTGGTGTCGTTGCCACCGTTGCGGGGACGGTTGCGGATGATGGCCTTGATAACCTGGAGCATGGGGGTGATACCAGTTCCACCGGAAATCATACCAATGTGACGGCACATGTTGGGGGTGTACACCATTGCGCCCTTGGGGCCGCGGACCTTCATGTTGTCGCCGACCTTCAGCTCGGTAAGATACTTGGAGATGTTACCCTGGGGGTAAGCCTTGACGAGCAGATCGAAGTAGCCGGCCTCGTTGTCGGAGGAGATGGGGGTGTAAGAGCGAACGACCTCCTTAGGCTGACCGGCGATAGTAGCGGCGAGAGAGATGTGCTGACCGATGGGGAGGCCAAGGATATCGGTGGAACGGGGGAGGGCAAAACGGTAGATGGCGACATTGTGAGAGATCTCGTTCTTCTCCTTGAGGACGAAGTTCTGGAATTCAGTGGGGTTCAAGACCTTGCGAGGCTCTGAGATCAATGGGGTCAGTTCAGTTCCTCAGCTCCTCCACCACTCGGATATTTAAATAAAAGAAATGCACGCACTGTTGCTGAAAACCAAGTAACCAGCCAGCATTCCAGCGATAGCGATTGCATAGGCGATAAACTCGGGCTTAACGGCGTAAACACCCGCGATGAGCAGGGCGGAGGGCACGAGGGCCGTGCCGATGGTGGCGAGACTTCGAGGAATCAGCCATTGTTCGATGTTATAGGGGTGGAGAGGTGAAGAACATTAACTCACCTCATTATGACAGAACTCGGATACTGTAGTTCAAAAAAAAAAACAGTTGCGATTGAAGTAGAAGAGAAAAGAGAAGAGAGAGAGGAGATAAAAAGAAGTGAGGGGGCTAGTCCGCCCAACGGAATTTCCCACCTTTTGGGGTTACGATTTCCCCGACTTTGCATGTGTTTACTTGGACTTCCTCGACTTACTCTGGGGTTATTGGACTTACTTGGGTTATTAGCTTTCTTGTACAGCTTTTTATTTCTTCTTTTCTTCTTTTCAAAGCCATCAAAATGTCCGAAGTACCAGAAGTACCAGTACCCCCTGCCTTTAATCTAACGGAATTGGATCACAAGCTTCTGGCCATGACCGACGAGGAGTTCGTATACCACGATTGGGAAGACCTAAAAAGCATCATCGGTAAGTGTTCACATGTGCTCCAATTCTACCCTAGGAACAATTCCCCTCATGTCATATACCGTAATAGCGCGAAATGATCTCGGCGCACTCAAGCGGAAGCCCTCCGATCTCCGCCGATACCTGGCCTGGACACAACAGATCAAAGCCCAGTATGGCTCGATCATGAATTATATTTGCCAGGAGCGATTAAAGTGGCATTTGCCGCTAAACACTGCCAGCGGCATTGGCTCCGCGGTTATCCAGCAACGCGGGACTCCGGCGACCTTCAAGAACCCGCGTCCCTTTGCCGATCCCGAGGACTACAAGATCCTTCGCAATGACTGGCCCTATGGCATCACCCCTGGAATCTCACATCTCGTCGTGTGGCTGCGCACTCCCATCCCTGTACAATCCGAGGAGGGCCATTTGACCGATGAATCTCGTACATTGATCAACAGTTTTGTTCGAAAGACCTTCGTGGACCGGTTGGCTCAGGATCCTCACAATTTCCCGGAACCTGACTCCCATGTGCTATGGTTTAAGAATTGGGTCGGTCTACAGAGCGTGAGGGCATTGGAACATGTGCATATTTTGGTTCGTGATGTCCCTGAGGATATCTTGTTTGAATGGGTAAACGAGTGAGGTTGCTGGTGGGATTGTTGAAAGACTCTTTACCTGATTGATCAGGTTTTCATCCGTGGCATCTAACTATCGCAGTGCATAGTGACCACTGAGGGCTTTAGTGTTGTTGGCTTGTATTGCCAGAAGAAAATTAACCATCTACGGATTTTCTAACTTATTATCCTAAAAAGAGCTCTAGAAAGATATAATAAATATATCTTGGTGGAATCGTAGTCACAAGCATAAGGTCTACAATATTAGTATAAAATAACTCGATATTCAGATCACGCGCTATATCTTTAAGTATTGAGGCGGTGTGAAATATTTGGAGATATTACCCTGGGGGTAAGCCTTGACGAGCAGATCGAAGTAGCCTTGTCGGAGACGGGGGTGTAAGAGCGGACGACCTCCTCCCCTTCTACCATGAAGGTCGTGGTGCGGTCACCCTGAGGTCTTTCCCCATTACTCGATCTTTACCTGATCCGTGATGAATCGATGTCCTCGAGCCACTCCCGATCTTGAGGTCTCCATTTCTCCAGAGCAGTGATTGGTCAACTCATGTAAACATAACCCCCGCTAAGCTGGCCTGACTCCCTCTATCAGCCAGGATTCACTATTAGAATGGCTCTGTGTATTTAATATAACTTGCCGAGTTTGCCCCAATAGATCCAATAAACCAATTGCTGCACAAGGTCGCTACAGCACTAATTTACTAGAATCTGGTCCTGTAAGGGGTTCAGTAATTAGGTACCGGTGCATGTTGACACCTAGGATTTAGTGTAGCGGAGACTCCGTCATCGCCGGGCCTCCTTTTAAACCCACCTGTTCTTCTACATATGCATTGCAGCAAACACAGTCCATCATGACGTCCAACACCACCAATGTAGAGGGTCTTGCTCTCACCTCAAACCTGCCAGATACCGTGCCTGGTCTCCTTCAAACCGTTGCGAGCCATGGGAAAGACCTCCTCGCTCAGGATCCCGAAGCACGATTGAAGCTGCTAGAAGCTGCCCGATCATTGACCTATGCATTGGAAACACCCCGAGAGGCCATTATTCGACACTGCTGGTCCGAGGTGTGTTATCACTCGTCATCCCGTGCTTCTTGGGGCGAGTTGAAATTATTTGGACTGACGGGTATTGCATTTGTTTAGTCTACAAGTTATGCAGCACTCGAGATTGGTGTTGATATAAATCTCTTCGCTGCTCTCGGCACAGATGACAAACCGAAGACTGTCGCAGAGCTTGCCGAAGCAACCAGCGTGGATCCAATCTTGCTCGGTCAGTAGTTTGTTCATACACCAGCAAGCACCAAATTCTGACTAATTCTTGTAGGGCGATTGATGAAGCATCTCGCTGCGATGGGAATAATAACCGAGACCGGCTACAACGAGTACTGCCCTACTGGGTTCTCAAAAGTCCTCACGGTTGAGAGATATAGCGACGCATTCCCGCTCATGTAGGTTGATAGCCAGAACCCCATACCCCGAACCGCAACTAACAAATTCAGGAGCCGCCGTTTCACCAAAGGCATTCTGGCGCTACCGGCCTTCCTCAAGAAAAACAACTACCAAAACCCTACAAGTCCCACAGACACAGCTTTCCAAATGGGCCATGAAACAGACATGGGTTTCTTCAGCCATGTGCAACAGGAACCGCTCACAGCAAAGCAGTTTAATAACCACATGTCGGCGTACGCGCAAGGCCGACTCCGCTGGATGGATCCCGGTTTCTACCCGGTCCAAGAGCAGCTTATAGATGGGGTCACGATTGGCGACGACGATGTCCTGCTAGTTGATGTCGGAGGTAGCTTTGGTCATGATTTATCTGATTTCCGTCGGAAATGGCCTGGCCTCCCCGGTCGTCTGGTCCTTCAGGATCTTCCCGAGGTCGTGATTTCTGTTAAGGATTTGCACCACTCTATTGACGTCACCGGTCATGATTTCTTTACTGAGCAACCAGTCAAAGGTACGGAGATAGAAGACTTTCCCATGTTCTTGCGCATTGCCATTTTGAGGCCATCAATTACTGGAATATACTAACCTTCTATCTGCATAGGAGCCCGCGCGTACTATATGCATTCTGTTCTCCATAACTGGTCCGATGAGCTTTGTCGCAAGATCCTCGCTAACACTGTGGCCGCCATGCGGCCCGGCTATAGTAAGGTGTTGGTGAATGAGAATGTGATTCCGGACACCGGGGCCTACTGGGAAGCCACGAGTTTGGACATGCTTATGATGGGGCATCTTGGATCTGGCGAGCGTACGGAACGCCAATGGCATGCATTGCTGGAGTCTGCTGGACTGAAGATTGTCAAGATTTGGACTGCACAGAGGGGCGTGGAGAGTTTGATTGAGTGTGAGCTAGCTTGACCTGTGAAAACATTACAAGTTCTCCAAGAAATGTTAGCAAAGAAAAGCCGTTCTGTCGAATCTATATCATGACACTTCATGACACTTCATGACCATTCCATTTTAAGTCGGTAGAAAGCTGTCGTGTAAAATTCATCGAGACATACACAAAGAACTACGTTGCAAGAATCGGAATGAAGATAGAATAATAAAATAAAAAAGAGTTCGGTATCAGAGTACGCCAGCCAGCTAGTCCATCGAAGCAAATGTTGATTACAATATACAAAGAGCACACCTGGGAAATACGACGATCACGTCTTCTGCTCCTCCACGAACTTGAGAGCCTCCTCGCGCGAGACAACATCGATAGTACTGGCCTTTTGTCTGAAGCTCACACCATAGCACTTCTCCGCCACATGCAGCATTTCAGGCCGGAAGGTAGTGCAGATGAACTGCCCATTGGTGGAATCCGAGATGGACTTGAGCATCTGTGCAACGGCTGTCCGGTACTGAGCATCCAGGTTGGCGTCGATTTCGTCGAATAGGTAGAATGGTGCGGGATCGCAAGCCTGGATGGCGAAAACGAGTGCGAGAGCGCAAAGACCTATGGCAAGTTAGTTAGCAACAGCGAAACAAGATACAGATTCGGACTAGAAATGCTTACTCTTTTGTCCACCACTCAGCTGCTGAATACGCTGTTGATCATCGTGCTTGCTATTGAAGCTCACACTGATGCCGACACCGACGTAGTTTTCGACGCTCTGGCGAGCTTCCTCGTCATCCGAGTCAACATCGTCATCAAGTCGTGTAGCACGGTCTGTCTTTCTTTGGATGATAAGACGACCACGGCCGGCGGGAACAAGCTTCTCGAACACGTTGTGGAACTCGCGTGAGACCTGCTTGAAGGTTCGTTCAATGGCCTCGTCCTTGCGTTGATCAAGAACAGAAATGAGGTCATCGATAGACTTCTGAGACGCATCCAGCTCGGAACGACGTGTAGTAAGAGTCTCACGCTGCTTAGTGAAACTGTTATATTGCTCAAACGCCTTCTTGTTAACATGGGAATATTTCTTAAGAGCCTCGTTGGTCTTGTGGAGCTTCTTGACAACAGTGTTGGAGTCGGTGTTTTGGTACTTGGTGAAAGCTTCATCCGGAAGAACACCGAGGGAACGGATGTTAGCCGCGCATTCGGCACCCTGCTTAGAGAGTGCTGCCTTCTTTTGCATGCTCTTCTCCATACGACGCTGGTGCTTCTCGATAGACCGAGCGAGGTCCTCAATTTCCCGTCGGGTCTCCGCATTACGCTGTTGCAGATCCATCACGCGAGTATTGCCTTCCTCAATTGAGGTGTCAACCTCCTTAAGTCGTGCATTGAGCTTTTCCAAGGCCTGACCAATGCGCTTCACTTCACGCTGTGTCTCTTTCAGGTTACCCTGAACTTGCTCGTCAGCGATATCAATGTCTCTGTTGAGTAATTGGTCAAGGCGAGGGTTGAGGTTCTCTCGAAGCTCAACTTCCAGCACCGACTTGCGTGCCTCGAGCTCGCTGCGCTGACCCGAAAGCTCTTGGTATTGACGGCGCAGATCTTGCACTGTGCTGCTTAAAGTCTCTAGCTGAGCTTCCTCTTCGCTGGTGAGAGCTTTCTGGAAAGGCGAGGACAGTTCGGTCTCGAATGCATTGACTTGGTCGTTCAGTGCCGCAAGGTTAGACTCAACATTTCGAAGAGCGCGTCGCTTGGCGTCAAGAGTATCGTTCTTGTTTTGAAGGAGATCACGCTTGGCCCTCAACTCGTGTCGTAAAGGCCCACTGCTGTTCTGGACCTGATGTCTCTGTTGCTCAAGCTTTTGCAGTTCACCAACAGCCTTGGTGATCATCTGGTCGAGTTTCTCCAACTCTTTCCGGATTTCGGTACCGCGATTTCTCTTGGTCTCATACTCGTCTCGCCACTTAGCTAGACCCTTGACAGCATCCAGTCGCGACTGACGGGAGTCGTGGTATCCACCAGTCAAGGCACCACGCTTGTCTGATCGATCACCCTCTGGAGTGATAGCATTGACACCATGGCTTCGTGCGTACTGTGACGCAACCTGCAGGTTGGGGCAAATGATAGTCTTGCCGAACACATGCTGGAAGGCTCTGTCATATGCTGGGTCGTACTGCAACTTGTCGATCATGGGTATTGTGTCGCTAGCACGAGGCATATTCATCGGCCTAGAGCGAAGCCTGTTCAGAGGCATAAAAGTCACACGACCAGCCTTTTCCTTTTGTAGAATCTCGAGAACGGTTGTAGCAGTTTCATCTGTGTCAACAACGTAGTGGAATAAACTCTGGCCAGCAGTGACTTCGACAGCGGTGCGGTATCTATCATTGACATCGAAAAGCTCGGCAAGAGTACCGTAGACTCCTTCAAGGTTATGCTGCCGCTGGATTCGGCGCACTGCGGCGGTTCCGCGACTGGTGTTGTTATCCATCATTTGCGAGAGATTTCGCTCGGCACGGTCCACCTCCTGGGATGCATTCGAAAGCACGGAGTCAAGCTTTGCTTCTTCTCTCCAAAGTTCCCTGCGGAAACATTAATATCTGGTTTTAGCCAATTAGTGATTCAAGGGAGCTTACTTTCTTTGGTCCATGAGACGGTCTCTTTCATCCTTAGCATCTTGGACTTGTTGATCCACATTATGCATTGTGTCCCCGCGTCCATCGATTTGCTGGCGCAAGCGTTCAGTCTCCGGCTCCAAAGCGGCAATCTCGCCTTCTAGGTCTTGGATATCTTCTTGTGTCTGAGAGATCACACCCTGGACAGTGTTGATAGAATTATGGCTCTCGCGGACTTCCATGTTCAGCCACTTGTCACGCTCGGATTTGTTCTTGAATCGCGAGTTCCGACCTTGCTTCGCATACAAACGCTGACGCGATGTCTCGGCATCCGTCAACTGTGATTTGACGGTGTCCTCCTGATCCTTCAAGGCATTGAACCGAGGGAGAATTTCCCGATGTTCGGCTTCACGCTCACTGATAGCGGTCTGAACAGAGCTGAGGTCGGAGTCGTAGCGTGATTTGAGTGCTTGTGCGGCAGCCTGGTTGTCAGACAAAGACTTGGCCTTCAACTCATTTTGAGCCAGAGTTTTAGATGCTTCACGCCGTTCGTCCTCCAGTTGAGCCTTGTCAACCTTCAGGAACTCAATCTGTTGCCGGCACTCAGCGATCTCAGCATCAATCTGAGCCATGGCCTTCTCGCCTTCAACGAATTGGTCACGATTGTTGTCGGCATCCTCAACGCCGTTCTGTCGTCGCTCTTCGATCTCATTGAGCACCTTACCTATCTCCTGTTGTTCAAGGGAGTAGATGGTGTACTCTAGACAGCGGCGTTCCTTGTCCTTCTCCTGATAGCTCCGAAGCTCGTCCTTTTCTTCTTCGAGTTCGGCAAGACGTTCGTTAATGTAGTCGAGGAGTTCGTCGATCTTGGTGCGCTTGCTGTTGGTCTCATTCATAATTTTCAAAGACTCCGTACGACGAGCTTCGTAGACCTGAGTACCGGCGACCTCTTTAAGCAAAATCAGGCGCTCGGAGTCCTTCATGTTGGTCAACGCAGTCACTCGGCCTTGGGGGACAATGTAGTAAGGGTTGGACCGAGAGAAACCAGCCGACTCGAGCAGGTTCATAACATCGTTCTTGGTGGCATTCTTGCGGTCGAGAGTGTATTCATCCTTCTTAATACCGATAGTACGACGCAGGACAACCTCGGGCTTGCCGGTGGGGAATCGGTCGTCGGAGTTGTCGAAGATAATCTCGACGTAGGCGGACATCACAGCCGAACCGGAACCTTCCTGCTTGGGGTCAACCTATGTAAATTTGAGTAATACCAAGATACATACGTGCAAAAGAGCTTGGCGTTCCTCCCTGCCGAGATGAGTGTAGGCATCGCTGAGGACGAAGCGAATGGCCGCGAAGAAGTTACTCTTTCCGGAACCATTGCGGCCGACAATGACGTTGTGTTTGGGGGAGAATGGCTCAATGACCGTTTGATCTTTGTAGCTGAATTTGGTGCGAAGTCAATAGAAAGTTCATAAATCCATAGGGATTATATGTGGGGTGGGAAATACCTCTTGAAGCCTTGGATAATGATCTGCTTGACATACATCTTGAGAAGAAACGCGCGACGCGAGTATCAATCAGAACACCCTCGGCATAACGCGCCTGGCGCAAGAGTAAAAACTAAAGGTAAAATGTGCCACAAGGATCACAGCCAGCAGATCACTCTAGCAATGAACAGACAAAGGCCGAAGGGTGTCGTGATTGTGTTGCAAAGCCTTGGGATTGACTACGCGAGGAACGAAATTAGCGCGTCTCGATGGGCGCGGGGTTCTGCCGGGCGGTGATCCTAATTTGAGCCACAGAAAAAAAAAATCCCTTGGGGACCGACGGAGATATTCAAATCTCTACATTCTCAACTTTGAAGATCCAGAATGGCTTCAAATGAGAATACTGCCCAGGCAGTTGGCATTGCCGATGGCCTCGCGCCGTCGCATACTTACGTGCCCAATGAAGGCTACGTGAACCCTGATACTGCAGACTCCGCCGAGGCGGGGCAAGTTCTGCCCGATGAGCAGGAGGAAGACTATGAGGAAGACGAGTACTACGACGACATTTTCGACGAGGAATTGGATCGTGAAGATATTCTGTCTTCCGATAACTCCGATCTTACCAAAGCATACAACCGCCAACGCAGAATCAACGACCTCGCTAGCGACTCCAATGTGCCGAGATGGACATACCCCAAGACGAACACCCAGAAGCCTACCGTGAACACCTCTGCGTCTGTCGATGACCAGGTCAAGTCTCTCACTCGCCATGCCGCAAAGATCAAGCTGGACGACCAACAGGCCGGTATTTCGGGGCACTCCAGCAAGGGTGGAGATAAGGCAGACCGAGCCACATCTGAACAAGTGTTAGATCCCCGTACGCGGATGCTTTTGCTGCAGATGATCAACCGAGGTCTCGTCTCGGAAATCCACGGATGTTTGTCGACCGGAAAGGAAGCGAATGTCTATCATGCCATGTCCATCTCGCAGGAAGACGAGGATGCTGCCCCACTACACCGTGCGATCAAGGTTTACAAGACAAGTATCTTGGTATTCAAGGATCGTGATAAGTACGTGACTGGAGAGTTCCGTTTCCGTCAGGGATACAACAAAAGCAACAACCGCGCCATGGTCAAACTTTGGGCCGAGAAGGAGATGCGAAACCTGCGAAGAATCTATGCCGCTGGTATTCCCTGCCCCGAGCCCATCTTCCTTCGTCTGCACGTCCTTGTTATGGGATTCATTGGTAGCTCAAAGGGTCTGGGCGCACCGCGCCTTAAGGATGTGGACTTCAATATCCCTGAACCTGAGACTCGTTGGCGCTCACTCTATATCGAATTGTTGGGCTATATGCGCGTTATGTACCAGACCTGCCGTCTGGTGCACGCTGATCTGAGCGAGTACAACATTCTGTACCATAAGGAACGCCTGTATATCATCGATGTCAGTCAAAGTGTTGAGCATGACCACCCGCGCAGTCTAGAATTCCTGCGCATGGATATCAAGAACGTCAGCGACTTCTTCCGTCGAAAGAACATTCTGACTCTTCCCGAGCGGACTGTGTTCAACTTCATCATCTCCCCAGAAGGACCCATTGATGGGACCGCTGGCAATGAGGAGATGACGAGTGCCATTGAAAAGCTCCTCGTTGCCCGTGAGGAGGGTGACGATGAGCAACAGGAGGCTGAGGATGTCGACACTGCTGTCTTCCGTCAACAATATATTCCCCAGACCCTAGAGCAGGTGTACGATGTTGAGCGTGACGCCGAACGCATTCGCGATGGCCAAGGTGCTGATCTGATTTACGGAGATCTCTTGGCCGGTGGCAAAAAGAAGGCCACTGCCACTGATGCTGTTGAGGAAGACGCTGAATCTGATGCAAGCGGCGGTGTCTCCGTATCGGGATCCGACTCGGACGATGAAGAAATAGACCCGTTCGCGCCGAAGCCGCCACGAGGCAAGCGTTTCGAAGATAAAGACATCAAGCGCGACCACAAGGCAAAGGTGAAGGAGGAGAAGCGTGAGCAGCGGGCCAACAAAATGCCGAAGCACATGAAGAAGAAGCTTGTTTCTGGGTCTTCGAGAAAGAAGAAATAAGCTCTCGTAGCTTTCTGACCTTATCTTTCTTTGCACGTACACGAGTTGCGAATGTTTGCACTCGGTGTCAATCTACCGCTTGGCATGATTTGATGATGAAATGCATATATGGATGGAGCATTGGGCATTTGATACCTTGGTCTATACTTGATAGAAATGGGAAAAACATAAATATATATTTGATGCAAGCTCCTCAAGACTGAACCAAAAATTCTCATTCAGAGTACACTATTCACAGTATATGGGTATTCACAACTGGTTCAAAAAAAAAAAAAACAAATTGAGGTAACAACTTATCAGAGCTCTCTTTGGACGTCACTCCAATCCGTCCTCTCGCCATAAATTCCCCACAAGTGTCACCAAACAGTGCTTACATCCCGCAAAAGGCGCAAGAGTATGCATCTAGGAAATGAGCATCGAGCAGGGAACATGAATGGTGAGCATGACGGAAGGTCAGACCTATTGTGTTTTCGTCATTTAAGTTGCAATCATACCATGGTCACGATGTAATAGTTATAAGCGGCATTGAGATGCCAAATATCCAATTTCCATCTTAGCTACAAATGTAGTGAAGTTCAGAGCGAGGCCGAGGACACCAATGGAACTGGTGCAACAATCGGACGGTGATGGGACGAAAATGTGCACTGGACGAAAGTAAAGAGCTGCCAGTATCGGAGACACAGGGGAAATCAAGCGGTGTGCATTTGTGAAGCGACCTTGTTTCGTGCCTTCACCCTTGCATACGCTTCCTCGATGAGGTCTCTTGGCAGGTCAGGGATTTGTTCTCCTTCGGCACTTCCATCCGATACTCTTGGCTTGACAGCTCCTGTGTACTCATGTACACTAGGTTCCTCGAGTGCATTCTGGGCCACAGGATCATTATCCAGGGGGCCACCCGAGAGGCGCAAGAACTGCACCTGCATTGGTGCTAAGCCAACGCCAGGCCATATGTCAGAGGGAAGAAAGTCACCCTGTTCAACGCGGAAAGTATCACGAGCAGCAGCATCTTCATCATGGAGCTGGTCCAGTTTGTGCCGGGTATCTCGGAGCACCTTTTCCACACGTTGGCGAACATGACGCCGACGTGCTACTTCCAGCATCAGGCTGTCGTAAGCATTGAGGAACCCGTCGTACAGGGAGTGCAGATCGGAGAGTTCGGCGAGGCCAGAGTTAATGCGGTCGTTTTCTTCAAGCCAAACGCGCGTGAAATTGTGTGCCTGGGAAATGTAACGGGGTAAGCGAGAGGACGCGAGAGAGGATAGATGGCTGTGAACTTCGATCGTTGCCTTGGAGATAGACAGAAGGGCATCTCGCTGGGCTTGCACTTGTTCAAATATGGATTCCATCTCATTAATGCGATCTTGGATCTCCATGACAACATCATCAGCCTCGGGGGCATCTTTGATCAAAACAGCCACCATCTCCTGATACTCGGCGTCAGTCATTGGGTCAAGAGGTGCATTCAAATTGGCGTTGATCTCTGCCCCGATGTTTGGCATGCCGTCGTTGCTACCGTCAACAACAGTTGGCATATCCCCCGTGATGGACCGCGCAACTGCTCCTCCACCATCTGTATGCTTCACGGCGGTGACACATAGGTCAAAATGCCTGACTAGGGCTTCTAAAAGAATGGCCATTTCTTGAGCATGGGCCTCCAGCGATTGGATCTGGCCCGGCATAGACGACAAAGTGAGAAGGCCGGAATCGGAGGCAGATGACGAGGAAGATGTGATTGATAATCGGGATGACGCCAACTTCGTGGCTGTGTGGTAGTGACGAAGCGACTGTCTGGTGGCTTGAAGTTCGTCATCAAATTCACGATTGGACGTATCCAATTCGGCGCGCGCTGTGTTAGTGCGGTCGATAGATGCTTTCAATGAGGCATGTAGCTCTTCAACGCCCCGCTCATCAACAAAGTCATGTAGGGACTTCTGCTCTTCATCGCCAGGTCTGAATGACGCGTGAACGATAGTCCCGCGGAGCAGATCTATTGTGTTTCTGAGCCGAGCATCAGCAGCATCCAGGTTTTTTAGTGCCATTGAAAACTCATCACGACCTCGGTATGATATCTGTTCGACCTCGGTACGGACATCGTATAAAAGACGAAGTTGTCCATTAAGGCCTCGGCGTAAGAAGCCTGTGCGGGAGCACAGGACAACACTCTTCTCCAGTGCCGAGTGTGACGCAGTGACTATTTCATTGGCCCGCCAGACATGAGTAATGGAGGAGAGCGAACGTTTGGCACCCAGGAGATACGAGATCAGAGTCTCAACCTGGGGTAGGGATTGCTGGTCCCCCTCGTTCAGTCCAGCCTGCGGACGAATAGACGAAGAAGAGGACTGGGATGACGCCATTGTGAGAATCAATTAACCCTGTTAATGGCGCATTCGGAATAAGATAAGACCAGGGTTGATGAAGAGATTAACTTCTCAGGGGCGAGGGTGAAATTGATTGACACAGCTACGAGGGAAAGGGGGTGACTGCACCACTTTCACTTCACCAAAACCCTAGGACACTTCAGTATAGGCCTATATTTACCAAATTAGACTGTTGTAAACTTGGACAAAACCAGAGGGGAAAATGGCTACTGTGCAGCCTATAGACCTGGGAGCTGGGTGTCATGAGGACCTCGGGGGCTCAGTACGATACGCCGGGGCCGTGTAGAAATAAGCCGGGGCCGTGCTCTACACCAAAAGTGAAGCACGAGCTCCAGCCCGGAAATGACTTGCAAATAAAGGGATGAAAAAAAGCCTCTTACCAGTAGTTCTCGAGTCGCTCTCGGTCGAGACCTGATTCCCTGGGTACAACGTAAATTGTAGACACGGCAAGCCGTTCACAGAAGGTTTAGGTAGATCGCAGTAGGATCCACGGGTTTATGGTAGTAACCAACAAAGCTGGGGGCAGTGGGTCTGACAAAGTGTGAGTGTCGGTGTGAGATGGCTGTGGGACTAGCCTCAATCACCCAGAAGATGAAATGCCCCGTTTCACCCCAGTGAAACCAAGTGATAACGAATCAGCCTGTCGGAAGCGTAGGAACTGATCGACTGAGGTGCGATGGCGCGGAGATGGCGCCATGCGGATCATAGTCACGTGTTGTCTCACCGCCCAGATCACGTATTTGCCGCTCTCTAGGGCTGGCGCTATCACGCAATTCCCCGGACTCATCGATGGCGATATCAAAGACACTTTGGATTGTGCAATTTTTCCCAGACCCTGTATAATTCTCTGGTTTAAAGACCTCTATCCCATTCCTATTCCTACTTTCTCTTTATCATCCAAGTTGATTTCCGTCGCCAACCTTGGACGCTCGATATCGCTCTTATCTCAATCTTCCTCAGGGTACTCATATCGCACGAACCGATAGCCCTTGACCCCCCTCCCTCTTGACTCCCTGATTCTGGAGAATTTTTCAAGGATACCATCACGACATTGATTGATATCTTTCCTCCGTGCTTCTCACTCTAAACAATTCAACTCGGGAGAACACGAATTTCTGCACACCGACTTGTTCTTATCTCGGTACACCAGGCGCGACCGTCGTCGCCCGAGCGGCCGTACCCTCCCCGTCACACCGCGCGAGACCGGATCAGTCACCATGGCCGATACACCGGAACCCTCGTCTACACAGCAGAGCCTGGTTATTCCAAATGCGGGGGTCAGTGCGAACGCCGAGTCCAACCGCTCTCTGCCGCGCAAAGACACCGACAATACCACACAAACCCTGGAGGATCTAGCGAGGCAAAATGTGGCTCCGTTCCTCGCAAAATATCAGCCGCGACAATATGCGCCTTTGCGCTCGCAAGTTTCAACTCCATCTGAGCAAAACCTAGTCAATGCCAGCTACTGCTATCGTCATCAACCGGACTCAAAATGCAGCAGACGCCAAGCTGATGAACAGTCGATGACCCAGCTGCAATCCGAGCTGAACTTACTTCCTCAAAGTGACCAACAGGGTATTTCCCATGTGTGGTCGTTGTTCTCCGCTGCTCCAGCGAAACAACGAACTCTCATGCTTCAGGGAATTCTGGCGCAGTCCTGCTTCCCCCAACTATCCTACATCTCCGCCAGTGTCCGTGATCTCATCCGAATCGATTTCCTCGGTGCCCTCCCTCCGGAGCTGTCCTTCAAAATTCTCCGTTACCTGGACACAGCCTCCTTGTGCCGAGCAGCACAAGTTTCTCCCCGCTGGAGAGCCCTCGCCGATGATGATGTGGTGTGGCACCGGATGTGCGAGCAGCATATCCGCCGAAAGTGTAACAAGTGCGGTTGGGGTCTTCCTCTTCTAGATCGCAAGCGTCTGCGCGAAGCCAAGCGTGAGATTGAATTACGCGCCACCAACTGGGGCAACAACGAGCCTGCCGTTGGGTCGACTGAAGCCGCAATGATTGAATCTTGCTCGACAGTCAAACCTTCAGCCAGTGGCAAACGCAAGATGGAATCCGACGATGAATCCTCCGCCCTTGCAAAGCGCCATTGTGCATCGCCTCCCCAGACTCCTGAAGAAGACGAGAGTTACTTCAAAACTCGTTACCGTCCGTGGAAGGAGGTTTATCGGGATCGATTTGTTGTCGGTATGAATTGGAAGCACAAGCGCTGCTCTGTCAAGGTCTTCAAGGGCCACAGAGACAGTGTCATGTGTTTGCAGTTCGAGGACAATATCTTGATGACTGGGTCCTATGATGCTACGGTTAAGATCTGGGACACAGATACTGGCGAAGAATTGAGAACTCTCAAAGGCCACGTTGCTGGAGTGCGATGCCTCCAGTTCGATGACACCAAGTTGATCACTGGTAGTCTGGATCGCAGCATCAGAATCTGGAACTGGCGTACAGGCGAATGTATCTCTAAGTACAATGGCCACGCCGAAGCGGTCATCGCCCTCCACTTTGATTGCACTCTTCTTGCATCCGCCTCCGTCGATCGCACTGTCAAAATCTGGAATTTCAAGGACAAGTCTACTTTTGTTCTTCCCCACCCACAGGGAGTCAACGCTGTCAAAATCGACTCGGTTTCGCGCACAGTTTTGACCGCTTGCGACGATGGTGCCGCACGCCTTTGGGACTTGGACACCAAGACTTGCATCCGAGTCTTCCATAACCACATCGGCGCCGTTCAGCAAGTTCTTGCTTTGCCCCGAGAAATTGAACTGGAGAATCACCTCGCCGACTGCGAGAACGACCACGTAAGCACATCTTCTCAAAATGGCGACAACATCCTGAGCACACTTTCCCCTCTTCTCGAGGCCAAGTCTCTATCTCTCCAGAACTCACCATTCGGCTCTTCCTTTGACCAGGATCAAGGCCGCATTGAACCCCCGCGCTATATCATCACCAGCGGTGTGGACACAACCATCCGATTGTGGGAAACCAGCACCGGAAGATGCCTTCGTACCTTCTTCGGACATCTGGAAGGTATTTGGGCTCTTTCTGCTGATACCCTGCGGATTGCCTCTGGTGGCATGGATCGCATGGTCAAGATATGGGATCCTCGTGTTCCTACCGGCCAGGATACCTATGAAGGTCACAGCGCAGCTGTAAACTGCATTGGTCTGAGCGACAGCCGCTTCATCACTGGTGGTGATGACTACCAAGTTCGCATGTACGATTTCCGGGCCTAGAGTGGCCAATTTCTTTTCTTCTTTTGTCTACCAAAAGTACCCTTGTTGGTTAAATATTTCCTATTGTCATGGGATGGAGCGTATAACTGCGGCGCTGCTATCTCTGTTTTTTTATTATTGCATCTCCGGTCGATGGATGGATACCCTGGCGCATTCAAGAACGGCTGTGGCTCAAACAAGGTGATTTGATCTCACATATTGCCACTGACTGCATCACAGGCGCTACTTTGCTTTTTTGTTTTTACTACTTGTCCTTCTCTTCGGTTATCTGTCTGGTTTCGTGTTATAATACCATCTGCCCTTGTTTCCATAGGACCATCGATGAATTTCAGTGAATTTGAACGAACATCATCTCACATAAAGGCCTTCTTTTTATACACTCGGTAGCAATATAGCGCTAGTTGTGCTACTACTGTACGTGATCGGGCCGTCAGTGGAAGCCAACGGGACGGCCCCACCGAGACGGGGGCTAAGACCGTTTGGGATGGGAACCTTGGAACTGGCCCGAGGATTCAAGGCTTTAAGACAATAAACTTGGTTCGCTAGATCTACATGCTCTGTTTTCTTCCTCTCACCAACTGAATCCTGGACAACCCACGATATCTTCTAGACGCCATTTCAGCTTTCGTCGAGCTATAGCATTGATCAAATGCAAATCTTGAACTTCTGAATTGGTGGTTGTATATATCCCATGCCCACGCCACGCTGGTTTCTACCCACCGCATCCAATGTTATCCTTCGGCGCCAGATAAATCTAAAGATTGGGCACATGCGATAGTTTCAAAGTTCCCGAAAGAGAAAATTTAAAGATTTCCCGCTACCATTGATATGGCGACAGATCTAGGTAATTTTGTGGTCATTTTTGATGTCTCCGTGACTGAAGAACATCGGACCTCGCGCTACTATTCCTAATTAGGAACCTATCAACTACTATGTTGACCGCCTGCAATATGAAAGCCCAACCTACAACCCTTTTTTGCTCTATTTCCAACTCTTGTCACCCTCTATATCTCAATACAAAGGAAAAAAACGATATACTCGCGCCCTCCAACTTAGGATACCTATAGTTACTATGGCGAACGCTCGAAATGATATTCGATCTGACCGAGTGTGGTCTTATCAAATGGATGAACTTTCATACGGTTAGTATATTGAGCAAAACTCAGAGAAATCGAAGCAAACATCATGCAGGTCAAGACTCCGTTGACATACGTCCGGAAAAGCCAAATGTTGACACTGAGACCCCCTCCGCTTCTAGCTTTTCGGATTCCAGCTTGGGACTATCCTCCTCACCCAAGATCCAGTCAGTTGCTGTGACTAAACAGCCCCGTAGCGGTTACAGACACTGCTGGGGATGTTGGGCTCATTGGAAGCGACTCCCGCCGGCAATGAGATGGCTTCTAGTTATATTCGGGTTGATCGCCGTCACAGTTGTTACTGCTTGGTTCGTCGGCTCCCATCTGGCAGCCAAGGACCGTATCGAAAAGGAAAGACTGGCAAAGCTCCAAATCGCAAAGCCTAGCGCCGAGAATGCCATACACCAACGCGCCTTGATAACGGCCCTGCCTGGCGACTCTTCCGAGATCTCTCTGTCTACCGCCACATCATCCCTCATTGTGACCGCTCCCATGCCTATTTTCACCGATCCTGCGCGAAATACCTTTTTGACCAAGGTCCGTATCGCTATGTCCACGAACGGTGTCGCCTCGCCGGCTCCCTCTATGGGAGTGACAAGAACCTCATTGACACATTGAATACTCTCTCGGGTCAATTGATATAATGGATCCAGTGTGAGATTATTTGGGTTTTGCGACTGTGTTGGAATTGTGTATTGATATGAATGGAGGGAAATTGCTATTGATTGTCATACAAGAATAGTCGGCCGCTTATGCGGCCTCTGTCCTTGACGACCTAAGACTTTATTGATCTGATATATTTCAATGTTGGACCAAGATGGTACTAGGGATGTTATATGTAAGAACTCTCCGATGTGCTTTTTGGATATACTTTTTATATGCCTTTTTGATGTCTTTTTTGATAGCTCCTTAGGTGTATACGAAGGCAGTAAAAAGCATACATTGTGCAGACGACTTTTCTATGTATAACCTTTGATTACCACGTGTTAATTGCTATTGTGTGTTCCAAAGGCGATTGTCTCCTATTGCTACAGTTCCCCATCGAGACATGAATACAATTCAATTCAACCCTATTGTTCCTGCTATTGAGACTTGAATACTATTATCTACAACTCCAATCGACTGACTTCTTTTTCCATCTTCCTGCATATGGACTGCTTATCAGTATTTAAATCGCTATCATCTCATCTTCACTTCTACTTTACTCTCTGGTGTACAGTTCCATTGAATGCTTTGATATCAGCATTGCTTGTTCCTCCATCACTTGAACATTCCATCTATCCATCTTCATACCCCTTTCGTATCCCCCAAGCGTCGCAGGGTACATAAATTTGCATTGATACGTGCAAGCTAAACTCACCACGTGAGCGACAGCCCTTTTTTGTCCTTCGACCGATGCGTGGCTTCAAAAGCGTCAGAAACCCTCGGTTGATTTAATCTGAACAACCTACAAGTATTGACTGCTTGAGATTGTTACGGTTTTGACAGTTGTTAATCAAACGTGACGGCAGATTCATTACAGCTCGCAGCTATTCACCATGGCATACTCTCTCGAGAGACTCGTGCGAGCTCAGCAGCTCTTTGACCGTAGCACGGGCAATTACTGCATGCTCCCATATCTCGCTGGCCCATATCACCTGAGAGAGCGTGCCTCGAAGCGTGCCGCCGTCGTTGGGTCATGGCATGACAATGATGAAGATGAAGACTACACACCTTCCAGCAAGCGAACACCCTCCAAGCGCAAACTATCTCTTTTCCATGAGGGTGATCAAGAACCTCGATCTGACAAGAAGGCCAGGAGCTTGTCTCCAACTTCTAGGCTCCGTTCTAGACTGAGCCCAGACACGGAGAGAGAAGATTCTGTTCCCCCTTCGACGCCCTCTACGCCCTCCCCGCATAGTGAGCCCGACAGCTGGGACAGATACTGGGCCGTCAACCCTGAGACAGACACACCAAATTCACGATACAGCCTTCGACGCCGCAACAAGGAATCGCTGTCAGAATCACCACAAAAGAAAGAGACACCCAAGGCCGAGGCCGAGGCATCAAAGCCGACTGGGGATGTCCAGCCTGCTGATGACGAACTTCTGCAGAGAGAGTGCGCTGCCTGTCAAGAATTAGGGCTGGAATGCTCGCTTGCATCTGACCCCGATCCGTTCGCCTATCCTTGCACAACATGTGAAATCGACGGTGTTTTCTGTGTTGTGAACCCCCCGCCCAAATGGAAGCGATCATGCGAGAGTTGTAAAGGTCGGAGGAAAGAGATTTGTTCATATCGGTACGCTGATTACGACCATTCCCAACCTTGTCTCTCATGCCGAAATTATGGGTTCGAATGTGTCGCTGGTCCAGCTAGACACCCACCCTTTGCACTCTTTTCCACGAGCGAACCAAGTGAACCAAGCAGTTCTCCAAAGGCCGATTCTCCAGCAACCTCCAACTCACACCATGCCACCCCGGAGCTCGACGTTCCTGAGGTATCCAAGCCGACTGAACAAATCAGTTCCCCAAAGATCGATTCTCCAGCACGCTCCAACTCACCACATGGCATCCAAGAGATCGACATCCTTGAGGTATCCAAGCCGAGTGAACAAACCAGTTTCCCAGCCATCCAACCAAATATCCAGGTTCCAGAGACCAATCCCACACAGAACAATTCTGGAGAGCTCCCCTCCCCTCCATTCCGCAACTCTCAGCCTTCCGTTGTTGAGGGACCGAAGTCACATGAGGTGATTGTGCTCACTGATTCAGACGACGACACCCCGAACATCCCGAAGAGGCAGAACTCACCGAACTATATTTCTGACTCCGTTGAGTCACCCACTCGCGCCACTGTCTCAAATACCATTGCCTCGCAGTCCGCGAACACCCACCGTTTCTGGACCGAACTTGCTCATCCTGTGGTGTTTCTCTCAGATGACCGGAACGGATCTCCCCCCTGCCACTGGTGCAACAACTTTGCGTATGGCATCAATGGCCTCGGTCCTCGTAACCCAGAGGTCTGGACCTTTGACAGCGGCATGATCGTCGAGCTCCAGGATGGACATATTGCTGAAGGAAAAGAACAGAGCCGGATGTGTGTCTCCTGTACATGGAATCGATGCAAAATCATACAATGCTCCCACAACACCTTCAATCTACTACCTGTGCCTTCGCCCCCGAAAGAAAGAATACGAGCTGATGCTGCAGCACTGCTACACAAAGCCACTGAAGCTCTGACTGATCCCGAGACTGGGAAGGCTGGTCCTTTTTACCCAACTCCCCCTTACCAATGGTGCAGCCTGTGTCGAGAGCCCGCATTCGGATCTTGCCAGGCGGCTCAGCCAATTAATGCCTACGCAGATGTGGTGGATTGTGATGAAGAAACCTATGGATGTGGACTGATGCTCTGTGAGTGCTGTTTCAGCCTCACCCAGCGATTCAAAGGTGACCTCAATACAGTCGTTGCATGCGGTCGGAATGACCCGTCTAACCCTGTATCCTACCGGGCTGATGTGGAGTTGCTCCTCTCCGGATCGGAGAACAACACCATGTACAAGCTTCACATGGAGGAGCGTTGATGAGCAGGTTGTATTTTTTTTTTTTTTTTTTTGCTTTTATTGTATCTATCTCACCATGGCTGGCCTTGTTGCAGCTAGGTTCAGTTGAAAAAAATGCAAAATGTCCTTAATATTTTCAATCATGTTTCTGAACAGCTAACAAACCCATAATGTTTGGATACTCTCCAGGGCTAATCTGTTTGATGAGTCGTTCGCGATAGTGAGGGCATTGTGCCCTAATCCATTGTTAACAATAGGTCAATAGCACCGCAATAGAAACAGAACCAAAATCTCACAAACAATTATAAGATTACAATAGCTATTGACAATCAATCCCATTCACGAGTCTCTGTCATTGTGCGAACTATTCTGAATAGTCACCTTCAAGTATAAGTAAGAGCTTCACAGCTCCAACTCTCCAATCTTTCTTCTCTTCTTCTCATACATCTTTCATATCTTCGTCATTTCATATCTTCTTGGACTTGTATTCTTACTCTTTTTTTCGTTCACCAATTATCTTGAACTTCGCTTCATCTACAGACGCTGGTCGTCTGTATGTGGAGAGCCCCTGGGTTTCGTTTCCGCTCCGGAAAAAAAAATTACCAAACTTAAGATTTTCTGCCAGTCGAATTCGTTCGCTCACAACCAAATCCCCTTGTACTTCCACCAAAAGGAAGTAAGGGTGCTGCTTTGATCCCGTCTTCTATTTTCCCCTGGTTGCCCCGAGCTGCGACACGAGGTGCGCAGCTCATCGCCACGACGTCTTCACCAAAGAGACGAAAAGTTTCCCCAGAGCCTCGCACCAGTCCAGGCCTTCGGGCTCGACGTCACGGCCGCTCCGAACCTCCACACTCTCGCCACACGTCTTCCTCTTCTTCCCGCGGCCAGAGTTCGTCGTTGTCGCCGCCTCGCTACGTGCCTGCGCATCTGCAGTTTCAGTCCGGAAGCCCGCCTGGCCGCTCGCTCACCCCCGCGACCGCGACCGCCGGCCTCACCCTCTCTAGCGACCATTCCGACATGCCCTCCGATACTCGAGGGGGTACACCTCCAACTCATGGACGATCCCCTTCTCCCGGCGAGAAGCGCCCGGCATCCGAGATTACTGACTCCGACCCCGAAGGAGGCGTGAGCACTGTCTGCAATAACGCGCGCACATACATTATTCCCCGCACATGCGACGGCACAAACGATGAATCTACACATTCCACCACGTCGAACAATGATAAGACCGAGTCAGCATCCTCGGCCGGCGAGCAGTCCAGACCAGCATCGCCCAAATTAGACGATATTCCTACGATCGACGAGCAGGTGGCCGAGGTGAATGCGCTGATGACAGCGCCGTTGAAAGATGGACAAAAGGGCTTTGTGGTGTCAATGGCTTGGCTGAAGAAGGTGCTTGCACGCACTACAGCCCATGCGGATCACACTGACAAAGGATCATTGGAGGGAGACATTGGTCCCGTCAACAATTTGAACATAATGCTCGACACCGACCCGGCCACGCCCAGCTTCAAAGACGAAACTGGTGAAATGTTTGTGCCTATGCGCCCCGGTTTGCACGACTCTCTGGATTTCGCGATAATTCCGCAACATGGTTGGAACCTGATCCAGAAGTGGTACGGCCTCGCCGACCAGTCACCTGTGATCATCCGCTATGCTCACAACACTAGCCAACCCGGCGATACCGAAAAGATCGAATATGAGACTTATCCTCCGATTTTCACCATTTTCAAGTTGGCCAACCCCACCGCGGGTACCACCCCGACCATCTTGAGACAAACCGTCAAGCCGTCTGTCAAGATCCTGGCTAGTCGCCAGACGAATTACCAAAAATGGTTGAAGGATTCCAAAGAACAGACTGGTATCGATATGTCGACCAAGGTTCGAGTTTGGAAAATTCTCCAGCTACCTCGTAGCACCACTGCATCAGCCTCAGCAACCCCAGCTGTCTCCCGCAGCCAATCGCCAGCTCCTCCATTGGCTCTGATCTCGAACCCCAACGACAAGCTCCTTTTCGATTTGAATGCTTTCCTCGATCTTCCGGAGGGAACCCACCGGGTGTTGCTTGACAATGTTAAGGATCAAACCCAAAATGCAAACTACAATGGTCGTATGACTTTGGATATGGCTGGTCTCAGCGTGGCGAATTGTGTTGTTCTTGAGGAACAGGTCGGTGGCTTCAAAGGCGGAGAATGGGTGTCTGAAGCCTCTACCAAAACTCTCAAGAGTCTGGGTATCCCTGTGGATCAGCCGAAGAACGATGCTGCTACCAAAGCATCTGCCGCTAAAGCCGCACTCACGAGCACACAACCCAGTGGCAGATCCACCCCTACCCTGCCGCCCGATCCAATTCGGGGGCTCATCTCTCGAGGTCGGAAGGGTCGACAGCTTATCGTGGGATTGCAAAACCTTGGCAACACTTGTTACATGAACTCCGCGTTGCAATGTGTGCGAAGCATTGAGGAATTGTCTTATTACTTCCTTAGTGAGTATACACATCTTACTGTTGGATACTGCGAAAGAGGTCTTTCGATGCTAATCTTAATCTGCAGGTGGATCGTACAAACCAGAGCTGAATCCTGGCAACGTCCTTGGATGCGGCGGCACCATTGCTAAGCAATGGGCCAACTTGCTTCAGGAGCTCTACAAATCAGACCCTCAGCCGAGATCTGTCAACCCCTATAGGTTTCGTGCTGCCGCTGGTCGGCAACGTGAAGACTTTGCTGGCTACGAGCAACATGATAGTCAGGAATTTGTGATGTTTCTCCTTGATGCACTGTCGGAAGACCTAAGCCGCATCGTTGGCAGCAAACCGGCCACTGTCATCCCCGATTCCACCGATGAGATGATCCACGATCGCAAGGCTCTTGAGGAGTTCGGAAACAAGTGTTGGGACCTCTATGAGGCCCGCAACGCCTCTGTTATCACTGATCTGTTTGCCGGAATGTACAAGTCAACACTGATTTGCCACAATTGTGAAAAGACCAGCATCATCATGGACCCTTTCACAATGGTCACTGTGCCCATCCCAACGGGTCCAACGCTCATCAATCGAACAATTATCTTTTACCCTCTTGACGGGCCACCCGTGTCTCTCAAAGTCCGGCTCGATGAAAATGATACTTTGAAGGACTGGAAGGACTTTGTCGCCCAAAAGATGGGAATCGATGGAGAACGAATCTTCGCAGCAGAGACATTGCACAATTCCTTCTGGCAAACATTTTGCGACGATGACGATTCTTTCGGTAGTCTACGCATTACCCAAGAAGATACCATTGTGTTCTTTGATCTTGGCCCTCTTCCAGCATCTACTGATTCTCCTGACTCTACCTCCGATGATGATGCAGTCCTTGTACCCGTCTTCCACCGCAAACTTGTTCCGCGCAAGAACAAAGAGGCCACTCATGAACTTTTCGGAATTCCATCCTTCATACGTCTCTCTGGTGAAGAAACTCGAGACCTTGAGACGATTTACCGCAAGCTCTTTACCCAGGCCAATAACATGACTACACACGACATTCTGGCTGCCGAAGAAAACAGCCACGACGACAATGCAACTGATGACTCGGACACTGTGGTCACAAACGAGGATGATGCACGATCAGCAGATTCCCGAATCAAAACATCTTCTATTGATGGCGAAGACAGCATCGTTAACATTTCTATGCAAACCGAGCAAGCGCCAAAGCCTGCAGAGGACACTGATGAGTCGGATTCTGATTCTGAATCTGTCAAGTCCCCTCAGCATCCTCTTGCTAGCAAAATTCCCGCCAGTTTGTTGTCACTCTTTGATGTAACGGTCATGAGCACAAATACCACTCTGCCTGATGGACGTAATATTTCCACGATCAAAACCTACCCTTCCATTTCCTCTCGCACCCCATCTCCTCCCACTTCTACTAAGGTTCGTTTATTCCGTCTTGTCCGTTCAGATTCAGCCCGCTAATCTTTGCCAGGGATCCGATTCTTCATCCAAAAGTTCCGCAGATAACAATCGTGATGATGGCAACGATACCGATGAATCAGATCTGTCACCAAGCTCACCACTATCGCTCCTTCGCCAAGGTGATGCCATCCTGCTTGACTGGGCTCCCGATGCCGTTGATTCCCTTTTCGGCGGCAGGCCACGTGACCCCGAGGAGCTCCGTGGTCGCCCTACCTACATGAACATCAAGAATGTCTTTGATCATACCATGGTGGTAAGCCAGAAGAAGCCGAAGCAAACAACTGTCTCTCTCGACCAATGCCTGGATGAGTTCAGCAAGGAGGAAATTCTTTCTCGGGCAGATAGCTGGTTCTGTCCTCAGTGCAAGACCCATGTTTCGGCCACCAAGAAGTTCGAGCTATGGAGAACCCCTGATATCATGGTCGTGCAGCTCAAGCGGTTTAGCCAATTCCGCGGCAGAAACGGACACAAGATCAGCACTCTCATCGACTTCCCCTTTGAGGGACTGGATTTGAGCAGCCGAGTGGAAGGCCCCATGGATGGAAAGAGTGCGGTGTACGATCTGATTGCTGTCGACAACCACATGGGTGGAATGGGTGGTGGTCACTACACTGCCTACATCAAGGACTTTGTGTCTGGTGCCTGGGTCTATTGCAATGGTTCGATACCCCCGCTGATGTGCTAATTGAAAGATATCTTACTGACATGATTTTAGATACATCTGCGAAGACTGTCACAAACATGCAGTCGATCATCACCCCGGGTGCCTACCTCCTGTTCTACCGCCGTCGCTCCGATCGTGCATTGGGTAACCAGGAGCTGCGGGAGCTGGTTGAAGGCTACCGGAACCGCGAGGCGAGTGTTTCTGGCAGTTCCTCCGGCTCCCGCAGCCCTGGTGGTTCCCAATCACCTTCGGAGGATGGCGGTCGTGCCCTTGGCGGCGCACCCCGCAAGGGGTCGACTGCCTTGGCCGGGGCAGGAGGGGCACCCCGGGTGAGCCGGGGGCAAGACTCCCTCGGAAATGACCTATACTCTTCTGCCGAGGAGAGTACTTCGGGTTCGGAGGACGGTGGCAGCGAAGGTAAGAAAATCGGCTACGAGCACCAGAACGGGGGATCGCAGGTCGACTCCCTCAGCAAGCTCACGGAACCCTCTTGGTCGTTCGACGCCGCTCACGACATCTCGCAGATTTCCGGTGGTAACGCTGCCACCGAAGATGGCATCTTTGAGGGCCGATGTCCATGGGATCACCCCATGGACATCGACCCTCAGTTTCAGTTGGGTCTCACTTCTGGGGGTGAGGGGGAGGATTCCTCCGATGATCTCCCAGTCGTGGAGCTGCGTGTGGGGTCCGAGGATGTAATGTCCTCGGACCCATGAATAATATGAACCAAAAAAAAAAAAAAAAAAAAAGGAGTGAGGGAGGGGAGGCGGATTGGGGGGGTGTTTTCTACATAGAGGGAGGGGGATGGGCAGGTGGCCCATACAAAATCAAAAATATGTTTCTTGTTTTAATTTCAATCACATTCTCAAAGCAAAGTAAGAGTAAGGCCAAACTCAGGCCAATGTAAAGATCCAGTGAAGTTGTAGAGAAAGTAAGAAAGACTTCTCTCTATCACTTCTTCATCACTTAACTATCGGCTTCCTATCAGCTTGCTCGCCGAGGTCTTGTATCTATAACAAAGAGGCCTAATGACCTCGCCTCTTTTATAGCAGGTCACACCAAAACATGTCCGGGATTTGACTCTAACTACCTTCAGTCTTGGTCGGTTGCGGCTGCTAGCGGTGTGTCCATATAAGGTGACCCCATTTTGTGTAGCTTTGTGATTTTGTTCTTTGTTCTCCTTTTTGTGTCCGCCGATAGCGGTCTAGTTCATTACCAGGGACCGTTCTAAGAGCCTTAGGTTGATCATAAATGTAGAGATGGTTGTTTCAAGGTGGCTGTCTGCTTCACAAGAAGTGTTTCAGTATTGGGCGATATCAAGATTCTCACCTATAACTTATCCAATTCTTCCTACAATCATTCCAGTGGCACATTATGCAGTAGACAAGACCCTAATAATTAATTTCCTTAGTCCTACAACGGTTGTGCGCGGTATATACACTGGCAGCTTCCAATTAACAGAAGGTATTCAAACCCCTATGTTTGAAGTGAAATTCATGGGTTGTACAAGAGGGCTTGTGCAGCCATGGAGTCAACTAAAAATATTGACAAGCACTTATAGTACATGTATCCTTAGCATCACTGGCCTTGTATTTTAACACATATCTGTGGTTTTAAATGTTCTATATGGATTCACCTATCAAGATACGTGGTATCCAAAGTCACCTAGTAGTCTGGACCGAGGAATTCCTTCTCCGTTCATTGACTCCATATCAGAAGCGTACATACATGTAGTATATATCAACACATGGCGTGTATGATGTTTCTATGGTGATGTAGAGGATAGGAAGTTATGTGGTCTGGGGGCCTTGGAAGGAAAGTGCCAGAGTCCCTCCTTCCATATTAGGGCTAGGTGCGTGCGAGTTGTCTCCTTCGCGCAACTAGCTTCCAAATTGCCACGCTTCCCTTGATTGAATCACCAAACATCCATATTCCACGCACTTATTCCAAGATGAAGCGCACCGCTCCTTCTCCGAAACGTCGGGGACTCTTCAGACATGAGCCACGCCAACTCAATCCCCAGCTATCTAACCTCTGTCCAGAGGTTATTAATGTCAGCCCTCCCAGTGCCAGGTCTATGATTGACAGGATCAACTCCGAGCACGCTGATAGATACTTGGCTTTCCAAAGCGCCAGTGACCAACTCGAGCTTCTGAGGCTCGAGGCCTTGCGTCTCAGGATATTGGAGTCCACGAAATCCACGACCGATCCAGCAAATGAGATGTCTCCTCACCGCGCGAGCCCCGTCTCAACTCAAGGCTTGAGTTCCAATGGAGAACCTGGTCCCACCGTCCCAAACTCGACGCGAACCACACCAAACTCGATGCGAACCTCGATGCGACCCCGTGCTTCAGTCCTGAGCGAAAGTGAGATCAGTGTTCTTGATCTCGGCCCCAGTCTTCAATCTACCCATATTTCATCTCGAGCCTCTCGCCGCAACTCATCCTCTTCAAGTGCTCATCCTGGAATCGGCCTCGCGCGTACCACTGCTCCCAGCTTTGTGCCGGGGCCTGGCAGCGACACTTCGGACCAACAAGTTGAACGCCACCTCAGGACAGATGAGCTTGAATCTGTCGCTCTCACTTCCGCCAGTGGCTCCGTTAACAACGACTTCCCTCTCAACCTGCGTCAGCGCCGCCAGAACCGAGCCAACATCACTCTCCCCAGCCCCCAGGAGCTGCGACCTCATCGCGTAAACCGTTCATTTACCATCAGTGGGGCTCATGGTTCGAGAGATGGATCTGGCTTCGACCAGAGCCCTACTTCCTTCACCGACGAGCCCAATCGCCGGATTTTCTCGCTCTCTGTTCCGCAATCTCCCCAGTCTCCAGCCCTGCCGCCCCACCCAACTCTACGACGTGCTCAGAGCTCATTTAGTGGAATGGACCCGGCCTTTTCAGCTATGCGCAATGCAGAACGGGCGATACAAAATGCACGCGACGCTGCAGGCTCTCGGCATGCCGATCGCAAATGAGACACAGGGCGCAGAAACATTGAGGTATGAGATATGAGGGTCATTTCATGGAAGGAGAAAGCTTTATGGACTTTGATGCTTGGTCAGGGCACGGCGGAACAATATCTGAGGCTTTGAGATGTGTGAAATCGGATTTTGAATTCTAGGACCTTGCAAATGTTTGCCTTCGAGGCTCTTTACTTTGAGCCTTTTGCCATACATGCAACCTTCGGCATACATCACCTGTTTATTAGCTGATTACTCTCAAATGAAGTTAATTTCAAAATGCTTGTTGTGTAGAGTTACTCCCTTGTTTTGGGATGTACTAAATTTTGGCTGGCTCGGTATGAGAAAAATATCTTCATGTAGTGGTTTAGTGCAACAGCTAAATATACATTGGCCGCTCTTGGATCACCGTTCCGTGACGTTGCGGTGGCGGGAAACCTGGGGTTCAAGCTGGAACCATCGCAACCATTATATTCTAGGACAAAAGACATCTATCAAGACATCTATCAACCTATGTGCTTTCAAGTTTTCCTCAGCTGTCCATTTTTACAGTCTCTTACCCATATTCTATCCATGATGGTTGAAGTTCAAGCCTCTTTCATGACGTAATCGCGAACACCGCCCTGCACCAGCCACACCACGACTTCCCCCCGCAGATCCCCAGGCACAGCTTCTCCAACTCAGTTTCCGGTGTTAGTTGGCCTTATCAAGCCTCCATACCCTCATAATGTGGAACGACGAAGATAACAATCCCTACGGGGCCTTTGACCAACATCAGCCTGGCCTATCTGACTCCCTACATTCAGCCGCACTCTCTCCCCGTAAGATCTCCGCTTGGTTCCCACTCTAACGTTTCTGCCTTTGGATCAGTATCTGACAGCAGCTAGCTCTCTATGAACATGACTCAACCCCTCCATCTAGCCGCGACTCCACCAGCGAGCCTCCTGATTACATCACTCATCCAGAAGACCTTAGCGACCCCGAGGATGAGGCCGAGTATGGTGCCGCCAGTGAACAATACCCTCGGAAGAGCGTCTATGATAGCCGGATTGAGCAGATCCTTTATGAAAATCCTGAGATGCCAATTTTGATCACGGATGCCGGGAAAAACCATGAGGGCGGCGGGAGCTTTATTGTTTACACAATTCGGACTGCGGTATGAGAATGGTGCCCGGCGGATAACCGTAAAATGCTGAGTGTTGATAGGACCTGGAAGTGCGCCGTCGATACTCCGAGTTTGCATCATTGCGACAAACCCTTGTCAATTTGCATCCCACCTTGGTCGTTCCGCCGATTCCCGAGAAGCATAGCATGGCGGACTATGCAGCCAAACCCACCAGAGCTAAAGATGATATGGCCATTATAGATCTCCGGAAGCGCATGCTCAGTGTGTTCCTCAACCGCTGCAGGCGTATGAAGGAGATCCGCGAGGATGGAGTGTGGTGGAGATTCCTTGATCCCAACGTTAGCTGGGTGGGTTCGACCTAGATGTTCTTGGTTACGAGTTTACTAACTAACGTTTGCCCAGAGTGAGGTTTTGAGCTCCCATCCTGCAGCATCAGTCCCAAAGAATAATCTCAAAGCGCCACCTCTTGACCCCGCAAACCCGACACCAGCCCATGGCTGGCTCCCGATTCCGTCTACATCCGCAAAGCTCAAACCCAGCGGTGGGAGTACCACGGCTGCTGGAACCGCAGCATCGCCCACGTCACCCAGTGAATCAGAGCCGCCCACGTTCCCAGGACCTGAGATGCTCGGGCGGTTCCCTCCTGAGTCACGCAAGCTTAGCGAGCAAGAACTGGATCCTTACTTTATTAATTTTGAAGCGTCTACGCGAGAGCTAGAATTACTTTTGCAGGGCAACATCGAGAAAGTTAATCGACGAACTCTCTCGCACTTGTCTGGGCTCTCAGCCGACCTCATGGAGTTGGGAGCGCGTTACAACGGATTCTCTCTTTCTGAGCAGTCACCAACAGTGGCTGCCGCCATTGAGCGGATCGGCCAGGCCGCAGATACCTCTTATATTGAAACCGAAGAACTATCATCCGCTTTGAGCGCAAGTTTTGCGGAACCTATGCGGGAGAGCGCTCAGTTTGCTAGTGTGGTTCGCGGAGTTCTACGATACAGAGTGCTCAAGCGGGTACAACAAGAAATGACTCGCGATGAGTTGTCGAAGAAAAAAACCCTACTAGACTCCCTTGAGCGCAGTGAACTCGAGGCCAAGCGCATCGAGCAGTACCTCAACCGCACCAACCCTCATTCTGGAGGGACGAAGCCTCGTTCTCTGTCAACCTCATCCGCCGTCAGCAGCGAAGGGGGAATGGTCCCGTCATGCCAGCTGACTCAGGTTTCCCATCTACTCACGACGATTCCATGAGCTCTGCGCCTGGGTCGCAGACCGGAGGACTTAAGAGGTCTGACCCGTCAGTACCAGGCTCTCCTGCTCATCGGAAGTCATCTAGCGGGACTTTTGTGGCGAACAAAATCTTCGGTCGCATCAGCCATGCTATCCACGGGTTTGCGGATGTAGATCCCGAACGAACACGTCGGGACCAGATCGGAAAGACGAAAGAAAGTCTGATTCAGGTATGTGGGCAGTGGAGTAAAATTGTTTTCAGATGACTCCAAGCTAATCTCGATTTTTAGTTGGAGCAAGCGTTAGAAGTGTCCGAGAAGGACGTCAAGGATGCGAGCGCGGGCGTACTACACGATCTAAAGCGCTTCCAGAAGGACAAAGAAGCCGATCTGCGACGATACATGGTATGAATGCCCCCCTACATGATTCAAGACTAAGATTAACCATGATTTTCTAGGTCGCATATGCTCGTTGCCACTTGGACTGGGCTCGGAAGAACCTGGAAACATGGACCGAGGCCAAAGATGAGGTAGACAAGATCGTGGCTCGATAGAAGATCATACTTCATCTTCAGGCTGATAAGCTCGGCGCTGGCGTTCGGCGGATATCTTTTACCTTTTTCTTTTACTGATTGTTAACTTGTCACTGCCCTGGACCTCGCTGGAAATGCAAACCTGGTATATCCAATTCTCTAAATCTAGGCTATTCTGTATAGAAAGTACTATGTAGTAGCCCTGGATGGAGAGGGGTTTGTCTTACCTGTACCTTCGTACCTGCAACCCTACAGGGTTATATTGTTGGAAAAGTCTCAAAAAGACGAGTAAAGGGCCGGCTCCTAGATGTGTTTATAACCGTTTTCATCATCCTTGGAGAAGTGATATGTTTCAAAGGCAAAGGGCACATTCCCAACATGTTGACCAATCACTTCCCGTGACTCGAAGAAAAGGACGATCGACACTGCAACCGATTGATTTCAAAAAGTTACCCATCTCCCTTGCTTGTCAAGTTCACTAACTTATGTACAAAGTTATGGTGTGCGACTATGTTGTATGTCAGAGCTCAATTGCCTGATATGTAGTTTGGTCTAACAGTGATCCATCTTTTGTGCCACGAATCCTTCCACTAATCCTGCCGCTTCCATTGCGCCAAGGCGAACACACCTTCTGTATCTCCTACAGAAGAACAACTTGTTCTCTGGGCATTCCGAAAACCCTGCAGGCATGTCCGATTGTGGGCCTTTATTGAGTATCCAGTGGACCGTGTCGCAGTTCCTTCACCCCTCTGTCCTGCATCACCAACTCCACCCTACCAGGGTGGTAACGCCGTGCGTCGACCGAAAACGATGAGTGCCTGGATCCATCAAGATGATCGTCAGGGCCGGTCATTTATCACGGTCGATGTCGCCGTCTGGCCATCACGATGAATTTCGACATCAGTCTTTTTGGAAACAATTCCCTCGACGCTGGGTTAAGATGATTTCCTTCCTCGCCTTAGTATGTTTCTTCTCCGTCGGTCTTGGTCTGAGTATCAAAAGAGACCGGAACTTTGAACATGGCCAGAAGCTACAAGATCTCGGGAATGACCAGGCTATAAGCCGCTTTCCTCCTCCCCGTCAGACACAGCAACATACACATGATCCTACTATTCTCCGTGTGGGTGATGAATATTATCTTTATCATGTCGGCGAACACATCTTCATTCACACTGCGCCGAGTATGGCCGGCCCGTGGAAGCATGTCGGCAGTGTGCTGGATGCCAATAGTGTGATCCCGAAGGGTGATCGTGCCGTGCCCTGGGCCCCGACCGTTATCGCCGTCGACGGCACATACTATTGCTATTATAGTGTGAGCAAGGCCGGTTGCCGTGATAGCGCTGTTGGCGTGGCCACCTCCAACTCTCCGGGTCCAGGCAACTGGTTTGATCACGGTGCTGTCATTGAGACTGGCACGGGCAGTGGATCGGACATATATCCTTACACCAAGTCCAATGCCATTGACCCCAGCACATTGGTCACTCCCGATGGAAATGCTTATTTGACTTATGGAAGCTACTGGAATGGAATTTTCCAAATTCCGCTGAGCAAGGACCTCCTCTCTCCAGCCAGGACTACCGAACCTGATGAGCGTCAGCTGGCGTGGGAGCCGGAATCCCTGGGCCCGCCGAATCGCATGGCCAATAACATCTGTGGTGATCCGAGCGGTCCCCATCCCGTTGAGGGTGCTTTCATCTCCTACAATGATGGATGGTACTATCTCTGGTATAGTCATGGTTTCTGCTGTAATCTGAAGAAAGACAACCTGCCGCCCGCTGGTCAAGAGTAAGTCTTCATGATCCAGTGACTTGTTGCTTTATATTCACGTACTTCAGATATTCCATCCGCGTTGGACGCTCTCAAAGTCCCCGTGGGCCATTCACAGACAAGACCGGCAAGGATCTCGTCACAGGTGGCGGCGAACTTGTCTACGGCTCGAACGGAGAGACCTATGCCCCAGGCGGGCAAGCTGTGATCCGTGATGGCGATACCGATGTGCTCTACTACCACTACTGTGCGTTTACCCCTAATCGAAATACCATGTCTGAACTCCATACTGACCTCATCACAGTGAACACAACAGTTGGCATTGCATTCCAGGTAAGCTCACACTTGATTATTGGCAAGCTTGTGGGCCACAATTGTCGTGGTTCATGCACCCATGTCGATCCTCCTTTGCTACCCCTTGCACCATACACACGAACGTCATCAAGATCTGATCTAACACATGCATCCACAGGACGCCTTCCTTGGATTCAATCCTCTCAAATATGTTGACGGATGGCCTATCGCTCAGGCCTGATCTCACATTCGCACGCCCTTCATTTCTCGATCTATCCTAGACTTTCCATTTCTACACCACTATAGACCTCCGATAATATCGCCTAAACTCCGCCGCATTTTGCATCCGCGTTCAACCCATCCCTTTTCCTTCAAGAATGGATCTCGAATTCTGCATATTTCTGCGTTCTTGCTTCCCAAAATACTTGAAGGGGTCCCATCGTCATCTCTTTCACTCCCATAGACTTGTTTTCGTCCGCCTCTCGCGACTCCATTGCTTATACACATTACCCATTCTGTTCAAATTTCCTCGTCTGCATTTCGTGGCGTACAGGTCCTGGGATATCCAACTCTTTGCTCTCGGTATATTTGAACGTTTGTGATTGTGAATTGTGACTTACCTTGCCAATACATATGTTTCTGCGAAAGTGAATATAAACTCACTGGATTCGGTCATATAAAAATTGAAGCAAGCCTGCGCGAATGTTGCAAGTATCAACCCAAGACTATATAGTCTAATGAGGCGCTAGGTGTCGTTAAACGTACTGCATGACTCATTGTATATTCCTCTCCAATGCTGGAAATGGATGCAAATCAAAAGAACGAAACTGAATTGACATGTGTCGTTCTAATCTAAGACCAAAAGTACATGGATAAAAGCAACTATCATATAATCCAGTCAATGCTCATCAACCGACACATCCTGATTTATTGATTTGATTGATTCCATTCTTCTCAGTGTGTTCCCTTCCGCCTCCATATCTTGTTGCAGAAGATCCCCTGAGAGTTCCGGCGCCTCTTCCATGGCCTCCATCGATGATTTAACAACTCTCCTAAACGTGAACGGAGTCTTTCCCGACTTCCGGGCTCTTGTTGCTGACCGTCCTCCAAGGATGCCGCTGCATCATCTGCATCCCCCGCAGTCTCTAGCTGCGGCTGTTTAGAACTCTCGGGAACCTCTGACGCCTCCGACTGCTGTTCCCCCTGGCTGTGGAATAAGTCCGATGCCCTATCCACTGCATCCAGTTGACCTTGTTCAATATTCTTAGAGATATCAGGCAAGGCCGGCTGAGGCTCAGCATGATCGCTCAGCGGATGCAACGTCCCTATTTGCGCCTCTGGCTGGGCTTTCTCGGCACTTTGACACACATCCGACATCTACGGTTCATGGCTGACAAGCAGCTCGGATGTGCCTGCTGGCACCCCCGGCTGCTGTTCTCCCTGGCTGCGAAGTATCTCTGGTGCCCCGTTCACTACCGTCAGCTTCTCTTGTCCAAGATTCATGGAGATATCAGGCGAGGCCGGCTGGTGCTCATGATGATCGCTCAGCAGATCCAACGCCCCATTTTGCACATCTGACTGGGATTTCTCAGCGCTTTGACAAACTTCCAACACCGACTAGTGACAAGCGATCAGACGGTCGAAAGGTGGGACCAACACATTCGAGCACCAAAAAATGATGCGTCCCATTCGGACCATGGAGTAGAAAGGTGTCAGTCATGCAACTTAACAATGTAGTGCAGGAACAGCTTATCTCCCGACTTTTCCTTCAAATATTGCGGGTTTCGAATTTCCCTCGGCTCCTTGATGTGCGCGGCCAATATTTTCAAAGCGACCCATCGATCGTGACGCACCTCCTCATGTCTTATGCTTGAGGATCTTAGTTGCTTTGCATATTTCGAGGAGATGAAGAGGAGTACCATACCTACTTATTGAATTCGATTTCATTGGTATAGCCATGGGTATATACTTACAATGCTCATTTCTGCCTTGCCTATTTTAAAGATCAAAATGCATAAAAGTGTGTAATTCTCCAATAAGAAATAGATTGTTCAGGGTAAAACACAGGTGATAAAAAGTTCATCGACTACACATATATCATGTGTGGATGAACGCAAATCCATAATACCTGGAAAGCTCCCCCATCTCCAATCCACGCGAAAGAAATTTGACTTCACCATTTCTGTGTCTCTTTCCAGCCGGAAGCCTGGCTGCGCTTGTCCCATCCTGTATCCGAGCGTTCGCGCGAGCGACTTCGACTCTGACGTCTCTTCTGATTCTCCTCCAATTCAATTTGCCAGCGCTCCTTTTTCTTCTTTTTGTCTCGGTGCACATTGCCATCTTGGCTCCAGGTTGGACTGCCACCACCACGGCGTTCTTCTGCATGTCCCCAGGAGTTGGACCTGGACCTTTTGCGGCTGTTGTTGTCCCATTCCCCATAGTCCTTATGGTCATTTTGTCCCCAGTCACGGTTGGGGCTTGATCGGCCTCTTGACTTTCGCTCCGGGGATGCGTGGTGGTTACGCTTGCTTTTCTTGTGGTAACTCTTCGTATCGTCATCTCCCCATCCATCGTGGCCACTATAATGGTCTTCGCTGGGATGGTTGCTCCGTGAAGGGCTGTTTTGTCGTGTGCCACTGTCATTCTGTCCCCAGTTACGGTTGGGGCTTGATCGGCCTCTTGACTTTCGCTCCGGGGACATATGGTGGTTACGTTTGCTTTTCTTGTGGTAGCCTTTCGTATCATCATCGCCCCGTCCCTCGTTGCGGCTATGATGGTCTTCATTGGAATGATTGCTCCGTGAATGGCTGTTTCGCTGTGCACCATCGTCACTCTGACCCCAACCTCCGCGGGAATCCGCTTCGTTTCGTGACGCTCGATCTGGGGATGCAGGGCGGCTGTTACCCCATTGAGGGCTCTTTTCCCGTGGGCTATTGTGATTGTTTCGTGAGCCTCGTCGTGGGGAACCAGGTCCACTATTTCTCTCCCCTCCTTCGTCAATGTTGAAAGTGTTGCCCCAGTCGACGTTGTTATCGTTCTGCTCAGTGTTGTGTTGATTGTCCCGTGAGGTATCATCATTTCCCCAGCCACATCCGCCACCATGATTGCTGGTTTGGTCATTTTGTCCTTCTGTGTTTCCCCAGTGATGATATTGCTCGTCTTGGCCTCCCTGGGAATTTGGGGAATGGGAATTGGGGGACCTCTGGTGATTCTGGCCTTGGTTCTTGTTTTTCTGTTTGCGCTGGTTTTGTCGATTTTGCTTGCTCCGTTGCTCATTCTGACTTCGTTGCTGTTCTCTTTCCTGTTGCTGTCTTTGTTTGTTTTGTAGCGCTCGTTGTTTCCTTTGCTGCCGTTTGGATAATGGGTTCGGCTGCTGGTTCGCCGGCTGGGGAGGACTACGCGTGCTCGTCCGGCTTGGTCCTTGGAAATGTTGGTCAGATTTCGGGTTACCGGTATATATTGGCTGCCGGGGGTGAACATACTGTGGCGTACGCAGGGCATTGGAGAATCCTCGGGCCTTTGGTCGAACCCACCCGCGAGGGGTAAAGTAGGGTCCAAATACGGGGTTTTGGGGTCCATTTGCAGGCTCATAGTTGGCCTGGGCACGATCTCGGTTTCTTCTGTTGAAGATTTGGCCTTCTTGGTGCATTTGGGCCACGTGTGATCGATACCAAACGTAGAACAACCACGCGAAGGCCGGGGTGACCAACGCTATCGCCAGGAGAACCGCCACCAGAATATTGTCCTTCATGGTGTATACCAGTAGTGAAAGAGTGGCTCGAAGTGATGGGTTTGAAGTGCGTGCAGCTGGAATGAATGTTGGGAGTGAAGAGTGTCAAGAGTGTGAGGATTGATTGAAGGGCTTAAATAGGATATCGATATCAAGTGAAGGTGACGAGAGACACGAAAGAGGAAAGAGCTGACAAGTAGAAGAGAGAAAATGGGGAAGGAGCAGACTGGCAAACGTGGCAAACGAGATATTGTTCAATATTCTATCTAATGTATATGCAGTTTATCTCTTTTCACTTTCAATTCACATTACAGCTCACATTTCCAATGCAGCCTGGATTCTTGACAACCAATCCCCATGGACTGATGACGATTTGCCTGCGCCTAAGAGGGATTCAAGCGATGCCCGGAAGGCATTTGGCTGCACTCGCAGACTCTCCGGTGCCGGGAAGACCTGTGAGCCTAGAGCAGATGAAATGATAATAACGCGGAGACCTAGGGTGAAGATCTCAGGCTTCGAGACCCAACCAAGAAGTCCATCTGCCTCTTTCTCAGAGCCAACCAGAGAACAGAGATATGTTAATCCGTCAAAGGCCCAAGCAGAAGTTTCATCCAACGAGAGCTTATTGTACGCCGAGTGAGTCAACCGCAACAGAGCTCGTGACCAAACCTCAACCTCACGCACATCATCGATAAACAGATTTTGTTTCTCCTCCACGAAGAGAACGGTACTCTCTTGGCGATGCTCTGCGATCTGGTCTGACACAGCAACTAAGTGACTGCGTTCGTCAGATCCACTGACCCTTGGCTCTTGGCTAGTCAAATATCGAAGAACCCGTTGCCCGAGGAGTGCGGAATCTGAATAGTTATCGATAATAAAGTCGGCAAGCAGGGCGCCTGCATTGAGAGGCGCCAGGGTCACATCGGCGTCAGGTGAAACGGACGAGTGTGACAAAACCCAAGAGGCAGCTGATGCAGCCACATCACGAATTTCGTCGTCGTCGTCATTGAGCATGTCATACAAGACCAGATAGACGTCCAGCAGCACCGCATCCACGTGTGGCTGGGAACCAGGGGATCTGAGAGCCCGTGAAAAGCTGCCAACAGATACGGCTGCAGCAAAACGGGTTGTGAATTCCTAGAAAACGAGAAATATTAGATCAGTGACTCGATTATGGAAAAAATGACACCCATAAAACTAACCGTCTCCTCGCTCAAGGCAGAGCGAAGCTTGATAGTCCAGCTGTGGACATCGCCTTCAAATGAGGACGATGGTGTCTGATCAACAGATGACCGAATGGCCAGTAGACAGCCTCGAAGTCTGAGCTCAGCGTCTGTTGCCTCTCGGTTCCAGGCTGTGATATCTGTTCCAGGGCGGAAGCCATTTGCAATAGCATCCCATGGCAGACCGATGCTTGGCACAGAGTCGAACTGTGATGATATTAAGTTTTCCAAAATAGAAGCCAAATTGGATGCGGCCATTGTTTTCACATCAGGTCGACTATTTCCCAAAATCACGGACGAATACAAATCAGCCAATGGCTGTCTATACCTCTCGTCTTCGCCAACTGACTCGTGGAGCTGCTCCAAAATCCAACGAGCGACATCTGCATCGAATTGTGATACGCCAATGAAGAATGCTGGGAGCTGTTCCCACTGCTGAGAAGTAAGCATTTTCAATGTTGTGCACCAGGCAAGCGCTCTTCTAAGGAGGGCAGATGCTCGGCTAGTACTTGAGAGGTTCCATCCCGCCTGAGAAGCGTCAAAAACAAATCTCAAAATCCCATCAAGGTCGTGAACCTCGAACATCTCGTTGATAAAAGAAATAACTTGGTCTATGGATCGGTTAGCTCATATTTCTTTGCTCAGATGAACGGATGATGTCCACGTACCTTCGCTCTGTGCTTGGATCGCCCGCTCCATCGTGCCATTAAGAATTTCAACAAGCTCGCTTGCTACTGTCGGCGATTTCCCAAGACGGAACAGGACCTCTAATACAGTGCGCAACGTCGTGAAAAGTACATCAAGGTTTGCTGCCAAATGGTTAATTTGAGTATTATTAGGGGTTGTTTAGTGCACTCACATCTCCAAAAATCATCCGTGGCGAGGGAGTATCGACGAAGGGCATATCGTACACACAAAGCAACACCATGGACATAATTCTCGGTGATTTTTGAGGGCGCCGTAATAAGAGTGCGTAAATCTTCCGGGATATGTTGTCGAGTGAGCAACGACGCATACACACGAGCTGCATGCTCTCTAACACCCCAAACAGGGCTGCTGAGGTGCTGAAGAACCAATCCGCGTAGCATTTCATCAGTAGGATCATCCAAGCTGGGGACTTTGTCACCAACGAGTTCCAGCGCAGGGAACACGCGCTCGGTAATAATCTCAGTACCCTCCGCTGCTTCACCTTGCGTCGTTGTGAGAAGGCCAGAGAGCAGTTCAAGCAGACCAGGATACTTGGGGAATGTTATCCGAGATCCTGGCTCTGAGCCCGAGTTTCCTCCAAAGCCAGGCCCAGCACCAGGAATGACCCGACACATTTTTGTGAGTAGGGCACGGAAGAGCATCAGTCCTGAATTGCGAAGGGCCCAGATTGGCGACCCTAGGCGTTCGGCGGACAGCGTCAGGGCCTTCATAATGAATGGCTCGGTATGGAAGCCAAGCTTTGCGTTGGTGAAGATATCTTTCAGGCAATTCATTGCATGAACCTGGGGCAGTTCCAAGTACTGTCTCTCTTTGTCGTACTCCACGGGAAGGGATGAGATCTCGTGGAGTTCATTAATGGCCGCGTTGAAGAATGGAGTTCCGGGATCAGAGCCAACAATTCCTGTCACCAATGCAGGCAAGCCAGCGGACCGACGGGTGAGTTGAGATGCCGAGCCAAAGATGGTCGACTTAGCTTCCTGGTACCAGTTCCTAGGAAGTTCTCGGATTGACGGATCCTTCGAGGAGCTGCATCGTTGACAGCATGTTGCAAATGTCTGTGAGACGTTGGAAAATGCACCTCGATGGCGGAGCTCAGCCAGCTGTGTGAAGCTAACGCCTCCAATGTTTGCAAAATCCGCCAAATTGAGTCCGTCAGTGCCGCTTGGTCCGTAACTGGTGTTTACCATAGTGGCATGGAGCAAAAGGCTACTCCAGTCAGAGACTATGCATAGTCAACAAAGGGGTTGAGCTTACCTTGCTTCGCGAAGAGATCTCCAAGAATAAGAAAGAGCGTCCTTGGGTCCCACGTTCAGATCCTCGGTGGGCTCGTCCGAGTGACCTTCGGGTGAGTCGATACACAGCAAAGGCTTTGCCTCAATCCAGATCTTATCGCAAATTGCAACAATACGGTCATGGACAGACCGCCAAGCAGCAGATCCCGACCCGTCAGATATCAGGGAGTGGAAGCTTGGCATAAGGACAATATACCTGGAACTTCAATCAGCATATTATCTCATGTATGGGCCAAGACAACATACCTAAGACCGGACGTATATCCATGAAGTGGCGCCTCACGCATAGCGGAGTGGAAAAGGGTCTTTGAATCTAGGAGACGTTCCTCAAGCTTTTTCAAAATTGTGTCGACTACTGATGCCTTAGTTGTCCACCAATCAGAAACCGGTTGACCGGAGTTGGCTGGCAGGGCTGCGCAAAAGACGATGTGGTATAGACGAGCAACAGTATCAGCGTGATCAGCTCTGCTCGTGTTACTTGCCAGGCTTTCCGCTCGGGTAATTGCATCTGTCAACCGCATGCCTACAGCCGACTGGTCGTCTGTCTTGTTGTGCAAACCGTTGAGCAGAATCTCTCGAGGGCACAAACTCAAGATTGAAAGCGCTGTTTGTCGAACTTCCTCAAATGGATCTAGCAGGAGATCAACCAACAACCGGAGTAGGTGGGCGTCAAACACTTCGACATGGACTTTCCAAATATTTTCCATCTCTGATTTTTGAAGCTTGACTTCTATCCGTGGATCAAGACCGGAGTCCAGCAGGAGCTTCAGTGCTTTGAGAGCCGTAATATGGCGCGAATATGAGGCCGCCAGACGCAAATCATTACCCAACAACTTGAGGTATGCCTTTAAGAACTCTGTGGTTTCAGTTTCATTTCTGACCTGACCTTGAGCTGGCTTGTTGGCATTTTTCTCTGTCTCTAAAACAACATCTTCATCTTTGACAATGCCGCCCCTTAGACGAACAAAGAATTTGCGTGTCAGACTCAGAATTTCTCCTCGAGTATATGCGTCGGATTCAGCATGCATCGAGGGTAATCCTCGAAGAATAGCATTCGTGGCCGTCACCGTAAATGGTTTTACTGTGGAAAATGCCGTGATGAGCAGCGAGAGAGCCGCTATACGGATATTAGCCTCGCGGTGCAGGAGAAAGTTGCCGATCACGTCGCTCTTCATGACCAACACATTTTTGTCGAGTTTCATTTTGCCAACGTTAAAAATATCTGCGCGTATTAGCAAATTTCCAATAAAGCCAGGTTGACAACGCTACTTACAATCTTCGTGAACCAAGTTGATTTTCTTGCCGATCTGGAGAGCAGCGAAAAGAACCATATACTCTGCCTCAGGCGCATCGGTCATATCACCTCTGATAAGGCTCTTGACAGGGAGAGTGTCAAGGAAAACCTTAAATCCATTGTGATCAATGGTGAACAGAGGCTGTAGGAGCCTATTGGACAGGTCTTCCAACGTTTCTATGTTTTGTAAGACTATGCGTCTCACTGGCATTACCCACATCGCTGACAGCTTTTCCGGTGAGGTTTCAGGCTTCATCTTCTGGATCAAAATTGCCAAAACGTTGCCAGCTGGTAGAGCCATGGTTCTGTTGTTGGTTTGGATTAAGAGCCCAAGAACAAATATCCTTGCTGCTAGTTCATCGGACAGGCTGCCAGATGCAGTGTCAAAAGCGGGGCCTGATTCCCCTTGGGAAAGAGTTTCATGATCATTGGCGAAGAGAGTTGCCCATTTATCTGTGTTCTTCAACAACCACTGGCGAGTCAATGTGATAAACTCGCTGGGTAACAGGGCATCCTTTCTGATGAATGTTTCCAAAAACACCAGGCACCCCTTCAGTCTTGATTGGGGCTCCCCAAGCACTATACTAGGGATTATGGCATCAATGATTGCAGTTTGAAGGGCTGCTCTTGTCGTTCCTTGGTGGCTTTTGGCTAGGATAGCAGTGACTGAGGCGAGCAGTTTCTTAACAGGCTTTGGCTTAGCGTCTTCATATCGAGTCAAACAAATATCAAATATTGAAAGCCACGCTTCTTGTGAGAAAATCAACCGTTGAGTCGTATCACATTGTGACTTCGTAGCAGCATCAATAAAAGCAGAGGCGGCATTGCATGCCTCTGCAGAATGAGGTGGCGAGATGGATGCTGTCGATAGCGTCTGAACCAACGACTGCCATACCCGGTTCACCTTTCTTTTGACAATATTAGAACAAATTGGTTCTTGTGAATTCGAAAATATACTTCACTTACTCAGTCTCTTGGCATGTCAGTGTGAATTTCACCAATGGACCTTTGGCGATATCTCGGAGGGTTTTCTCCGAGTACAATTGCACTTTCTGCGCAAGGTCTTCCATTTCGGTTGATACCACGTTAAACCTGACGTGGATCAACAGTCAGAGCCCCAATTATACAAGCCTCGGTATCTTGGATAACAGTTTGCGCGAAAGGTCTCCCCAACGTTTAATTTTTATGCTCCCCGCGATGCCTCAGGCCGCAAAGTGATAAAAGTGGGATTCCGTATCGGGTAAAGCGCATATTCATCGGCCAAACTCTTCTCCGCTGGATCGCCGGAAGTCACGGGACCGAAGTTTTTGCTGTTCCGATGCCAGTGGAGCTGCGAACACAGGGTCATCACTTCTTCTCCAGTCATCCGCCCCTACCTTTCAAGGTTCTCCTTAGGTTCTTGTAATTTTATCTTCTATCCTCTTATATTTCCATAACTCTTTTCACAATGTCCATTTGGGACTCCCTCAGCGGCCGCAAGCAAACCGGGCCCGATGCCTTCGACCCGTCAACCGCGCAAGACGCCACATCCTTCCTCTCCGAGGTCGCTATTCCCGATCCCTCTCGCCTCCACCCCCTGGCTGGTCTGAACCAGGATGCCCTCGACTACCTCTCCCTCGATGACTCCGCCCTTGACGAACTCCCCGGCTCCCGATCAGTGTTGCCATCCCGTGGATGGTCAGACGACCTTTGTTATGGTGCCGGCACTACCTATCTCGTTGCACTCGCTACTGGAGGCGCATGGGGACTTGTAGAAGGATTGAAGAAGACACCATCCACGGCAGCACCAAAAATTCGTCTTAATGGTGTACTCAACTCGGTTACCCGTCGCGGTCCGTTCCTCGGAAACTCGGCTGGTGTTGTGGCTATGGTTTACAACGGATTCAACTCGGGCCTCGGATATGTGCGAGGCAAGCACGATGCGTCTAACAGCATCGTTGCCGGCGCATTGAGCGGCATGGTCTTCAAGAGTACGCGTGGAATTAAGCCAATGATGATCTCTGGCGGCATTGTGGCTTCCATTGCCGGTGCCTGGGCTGTATGTATATTGCTGTGATGTGCTGTGTGACTTTTGCTAACTATACCTCTACAGGTGACTCGAAAGGCCTTCTTCTAGATTGCTAGCATGGCCAGTTTTATCCTACTCCGCTTCTCGGTTATCCGACGCTCCATACCCTCCACGCCACCCTTAAACGACATTGGCGGTTGACGATTAGCCGCCTTGCTTTGTCTTTCCACCTGCGATGTATTACAACTATTTTTTTATTCCCCCTGCGGGTCTCTTCACTCCGGCGCTTCAAGCTTCATGTTTCGCATTTATGCGTGGGTTGGGAATGGGATGTGCAACTGGGTTTGTACTTTGTATTTCTTCTGTGTACATAGAAAAGTCTCTTGCATACCTGCGATTCATTGGCTATGGCGCTTGCAAGTGTCTGTCAGTTACGTATTTTAATGCTGCTAGTGACTTCCAATAGACAATTTCTCACACATCCTGACCCAGTCTAATAAGTGAATTTCATATTCCTACTGACATTTTAGTTGCGAGATGAAACAATATTCGGTGGGCTTGGGAATTCGTACCAATGCCACAAAAGAGCAGTGAGGGTTATCCTCGGGCTAACGGCCGTGGACAGCTTCTTCCTGTATTTATCTAACCCCATCATATCTCTTCTGGCTCTCAATTTTCAAAATTCATGGCGTCATATGATCTATAGCTAATCTCAAAGGAATATACTTGCCACATAGTATGCCGTCAAAATGTTATACCAACAGCTGGCTTGGATGAAAATGGCACTATTCCAGCCAGATACTACGCATAGGCTGCAAAACAAAAAGCAAATGAATAGAGAAGATACAATGAATTCTTCTATGCATTCGATCTCTTCACCAAAACAGCGGAACTTGGTAGTTCTTCCAATGCTCTGCAGTATCAGCCTCGATGAACTTTTCAATACCATGGACAACACCGTCCTCACTTCACCTCCCACTCACCACTTTCGACATCCTCTACCTAGTTCAACAACGCCTTGTCACCCGCAGAATCTATCAAAATTGTATACTTCAAATAGCCCATTAGGCACCCCCGAATATAGCCTGAAGGATAGTGGCTTCATGGAATACCATTGTTGCTTCGTGCATTCCTATTATCACCGATTTCAAACGGCGACAACACTCTACTCCCGGTCCCTAAGTCCTCGACTCGCTAGCTACCGATGTATAAACGAACGGAGATGTCCTGCCGGTTCCCATCCAGAGACTACAGCCAGGTCCAGGGCGAGGGCAAGCTATTCGCTCCATCCGCTCGAAATACGAGGACTAGGATGGTGTCTAGATCATCTTCATCGCTGCTGTGCACTTGGAAGACAGACAAATCATCGCAGAGCCCCGGGGCGCTATAGGGGAAATCCATGCGTCGAGCAAGAAGTGCTAACAGGAAAGATTGAAAGAACAAGTTCATTGATATAAAAGACTTCGCAGTCAAGAGGCTTCGATATTATTTTCAACCATAGCAACATCCTTTGGGATCAAGCTTTTTAATTAATTAAAGTTAGTAAAAAGGTAATAAATCCAAGAAAGGTTAGCTCACTGAGGAATATATAGCATTTGCGCTAGGTGTAGTAAATATGTACCAAGCTTTGATGTAAATCATTCCCTTCCCCTATAGATACGCCCAAATGTAGGCGCATTTACTGGCAGTAGAACACCAGGCCTTTTTTTGGTACATTTCCAATAATCTTTGCCGGCAAATTTCCAGGCTCGTGTGGTGACTGTTAGGGACCGGCATTGCCGACGTGCGGGCAAATGGGGAATAATTTTGGTCTCCCGCGCCAGAGCTTTCACCCTTCTCCAGATCCTTGGCAATGCCAGATATATCGTCAAATAATGCAAAAGTCCCAAAACCACGCACCAAGACTTTCACTGGATGTTGGACTTGTCGAGACCGTCGAGTGAAGTGCGACGAGGAACACCCTCACTGTCGGCGGTGCCAGCGGAGTGGTCGGGTGTGCATGGGGTATGGTTTGCGCCTAGGATGGTCTCAAATCCCCGGAAGCCGCTCTCATCGGCGCCAATTGCGGTCCCCAGTACTAGATGCGGGCCATGGGTTGTCATCTGCCGCCGTGACGACACTGTTGGTTGAGTTGGATGGATGTTCAGGGGATGGCTGCGCCCAACAACGAGGACCATTCTCAGTGTTCTCCGTTTTGTCAAGCCCTGAGACGCAAGAAGCAGGCTGTATTGGTCCATTGGGAAATGACTCGTCATCGCAAAATGCGGAAGATACACTGCATATCTCGTCGGACTTGATTAACTCATCAGTTGGCGAAGATAGCGACTTGGCCTCACAGAGACCAACGTGGGATGGATTATCATCTGCTATCGCACCAGCCACATCTGAATTTCCCGAGGAATCATGCACGGCATTAACAAAGCCTAACCATCGGGTTGATGACATCTCTACCAACGCAATCGCTCATGTCCTTAATCACAAAAGACCCAAAAATAGGCTGTCAGACCAGAGCGACTACAACAGACCAATATCAAATATTCACAGCAATGGGACTGAGATTTCCATTTGGGATTCCATGAGTCCATTGATTCTTCCAAGGCCAGAGATAGAGCTAGTCCATCACTGGGTTGTTTTTCTCAGCGGAAACATGCTCCTAATCGACACCCCGGACAATCCCTGCCGGAATGTGTTCCTGCCTCTGGCTCTGAAAGGCCTCGATGCCTCCCCAACAGAGTCGAACATCCATCTCTCAATCTTCCACGCCATTTGTGCCTCCTCCGCCTTCAGTCTTTCTCACCTCCGCCACGATTCGCGGTACCACTCCATCGCCGTCCACCATGATCAGCTGGCTCTGCGTCATTTGCGAGGAAGCCTGGAGCGGGCTCGCTGCCTAGATGAGCCCACATTAGCTGCTGTTCTCACTTGCATCGCGGCTGAAGCTATGTCTGGTCGCCGCAGCCGATGGAGAGCACACGTTTCTGGATGCCTTGGTCTCCTGGAGAACGAGGTCCATGGCGATTGGATCCGAAGTCCGACTGCTGCTAGATTACTTCAAAGTTACTTGTCACTTTCATCACTATGCAGTCTTCCTGTACCTGAACGGCTAATGTCGCTCCTCAATGGCCCCTCCGATTTACATCACTACCTAGAACGATCGCATGGAGTCACAACACCGCTGGTCCAATGCCTCGCTCAAATTACCACACTGGTTGAGTCCCGGACACAGCTGTCCATCGAAGAACTAGACCGGCTCGAACTACAACTCTACCTGAACTTTCCATCCCTATCCAACCCAGATGCCCCAGGTTCGATCATCGTCCAACACGCTCTGAACTCATTCTACTACGCGACGATTGTATACTTCCGCCGCAGTATGCGTGGCGCATCATTGTGTGACGTACAGGATTTGATCGAGAAAGCAATTCACGAGCTTGAATCTGTCGATGCGCTCACGCGTGACAAGGGCGGCTGTTCTTACAACTGGGCAAGTTTTGTAATTGCGGCTGACTGCGAGAGGCCTGATCTGCAAGATCGCATGTTGGCATTCTTTGACCGGAAAAGTCGACATGGGATCCACAGTATCAATATATTATGTGAAATCGTTCAAGCTCTGTGGAACCGGCGGGCAGCGGCTGGACCGCTCGTCGATATACAGTGGCAGGATATTGCAAGGGAAGCTGATTTTGACTTCATGCTTGTTTGAATACGGATAGAAACATACAGAAACCAACATGCTATGGTTTATTACACTAGGATATCAGCTTTTCTTCAGGTATAAACCATCACCCATGCTCCACATATATTGATGGGGTGTCACACCCGTCTATAAATACTCGGGGCCCACAGAACAAGAGGCCAAGCCATGTGGAGCCCAAAGTGGGTACTCGGAACAGGTACTGTGTGTACCTATGAACTTCGACGCTTCAAATCTCTACAAATAGAAATCAACAGAAAGTGTATTTGCATTAAAATTCGCAAACTTACAACCGTTAAAACTGTTAATCCGTCATAAAACATATCCTCATCTTCACAGAATAGCCAGTGCATTAGGAGGACTCGCGACAGCACCAGGAAAATTCAGCGGAGACGAAGTAAGCAAGAAAGAATACTGCCTACTATCCCTACAAGCATGAGCCAGCGCTTTCAAATCCCAAAGCTCACCAAGCGGAATACCCAACAAACTAAGACACCACTGATGCAACACAAGCTCATGGGTAGGCTGCTCAACACCATCGATGATAGGCGGCATAGCCTCAACAGCCATGTTGTCACTAGCAACAGCAGCAAAATGTCGATCCCAAAGCCACCGCGCCATTTCCTTACTCCCCTCCAGCCCACACATTTTGCCGCTGCTCATCGCAATACCCTGCTCGGCGCCAGTCATTTGATCCAGCGTCTCAGTTACGCCGAATCGGATGAGGAGGATATCTCCTGTTCGGAAGGTTAACCCCTGCCAGACAGCCACTGCTTCTAACTCGGTGGTCCCGATGCGGAAACCGGAGAATTGGTCGTAGCTTATCCCGTGGTTCTGCGCGTAACTTTTGAAGTCGATTAGTACGCCTCGGCCTGTCGCACAGCCGCGTTGGTGCCAGTCTGGTTTTCTCCGTTAGCCTTTTTCAGTACTGGGTTTGAGTTTTGGTGGAATTTTCTTACGGTCTAGTGTTGGAAGACATTGGGCAGATTTGAGGGTTTGAAATGCATCGATTGTTGGTTTTGCTCCGTTATAGGCGAGGCCGGTTGGGAGGTGCATGAAGTGAGCTAGGTTGAGGGTCATTTTGAATTCCAAGGGCTAGAATTCTTGGACGTACCGAAACTATCCCATTGACTACTGGCTTGGGTATTGAACTCGATCTGGAATTAATTAGCTCTGGTGACAGACAGAACGACCAGGCAGCACAATACCTCATCGTCAAACCCATAGTGGCTGCCAGATGCTGGGTCTTCCAACTTCATGACATTATGGCAGAGGCTTTTTTGAAAGAACCCTGGGATTTTGATGCTTCCGATGGGCCAACTAGTGGTATTAGGGATCATGTTCTGGAGATAGTGAAGGGCATTTCACTTTAGAGAAATAGACACGCCTTGGCGAACCTCTGCGACAGCATCCTTCACAACTTCTGGGGTGAGTAGATTCAGGGTGCCCAGGGCATCATTCTTGTCGTCTTTGTCGAAGATACCCCATGCACAGCCTTGCGGCATCCCCTTGACAGGAGGAAGGTCATCGAAGTTCGGAAGAAATGCCATAGTGTATAAGATAATGATGAGGTCTGATTCAGCTAATTTGTAGAGGACAGAGGCCCCGAATCGGGAAAGTATGCGGATATGGACTGTCAACTTCCTGTGCCTGGGTGGTTTTTTGTTGGAAAGAGATGAAAACAATATCTTGATTGTTTTGATTATATCCGTCGAATCGAGGTGGCTTTGGGTTTTGCTTTTAATTTCGCTCAGCGTCCCACACGAGGGATTAAATGCAACACTTGCCTCAGTAGTGCTACCTATCTCTTCATTTTATCGTGTTTCTAAAATGCGAACTCAAGATTACAAAAGAGGCTGCTCCTGTCCGACCACAGGTAGCGCAGGTTCCAAAGCCAGCCTTACACGATGTTGCAACCAGGCGCGCCCGGTTGGAGGCGACGAGGATCAAGAATGTTAACCTGCGAGAGGATTTGGACCGCCAGATTCGCCATGTCTCTGCACTAGATGGATACAACCTGGTCGTGAGCCACGTTTTCAAGGAAGCTCCGCCTCGTAAGGATGGAGAGCCAGCCATTGTCTATATCCATGTAGGATATTTTCTGGGTGAATCGAAATGTGCAGGCCCTCATGGGGCATTTGAAAAAATTTCGAAGTGGTTTTTAGCCTCATTACGAGTCTATATTCCTCCAAAGTATCTTCGTTAGAACAAGCTAAAAGCAATCAATTTGTATTCGGCTGATACGCAAACTGTGGTGTATGTTCACCTGTCTATTAAATTGATTAGCACGGTGTCTCTGTCATTCGCCGGGATGGAATCCATCCCAAGAACAAGTTTGGCGATAATCCACGGCATCGTGGGAAAAATAATGTTGCTGCCACTACTGGAGCGGCCAGAGGATTCAGGTCTACCCCAGTATCCCTCCTGGAGCAGGATGCGGCTAGTGTAGTGCTGGGAGCCCTGCGCGAGGACGACCTGGAACCAGCTTGTGCGAGAACAGGCGCACAATCGACATTCTGTGAGATTTTCCTCGATATGTGGGGTAGAATAGCCACCTGCAGCCATCCAACTCGGAGAAGCATGATGTGCGCAAATGAATAATGAGTTCTCAAATAACCCCCTGGCAAATGAGAAGGACACCCCAAAGGCCAACAACGAACACTCCTGTGCCCTTGGTAATGATTATTGATATCATTTTTTTCGGTCTGAAGCTCAGGGTTCACTATATAAAGCCCCACCGCGGTCGGATCCTGGCTGTCGGGTCCGCAGGTACGTACGTGCCGATCCCTTCCCAGCCATCTTATTCAGCCAGCAAATGGGTATGGTCCTGGGGTGCACGATACGGCGCTGATCGACCGAACCTTGAAAGTCTCCGTATCTTGGTTGCTCTTTATCCGGTAGTTGACCATGGCCACGATGGTGGAAAGGGTGCAGGGGCCTCCAATCCCAAGACCCTGAAAAACCCCCCCGCCAACCTTGGAACTCGCCGTACAATCCCTCCAATTAATTGAGCGAATGTACATAGTGCCCCTTGCAATTAGACGCCTCTCCCACAGCAGCCGCAAAGATGGCCCAAGTGACATTATGCGGCTGAGTTATGTTATCCGGAGAATGGGTTATAACGGGATGGATCGGGGCCACGCGTCTCAACTATCAGGAATGGAGAATGAATTGGCATATCGTTTCGTATTTGCTGACTCAAAATTTGATGACAACCTTAAAAGTGTACTCCGTACATCGTACGGATGCCGAAGCGAGTGTCGTCATGCGGTAGGCATGCCAAGGCGGAGGATCACATAGCGCTTCCAACGATTTTGGGTTCGGGGGCAAGCCACCGTCGAAGGCTAAAATTAGGTATAGCAGTGGCGCACAGGACGCGTTTGGCCCCTACATGACTGCAGCTAAAGCGATTCCGGGCCTAGCCGCCAAACTATCCGAGGGCCGGGAGCAAGGGTTGAACATCGAGGTATGTAGGAAATAGAATGAAGTGTACAGCGTACTATGTAGAGAGCGTAGAAATGATCTTCGGTTGGACGAGATACTATCTACGAGGTATAATCTATACCTAAGCCTTGAGGCCCCCACAGAAAAGTGCAGATGATAGGCATACCACCTTCCCTTTTGGGAACTACACTCGGAGCAAACATCTTCGGGGATCACAGTATTAACATGGTATTAAAAGATATATACCAAGATCAGATCAAATTTATTCACTTTAAAGTATATAAATAGGCATGAATATAACGTAATATAAACCCCGATCTTCTATTCCGTCCAATATCTCTATATTACCATATTAAATTGCAGTATAAACTCAAGTAAACACTGCGGGGAACACATGGGGACCTAACCAAATTAGGATCGTCAGCTGACTAGTGTCCCCGATTAATCCCAGGTGATTTCTTGTTTTATTTTTTTCTTTTCTTCTTTTCGCTGCATCAGCCATGGCGCTTTTCCTTCCTTTTTATTTGTATTAACTCGTTCATTTCCCCCTTTCCTTCTCCCCCTCCTTTATAATATTATCTCACATGCGGTCTGAACTTCCGCTATACCTACGGAAGTAGAGAGCTGACCCTTAACGGGTCTTCTCACGCTAAGGCCATTTAGGCCTGGAGGCTTAGTTGGGGGTTCCAAGACTCTTATCTTTGGCCGTTTTATATCCTGTGACTCCCATTCCCCCCCACACCCCGGTAGAATTTAACGCTCCCGGCCTTCCGTTTGCGGCCGAGTCATCCTCCCTCCAACACCTTTTCGGGTTCCAAATAATACACGAGTCAGGTCTATCGACCATGTCAACAATGTTTCAAGATGCAAGCGACAATGAACATACAAAGAAAGAAGAGGTTCACGGCCCTCTTTCGGTAGACGATCTCACACCTTCCATACTTAATCCCGAGTCGCCACTGCCGTCTCTTCAGATTCGCACCGATCTACCCAGTATTCGACCATCCAGTTCGCGAGACTCCGATCCTTATGCTTCGACCAGTTTGTCCGGAAGTTATCCACACCGTACCCCGAGTCTTCGTGCCCTCATCGCTCCACCTATATATAGTGCGGGTTCCTTGTCCCCGGCGTCCATCATGTCCTCGCCTCAATTGAACGCGATGGGTGACATAACTCCATTGCCGTCGCCAATTGGAGGAGCTTCGCCGTGGCGGAGACCTGATGTGCCGTCGTTATCTCGTTCTTCGTCGATGGCCTCGCGCAACGGTTCCAGCCTTCGCCTCAGCGATTCATCACAGATGCTCGGGCCACCCGTCATGTCCCGTTCGCGCGCCAAACCGTACACCGGCATTGATGGCCATGGGGAAGAGTCATTCATGAACAATCGGAATCGTCGCGACTCGTCCTCAAAGCATTCTCATTCTCGGAACCGCAGTCTGAGTGACTATGCACCGCCCGGCCGGGTCTCTGTTCCTCCCCGTCCGATTGCAGTACCAGGGAGTACCGGGCTTGGCATTACCTCGTCGTCGAGCATAGATTCGAAGTCTAATGGACTTCATCGCGAGCAATATCTCGCTGTCCATCGAGGTATCGCATTGCCGACCGTTCGTCCTCCCAGCCCGCCTCGCAGCAGTGGCAGTGGATATAGTGACAATGAACCCGTCATCCGTCACCCTACCCCTCTATCCACGCCCCAGGAGGTATATTCTGTCCGGTCGGTCCGCACAGAGCAGGCCCGTATTTACCAGAAAGTCCGGGCATTGGGCCAGGGCACGTTCAGTCAGGTCAGTCTGGCAGCACGTGTCGAACCTATCCCCGAGATGCCTTTATCGCCGGATGGTGATGGAGCTGGCGCATTCCATGGGTTTGTCAACAACCAAAAGCTGGTCGCTGTCAAAATCATCGAACATGGTCCTGCTGGAGGCGCGGATGAGGGCCGACTGGAGGTGTCACTCAAGCGTGAAGTAGAAATCTTGAAGTCGGTCAACCATCCGTCCCTTGTCCAACTGAAAGCGTTCGGCAGCGATGAAAAGCGTGCTTTGTTGGTTTTGGACTATTGTCCTGGCGGAGATTTGTTCGAGTTTGCCACGTCAGGAGCTCCTCGTATGTCCGCGGGGTTGATCCGACGTATTTTTGCCGAATTGGTTGATGCTGTGCGTTATCTGCATGCTCATTACATCGTTCACCGGGACATCAAGTTAGAAAGTGAGTCAGCGTTGTTTGCCAAAACACTGCAGACCTTGTACTGACCTTGTTTCTAGATGTTCTGCTTACCATGCCCGCTCATGTTATGGATGACGTCCAAGACTGGCGTACCTATGACCGCGCCGTGGTCACCCTCAGCGATCTCGGCCTGTCAAGACGTATCCCTGAACCGCCCGAGAGCCCACTCTTGCAGACCCGATGTGGCAGCGAGGACTACGCAGCCCCCGAGATTCTGATGGGTCAGGCTTACGACGGCCGCTCCACCGACGCTTGGGCACTCGGTGTTCTACTCTATGCTATCATGGAGAATCGGTTGCCCTTCGATGTTCTACCTGGCACTCGCGGAGATCCTGCCAAACTTCGTGCCCGGACTCCGCATCGTATCGCACGTTGTGAATGGGCTTGGTATAGATATGCCGACGAGGACGAGGAATGGGACCCCGAGAAGGGCAAAGGACTTGAAGGGGCCCGTGACTGTGTGGAAGGTCTCCTCAAGCGCAACACGAAACGCAAGACCCTCGATGAGATTGCTGCTATGGATTGGGTGCGTGATGCTATCGATGTGCCTGGCGGTCTGAAACGAGGCGACAAAGAAGTGCCATAGAGCCGGTCTCCCATGTGCCTCGTCGTCCCGTATATTGCTGTTCTTTTTCTTCTCTTTTTCTTCTTCTCTTTTTTTTCTGATATTCCTTCATTCTCCTCCTTTTCTTGACACACATACCTTTTCTCCTGTGTCTTTTTTATTCATTTTCATTATTCACGAGGCACGATGACTGAATGGGTCATTATGTGGATTGAATGTTATGTTCTTATGGCTAGACCGGTTTTTTATACCCTTTTTTACATACAACTACCTCCAGGAGGTAAGACACGGAAATACAAGACTCATTTTCAATATGCTCCCTGCCTTCATCTCCCATATCACCCTCCAAATACGGGCCTTCCTGCTACAGAGATCTCAACTGGCGATGGTCACGGTGTCATGAGCGAATTAGTCAACGACTATCATCTTGATCTCCGCATCCATACCACCCAGGGAGGGCTGGAAAGATCGCCACTTCCTCCAATAATGACTTCTACTGGCATGGGTATCAAAGCTGTGTGACTTACTATCTGGAATGTCCCCGTTGCTTGGTAGGTCCTTACTCCTAAGCCAACATCGGTACGTGTGATGAATGCATGTGACTATCGCAATCGGAGGGACTCACGTATAATACCCGGGCGATTCAATTATGAACAAGCCGGACGGAGCTGTGGTCTACGACTCGGCTATTAACCAAGGGACCTCACTACTAAGTCATTAACAGGTCCGCAATTTGAGGCCCACCATATGGACTCGACATGCCCTCGAGAGTATAGCCTCGAACAAAACTACCAACCATGCGGCCCAAGCCGATGTCCTTTCTCAGTTTCAGCGTAGATGGTTGTATAGTTCTGAATTTCATTGGTCTGTCATTGTTTTTGTCTCATCTTTTTCAATTTTTAAACTTTTTATACTTCATATGGGGTTGCCGATGTTTAGTCTCAGTATTATTCGACACGTCCAAATCTCATGACGTCAAGAAACCAACAAAATTATGCTCAGCTGAAACACAATCTCTGTTTCACATGCGACCAATGGCATTTGTTGTGGAGGCGCCCTGGATGGGGCTGTGCTCGTACTTGGAGTGGTTCTTAAGCGTGTTTGGCGTGAAGAACCTGCATAACTCCTGCATCGTTGCCTTTTTATTTTTGCCTTGCATGAACGTACGATGTACAAGGACTGGGACTCTTGAAATTTTAACTATGGGATGTAATATTGAATCCAAGGACTCCACGCTTCCACACACACTGAGTTGGGATATACACCATGGCCTTTGGCCATTCGAGTCGCTCAAAGAGATCGTCATCTCCAAAACCCCCGCCAAAACCACCACGTCCGAATCAGCGCGAAAGCGCAATAGGGGTACCACAAAAATATGTCCATCCTCCATATGCGTCGCCAGCGGGGGCGTATTCAGTCAACACATTTCATACGCCTACAGTCCCATATAATCCAAATATGACAATGTCTACGGTCCATCTACAACCTCAGCAAGCACCACAGCCACTCCATCATTTCCCAGGAACTGCTCTAAGCAGTCCGCCATGGAACTCTCAACCACCGAAATCTTCAAAATGGACGTCATGTACGAATCTGAACCAATCAATGACCAACTTAGTATCGCATACAGTCGAAAAAACCAATGCCACGATTCTTGATCTTGAGAATTTAGTCTACCAGAGTTTGGGCGGTGGTGCAAATGTCAAGGAGGCTACATCGCGGTTATTGGATCAAGTCATTACCTCGATCGATCTGGGGTCGTTTTGTGGGAGAGAAAATGAACTGAGTAAGTGGTATAGTTCCAATCGTATTATCGAAATGATACTTATTAGAGACAATAGTTGCTGCGTGTACAATTCCTTTCCAGTCAGACGAGAAGAAAGATCGCCGATCACAGCGAAAAGGGAAGAAGCCAACAGGGTCTGTGGATTACTTCTCCAAGGTGTATCTGTATGCCAATTCGCGGTTACCACCTCATTTAACACCATTGAAATTGTAAGACCCCCTACCCTCTAGTACTATTTACCCCAACTTGCTGATCTCGCATTCAGCTATCCTCCAACATATCCCCTCCTCCAACTCGCAGCCAAGTACTCGCGCCGGGTCTACGACAAACCCTCAGGCCATGAACGGCATTCATACGTGAATTCAGACTGGCTACAAGGTACCAAAGCCATGGTGGTCAAGTCGCTACCAATCGACGACATGAACACGATCGTCTTCGCCATACGTGGTACACAGAGTTTCCTGGACTGGGCCGTGAACGTTCGGGCAGCACCAACCTCTCCCACTGGCTTTCTAGACGACCCATCCAACTACTGTCACTCAGGATTCTTATCCGTGGCCCGAAAAATGGTTGCCCCCGTCGCAGGCCGACTACGTAATCTACTTGAAGAAAATCCCACACGCATGTCCTATTCGCTAGTCTTCACTGGCCACTCCGCAGGCGGCGCCGTCGCCAGCTTGCTATATCTACATCTCTTATCCGAGTCGCCAGTCGTGCAATCAGAACTTACTCATCTCCGCAGCTGCTTTAAGCACATTCACTGCGTTACATTTGGTGCTCCGCCCCTATCTCTTCGTCCGTTGCAGCTCTCCCCTACTGCACAGAGATCAAAGTCCATGTTCTTCGCTTTTATCAACGAGGGTGATCCAGTGTCTCGTGCCGACAAGAGCTACTTTCTCTCGTTGCTAGATCTGTATGTTTCACCCGCTCCGGGGTCACTACTAGCCTTGTACGGCAGAAAGAAGAAATCAGCTCCTATCTATTGGAGAATCCCTTCATCTGATCTGTCACTTGCTGGTCGGCTTGTTCTTCTTCGTCCCCGGGACCAATTGAGCGGCCGCCCTGTGATTGTAGCGCCACCTGTCCCCGGTGGCCCTCCTGCACTGCCACCGCGGGAAAAGGTGGATGCATGTGGGATTACAGACCCTGAGCTCCGAGGCGTGGTCTTTGGTGACCCCGTTATGCATTTTATGGACTTGTATTCCCGTCGCATCGATGCCTTGGCTAGTGGTGCCTTGAGCAAACGATCATGATGTATCACAATATGTATCACGGCTTAAAGTACGGAGGTTTTGTGCCCATTAGCAAGTTGTTGAAATACCCAATACCCATTTACTGTTTTGATATTCGCGCCAGATTTGCTCACTGGCTATTGTTGGTTATACTAGTATTGATTTGGCCCTTCGATAAAATCCCGCACCTTAGTTTATGGAATACTCCTGTCATCTGACTCCTAGGGTATCATTGGCAATTACTCCCTTTTGAGACAATGTTCTGTGTATGCCTTTGTCGACCTGGTGTCTGTAGTAATAGAGGCCAGCTCAAAGGCGACACATTAAAGAAACAAAGAATTATTAAAACATCAAAGTCTTCAAAGATCAATGAATATTTTGTATTCTCCAGTTCAGATTTTTGCTTCCACAAATATATAACCATCCATTTAGTTCCTATACAAAGATCCGTAAGATCGCAAGCTATCCTCCAAACTGAAGCAACAGAAACCCCAAGTATACTATACAATATCCGTGTTCCTTTCATTGACTTAAGCTACAAAAGATTACCGCCAAAATGTGCGTACAGACCTATGACGTGTGGACGATGTGCAACTGCATTCATTTCGGACGAGTTGAACGTTGTGAAGAGTTTGGTGTGCCATTTTTCCAACGAGAACGCTGTACAGGACGTGTTTTGCGAGCTCTCAATATTGGCATCATTGGTATTCCTGAAGATCGGCTTCATCAAAAGGCGGGAATGTGCTCGGAGTGCTCGGAGAAGTTATATCGAGAGATGTGGGCGCTTCATTGGGAATGGACGTCTCGTCAGAGTGAAGAGTGGGCGGCGAAGCAGGAAAGCGAGAATGATTAGAGCCGCAAATACAAATTGAAAGTTAAGACGTTGTTTTCTTGGCTAAATCAAACCTCGATTACTATGTTTCTAAACAATTTTACAAAATGAGTTGATTATGACTGTTCAACGTAGTTCTGAATGTGGAGTACCCGATGGTTCGTCATAAAGGCTCCCTCTTTGCAGCAGATGGGCTCTGTGGATTCCGAAACACATTGTTTGGATCAACTTGCTCTTTGATCTGCTGCAGTCGGGGGAGGTTGGTGCCCCAGTATGCCTCGGCGGCGTTAGGCATGAGAGGATCAACATAACCCGGGTAGGCAGTGTAGGGAAGCTCGTCATTGGTGACAACCTTATTAAGCCCATCAAGGAATTTGATCTGGGCTTGGGAGATGGGTCCCAAGAGATTGATTGTGTAGGACTGTAGCCAGATGAGGACGTCACGATGGACGTAAGATGTAGCATCAGTTGGGATGTCGTTGGTGTAACCTCCCTGAAAATCGAACAACAGGAACCAACCCAAAGTACCCTTGTCGACGGTCCCAATGTAGTCGAACATTTTGTCGATAGTCTCTGGGGTCATCAGTGTCTGGGGCGTCCAAGAAGTAGATTTTGCGTAGAAACTTGTTGGGATTCCAGCTGTCAACCCCAAAATAAGATCTTCGGCCCAATGGGCGACAAGACCTAGCCAGTCATCAAAAACCAATGCACGGCCATTTGCACCGGGAAACTTGTTGCTAAGGTTCATCTTATCATACTCTTCCTTGGTACCGAAGAAAGTACCGCTGATTGCCATACCGTTCTCAAGCACAGTGAGCGTGGATGCCATCTTTCGAGTCAACTCCGGATCTGACACGAATTCCTGCCAGCTCTTAAATAGGGCCGCACGGTTCTTGAGGGTTCCAAAATCCATGCTGTAGGCATACTGCACGGCAGTACCAGGCTCAGGCTCAGTTCGGACCTTGAACTCCGTGACGATACCGTAGCCGGAGGCAGCACCTTTGATAGCCCAAAAGAGGTCCTGATTTTCCATGTCAGAGGCTCTGACAATGCTCGAGTTTGCAAGAACCACCTCAACCTCCAGTACATGGTCGAGTGCGGTACCAAATTGACGCGAAGTCGGGCCAAGACCACCAATTGTGAAATGTCCCCCCGAACCGACTTGAGGACAAATTCCGTGAGACATAGCTCTTCCTCCGGCGTGGTGCAACTGTCGTGTCACGTCGCTCAGCAAATTCCCAGCTCCAATTGTCGCTTGCCAAGTTGTATTGTCCATAGAGAATTGTCGGAGATGCTTCAAGTCAATCGCAACAGCGCCGTCAGTTCCTCCAAGGCCTATCACATATATTTAACATGTTAGTCTTCAGGTCAGATTCATCTGTATTAGTATAATTTAGAACCTCACCGTAATTGCCATAGCTGTGCCCTCCACTTCTGGCCTGGACTGGATATCCATTCTCTGCAGCACACTTGACTATAGCAGCCACCTGCTGAGAAGAGCTGTGGTCTATGAGCAAGGGACATAAATCATTCTCTTCAAGGACACTCACGTGGGAAAGGCCAATGCTGCTGGAGTAACGGGAATGTTCAGGTTGTAGCGATTCACAATGCGGTCGTAGAACAGATCCCCGGCAAAGGCAAAACTCCAAGGGTCTGTGAGCGCATTCTTGAAGCATGATTTCAATGCCTCATTGGAGGCAGCAAGTGCCACCGATGCGGCCCCCACTGCCAAAAGAAGTAGTCGTAGAAGCATGGTTGGTCTCGGCAAAGTGTGCCCTCGGCCACAGATCATGTGGAAGGTAGATCAGGAAAGGAAGAGAGGAAGGAGCTGACCTCGAGAGAGACACAGAGAGGAAGATCAGGGGGACCCCACGCGTAGTCCAAACAGAATGCTCCAAACGAGAACATCATATCAGATAGGACTGAGTCATTCGGTCTGAAGGTTTGAAGCACTTTCGTTTGCTCATCTCATAGTGATATTATGATCCCATCTGCAAAAGGAGAGAGTACACAATATTTGTGAGTTGTTGGTCTAATTAAAAACCACCAACTGTTCCTAGGTCTAATCGGCATGGTTGGAAACTACATACCTAGCCCTGGGGGTACGTTGAAGATGCAAGGGGTTTGGTTATGTCAGTATCAACAACCGGGCGCCTCGGACTCGCCCACGGGCTCAATGATGGAAGACACACTTCTTATACCCGCATTTTCCACCTACCCTATACAACGATTCGTGCCCAGATAGAAACCAAACCCAAGCCCTTAGTCAAATATTGACCCTCATCAATCAAGATCCATCCTGTACCGTTATTTATGTGCCTAGCAAACTAGATTCGACTTGCGGACTGCATATACAAGCCGAATACCTGCAATATTGGCGGGAATAGCTGAAGCCCACAAAATGTGTTTGGGTTGGAAGTCTAAAATATACCGAAAGAAATACTATGTATCGAGATTACCATGTCCGACGAGTCTGACTCCACGCTCGGGAAAACTCCTGTTTCTCTTTCACCCCCAAGCCAACCCGCTTGACCCGACCCAGACGGGCGAGCGACTCCCCCACACTATCCAGCAGCGCCTTCTCGCTGACCGAGGCCTGTTGTTCTTGCTCGTTATGGTCCAGTGTATCCAGGTAATTCGTATTATATGTCGACTTCCCAGTCAACAGAGAGGGGGCTGTATCAATAGCATTTTGGCTATTTGTAATGCACTCCGCGATCCGCACTCTGATGCAGTGCGTCGGCTTGCTAAGCAGCGTCCACAGCAAGCTCATATAACTCCCGGGGAGGGGGGTCACGATATCCATAGGTGTATAGCGCAGACTGACGGGGAAGATCTTGGTCTTGGGAGGTACGCTGAGAAGGGAGTTGCTCAAGGTCAAGATGCCGCGACCGTTGGTGGTGGTACATTCTGGGAACAAGACAATCGGCCTGTTGGGGTACTGCTCGACCAGGGTCGAGACATCCACCATCCGGGCACCAGGTGCCGGCTGCGTGGCGGGGAAAGCGAAAGCTCGCAGAATGGCCTGGAGCAGAGAGATGCGCTCGACCTGGCGAGTGTTGGGATAGGACGCTGTGAAGATCGGGTCGAAGATAGCTGCTAGGTACACGGCATCAATGGGTGATGTGAAGGACGAGGCGATAACCGAGCCGGGCTGTGGCAGACGCGCTTGCTGTTGCTTCAAAGACCTGTGTAGGAACAGTTAGTTATCAGCGGAACAGGATATAGTTCCGATGGTGCAGCACGAACCCTTTGCGCACTCCGTCCACTTGGAGATCAATCCACCAGATGCTGGGAACTCCAAGGATACACCATAGAGCAGCCTTTTTGCCCAGCGATCCGAGAGGAAGCCATTGTAAGATCAAAAAATAGCTAAGAGTGACAAAGATGAAGAGCGGGAGGCGGAAGCAGAAGAGGAAGATACGAAGGGGCGCTTGGAGGCCGAGTGGTTCAACGGGGATTGGGAGGAAGGGCGCAATGCCCGAGCCTAGGAGATGTCAGTATAACTGTCTTGGAGGGGCTGCTTATCACAGCGGAATCTCACCTCGATCCCGGAACTGAGAGTATCTCTCCATCTTGAGTTATGACGGTTTTTGGCAGAATGAGCTGTGGTACGGGCTCAATCATCAACGCGCCATGCGCTGAGCAAGTGTAAATTTAGGAATGTGCCGGCAGCACAAGTTGCGACTCAAACTCGGGGCGAGATCTGACAGCGGAATCGGGTCGACAAGCTGATATTCACATGCGAGAAGAGCTGTCACGTGACTTTATGCCTGAGGCATTCATGCATCTTTCCCTGGAGTATAAGAGTTGCGGGCGAGCGTGGTACACATTGATGGATCTCCGATATTAAGTTCTATGCTATTGTTTGAATATTTTCATATATAGGTATATATAATATAATAGATACTAAAAAAAAGAAACGCTCTAAGTGTGCACGGAAGCTATGAGTAGTATACAAGATCTATAGGATCACGCCCTGTTATCCCCGTCATAATCCTCCACCACAAAGTCTGGTGTCGGAGGACTTGGAGGCAATTTAAAGGACCAGATGGCCACGCCGACTAAACAGAAGAGCGTACTGGTCATCATCCACGCGAGACCAATCCAGACCCCACCTAGGCGCAGTCCAATCTGGAAGACAGTCGTGATGGATAAACTCGCAACCACATTTCCCAATGACTGGATAATCTCGATTGCAGTAAACAAGCGAGCAGTCTCATCACGTTCAACCAAAGTGGTAATTATGGAGCGGGCAAGGAAAACGAAGCCTGATCCTGAGGTCTGGATGATCATGCTGGGGATCAGGGTTGCGATCGTTGGGGAGAGGCCTATTCCAAGGGTTCCAACTGTAAGACAGAATATACTGCGCCGCGCGAGCCAAAGGTCTTTTTCGGTTGATGAAAGTCGGGGGTTCAGCACTCGGCTTTTGAGGAAAGGTAGGCCGAAAAGGAACAGCGGGATTGACACAGTCGGGCGAGCAGATACCAGGAAGTTGGACTGTGCCAGTGTCCATGAATAACGTGTCGATATGTATTGGGTCAAAAACCAGGATGAGCCTCGGCTCAGGCGGTAGACCAGGAATGCAGAGAGGAGGAGGAGCACTGGTGTCCGGTTGAGGATGAACTGGTAGGGTCTAAGGTAAAAGCGGTAATTTGCGCGGAACTTTGCCAGAACAGACCGGTGGGAGTACGATTGGATACTCCAAGACGGCGGTTCGTTCTCATGATCGCCATTCATGTCGGGTTCTGCTCGATATGGTTCGGGTTCATGTAAAGAATGCTTTGGTTCGGGGGCGCCATCCGTCAGATCTGACATCTCGACATGAGTTGATTCAGCTTTTCGGGGTGGCAGTGCATGCTTCGTTTCCGGTAGTGCCAAAATGAGCATCATGCCGGCCATTATAATTCCGAAGCCAATCACCAATGGTATCCAAGGATTCAAGGTCATCAGATAAGAACTAAAAGCACTCGAAGCGAAGTCGGCGCCCATCGATACGATGGCAAATTGAAAGAAGATGTCCGCTCTATGACACTCGATTAGCATCTCAAAATCTCATGTCCAAATTGGAGAAGTAGCATACCTTTCTGCCTCACTGGTTACATCGGCCATCATAGTCCAGATAATCGCAAACGACACGACTGGACCACCCCCAAACAACCACGTCAGGGCAGTAAACCAAAGCGCTCGCAGGGGAAAGATATCTGAGAACCACAATATAACGAGCGTAAATATGGAATTCAACGCAAACCCGGGAAGAGACAAAGCGAGTGTAGATTTGCGGCCATGACGGTCTGCCAGCAGACCATAGGGAATCGCCAAAAGAGCGCCTGTAAAATAATCAGATAATGGCCTAGCCCTAGACATTCAAATCAACATACTCAGTGACCCATCAAAGAACATATGGTAGCCCTTCACAGCCGCCAGTTCAGCTTGCACCTCGCCGATCTTGCACATGGCTTCCGGCACTTGTCCATCCGCACCGATCTTAGTCGGGTCCACACCCAGGAAATACTGCCGACAAGCGATAGACTCCATGATCCGGACCATAGGGCCCTCCAGGAAAGCGAAGCCGATTTCAACTGCGAGGACCATGGCGAATAGGGTCGCCTTGAGTCGAAAGCTGATGGCGCTGGCGGAGGCATTGGCCTTCACTGGGCGGCTGCCTATACTGGGCTTGCTATAGGCATGGCGATGGGCTGGGCCGGGGGTGCTCGGATCAGAGGAGTCGAGAAATGGGGCATCCTCGCGGTCCTCGCGGTCGAGAGACTCATGACGTATCGAGGCCATCTTGGCCAGTCATACCGTCAAGTGAGGGTATATATAAAAGAAGGTAGTCCGATCGGGAGGTATAAATGAGGGTCAGTATTAGATCATTGTCAGAATTCAGTTAGAAAAGAGTGTGAGAAATGCTGTCTTACGTGTCTGGAGGCCAAGTTGCCAATCGTCGCAAGCCAATCCGGCACGATGTCTTGGCGGGGCTCATAGTTTCTTCCGTCCAGGGGTTAGTGGTCAACTAGCGGGTGTCCACTAGTTGCTTGCTATTCTTATTCATTACTTTGCATATCAAATTCTTAGTATGTTTTTGATAGATTGTTCAGGAAGAAATAAAGAAAAAACAGTATACTGATACCTAGGTATACCCCTTTATATACAAAAAAAAAAACACCCCTTTTCTTAATTACAGTCATATCCTGCCTCTTCAAACAAGCTTCCTCGAACTTGTACTACCGCCGATAATTCTAGGAGGAATTCATAAAGAATCACCACATTCGTCAGTACATGACCAAGAGTTGCGATTGGGGCATCCTTGGTCTCTTCTGAGCCCGATGTTCCCTCCTCGGCAGATGGAGACTGTGGATCCGCGGGTGCAGGCGGAAACGGCGTGGCAAGGCGCTGGCGAAGAGCCTCAGCGGCCACCGCCCGGGCATTCAAAGACCCGCGCGAGTCAGAAGGAACAGAAGATCCATCCCGATCCCGACTAGAAAACATAGGGGGCGAATTGACCGAGTACGGAGACCGGCCACGGGAAGCTAGGGTAGAGGCATCCGGTGAACCAGGGTATGACGGATGCGAGCGATTCGTTGAGGATGCTGGATGCTCCGAGGGCTCTCGTGATCGGTCCGGCGTCTGTGGGCGATCTTCCTGGTGCAAGAGTTCTCGTCGGGCAGCGACCAATACGTCGAAGTCGGGGAGTTCTCGTTGCCATTGTCGGACCTGGTTCACGAGCTGTTGGAGCGCTAATGTCAATGTCGGAGCAGCTGTAGCAGGCCAAGTTGGTGCCTGGTATGCCCGACGAACGTCGTCAAATCCATCTTCGGTTCCTTCAGAGGGTGGGGCCTCGTACTGGTTGGGATCAACCAACACCCACCCGTCCAAGGAGAAGAGATGTGAGGAGGCCAGGCTCATGAACACACCTGTTAATGCTAGGTTGACAATGACACTGTTGGTAAAGAAAGATTCCAGGCACCCGAAAAGGGCCTGCACTATTGGATCGTCTTGCTGGAGCTGTAATGGTAGGGGTAGGGTCTCTTCATCTTCCTCCATCGAAGAGACGGGCAGACACAAGCGGGATTCAAGCACACATGTCGCATCTGCAACATAGTTGTCATACGACTCATTCAGCGTGGGGTCATCGACGAGGGACGTTCCCATGACCAAAAGTTGCTCTAGCTCGGCATTCAAAGCGCCAACGGGGCGCTGATTTGCAGGCTGAGTAGGAATGGTATGGATCAGCGCCCGTGCGAATAGATGATGTCTTTGAAGAACGGTGTTCAGAAGGCGTAATGTAGCTAACACCGTCTGGCAGTTCGATGACTGGAGTCCCAGCAGGGCCAAATCGCGAAGATTGAATAGTGACGGTGATGGTTGAGCCGCTTCAGAGGCCAACGCAGCTAGCACATTGAGTGATTTCCGTCGGCTTGCGGACATGTCCAGTTGCTCCTCGGGTTGAGGGGAGGACGCTAGTAAGAAATGTAAGATTCGATGAACCAATTCGCCTTGATCGATCGAGTCGAGGATGCGGCACATGTAGGTCAGCACCGCTGCTGTGGAGCCACCAGCTACATCTGATGATTCTAACAAAGAGGGGTACCTGTAATAGTCAGAGATATGTCCACTCTAGAGGGACGAGTGTATACTCACAAAAGTTGCTCCAGAAACAGGACCTGGAAATGGTCTAGTAAGGTGTCGTTCACTTCGGCAGATTTGCAATGGTCGATTGTATCCTGCCAAAACAACAGATAAGACATGAATGCATCCATTGTTTGACCTAAGGTTGGCTGCAAAGCGGTCTCTTGTTTGGCATGATCAGATAAAACAACAATGTGAGGGACATTATCGTCCTCGGCGGTAGGAGTAAAAGACAAGCTGTGTTTGATGAGTATACTGTCCCACAACGATCAAAGAACCAAACTTACTGTCCCAGCTGGCTATAGAGTGCGCCCAGTCCAGTAGCCATAAGCGTAGCCAGGTCACTCTCAATCAGCCATTTCTCTAGATTTTTGGACCGCGATGCGGTTTCAATGAGGTAGAGCAACCCCGTTCGAGCAAAGTCGCCAGCACGTCCTTCATGATGAACGTAGTCCACCAGCAGATAGAACAGAGGGAACTCGTCCTTCCGCGTAGCTCCTGCAAACTCCGTCCCACTTGGGGCTTGGGAATCGCTATCCTGGGCGATGGGTGTTACCCGAGGCACAAACCACGCGGGCAGGATACCAGGCTGCAGACGAATGTTGTTTGCAATACCAAATAGCAATTCAACGAGTCGGCCCTCGATCTCATCCGAGGTCTTCTCGGCACGGCGGACGAGATCGACCATAGCGCGGGCGAACAGTCGGTTGTCCACAACCCCATCCACCTCCGCATCAATCAGCGTGTCGAAGAATACCGTGGCTGATCGGATGACTCCTTCATCGTGGAAGGATAGGGCGAGCTTGGTCACTGTCACAAAGACCTGGGAAGATGCTGCATAGGCGACACAGGGGTGCGGTGCGGGTCCGCGGGCTTCCTCGCTCAGAATCGAGTTGAGTCGTTCAACGTACGTCCGCGCGTGCGCAACCGATTGTTCGCCAGAAGGTACATTTGTTGAGCGCCATATTTGCTATCAATTGGGTTAGTTTGTGGTCTCGTGGAAGCGGACATAGTCGGTACCTGGAGGGCATTGCAGGCGCGCTTAAAGGCAGTCAGCCGTTCCGTGGGCGAGGTGGCCTTGGAGGATTTGTTGGACAGCGCGCGCGAGCCGCCGATAAGACGAGACCACTATATTCTATTAGTAGAGATTCATAGAGAAGTAAGGGGCACGTACAAAGTCCATTCTGTGAGGACAGCATGATCTCACAGAGTGAAAGTGACGGGGGGTCGAGGATGAGTGGAGACGGTGTTTATCGCGCTGATCGCCGCTTTACAGCTACGGACCATCAACTTCTAAGCATATACTACATGTACATTCGAGATTTACACAGTTACAACTCATGCACATTCAAGTTCCAACAAAGAAAGATACCAGTCCGGGTCCTGTTCGTTGAATAAAAAGACCGTGCGCGTATGAGGGCTCGAGTCATTCGAGCCCGAAAAACCAAAGATATTCACAGATAAATACGCTCCCAGATCTCCCTCCCACTATTTAAACGCCTAAAAGATAAAAAAAACCCCCATGAATTTATGCGCCTGATACCCCATCCCATCTAGCACGTCGTCAAATCATTTACGGGTCAATCTCAATCACTCTCATCCTTTGGTCGCCGCCCGCCACGCTTACGGCGACCCTCATTCTGATCGCTCCCGTCATCTTCGTGTTTCCGGCTAGCGGGTTGATCCGGAACCTTAGCGATGATGTCGGCCAAGAAGTCAAGCACTTCATCCTTGACGACAGCCTGTTTGAGATGCGAGGCTGTGACGCGCTTTGAATTGCGATCCTTTGCTTCTTGTGCCGCCTTAGTGACGAGAGAGATCATGAAGAGTTCGAGAGCCTTGGCTACAAAAAGGTGTCCGGTCAGTATCTCTTGCAAATCATAGGGAATACGCGCGAAGGGAAGCGCAGAGGGCGTACGTACACACAGCAATCGGCGTCACTTGAGCAACCTTGCCGACATCCTCGTCGGCCTGCATGATGCGCTTGATGCGCGCCACGGGAAATTTGGTCTTTACTTCAATCCCCGCACTTGGAGGCGCCGGTGGCATCTCTTCGTCCATCTCCGGCGCAACGGCGAGGACTGGCGCCATTGCGATCGGCTCTGGGATTGGTTGGATTGCTTCGGGCATGGGTTGAATTGCTTCGGGCATGGGTTGAATTGCCTCGGGCAGAGGTTCGGGGATGGGGGCGTGGTCGGACTGAGCAAGACGGCTTGAACGACGGGCCATGTCCAAGTCTGGCTGATATGGTGGAACGTACTGCTGAGACACGCGACTTGGATTTGGGCGTTGGTACGGTTGGTATGAGTTGAAGAAGGGCGGTGCGTAAGAGGTAATTGGACTTGCAAGCGCGTGTTGTTGAAGAGGAGGGAGAGAGAGATCAGGAGAGCGAGGCCGATAATTGTCCTCTGTCATGGTCAAGAAAAAAAATTTAAAAAAAAATATTATAGTGGAATCGCGAAAAAGTAGGTGGCCCAAGCTCCCTGGAGAGGGAGAATCCACGACCGACTCGGGCGCCGCTGTCCTTTTTAAATTCCGTCGTGGTTTTTTTTGTAATGTTTTTTACCGGGTCTGACTGTTTTGGTCTGTTTTTTTACGAAAATCAACATTTTTTGCCCTTTCTCATCTTCCTCTCTTTGTTATATCTCACTCTTCACCTTTTCAATTTTTATTTCTTTGTTTTATTTTCTATTTGACCCTTTTTTCTCCTTGTTCGCCTATGTTCGCCTTGTACTCTCCAGGGCTCCACCCTCTTCTCCTTGTCATATATTCAATTTCTCAATATATTGAATTGTCCATATATCGTAGGTGACCTCTCTCCTTTATCCCCCCCTCTAGGCACCCGTAGAATACCAAATACCCGATGACGATAAATCCAAAAACGTCGAGTGGAAACAGATGAAACCATCAGCGTATCGCTGTTCTTCTGTGAACGCCCAAAATAACTTGATCTAATCTGAGGGTCTCATCACATAATACACCTTGTTTGGGTGCTCCACGTCATCTCTTAATTCCAGTCTTTTACTTCTCTCTGACATGTACTCCGTAACTTCGGCGAAATAGTTTTTCCGACCAAATTCAAAGCATCAACCTCTACACTTCTTACCGGACATTGAAGTCATGTCACTGAAGCTCTTTGTCTAGTCAGGGTCATCGAATTTCTCCAGCCATCTCCAGCCATGGCGGTGGCGGATGTGCCCGGTCTCATGGACATTGCCAGGTATGGAGTACTTGCATGCCGATCAAAAATTCGCAATGCTAACCTTGGAATGATTCTGCAGTACCCTGGCCCAAGATGAGATCCCCTTCAAGCTACGATGTGCCATGTGCAATAAGCTGGCGGTGAACGCATTTCGTCTCCCCTGTTGTGACCAGTCCATCTGTGAGACCTGTATGTTGGAACCAATGTTTCGCACCTGTCGCAAATGGTAGCTAATCTGATCTCTGTTCTAGGCCAAGCTTCCCTGTCTGACACATGTCCCGTCTGTACACATACCCCGGTCTCTCCCGATCTCTGCAAACCCAACAAGGCTCTGCGGACCACTCTCAAGGCTTTCCTGCGCACCGAAGAGAAGAAGCGGGAAAAGGACCGCCAATCTGCGGCGCCTCCAACGCCATCCAATATCCCACCTGCGGATACAAAAATACCTATCCAGGATGCAGCTCCCGATCAAAATGGGGCTGAGCTAGTGACAGCGGTGGAGACCAAGGCACCTCTCCCTCCGGATTCTACGGAGCCTACAGAGTCAAAGTCTCAAGAGCCAGGACTAGACACACCGGCCCTGGACACAACTGGAGAGAGCATTCCAGAGGCAGGCGCCCCGGTATCGGCAGATCATCCAGCTCAGGTAATTTCATACTGCTATCACATACTTTATTTTTTCTTAACTGACCCTGTGCATAGCCCGAGGCAACTGGTGATCAACTCAACGGTACCGAACCGGCCCTTGAGTCCACGACTGAAGATGCCGCAGTCAGCGAAACCCCACTAAATGGAGAACCCGCTCCCCCTCCTGAGGAGGTTCCTGGGGAATCCGGTACCAACTCGATGACCCCAAACATGGCCGGAAACTTCCCCGCGATGGGCTGGAACGGAAACGGCATGAATCCTTTCATGGCTGGCATGTTCAATTACCCGAACACGATGGGTAAGTTTAATGTTACCAAAGTCTGCTGTTTTAACCTCGCTAATCTCCCTTCACAGGTATGCCCATGGGGATGGACCCGATGGCAAATCAGGGGATGTACGGAATGAACATGACTGGCATGGGCATGAACACTGGGATGAACTACAACGGGGGCATGTATGGATCCTTAGGATGGGACGCATCCCAACAGAACAACAATATGTGGCAAGGCGGCCAAAATAAATTCAATCCAAATGCTTTCGCAAATGGCACGGGTCCTCCTTATGGAGGTGCATTTGGCGGGTCTAATATGTCTGCTTACCCTTCTCACTCAGACTATCAGTCCGGTTACTACGGTGGTTATGGCCGTGGTGGATACCGAGGTCGCGGCCGTGGCCAGTTTCATGGCTCCGGTCGAGGTGGCTTTGGACCCATGCAAGGTCATTACCGTCAGGGTGCTAACTCAGGCTATCCCAACCAGAACCCAAGCATGGCTAATGGTCTCAATGGTACTCCAGTGGATGCTCAAGGTAATATCCAAACAAATGAAGCTGCTCCAGAATCAGGTGAAACTGGACCCGATGTGCCGGGTAATCCAGACGATATCCCAACAGACACCACAGACCAACCCCAAGGAATTCCCACAATTGACAGCCTTGATAATCCTGTACCAACTGGCCCTGGATACGGTCATATGAGTAATGGGTATGGCCAGTACAGGTATGGCCGATATGGACAAGAACGCGGGCCAGGTGTCGAAGGCGCTCCAGCTGCTCCGCGTGCCATGCGGCAGGGGCTACCCAACACCAGTGTGCTGCGACAACGTGGTTTCCAGATTCAGGGCCGAGCCAGTATTTCTTGGTGAGATCTTACTCTTTTGTCTGTTCTTTTGTCTTGGCGATATAAATTCTAACTTACCAGTAGTGAACCCACTGAGGACAATCGCACAAGGGCCACATCCAACGCCCTGTCCCAACGTGCGCAGTCTCGATCCCAATCTCCCTCTCAAATTCCAGCTTCTCGCCCCCGTTCACCATCTGTTCACGGTACTGAAGACGACCGTGACAGTCGGCGTGGTGCAGAAACCAAACGCCTAGATCGGGTTGATGAGCTACAATCCGACGCCCGTCACTCTCGCTCTCCATCCCGCACATCTTCTCGTCCGTCCTCGCGACGCCGACATCACGACAGTGATCGGGAGCGAGATAGAAGAACCAATCACCGTTCACAACGCTCCCGTCGTCATCGCAGTCGTAGCCGCAGCTCAAGTCGACACGGCGATGCCCGTCCCTCTGGTCGCCTAGGAAAGATCGCAGAGAAAGATGGATCAAATGGCAGGACCAAAGCGTCCTCCGAGGCCCCAGAGTCGCGCGATCTAGCAAGCCGAATCAGCAGCACCTACCGCTCCACCAAGGACAGAGGGAGCCGCCGCGAAGATGACAGATCACGCGAACAGGACCGAGATCTCCGACGCCGAGATCGTGACCGAGACCGCGACCGCGACCGTCGTGTCAGAGACCGTGATTCCGATCGCGAACGTCGGCGTGATGGCGACCGCGATAAAGACAGGACTTCGGAGCGCGACCGAGATCGACCAAGGGAGCGTGATCGTGATCGCAAGCGCTCTCGCCGCGATCGATCCCCGTCTATCGCCAACGGTGACCATCCCCAAGCCCGCCGTGTGAAACGTGGCGATGAGGACCGTAGTCGGGACACGAACGGAGCCTCAACCAAGAGGGCCGAACCCGATAAAGACCCTTACACTCTTGAACGCGAAGCACGCAATAAGGAGCGCCTTGAGCGCGAGCAGCAGCACCGTGAGAAGGCCAAGTCTGGCCGCCGCCGCGATAGCCGGCAGGACCGTGTGGTGGCGGGCCGTCGCATCAACTACAAGTACGAAGATGAACTCTGAGCTTGGAGTTTGATTTTTTCCCTTCCGTACAAAATCATGGGACACGGCGTCAAGGGTTGCTCTTTCAGTTTCTTGCATGTTGTTATTTTCCTTGAGCTGGTATGTGAGCCTGCTCGACAGTAGATATGGGATTTGTGTAGGCTATTTGAAATGGCTTCTTATGAATAGATAAAATGGAACTCCAAATGATGAAAATTAATTCTCCATTCTAATGTTTGCCTTGCTACGATAATTCCTTGCTTGATAAAGAAAGCAATAAAAATAAAACACTCGTTGCTAACATGATCTGTCACTACTATATATCATCGCGTTATGGATTGCTCACTCCCAAATTACCAAAATCTTAATAGAACCGAGTACCGTTGATGAAGAGCAGGGGCTTTCAAACCATCTAGCAACATATTAAACATATTAATACCCGCTACCCTTGAATATTATTAGCTTACCGTTGGTTATGTATTAACCCCAAGCCCTCAAGGTCACCATTGAGGGCGAGGACGGTAGTGTAAGGAACCATCACAGGAATGAATAGAATGAACATAATGAATACAATCTAAATTTGAGCTTAAGCTTACTCTAGGATTGATTAGTTTACTTGGTTGAATCTTTTAGAGCTACTAAAGAGCTCGCGAGGACCTGTATCCTAAGATTAAACGTACTATGTAGCAAACTGCTTGAATGATTGCCGTATGATTCCTGTAGGAAATATATTGGTCTAGCCATGTCATATTGTATATATTTGCGTATAATAGCCTTTCTCAAGGTGTCTTAGTAAAGTTTGCTGTCTTTTTTCCTCTACTCGGAGTAGTTCTCAGCCAAAATCCATGATGGGGACCATACACTGCCATAGACGAGTAGCTTAGAGGACTAGCTATGTACTCTAGCTATTGAATGAACATATTATCAAATTTTGATTTCAATGGGCAAATGTATTGACAATTCCGCTAAAAAAAAAAACAAAAAACTTATCCACACACTGCACCGCCTCATATACGTCAAACACCGTATGATTCCAATCCGGAGCATAATCTTCCAACAATGAATGTACCTAGATAATATTTGACCAACCTAGCAGTCTCCAGAGACTGAAATTAGGACTAGATTATTTAGTTCAGCTTGCTCTTCAATGCCTCAATCTCAGCAGTCAGTGTTTGCATTTGCTGCGCCTGAGATGCAATCGTCTTCGTCTGTTCGGCAATCAGGTTCTTAATCTCTTCGATGTCGTTCTTGGGGACGGAGGTGATGGGCGAAGGGGTCTCGCTAGTGGGTGAGGGGACAGTAGAGGACTAGGACAGTTAGTAGCTGACACAACCTGACAATTGTGAATGCGGAGCGGGGAACTTACAACTAGGGTGGGTTGAGGCTTTGTGTCGACCTGCTTTACCTCGGCTTGCTTTGTCTCAACCTCCTTCGGCCTCAACGGGCTGCTGACACGGGGCGAAGCAGACTCGGCAGCGGCAGGGCGAGTGGGACGCTCAACCGGCTTGGGAATTTCCTCGAAGCTCGAGTCGTCATCGTCTGACACGGTAGCCTCCTCTTCACCATCGGCAAACTTGTTCACCATGGCGGCCATTGAAGCACCCTGTTCCTTCATCGAGGGGGCGGGGCGCGCAGCGGGAGTAGGTTCAGGGACGGGCTCGGGGGCAGCCTTCGGGGAAGCAGGCTCAGGGGTCTTGGGGGTCTCAGCGGCTTTGGGTGCCTCGGCGGGCTTGGATGCAGGGGCATCCATGGAGCCAGTCGGCTTTTCTTCCACTCCTGACACCTCCTTAATACCCTCGCCATCGAATAGGCTGGCCATGGAAATCTTGGGAGGAAGTGCCTCCTTGCCACCCAGCCATTCGGACGAAGACATGGCGGGGGTCACTCCGGCGGCGGGCGGGTAGATGTCGTCCTGGAAGTTTTCGGACCGACGGGGGACGATGAATGAGACGGGTTCGATGTATTGATCGTTGACGGTCTTGTAGGCGCGAGCGACTTCGTTCTCGTGCATGTTCACGCCACGCTTGGGCATGAAAGCAACTCCTCGCTGGGGGTCGGCAGACTTGTGCTCAGAGAGGAACTCGAACTTGTCGTTCTCAAGCTCGAAGTATCGGATATTGCCGTCACTGCTGGTTATTAGAATTGCGAAAGCAGAAAAGTTCAATCTGGACACTCACCCTCGTCCAGCCAAGTATAGCATGTTAGTTCCATCATCCCAGAAAGGCATGCACACGCCAGAAATGGAGTCCAAGGTCTTGAAACCGTTGATGGGTTCCCGCACGGCACGGATATCCCAGAGCGCCAGCTGGCGGTCACTCATCTTGGAGAAACCGGTAGTCGCAATGCGATCACGCTCTCCCAGCCACACAGCTCGGCTATTCTTGGCACCGGTGTGGCCATTGGTCTCGTGAGCCGGACGTTCCTGTCGCACATCCCAGATGCGGAGCTTCTTGTCACGCGAGGTAGTGACCAACAAGGAGCCGTTGGCACTCCACGACTGCGACTGCACAATATCGCCAATGTTCAGCGTGAGCTTCGGTGCGCCAGCTTCGATATCCCAGATCTTCACGGTATAATCGCCCGAGGCCGTTGCCAGCACGTTTTCTGCCGCGGGGTTGAAGAGCACGTGGCCAATCTTCCTGCAGGGAGGGGTAAGCATAAGGCGATGACGGGGTTGGTTAAGGATTCGTACTTAGGATGACCACTCAATTTGCCAATAGGCGCGAGATCCTTGATGTCGTCGGCATCGGCCTCAGGCCGAACGGTGAAGTTCTCCGGAACCCGCCAGAGGAAAACCTGGAATCGGTCAGTCGCAATGCTAATAGCTGTTGTTTGTTCGCACTATACCTTGCCGTCATCAGATCCAGAGGCAATCAGGTCGTCATTGAAAGGGTTCCTGCAGGGTTTCAGTGAGCTGGCGGCACGGGGGTTCTATATTCGAATTCCTTACCAGTCGGTGTCCAAAACGACCGCAGTGTGGCCTCGACACAATGGGATGCGCTCAGGGAGCTTGCCTCGTTCCTCAAGAGGAATAATCGCAAAAGCTCCGCCACCACCTGCTTCCCAATTGACCGCAATGTGTTTCGGGTTGACCTAGATGCACCGTAAGACCGGGTTCGCCAGTGAAACGTCAGGGGTGGTGCGGAAGGCAAAACACACACCTTAAGAAGGTTGGTATCCCAGGCGTTTCGGGAGACTCGAAGGTTATCGTAACATTGATCCTGCGAAAGTCAGAATAGGAGATCGGGGGTATGGGAGGTAGCCTTTACCTTTCTCGTCGATCGCCCGAAGACGTGGCCTGTAAGGGTCAGCGGGGGAGGCGCATTTTGGATTATAGACGTAACTCACGATATTTGGAGGAACGAACAAAACGCCCGGACATGATTACCAAGTGTTCAAACGAAGACGTAGGGCAAACAAAAAAAAGTAGAGCAAGGAAAAAGGAGTAGGTGAAAGAGACGTTGGAGAAGCTCAAGCAACGGGGCTACTGGGGCCGATGTTTCGGGAATTCGAGTGGAGGCAAAGGCCCCACGAATTGCGAACTAATTTCGGAACAGGTTCAAAGGGAGTCAACAAAGAAAAGGATTGGATGTTCTATGGCATTGTACAATCTGATCTTTCTGTGTGTTTTTCTTTCATTTTGACCATTGAAGCCTTTCATGTTTGGTCTTGAGATGATCACGTGCTGTTTTCAAATACTTTTCCTTTGAAATACGAATACGGCACAGTTGATGCTATTGCCGGATATGGACTAGCGTCAGACGCCTGCCTGAGTCAGCAATTCTTTGTTTACTTTGCATTTCGTCCCTCCAGAAACCAGTTTGCGCTCATTTGATGCTCATACATCCAAGGTTACTGCCCAGACCATCCATTGGTATGTCCTATACCTGCTTGTTTCATCCCAACTCGCTGACTTCAAGTCCCAGCGGCCAACACAGACAGTGGCTGGACGTGAGCTCCTACTTCTCGCCCGGATACTCTATTCGCCGGTAACCTGGCGGTCAACAAATCCCAATATGGAGGGTGAAAACATAGTACATACCCCCACTTCGAGTTTCTGTTACATGAGAGTATATGGGAACATAACTGACCATCTTCAGACCAGAACCAGGTCGTCTACTCGGACGCGCCTACCACAGGCTGGCCTACGTGAGGCCAGCTCCGCGACGACCAATTCGCGCTCCGGCATCATGGCGCCAGGTACAATAGCAAACAAGGCTATGAGCATGTCGCGTATGGAAGACCCTGAATCACTGGCGCAACATGAACTGACAGCGCCGGAAGCAACCCGTCCGAAAACCGCAAACTTGGAAACGAAGAGACCTGGATCCGTCACCCGACAACCTAGTACCACGACCAGGGCACATACCCGGGGAAACTCGTACTCATCTTCAACCATGTCCCGGCCGACCGCGCCTGGGTCTCGCGCAGCCAACGGCTCCTTTTCCTCAACTGTCGGCCCCGGCACGCGCCCAGCAACGGCCATGTCCCGGCATCAATCGTCCTTCAACGGCCGCAGACCCGTCGGCGCATCGATTCCGCGCGCAGCGAGCGCCTTGGATACCCATATGGAAGATGTCTCTCCCAGTGTGCTAGGAAAACGAAAGGGTATGCCACAATTTCCCTTATCTCCCAGTCGTATCCCTTCCTGCCCCGTTGGAACCGTGTCCCCCGGATTGGATGAAGGTTGGAATGTGGTTGGTGAATTGGCAGCGCTCTCTGTCTCTGAGAAACCTGTCTCTTTTCCAAATCTTTCCAACTTAGCAACTATCCCCGTGTTGCCCAGTACCCCATTTCGGAATGTTTCCACTGTTACCACCCCAAAGTCACCCGGACATGTGCAGTCCTCTGCGTCTTCTTATTTTACCGCCCCTATTGCACCTCCCAGAAGCCCATCACATTCCCAGCGGCGCATTGTCAAGAAATCCTCCCACCCCGCGTTTTTGACCAAAGGTTCTTCGATCAGAAATTTTGACAATATTACAGGCCCGGAATGGGATCAAGCTTCTCGCGAAAAGAGCATGGAGGGATTAATGCAGACTTTTATGGCCCAGGTAAATCAACAAGGTCAAGCAAGCTCTGGTCTCAAGGACTCGATTGATATCTACAAGTCCAGAAGTAAGTTGAGTTGGATGAAGGCTATGTTGAAACGAATCTAATATTTTCGTCCAGTCAACGAGCTCGAAACCTCTCGGGATGAGTTGAAAGAACTTAACATTACCCAGCGCGTGGAATTAGATTCGCTGCGAAACCAGTTACGTACGGCAGAACAGGCGCTTAAAGAGGACAAGCGAGACCATGAAATCGCTATGGATGATCTTTACCAGCGCCAACGTATTGAATTGGATTCACTCCAACAACAAAGCAGGAGAGAAGTTGGCACAATCACTGACAGACATCAAGAGGAGGTTCGCGACCTGAAACGACGATTTGATCGCGAGATTGAAGACGAGAAAGCAGCACGAGTAAGCGCGCTCGGCAAGCTGACTTCCCAATCTACACTTGATATCCAGAAGTTTCAAATTGAATTGGAAAGGAAGGAGCGTGAAATTACGACATTGCATGATGGGCTACAGACCCTGAAGGCGGAACTCGATCGGGAACGACGAACTGTGCAGGAACTCAAACTCAACCTGGATACCACAAGCAGCAACAGCGTTACGCTAGAGTCATCAATTCGTGCTCTTAAGGCACGCATTGAGTTCCTTGAAAGTGGACGAGAGGAACAGTCTAAATCCTTTGAGCGGTGCAACCAGGAGATGATGGATGCATTTGCCGAGACGGAGGCGATAAAGGAGAAGCTGCGCAGGGAAGAGACACTCCGACGTAAACTTCATAACCAAGTGCAAGAGCTCAAAGGCAACATCCGCGTGTTCTGCCGAGTTCGCCCTTCGCTCAACAGTGAACCTGCCTCCGATATCGCTCTCATGCAGTATCCTGATGAAAGCGACGATGGAAAGGAGATTAATATCCTTGGCCCCGAAGAGAAAACCAGTCTTGGAACAGTTAACCGGAAAAACAACACTTTCTCGTTTGATCGTGTATTCAATCCGTCCACCCAGAACGCCGAGGTTTTTGATGAGATTAGCCAGCTTGTTCAGAGCGCCTTGGATGGCTACAATGTTTGCATTTTCTGTTATGGTCAAACTGGTAGTGGCAAGACGCACACAATGTCATCGGCCGACGGCATGATTCCTCGTGCTGTTCACCAGATTTACGAGACCGCGCAAGGTCTGGAAGAGAAGGGTTGGCGGTACTCGATGGCCGGCAACTTTGTCGAAGTTTACAACGAAAACCTCAATGATCTCTTGGGAAACCCCGATGAATTGGATAAGAAGAAGCATGAGATCCGCCATGACATGCAGCGTGGCAAGACTACTATTACCGATATTACAACTGTCAACTTGGACTCTCCCGAGATGGTTGAGTCTATGCTTAAGAATGCGGATGCCAACCGCTCAGTAGCAGCGACCAAGGCCAACCAGCGCTCATCGCGGTCCCATTCTGTCTTCATTCTCAAGCTCACCGGCCAGAACCACATCACTGGCGAACGCAGCGAAGGAACGTTGAACCTCGTTGACTTGGCAGGAAGCGAACGTCTGAGCCACAGTGGGGCGACCGGCGAACGTTTGAAAGAGACACAAAACATCAACCGTAGCCTCAGCTCTCTGGGCGATGTGATTTCAGCTCTCGGCCAAGGTAAAGAGGGAGGCCACATCCCATACCGGAACAGCAAGGTAAGTTTCTTTTGCACTTATTTTTTTTTCGCTAGGTACTAACTTGCTCTCCAGCTCACCTACCTCCTCCAGTTCTCCTTGGGTGGAAACTCCAAGACTCTCATGTTTGTTATGGTCAGCCCGCTCCAGGCGCACATGTCGGAGACCTTGACCAGCTTGAAGTTCGCCACCAAAGTACACAACACCCACATTGGCACCGCAAAGCGACAGGCGCGTGTTCGTGACGCCTGATTATGATGATACCTCTTTTCCTTTCTTGAATATATTTTGTTGATTTTCTCTAAGTGGGTAGGGGTCTTTGACGATCCTGTCCTCTACCCCGGCGTCTTGGTCGGGTTCTTGATGTTTTTGCTCCTTTGCCAAAGCCTTTGGAGATATCCGATTCCTGTCTCAGCGTGTGATTTACTGTATGGACAATGATACATTTGGTTCAATCAATGCACAGTAGCAGGCTCTCAACGTTTTATTTGTTTGGTATACATTGCCAGAGATATGCTAGTCTTCCTTTTCAATGAATTCACGGATATCCAATATGGTCTGTTCCCTTTTCTCAATCCAGGGGAAATGCCCGCATTCGCCGTAGGTAATCAGTCGGGCATTTTGGATATCATTTGCTGTCCGTTCCGCAATCCCTACTCCACAGATCATATCCTCGCGGCCGCATATGATAAGTGTTTCTGCCTGTACATCACCAAGCCTCTCCACCATTTGCATTGGATTCATCAATTCCTTGTCACATCGACCCTGGGCTTGGTAGCACCAAACCGACAACTTGCGATCGCCAATATCACGCACTAGCTCTGGCACGTACTGCTGCGGATCAAAGAAGTACAAAGGCCACATGGCTCGCACCGACTCTGTTAATTCCTCGTCGGATCCAGTCTGCCGATCTAGCACACTGTCCCAAGCATCCTGGTATCGAGGATCTATGCGCGTCGCTTCAAGCAGCAACAACCTCTTATCCTGAAAACCTACTAGCTGGTGATCAAGGAGAACGAGCTTGCCAACACGACAGGGATACATCTCTGCATACCCTAGCGCAATCGCTCCGCCGTTAGAGTGGCCCAGTAAGACCGGGTATCGCTCCAGATGCAGGTGCTGTCGGAGATCCTCCAAGTCGGAGGCAAGATCGGGCATACTACTCATCTGGGATGCCGGTGGTCGGGATGATCCGTCCGTTCCACGAGAATGGAAGAAGATGACAGTATAGTCCCTGGTATTTGCGGTACTGGTGTGGTCTTCTGGTCTCCATAGCTCTTGCAGTCCATTTTCAAGATATTCAGACCCTAATCCCCAGCCAGGACATTGAACAACAATTAGATTGTGTGGATCTTCGTTTTCGGTGGATGATCGATGCACGACATATTCAAATATCAACTCTTTTGACGGAACACTGAAGGTGTGGATTTCTGAGTAGAATATTTTTGACATTTGGAAAGAGTTTGAGAAGCAGCATCAGTATCTGACAGTTATTTTAGGTTGAACATACAATGCAATTTTATTGCTTCAACATCAAACGGTGACGTCATTCGGAATAATACGGCTACATAATGTTGTAAAAGCAGAAGTATGCTGGAATCAGTAATGGAATTTCCAGCTAGAGTTGGCCAAAGTATCTGTCCACCTTCTGTTTTACCTGTTGGGCCTTCCCTTGAATAGCAGTGGCGTCCAAAGTCCCCTCCTCACAGATATAAGCATCTATGAGTTCAGCTGGAACCCATTCGAAGTAGATATTCTTAACTTCGACTGCGTAGTTGGTGTTGTCTCGATCAGCCTCAATTCCCTCAGCAAGAATCTTAACTCCTTTAAGGCCGCCGTCCACCCAGCAACACACCAGCTCTTTAGGATCATTCTCTTCGTGGCTATGATCACTCTCGGCGCCAGGCTCGGCCACCTTCTCCAGCTCACTGAGAACCAAGACTTTGGTGGTAGGACAGACATGTTTGGCACTCAGAACAGCTGGCAAAGATCCAGTTTTATTGCTCACTGAGCCTGAATCCGAGATCCTGTCTGCCCCAAGCAGGACGAAATCCACTTCCTTGCTAGCGAGAGCGGCGGATGCATCGGTGTGTACAGATAGTTTCAGATGTCGATCGGAAGATGAGTGAAATCTTGACTGAAAGGAAGAGAGGATGGAAGATGCCATATTGACTCCTTCGCAAAGCGGACGAGATTCTAGTATCCTAAGGTCCAGATTAGGAATTGGAAGGGACGCGAAGGCCTCCAGGATGCTATCCCGGATGGTAGAGCTCGCCGAGAGAGTGAGGATAACGAGAGAGGGCGTAGGCTTCGAGCTTGTTGTAGACAGGAAGTTACATTCAAGATAGTTCGCAAAGGAGCGTTTGATACGCCTGGGCATGTCTTTGCGCTTGTCCAAATGGTGGTCGAGCAAAGCCAATAAGCGTTCCCATTTGACCTTGGAGTCGAGGGTCTCGTGTATGATCTCTTCCATGTCGGTGAGCAATCCGAGAAATGCATTCAAGGTAGCTGCCCCCATGCTTTCTCGTCCATTTTTCCACAGATGCCATGCAGACATGCGAGCAGTTTCCCACCACTTTGTGTCAATATCCTCGCCTATCTGCGCAATAACATCCCGGAAGGCCCTCAGCGCAATCGAGGTGAGCTCGTGCGATCCACTCTGGTGATCTGCCTTCAGTTCTCCCAGGCCTGCTGTGAGTGCCTTGCTAGCGCCCTCGTTCATGCCACCCTCGAACCACACTCTTCGCAGGCTTTCTTTCAGACGTGGTACGCCACCGAATTTCTCATCATCTTGTATTCTCTCTGGACTATACCACTCCCAGCTTTCATGCTCCCAGTCGATTTGAATACCTTCCTCCCCGCGAACACCTTCACGGGAGACTTTGAGTCGGAATAGGAATGGGAAAATGGTCCACTGCCGACCGACAGAAGGATCACTGAAGGTGAATGGTTTTCCTTCCCGCCAAAGATCAACATCTCGTGGGGTGAGAGTAGTCTCCTCTTTCAACTCGCGCCATGCTGCTGCTACTGGTGTTTCATGGCTCTCTATACTGCCTGATATGGGAGCGAGGTGGTGCCTTGAGAAATCAGTTATTCTGGGCGCGACAGTTGATAGTAAAGCGGGGCGTTTGGATACATACTGATATGTGTTGACTTTCTCACTCCGCCGAAATAGAGCAACTTTGGTTTCTCCTGCATCTGAGCAGATGAAAGAGGACACTACTGATCTCTGCTTGAGCTCGGGGTTGCTCTGGTTCATCTTGCTCCTGTTGGAAGTCAAAAGTCTTCATCTACGATAAAGATAAGCTGAAGGTTTCGGCCCCGGGGGATATCCGCAACACCGTCACCACCACATCATCGCATTGACAAACTGCCCTGGACGAATTATTTGCTCCAGGATTTTCAAGATACGAAACTTGTCTTACTTCCTTTTTGACAAGCTCTAATTCGCCACCAAATACTAGTGACGTCATCGTTGGTACGTAGATCCAACGAATATCAAAGTGATCCAAAGCTTCGAGATGCCCCTTCAAGATGCCCCTTCAAGATGCCCACTCTCACAGGGTCATGTATTTGTCGGAATATCGAATACGACCTGAAGCTCGCGTCGATTGATGATGCGAGAACATCTCTCTGCCATTGCCGTAACTGCAAGGTATACAATTTAAATTGAACGAGGATGTCATTTTACTAATGGTGAAATAATTGAACAGAAAGCCTTTGGAACTAATTATGGCCTGACAGCCAAAGTCCCAAAGGAGACATTCAATCTCACCAAAGGAATACCAAAAGAGCATGTTGCAGATAACGGATCTGGAGCTATGATTCATCGTGAATTTTGTGACAATTGTGGTAGCTTCATCCTAGAATATGGGGTATGTGAGCTCTATTCAATAGGTACGGAGGTTTTCTGACAAAAAAATTAGGATGCTGCCAAAGACCATTTTCGCTACATCTGTGTCGGATCCTTAGACGACCCGGAAGCATTACCCCCCAAGGGGGAGTTCTTCTGCAAGGATCGGGCGAGCTGGATGCCGGATATTCCGAGTGAGTTTAGTATGCTGATCTCCTGGCTCTTTTTAACTCTGACAAATATATGTAGATGTATTCCACAAGCAGACGGTAAATGAGTAAGGAGTAATGAAATAGATGGATGCTTCCTCGGGGTTTCAAATATCTCGCCTGTCTATACATATGCACATCTAGTCTCAATATCCATATCATATACCATCCACTGTCACGCTTTTCACAACCATATCCGGCGCTAGCAATTTATCTCGGATGGAGATCGCATTCAAGAAGTCATTGCTGTCCACCCGGCGATATCCATCTTCCAGCGTCTTCTCAATACCTGCCCGTAGGTGGCGCTCAGCCAATCGGCTCCTTGCTTCTAGCGGATCGGAGTCGACGAAGACGCGATAGTCAACAAGCTCAGCAAGTTCACGCCAGCCGGGATCATCAAGAAGCATATAGTTTCCCTCGACGATAATGATCTCTGTATCCGGCATGATGGAAATGCCGTTCTCGACAGGGTCTTTGGCTTCGTGATCGAATGTTGGTGCGCGAATGACATCCGCTGGTGACCAGGTTCCAGAATACGGAGCTGCTAGCGGTGTCTCGTCGGCCCAGGTGCGGAGCCGAGAGACGAAGGCTACAAAGCGGCTCACGTCAAACGTCCATGGAGCTCCACGACGGACATGTGCCTCTTTGGGGTTGGGTAGCTGATCTAAAGCTGCCCGAGAAAGATGAAAGCCATCCATAGAGAGCAGGGCAGCGCGGGAAGACGAGTTCTTATTCAACTCTTGCACTACTGCCTCGGCTGTGGTGGTCTTTCCTGAACCCGGAATGCCTGCGATGGCGACTAGGTAGCGTGATTTGGGATGAGCGTTGGCCTGGTTGCGGATGGCATCTGCCAGTCGCCGGTACTCGGATTCCATCTGTAAGCTGAGGTTAGATTGAGTACTATGAAGGCTTAGATAGAAGTTTACCTTGAATCAATCACACATGGATGTATCTTATAGTGACGCAAACTGAAGTAGATGCCTCAACCACGGCTGGTGACAATCAACGGATCATTCTGCACCAAAAGCAAAGAGCAAATTCAGCAGCTATCCAGTTATTCTTCAAATGTCTGATAAAAGTGCAGGGCCAAGTTATGTATGTGTTGGTGGAGCGGGTATCGGGTCACAGTGTTCCGAACACAGGCTCTCGGTGTTGTGCCGCTGTTGTGCCGACTCGGCATTCCTCCTCAATTAGGATATTTGAAAGTGGTATTTGGGGTAGGTCAAAAAAAGGGGGTGGGGGAAAACTGGAGGTTTTGATGGTCCATTTAGACCATTTTGATGCCAAAATCATTTCGGGGCACAATTCTCCGGCGTCACACCGGCTTAGGCCCTACGAACTGCAAATGAACTTTCATTTGATTTTGGTAAAATGAGACTGGAATCCAAATCAAATCTTGAAATGTGACTTTCTAAATAAAAGATAAATGCAAAAATGCCTCGGCAACATGTAGGACTTGGATAGCCTCGAGACGCTAGACGTGCGACTACGATGAATCCGAGAAAGTCTCAACCATTATCCATATAAATTCCTGAAAAAGGGAATGGAGTACAGAGAACAATCATAGTCACATCGTCGCGTCTTTGTTCAACCTGGAAACCGTTTCCACTTCACTAACAGTTGGTTTCCGATGACTTTTCTGTTTCTTCTGTTTCGAGTCCACATAGAAGCACAATAGCTGTTGTGACCAACAATGAGAACACTGAGGTCGTGTTTGATCACAAGCAGTCTGTTGTTCACGACAGGCCTTACAGTCCCCCGGATTTAGCTGGTAAGGTTTTTGCAAATCTGGGGAAGCGCCTTCAAATGCAGTACCCCGCCATCCAGACCACAGCCACCGGGAGATGCGACCGCAAAGTCCACCCTTCATATGCCCGTATATAGGCGGATCACCGGAGATCTGTACTATAGCGGAATTCTGACTTGGTTCCCGATCAATCTGTTCTCTGTAGATCCAAAATCAGCGTTGAGCAAGACCTTGGAATAACCTCAAAAAAGACTCTAACCGGCGGCCCTGACTCGGCATTCTGGGGGTCCACGTTCTCCTTTTAGTAGAACTTTCACTGAGAATACTTATTCATTATTCATGGCAAAGTGAAGGCGATGAGCCAGAAATAAGAAAAAGGCCGAGAACGAGAGATTTACCCAAAGCAATGCATACTCCGTTCAGGCCCTCGGGCCCCCTGCAGCAGCAATAAGCAAAAAACCTTGGAACGGACGTCGGGCACTGCATGTCACATTAGGCAGCTGTAGATGCAAGTCATGGGGCCAAGAGGAATGAGCATGTTCTTGGGGTTTTCTTAAGTTGTATTTTCGGATTTGATCATGTTATCTCAACCAGAGCAACGTCAGGCGATATTCGATATTCGGAGTTGTACAGTTCGGAATCACATTCCACGAGACGCTGTGAATGTCAGGGTTACTGTAAAACCGTTGAAACGTCATAATGGCTTCAGTGAACCAGAAAACATGTGGCAAAAAAAAAGAAAATGTTCAGATGAACTTCTAAGGCTATTCACAATAATAAGCCAACATGGTTCGGATAAGCGAGGCGATCAAAGACGATCACCGGAAACTCGAATCTTATTACAACATCATCGTCAACTCCGAAGATGAAGACGAACAAACGCGATTCCAGAACCAGTTCACCTGGGAACTTGCCCGACACGCTGTCGCCGAAGAGCTAGTAGTGTTCCCTGCACTGGAAAAGGTTCGATTTAACAGCAAGGAGAAGCTAGATGATGATCGGCGTGAGCATTCAGCGGTAAGTGTTCACAATTTCACATCTTTAATAGAGAGAGCGAATCTGATATGACGTAGCTCAAAGAAATGCTCTACGTTTTCCAAGACCTAAACAGCTCCGATCCAAGATTCGTCCCTACAATTACGATGCTGATGGAAGGTCTTGCCCGGCATATGAAAGACGAAGAGGCAAACGACCTGGTTATATTGGAGGAGTCCCTCACTTCTGATGAGAGCGAGGGGTTGGCTGAATCTCTTAGTCGCACTAAGATGTTCGTGCCCTCTCGCTCGCATCCATATGACCTGGACAACCCGCGCTTCGAGACTGTAGCCGACCTGCTCACGGCTCCCCTGGATCATCTTCAGGATATGTTTCGAAGGTGGCCAGAGGAGGAAGGCCTTCTAACCTCGCCAATGGAGTAGATAAAACGAATAGAGGAGTTACAGCAACATAGAGATTCCATTTCTTTTTGCCCTACGATGGATCCAGCTTGCAGCCTGAAGAATATGCAAATGCGTGAACGTAATTGAATTCCTATCCTGGACGATGATGATGATATCTCTCCATCGAGTCATTTTCGCTTTGAGTGGTGTGATGAGATCTGTGCTCGGCTCTCGATAAACCATCGTTAGCAGTCGACGCGATATTGTACACGAATATCCCTCACTTTTCCATACCAGCTAGACCACTCTGGTCTTGACTCTGGTCCGAAGGAGCCTCATCATTATCTTGAAGGTAATGCCGAGGTGTATCCCCGCCAATCTCGTCATTGACAAGGTCTAATGCATTATGCTTGGCGGTCTTGGATACCTTAGGTTTGTTAAGAGCACTGGAAAGTATTAATAACGGCTATAAAGTGGAAATGAGAACATCCAAGCTCACGCTGAATAGCCACGCCTCGAGTTTATTTCGTCTTCAATAGATAAATCAACATCTTTGGCCTCTCCAAGGCTTGACATCATGCATTTAGGTATTCGAACAAATTTCAAATTACCCCACAAAGATAAAATTGGAGTTCTAGATATTGTAGAGCTGGTAACGATTATTAAAACCTACGAAGGCGAAGTAATAGCGGCAGAGAAGCCCGGGTTTATAACGTCACATCACCATCACAATCGGGCAGTAGATGCCAAAAGCACCGGAAATACCCCGAAACCTCTTGAAGATGATGTTTACTGCCAACGCAAGTGTCATTAAGAAACAGCTGTCTATTGTACAAAAGAAACCATGATCTGACAAAAGAGGCATGTTCATTAGAGGTTGTCGTATCTCGCTTGTCCTCCTGTATATCCGGTATGTCCGCCATGATTCAACATTTCTAGATCCGGATCTTCCTGAGTTTTGTGATAGCTCGAGATAATCTTGCTCGGATGGAAGAAGTTGAAAAGCAGACAGCAAATGAACATCAACGTCGCATCGAATACATATATGAACGCCTCTTTGCTTTGAAGAAATCCGCCGCTGCCCTGGACATATTCTGCCACTCGGTAGATTGATCGGACCATGACCAAGATACTGGCAATATAAAGGACCTTCATATAACGGGTCCAGGGGATTTGAGTATCGCCCGTAGCATGCATAGGTGTAGCTAGCATGCGGCGATGGAAAACCACGCAAACAACAATGAAGAACCCAAAGAATAGGATTTGAACAAAGAGTCCGGCAACGATCATGTTGTTTCCAAGTTTTACTTTCGACTGGTCCTTTGCGGTAGCAAGCATGCCACCTCCTTCAAGAAAGGAACAGTATTAGTGACCTTCCATGTGGCAGAGGATTTATATAACGTACCTCCACTCTGGATGAAAAATGATAGCACATCACCCGCCACAAATATTTTGGTCAACCACGACGGCCTGACTAGAGAACAAGAGGCTCCGTTCAGCATACGAATGAGACGGCCGAGAACCATATATATAGAAGCCGCAAATAATGAAGGTGCCAGCAAGAGCAACAAGCTCTGTGCAATGTATGGCTTGGTGGTGAAATCCGGGGCTTCCTCTGCGCTGGCGTACCTTGCCAAATAGCCGAATGCCTCAACTGAAAATAGTTCACAATGATTAGCATAGTTTCAAAACAAGGCGAGGAAAATATAGAAGGAATACACACATAAACCACCAATGACAAATGGTATGAAGTACCAGGTTCGGTTCCGACCCAATTGCCAGATATGTATAACGGTAGTGAGTCCAAAGACTGCCGCAAAGGCGACAGCAGAACCAACAGATGGGTCATAATGGTACAATTTGAACCCCTCAGCCATGATGAGCTAGCATAAACCGCAAGATAGGGTTGGAATAAGAAGGATGGCTTCTCTAGAGAAGTCTTAAGATTCGAGAAAGATAGGCGACGCTGTTTGAAGATAGAAAGGAGTGAAAATTCCGTCTGTTAAAGGATCCAGTAAGAGGTCCAGCCCAGGTTATGAGAAGAAACTTGCTATTTAAACAACTTTGCATCTTGGCGATCATTTAATATTAGTATACAGCTATGCTGATATTTATCTGCCTTGCCCCACAATTAGGGATCACTTTTTCGTTGACCATAGTTAAGAAGAGAAAAACTAGTCCTTTTGGCTATAAGAATACGAATTATCCGAGCAAGAACGAAAGAGGGTCAAGCTTGCTATAGCTTAGTTGCTCTTGCTCTGATCCACCCAAGAGGCTCGTGGTTTCTCGTCCAATCAGACGTGTTATGGATATCCCGAAATGGGAATCATTACGAGTACGAGATCCTACTAGCAGTGTGTAGTTTGTGACTAGTTCGACGTTATTTGCCAACATTCTCTTACTTTTAGACCTCAATGGATATAATTCTTCCCCATGGCGCTTCTAATAATAAAATGAGGAACGAAATACGAAATAGCCAGCTCATCTGCGAGGGCATGCTCACAATAAGGAACTTGGAAGAATACACTTGGCTGCGTGAAGAATTCCCAGATTCTTCTGTTTTGTGAATGCGAGACCTTGACACATAATCTGCACTGAAATAACGCTTTTCCATATAGCACTTTCAATTGCGTTATCGTGAGGATCAGCACGAGAGATGAACAGAGTAGTAGAACAATGTGAAATTTGCTACTGTTTTGTTGCAAATACTTGCTAGGATGTGCACAATTGGATATATATGTAGAAATGTTCATATTCTTCAAGCTTGAATCTTCAAAAACCCTGGGCAGTGTTGGCAGGCCCAACCGGATAGCAAGTTGTACGATTGGGTATCTTTTGTATAGCAACTACATACAAAAGGTACATAAACACATCATAAAGGATAACGACGAATTTTCCTAACTCTCAAACTAGCCCAAGGATAAAAAAATAAAAGAGTTGACACAGTTTTGGTTTAATAGATCTACCACTTAGATTTATGCTAAACATATGACACAAGTGCAAAGAGCAAAAAACAACTACACATAAATATTGTATGTAAAAGTTGTTCTCTTACTTCATCAAGCGTACTTAATAACACTTCCAAGGTGAATAAGGTTAATTAATATTGAGTAACTGAGACTTCATTTACACTATATATATCTTTCCAACCCCCCCCCCCCCCTTCCCCCCCACCACCACTACTTAAAGGGTTAAGAAAATTGTGTTTATGTACCTTTTGTATATAATCGCCATACAAAAGATACGCAATTCGTACAATTTGTTCCCTTTGATATCCGGTGGTGCCCACCGACACTTAGTAGGCGTTAACGGGATTGCCACGATCACCGCCATGTTGTAATCGGCTATGTTACTGACATTCCTCGGAATCGGGAATGTGATGTCATTTAAATGTTTAATATTAATCTGGTTTATTCAAATTATCACAAGCATATCTATTCAGATAATTTGAGCAAAGTACAGTCTAGACCTAAGCGCCAAATGGCCGTTAAGGGGAATAGATGTACTTTGTAGATCAAAAAGAGGCAAAGTGGAGAGAGCGGCAACTCCGATCACAACATTGTCCGCCTAACGTTTTGACTTCATCTTGACTTGGAATGTGACGATCAAGAAACTCGAAGGACGATAGATCTTGAAGATGTGATTATCTCTTCTGATTTTCTGTTCCCTCGCATCTTTTCCATCTGTTCAGATGCAAAAATTCTCCTGTTTCACCGTTTGTTTTGGGTTACACTCGGGTGGACTCTAGTGGTTTCAGATTAACACACACCCCCTACCAAGTAACCGTTAACCGCTGTGACAGCGACCAGTCGATCCTTTTGTGTGTTGCTCGGCCTATTGCTCTAAAGAATGGATCATCTTAAGTGGACCGGACTCCTGGACTAGAACGCCATGGGGCTTCTTGACTACGGAGTTGCAGCCTATTGTAGACATCCGCTCACTAACCCTAGTCAAAGGTCTCAGGCACAGGAGAATTGTCACTGGACAAATTGATCCCCGGTTTTTTTTTAGCATAAAGCAATATGGGCTTGTGCGGCTGGTGAAAGGTATTTGGGTCAAATACTTCCCACTTTTGCTTCGATACGTTGGACACGCTCACATTCCTTTCTCCTTGTTGACAATCTGGGATTGTCAGTCTTTCTTTTAGTCGTTTTTCCTATTTTTATCAATTGCACTCTCTCTTATCTTTCTTCTCATCTTTCCTTTCTGGATTATTTCAAGCATCTGGTCTTGTTATACCCCTCCTCCCGACAATATGGTTTCTTCAACACGTTCATTGAGCGCTGGATCGCTGATGCTCGCTTTGTTATCTTCCCCCGTGGCCGCCACAACTTACTCCCTGGTGGAGACTTGGCAGGGGGAGAATTTCCTGGATTATTTCAATTTCCACGTTGGTTCTGACCCGACCAATGGCTTTGTCAACTATCTCGACAAGGAGACTGCCGAAAGTACAGGCCTCGTCAAGCTCACCGATACAGGCAGTGTGTATCTAGGTGTCGATTATGCTACCAAGCTGGACCCCAACGGCAAGAAGGGCCGTGATTCGGTGCGTATTGGCAGCAAGAAATACTACGACCAGTCTCTAGTCATCGCCGATATCGCACACATGCCTGGTGGTGTCTGCGGTACCTGGCCTGCCTTCTGGTCTGTCGGAAAGAATTGGCCCGAGGACGGTGAGATTGATATCATCGAAGGCGTCAACTTGGCGGATCACAACGAAATTGTCATGCACACAGCCGGAACTTGCAGTTTGACAGATACGGATATGACCGGTTCGGTCAACGCTACAGGGTGTGGTGAGGATCTAGGAACTGTCGGTTGCAAGATCGAGGGTCATGAGGGCAGCTATGGCACATCTTTCAACAAACAAAAAGGTGGTGTGTATTCGCTGCAGTGGACCGACGAATTCCTCAAGATTTGGTACTTCCCCCGAAGCTCAATCCCGGCCTCGATTACTAGCGGCAAGCCCGATGTAACCGAATTTGGTACTCCGATGGCCTTGGTGAAGGAATCGTGCGACGTTGCCAACGCCTTCAAGTCCCAGTCGTTTATATTTGATGTCACCTTCTGCGGAGACTGGGCAGGTGGTGTGTATGGTGGTTCTGGTTGCCCCATGACGGACGGCGATTCCTTCCAGAGTTGCCACAACTACGTCGCAAACCAGCCGGCCCAATTCAAGGAGACGTACTGGGAAATCAACTCGGTCAAGATATATCAGACTGGTGTGAATAGAATTGCCTCAGTTTCATCATCCGAGCCCGAGCCAGCTACGACTGCCGCTGCTCCTGTGGTTTCGCAGACAACTGTTGAGACCCATACTACGCATAGTGCTACTGCTGTGCACTCAGTTGCCTCCAAGGAAGATCAAACCGCTGGAGCTGTTCAGGAATTGACTACTGCGTCAGTTCCTACTGTAGCAGCTACTGCCGAAAGCCATGCCACCGAAGCAGTCGAGCACCCTTCCACCAGCAAGAAGACTCGGACTTTCACCTCTATAGTCACTGCAACTGAGACCATTTGCCCCGAGGCCGAAAAGTCTTCCGCCATTGCCGCCCACTCCTCTGTGGCAACAACTGTCCCCGCTCCAGCTGTTCAATCTGTTCACATCCCAGCCAACGGCCAAGAAACGGAGGCACGGACCTCTGCGGATGCTGTGGTCCCTCCCTCCAGCGTCGCATCCGTCCCAGCTGGTCAGGGCCACACCGATTCGAAGCCTGCACATGTTCCTGTCGCTACTACGCCGCCCGTTGCAGCTGAACACACTTCTCACCGTGCAGAGTCCTTTGGTGGTTCATGGGTGCAGCCTTCTGCGGTCCCCTCTGCCGTTGTTTCCGATGTTCCGTATGAGGCCTCCAAAGCCCTGATCCCTGCCCCTACCGGTGTCTCTCCTAAGCAGGCTACATCCGCTACATCTGGGTTCTATGTTCCTACCGGCTCTCAATCTGGATCCAGCCCTGTCTTTACCGGTGCTGCTGATAGATTGTCCATGAGCATCTCGGCTCTCTTGGTTGGACTCATTGTTGCCTTTTTGGCTTAAACATCTGTGATAGATCGCGTTTGAAATTGGTCTAAATTTGGCGGATTTTGTTTTGTTCACTGTACAGTAGGCCCTTGAGATGGCCATAGACTGCTTGGTTTTGTTTGGCTTCAAGTCTGTATTTAGTCTGTGCTTTGCCTCTTGGGGCGCTTGCACACTGCTCGCAAAAGGCAGCATAACTAGTTAATGAAGAGTTGTTTTCTCGAAATATTCGTGATATTTTTACCCGACCTCGATCTGTACAGACACCCTTTATCCCCAAACGCCACGCTTTTTCGCCCAAATTCAAATGCTGCACTCCCTAAGCCGTCCACCTCGCCAACCAATCTTGAGCGTAGCATCTCAGGATTCCATCATCAATAATTCTCAGTCGGCCATTTCGCAAAGTCACACTACTTCTCTCTGCTTTCTCGGTAATGAACCTTTTCGGCCCATTCTGTATCAGAGATGATTTCTTCCCATGCATTGTCTCATAATGATGAATGAGCTTGACCGCCGGATTGACAAGTTCCTCACCCCGTTTCTCACTCCGACGAAGTCTCAGCAACCACTCTTCAAAAGGCACAACATCAAATTGGAAACCACAATTCTTCAGCGTATGAAGCAAAGACGACCAGGTGAATTCGCGAGAATTACACAAATTGAAAATCGAGTCATCAACGTACTCCAGTAGAGCTGAGTTGGACGCCTGACTTTCCCCAAACACACTCGGCGTAGCACAAGTCCTGGCTAGTTCAAGAATAGTGGACGCGAGCTCATCCACCGGAAGCCAAGAACATGTTTGGGATAGTTGAGGCAGTGCGCCCAGTGTCAGCGCCGACCGGATCATCAACGGCAGAGCTTCAGAGTCATTCCAACGACCCTTCTTCGAGTGACCTGAGACCTGGCCAATCCGAAGAGAATAAGCCCTTGCTCCACTGCGTCGCGCATTACTCACAATCTGCTCCCCAATCAACTTGGACTGCCCGTAGCCCATGAAGGCGCTGTCCAAGTCGACTGGTTCTTCATGGATCTCGGCTGATCGAGATCCGAGCGCGGTGGAGACTGAGGAGCAGAACATCATGACCGCAGGCTCGCGTCTCTGCACTGATAGCGAGAATTGTATTAAATTGTGCAGTCCCTGGATGTGTGGCTCAAACTCGCCCAGCGGGAGATTGAAGTTGACGGGCCATGCTGTGTGAATAATGAGTGAAACCGAGTCGAGCATGTGTGTGATTGTACTTTCATCTAGAGATAGACCGAAATCGGGCTGATCAATACGGCTGTTGAAGGCGACGATCTTTGCTCTCTGTTCAGGGGATATGAAAAGATCCTTGTCGGCTAGAGTGCGGAGTATTGCTTCTAATGGTGATTCTCGCCTCGTGAGACAGTACACCGTGGAGATACAGTCGTCGTTGAGTAGCTCGTACAAGACGTGGGCACCAATTGACCCGGTGGCTCCTGTTAAAAGCTTCGCTATGTTAGCTTTACAATTTAAACTCTGACAGCAAGATAGTCACTCACCACACTGTTCGGCCCTGAGAAAGCATGTGATTGAGGTATGTGCCTCTCAAACACGGAGTACTTCTCGATCAATTCAGTCATCACAGATAAATCACTCTCGACATCTTCCAATATTTCCCCCTTTTGTAAAGCACAGATATGTCGAGCCAACTGTGATATACAACCCGTTTCAAATATGACATTCGGTCCAGGAGTCTGGCTCATCTCAAACTTGAAATGCTGAAGGATGAGACGTCGGAAATGGATTGCCTTGAGACTATCAACACCCTCAGAGAAGAAATTGGCGTCGATACCAGAGAGCGGTATCCCAAGTTCTTGCTCGGCTAGTTGAAGAAGCACGCGCTCTGTCTCCACAACGTTAAGCTGAAGATTCCCATAGGTCTGTTTCTCCTCGGTATAAAGGCCCTCGATAAGTTCGCTGTATTCTTTATAGATTTGTGCTCGGATCATGGACCCTTTGTCCGTTCGAGAAAACTTGGCGTCATGTGGCAATATAGCAACGAGATTGCGGGAGATTTGAGAGAAAGCCTCTGCCTGAGAGTTGGCTTCTTGGATTGTCGGCCAGATTGCATTGAGGTATTTTTCGTCCGAGAGACGGTTGGTATAAGGTTCGTCCGCTCGCAAAATCAATAGACCTGGAGCAGCCTTGCCTACCCCGACTACAACTGCATCATGGATAAAAGTGTGTTGTTTGATGTGGCCTTCAATCGGGAGTGGCAAGACTTTCTCACCATTCACTAGATTGATTCGGTCATCCAATCGTGAGATGTATTTCCATCTTCCGGCAATTGTAGGGTGAGGGGTGAACACGTCTTTCGAATGGAAGGATCCTGGCGGCTCGTTTGAATTCGAGGTTGTTAATGCTGGATGACCAGCAAGATAAACGCACTCGAAAAGCGAATCCGATTCGGAGATGGGCTTCATCCAGACATATGATCGGATATTGTCAAAGAATTTCAGATAGTTCCAATAGGGGTCACCTTTTGGTCGAGAGATTGATTCTGCAACAAGACCAGCCTCGGTGCTGAGATTTGTTAGTCTTTGCGTCACTGTAGGTATCTCCATGATAGTACTTACAGGCCGAATGAACCTCCAAAGTGTACTCCTTCGCTTACTAGGCGATCGCCCAGCTCATCGGGACAAGGTGCACCTCCGTAGGTAACCAACTTGCATTGCCTTAACAATGTGATACCACGGGGGTCATCAATCAAAAGTTGGAGCATATATGGAACCGCTGCCACTGACTCTGGCCTGGCTTCTTCGAGAGCCCTAGCAACGAGTTCTGCAGTTAAAGGCAGCGCAGCGTTCCACATGTAGGCTGTCTTTCTCATCCACATTGCCTGCAATGCGGTGGACAGCCCATGGAGGTGATACCATGGCAAAGTATTGAAAGAAGTAAACCCAGGACCTCTCAGCGGGTGAGTCATGATCGCTCTGTGTGTGAGGAAGAGCGGTTTCGGGGTGCCTGTTGATCCCGAGGAATGAAGGATCAAGGCGACTTTTTCGGGATTTCGATTGCGATTTAGAACAAGCGATGGCGATTGTAGTTTGTTGTATAAAGAGCATGAGAGTATTGGGCGGCAGGTCACTAGCCTCCGGCAAAGGATCTCGCCCAATGTTGAGCGGATATTGGGAGATTGGCCATATATGATTGACTCACAGTTGACAGTTTCTAGCAATGAGATGCAGACGTCACCCGAGAGCCTTGGCGAGAGCATCATGATAGTATAGCCCAGACGACTCAGGGCAAAAAAGGTGATCACCATGTTAAGGTCAGACAAAGTAAGAAGTGCCACGATGGATGGATTTTGTGTTGCCTAACCATTGATGTGTTAGAGAGTCGAGACCGCGCAACGCAATTGCCGACTAACCTGTTTGAATCCATGATCCATGAGCTTGATGACAGCATGGTTTATCATAGCATCCAATTGTTTCCCCGTGTAGTATTCATAGGAAGCTGCATCGTTGTCGAAACGGGGATAGGCAAGAATGGGATATTGAACGACATCAGCGGCTCGTAAGCGAATCAAGTCGTCAAGGACTTGAAGCGATCCAAACTCCTGCACCAATGGGTTGATAGTGCTGGAGGGGCCAGCCTGTGCTCCTTGACTCCCACGTTGGATACCCATTATGATTACAGAATTATTCTAGAATGAGAGGAAAGGTGCCACAGCAGCTTGGTAGTTCTCGTGCTATATTGAGGGTCAAGCCGTATTTAAGGACGTGTGCTCGTTTAGACCGCTTGACTGACCCCTATTCCCAGATTAGCCTATACTGACTGCATTCGGGATGCCCGGCAAAAGTAAGTCCTTCTGCATCGGGAGAAGGATATACATATCACACGGGATCAGCCCAGTAGCAAACAAATAGGATCAGCTACCATGCTGTGATAGTTATGCAGATGCCAACAAAAGTCATCAAGGCGCATATTAAATAGTTGGGATTTGAGGAAATAATATCTCGGCAATAGTAATATGCACATACTCCATGTACAACAGCACAATTTCAATGCACAAGGACTGGCTTGCTGAGCGACTTGTTTGTGTCACCAGCAAACACTCAGCTTGAAATCAGAAATTTCATTCGCCGAGATTCAACAGTGGCGTTCCGTTAACGTCAAGACTGGTCTACTCCATATACTGTGGCTCAGGCCACTAACTAGCTACCTCGCTAGTGGCCAAAATCCAACTTTTGGGAATAATTCCCCTGTCTAGCTTTAACTAAGTGCATGCGTTCTGCATTCTTCTCCATCTTCGGAGTGGAATTTCGATCGCGACTAGCGGCAATTGTTACACTGCAGGGCTGCCCGAGACACATCCGCCTCGGTTGGAATGAAAATCCCGTTGGGAAAGCCCCAAAGGATTTCTACCCGTCACCGGACAAAAAAGGAACTTTTGTGATAGATTGTCGAAGCGATAATTAGTTGGAACATCACCTGAATGCATATTACTAGGTCTAGATCCTGTGTTGGGACTCTGAAACCTACCGCGCAAGTCAGTGTAACTGGGGACGGCGGTGAACGTTAGCCTTCAGTCTGGAACAGCTTGGGTGTCATAATAAAATGCTACACAAAGCGTTGTGTTCAGATATCCCCCGATGAAGTGTTGGCTCTGTGTTTCATTGGCTATTAAATATATTCCAAGGCGTTGAACAACCTCATCGTAACGTACAATCAGTCTTACTCTCCCACCGGTGCTAAATCGGACTAAGACCATTCCAGACGGCGAAGGAGCAAAGGGCCAGGCTTAGCGATGTCTCACTTGAAAGCGTATGTTGTAGGAGAAGTCCCCTTCCATCCCTGGCTAAGGGAATGACACCGAGGAGTGACGCAATGAGGAAATACCACTTTTGAAGATGTGTCAAGTCAGTAATAATCTAAATCGTCGAGGCCCATGTCAAGCGGATAGTGTTTTCCAGGAACGTTGGAAGTCATCCGGTATGGAGACTCCACTCCACTAATTGGATCGGGAGCGGGCCGGGAGAAGCATCCGGGAAGCCGGGAATGCCCTGTGGAGTTCTGATCTATATCTGGTCTTAAGAGTATAAGCGTTCTTGGGAACCATTGCTGGACTTTTGTCAAGAATGTTGACCCGTTCGATCGGTCTATGCTGATCATTCCAACTTTATTTTTTACATTTTTTTTGTCTTGCCTTGATAGGTCTCAGAATACAGACCTAGGCATAGCATTCCAGGTATCGGGAATGATCCTGTGGTGTTCCGTTAGAAGGAGACGTACCCGATGGTCTGGTTCGACATAGCAATTCTCATATTCCTGTAAACGGTTAGTGATTTCTTCATTTAGATCGAGCATTCCTGAGATCTGAGACGTTTGGACCGTAGGGAACTCAGGAGGGTATGTGTAGGCATCGGGCATGACCGTACTTTATCGACATTAAGAACCAGTCTACAATTCTAAACAGGGATTCGTAAGAGGAGATTGCAAGACACTTGCTCATTTTATCACCTAGACTATGTATCATTCCTCTGTATTTGTTGAATGTACCCGGAGTTCCATTCATGAACCAAAAAAATGCAGAATAACACTGACTGAAACAAAATGCGCTGATCTCCAAGCCACCCCAAACCTAGAGGGATCCCTTCTCCGACTTCTCTTCCAACAATTCCAGGACCCGCAGCCAGGACCGACTAGCGCGCCCAGCATGCTCCATCGGCACGGCCGGGTTATCTTCCCCGGTGGATCTCGAGAAGACCTCCATACTGACCCACCCGGTATAACCCAAACCGTTGATGCAGGCATCCGTCACCTGGCGAATCGGAAGGTATCCGCCCCGATCCTCTTCACACGGAAACAGACGCGCATTCCGCGACCAGGCTAGCAGAGTGGGCAGGCCTGGTGCCTGAAGAAAGGGCGCCTGTGGGTCGACCCGCTCACCGTCGGCAAGTTGAACCATCAACACTCGGTCCGGATCAATCTCCCGTACAAGCCGGTCCATCGATTTCCGCAGATCTCCGTCTGCGCTTGGGCCAAGTCGCCCTGTTGCGGCGGTGGGATCGGCCCACATTCGCGCTGCTATGTTGAATGTATCAAGACAGATGCCGAGATTGGGTCGATTGGCACGTTTGATAACATCCCACGAGTCTTCCCAGGTGTTGATATATGTTCCCCATGCCAGGGCCTCGTAGGCGATCCGCACGGGGAATGCGACATCTGCGGCTTCCGCCAGGTCGGCTGCGAGACGCTCTCGGTCGGAGGTGATCTCCGAAGCGTCGAGGAAAGATGATGGGATCAGGATGAAGAGTGAGTCGCCCAGAATTTTGCATAACTGCACCCAATGCCTGAGTTCGTCGATGCGCTGCGCATGCCGTTCTGGATCAATCAGGCCTTCGTAGTGTCGGAAAGGTTGGAGAGCTACAACCTGCAGACCACGCTCAGCAGACAAATCTCGGATAGCGTGGGCTGCGTCGATTTCGTAGTCTCGATCAGTGCGGGGTGCACTGTCAGTTGCATGGGCGCGAAGGGTCTTGGCAAGCTGTGCTATATCATCATGGAAGAGTTCGAGTCCTTGTTGGCCATTGTGGGCAGCAGCATCAAGTTTGGCGAGGATGGGGTGTAAATGCGCAGCTCCCAGACTGACCGTTGCAATAGCTGGCTTCCATCGTGAGTCAAGTTCGGACTTGAGGACGTTTGGAAGAGAATGCATCGTTAAAATGCTTTTAGAGATTGACCTGAAACTAGCAGCAACTAGTGATCTTCGTCACACTCTTTATAGCATAAATCACAATCTCACATCAACATGAGATTTTTGTTTCCGTGCTTATCCTGTATTTCAGTGGTTTCTTTTTCTTTATTAAAAAAAAAGTAAATTCCAATGTGGGTGGTGAGTACAGAACGTAGACCACTCGCGGATGGCCCGGATTCAAATCGTACACCGTAGGGCAAGCATGTACACCCTTGGTCATCTCGATCGGGTTAACTTCTCTCTCAAATGCGGTATATTCAGACGATGGGCCAAGAATGATTGAATAGTGGAGTGTCTGGAAACGATATGCCCCGGGTTTCAGCTGTTTTCGGGGTCAGCTTACCTATATTGCATTCGTATGTTGTAGGAATGAATTGAACGCCGATGGAAACAAGGGTCTTTTAATTTATTTGCCTTGTCCAATGTCACTGTCACCGAGGGGGGCACCAGGGACTATAAGATGCAATCGAGATCCAGCCAAATAGTTCCCTCATCCTAGCTTGTACTACTCGAAGCAATCAATTTCACGCTGAATATCGTTATTTACTTTTTCTTGAACAGCGATAATGACAATCACAACACCCTTTCACTGTTTGGTCAACCGTCTCGGCCAAATGGCCTTGAAAGAAGCCTCGGAGCCATCTCCACAAGCCCACTTCGAGCTATTGCGAATGATCGACCAGCTCAGGTCTGCAGTGGAAACGCCGACAGAAACCGTGTTGCGTCTGATTTACCAGGTAAGGCGTTCCACGGACTAAACTCAAGTTTGTATTCTGACTGGACTGTAGCCTCCTCAAAATGCCGCGTTGCGCGTTGTCATTGATTTGGGCATTTTCGCCATGCTTGTGGAGAAGCGACACAGAGGAACGGGACTATCAGCCGCTCAGCTGGCAGACTATACGGGCGCCGAGCATGATCTAATTGGTACCTTTTCCTGCAATGACAGTAGTTCGTCACACATTGTGGATTGCCTAACTCCGTGAATAGTCCGACTTATGCGCGTTATGGCTTCTCTTGGGCTGTGCGTCACACCGACCCCCGAGCTCTATGTTGCCAATGAGAAGACAGTGGCACTGACTCAGCCGATTGGGAGAGATGGAATCCCATGCATGTATGTTGGTGATGTGACTTGGACCCTTGCATCTCGTCGCGCCGTTACTCACTGACCCTTCGTTTAGATATGATATTACCTTTCCAACCTTGAGCAAGCTCCCGGAGTACCTGCGCTCCCATGGCTATGCCAACCCCCAGGATTATGCTCAGTCTCCTATGCAGTGGGCCGTTGGACAGAGTCAGTTTGAGTGGCTTTCGAGTCGTCCGGAGCAGCAGGAGCTCTTCAACTCGTACATGGCTGGTCGTCGAGAGGGTAGACCGATGTGGTACGATATATACCCAGTCGAGCGACTGTTTGGCCATGCCGTGCCATGCAAAGACACGGTCTTCCTGGTAGACATTGGTGGCAATCAAGGGCATGATCTGGGTAAATTCCGTCGAGAATATGGCCATTTGCCGGGCAGAATAGTGCTGCAGGATTTACCAAACGTGGTTGACGGGGTTGAGGGTGAGAGCGTAGGAATCCAGGTGATGGGATACAATTTCATGGATCCTCAACCCGTCAAAGGTGCCCGTGCGTACTACTTTCGTTCCATCTTCCATGACTGGGATGACCACATCAGTCGGAGGATTCTCCGAAATACGATGTCAGCGATGGCGCCGGACTATTCTCGAATTCTCATTGTTGATTTCGTCCTGCCAGACACCGATACGCCCCTGATGCAGGCTTCGCTTGATATCCAGATGATGAGTATTGGAGCCGGTGTCGAACGGTCGGAACGACAGTGGAGAGATCTCTTGCATAGCGCCGGGCTGGAGATCACAGGGATTTGGAATCAGAGCCCGGCGATGGAGTCGGTGATTGAAGCAGTTCCAATGTTGAAATAGAACAGATAGTGAAGAAATTTGATTAAGTTAGGTACTTGAATCCCAAAGATGGAAGACGAAACACAGCATTTTAGCAGAGCAAAAAAAAGGAAAGAAGAGGATGGAATACAAGAAAAATATAAAAGGTAAGAGAAGTAAGTCTATTTATTTTTGGAAAAAGCTGCCCAACAAGACTTAACGACTCAAGTATATGGCGCCTGAACGGGCTGCGTCTTCAACAACTACCGTTCCTCTGAAATACAATCTGTGTGAGTCCAGTTGCTTCTCAAATGTGGCCCTGTACCTCTCATTCTTCATCAATCCTCCTGCCAACACCAATACAGAGGCCTCCGATGGCTGATAGCCAGTGGATTGAGGCTTCGCTAAGCGACCAAGAGTCTCGCCAACAAGCAACGCAACCTGAGAGCTCACGATTACTGCTGCAGTCTCATTCTTGTCCATCAAGTCGAGAACAACTGGCGCAATACTAGCAATGCGTGCCTTCACACCCTGAGAGTAGTTCTGGGCCAAAATATTATTCAACATGTCGATACTGGCACTCTCGGAAACCTGACACCCAAGTTTCTCTGCAACCGCCTTGGAAAGTTCATCACCTCCTGTTTTGTCGAGCCCCAAGGTAATATCCTCAAAGACTCCTAGGGTGTGTTGGATGGCTTTCATACCAATTGCGTAGCCACCGCCCTGATCACCGAGCATGTGACCCCAGCCTCCAGAACGGGCTGAACGAGCGTATCTTTGCTGATCCTCGGACCATTTGTATCTCATGGCAACACTCCCCGTGCCTGCAATCACTACCAGCACAGAGGGTGTACCGAGAGATTGTGGAACACCCGCAGTCAATAGATCTACGTCGTTGGTTAACTGGAGATCCTTTTCGTGAGTGATTCCGAAAGCTTGTCTCAGTTTGGGCGATAGCACTCCCTCCAGCCCAGCTCGATCAATACCAGCCAGTCCGATCCAGACGGAGCTGAAGGATGTTTGAAGAAGTTCCTTCCACGAAGATTCTGTTTGTTCAACGTCGCTTGGCAGGACGTCTTTCAGAGCAGCCTTAGCAGCATCAAGTAATGTGGCAATGACTCCGTCTATATTTCCAATGCTGTCGGTTCTGGGCTAAGGTTAGCTTAAAGATAAACAAAGCATAAAACCAGAACGAGAAGAGATCATACAGATTGCATGGGCCAGCAGAACCCTGGCCCATGAGGTTGGCGCCGTCGGCCACAACAGCAGCGCACTTGGTACCGCCGCCATCAATGCACAAGGCGAACTTTTGAGTGGGTGTACTTGTGGGATTCTCTTCGATGGGCTTAGAGGTGGCAGCCAGCGCGTTAGCCAGCACTCCACCCGCAGCGTCAAAGTATCCCCGACAGGTCTCAACCGACTCCCCAGTCTCTGCAACCAAGATAGCCAGTTTGACACTAGCATTGCATCTTGCAAGGAGAGCGTCCAAGTCAGCGTCAGACGAGGACTGGCACTTTCCACTCAACCTCCGCAGAATATTGCGGGATCTTTGCTCAAGTTTCAAATTCGAGGCCACGAGATCAACCATCTTAAATCTCAACATTAGCCGGAGTACAACAATCGGGCAAAATTACCACTTACCATGTTTCCGTAAGTCTTTCCTGTGCGAATCATAGTACCGGTACTTAGCATATTCAAAACCAGCTTGGTGACAGTACCGGCCTTGAGACGGGTGCTACCAGTGACCACTTCAGGCCCTGACACGGGTGAAATGACGAAGTCCACATTTCCCGAAAGGCCAATCGCCGAAGGAACTGTACAGACAACCGCGATGGTCACACAACCGAGACGTTTAGCGAAAGCAAGACAACCAAGCACATAAGGCGTGCGCCCCGAGCTTGCAATCCCAATGATACTATCAAGCTCCGGGTTCAGATTGAGAGATTTCATCTCATCCTCACCGGCTTTCTCGTCATCCTCGGCTCCTTCCTGAGCCGATCGGATTGCGGCATCTCCACCAGCAATCAGACCGACGAACTGACCACGAGGAGCGGCGAATGTGGGAGGAATTTCCGATGCATCCAAGATTCCAAGCCTAGAATTTTCTGTTTAATGTTTGTTTAATAACTAGGGAACCAGGGTCCACGTGACTCACCTTCCACTGGTGCCAGCGCCGACATAAATCACCCGGCCGCCTTGTCGAACTCGCGGGGTCAATGAGTCAATGGCTCCTGCAATAACAGGCAAGCAAGGAACAACACTCTCTGGGACTTTCTGATCGTCGGCATTGATCACAGTGCACATGTCAAGTGTCGACATGCGATCAATATGCACGGTTCGGGGATTGACCCCCTCCGTTTGGAGTTGAGATAGACTACCGAGATCCATTATGCAGGGTGTGTTGGGTGATCACTTAGAAGATGACAAGCTTGACGCCGTTTCTTGTCGAAGTTTTTAATGTATTTTTCTTCGCGAATCATGGATCAGATTATGCGGAAAAGGGCGATAAGGGCGCTTTTTAGAACGATTGTGGAGGTGAAGCTGGATCCATTTCGAGTTGGCGCTATGCAAGCCAAGTGCCTAATATCGCCCTATTTCCCGAGGTCGATGCCGATGCGGGAAATTACTGAATTCTGTACGTAAGGCGAAGGGGAGGTCCTTGTTCGAGAAGCATCTCACGGTCCGATCAAATGGGGGCCGTTGCACGACAGTGTTACAATGAAGGGATCTTGACAACGTGGGATTGGACCGGTTAGCAAGCGACTAATGTGGATACTTCACTTCTCCAGACTTTTCCCAGAAAGGAATCGGAAACAGCCGATCTGGAGGATAGTGGAGTTATCTCCCACAAGATTCGTCGGCCGAGAAAGAAGAAGGTCGTTTGATAAGGAATGGCATGCAATTCATCCTAAAGAACAATGGGGTTGATCCACTTTTACTACTACTTCGTGGCAGATATCCAGATGATACGCATACGATAACACACTCGCGTGCAACCCAAGCCCCGTATCGTATGGGGCCCCAGACTCCAGATGCCGATAAGCCGACCCACAGTAGTCCGGTAGTCCGGTATAAGGGGATATCGGAAATGCTGGAACTCTCTAACATAAGACCCCAGTCATTCCCTCCCCGGACTTTTCATTTCATACGCACAAGATGTCGAATGAAACAGTCGAAGAAGGGCGTGTTGCCACAGGTACTGAGCACAATGAAAACCGCTCGACCTTGTACAAGATCTGGACGGATTCTTGGTTCCAGATCATTTTGATCAGTTTCATCTGCTTCTGTTGTCCGGGAGTGAGTTCGGCAAAGGCTATTGTTCAAATCCAGTGGACTAACAACATTATTAGATGTACAATGCCCTCAGCGGTCTTGGAGGTTCCGGTCAAGTTGACCAGACCGTCGCTGCAAATGCGACTGTAGCTCTTCTGGCTTGTACTGCGGGAACTGCTCTTTTCGTTGTCGGCCCTATCTTCGATCGTGTTGGACCTAGGGTTTGTCTCTTGCTTGGAGGATGGACCTACGCATTGTATTCCGGCAGTCTTCTGTGTTTCAACGGTATGTTCAGCTGCCAAGCCATAGTGTGTTGTTTACCAAGTTAATGATACTCCTAACAGCAACCAGCAATGGCGGCTTCGTGATTGCCTCGGGTGCCATTCTCGGTGTGGGCGCATCGTTCTTGTGGGTGGCCCAGGGTGCGATCATGACGACCTATGTTCCCGAGTCACAGAAGGGTCGCGCAATCGCAGCCTTCTGGATTATCTTTAATCTCGGCGGCGGTGTTGGATCTCTCGCTAGTTTCGGTCTCAACTTCAAATCGACGAGCGGAACTGTCAGTGACGCAACATACATCGCCTTGCTTATCATTATGGCGTTCGGATGGGCGTTGGGAGCCCTCATTTGCCCGCCATCGTACGTTAGAGTTGCCCAGTTGCAGGTCACACCGGAGAGCGAGAAGAACTTCCGCCAGATTTTTCGCCATTCCATACAGACTATCTGCAACTGGCGGGTGTTGTGTATGCTGCCCCTCTTCTTCTCGGCCAATGTGTTCTATTCTTACCAGCAGAATGCTGTGAACGGTATGAACTTCAACATCCGGACGCGTTCGCTCAACGGTTCGCTTTATTGGATCGCGCAGATGCTGGGTGGTCTCGTCATGGGTCTCATTCTCGACATCCCCGGTGTCAGTCGACCCAATCGCGCTCGCATCGCTTGGGCATTCTTGTTTGTCACTGGAATGGCCATCTGGGGTGGCGGTTATAAGTTCCAAGTGTGGTCTGATCTCCGTCTGGAGCAGGGCCTGAAACAGGATATTGATTACACAGATGCTGACATCTCAGTGGGCCCGATGTTCCTCTACATCTTCTATGGCGCCTATGATGCGTTGTGGCAATCATTCTGCTACTGGCTCGTGGGTGCCCAGTCCAATTCCCCGGCCACAGCAGCCGTTCTGGTCGGAGCGTACAAGACCTTCCAGAGTACTGGTGGTGCGATGGCGTGGCGCATTAATGCCATGCAGAAACCCGCGATGACCCAATTCGCTATGAACTGGGGACTTTGCATGGGCTCATTGGTTATCGCTATCCCAACCGTCCTGGCAATCACTATGACCAGTGACAAAGAATCACCATCAGTCAATGAGAAGGACTTCCCAGAGACGGAGGAGTCCCGGGCAGATGTGGTGAAATCTTGATTATTTTTGTATCTCAATGTCAACCTCGGTTAGAAGGATGTGCGGAATTTTTGCCGTCGAGGAAAGACGTATGTAAAATAGAACAGTAAAAAATCTTAGAAAAAGGTTTGACAATGCAGATCAGTGGGGATATCTGATTAGGAATATATGTACATAGCATGTCCCAACCGAAAACTTGGGTTTCTTTGTATGCCGACAAATTCCGTCTCTCGGCGGTTGAAAGTTCGTCCACTCTACCTTACCGCACGCACGTCTTCAGCACGGCGGTTTCCAGCAGCAACTTAGTATACTGGCGGTGTGCCCAAGCTATTTGGTCATTCATGGGTGCACCTTCCGCCTTCCCGAGACCCTGGTAGAAACAGCTCTTGAGACTGAATTCGGCCACGCCTTGATCCTGCTTGACCACAGCGGCGATTTCGAAGAGGCCGTCGGAGGGACGGACTTCACGAATGCGGGGGGAGTCACCACAGCGAATGAGAATACGGTCTTCGGTCTTCTCGACAACTTCAAAGTGATCGGTGACGATGGTTCCTACTTCGTATTTGTTTGAGAGGAGATCCGATCGGTCCCAGAGGTGGTCGGCAGTCTCGGGGCCACGGTATTTCCGTTCTAGGATGGCTCGCTGGGGAATGTATCCTGGAGAGAAAATAAACTTGTTAGAGTTTGTGGCATTGCGACGAGGCTGGTTTCCCCAGTGTAGGACTTACCCAGGCCACCCCAGACACCGGCACAGAACGCTTCCACCAGCTTGCCCTTCTCCTCGACCAGTGAGGGCTGGATCTTGTCTAGGGGAATCCGACGAATGCAGACGTCATGAAGAGTTGGGTTGCGGCTCGGGTTAAACTTCTTGAAAAAGGCCGATTGGAAGATGGGATCGGAGCTGTCCATGGTCTCGAAAACGTCATTGCGCGTGGCGCCCCAGAAAACACCGACCGAGGCAATACTGCCCGCGACGGTGGTCTTGACTAATTTGCTGAAAATACCCATGGCTGAGGAGAGGAAGAGAGGGTTGGAGGCAGGTGAGGAGTAACAAGAGGGGAGCGAGAGCTGGGAGAGCTCTCGGGCATCTCGGGAAAGGTCCGACTGCCAAGACCAAGGCTCCACTGGATTTCACCAAACGTCAACAAATTTCTGATGTGATTGCACTTTACATTCACTCTCCTTGACATCAGTTGTTCTTATATATTAGGCCGCCTCATTGTACAAATACATTGAGATCACCCAATGCATCACCCAAAGCATCCCCTAGAGACTATCCAAAGGTGACCAATGCAACCCAGAACAGCGTAGGCTAACTATAAATGGCAAATTGGTACCTAGGACCAGAGTCTGCTGGGCTGGGAAACTATATAAACCACGATTAGGTCTCTGAGAATAGGACTTGAAGAAAGCAAAGAGGCTATCGAAAATCTCTATGTGGAGCTTCATACAATCATACCTAGGTGGTCAAAGCTAATGAGTACATACAAAAAGAACGTTCATATCCGACTCGACCTTACATGTTCCAAGTTGTTGACAAGAATTCTCTTGCTTTCTTGTCTCTCTTTACTTTTGTCTATCCTCACATCATACATAGTATCGTCAGAACATCGATCATCCATCTGATCGAGAACCATCATCCAGGTCTTCTTTCCCCTTTCTCCCTTCTCCTCGTACCAAAACACCAGACCATCCATCATCTATCAGATTGGGAAACATTATCCAATTGATCTCATCCAAAACATCACATCCATTGTCACAAACTAACCTTGGGACACCATGGCTGAGTAGGTCACCCTGAGCTACTATGGATTACGAGAGCTACACTAACATGTTTAGTCACGCACCTGCGCCGGCCTTCTCCACGATTGAAAACAGGCTTATTATACCTGATCCACCTATGGGAACCGATGAGCGCGCCCCAGGCCAATTGGCTGCCCGTGTAAAGACCCTGCCATGGACGATTGCCCGAAAAGCCAACTTCGTGAAGTCAGACTTTCTCAAGTTTCTTCGGACTAAGGAACCTCGCCGGGAGCCTACCCTACGGCCTGTCCACGAGTGCGACCGCTGGGGATTTGACGAGCAGGTTGGGATGAGCATTGAAAACGTGGAAGCGATCTATATCCAGACGGTTGGGCGATGGACAGAGGAGGAATGTACCCACTGTCAACAAGAAGATGGGCCATTCGTCAACTGCGTTGTCGTCGATGCTATCGGTTGGCCCAAAGAGTGTGCTAACTGCCACTGGGGTGGCAAAGCCCGCCAATGCTCCCACTTTGTTGAACCCCGCGACTGCTCCGTCGATCAGGAGTTGGCTCGCCAGCGAGCGAGCGATCGCCGATATTTCGTTTGCGAGTTGAACAGTCTCCTCTCAATCACCGAGGATCTTCGCATCGCAACTACCCATACTCGCCAGGCTGGAAATGACAATCTTACGGCATGGAATAGGGTAACTGACACCGTTCAAGGACTACGATCTCGCCTGAGATCTGGTGATCTTATCCGCTCCTCAGATATCCGACGGGTCCGAGAACAGGTCACGGCTGGGGTGAGTCGAGGTAATACCGTCCGATCTGCCGAACATGATGTTAGACTGTACCGTCAGGATCTCCAACGCGCACTTAATGATCTCATTCGCCAGTACAGCGAGTAGGAGGGTATCACTTGCTCTGGTTCATTTTCATTTCATTTCATTTTTTACAACTGGTGTGGCCAGGGTGACCTGGTCTACAAAGTTCAGAGCAAATAATGAGAAATCGAGTTATTTTTATCAAAATCATAGTTTATTATTATTTTTTCTAGCTATAACACCGCGAAGAAGAAGGATATAAAGAGACATCTAAAAAGACATCGTAATGTTATCTTGAATATAGCGTATGCACATAAATCAGATTATTAGAGTCCTACGTCGTTCCAAGGTTCAGGCCACAGACTGCATACGCGGCCGACTACTCTTGTACATTATGGGTTCACAATAACTGGCCTAATGCTAGCAAATTTTATCCTGTCCGCATAATAAGGATAAAAAATGGCAAATTACAACCCAAAGTTTATGATTAGCAATCTATGCACGAGTACTGAAATATACCTCAAGTTAAGCATGGAGAGAGGTATATGCCCATAAATTAGGCATGCCGATGCTCAACCGTTGGGCCTCGCCAGGGCCCCGATAATTAAGCCGGATAATTCAACCGAATGGGCAAAGTGGAGATGGGCCAGACCATAAAAATTCTTAACCAGACCTATGTAGACCACGGATACAGCTTCTCAAATTCTCCAATTCTTAACCAGAGCTCCTCTATCTGCCCATATATCGGTGTAAAACGGTGGATCGTCGCCTCAAACTTGGAATTTTCTCACCCTGCGAACCGCTGGACCTCATATCCCAAATATGTATGCAAACCAATGTTCCCTTCACAAACAGTTCCCCATATTCACGGGGCTTATACCAAATGCATCTATCAGTCCCACCAAGTGTCCCAACCTTGGAAGTCCCACATGCACGCCCAAACTTGGAGACCCAGCTCTAATTCGCACGTATCGTGGAGATGCGAGATACAATCTTGGAATGAACTCAATCTTGTGAACGATGGTCGGCAATCTCGTGCATTTTACAATTTTGCGACCCTTTCTAGCGTTGGTCATGCCCCATGTGTACCACTGGTATACTCCAGGGCAACCCCAACCCAGGCCTTAACTAGGCAGTTGATCGACATGAAACATCAATCACGTTTATCACCCAAAGCTTGGATATCACGAACCCTTCGAGAATAGATCCAAAGGATGAGGAGACCTGGCGATCGTCCATTCTCAGCCATTGAAAGGCTGTTCTCAAGATAAGGAACATAAGCATGGAGGAACAGACCAACCATGTACAGACTCAAGAAGTCGCCATGTGGTCTAGAGAATTGATGGTGTGCTACGGCCTCCGAAAGATATAAAATCCCTGGCATCCGTCTGTCCAATTCTTCTCATCAAGCAGATCCGGGATCCTTTTTGTATACCATCATCTTCACTTCATTACAAACTTCCCTCGCTGTGCGAGTTCCGTTGACAGACAATCTTTGATTTATTCAATCTTTCCACTACTACTTCTTTTGCATCTTTTTTCACAATGAAGACCTCATTTGCCGCCCTTGCTCTGGCCCTCTCTGGCTCTGCCATGGGTGCCCCGTTCTCTAACGGCACTCACGTTGCATCCAACTCTTCTGCTGTGTCGACTCCTGTTCATCTGTCGACCAAGCCAGCTCTCCCCAGCCTCTTTGCTGCCTCCAGCTCTGCATCGCCATCGTCCTCTGCCACTCCGTCTTCTGGGTCCAGGCCTTTGACCTCGGCGCCAGTCCCCAGCGGCAGTGCTGTGAGGCGCGGAGAGGACATCTCCATCCCGACGGACCTCCCGTCCCTGGCCTCGGATGCTCAGTCAGTGGCTGTAGCCCTCGCTTCTCTCGGCGCTAGCGCCCAGAAGCGTGGCGAGTCTCTGTCAATTCCCACAGACCTTCCATCTCTTCTGGCTGATGCCCAATCCATCGGCAGTGCTATCGCCTCGGGGGGTGTCCAGAAGCGCGGGGAGTCGCTTTCCATTCCCACCGATCTCCCTTCGTTGATTTCTGATGCTCAGTCGGCCGCTGCTGCGCTGGCCTCCGCCGGAGCCCAGAAGCGCGGCGAATCTCTGTCGATTCCCACAGACCTTCCGTCTCTTCTGGCTGATGCCCAATCCATCGGCAGTGCTATCGCCTCCGCGGGTGTCCAGAAACGCGCCGCCGAGTCCCTTCCTATCTTGACCCCCACTGGTGCCCCCACTCCTACCGCTCCCCTTGGAACTGGCTTGCCTAAGCCTTTCAGTTCTCTTTTCGCTTCATCTTCTGTGACTGCTTCATCTTCTGTGACTGCTTCCTCTTCTGGTATTGCTTCTACTCCTGGCTCTGCTTCTTCGTCCGGTGTTAGATGGCCAACTGGCAGTCCTCTTGTCTGAATGCGGGTCATTTCTTTTCAAGATGATTGCTACTTGTGTGAGCTATAACTTGCCCTTTGTTGTTTACGAAACTATGGGTCTTTCCCAGAGCTTGTTTTGAACCGTCGCTCGTTAATTGTCGCTCATTAATTGTCGTTCATTAATCGTCGCTCGTTTTGAATTGGGTTGTTTTGATGTTTGATGTTACTGTTAGATCGCAACCAGAATGTACTAGAAGATCAATTGAAATCTCACTAGAATTTGTTTTCATATGGGAGAATTCCAGATCAATAGGACTCTGAGTCAATAGAGATTTCGATTTGTATGGAATACGGGATATGTCATGGTGTGTTTTGTAAAGCCGATCGGGGTCCTGTTGAGGGACTGCTCCGCCCCACGTGTGGATACAGGCACAGACGGCACAGCCGCAACAAAATTGATTCTCCCCTTCTCCTTCGTCATGTCCGAGATCCATCTCGTTTTCTTGGCTGGCTGATCATTCTTTTTCATCCGGTTTTACAGACTTGCTTTCCTAGTGGCTTCTTTTCCTTTTGTCTCCTCAAACCTTAGTCTCACATGCCCTTTGTGGAATCATGGCCCGTTGTCTTTGCAGCAGAGTCTTGTTGAATGGTTGAAATCTGATTTGGCAATGCCCTTCGATTGTATTAAGTACATCGTCCGCCTTCGGGACCTCATCCAGCATGTCCGGTAGTGATCGGGTGGGAGGCTGGGCACGACTTAAGGGTGAGTGGTTGTTCTCGTCTGACACCCCCTTTTCCTTTCGCATTCCCCGTTGAACCTCACGGAGTATACGAGTATAGGCTAATCGAGATGTGCACTAGGTCGTTTTGCCCCGTTTCGTCTGCCAGTCCGCCCTCAACCTCGAGGTTGGCGCCCAGTGGCTCTGCGCCCGCCATACCTGATCTCCCTTATATGCTTGATGTTAACGATGCTGCTGGGCCTGGAAGGGTTGCGGCAGTATAGTGATCGCGAAGGTGGATTGGTATTTTTCGACTACACGGAAGATGTCAACGCCGCACAATCTTTTGCCTACAATTATCTCCCTATCATCATCTCCCTCGTGCTCGTCTTGGTATGGACCGTGACCGATTTCGATGTCCTCCGTCTGGAACCATACTTCCAATTATCCCGACCCGAGGGAGCGCCGGCGACCGTCCTCTTCATCAACTACAACTTCGGCCAAACTATTATCACTCCGATAAATGCCGCAATACGTCGCCACTGGGTCGTATTCTGCGTTTCCTTTGTCACGCTCTCGATCCGAATGATTCTTCCCGCTCTACAGAGTACGGTATTTGAGCTACGCGAGGTGACGGTGGTCGATCACAACACCATAAAAAGCTGGACCAACCTGGTGGATTTGGACACACAAGCGAACTTGATTTCAACGCAAGCTGATTCCCTTGACAACGTGTTTTCCTCAAATGAGCTATTATCCCGGGCCCGATCCGCCAAGTACGCCATGGCGCCCGTGGAGATACCAGATAGCGAGCAAGACGAGAGTACAATGTGGACTGTTGACCAGACGCTGTATTGGGCGCAAGTTTCATGCCAGAATGTTCCTGTTGGGGACAAGCTCACCGTTGATATCGACGATGCCGAGGGGGCATTTCCAACAATTTCGTGGAGCGCCAGTGGTATTGATTTTGTTGTTGATGCATACGGAGGCGCTCAAAAATGTGCCCTTGATTTCAAATACCAGAATGTCTTCTTCCCTACTACCGATTACGTGCAAGTACGGTATTGGGAGCCGATGATCGGTGCTGCTGCCGAAGAAGCATTTCCAAATCGAACCCAGGCCTTCACGGAATTTGGCTGCGATCAGTATGATCTATATGGTATGCTCATCGGAGTCAATATTACCAGTCCAAACTCGACTTCGACCTCGACAGGGTACTCCGCGTCTGGTATGGCCTTTGCCTGTGATATCATCTATCACAAAGCGGAGGCTCGCGTGACTATGCACTCCAACAGCTCCATCATATCTATCAAAGTCGATCGAGCCACCACGCGCGCGCTCACAAAAGCCGAGTTCAACATTGAACACTTCCAAGCTCTGCTCTCTCAACGCGCTCCGTTCACCAGTGACCTGCTCTTCATCCACGAAAATTCCACCACGGGGGCTCGGACAGTGACTGAACTCCCTATCATCAGCCAGGATCTAGGAGATTTCCAGCCTGTGCTAGTGCTCGACACATCGACCGTCATGACAGAGACCGAATTTGAATCAAAGATTGCGCGGGATGTCAAACAGACTTTTGTGCTCACACTCGGTCGCCTGTTTGATCCCGATAGTGCACCAAGTATACTCGCCGCCGAGCGCGTGTCGAACCAAGTCGCTATCGCTGTCGTTGACTTTGCCGCCCTTTGGTCTGAGCTCATTCTTGCCCTGGCCACTTTGACTGCGGTGTACCTTCTTTACATGTATAGTTCGCGCGACCTGTTTCTCCAAAGTGACCCAGGGTCCATCGGTGCCATGTGCAGTATTGCCGCTGATATCTTTCACCCATCCAATATCCTCGCAGAACCAGCGGCGGAAATCCATCAGTTCTCTACTCGGCAACTTCGTCGCATTTTTAAAAATGCACGATGTTACTGGCGACCAGGCCCTTCTGGCAACAGGCTGGATATTATCGCTGAAGATGGTTTGTGCCACCCCTACCCTTCGAATCATATTCATCCCCGAGAATTACAACTGACTGTATCATCAGGCTCCCCTGTCCAGCTTGGAGAGAATCTCCGAACCCGTGTTGATCCAATGCCTCACTTTCTCGTCATTCCTTTCTTTCTTATTGAATTCTTGGCGCTAGCTGGGGTCATTATCCTCATTGGACTAGTGGTCGCATCTCTGCTTCGAAACGGCCGCTTCCGCCACCTGACCCAATCCGACTCGAGTGCGTTCCAGGTCATTCTTTCCTTCCTACCTTCCGTCGTCGCATCGTCCGTGGGAGCTCTATGTACCTCCATTCACCGAAACCTGAGCGTTTTGGAGCCTTGGGTCCACCTGCAACGCGGCAACGCCTCGGCAAGGACATCTTTATCACTGAACTATTCGTCCCAAAGTCCGCTCGCCATTTTCTTCAAGTCAGTTCGCAACCGGTCACCTTTGCTGGCTCTCGTATCGATTGCGTGCGTTGTTAACATGGCTTTGACTGTGGTTGCGGGTGCGCTTTTCACTCAACAATTGACAACCTCAACATTGGACACCAGCGATTTGTCAATGAACTATAGCCAGTCTATATTTTGGCGGACCGACTTCGCCGCAGAATTCACCGAGTATGATTTGATTCAGACCAGCATCAGCAGTGGAGTCCCTATGCTCTCTTGGACTAGCCCAGATCAGTCTTTCGTCCCATTACACGTGAACAATCGCAACCCAGATGTGACTTACAGCGCTTCAACGCTTGGCGTTGGAGCTGAGCTCAAGTGTGAGCCCCTTTCATCCGACGCTCTTGTCTACAATAAAACCAATGGTCATCAGCATTGGCGATATGAACTATTTGATAATTCCTCCATTGAATGCATGGCACGCATGCCACCCTTGAAGAGCAAACAGGAAGGAATCTCGTTATCTATTCACTTCCTGTCCCCAGATGATGTCGAGGAATCGGACATATGCCAGACGTCGACCGTTCTAGTTGTCGGCCGTTGGGATTATTTGCCAAATACCCCGATCACGGACGACAACACAATTGCATTGCACTGTGAACCTCAGGCGAGATTGCAAAACTATTATATCTCTTTCGACCAGAAGGGACAGATCTCTTGGGATGACCCTGTTCCCAAAACATCTATCACCCATGGAACCATGTACGACAATGCTACCGTGAGTCTCGGCCAGTTCAACAAAGTCTTTGCTGCTATTCCTAGCAACTTTGTGGGCAATACTTCCATGCAGAATGGAACATACAACGTTTCTTCCTATGATTGGGCAGGCTTCCTTGTTGCCCGTCTCTACGAAACCCAAGACCCCAACTTTGACGCCCTGGACCCCGTTCTTCTGACCAACATGACTCGCACTGTATATCAATGGGTCTACAGCACCTACTTCTCAATTTGGCGCAAAAATTATCTCGAACCTCTACCTCACCCGGTCCCGGCCACAGATGCCACCATTACCCGCGTTACCTGGCGCATGGTGCCGTCGGGTCCCTCGCTTTCCATCGCTCTAGCCATCATTGTCTTCGACACGATTGTCGTGCTTTTAGTGTTCGGAACACGACGCGGCCGGTTCCGGGGACCCCGAATGCCGCGCTCCATTGGAGCCGTCATCCCGTGGATTTCGCACAGCCAGATGCTTCGTGATTTTACCGATACACACAGCTGGAGCAGTGCTAAACGGCATGCGCATCTCGTATCCCTGAACAAACGCTATGCTTTCCGCATGTTCATGGGTGCCGATAACCGCTTGAGGTACGCCGTGGACCAGGAAACAGAGAATATCAAACCTCCCGATCCGCCGGACGGCGACCCAGAAGTGGTGGCGGACAAGACCACCTCAATTCAGCTACAGGAGATTCGAAGTCCACTCTCTCCTACTCCACCATCTCCTACTCCGCCCTCTGCTACTCCGCCCTCTACTACTCCGCCCTCTACTACTCCGCCCTCTACTACTCCGCCCTGATGACTCTGCCTTTATGTGCTACGACTTTTTTGATTTGGATACGCTATATTATGTTTCGAGGTATATATTCATTTGGACATGGGCGTTTTTGACTTTGATCAGCCTCCCGAGATAGACAGTTGGACAAGCAAGCTGGCTCTCGCTTTGTTCACTTGCATTGTGGACGTCATTGGCGGGGACGTCGCATTGGTACATTGTAAAAAATATCCGGAACCGAGTATATGTTCTCCGGTGCGCCTTTTTCGCATACTCCCGTCTTTGGGCTTTGGAGGTTGCCGGTGTGGAGAGACAGTGTCTCGCATGGCACATTCATGGGAAAGATCTTTGACAGGCAAGAAATTTACATTCATATATATCACGATATCTCGAACATCTTGGATGAGTCCTACTTCCTCTATAATCGACGCCGAGCAAGGTCGAGCGAGACGAAAAGGGTACAGTATGTGGCGCTACGGATGGCATTCCCCGTGTGGCAAGTGGACTACTGGTCTTAATCTCGAGTACATTGAACTACCATGAACGATTTAAATAACTTTGATCTCATTTTGATAGGATTTAAGTACAACATTCATTTCGTCTAGCTTCTATATCAAGCCTTACATCATCGAGCTAAAGCCAAATCAAACATCACATTTCTTGTTCTACCGCGCGGCCCTGAGTCGACCATCAACCGCCCGAAGAAGAACGTAGAGTGTCTCCAAAAAGGGGGCTCGAATACCGAGTTCTCGAGATTTCCGCACTGGGAAGCCCAAGATGACATCGATCTCCATTGGCCGTCCACTTTTGCAATCCGTCTGCATGCTGCTTCCAATCCCAGGCATCGCATTGATCTTTTCCATAAGCTGATCAATCAGACCATCCTTTAGCGGTACACCACAGCCACGGGCGATGTCAATGACCTCCTGCATCAATTGGCGTGTAAAAGGCGTCGCATCTTCTGATGACTTCAACCACGTTTGTGTATCCACCAGAGTAAGAGTAGTCAACGAGTTCCATGCTACGTTCCAAACTACCTTCTCCCATCGCTGGATCTGCATATCTTCAAGAACCTGGAACCGAGTCTTGCCATTTCGGAGGAGATCGGCAAATGTTTCAAGGCGTTGTTGCTCGACTTGGTTATCGACCTTGGGATTGGGAAATAGGCCGATCTGCATATCCTCGGATTTGCTATGCGCGACAATTCCAGGGCTTGTCTGCGTGGCTCCGACCCATGTCTGTGGAAGTTAGATGAGACTGTGTAATTGCCGATGTGAAGAGAACCCACCACACAGGTTATTATCGAGTTGTCCGGGAACTGCTTTCGGAATGGTTCCTCGTTACCAACGCCATTCTGAATGACGACAATGGTAGTCCTGCTGTCGATGGCTGGCTGTAACTGAGCTACTACCTCATCCTGATCGATTGCCTTGTGAGCGCACACGATGTAGTCCACCGGTGAAATTTCCGCGACAGATTTTACCACTTGTTGGACTGTCAGCAAAATAATTTTATTTCCAGGGGTGAATTGTGTTTATCTCACATACCTCGGTGTGGACGGAAAGTATGTTGGCCATGATTCTGGCTATTGATAGTAATTCCCTTTTGGAGCCCAGATATTAATACTCGAATCGCCTAATGCCCAGAAAAGCTCACATTTGCTTGAACAGCCTCATAATTTGAACGGGCTACGACCGTTAGCCGTACACTCTCGGAGCGACTCAGGACAAAGGCATAGAAGGAGCCAATCCTTCATAAGTCAGTACAACATCGTTTTTGTGAAAGAGGCTGAACTCACGCTCCCAACCCATAGACGAGGACATCAATTTGATCCGACATTTTGTGATGATCAAATGCAATGCACTGGATTGTATTCCTTTTGAAACTTGACTTCCAAGGTTCCCCGCATCGGAGGATGGCCGCGTGGGGGTGGATGCTTCACGGAGAATTGGTGGAGCATTGGGATGATGTAGTAGTCTTGGCATTTTTAATTTCAAGCGAAAGAAACTGGCAAGGCAGTGATCCAATTTATAGCTTTACGCTAGCTATCAAGTGTTTCTCCAACCGACTGGTATTCACCATTTCGGGTCTCAGCTCTTCGAGACTGGTGACTCCCAGAAAAACCATATTGGTTTCGATCTCCTGTCGTAGAATCTCGATCATCCGTCGCACACCCTTCTCGCCATATCCGGACAAGCTGAACAAAAAGGGTCTGCCCAATCCGACAGCGGTTGCCCCTAGCGCAATCGCCTTGAGTACATCTGTTCCTCGGCGAATGCCCCCGTCAATAAAGATCTGCATCTTGCTCTCAATTAAGTGAGGTGCGAACTTTCGAATCTCCAGTAGTGTCAGAAGTGGTGATTGTGCCCTGTTTATATAAGTGAGCATATCACCAGCGTGGGGAATGGGTCTTGGGAGATATCATACGTGTCTTGTGAGCGTCCTCCGTGGTTAGAGAGTACAATGCCTTGCACACCATGCTGATAGGCAAGCACCGCGTCCTCCACGCATTGGATTCCCTTGATGACAACAGGAAGATCTGTCAGTTGGCGAAGCCATGTGAGAATTTCCCAGTCGATGAATGGAGATATTGAGCTGGCCATGATCTTCGCCACACCCTGTCCTTCCGCAGTATTATCGGTAGCCTGAAAAACATTAATATAATGAAAGTATAACGCCACCTAGCGGGCAGACTACATACTGTCACCCTCAAGTTAAGCCGTTCATCCATCTCACGTTTCCCCACCACCGGCGAGTCGACCGTAATCCAAATAGCACTAGCACCAGCTCTTTCAGCGCGCCGCACAGTCTCAACAGACTTCTGAATGTCTTTGTTCACATATAGTTGTTGGAAAATAGGCTGGTTCGGTGAAGTACGACTCTTCATCGCTTGTTCAATCGGCATGCTGGATCCGTTTGCGAGAACTTGGACCAGTCCTTCCCTACCAGCTGCAGCTGCCAGCGCACACTCGCCCTCTGGATGGGCAAGTTTTGCAAGACCCACCGGAGAGACATACACCGGGAGCATGGTAGAGTACCCTAAGATTGCAGTGGTTGTATTCACAGCAGGAATCTTGCGCAGGATACGTGGACGAAGGGAAATCTTTTGATATGCCAGGGCATTATTCCGTTTGCTGATCTCGTCATCGGCACCGGATGAGTAATAGGCCCATGTCGTCGCAGGAAGCCTCTGGGCAACTCGCTCAAAATCATGCAGATTGATTAGACTTTGCAATGGCGGAAGACTGTCATGGTCTGCATTTGATTGCTCCTCATTCAACGCATTCGGTTTATCTTTCGGCTTGTCTAATTCACCGGGATCAATGTAGCCTTGGAGCGCGGTTTCAGGGAGTGCTTCACTCAACAACTCCAGTGAATGAACAGAGTCAAATTCTTCAGTCGCATCTTTGCCCGCACATCGCAAAATCACCGTTGCACCACCCGGGTGGGAGTCCAAAAAGTCTGCAGAAGTCAGCCTAGAATCTCAGCCCCTGCAGAGATTGTGAGTTTCCTACCTGTGACATCGTAGACAGCCCCGTGGATGGCGACCCAACACGACTCCTGATTGTTATGTCGGTTGATCTCCTGGCGAGTAAGTTTCATCGTGGATTATTACTCTGTATTGCCAACTGCAAATGGCAGATTCTCGTCATAAAATGAATACTCTAGTTCTGTAATTCCCAACCCCAATGATGATCCCGGAATCCATCCGAGCGTGGGGGTTCACAGCCCCATACCCAGTAGCTCTTGAGACGGGACAGTTTCTCCGCATTTCCTTTCTCCACTACCTCTATTGCGGGGATTCTGGGATTCTGGGATTCTGGGGAGGTAACTGCCGCTCCCAACCCATAGAGGAAATCAATTTCATTCGACATTTTGTAAGGAGTAAATGGACTACTTCCTCAACAATACTTCTACGGAGATCGGAAGGCATTCGGGCCGGGGTGGCACCTAAGATCAGAATGGTACCGGGCTAAGTTTGAGACGGAGCACTATGACGATTAATCCCGATTCATTCGGCTATGGCCCGAGCCAGAGCCGCACGGACGAAGAATCAGCTGGAAAGACGCCAAGGCAGCAGTGGCGAGAGATGGAAGCTCGGTGAATGGTACACCATTGACTAGAGCACTGGTCAGCAAGATCCCACATCTGGTTGTTGCCCGCAAGAGATACCAGATAGTGGTGTAAGATGGGAGACAGGAACCAGACCCTCTACGAGATAGAGGGGTGGTAGTGGGGTCTCGAGCACCAAGACTAAAGCCGTCCAGAGAATAGTGCAACAGCGAATTTGAGAGTCAATTCGACAGAAAGCACCTACAGCTCGACAACTTATGGTCACCGCAGAATAGTGATGGCCCCGACGTCGAAGTCACCAAATGCCAACGCGGTGGCAGCCCTAACTAGAAGCTGATGACGATACCGAGCGAGAATTCCATCATCGATCCCAAGACGGGCGAAGTCATCTAGCAACCAAAGGATATCCGCCTTACAGACGACGTAGCGATCCTGTCACTCAACATGCACGATAAGCAATACCGGGCAACCCATTTAGCCTAGGATTTTGATATCAAAGGCGACATTCGGAAGGCTAGAGTCCCCATCGCGCCTACCATCCTGATCTCACAGAACGGCTTATAGACAGTGCGCATATGGAAGCACTGGTAGATATTCACGGGAGGACGTAACGGTGCTGGATGGATTAAAATAGGCTGCTGTAGCTAGAGAATGCATGAGCATCTTCCTCGTCCCCTAGCTTTCAGCGTAACTAGGATGAAATGGAAAAGATATTTAAATTTGTTTATGCTGCGGTAATATGCTTGGCAGTCTAGAAAGAGCGCTCGAAAGGGCAGATTGGACATTTACGCTGCCGGTCAGTTAGTCTTTTCGCCTATTGTCTTTTCGGCGGTTTGCGTCTCGGTTTAGAATTTTTAACTAGGGTTTCTGGCAATAGCTACTGTAAATGAATTGCCTTCTCGCTCAAATTTAATGGCAACATCTTCGAAATCATAATAGTAGCAATGAGTGGCAGTAATTTGGTTTTAGGTACACCTCTCCGCACTATATTCAAAGCTCCTACGGCTCTGCCATAGTGGCCCACCTCTCTGGGGCAGTTTTTCCACCAATCAACACATAAAATAGGATGCTTAATACCGAACCCATCACCCCTCGACGTGGGGGAACTGATACACGGCAATCAGCTTAACCGCCCGGACTTCTCCCGAGGCCCCCGCGTGGGATGCATGGTGTGGGGTTGGGTCGCGAACCTCAAGCTACAATATAATTTGGTCGCATCCCAGATTCTGTTGCTGCATACAAATTTCATTCCGTAATTCACCATGGCGAAGATTAAGTCCATCGAGCACTTCCGTGTCAAGCCCCGATGGCTGTTTGTTAAAGTCACCGATGAAGAGGGGCGCTTCGGTTGGGGAGAGGGTACGCTGGAAGGACACTCTCTTGCAGTCGAAGGAGCACTCGATGAAATTATCACTCGCATTGTGGGATACGAAGCGGAGTATGCTTGAATCAATTGTTTTGCATCACAGCCAAAACGCTAACCGTCCCCGACAGCGATATCCAACACATTTGGCAGACAGTATGGCGGCTCGGGTTCTACCGTGGTGGACCGGTATTCATGTCAGCTCTATCGGGCATTGACATCGCTTTGTGGGATCTGAAGGGCCGAAAGCTGGGCGTCCCAGTCCACGAGCTCCTGGGCGGAAAGGTGCGCCAGAAGGTGCAGGTTTATGCCTGGATTGGAGGTGACCGACCAAGTGATGTCGAGGCTGCGGCGTGAGTTCCGAGAAAAGAAAGGAGAGCAAAATAAACCGAAGTACTAACAACCTTCCTCAATAGGAAAGAACGAATCGCCCAAGGCCTCAAGTGCGTCAAGATGAATGCCACGGAAGATGTCAACTGGCTCGACTCGCCCGCCGTTTTACAGTCCTGCGTGGAACGATTGAAAAAAGTGAAGGCTCTGGGTCTTGATGCCGGTCTGGACTTCCACGGTCGCTTGCACAGACCTATGGCTAAGCAGCTGGCTAAGGCACTGGAACCTTACCACCCTCTATTCATCGAAGAGCCTCTGCTGTGCGAGCATCCTGAAGCGATCAAGCAACTTTCCGAGCAGACTACCATTCCTATCGCATTCGGCGAGCGCTTATACTCCAGGTGGGACATTAAGAGGTTCTTGGAGGATTCGTCGGTAGATGTCCTACAGCCTGATATTGCCCACGCAGGAGGTATCTCCGAAACTATGCGTATCGCAAACATGGCTGAAGCCTACGATGTTGCTATCGCACCTCATTGTCCTCTAGGTCCGATCGCCTTAGCAGCCTCTCTCCAAGTGGCCGTGTCGATACCCAACTTTGTTATCCAAGAGATGTCGCTGGGCATGCACTACAATGTTGAAGCTGGAGATATTGACTTGAACAGCTACTTGGTGGATAAGACGGTCTTTGATATTAAGGAGGGATATGTGGCTGCCCCCTCGAAGCCCGGCTTGGGAATTGATATTGACGAAGAGCTGGTCCGGAGGATCAGCAAGGAGACAGAGCCTTGGCAGCCCAAGGAGTTCTATGGACCAGATGGCTCTATTCGTGAGTGGTAATAATGACGATGTTATATGGATATGCCTGTTATAGATTGGTCTTCGAATATTCAGAATGCGGCGCATTCACAAGAGCGGAGACGAAGCAAGATCACGATCCGAATCACTAAGATATATTATGACTTTTCGTTCTTCTTCTTGTTCTTCTTCTCTTCCTCTTAGTTTTGAGCACCAATTTGTAACATTGAATGCTAAGATGAGGATTATGATGGCCGGCTTGTGATCCGTATGACATCTGAGTTTCATCATCTCAATATAGTACAATATCACGCGCAAGAACGTCCCGTTATATCACGACAGGCTTAGAAAATGATGATGATAGCGTCTCTATCACAGATATAATTTATCCTTCTAATGTAGGACCCCTGACCTCCTCAAATAATCCGGTGCCTTGAAGATATCTGCCCTTCTTTTTGTATTCAACCACCACATAAAGAGAGCAGCCGGCACATAATGATTTTGCAAGCTCTCCTGGCGTTTGCAACGCTGGGACTTGCTGTCGACTATCCAGTCGTCTCTTTGTTCATTCCAAACGCCGACCCCCAATCCTTGTTGGGCGAAGTTTTGGCAGCGGTTCGTATCAATGAGAATGATCCATGAATATCCAACTAATTCTAAATAGCAATCAGCAACAACTACATACAGCATCAATTGCCCACCCGGCAGAACTAATAGCACAGAATGCGGTATGGGCCCTGGCCTATTTTTGACCGCAGCCCCAACAAGTGTCGAATATTTGATAAGTGCTGAATATGACAACGTGTGCGTTTACTCAACCCTCAACTATTGCTACAAGCTACAATAGATTGCTCACTGATTCAACAGATACAATCACGTTGTCTGCGATGTGACCGATCTCCCCACCGGGGCTTATACTTGTACAGGCACTGTTACTGGGAAGGGGGCCAATACGCCCGGAACCAGCACCTCAACCGTCGCTTGGGACCAGATATCGCTGTTGCCGGTTACCATAACTTCCACTGCTGACCCGGTCGCATCAACAGCAAATGGGTCCATTTCTACAAGTACTAGTGAAGTTTTGTCGGGTAGCGAGACATTACCCGCTGCCACCGTCGTCACTACCCCCGCGGCGGGTACGGCTGCTGCTACCTCTGTCGCGGCCACCACCCCCGTGCGAAGTGCGGCTGGAAGGTCAAAGCCTACTAGTTTTGTACTAGCTTGTGCCGCAGTTCAAGCTCTGATGGCATTGTTACAGTGATTGAGCTTGATCTTGTATTTCCAAGGTTGTCTGGCATTCCTTGCCTTTCAATATTTCCGACATTCACAAAATAGATTGCTACGAAATCTAGTTTAGCAACGTTTAATATTCTAATTTTACTAGAGGCCCATTTCAAAAACCCCTCCGATTACTGCGTAGATTGTTTTGACACATGGTAAACATTGAACATATATCGTTTGGAAACTTGGGAACCTACATCGGCCTATGACAAGTCCTGTTCTGTTTTTATGTTCACGTATTGATGATGTATTGGGAGAACAGTATCTCAACGCCTTGTAAGAGTCGTACTCAAACCACTCTGCAGGCTGTAGGGGGACAATAGCCATGATCGCATGCGAAACTGCAAAGGCCGAGATATGAATCATCTTCGCCGACAAGAGGGGCCCCATGAGCTCCAGTTGATGGTGGACGCGGGACTGGATTCCCATATTGCGTACAAGTGCAGGGTCCAGGTGGACAATAACCATAGTTGCAACAAAAGGAACACAACCCAATGTAGTTATTGGGTCCTGTTCCCGCAATGCAGGTCCTGCCTCCACCTCCGCCGCCACCACCACCTCCTCCTCCTCCGCTGCCACCTCCTCCACCGCCGCCGCCAGTTGGGGTTGTAGGAGGGGAAGGTGGTGGAGTCAGAGGCTCGGTGACTGTAACAGTGACCACGACAGTCGCAGAGCATTGTCCAGGGGGCGTTGTTGTGGTTGGGGGAGGACTTGGCAAAGTGGTGCTCGTACTTGAAGACGGAGGAGCTGGGGGCACTGTACCTAATGAGGGGCTCGCTTGACATGACTGGACACGCAGGCCTTGTTTAAAGGCAGAGAGTCCATCTTGCTGGAGGGGATCATTGAATCCTGCTGGAAGTGTTCCGACTAGACACCAAAGTTAAAAGCGGGATCGTAACCAGTGGTCATATTTTCACTTACCATAGGCATTGAAGTTATATAAACCACACACGCACCCGTTGATGATCTCCTTCAAACTAGTCCCTGACAGAATAGTCTGCCCATCGCGCATGACCGCGAAGCTTTGTGCGCCAACTCCCATCGGCACCTCCTTTGCACTTGCACCTGCTGGCGCGTCATAATTATAGACAGTCCCGCCGCTGTTGACCTGCACTGTGGCTGGGGATGTAAGCAATGATACAACGAACACAGAATCTGCCATGGACTGCCAGCCATCTGGGCGGCCCATGAAGTAGTTTCCACTCCCATTGTTTGCTGATACCATGCAGGTATCTGTTGAGTCGCAGTCTACCCCACGTGGTGCAGGTCGATACCAGTATACTAACTCATCAGATGAGATATGAGCGTTGGGAGACGACTGGCCTGCTTTGAACGCAGCGATGTATGGTTTTGAAATGTCCAGCCATCCGTCGTGGGGCCTGTAGTCACCCGTTAGTTGAGTCGGTTGAAATATGGAATCTGGCTTTGAAAGGCCGGTTTTGATATTCTCACATGTCATTGACCCATTTTGAGGCGCCGTCATCAGTATGTGGTGATTTCAAAGGACCAATGTAATGAGACTCTCCGTAGTCATTCCATGTCACAATCTCGATAAAGCGCGGTTTCAATGCAAGGATCTCATTCCATCTGTTAAACCATAGGAGATCAGATGGGAAGTTCCAATTCTTGCTATAAGAAACTTCAGGTCCGAAATGCGTGAAGAACCAAGGTGATACAGCTGCTTCATAGTTAGAAACTCAATTTAGATCTCGGTGGAAATGGAAAGGAAAAGACTAACGGGCAATATAAGCTTTTCCGCGGAGGGCGTTAACATATTCTCGATCTCCGTCGGCCACCGAAATATTGTGACCTGGAGTTGGGGCTTTGTTGTTTCCGTTGTTTGGCCACGCCATCCAATTCAGGAGGCCGTCAACTGGCGAGATGTCTGTCCCAGTGGATGGGTGGAAATTGGGCGCGAAAAATATCGATCTTCCAACTGCAGCTCGCAATGCTGCAACATCCATTCCATCCCCGGCAAATGATGAAACGAATACTTTGTTGTCGACGAGAAGTTGTGCAGGCTTGCTAGCATACTGGGCAATCTTCTGGCCAACTGCGGTAGCCTGGTCAATATGCCACCAGTTGAAATCGAATGATAGGAAGACTTTCATGTCATTGTTGGCAGCCGATTCGTATGCCAGTTGGAGTTGTTGGTCAGTATAAGGATCTACGCCAATGTTCAGAGCAAATGCATCAATCCCCAGAGACTTAGCACGCTTCATGTCATCATCAAAGTCCGAGGCGCTCCTTCTGTTGCTGACGATTCCGATCTTTCAGAATATCAGTATATATACAACGCAAAGAAGACGCTCGAGGGGGATATTACCATGAAGTGCGCAAAGACAAGTCGGTCGGTGGACTGTCTTTTGGCACGACGTATCTCATGATTCACATTAGACACTCCATGAACTATCGTAAATAGCAAAGTAATCACACCCAAAATAAACCGTATCTTCGTCATGGTTTTGAAGTTCTCTTAGTTCACTTCACCATGGGTCAATATTCTGAATTCTGAATTAGGTATTTGTATTTGTTTTGTGTAAATCATGCATCTTTAAATATATCATATATCCTTGATTTACCAGATCACTCGGAACTTCTCGCAGCTGACCTACGAAGGTTAATCATTTGGACAATGAGTGTGATGTTTGCCAGTTATCTCTCCGAACCCAATCAGCGCCTTACCTACAAGGAACCATGTGGTTGTTACAAAACTCTGGGGCGACAAAATCGCAAAGTTGGTGCGTTAATGCTCACACCATCAGGATATCGCGCGTTTTTGCGTTTAAAGTAGGTACAGGGTGGCCGCCGGATATTTTTAGGGGTAGCAGTGGCTGTTTAATTTTATATATACCTGCCGGTTACCATACAGAAATATGATAAGAACTTCATCTTGAAGCGGGTTAGAACCGTCGATACCATCAATAACATTTTCAATGTGTATCCAGCGTTGTTCTTTTGTTAGATAAATATCTCTGGAGACTCGGTTCTCTTTTACACTACGCTAGTCAAAGTTATACATTGGCATCGTCCATAATGATGGAATTCGTAAAATATTCAAGCCCTTGTGATTCAACGTGAACGTAGTAGAAGACATGCTCAAGATCCCCCGAACCTTAATTCATCGGCATTATATCACCTGGGCAGTAACCTCCCGAATGTAACCCACAAACCAAAAATTGCTTTTTGAGGATGTTGGTATAGATCACAGGAAGTCTGACTAGATTAAGCAAGCAACTTCCAGGATTTTATGTGCAGAGACACTAACTGAAAAGTCAAATTCCCAAACCATAAGATCTGAATGGAAAGTTACGATTTATGCTTTTATCTACAAACATACAAATATGTCCTTCTCGGAGAAAACTGTTAGCAGCAAAATCCCATTCAGCAGCTGACTACCAAATTGTACGACCTAAGAAGGTTCTTCTCATTAAGGTTTGATGGCTCCATCGGGAAGTGTGTTAGATGGGAAACTCAATGGGTATCAAAGTGATACTACATTTATTTACATATGGGGAAACAATCAGCAGACTATTGTAACATTTGCGGGGGTTACACCCTGTAGAAAATTGTAACTCCAAAAGCCACATGGTCTTGTCACAACACCACCTACTTCAGGTAATTCCTTTCATAATGGAAGCGCGTATAACCTTCATTTGCGTCATTGCCGGTGAAAGACACCGAAAGACACTGAAACGACCTTGAAACCTCGGGACCAATTACTTGGATGATTTTAACCTTGGAAGTTAGTAGAAATAGGCACGTGGCTCTTCATCTCCCACTTCCTAGACCGGCATTAAGCATATCCGAAGTTGGGTGGCTCTCGGGAAGTATTCGCACAGGACATTCAACTGTGTCATTGTGATCCAGGAATATCCTCAAGGCATAATATGTAATATCCGTAACGAGAGTGCAAATACTATCTAGGTACCTAGTTAGGTATGTCCTTTTGCCGAAATGCTGGCATTACTGTGATTGGACAGATCAAAGGTGGACCTTTTTACCTTTTTTTTTACCTTTTTTTTACCTTTTGATGCCTGATATGTCTGGCGACAATCGCAAATCCCCGTCAGATATTTTTGATCAACACATCTTAACGTTCGAAGACATTCGGTCTTTGGATAATTATCCGCTACATTCCGAATCTCTTCAAAAATGATCATGATGAGCACATCCCGTTTTTTCAACATCTCCTGATCTTTGAATACCCAAAGTGTGTGAATGGCGCGATTCTTAGTGTCTCTTGGCAGTACAAAAATAGTCGGCACCCTCTAATATTTGCCCTTAGATAAAAATCAAAATGAAAATAGGACCGAGGCGCGGCCACGGGTATGAATTTATGAGAAAGTGCAGGCGAGGATTAGTGTGACATGTGGATCATGTCTTATTTTCGAGTCTCTCGCAAACTTCAATATACCAGCCTACGGGGACGGTCCTATCTATACTGCTAATAAGATGTGTGCACATTGAAATTTGAGTAAAACGTTATCAGCCAGGGATTAGAGATCTATGGGTCTATTGAAGCATAAAATCAGCCTTGTGGCGTGCCGCGCGGCATATGCGTGTGCAGTTCAACTAAGCCTCCTCCACCGGCTGTCCACTGGCTGATTCCACAATGCTTAGTACAAAATTAAAACACTAAACCATAGCGGCGAGCATAATTAAGGCTAGATTGATAGGGAAATTGTCTTACCCGTCAGTCTAATTATACCGCGTGGCTTTTCTTTTTCTTTTTTTTCCGAGTCTATCAAATGCTAAAGCAAGTCTTAAGTTATTCTGATCTCTTTCTAGGGTACTCTTTTCTTGTCCACAAGCTTCCTCTCCCATTGCCCCTGATTGCAACACAATGCGGTTTTCAATATTCACACTTTGCACAGTGCTGTGCTCTCGGGTGCTCGGTCACCCCTATGCCTCTGAAACAACATCATGGATTTCAGCGACAACAACATCCGTTGACACTTTATGGGCTGTCTCGGAGCCTAGTGAGGTAGCCCATCTCTACGGGAAACGTGGATATGGCGAGATCCTCCAAGCCAGATACACCACTGCGACAACCGACTCTACTACATCCACAGATACCACAACCGATACAACCACATCGGAGACATCTACTTCAACGACATCTACGACCGAAAGTTCAACATCTGAAACCTCTACCTCCACCTCCTCAACATCTACAACCTCAACATCTGCCAGTTCGACTACCAGTTCGACTACTAGCTCGACTACCAGCAGCTCCTCGGCGACGACCAGCAGCACCTCATCAACGACAAGTTCCTCAACGACAACTAGCAGCGCCACCTCGACGACAAGTACTACAACTGCAACTGCAACGAGCACTTCCTCGGCAGAGCTGGACGGTGAGTGTACAAACACATCAAGCGCAAAATTCCCATCGTACTGACAATGCCTAGAATGGAACCGCAGGGGTAACATAGCAGCAATTGTATTTGGCTGTTGTATGATCTCGCTATTTGGCGGCATCAGCCTGATTTACTGCCTGCGTAATAGAGCAAAGGCACGCCGAATTGCAGCTAGGAAAGAGTTGGAGTCCAGCCCGTCGTGCTCGAAGATACCTCTTGTGGCCGCGAAAGAAAAATCCGCCAGTAACCTTGAGGTCGACCGCTCCTCTATGATGTTCACCAACCAGCCGGAGACGGAATACTTTCCAGCACGAAGCGCCCCATCAGTGACAAACTATCACAGCCACACCATCTCCACAACATCTCAGACCACGGTGTCTACTAGAGATCACACACCGCGAGGATACGCCAATGAGCAGAATACACCTTTGGTTTGAGTTGTCTAATTTATTCCAGCATTCGCACTGCTTCTGGGGTTGGGGTGTTCTTGCGCGATTTCTTAGAAGCATTACCATTTATTTGTAAAATTTTCAAACCAAGATGGAAAGGCTTTGAAGGCATACAAGCGCTATTTATATGTCTGCAGTAATGATTCTACCAGCGAGTGTATTTAGAATTGAAAATGAGACAGTCAATTTTTTTCTCAGAACAGTAGACTTTCCAAGGAATAGATCACGTATGAGAGCGTTTATAAGGAACTATGAAGGTAGAGTTTAACCGCCCATTGGATCTAAGAATGGCTATATATTTGGTATTCCAGGGGGAAACGAAACCTTTTGGTTCGTTTAAAACTACTCTCTGCCCACAGGCAGGTTTTTCCATCATTCATTTCTCCTCCGGATCCATAGGATTCAAGAAAGCGCTTTCTCAGGTCAACACGTCCCTGGTGGCGGCGCCCAATCCGCTCGTATATCCCACACCCTTGGAATAGAACAACTGAACCTTCTTGTTGTAGTTAAGAGAGTTCAGAGCCCGAGGCTTGGAACCGCAGAATGTGCCACTACCGGGCTCATAACATAATCGAGCATCAAGGATCCCCGTCTCGGGTTCGGTATCCACAAGATGCTTGACCCACTGGTTGACAGCACCATTGGCGGCATATCTATACAAACAATGGTCCAGGCTGATACAGAGACAGGTGTGACAACTGTGGAGGAGTAGTCATAAAATGATTATAATTTCATCAAGCACAGAGGAAATTGATTCAAGAATTCCAAGGTTTTGTATATCCGAGATGAGGATATTAATTCATTACTCTAGAGCTGTATATATGCCACGGCATATTCATACCGAGCAGGAGTGGAATTTTCCCCAAGGCTTCTTTGTTCTGCACAACCCCTGCCTCTAATTTTGTTCATTCTTATATTCAAGTTGAACATGGAATGATGTCAAGTCAGAGTGAGAAGCCAATTGGGTTAGTCTCATGGGGTTCAATCTCAATCAGAGGTTGAATCAATGACATGCCAATCTCCGCGGGAGTTGTATGGTGCAATTCTTTCAGGGTCATTTATATTGTATTTGAAACGACCATGAGGTCAGCACAATGAGCAACAACTCGGAAACCAGCTTCTCTTCTCTCGAGTTTCCTTCTTCTCCGTTCTCTCATCATCACGGTCCATGGACTCCTTCGTGACACTAGGATTATCAAGGTAACTCTCTCGGAACACTCCGATGGATTGGATCTTGAGGCTAAAGTCACCCTGTTGTGTCCCAAAGAAACTATAAAATCAGCACCCATATTCTGTCCTCCCTTGATATAAAGCTTACCTTCGAATCATGATCCGAAACCGCCTTATACGCGACAAGTTCAACGGCCTGGCATCTCCTACCGGCTTCCCCCGATATGTCGGTTTCAGGTCCTTCCATAACACACGCACTTCGCGCCCTGTCTCATTTGCGCAGAAATCATATTCCCACACAAGAGCACTTTGTTCACGACCATCCGGCCTCCGTTGTGGGATTTCGTCTGTCAGGGAGAAAGTGTATCGTTTTCCGTCCAATGGAACAATGTGTAGCTCAACACCGTCCTGTCCAGTGAGGTCCCATATTTGTTCGTCTCCGACCGTGCGTTGTGAGGCAAATCCGGCACCACCGAGTGTCTCAATGTCGAGATTGCCGTGAAACAGTACCCCTTCTGCCGTAGGCTTGAGATTTGACACGGATGATCCACCACGGACGCGGTCATCGGAGGAGGTCCAGCGACTGAGGTCCCAATCTGGACCGAAAATTATGTCTTTATTGGTAGGGGATTCCATCTTGAACTCGAAAGGTGTTGGGAGTCGGTCGAGACCAGTCCATGGGAGATAGATTGTGGGATTTGTCGCGAACTGCGAACTGCCCAGGTGCAATCCGATCGATCGATGGATCGGCTGGTTGATTGACAGTGTGACGTCATTTATTTTATAGTTGACCGATAAATGAAGTTTTGCGGCCTGACAAACAAGGCCATGAATATATATTCTACTGGACGTGTGCTCGATCTGATCTTCAAAATAAAATTGGGGTATATTGCTATTAGCTTTTTAACATGAATTCATATCTATTAGACATCGTAAGGTTTCTTTTCAACATCATAAACCGGCGAGCATGCCAGCCTACTTCTCTCTCGCAGCCATGGACCGTATACCTTGAACAGAACAGGAATAGGAATCATCACGATTGCGATACATCCAAGCATTGTTCCTGCCCATTGCACTCCTAGGTTCTCCATCATTTGGCGGGAGAAAAGTGGGAACGAGCAGCCAATAGCTGAGCGTAAGATCGTGTTCGCGGCAATAGTGGATGCAGCCCTGTCAATTGGGTTAGTCACTCGTTTTCACAGGAGAAACGTGGTTACATACAACGAAGGATAGCAGTCAACAATATAATTAAAACACTGCAAGAAGATCAAAAAGATCCCCGCTCCGGTGAGGAGCCCTGAAGCTACAGGAGCAATCCAGTGAATGGATGAAGTGTATCCGGTCCAGCCGAACCTGTTTGGTATTAGCTCAGAACACCAGACATTGTTGAGGGTTTCAGGAAGGGTACTCACCAAAACATTCCTCCCGCAAAAAACACAGCTCCTATAATCGCTGGCCCAAGGCGCCATTCGGGGATAGGCTTATCACCGTTTGCCGCCAGCTTCATCTTGTATGAACCCTGTATCAGGAGGATATAAACGCCGCCAAGAAGCTCGCCGATGATAAGGCCGATAAACGCAAGTCCACCGACACCACTACTCATTCCGTAGACGCCTTGGAAGACAGCAGGGTATGCGCCTAACAGAGCATAGATGAGGCCATAGACAAAGGAGATGTACAATGAGACCAGAAGCAGTATGGGCTCTGTGGCCAACATCACAATAGGCCGGGCAAAGTTGTTCCGCAGAAGCTCCGTGAGATCTACTTCCACTTCATCTTGCTTTGCATGGATGCCCCAATTGCGAGTCTGCCGGCGTAGGGTAGCTGCCTTGCGAACAAGGATGACTGGAGCATAAGTCTCGTCGAAGAAGACAAAGACTAGCAAGAACCCTAGGAACACCATGATTGCAGAGATATACATCGTCCACCGCCAACCCAGAGGACTCATTGCAATGAAGCCACCCACGAACGGTGCCGAAAAGGGCCCGATAAACACCGCCATGCAGAAAATCGACATCACGACACCCCGTTGTGTATTGTTGAACAAGTCTGCAAACACGGCGGGAACGACTGAAATTGGACTCGCCGAGAACAGGCCAGCGAAGAAACGACAGATCATGATAGTCTGTATATCTTTGGCAACGGCGCATGCAATGGTGAAGATGGCGCATCCGAAAAGTCCAAGAGATAGTGGCCAACGCCTGCCGATCAGCTCTGATCCCGGTGCCCAAATTGTCGGCCCGGCTGCGAATCCAAGGACATAGAGTGCCACTCCAAGTGAGCCAACTTCGGTGCTTGTGTTGAACTCTTCGCTGAAGCCAGAAATAGCAGCCGAGAAGACAGCGCTGGTAAACGATCCGGCGAAGGTACCATAACATAGGATGCAAACTAGCATTATTCTGTTGAGATATTAGCAAGTGTATCTTGGTATCGACAGGGAGGAACGGTAGTAAACATACCTCCTAGGTGTAGACCAATTGTATGGATGTAAGGGATCATTGGCTCCGTCAAACTCCACGACATAGTCTTCAGAATCTGGGAGCAGAGGTGGATACTCTTTGTTGGCACCCATAGGAAGCCATCGGTCACGGGGAGTAGGTCCTCTTGTAGAGCCTACAGTTGTTTTCTGTTGCAGTCGATAGGTGTTGATACGGGTAAGCTCGAGAGTGTTAATTTCCTCAATTGTGTCGTCGGATTCATGGCTGCGAGTGTCAATGGGATAGTCGATGTCTGGCTCATATTTGTCTGGGTGTTGATGGAGGCGATCCATTGTATGCTGTCATATCAAGGTTTGGGGATTAGACCAAGTGTTTGTGTGGGAATATACAAAGGCTCTAGTCGAGGAAGGCAACGCAGTATATGTCCCTCTTTCGGTCGGCCCATTGATCACATTTTTTCTTCCTAGTCTTCTGGGTCTTCGACCTAATTCTTGATCCATAGTAAAATGGGCCCTGATTGCTGCAAAGTGACCTCAACTAGGGCAAAAAGTTGGCCTTAGAAGATCCATACTTTTCCGCTGTGGCTTGAAGTGCAGTAAATATCCACTATCCAGTCACAGTGCCCTGACAGTGTAAGTCAGTGACCAGTTAAAAATCCATGTCGGATTCGGCTAGAATCGGAGCTGTGGCTGACAGCCGCTGTGGAGTGGTCTACCGAGGACAACCGACCATAGCCGTTATCAGTTTTGTCTCAGGCGACGGAAAACTCTTCAATCTGGTTTGTTTTCGGCTTATAATAACCAACAATGACACCATGCCTATATTATAGGCTACTTCTAGACCGATTCCGACACCCACGTGAAGCCGATTTGGCGTGTTAACCGTGCCGAAGCCGTCGGGGCGGAGTTCGGGACCCAGTTCCACTCTGTACGGGATACGCTCACTATATGATAAACAAATTTCCGTGAATATGATATTTCTTTTATTATATTCTAGTTGAAAGACCGCCGGATTGATTTGTTGCAACTATATATGTTTCTTGCTTGGCCATAACTATTATACGCGATTATCACGATCATCTTCCTCGTGTAGCTTCTTACAGAGGTCTTTCAGTGTACAGCCAGCCCATTCGAAATCGCTGGCCTCAAGATAAACTTGCGCACTAAGTCGAACCCACCAAGATCCCTGAAAAGGGAAGACTGGCATGAATGTCTTGTATGACTTGATCATCGTCTGCTGCATCCATTCAGTCACAGTCGTATCGGGATTATCTTGTCTTTTGACCAGACTCCCGTCTCCAGAAGTCGGTTTCCTGATAGGAAGGAGGATATTAACCATACAGCAGTCTGTCAAAGTATGGGCAACATTGTCTAGAATGACGGTCCCTAGAATATCTGCAACCCTTTGTCCACCTTTGCGAGAAAGCTGAATGCAGTACTCCCGAATCTCGGTCTCACCACCGCAGACCTTCTGTCTCCACCGGATGGCTTCAGGCACCGTTAAGAACGAAAAGTTGTCGGTTGTTCCAACGAACTCGAAATTGGAGACAAATTCTGTCTTTTCCCTCACTGACTCATTGGAACTAACACAAGATGCTTTCCCAGGCGACCGAGCAATGAATCCGTGGCTTGTTGGTAGAGTGCTTCGCACCATGGCTTGGTTGCGCTCAGGGACGTAAAATACAGCGCATCCGCGAGGAGTAAATAGCCATTTATGGCAGTTGCTAACCAGGAAGTCTGGGTCCAGCGAGGATAGATTAAGATCGATTTGCCCAATTCCATGGGCGGCATCAATCAGACTCAGTACACCCTCCGAATGGCAGACCGCTGTAAGTCCCTCAAATGGAAGCCGAACACCCGGGTTGGACGAAATTGTATCGAAAATAGCAATGCGCGGGCGGTAACCTTCCATGCGTGAATCCTCGATCGCTTTTCGAAATGCAAAAATCATCTCAGTGTCATCAACTGAATGCGTGAAACCAATCTCTCTCGTGCGAACCCTGTCTTCACTGGCTTCACAAACATAACTGGTCGTCTTACCACATGCTCCATATATGATATCCAACTGAAGAATCTCGTCTTTCCCATCACTACTCCATACCATGTTTTGCATAACCGTGTTGACTCCAGTGGTCGCATTTGGAACGAAGACAATGGTTGACTCTGGTACACCGAGGAAGTTACTCATGGCAGCCCGGGATTCGTCAAGCAGTTTAGGGAAACGATATTTGATGAATGGACACGGATTTGTCTCACATTCATCGCGTAGGGCATTTGCTTTGTTGCGAATAGCAACAGGCGATGCTCCGAATGATCCTGACGTAGTGAGCACGCCAAATAGCGTATAAAAAAGCTGATTTCTCTTACCATGATTCAGGTTGCGATAACCAGGGCCAAAGGAAAAGTGCCGACGCATTTCATGTCCAAATGGTGTCGGCTCATATTGACAAGCAGGTGACATTTTGCCACGTCCGCAATCTGTTAGGCTGGACATTTGAAAGGTGACAGTTCCAAAAATCGATTCAAACGTGATGATATTATTTCCCCCGCAGTCCCCTCTTTCTCTTCTAGGAGTGGATGCTACAGAAGGATACAACACTAGCAAGGCTTACACAGGCTCGGGCCTCGGACATCCCTGCGATACGATAGCACTGCCGATCAACAACTAGAACGATAGATGGGATGGGATAATATTGGCCCAACCAACGTTTGCCGACAGGATTATTTCCTCATTCAGTCATTCCCCATGCTAAACCTCCCAAGGTATCACTCCGCATTTTAATCCCCACACATGCTGTTTAACCCCAGGGGTCCGTGCATTCCATACAAAATATGCGACAGCCCGGAATGGTCAGTCCTTTTACTATGCTGTCACCATCTCAGTCCCACAGGCCCAGCATCTCCCTTAAACCAGAAGATGCAGAGTCAAATTCACTCACAGGACATGGAGGCAGACAATGAAAAAGTGGACGATATGAAGCATCATGAGCACCCGGAACTCGACAAGGGCGTCAGGATGCCGCCGGAGATGGGCACCTTACAGCGCCGGCTCAAGTCGCGCCATATTCAGTTCCTTGCTCTTTCTGGAGCTATCGGGACCGGTCTCTTCGTGGGCACAGGTCAGGTTCTTTCGTTGGCTGGGCCATTATCGACAGTGCTTGCATATCTCATCACCGGGTTTAATCTCTACGCGGTGATCAACAGCATGGGTGAAATGGCGACCTGGCTTCCATTACCTGGAGCTGTTCCCGTGTATGCATCTCGATTCGTTGATGAAGCGCTAGGATTCACTCTGGGCTGGAACTATTGGTATCAATTTGCTATTGGTGTTCCGATTGAAATAAGTGCAGCTGCTCTTGTGATCGACTACTGGCCCAACAACATTTCCTCTGCCGTGTGGATTACTATACTTTATGTGACTATTTTCGCCCTCAACTGCCTTCCTGTTCGGGTCTATGGTGAACTCGAGTTCGTGCTTGGTTCGATCAAGCTTTTGACCATTGTGGGGTTGATGTTGCTCATGTTCATCATCACACTCGGCGGAGCTCCGACACATGACCGCATAGGGTTCCGCTACTGGAAACATCCGGGTCCTATGAATACCTATCTGGAGGATGGATCCTTGGGTCGCTTTCTAGCCTTTTGGAAGGTTTTTATTCAGGCGACGTTCAGCTACGGGGGCAGTGAAATGGTGGTGATTGCGGCAGGAGAGACTGAAAACCCCCGGCGGAATATCCCCAAAGCCGTGCGGCGTGTTTTCTGGCGAATTGCCATCTTTTATGTTGGCAGCGTTTTTCTTGTCGGTCTATGTGTCTCCTCTCAAGATCATAGGTTGCTCAACGCCATTGATGCAGGCGCGGCAGGCGTGGGGGCAAGCCCTTTTGTCATTGCAATCGAAAATGGGGGTATCCAGGTGCTGCCTTCCATCATCAACGCAGTTGTTCTCACATCGGCATTATCAGCTGGTAACTCCTTCTTTTATGCCTCGACTCGAATTCTATATTCCACGGCATTGGATGGGAAAGCACCTCGGCTGCTCCGATTTGAGAAATTTGGAGTTCCGTATGCCTGTGTTGCCGTCACTGCCGCCTTGAGCCTACTTGTGTACCTCAATGTCTCATCAAGCTCGGCTGAAGTCTTTTTCTGGATTAGCAACCTAAGCTCTGTGAGCACATTGATCGTGTGGTCGTCAATTGCTGCGACCTATGTTCGGTTCTACCAAGGACTGAAATACCACGGCATCCCGCGGTCCAGTCTTCCATTCCAGTCACCTTTCCAGCCCTTCCTGGCCTACTTTGCAATAGTGTTCTCCTTGACCGTGGCATTCTTCAATGGATTTGATGCTTTCTTTCCTGGTCGTTTCAGTGCGAAGACTTTCATTCCACCTTACATTGACATTCCCATCTTTGCTTGTCTTTTCCTAGGATATAAATTCCTGAAAAGAACAAAATTTGTGAAGGTAGAGGACATGGATTTCTGGTCTGGCAAAGAAGAGATCGATCGACTAGAATCCGTGTGGGAAGAGCCTAAGCCTCGCAACTTTCTTGGTACGTGCGGATCCTTCTTTTATCTCCTTTGGCACCTTATCAGAGATACTGACGCACATTGCACAGAGCGAATATGGTTCTGGATTGCGTGAGCTTGAAAACCGTTCGGTACAACAGTCAATCTGTTTCACCAACGTCCTGCATCTTGTTCCCACCGACGGGTTTATATTGTATCTGGTATCAATTGAAAGCTCGAGTGGATTAAATACAAGAATCTTGACTCAATCCGTTTCCCGGGGTCTTGCCACGCGGGCATTGTAAGGGGTTTATCTCTTCACTTCTCACATGCCAAATCCATCATAATACAATATGTCTAGTCGCTCAGCACCAGATAACCGAAACTCCAAATGCACAAATAAATAATAGCCAAGGAAAATATGTATACACATGTGCTAGCGCAATCAACCACCAAACATCATGAAACACATGAGTCCAATCCAGCCAGCCACGAAGACTGCGGTCACTATGCCAGCGCCTGCCTTGTCAGCAGTTGTCACTGTATTCGTCATTTGACTAGAAGCATCACTGTCAGCTTCGCCTGCTGTTGGATTGCTAGTACTGTTTCCGCCAGTGGTCGAGGTCAACGGAGCAGTCTTGTTAAAATTGATCAAATTTGACGTGAAGATTTTTGTCGCGCTGATCTGTTCCTCCATTCCCATCCAGCCGTCCCATGTAGACTTGTACCACTGGACACCACAAGTGCCATTGCTGTGGCCCGTGCAGGATGCAGCGGCTGCCTGGCCCGATGTTTGGAGCTTCGCAAGAATGCTGTCAAATGTTGATGGAACAAGTAAAGCGGTAAATGCCAACCAGGAGGAGGTCAGTCCTTTGAAGAGGATCTCGTTGTTATTGCAGTTTTCTGCAGGCTCGCAGTAATAGTCTTCAATGATCCCACCGGTGAGGAAAAAGTTCTTAAACGTCGCGTTCAATAGACCATTTACTGCCGTCAGCCATTGAGTCTGGGTAGTCCCATTTGTCTGTAGGCAGCAGGGGTTAGTTCAAGTACTTTGACACGACAATGAAAACGTGAAACTCGAAATGGGTATTCCTCACATAGTCGTACATATACGCTGCCCCCATCAGGTAAGTGCCATAGTTATACGTCCATTGGGAGTTTCCTTGGGTCGCACAATCATTATCGACATTGGTAGAATCGGCAACATTCCATGTTGAGTTGCTAAGCAGAGGTGATGAGACAGACCAATCCCAAATCTTGTTAGCCCACTGGAGATAGATTGCGTCTCCGGTGTAGCGAGCTAGACGCGCAGATAACTGAAATAACCCCCCATTAGAGATCGCGTTTTTCATTGTATAGCCAGACTGGTAGGGCCAGATTTGCCACCGTAGACCACCCCCACAGGAGGATGTATCCCATCTTTTGATCTGAGTATTGAAGACACCCTGGGCTAGAGAAAGCCAAGAGAATCCAGTCGAGCGGTCCGGGAACGAGAACTCGGCGGCCGTCATAGCTGCTAGACCCCAGAACATTTGGTCATCGTTTCCCTTTTGGATCATCGGCATTAGATATTATTGCTTTTTCAGAATCTGACAGTGCTCACCAAATAAGAACTGTAGTTGGTAGGCATATAGTCCCCATCCGTACCGGATTGCCATTGCAACCCAACACTTAGTTCCTCATTGTATGTCGTGTCGCCAGTAAAATGCCAGTACTCTAACAGGGCCATAAATAGTGGAGCTCCTTCCCACCATTTGTCTGGAAAGGCTCCAGGGATTTGACCGGTCTCGTTGCCGTAATAGTATTTCATCATAGCGTAAGTCGAGGTACTCGCGGCATCTTTGATTGACTCTGTCATGAACTCAAACATTAGCTTCTCGTTCTCCTTCATAATTGACATGGAGGGATAATCTAGACTCCACCACGTACGTTCATCGCTAATATCCAAACCGATTGCGCGTGCTACGCTCGAAAAGAGTAGTGCAACGACAGCGCCTCTGAAGGGCAACCACCCCCGAGCATGTGCATATTTTCAAGGTGGTGTATGGGAAACCATACAAATTTCACCAACGAGAGATATCAGAGAATGGGCGTAAACTGGTGTGCTCAAGAGAAGTCACTGAGGCATCAAGGAATGAAAGAAAATATTTTCTCCAGAAATGGACACTACCAAGTAATCTCATTTTCATAATATCATTTTTAAATATAGAAGGGCACGCGTAATCCTCGGCGCTAGCGTCGTCAACTCATTTCATAGTGGAGTGTAAGCCAGTTGTGGGGCCAGATGCCAAGCTTTTACAAGCTTTCTCGGTTTTGATCGAAATATCGTGCAAGGCATAGAGTAGATCGTGATCGTTCCGTCGCTTCTCCCGATATTCAATCAGATTGGCTTTGTCTTTGGTCTGATCGCTCATTTTCTAGCAGGCTTCACAAATCATGAGAAGAATTTTCGGATTTTTTCTCGTGCTTGTGGGAAAGTTCCCTTCTCCATCGGTACCCCCGGTAGAAAACAACCCATAGAGCAGGAGTGCCCAACACCCAAAGGCCAGCAATTAATGTAGCCGTCCATCCAATACCGATGTGTTTAATCAGAGGGGACGCAACAGCCGTGGCTCCAGCACCCACAAGACAGCGAAATAAATTATTTGCTGCCGCAGCAGTGGCGGCGCTTTGGTAATTGATATCCACAACCAAAGTACTCAATGTGTTGAATGCACTTGTGGTTGTAAGACCAGTGAAGAACAACATCACAAGTGGTCCCGCCAGCGGAGTGCGATACTGCATCACCCAACCGTAAGCTAGGATGCAAAGACTAGCCAAATAGATCAGTGGGAGAGTGATCGCCAGGCGTGCTCGTTCGATGTTAAACTTTTCAATTCCCTGCTGTCGGTTCTTGTGTATGATCATTCCCTGCAACTGTGCCTCGCGGCGGAAGTTCCAATCCAAAAGTCGGCCAACTACCCAACGCGAGCTTATGCTCCCAATGCCCATGGGAAGATAGCATAGTCCAATTTGGATAGAGTTGAATCCAAATCGACTCGCCAACTCGGTCGACAAAGTGCTAATAACGGCCATGTACCCTGCGTACAAAAAGGATCCGTACAATAGGACCAACCCCATCTCTTTTTGTGTGGCTATCAAGAGAGCTGAAATTGGGGTTGGACGCTGCTTCAGTTCCTGGACGGTGGAGTGATCGGCGGTCCCTTGTTCGTCGTCAAATCGTGATGTTCGTACGAATAATGTCCACAGTGGGCGATTCCACGAGGCTGGCGGCACGGACCCATTGCCCACGACAGCTCGACATGTCTCAGGAAATACAAAAAGCATGACCACAAAGCAAACACCCGATAGAATGACTAGGAACCAAAATATCGATCGCCACCCCAGGAAATGGTCCAACAGCCCACCAATAACGGGGCCAAGCGTCGGTCCCAGTGCCATTCCAACCCCAGCGTATCCGATGTACTTTCCTCGCTCGGCGCGGGTCGAGAGGTCGGCTACAACAGCGCTCCCCAATGCAATGGTGCCACTGCTGCCTGAGGACTGCACGCAGCGCAGAATCATTAGTGCCGTAAAGTTGTTTTGCAAAGCAAGGCCAATATTAGCCCCAAGGCAAATGACAAATGCAATGATATATGCAGGACGGCGCCCATGGATATCAGAAAAGCTGCCAATGAAAGAGGGTGCAAGTCCTTGAAATATCTACAAATGATCAGCTTCATAGTATCTCTGTCTAGCTCGGTGGACCTTACCAGGTATGTGGTGATGGTCAAGTTGATCAGTGACACAGAAACATTCATGTCGCTAGCCAAGGATGGGAGCGCCGGCAGATAAATACTGCTGGAGAGAGGTGAAATTAGGGCCGCAAACGATCCCGCCATAATAACGAAAGTCTTTTCGCCATTTGGCAGGACACTGTAAAGGGGCACCAGTTCATCGTCGATGGCTTGAATTTCCTGATCAAGTTCTGGTTTTTTGTATTGACTTTGAGTCGCGGTGTGAGGATTCTCTCGATTGACCGCATGTTGTATCTCGCACAAGAATGATGGACGCGGCTCGGTTGCACAAGAATCCTGCACAGGCTGCATGGCCGAGAAGTCTAAACGGGAACGTCATCTTTCAGGGGATACCCAGAGGATATGTAATTTTTTTTCATTGCGGTCGCGCTTAATTGCAAGCTCAACTTTTTCTACTTCTCTCATGTTATGCCTGGCGTTAACGCGTTAACGGGCCGTAACCGGGATTGTTGGCAGAGGAGGATAAACAAGTGGGCCACGCTTGGAGAGTGGAGCACTTGTGTGTTCGGGCTCTGATCACATGATATTCGTGGTGTCTTAGGCGGAATTTATATAGATGTTGAGAAAGTTGTTTCATACGCCAATAGTGAAATAATCAGACAATCCAGCAAACTAGCTAGATTTAGGATTGACGAGATTTTAAATCTAAAATCAGGCAGCCAGTACTCAGGTTTCTTATATTGCTGTGCAGCTTCATGAAGATGGTGATATGTGCCATCTCTGGGCCGTTCGATCTGTACGATTCGCGAGATTGGTTAATGGTTTTGTGAGCTATCCTGTCCATGCATTCATACTTCACAACTTGAAGTGATGGATCGTTCTTTCCTTTTTTTGATTGGTTAGCATTGAAGTATCTACCTAGGTACTCCTTAGAAGGGCGGTGTACCATGGAAGGGGTGGGCAAGGTTCAAGGTTTCCTTGGTCCTCGAGCCTTGACGTCTAAAGACAATTGAAGGCACTTGAAGCGCGGTGTATAGCATTTTGGGCTAGATTTGCATAATGATCGCTATTCAAATGGTTATCATATTGACTGCAGGCCTCTTTGGTGGTCTGCTGTCCGCTTCCCCTTCCCCTTCGGTGCCGCGATTGCCGATAATCGACTTGGGATATTCTCAGTATCGGGGAATATCACTATCCAATGGGGTTGACGAATATCTTGGGATTAAATACGCAAAGGCACCCTTAGGCGACTTGCGGTTCCGAGGCCCAGAAGATCCAGAACATACTGTAGGGGTTTTGGATGCATCATCCGTAAGACTACTATCCTCCCTGGCTTCAGCACATTAAACTGACTCGGATAGTTTGGACCCCTTTGCGTTGGGGTTGGAGAGTCAACTAATGACTCCTTAGCAGAGGACTGTTTATTTATCAATGTCTGGCGGCCAACAAACGCCAGTTCGCATTCCAACTTGCCTGTCTGGCTGTTCATTCAAGGGGGTGGATACGCCAACAATGCGAATGGCAACTATAACGGCAGCGAGGTCGTTCAGCAGTCTGGTGACAACATTATCTTTGTCAACTTTAATTACCGCGTCGGTGTCCTTGCATTCCTTGCCAGTGAGCATGTGCGAAAAAATGGAGATCTCAATGCTGGACTGCTCGATCAGCGAAAGGCACTCCATTGGGTTCAGAAGCACATTCGCAAATTTGGGGGTAACCCAGACCATGTAGTCATTCATGGTGACTCTGCTGGTGCAGGCTCGGTTGCCCATCATCTCACTGCGTACGGTGAGCGCAATACAACCCTTTTCATTGGAGCGGTGGCAGAGTCGCCGTTCTGGCCCACTCAAAGAACAGTTGCACAGATGGAGTTTCAGTACGACCGATTCGTGAAAGATGTTAGTTGTGACAAGGCAAAGAACTCATTGGCATGCTTGCGTTCTGTGGATATTAAAATGATCCAAAAGTTCAACGTCGACAAGCCGTTCCCAGGAGGCAGTCCCACGCCAGTCCCCCAGTGGTATTTTCTTCCTGTTATTGATGGAGACTTGATCCAAGATCAACTTTACAATCTGTTCAGTCAAGGAAAGTTTATTCATGTGCCCTTATTAGTCGGTGATGAGACAAATGAGGGCACCGACTTTGCATACAATGCAACCAGCAAATCCGAAGTGTCCCAGTTCATGAAGAACAATTATCCCGGACTCTCGCATGACCAACTCAACGCCATCAACAAGGCATACGAGGACGTGGAGCCCCTTCCTAAGCACGGGGCTTATTTCGCATCGGCCGCGGGCGCTTACGGAGATTCGACCTTCACTTGCCCAGGGAACTTCATGACCGCGGCGATGGCTAAATCATTCTCGTCCCATCGCGTCTGGAATTATCGGTACAATGTCCGCGACCCCACAAAAATTGCAAATGGGATGGGTGTTCCTCATGTATTCGATTTGCCTGCGATTTTTGGAATAGGGGAAACCAATCAGCCAACCTATTCATATGCCAGCTCTAACGCAAAGATCGTGCCCATCACCATGAACTACTACTTGAGCTTTATTAGAGTCTTAGACCCCAACATTTACCGGTACAAGGACGCCCTAGAATGGCAACCATGGGGCTCAGGAGCCGGGCAGCGACTCAAACTCCAGACAAATTCGACAGAGATGGAACCTATTCCCCGCTTGGAGTTAGAGCGTTGCTCGATGTGGGAGGATTTCGCAGCAGATATGCAGCAATGAATGATATATGATGCTTAGAGGGTTTGTGTCACATGTTATGCCAACCTTGGAAGTCACCCATTGTATGAAAAAGCATTGATAAAAAGTAATACAAAGTCATTACACGCACATATGTAATATGTTAATATGCCTACATATGTTTTATGTAGTATTCTCTGGTGAGATCTCTGTCGACATTTCTAATTACCGACTTTCTTGTGAGTCGTGAGAACAGACTCTCCGTGTCCTCTGTACTCTGGCTCGGTTCGCAGAAACAGTCCTAGAAGAGTCCGGAATCCGTGGAAGCTCTTGCCACCACCACCTTCTTTTCTTTTCGTTGTATACCTTGTTATTTGCCTGCCTTGAAGGTCTTTGCCCTCAATAAAAGAGTCAAAGTAGTGTAGATTCCCAGTACCAAGTCCAACGACTTTTGTAATCGTGGTATGTTGATCCAGTTTCAGTGTTGAAGAAACAACATTGTAGCACAAGAAACTGGAGGAACAGGAAGCGATAGAATGGACATCAGATCAACAACCATATTTTTCCATGATAGCTCGGAATGACGGGTCCCGTAAAAGCTCTGTTGCAGTAAGTCGTTTTTCTGGGCAATATTGAAACATTTTGCACATGATAGAGTTCATATTTTGTCGTTCGATCGGATCGGCATCGGGACGAAAGTGTGCAATTGTTTGTTGAGGCAAGGTCATGATCCGGATTAGGCGTTTGAGATTGATCATACCAGGAATCAATCTCACCGGGGCGGATATAAAGGCCCTTCCATTTTTCAGGTAGTGGACCTAAGCGTGCAACAAAACCGCTGATTATTCCACCCTCGACCCAGCTAGGGAAAGGCGTAAAGCGAAGATAGAGCACGGTAAAGATAACCATATAACTCCACATATCGCAGGCAAGACTCGGATCCTTTCCATGAAGACGTTCTGGCGAGCAAAATTGTGAAGGGGGGTAGCCTAGTTGAGTCTCGCTATCGCTAAGCTTCTTCGCTAGACCAAAGTCTCCAAGAAAGAATTCCTCCGTGCGCAAGTTCTCAGGAACCTCAACTGCTCGAACAAGCTCCCCCTTCTTCCAAAGGTCGACAAAAGGTATGGTTTGCTTTAATGGCCGGCCGACTGCCTCATATTTCGCACTCCTATTAAGATTGTGGAGAGGGGCCATCCCCCACATACAGTTTCTCTCATTTAGATCTATAAAGTGTTCATTAGAATATGATATAATACAATAGTCATAGCATACCAGAAATAAAAGGTAGGGATACGCCCACTTACCACGGTGTACAATTCCTGCTGTGTGTAAATGTTCGAAGGTTTCTAGCAATTGCCGAGCAGCGGACATGCGACTGGCCATAGGGATCTTTTTCAACTCAATAGGGGAAATGCATTGACCCATCAAAGGGAACACTAGGACCCTATGTTCGTTTCCAGGGATGAGGAAAGTTCCTAGATACATCACTAGGTGAGAGGTATCCTGCACGTTCTGAAGTATTTCGTTCTGCATGCGGTATTCGTTTTCCCCCCAGTCCCCTAAAGACATGACTTTAAGGGCCACATCCCTCTTATCATGAAGGTCATGGGCCATCCAGACAGTAGAGCCGCCGCCAAAGCCGACTTTATGCTCGACCAGATATCTCTCATTCAGGACTTCTCCGAGATAAATAGGATAAAAAACATTCGGTGTTTCCTTTATAGCATACTTATGCCAGGGCTCTACAACCTCTTCGAGATCAAGCCCCTCATCTTCATTGCTCACAAAGTCGCCGAAATCTGAGGTATCATCAGGCCGCGTTGTAAGACCAGCAATCCCAGGCAATTGTGAGACAATGGCAGATAGAGGTGACAAATATATCCGGGGAGTAGAGTGTGGAATATGATCGCGAGTTCCGTGCTAGATAGAAGGGTTGACTGCTTTTGGGTTCGGCCCGACCTATTACCTACCGACCCCGCATTTCCTAGGTTCCCCCAATCAGGTTAAGCCGATCGCCTTGGCCCTCCTATATTCTAAGGTTGCCTCCTTGTCAATAGTGAGCCTAAAGAAAATCAGCCCGATTCTTCCTCTCTTGACGATCACGCAACTCGCACGATCTTTGCTCCACGGCCTGCCAGCACCTCATCACTTGGTCACGCGCGAGCTCCCGCTCAATGAGCATCCATTTTTCTGGCTCAATGGTTCTGACCAAACGAACCCTCCGTCTCCGAACCACGAGTCCACAAAGACAAATCGAGCACCACCTAGACCTTCATTCAAAGCAGCATTGATACTCAGCTTTAAAATCACAGCACGCAGGAAGGAGTAAAACTTTGCTCTTTGCGGGTCACTATTGACACTAGCAAGCTTCGCGATGTGAAAAACCAGTATGTTCGCCGAGCGCGAGTCGACCACGCGACCACAATTTTGCACAGATGACAAAGGCGATGGAGTACCTCTGGATTGCAACCATCATAGGGCAGGGGGAAAAAACAGCCTAACTGCTCAAATGCAACCCGTTTGTCGTCCTGGCCGTGCGCGCCGCGTTGAACTGCAGCCACAACATGATCAAGCGATCGAGAAAGCCAGGGTTCTACCAGTGACTCTCGTTCCAGTGTCTCGCCTCCGTAACTCTGAGGTCGCAGTCTCATCGGGGGAACCTCAGTCTCAGCCTCCTCAGAGCTTGACCATAGCTGCTGCTGCCTCTCATCAGTTCACTCGTTCCGATATAATTCTTGTTGGAATTTGCCAGGTACTGAAGCGAGCAGGGAATCCCTAATAAACATTTCGACTAGGATCCCAGATCCTCAAGAGATGGACAATAGAAAGGAGCTCGTTATCGAGAATGTTCACTGAGAAAAATAACCGCCCTGAAATGTATGACATCGTTAACTCCTCTCGTCCACGGGTGTGGATAGTCGAGTGTTCTATCCATGCTGTGTAAGATTTCTATTCCTCGTGCAACACTGCTCTTGCATTGCACTCCGACTAATCCCGCGAACACAGCCATTCCACCAAGGTTGTCCAAGTGAGGGGTAATAACAAGCCACATGCCTGGAGGATTCGGAAATCTGGGGAAGCTCATTTCTCCACCCTCGCCACCTTCTCCACCTTTCGTCACCCTACACTCTTCCATGACATGTAAATACTCACGCAATGAAACCAGGCTCATTAGCTTACCTCCCTTCCCTCCCCGTTGAGCTGGTCGAGCTGATTGCAGGCTTCCTCGACGCAGATGGCTTATTGGCACTACGTTTAGTTTGTCGCGAGCTTCAGAGGAAAACGTTTCATCACTTTGCGCCGCGGTTCTTTTCATCTATCAAGACCGACCTCTCTGAAGACAGTCTACGTCGTATCAACGCACTCTCGCAGAATATTGCATTACGCCCTTACGTGAACGGGTTGGCGTTCATGCTTCAAAATGGTGTCGGTCGCGGCTTAGTTTGGGACCGTCATCCATGGGGTCCTATCTCCGCTCCTCTAGAAGTCGAAGCGATTCGGTCTCTGCGTGATAATTTGATCCAGAACTTGACTAATTGTCGATCGTTCTTTATTTTCTGTCGATACCCAGAGGGCCATCCGGATATGAGCCATGTCACTATCACGGACGCTGTCGCGGTGTTCTTTGCCCTGGTCGTCGATGCTCGTCTGCCGGTTTCGTCGTTCCATCTCATATATGCCAACAAATACTCGCGCACCTTAATCATGGACATGCGTCGTCTTCCCAAGCTTCTCTATCGCCAACCTGAATTCAAGATTGTGTGGGGCAATTTACAAAAACTCTCTTTAGAACAATATCTCACGTTGGATAACTTCGGTTTCCTACTTGAGCTTGTTCTTAGCGCTCCAAATCTCCGAACTCTCCTATTGAACCTCGGTTCCCACGACTTGGCATCTGAATTCATTCATGAACTGGCTGAGAGTGCCAGCTTTTCCCAACTGCGCGAACTCGCCTTGTTCCGAACATCCATGCGGGGCCCCGATCTCCACAAGTTACTCGCCAATATCCGCCCAAACTTGATGTCGCTCACATTATACCATGTTTCCCTAGCACCAGGGAGCGATTGGACTCTATTTCTCAGGGAGCTGAGTCAGGGATTTCTGGCTTTGCAGAGTATCTCGCTATATTATCTGTGGGCCAGCACGCCTGCTAAGGGACTCTTAACCTTTCCAGATATCCCAAAGACACCTTCGTTGTGTAATTCGAAGGGCCAGCATCTCAACGTATTTTACTCTGAAGATCTCAAAACTCCCACTGTTCTTGGGATCGAGTATTCTGGGTCGAAGATGTCACATGTGTTGAACTTATTACAGACAAACACTGAAAGACCTTATTCACATTAGGACATGTTACCTCTGTATGATTTTTGAACATTTTACATTCGAGGCGTGTTTTTATTACGATTGTCACTCTTTTTCTTTTGGACATGCCTCGGAGGCTCCGAGAAATATTTGCTGTGTACTGTTTTGTCATACTAATTCCCACGCTCTGTTTTCAATGCAACGGCACAGTACAGAAGTTCTCAACGTTGAAGCACATTTCTTCTGTAGTTGTTCGGGATTTTCTTGATGCTGCAGCCAAAATGCGTTGGGCGGCATTATATTCGTGGTATAGGAGGTCAAGTGCAACTATACAAACCAGACGGTTATGAGAAGGCAGCAGAGATGATTCTTCAAACCGCAGTTATCAGTGCATTTAAGGAACGTTTTGTTCGAGGTATCCAAGGGCCTTTGTATAGCAAGTAAGCTAGAAGTGTCTTCATTCATTACAAGCAAGATATTGACTCAGATATTGACTCTTAATACAAATTCACATCATCCCCTAGGCTATCTGAAACCCTTCATATCATCAATTCACATCCTATACCGTGAGTGTCACTTTCTCCACATTTCTTCCTGTGATTTCAATCAGTGTATTCTTGATATCTCCTTCAAATGCAACAGTCAACCGCAGCTGTTCTTTCGGCCAAAGAGTCACATAGTTGTCAGACCAATAAAGCGGTGCAATCTCCACGTTTTCGGATGTATTGATAGCATTCAGACGAATGAAAACTGCCGGTCCTGCAGATTGATTTTCGAGCACGACCTCAGCATGAGTCAAACCATCGTCTGCTGGCGACTCCACGCTGTGTAGTGAAGCCTTCAAAGTAGCCGGTTTCAGTGTTTCCAGCTTGGTGTATTTGGCAAATTTGGTAACTGGTGTGGTGTACCAATTAGACTTTGACCAGTTCAAGACATCCGTGGTGGGAGAGAGCCAGTAAACATTGCGACTAAGGACAGCTTTAGATTTGGGATCGCTGAGCGTGAGACGGAGGAAGCCAATATCTTTGACCTTCTTGATTCCGGCAAGCGAAGCCACCACCTTTGAGGAATGGGGTGTTGTGTTGCTCTCCACCGTGGCTCCAGATATTTCTTTTCCATTTGAATCAATGAAATCCACCTTGATTTGCCGATTTCCGTTCTTGTCAAGCGAGTGGTTAATCAACCAAATGTTGTGGCTCTCATAATCATAGGCCAAGTGTTCCATACGCGCTCCAACCTTGGTTCCGAAGTAGGCTGCCATAGGGCTGAGGTAGTAATCAAACAACTGCCAATGCAGATTTGGCCAGGCACTGTTTAACATCCAGTAAATAACTCCCGTGGCAGGTCGGGTGGCATTTTGCTGCGTTCCGTAAGCTTCAAACTGGGATCGGGTGGCCTCATAATCTGCCATCTGACTTTTAATGATGTAGTCTTCCAGGCTAGATGGCTTTCCGTATCGGGCAAAAAGAGCCTTGTTGTAGAGCTTTCGGTCGTAAAATTGCGAATCGTAGCGGGACATATGATATTGCGTTGCATCTGGTTCTTTCCAGAGTGTTTCCAGCTCGGCATCAGACATGAACTTTTTCAGGCTACCCATCTCGGGGGTTCCAACTCCGGCGCCCAATTCAGATCCAAAGCCAAATGCCGCTCCTTCTTTGTCGTTGTACCAGTAATTTGGCGGTACCCAATCGTACGGGCCGTCCATCTTCATTCCGGATGGTCCAAGAGCTTCGGGGTAACCACGCTTGCTGGCTGATGCAATGATTGGGTTGGGCCAATCCATAACTTTGAGGGCATCTAGATAAATCTCGGTGGCCTGCTCATTCGGCCAGAAGTCTGAGCCCACCAAAAATCCGAGCATCGAGGCATGACTTTGCATCATCTCTGCCTCGTGCAGCATTGCTGCCTTCGCAACCGGGTAGTCTGACTTCCCCCATTTGACACCGTCGGCCTCGTCGTTGTACTACGATTTCTTTTTGTCAGTGGTCTGGTGTCTCGGGTAGAGTTTTGAGAAGACTTACCTGCCACCCTTCCCATTTATCACAACATTCCCAACCTGCCAGTACCATCATCCCCATCTTATCTGCGAGATCATAAAGTTCTGGGTGTTCCTGTTTTCCCTCCAAGCGCACAGTATTGAGTCCCATGTCCAACATGTAGGCGAAAATCTTCTGTAGCCTGTCAATATCGAATCGCAAAAACATATCCGGCCCGTATCCAGCTCCGATGACCTGGAAGGGCTCGCCATTGACGGCGAATTCGGTATCATTGGACTTGTTCAACTTCGATGATACATGGCGAATCCCAAATTGTTGGCGAATCGAATTGTCTGACACCACCTTCTGGGGTTTCTGGATCACAGCGCTGGCCTGTACTGTGTATAAAGGCTGCTTACCCCAAAGGGCAGGCCACCAAATATCAGGGCTTTCAATTGACACACTTATAGAGACCGTTTTTTTCTCGTTGGACTTCAAGTCAAATGTCTGGCTAATTTGCACAGCTGCGGAGCCATCTGGCCCTTTTACAGTGCCGGTGATCGCTACCTGGTGACCACTTGATTCGTGGTTGGTCAAATCAGTTCGGAAGGTGACCTTCACCGGCCCAGAGTTGGAGTGGGTAAAATCGGTGAGTACGCGGAACGGCGACATTGAGACCGCTCCGGTCTGAGAGACCTCCACATTTCGCCAAACGCCGGTGCCATTGTCGGCTGGGTAGGGATTCCAGTCCACGAACCCCTGGGCAAAATCGCGAAGATAGTTGGTTGGGAACGCGCGAATGAGAAGACAATTGGTTCCTTCCTTAACATGCTCGGTCAAGTTGTACTGGTGGCCGCCATAGGAGCCTTGCTGCTGGTCGCTCGATGCAATGAGCACTCCATTCAGATAAATGTCTGCCTTGGATGTGATTCCGTGTGTCTTTAGGGTGAAATATTGGCCGGTGGATGGGTTCAGTGCAAACTCTTCTCGATAAAGCCAGGGTGCGTCGAACGTGGAGGGATCGGCGATAGATTCCATATTGTCCGAGTAGAACAAGTCTGTCTCGTTGTATACCCCATTCTCGATAAGCCCAGCCATGACAGTGCCACGAGCACCAACCCGATACCATGATGAGACATCCTTTCCTGGTTTGGAGAGTACATCCATTCCACCTGATACTTTGGTCGTTGATTGGAGGTACCATCCCGGGATAGCAGCAATATCACCGGCAGAGGCGACAAGGGGTTTGGAGCCGGTGATCACTGCACAAGCACTGGCACTGATAGCCAGCGCTATGCAAAGTTTACTCATGCTCTTGAACATGATCATTTGGTTGCTCTGGTTCTTCAGAGGCCAACAGTGATGTTGAGCTCGAATCGCAGGAATACACGCGACGGCTTGTTCATTTAAAATATAAAACCCACGAAGTGGCGTTCAGAGCAAAGTAACACTGTGTCACGCGATGCAAGGTTCATACGACCGTGGGATGTAGGTTGTTTTGTTTACATGATGTTCTCCGACGACTTTCTGGGCTAGGACTAGTTCATACGGGGATTCCGGCAAATCTGCAATGTTTCCCGTTTCTGCGTAGGATCACCAGGGGAGTTTCCCAACAGAGTCGCTGAGAAACCTTGGTGTCTGCGCTGTCCGGGCTGTGAGAATAATCGGAATTCATTTCTGTTCCGATGAGAGATGACGGACTGACCATATTCCTATTCGGGCCTTATCAGGATCTTCAATCCTTAGTCCTCTTGGGGTTTGTGGGGTGTGCATCCTGTCGTGCAGATCATTTGTTAATTGGAAATCCAAGGTTTGGAATAGAAAAGGAGTGTTGTTACTGGAATATCCGTACTCCGTAGCAATGGGGAAATGGCAAGCTGTCCACGATCAGTTATGGATTTGGTGATTGTTTATGCCTGACCCATCAGGCATAAATTTATGGCCTTAAAGATTTTTTCAGGCATTCAGGCTCCAAGGCTCCAATCAGTTTTCATCTTGTTCAGCAAATAACTAATCACTTCTTATACTCGAGAGACTCGCATAATTCTACCCCTTTAAAAAAATGATGCCTGGGGACTGGCTCGGAAAAGCCTTTCTTGCAACGTACATAGCCTCCCTCAGGGGGTCCCCCTGTGGTATGCCCAGAACTGATAGGCTCTAACCCCTACGTTGTAGGACAACTCCTTCAACACGGGTGGTGTTTGTTTTACAAGGGCATGATACTCTTCTAGATCAGAGGAAAGTAACAATCTGATTGTACTCCTCTAATTCACCCGTGCAAGGACAAGCGACAGGGTGCGGGCCCCTACCGGTCAGGGGTACAGGTTACAACACTGGAATGCGTCAATTGTTGCATCGCGTTCGTTTGCGGCCCTAGACTACCCTGTCTACGCCCCTTACCCACTGTCTCCTCTAATCATTCATACGCATCGATGATTCGCCAGTTTCCTCGGCTGATCAAATTGATCTGTTTGACAGCTGCTCTGGAATGTCACGGCGATCCCTTATCGTGGAGCGCCAATAAGGAAACCATGGAAATGAGAGGCGGCGCGTTGCACTCTTGTCGTCCTCTCATCCAATCTTGGATAGAACTACAATGGAATTGTGGGTTTCGTGCTTGATGCAGTCGAGTGTCGAAGGGTACGCTGATGCGATTCCCCCTACAGGAGGTGCAAATGGTCTGGGGAACCACGCCTTGTTACCATGCCAGTGCTCCTAGACGGTTGGAATGTGGTCGCCCAATCCACACACTCATATACATCCCCCTCTCACTTTCATGTTGGGGAGTCTTGAAGTTGGTTGGGCGGCTTTTCTTCATCTCTCTGTATCCTCATCTCGCCAACGATTGGGGACAAGCTATACTGGCCATAATTACGACACTTTGAGCCTTATGATTGTGTCAAAAAGCAATTGACTCCTCTTTTTTAACAACTGCACTGGTTTTCGGGGACGTGTCGCTATCGACCTTCGATAGCGTCCTCGACATATTCAAGCATAGCTGTTCCACTTTTCTATTAGACAAATCGGTATATCAGCCGCCATGCGCGTGTTAAATTACGCATCACAACCTTCCTGGATGGGTCTGCTGGCTGCAGCTCTACTGGGCACTTCAACTGTGCAAGCGATAGAGCTGGATCTTGATGATGGAGGTAAGTGTTCCACTCTGGCGCCTGGCTATGCGCAACGACTAATTCAATATCAAAGATTCTATCAAAAAGGCAGCCAAAGAGGTCGCCACCAACATGATGAGTTACTACACCGGTATGAATCCTGGTGACAACCCAGGTAATTTGCCGGATCCTTACTACTGGTGGGAGGCTGGTGCAATGTTCAACTCCCTTATCGATTACTGGTTCTACACGGGCGATGATACTTGGAACAACATCACGACACAAGCTATGCTCTGGCAGGCTGGAGAGAACAAAGCATTCATGCCGGCCAACCAGAGCAAAACCGAAGGAAATGACGACCAAGTCTTTTGGGCCTTCGCTGCTATGACCGCAGCGGAGCGAAACTTCCCAAACCCACCAGAAGGCCAACCCCAATGGCTTGAAATGGCCCAGGCTGTCTTCAACACTCAAGCTCCCCGGTGGGACAATTCTACATGTGGTGGTGGCTTGCGCTGGCAGATCTTTACGTGGAACAATGGCTACAATTATAAGAACACCATCTCGTCTGGCGGGTTCTTCAATCTTGCTTCTCGTCTGGCAAAATACACCAAAAATCAAACGTACCACGATTGGGCTGAAAAGGCCTGGGACTGGACTGCCGAAGTTGGATTCATGACCCCCGAGTATCGCTTCTATGATGGAGCTAGTGACCTCACTGAGTGCAAGCCAATCAACCAGATTGAATGGACTTATAACGCTGGAGTATACTTGCTCGGTGCAGCTAATATGTATAATTTGGTGAGTGAACTCTACCTTTTGATTCCTTCCGATGCTTTGAAACATTATCTTATCTAACACTTTGAACAGACCGAAGAACCCAAATGGAAGGAGCGCACTGAAAAAATCATTGATGCTTCCAGTGTTTTCTTCTCTCAGGACGTGATGTACGAGCGAGCCTGTGAGACCGTCAACACTTGCATGGTCGACCAGCGGTCTTTCAAGGGCTATTTTTCCCGCTGGATGGCTCAAACTGCTCAGATGGCCCCTTTCGTATACGACACAGTCATGAAACGGCTAAAGGCCTCTGCTAAGGCTGCTGCCAATACTTGTACCGGTGGTATCAACAAGAATGTGTGTGGTCTCAAGTGGACAGATCAAAAGTGGGATAAGACGAAAGACTTTGGCCAGCAGATGGCTGCCCTTGAAGTCATTCAAGCGAATCTGATCACGCGTGTGGCAGCCCCGGTCACCAACGATGACGGTGGGACGAGTAAAGGGAACCCAAATGCAGGTACTAAGCCCCCCAAAACAATTCCGCCCGCTCTCGACTACGACATAACTGCAGGCGACAAGGCTGGTGCAGGTATTTTGACCGTGCTGTTTATGATTGGCATTGGCGGTTCCACTGGATGGCTGATTTGGGATTGAACTTGATCTATTTCTTTTAATATATTTCTTTTGCTTTTTTTGGTCCTCTGTAGCTTATTTCAGTGTCGACATATTTTTTGTGACTTTCTGATTCTCTTATTGATTTCCGGACGTGGTTAGTGGCGTTTTGTGAATAATTTAATCCAACATATCATTCTCGCTCTGAATTGCCCTGTTCCATTCCCCCGGATTCCCATAATTCCGTCAATCCCGCTCATACGATGCAAAGCGGACATACCGGTCAAGATGCATCTGCATCCCCGCATACACATGTACCTACTCCTCGGTCAAGCCAAGCTATTTACAATGAGACCAGCAAAAAGAGGGGTTGCATACGTTGCAATCACGGTGTATTTTGTATTTCCCCAGCTTGTTGCCTAGGTGTGATTTCGGCTTTCTCCTCTGAATTCTCTTATATATTGTCCATCGAATAGCTATCTAGCCATTAACATTGCAATATTAAAGTTTCCCAATTCAGCTCGTCAAAACATGGGTTCAGTCACGGATTATTCTCAAGTCGAGATTCCCTTGTTCTGTAAAGCGGGGGTGGTGATCAACGAAGGCCCCGGTTTCCATGTCGAGGTACAGATGGTGCCTGTGCCACAGCCAGGTAGGACCCCGATCTTTGTTCGAGTGTCAAATATTCTACTATACACAAGGTCACGGCCACTGATGCTCTTGTGTAGGCCCCGACGATGTTTTGATCAAGCTGAACTACACTGGACTTTGCTCGTCCGACATCCATATGATGCAAGGAGACCTGGGTCTCCCGTTCATGTCAGAGTTCGGTGTGCGATCTCCGGGGCATGAAGGTGCGGGTGTAGTGGTCAAGGTCGGAGCCAACGTGAAGACTTTCAAGTTAGGCGATAGAGCCGGAATCAAACCGATGATGGATACATGCGGGTCCTGTGCGCTTTGCTGGGATGACAAGGAAACATACTGCAAGGGCGCAATCCTCACTGGTCTGATGACGGCAGGTAAGGCCGACTTGAATCATTTCTAATGGTCTGAATTGCCGCTCATTATACCAGGTACTTACCAGCAATACTTGGTGTCACCGGCACGATATGCATCGCCAATTCCAGATGGGGTCCCCGACGAAATTGCAGGTCCAATTATGTGCAGTGCTAGCACTATATACCGATCTCTGATTGAGTCTAACCTTCGATCGGGGGCTTGGGTTGTTTTCCCTGGCGGCGGTGGTGGCGTGGGGATTCAAGGTGTACAGCTGGCCAAAGCAATGGGAATGCGTCCGATCGTGGTGGACACGGGAGAACTCAAGCAGAAATTGGCGCTCGAGATGGGTGCAGAGGCCTTTGTGGATTTCAAAGAAGTTGCCGATCCCACCAAAGCTGTAGTTGAAATTGCCGATGGGGTCGGGGCTCATGGGGTGTTTGTGACAGCCCCTGCTGCTTATAAAACAGCAGTTTCGTTTATCGGAGACCGGATCGGAGGCATTGTGATGTGCATTGGACTTCCTGTTGCAGGGTCGATGACGATAGGAGCCGATCCCTGTCAGTATATCTTCAAGAATCTTACCATCAAGGGCACTCTTGTTGGTAGCCGGAGCGATACTGCCATGGCGTTGGATTTTGCGCGGCGAGGGGCCCTGCGGCAAATTAGTGAGATATATCCATTGAATCGCATGCCCGAGGCTGTGGAGAAACTACGGAAGGGGGAGGTGGCCGGACGGATTGTGATCAATTTCAACTGGGAGGAGTAGACGGGTGAAAATATATATCCCGTGACAGATGAACCTGGCTCCAATTTGAACTAACTCTACAAATATGCAGGGTCGCGATCATGCTCATCTAGATCGCTTAGGCACAGTCACAATTTTCACAATTTGACGCTATGTACTGTACTATGTATGAGATAGTCCTTTGAAAGGTTACTGGAATATCGACCTCGGATATGCCGGTAAAGAGCACCGGAGGTTACCATATAGTATTTGCTTTAGGCTTATGAGACATTAATCTGCTGCTTCCTCCATCAAACTGGGCTTGTGGTTTAGTGGTATAATACTCCCTTAGCATGGGAGTGGTCCGGGGTTCGATTCCCCGCGAGTCCATTTTTTTTTCGTTTTTGCTTCATGTACATCCATCCTCTCTGAAGATGGGTAAATTTAACTTTTGACTGAATAATGGTGAGTCGAAGCGTAAGATGTGTATAGAGCAGTCCAGATCGAAGCCAAGGTAGTATACACCTTTATCGGTGTAGTTAATATGGTGAATTGAATGAAGCTCCGATTATCCTAAGAGGGGGCAAGCCTAGAGTACTACAATATAGACGCGTTGATATGACGTGACAGCCAATGTAGCGAAAATGCTTTCAAATCTCTTCAGGAAGTTTCCATTGACCGGGATAAATGTCCGGCTCGACCTCCTTTCCCCAAATTTACCAAATGGGGATCTGCAAGGGCGCACAATGCGGGGAAGCCGGGGACTGCCCTAAGTAGATGCAATCCGACGTTGCAACTCCTCCTCGCCAGCTACATCTGCCGGGCTGCCGATCAGCACCATTAAAAGCTAGTTACGTGACGCGGTGGCACTTAGTGTTGCAATTAAAGCCTTAATTTAAGTTTGAATACATCTAGTACTGTTTTCATGGGCCCGACAATTAGCCGGCACACCCACTGAGCTCTGAGGGGAAATCCTTATTAGAAGGGACCTCCTCCTACGCGTACGACGGCAAAACTGTCTCATAGTCTCCTCAGAAATGCGAACACTGTTCATTTCCCTTGCAGCTTTGGCTGTGGCTATACAGGCACAGGAAGTATACTTGACAACAACCGGTTACTCGGCTCGACCACAATGTACACAATCGAATGTGGCCCCGAAGTACCACTTCCAGCCCTTCTCGTATACTTTGAATGAGACAGTTCGGTAAGAAATACATAGATCTAGTTTACACCATCGCTTGCTAATTAAAGTATGAGATATGCAACCTCGGTTCCTTCCCCGACGACAACACGGAAATATGCCGCGCCTTATACAGACGTAGTCAAGCATTTGACCACCAGCTGGCCGACCTCAACGTGGGGCAGTTGGGTTCCAGGGAAAACAATTATCAGTGCCACTGACACGAAGGACCCATATGGACAAGCTGCGTGGTCCTCGATGTGGCTACAGGCGGATCTTCACAACTATGTATGTCCTGTGCTCTGCGATTTCTTCTTTTCAAAATGGAGTTGATGCTCACCCCGTTAGACCACCACTGGTTTATTCTCGACAACTGTCAGCCCCACACCTGTGCCCAGCAGTGAGCTGGTCTTGCCACCCCGCGACTATTTTGGTGCCACAGACTGCTATAATTTCCCCAAAGATTTTGTGTTTGGTGTTGCAGGGAGTGCAGCCCAGATCGAAGGTGCAGTTGGGTTGGATGGTCGAGGACCTTCGTTGTTGGAGAAATTGGTACCCGACAGTAAGCCGAAGGACTATGTCACCAACGAAAACTATTTCTTGTATAAGCAAGATATACAGCGACTAGCTGCGATGGGCGTGGAGTATTACAGCTTTACAATTCCCTGGACGCGGATTTTGCCTTTTGCTCTGCCAGGAACACCTGTCAATCAACAAGCCATTGATCATTATAATGACTTGATTGACACAGTCCTCGATGCAGGAATGACGGTAAGAAAATCCCAGATATCTCTGTATATGCCCGTTAAGTTCTAATATTCTAACGTCATTGCAGCCAGTGGTTACAATGCTTCATTTCGACAGCCCATTATTGTTTGTCGCCAGCGACAATATCACGAAACACCCAGATATTGGCTACAACAATGCGGGCTATCAAAATGAAACTTTTGTCGACGCATTTGTCAACTATGGAAAGGTATGATTTCTATTCCACAAGTCATCAATCCTCACGCAAGTCTGACGCGGCTTTTTCCCCAGGTTCTACTTTCTCATTATGCAGACCGAGTCCCAATCTGGGTGACCTTCAATGAGCCCCTCCTCTACGCATTCAATTTCAAAGGAGCAGACCACGTTGTCAAGGCACATGCGCAGGTCTATCACTTCTATCATGATACTTTAAAGGCTACAGGGAAAATTGGGATCAAGTTCAACGATAACTTTGGAGTGCCTAAAGATCCGAAGAATTCTAGCCATGTTCTGGCAGCCGATCGCTTCCAAGAAATGCAACTGGGTATCTTCGCAAATCCAATCTTCTTGGGTAAGCAGTACCCAAAGTCCGTGTTAGACACGCTCCCCGGAGCCAAGCCCTTGAGCAAATCCGAACTGAAACACATCCACAACACATCCGACTTTTTTGGGATTGATCCGTACACTGCTACGGTAGTATCTCCAGCCGATGAAGGCATCAAGGCTTGCGCTGCCAACAAATCAAGCTCGAATGAGCTTTTCCCATATTGCGTCAAGCAAGAAACAAAAAATGTTTACGGATGGAACATTGGATATCGCTCCGATTCCTACGTGTATATCACACCGACGCATTTCCGAGAGTATCTCTTCTACCTGTGGAACACTTTCCGAAGCCCAATTCTGGTGTCGGAGTTCGGGTTTCCGGTACACGCAGAAGCGGAACTGGAAGAGCTCTCTGATCAGCTTTTTGACTCTCCACGTAGCGTCTATTATCTTTCCTTCATGTCTGAAATTCTCAAGTCGATATATGAAGACGGTGTGCATGTTATGGGAGCACTTGCTTGGAGCTTCGTCGACAATTGGGAGTTCGGAGACTACACGCAGCAATTTGGAATACAAAGCGTCAATCGCACGACCCAGCAGCGACACTACAAGAAGAGCTTCTTTGACCTGGTTGATTTTGTGAAAACTCGACAGCCGAACAAAGACTGAGGTGGCCCACAGCGAATTTCAGGTAGCTAGAGTGACAAACCTAGGATAGACTTGATGAACGAGGACATTGAATCACATTTCCTACAATAACCGTATGTAGTATACGAAAGGTATGTAGTAATACGAAAGGAAATTGGCACATAAGATCTCCTCCCGAGGTCCGTGATGTATAAAGTAATCCGTTCTTTTCCTCCAATTCTTTGGTGTGACCCTCTTTTCTGGTATGATATTCCAAGTAAGCTGGCGAAAAATGCCCTGCCTGATCACCAAGGAATGTCTTTGCCATCATATTGATTTGGACCCTCTCGCGTCTCCCATCCAGGGACATGTATGTTCACAAATCTTCCGTTCTGCTCCGGCGTTGCCTTTTGTATGATATCCAGAATCTTCTCGGCACCAACCTCAACCGGAAGATCTGCTCGCTGGCTACCAAGATCGGTGCGAAGCCACTTTTGATGTTAGTAAAATTCGCGAAATTTGCGATCAACAAATAACGGAAAGGGCTTGACTTACACCAGGGCTGATCGTAAGAAAGGTGAAGCCATCATCCGCATATTGCCGGGCATATTGCACAGTGAGCATGTTTAATGCGGCCTTTGAGATCTTATATGCCGGTGACAATATGGGTCGAAAAGCATCAGCCATAGCTATGGAGCCTATAGTGGTCGATCTTGTATTTGGGTCAGCTTTTTAGAGTGTATAAATGGCTCATGTAGTTTCGTTCCAATGTTCTCACATGTTGATTACTGTTTTCTTCTCGCCTTTGCGCAGAAGTGGCAGGAAAGCGCGCGATACAATATGTGGAGCAGTAACATTGACATTGAATGTCTCGTTTAGATTGTCCCTATGAAATCAGTATCGTAGCAAGACTTCTGACAGGATATCCAACGTACATTCCTTCCAGTCCTGTTGGTGACCAGTCACTCACTCCCGCGTTGTTGATCAAATAGTCAAGCCCTTTCCCTTGCAGCTGGCGTTCTACTGCCGCCACAGCTTCTTTCACACTTGATTCATTGGTGACATCTAGATTAACCATATGCACTCGCCCTGGTGAGGCACTTTCAATTTCCTTCAATCGAGCAGAATTGTCCTGGCGCGCGGTGGCGATGATTGGCCCCACCTCGGTTTTCGGCAATGTGGCTAGACGGGTAATCAGCGCCAATCCTAGCCCCCGAGAAGAGCCAGTCACTAGATAGGACGCCATGGTTTGCGGAAGTAGTGTTCAGATAAATTTGACTAGCAGTATTCTAATTGGTAAAATAGGATGGGAGGTTCGAAGGAGGTTTGAAGTGTAATGATTGCGCAGAAAATATGATGGGGAAACTCCCGGGAAGAGTCATGACTCGCAGATGAACAAAACATTGTGGTTGCCTCCAAGTCTACTACATGCTTAATGTACCTGAATAAACATATATCTGTCATCTCCATTAATCTCCGGTCGGACTTTTATACGTACATAGGTTAGTAGGAACCTACCAAGGTATCTATTTGGACTTAGATTGCTATACTTTTATCCAAGAACATCTGGAAACCTATGAGGATAATTGTTAGTGTCTGCGCTTTATATACCAAGAACAACATCTTTTAGTGGGGTTCCGACAATATTTTATTTGGATTAACATTGTTTGCTAACTGCAAAAAGGACCAGTGTCATGCAAGGCTATAGATACATTATATATCATGCTTTGTGACATCGAGGTTTTCCACACTAACTACTTTACAGTCCCGTGAACATCAACACACTGCAATTCGCTGGTATCACTGGTATTTACAGGATAGAAAAAGAAATTATAACGTTAATAACGGGGGAAAAAGCCAACTGTAAGTGGCATGCTATCTCAATGTCAGGGACGATCACGTGCGACTTACGTCACCGAGTTGGGGTCCCGACAAGATCGTCCACTTGTTCTTCATTATTTTCCCTCTCAAAGCCATTGGTTTGCTAAGTTTCGCAGAGGGGTGGATCTTTAGGTGCATTGACGCCATGGCTGACTCCTTCACCCTGCCTTTGCGCCCCATCCCTGAGAAGCGTGATCGTCCAGATACTTTGCCTGTGGAGATTGCGCAAATCAACAATCAGTGGGGCTCATTTCGCGAGGTGAACGAAGATGTTCTTCGAAACAAGATTGCAGAGGAGGCAGAAAAAGATGGCCTAGATGAGGTAGACGAGAGTGACCAGGATGCGAGCGATCCTGACTCAACGGAGCGCTTGGAGCAACTGTACAAGCGGCGTGCCGAGATCACTCAGTTCGCCATGTGAGTCTAATGGTCTTGAAGTTATGTCTTCAGCGCGCGAGAACTGACAATTTCCCAGGCAAGCTCACATGGAGACCATGTTTGCCCTTGACTTCGTCTCCCTTTTGCTCTCCAAGCAGGCCCCGCGTCAGGCCGAAACCTCCATGTCGGCCTTCCTCAAGCAAGTCGCACCGCTTGGTTCGCTCAATGCCGAGGTCGTGAACCCTCCCCCGAAGCCGGAATCTACAACCAAAGACATAGCAGCAGTATCGAGAGGATGGCGGATCCAAAATTTCAACGCGGCGGCAAACAAGCTTCTGCAGGCCGCCTCCAGACTTGAAACCGAAGTCGCGTCGGAGACTCGATATTGGAATGAGGTGCTGGCTGTTAAGGATAAAGGATGGAAAGTTTCCCGTCTCCCGCGCGAAAGGCAATCTCTGGGCGTGCAATATGGGTTCCTTGAAGGTGAGCGCATACCGACCTGACTGATACTGCAGGAAGCATCTGCTGACCACAACCAAATACAGCGACGCCTGTTTTCCGCGATCGCGGCCTTGCTTCCTTACGCCGAGCTGAGGATGGGGCTTTGTTATTAGATGAAGGGTTGATCCCCTCCAAAGCCCGTTTTGTCCGGGTACGGGTGATACAGGATGGTCGCCTTTCGGGAAGCTCTAAACCGACGCGTTCCACCTTCAACGGTGACGGAACGATTGAGGACCGCATTCTGCAAGCGCGTGATACTGTTTATGAAGAAGAGCTATTCCACGAGCTAGTCCGAGAAGCCCGAGCGATTGCGAGCTTTGGCGTGACGACACGCCAGAATCTCATTCAAATTCCTGCTTCCGATGACCTCGAAATTTTACTGGACTTGGTTGATACTGATGAAGATACCTTGCAACCCGAACATAATATCTCACAGCATGGAACTTCTCTTGCAGAGGGCTTGTCACATACGATCCGGATATTGTTGGCATATGCCCACCGTCAAAACTTGCGTCGTCGGACTCTACTTCCACTGCCCCTGACCCCGAAAACGCGATCTGTTCCTGAGCACCAACTGATTCGGCCAGCTCTAGCTTACATCAAGCACATATCCCATGTGCGCTGGCTTCAGTCATTACTGAAGGACCTTTTCGGTGTTTTGCAATCGGCAAATTTGAAACCTCCAGCGTACACTGCAAGAGTCTTTTCGACAGGGAGAGAGAGACAAGACTCTCCTGCTCCACCAGTGGAGGCTCTCGTCGGACAGTTCCTTACCCCCTTGCTGTCTACATTCAATGGGAAAATTTTGACCCCTCGGGGTTCTTTCTCAATCGCGATTCACACCAACCTTTCCTCACCACCCTTCGGCACCACCTTTGATGTTTCATTCAATATGCCCAAGTCCCCGGACCTTGAGTCTCCTGGTAAACTTTCTCACAGGGAAGAAGTGGAAGCCGCCATCACCCATCTCTTGTTGCTTGATGTCGTTTTCACTATCTCATCCAACAACAGTTCACCAAAATCCGAGGGTGACAAGGACCAAGCGAAACGCACCTGGGAAGCGATTTACCCTCAACATGGTGAACTTCTGATGCCTTTTTCCAAATCAGAAAAACGAAAAAAGATGAAGATTGCTCTGTCCCGTCATGAACTGTCTCTCGAGATCTACACCGTGCGCTGTATTGACGGAACCGGGCGCGGGAATTGGGAAAAGCCCTCTTACCATTCAAGGCCGCATACTTGGAAACCATCTCCTATTGCTGGATCACCCAACCAGCCCTCTTTGATGGATGTTGTGTCCACCGAGGTGTCACTTTCGTGACCCACAGAGAGCGCAGATTGGTATCGGGCCGAACCACTCCACTCCAGGCCGCCTTGAGCCGATATCCGCTCCCCGATTTTCAATCACAGGGCTTGTGGTTTAGTGGTATAATACTCCCTTAGCATGGGAGTGGTCCGGGGTTCGATTCCCCGCGAGTCCATGTCTTTTTGTTTCTGATATTTTTTTCTTGAAGCAAAAAGTCGTGATGGCTCGCTCGCGAGGTGAAGTAGTGGGTCTATGGAAAATTTTTTCTTCCCCTTCTATTTTCGCAAAAATAAATAAGAAATGGGTTGAATACCCTGTACAAAATGGAAAAGGTTGAATTGAAATACTTCTGTTTGAATAACGAACATACCGTGCACCAGCGTGCTCAATTCATAGCTTCGAGCCTAGTGCATTGACGGCCCCTGGGACTGTGAGGGTCTCTCGGAGTCTCTTTTCGCCCAGTCCATATGCAACTGGGAGCCAATCACTGACATCCTCGCCCAGAATCATCAAAGCCAACGCCTCGCCACTCATCAGGCTGTTCGCCATACCATATCCATTGAATGCAGCAGCAATCCATTCGCCGTCACCTTCCCGACCTGTCAGCGTCGGTGACAATCGTCCGACTATTGGCAGACCATCAGAGGAATAACCCATAATCCCACTCCATGAACTGACCAGTCGCCAATCGGATGTATCGTTTTTGCCAAAGAATCGCGGGAGGACGACCTCCAAGTGTTTAACGGAGTGGTCGGCCACAAAGCTGTCATCTGCAGATATTGACTCATCAAAACGCGCATGCTCGCCGCCGAAGTAGAAATAACCGGTCTTTGCACTCTGTCCTAGGTAGTACAGTCCATATCCAAGATGTTGGGTTTCAGGATCATAGGATGGAGGGTAGTGGAAGCCCCATGACACGGCCGCGCCTTGATTTGACACAGCATTCTGAGAGTCTTGAACTGTCATCGTTCCTTTGAAAGGATGGACAAGCCCTCGTAGGTGAGGAAGGAGATGTCCGCTGTACCCATTAGTGCAATGAACTACAGTCCGTGCTCGTAGTGGACCGCGAGAAGTGCGCAGCGTATATGGGTAAATACTCGTGATGGGCGAGGCAAGTATCGAGCTGTGCTCAACGGACTCAACCGGTGTATGTGTCTCAATTGTCAGGCGACCTGGGTATTTTTCCAAGAGTGCAGCGAATACTTTGGTGACAAGACGATATGGCCAGACTGTTCCAGCAGGAAGCAGTGCTCCACCAAATGCTCCATGAATTCCATATTCCTAAAAAGGAAAGATCAGAATGACACCTATTACCACATGGGCGACAAGACTCACCTTGAGCACAGCATCCGCATCCAAAATTGTATACAGCCCCTTCTTAGAAGGATGATCCACCTCTAAGCGCGCTATGCTTTTCTTGAAGTCGTCAAACTTCCCCTGGGTCAAAAAGACTCGCAGCTTCCGCAGACGTTGCATCTCGCTCAACTCCACAGCATCATATTCTTCAATCAATTCCTGCATCTTCTCCAAATTGCGGAATGTGAAATCCACAACCTTGCCTGCCGTTTCGATCCCATGAGTCTCTGCAAGATGCATATACTGCTCTCCGGCATTCGCCGCCATCTGCCCACCATTGCGCCCAGTCGCACCCGAACAGAGCGTGCGGGCTTCCAAAACGGTTACTGTGGCAGTAGGGTGGCATTCCAAGAGAGTTCTAGCTACCGATAGACCCGTGATCCCGGACCCAATGATCACAAAATCTCGGTCAGGTGGCAATTTTGACGATTGGACGTCGGCGAGAGCATGTGGAATGTGCTGCCAGTAGGACTCAGTGGGATTGGGTCGTGGCAGGCCTGGGTCAGCCGTAACGAGGCTGAAGACTAGACTGTGTTAATCTTCCATTTATACTGCGGCAGAGTTAAGCGTGATAGCACATCAGTCAACTTCAGGAATGGGGGTTGATTGGGGTTACCTGAATCATTTGGCGCCATGGCAAAGGATGTAAAAAGGCCCAGAATTCAATAGTTTGAGCTAATAACGAAGCCAGAATCTGTAATTGATCTTTTAATTAGGAATAACTAAGTTTAATTTGGGTTTAAGATAATAGGAGCTGGTATGGAGTAGATATATGGATGTAGGCACCGTGCGGGGTCTTATCTCAAAAGGATCGAACTGCCCAAGTGGGAATAGAGTGAATTCTCTCTGGTATCCCGATATCGCAATAGTTTCTGCAAAGGCGAGATTGTTATACTATATACATCGCTTGGTCTAACTGGTTACTTCAATTACCAAAATACACGAATATACTAGGGTCTCTTGAATAATGCCGTACAACCTCTTTCGGGAAGTGCGCCCTGACGGTAACCCCCGGCCCGCCTTCTACGACGAAGATGGAGTACCACTTTACGAGGATCCCTACCAGGCCCTCTTGTCTCATATTGTGCGCAATAACGACGTCGCATCTCTCTACCTGTATAGTGAGAGCCCCAACACGAAGGTCTTTTGGGAAGGATACGAACCGCCCTACAACCATCCATTCATTCTTGCATCGTCAGAATGCCGTAGCGTGGAGGTGCTCAAGGCACTACTAGAGATATATCTGGCAGATTCCGCACTCACAGAACCCCTTGTCACGTATCTCGGGCGCATTCACTGCTCCCCAATAAATGATGCATGCGCGGCTGCCAACCGGGACCTAATGTTCTGGTTACTTAACCATGATCCACCGTTGGGAAACTTGCATGATCGAGGGGTGGAGGGTGACACGCCCCTGTTCAGCGCGGCTCAAGCATTGGGAGATCAATATAATTTCCCCGGTACGATCGCCGCAAGACATAGAAAGCGGGACCAAATTACACGCATAGAAGACTTTATTTACTTTCTTCTGGACCTGGGCTGTTCGGTTCCGAACTCCAATGTCTATGCACACCCGTACGGGGTAACAGCCCCATCCCACTTGGATCAACCACGCGCGAAGGTGGTGAATACAGTGCTCGGTGCCGCTATCCCTCACGCCAGCTATCAGATGGTATCTCGTCTTATCGCTGAGGGAGCTGACGTCCACGCCCGTCAAATGTGGTCCACTGGCCCTGGGAGCATTGGTTGGGGCAAACAAGTGACCGCCTTACATATTGCAGCTCATCACTGGAACCTAGAGGGAATTCAAGCGCTGGCTGATCACTTGGGCGAGGTGGGCATCACAGAGATGGCTTCGATTGCTGATGATTCTGGGCGGCTTCCCCTCCACTGCGCCTTGGCTGGGGATAAGGATGGCCGATCGGATATGTTTGGCAGGGACGATCAAGAAGAGATTACAGCTCACATTATGCGCACTGTGGAAGTGCTCCTCGAGGCCAATCCAGACGCACTCGCCTTGCGGGACCAGGAGGGTGTAACGGCGTTTCATTATGCGGTGACCTCCGAAGCTGGCCTGCCGAGTATTCTACCCGTGGTTAAGTTGCTTCTGCGTTTCAACCCGCTTCCTTCCTCTGTATCGAGTTCCCGCAATCACAAAGGCTGGACGCTCCTAGGGGCTGCAATCGACCACTATGCAAGACGACGCGGTAGTCCGAGTGACCAACTCTTGGAGTTACTTGTCCTCCTCCTCGAGAATGGAGCTGATGGCCGCACATGCAACGACAAATCACAGAATTTGTTACATACAGTGGCGATGTTCCCGGACACCGATTGCGCGGATGCTGCTATCATAGACAAATTAGTGGAGTTTGTCAATGTTAACCATGTCGATGCTGACGGCCATACGCCGCTTCATCTTATGGTTCGGCGTCTAAATCGGATCAACGCCGTTCGACATCTAATCAGTCGGGGGGCGAATGTCAATGTGGTTGATAAAAAAGGAAACTCTCCTCTCCATGAGGCAATGCATGGTAGACTGGCCCAGAGGGTGTTTGAGAACGGAACCGTCGAGCCCATTGACCGTGATCAGTTGAAAGGAATGCGGGCGGAGATGATCCAAGTCTTAGTGGATGCTGGAGCCTCAATGGGTCATTCAAATACATCGGGACAGACACCGCCACAGCTTCTCAATGAGCTAACAGAAATGGAAACGCGAAGACTGCAGAATTTCGGGCGACGTCGGGGACGAGGAAGAAGATGACTCTCTCGCCATGTAAGAAAATGAAGCTTTTTATCCCATAAAAATCCATGCATGTCCATATTTATGGGTGTTAACCCACCTTGAAATGGAGATAGATGCATGGATTTGTATAGTGTAAAAAGCTTTATTTTGATGTATGACTAATTTACGTTACACTGTATAGAGCGGCCCCGGAGTCTAGAAAGCGGTGCTAATCCAGGAATTTAGGCATCAAGATCCCCCCTGAAGGGGGTTTTGAACCCTGGGTATACATAGGTAGAAAGGCCGGGGTAATTCCATGGGATAAATCCAAGAATCTTGGCGGACCCGGATATACGTTTGAGGCATGTAAATGGCGTAACTGCATTCCAGATAGCATTCCATACCAACTACGTAGGAACTTGGAACTAAAAATGCAAAAGGCTTGTTTTATAAATCTCCAATTTCGAGGGATGGGCTCGCTATAATAGTTCAATCATTTCCACTTTACCTTGCACTTTCATACTTTCGTTATATCTTGAATAATTCATTTACCTCACAATGAAGCTCTCTTCCATTATCCTTAGTATTTTTGCACTGGCCACAACTGGTCTCGCAGCGAAGACGTGCACCCCTAGCTTTGATTATTGCTCTGACGTCCTGATCAAAGACAAAGGTAACTTGTTTCCCATCAAGCATCAATGCGCCAGGCTAATTGAAGAAATAATAGGGTTTACCGAGGCCGATTTGAAGGATGTTTTGAAGGGGTCAGATCTAGAGAATGAGGATGTTAAGAATGTTCTATTCCATTGCACAAACCCCGGAGAAGTTGGGCACCCCAAGCTCTGCTCGAGCGGATGCAAAGACCCAGCTACAGAGGGTAGCCACTCGTGCTCAGGGTAAGTCATAGTCCTGATGTCAACATTCATTTCGCAACTGACAACGCAGCAGCTAAACCATGCTGGTTGCGAGAGGAGACTAGTTGAGCAATCTATACCTTTGGTAGTAAAGTTTCAGTATAAATGGACCTGAGGGCATCCACAATCCACACAATGATTCAATTTAGAAGACTATACGTATTCGCTCATAGCAGCCGCCACAGCGTAATGACAGTTCTCAGGAGGGGTCAACAAAAATGGAGAGGTGCCCCAGACTGCGGGCTGACAGTGAAACAAGTCATATTGTTGAGTTGCCAAAGTGATTTTGAATGCCTGTTAGTGAGTAGGCAACATTCATCGCATTTGGCCGTCAACTAGATCGGAAATATACCGATATCGTGGGCAAGCGGTAAGTACCGCACACAAGGCGCCGAAGAAGCCCATTGCCGAGATCTCGGAGGAGCAATAAATGAGACACGATATTCGTACAGGCGTCAGCCCATCCCGTCAGGACCGAATGACACTAATTTTTTTTACCATGCCAGATCAATTCCAAGCATGCGTTTTTCCACCCTCAGCTTTGCTGTTGCGCCTGTCTCCGACGATAGTAACATCATTTGTACTGTGACTATGGCGCTTAGAGCTGTCACTGAAGGTTGTAACTCCCACGCGGGATCGAAGGGGTCTGCGTAGCACATCATACAAGAACTAATCAAGGAGCTGCAGGCAAAACGTGTCAGCATCAAAAACGTGGCCCTAGGCCCTATGTTGTATGGACACATGTAAGTGGCACTGCAAAAGTCCTAGAACTGGTGCGACACTACCGGCCAGAGGCATCGCTCCTTTGGTGCGATTCTTATGCACCGAGGTTGTGTGAATGAACCGGTCAGACCATGTTTGCCAAGGGTCCACGGGTGGCTAGTTGTACACCAATAATAATCGGCTGCAGGGTTAAGCCCATAGTGAAGCAGAATAATAATGAATATGATGATGTTGATGACTATAATGGAGAATAATATGAATCAGCCCTCGAGGAAAGATGTCATCGCCAGACCAAACAAAGCGAACAAACCGATTAGTATTTATGACGTCAGTCAAGACCTCTCACCGCCTGCACTAAACCCAAATAGACCAAGCGGTGACATGCGTCTTGCAGGCAAATTGGAAGGGAACGCAGGTACCATGAAGGTATTGAAAAGGTCAGACCACTTTAATTTTGGGGGGATTATATACAGGTAGTTTAGAAGAGTCCTGTCCAGTTCATAATTTTCCTCAACAATTCCTTATGCTTCTTTAAATCCAACATATTACTTTAGCTTCAAGTTATTTCGTCTGTGACGCAAAGCACCCACTTCTGCCCAATTTCTCTCACCGGATTGGGTTTGACCCCTCCACAACCCACCCATTCATAACTGGAGCTTTACAACGCTTATCGGCTTCCTTTTTTTTTTTGACTTGTTTTCTTCTCAATCACCTCTCGTTTCATTCTCTTGATTATCGACCTGTATTTCAGGTCGAAGCCTTCAATTCGACATGGAGCCCATAAAGATTGCAACTCAGCCGGCTAAGAGACGCCGCATTGGTGTTCTCACCTCTGGTGGAGATGCTCCCGGTATGAACGGTGCCGTGCGAGCTGTCGTCCGTATGGCAATTCACTGCGACTGCGAAGCCTACGCCGTTTTCGAAGGATACGAAGGACTTGTCAATGGTGGAAACATGATCCGCCAGCTGCACTGGGAGGATGTCCGTGGCTGGTTGTCCCGCGGTGGTACCCTGATCGGCTCTGCCCGCAGCTTGGCATTCCGTGAGCGTGTTGGCCGTATGAAAGCAGCCAAAAACATGGTCCTGAAAGGTATCGATGCACTGGTCGTCTGTGGTGGTGACGGCAGTTTGACTGGTGCCGATGTCTTCCGTGCCGAGTGGCCCGGCTTGTTGTCAGACCTCATTGCCGCTGGGGAGTTGTCCCCTGAGCAGGTGGAACCCTACAAGGTGTTGAACATTGTGGGCCTGGTAGGTTCGATTGACAATGACATGTCTGGGACAGATGCCACCATTGGTTGCTATTCGTCCTTGACCCGTATCTGTGATGCCGTCGACGCTGTCTTCGATACTGCATTCTCCCACCAGCGTGGTTTCGTCATTGAGGTGATGGGCCGACACTGTGGATGGCTTGCCTTAATGTCGGCCATCAGTACTGGTGCAGACTGGATGTTCCTCCCTGAGATGCCCCCGCAGGAGGGTTGGGAGGATGACATGTGCTCCGTAATTACCAAGGTGGGAATTACTCCAGCGTTATTTAATGTCCTCTTTTTGCTAACTGATGGGGTTTGATAGAACCGAACCGAACGCGGCAAGCGCCGTACGATCGTTATTGTCGCCGAGGGAGCCCAGGATCGCCAATTAAACAGAGTGTCGAGCACGAAAATCAAGGATATTCTCACAGATCGGTTGGGATTGGACACTCGAGTCACCATTCTAGGCCACACCCAGCGAGGTGGCGCGGCGTGCGCTTATGACCGCTGGCTGTCAACTCTGCAGGGCGTGGAGGCCGTTCGTGCCGTGCTAGAAATGTCGCCCCAGTCCCCTTCACCAGTTATCACCATCCGCGAGAACAAGATCATGCGCACCCCTCTGATGGAAGCAGTTCAAGCAACGAAAGATGTGTCAGCGAAGATCGACAAAAAGGAGTTCGATGAGGCCATGATGCTCCGTGATCCTGAATTCAAGGAGTACTACAACGCATATTTGACTACCGCGACCCTGGACGACCCGAAGATGATTCTTCCAGAGGGCAAGGTATGCACTGAATTCCTCAGCCCATCCGGGCTACTCAGATACTTACTCTTTTACAGAGAATGCGAATCGCCATTATTCACGTCGGTGCCCCGGCTGGTGGTATGAACCAAGCGACCCGTGCCGCCGTTGCATACTGCCTGACCCGTGGACACACCCCACTGGCCATTCATAACGGTTTCCCCGGGTTGTGCCGTCACCACGACGATAAGCCAGTCAGCTCAGTCCGCGAGGTCTCTTGGCTGGAAGCTGATAGCTGGGTCAACGAGGGTGGTTCAGACATTGGAACTAACCGTAGCCTGCCATCTGTTGATATGGAGAACACTGCCAAGTGCTTTGAGCTGTACAAATTTGACGCCTTGTTTGTTGTTGGTGGTTTCGAGGCTTTCACAGCCGTCAGCGAACTGCGCAAGGCTCGTGCGAAGTATGATGCGTTCAAGATTCCGCTCATCGTGCTCCCAGCTACCATTTCTAACAACGTCCCGGGCACTGAATACTCCTTGGGCAGTGACACCTGCCTGAATACTCTGATCGACTTCTGTGATGCCATTCGTCAGTCCGCCTCCTCTTCTCGCCGCCGAGTGTTCGTGATTGAGACCCAAGGTGGCAAATCTGGATATATTGCGACCACAGCTGGCCTTGCTGTGGGTGCTGTGGCAGTGTACATTCCCGAAGAGGGTGTTGATATCAAGATGCTCTCGCGCGACATTGACTTCCTGCGTGACAACTTCATCCGCGACAAAGGAGCTAACCGTGCAGGCAAGATCATTCTGCGTAACGAATGTGCGTCCGGCACGTACACTACCCAGTTCATCGCCGACATGATCAAGGAAGAGGCCAAGGGCCGATTTGAGTCTCGTGCCGCTGTTCCTGGTCACTTCCAACAAGGTGGAAAGCCCTCGCCCATGGATCGTGTTCGTGCTATGCGTATGGCCATCAGGTGCATGCAGCACATCGAAGGGTATGCCGGCAAGAGCGGTGATGAAATCGCCGAGGACCCTCTCTCTACTGCTGTGATTGGCGTCAAGGGCTCACGTGTGCTATTCTCCCCCATGGGTGGCGAATCTGGACTGGAAGCTACCGAGACTGATTGGGTGCGCCGTCGCCCCAAGTCCGAGTTCTGGCTTGAACTGCAGGATGTCGTCAATGTTCTTTCCGGACGCACCCACGCTGGCAACAAGGAAAGCTGGTCTTGCTATGAGAGTACGTAAACCGACTGCGACCCTTCTTATTTGCTCACCCCTGTTCAATCCGTTTCGTCGCTGCTCGTTTTGCTCCTTTGGCCTTTTAAGGATCGGCTCCCCCGTACAGTGATCATATCTGGCGCCCCTCCAATGCGAATGTTAACAATTATCCCGTTTCCTACTTTCCAGGTCATCCTTCGACAGTCCGATCCGTCCCCTCGATTCCCGGCTCCCCTTGAAAGGATTTCCACCCAAGGACTTCAACTTCTTTCCCACCAACCATGGAATCCATGCCAATAACGCACCCGGGATATGCTTGAATGTTTCTTCCAAATACTGGCCGGCGAGCCATCCGCTAACTTGTGATGTTGAGGGCGATCGTACTGAACGTCCGTTACGCTTTGTACGATGCTATGCAATAAGTCCTCCCGACCCAAGGATGGTTTACGTGACATTTATGCCTGGGAGTTTGGGATTGTGGATTTCGTTTGATGCTTTTCTATCCCTCTTGAAGACACTTGGTCTACGACACAAAGTGCGTTGCAGATAGAACCATCAATTTCAGCCCTCGAATTATTTCAAATGAAGCTAAAACGCCACGGGCGACTGCTATCGTGAAGATAAAAGAGGTACTCCAAAAACAGTACTATAGAATTGCTGAGGCTGTATCAGTCGTAGCACTGATCCCGAAATCACACAGAATGAACCCCGGACAGATGCATTATTCCAGGGTTCAATGTGGAGTTCAATGACTACGGGTTTACCGTGTTCTCCAGTTCATCGAGTAGCTCCACTGTCTCAGCGGGGCTTGCAATCCAGGCAGTTGTGGATGCAAGGCGGGCCTAATTAGAAAAAAAAAAAGATGTTAGTCCGACTAGTAACCAAGGAGGGTTTAATAATTTTCCCACCTTAAAGTCATTAGCCCCAGCCGATAAGAACTGATCGCCAACATGCAGTGTTTTGGCTGGATCGATGCCACCAAAGTAGCGCTGACAGGCGCGCACACCCCATGATTTGTCGCCAATATCCACAAAGACATCATTTCCACCGTTGAAAGCACAAAACGGCAATCGTGCCCCAACAGCGGAACGCTGGACCGTGTTCTGCACCACCAAAACAGTCTCTTCCAATTGCTCACGACTGATTCGAACACCGTTTACCGGGTAGACACCAACGGCACGATCCTTGCGCAGAATAGCAGCAGGCAGATTGAGATTTTCGGCACAGGCTCGCAGAGCCGACTCGGCAATATCAAGAAGCTGGGTAATATCATCATCACTCCAGGACTGCATCTCATCCAGCAACCATTCGTTCCGCGGCACGTAGGTCAGTCGGGCGTCTGATGTCGGGTCGAAACGGAACAAGAAATTGCTCTCGCCGCCCATAACAATCAGTCCTTGTTTCTGATCGGGAGTGAGAGTAGTTGAATCGTGCATCGCATCGAGCAGACCCTGAAGGCGCTCGTAGTACTTTGGCGCATCGGTGTACCCGGCCGCTGTCACAATGCCGACCTTGCGGTCCTGTTCAAGGAGTCGCAGAATCCGCGGGATGACTGGGTTGTCGGGTGTGAGACAGGCGCCGTCGTCGTAGAGTGTTACATCTCCATCGAATGTGACTAGTTCCACACCGCTGGAGCGAACAAGACCTATCACCTGGGCGGAGTTTAGGATAAGTCTGATATCGTTGAATGAAGGGGCGACGAAGCGTCGACGGCTGATGAATCGCTGCTGGTCTTGATACTTGAATGCATCTTCCAGATATAGTTTGGTGAAAAAAAGGCCGACGGATGGCACGAGGAGGTTCAATTTCGATTTGCCGGGGGCATTGCGTTCGTGGTGTTGGACTTCACAGAGCGATTAGGTATCTTCCCCTATTGCTTGATTTCTATTAATCCACTTACTGTGATCAAGCATCAATCTCTCTACATCACGCATAATCTCTGCATAGCGATGGTGGGTGTCGGCCGCGACTGTCTTCAGCACCTCACCGTTTTCCTTGTAGATGGCGGTGGGCTGGGAATGCAGGACAAAGGGGACGGCCAGTAGACCCTAGAGGGATTAGAATCGGCCAATATGACACGACTGAGCGACATACTTTGATCCATTCGATCTACAGGTTGTTAGGCAGGTTCTTTTGGATATTTTAGATACGTAATCACTTACTAGTTGATCCCGGCGATGGGTCTATATGGCTGCGGAGTCAATGAGGGGCACAACATTGTGGGAGATGGCCGTACCTTGAGGGCATCTAAGATTTGTCAGCGAAGACATCTGGATAAATCACGAAATCAATAGGTGTGACGTACATTCTACTCTATATCGCGTTGTCATGATTGAATGGTACCACTTACCTAGGTAGGCAGGAGAGAAAGATGGTGCCTGGATGACCGGGGGTGTTAGCTTAGCTGGTGCACGTCCCTTCAGTGACTCACGCGGAGCTCGGAGTAGGTATACACAACGTACGAATACGAAGGACCTCGGGAATAAGCAATCTCGGAGTTCACCATTATTCTATTGGTCAAATGGGCCTGATTCATCATTGCGGAAAATTTAGTTTAGCCTTATCCTCGTACTAAATGACTGGATCTGGACCCCTGCTCGTACCAGCTGCAATCACTATTGGTCTCCCCAAAGTCCCTTGAACACAGTGGCCTATACAAGGCATCATTAATTTGTAAGCCCTTTGAGATGACTCCGAGTGTCGAAAGAAACCCCTCAACACTGCCACGATGTCTGACCAAGTCATTCCTGACTAGCAGATGCTTGATTGGAAATATAATGCCCGAGAATGCAGATCCAGCAGAACTATAAGTATTTGGGATGGCGACCCATTTTTTACATCCACAAAACACAAAATCATTGAATATCAAAACATCCTTCCTGTGGAAAAAGCAACAGCGAATCCCAAACTCCATCAAAAGCAATGCTAGCTGTATCTATACAGTCCACTTCACCAACCATGAACAAGTCCGAACATTACGATGCCCCACCAATGTATTCCCCATCTGAGGAATTCAATTCATTCCTCGATGAAAAGAAAGACAATCCCATGATACTCCTACCTGAACAAAACGAGCCCGGGTTTGCAGTTGCATCTGCTCTCAGCCGAGGCCTGCAAGTACCATCCCGATCCGGTGCCTGCACATCAGGATTCGAGTATCCAGATGAATTATCTCATTACAGCGTCTCCGAACACCACTGGGCGCAGTTCACACAAGTAGTCTGCGACGAGGCTAAGCTTTCACGTCAGCAGTGGACCACTGTGGTTGGCAAAGGCTTAGGCACAATGGCAGTGGGCGGGCTCATGGTCGGCATTCTGGGTGCTATCCCTGCGATCTTCGTTGCCCGTCTCACCAGAAATCGACAAGAACAACGGAATTTGATATCGTCATTGGCTGGAGCTCGCGGTGAACGTCTTGCTCAACACATCTCGCAATGGAACGAGACTGTATTTCGGCCAAGGGGTATTTTGATCCGGGTCGATTTGCCTGATGAATATCTGAATGATATGCAAGATATGGATATTCGCACAAGTGGTGGATCGGCAGGGTCTGCTAGGAAGTCGCGAGATAAGGCTGCGCTCAAGGCGAGAATTGTGATCATCCCTCTAGATGGGCCGACGTCAACGGGGAATTCTTCAAGTTGGCACAATCGTGGTTAAAGGAACGGACAAAAGAATTCGGGAACAAAAGGACATACGGTTTTTCATTCATGTATTTCAGCGGCGGCGGTAAGAGGTCACGAACAGCTTATTATAATTCAAAAGCGGTTTATTCAATCATGATGGTATCATTATTCAAAAAGATATTCCTTCTCTAATGACTAGCAAGTGGACATTAGAGAAATCCAAATCATAAAAAAAGAAAGATTACGGCATAGGTGACATTCAAACCCGGCCCTCTCTATCCTGCCTCTCAACATGTTGAGCCATCCCGTGCGTCTGCACCGCCATCTCCATCTTCTCATCCACAGCTTGGTCACGCTCATCGGCATCCTGGTTACCATAGCGGCCAATCTTGTACCACGGCAAAGCAAAGAGACGATCCATACTCTCCAGCGAGCGGCCAGCCGTCTCCGGAATACTGAACCAGACCCAAACACCACCGATAATGGTAATGGCCGCAAAGCACCAGAAGGTACCCTTGGGGTCAATTCCGCCCTTTGCGACGGGGAGAAGCATATTGGGAACTGCGCGGGCATTACCATATTGGTTGGCAAAGTGGAGAGTCATAGCCATAGAAGTGCAAAGAGCACGGATCCGAAGGGGGAAGAGCTCTGCAGTCAGAAGATACTGCATTGAGTTCCAGCCCAGAGCCCATCCAAATCCAGAGACGTAGATCATTGCAATGGCTCCCTCGCTAGCGGCCTTCTTGTCAGCCGGGACCTTGTACTTCTCGTCGACGCCCATGAGGGGAACGGAGGTCAAGAAGCCGGCGATGTAGATCATGGAAATTGCTTGGAGGGTGATACCAAGGAGTAGGGCGCGCTTGCGTCCAATCACATCGACCAGGAAAAGAGCACAGAGAATTGCGGCAATCAGTTTGACGATTCCAAACACTGCAGTCACCAGCAGAGACTCATTGCTGCCTGTGACTCCTAGCAGCTTGAATAAATCAGGGGCGTAGACAGTGATACTACCGGCACCGGACCACTGGGAAAGAAGCTGGGCCATGAAGGTGAGGTAGACTCGGTAGAGGTTTGATGGGACCAGGAAGGTTTCCTTGATCACGCCCATAGCGCCAGACCCCATAGTGGCTTCCATCTCAGCTGCATGGGTTGTTTGAATAACGGAAATCTCGCGTACAACGTATTCATCGTCGGTTGGTAGGCCACGGATTTTTGAGAGATTGGAGATGGCCTTTTCGAGCTGGCCGCGTTTGACTAGGTATCGGGGTGATTCGTGCTGGAGGAAGGAGAGGAGGAAGATTATGCCGGCAAACATAATATGCAGACTTGTGGGAACGAGCTATCTTCAAGTCAGTATTGGTAATATAAGTGGTTCCGGGCGGATCACACATACCCATCGGTTGTGAGTTTTGTCGCCGAGATTGAGCTGGCAGCCATAGTTGGCGAAATATGCGAGTACAATACCCAAATAGACAAAGCCTGTGAAGACACAGGTACAGAGTCCACGGATAGAAGCGGGGGCCTTTTTTTTTGTTAGTTGATGTAAAAATAGGACTTGGATAACGAGCAACTCACAATTTCAGCAAGATATACTGGAGCAACGACAACTGTTTGGCCTACACCGAGTCCAGCAATAAAGCGACCAGCATAGACAGCACCCAAGTGGCCACCGTTGGCCATGAAAATTGCGATTCCAATGATCCATAAAACGCAAAGTTGGCGAGTTGCCCAGATACGGCCGATGCGATCACAAACTAAAAAGGCACTGTATAAGAACAGACCGGGTTAGCGACACGAGATCCGATATAACAGAGAGCAAGGAGGAACCCACAAAAGAGCGCCTGCAACAGATCCAATTTGGACCATTGCGGTAACATTTCCCTTGATGTTGGTCTGTTCCACTTCGCTGTACGATTCATAGTTGATGTAATGTTGAAAGTCTTTAGAATTGAAAGCGCCTGAGATCAAACCCTCATCGACACCTCGGGCAGCGCCCATCAGGCCAAATGAGATGACCGCAAACCATAATCGCCAGTTGAAGACCTCCTTAGGCTCGCCGAGGTCTTTAAGGCGGAATATATTGACTGGTTTCTTTGCTCCGCCGGCCATCGTGGGCAACACTCAATTATGTAGTTGAATGCGGGGGAGAATGTCAAAGGCAAAGCCGGGGTAGTAGAAGAGAAAAATGCACAGATGTGAGCCACAGCGCAAGCGGTCTTTATAGCTATGAGATCTCAATTCCCCGACATGCGGGGAAAATCTGGGGGCGAGGGGCATCGGAAATTTCAGCCCCGAGAAATTCTGTCAAGACCGATTTAGGAATTCCCAGTCGAAATGAGCCGTAGACCAGTGAGACATGATACACATGATACACATGATACACCGGGACAGGCTTAGGCTAAGGCCTCGGGAACAAGTGCCAAGGGAGCTTGCGTCTCGAGTCCCAAGCCCGCTCCACTCTCATTTGACGAAGTTGCCGTCTTTCTCTTTCCGGAGTTTTTTTTGAACGGGACATGACCGAGTCCCCGAATCACCACATGGTCGCAATTTGGAATCCAATATGCAGCTTCACTTAAGAACTGCAGGGGGGTCGCTGCAGCCCACTTTTCCTTTTTTCGTTATGTTTTTGTATCTTCATTCCCAGACATTCTTGACTTTCTACTCCATACGCAGTACTGGAGTACCTGAACCGCCAAGACTATTGTTTCCTCCATCAAACCTTGACAGAGAGTTTCGGACAACGTCCGTAGAAAAATGTGTGTGCGCGTGCCATATGTGGCTTGCAGGGATAAAGAGGTCCACTGGGGAGATGTTAGCCTCTTTATCGCGGGGGCGAAAACTGGAGAAAGCCCCATCCATGACTGATGTAAAGCCACCGATTGGTTCACAGATCACCACAACTCTCCCTTGGTCTGGAAAGGGAAGGCGCACTGTTTCTTGGCGTGGGGTGCGCTTGGACAACCACGCAAGATTCTACTTCTCGCGTGTGAGCAATAGGGATGACCGTGCCGAGAGGGTCGGCAATCCTTTTGAGGCATAATAGTCGGGTTCTGCAATCTCCTGGCAACATGGTTGATTATTAAACTCTGCCAACCCCCGATCTTAGGAAGTACCTAGGTAAGAATCGTACAGCTCTAGAACATTTGGTCCGTTCTTCGGCGTTTATTGTCGCTGCAATATCACCTCGGTCCTTGCAGTATCAAGGAATGCCCTCAGACGGGAGTCAGACCAGCCATTCAACGCAGCCTCAAACTTGGAATCCGGAGTACATTTCGAAACCACTTCTTTTACACGCAATACATTGTGACAACTGACCCTAATCATGGTGGGTCTAAGGAGTGACACCAAAAGAACAGGGTATCTCGCAATTCTACGCGTGCTAATGCCAATGGAGCTCTAAGTTGACCTATCTCTTTGCCCGAGAATCGGAGGTTTAAAAAGGTAATATGGATCAGTTGATTGTTCGAGACCGAGGCTAGTGCGCGATGGTGCGGAGTCGTCAGTTCATCAACTCGGAAAATAAGATAGAGGACAAAAGTGATTGGTGGAGCTATAGAGCATAGCTATGGTCGCCAGCGGAACCCAGGATTGCGCCAGTCCAGATCCTGAATCTGTTTCTGGGAAAGTCCCGCCAAGGCGCTGTGGACGTCGACGCGCGCACGGCGCCGGTTGTCCCATATAATATAAGCCCACAGGCTGGCTCCGAGGAGGAGAGTGGTGCTTGAAGTTGCCAAGTTGAGCCCATTACCAATCGGATAGTTGGGCCCATCAAAAGGCAAGAATGACCAGGTGCTGATGAGCCCACCAATATTTCCGAACATCACCGTGGTTCCAATAGCCGAAGATCTCGCGGTGTCTCCGATGACATTCGCAGACGCGTTTGCTGTGCATAAGGCCCCAAAGGCGAAGGCCCCACAGGCGATAAGGAAGGTGGCCCCATACCGTACCATGCCATCTTCGCTAGCCAGGAACATGATATAACCTGTATGAATCCCCATGATGATCAGCTTGGAACCATTTATACCCTGAACTCTTTATTGCGTCCAAGGTTGCTTAAGGAGTTGAGACTTACCAGTCATCATTAGCGGCGGGCTGATAATGAAGAAGATGAGGCGATGATCGAATCGCCAACTGAGGTAGGGGAATAGCACAGTGAAAAATGCGCCCACAACATAAGGAGGCACTGTGTGCAGCTGTTGAGACACCACAGTGGCATGGGGGTAGATGGTTTTGACAATGGTAGGTGCAAAGAATCCAAGACCCTGAACAGTAATGTTGTTCAACATGAAGATTATCGCGGTTACGAGTGTCACTGGGCTGAAGATACCACGCAGTGTCTTGGCTACATCGAGCTTGTCGAGGACCTCCGTCGTGCCAACACGTTCCGATTTGACACGGGCAATGGCCAGATCCTTCTCTTCCTGAGTGAGCCATTTGGCGGTCTCAGGTCGGTCGGTCAACGTGAAGAATGCGACGAGAGCAATTCCAATTGTGACGATGCCTTCAATCGCGAAGATCATACGCCAGCTGCGGAGAGAACCGAAGCTATCGAGCATGAGAATACCAGAGGCTAGAAGACCACCGAACGCTCCAGCGAGGGGAGCCATGACGATATACAACGACAGACGGAAGGCAAGTTCACTTCGTCGATACCAACGTGAGAGATAGTACGCGATTCCAGGCATGAGTCCTGCCTCGAACATGCTAGAGGAGAGTTGTCAGCATTTTCGAGTTTCGCAAAATCTAGGAGACATACCCTAAGAGGAAGCGGACACCACATGCGCTCTGCATATCATTTACAAAAGCCGTAGCGACCGAACAAATACCGAATCCCAATGTCATCGCTGGAAGCCACCATCCGGGACCGACCCATTTGCACATGAGATTGCTGGGGATCTCAAAGATAATATATGCGATAAAGAAGATCGAGAGCACAGCGTTGTAATCATAGCCTACAAGTCCAAGGTCCTTGTCGAAGCCGGCCAATTTAGCGTTGCCTATTCCAGAAACGAAACGGATTAGTGCTTGAACTGAAAAAAAAAAAAAAAAACAAAAAAAAACGGCAACGATCAAAGGGGCTGGTCACACACCAACATTGGCTCGATCGATGAAGCAAAAGAGATACATGACTGCAACAGTTGGAACAATATAAAGATCAATTTTGAGTCGCAATCGTGACTCGGCGGCTTTGTCAAATTCTACCAGGGGCTGGCCATGCTCATCGGTCGCAAGTTGACCCCTTTCTGCTGCACCATGGGTGATTTCCCCCATAATATGCTCTTTGTGGTCTGAAATGACCTTTTCATCACCGATGGGCGTGGTGCCTCTCTCGGTGTCGGCCATGTTGGAGTACCGGACAGTGAATTGAGCTTGGAAGGGATAAGCGGGCGGTCTGAAGTTCTCCGATAACAAGGAGCAAGGGAGACCTCGGGAGTATAGGGGGGCGACCGGATGTTTTTTATACCTCAATCAGAAGCCAGATCGGAAGATCCGAACGGCTGATCCTGGGGTTGTGGGGGATCACGGATTTAGTCCCGAGCTGATGTTCGGCTTTTTCAGCTGATGGAATCTCAATCTGCCGCTGCCAAGGGAATGGCACGTCTGACACTGGTAATAGGCCTTAGGAGTCGGAGCTTGCAGTGGGAGGCCCAATCATAATAACTGCTAGGACGCCAAGGTGTCAGACCTCTAAAGTTTAGAGATAATTGCATCAATGATAAGCCGTGCTTGGAATTTCCCCAGGAAGGATTTAGAGATTTCCCCAGACTTGTGGATCCACCCCGGACTGTACTATTGGGTTTGTGGGGATTTCTGGATGAATTGCCATGGATCTAGCCTAGGTACCTAGGTACAGCCTACTGGAAATGCCGACTCCCTCATCCGACTATCTTGTAGGCATCATGGTGACCAGCCATACCCCCAGAATCTGTCAGGCGTTGTGATTCCCCAGAACGCCAAGTATTCCAAAAAAATACGGCTTAGAGCATCGGATACATAGGTCATCCGATCGGAAGTAATCCCGGAAGCTGCCCCGAAGCTGCTCCCATCGAATGATTTGAGGCTTGTCTAGCGAGAGTCATGCACGACGTCTTAAAACGAGCTAACTAGTTAGCGTGAGAAGGTTTGATGCCTTTTTTATAAGGCTTAAGGTCATGTGATATGATAGTGGAAGACCAAAGATGATCGGCTTTGGGATGCTTCCACTAAACTTATCAGTGAGCAAGAACAGATTCGATCTCCAATGTACGCAGACGGAATATATAGGATACAATGTCCTTGAGTGACTTCCAAGGTTCGAGGTGATATGATGACACATCACCACGTGACTCGGATATAGACGGATAATTTTCTCGGATTAAACGGATGAACTGCACTTACAGGAGTTCCGTAAGATTGTATACATATTTATCCATGTCTGAGACGTCGGATAAAGCCCAGCCAGGTTGGCGAATCCCCCGCGCATGCCAGGAATGCCGCAAACGTAAAATCAAATGCAATGGCCTGACCCCGTGAGATCCTTGAGTCCAAGTTCGGAGCGTGAATGCATTGGGCTAATATAACTAACATCAGTTGCAAAACTTGCCAATTGCGTAATACACCCTGTATATACAGAGACTACATTCGCCATCGGCGAAAGAAACATGATTATGAGGAAGTCGGTGAGAGGAATTCACCTCGTCAAGCCTCCCCAAGTGGAGTCCCGCCATCAGGGCAACGCACAGCCTCCGCCATGAATGACTTTCCAAATAGTGTGTCTGCAACACATATAGCATCACCGTCATGTCGGATGCAGCTATACTATGGTCCTACCTCTCATTTCTCTCTTATGCAGCATATCTACCGAGATCTCGTCTCCAATCCTACCTCCCAGCCTGAACCCTCTGGCGGGGTCGAGGAAGCTGGAGCTGGCTTGGACTTGTTTAGCTTTCGTCGCATTTTTTTCGGGACCCCAGACTTTCATGAGAATAACAAGTCCCTCGGGAAAGGGGATTTGTCTATGATGTTCCTGCCGTACGACCTGGCTAAGCTTTTTCTGTCGCGATTTCTCTCCAGCCTTTATCATCTGACGCCACTTCGCCCCAAGATATATTATGAGCAATGTCTGGACAGACTCTACAACTCTTCGCCCGCAGACCATCTAGATGCTCTCACCCAAGCGATCCTTCTCCTTTCCATGGCAAGCGCGGCACTTGGCACGGAACATTTTGCCTGGGGTGATGTCCTGTTCGAGCGTGTCAAGGCTTCGTTGACCGCGTTTGATGACGTGGTGAACCTTCAGACTATTCAGATCTCATTGCTTATGATAAGTTCTTCTCATCCTATCTTGCGGTGTGCAGACTGACATAAATTTTACGCCAATTACCAGAATGAACAAGGTCGGCCCAACTCAGTGTTCTTGCATTTGGGTTCGGCTTCTCGCAAAGCCTTATCAGCAGGTCTGCATAAGGATGTTCCCCATGATGTTGATCAAACACCCGAAAACATTGAAGAACGACGGGTAACCTTCTGGTCTCTTTACATCTACGAAACGTACAGTACCGCTTTCAGTTTGATCCTTGGCGAACTCTCTAACCTCATATATAGCTGGTTCTGCTTTCACGTGGGACGCCCTAGCTCCCTTTCCCTTAAAGATGTCGCAATCGAGTATCCACAGGATCCATTTATTCGATTGTTGGTGCAGCTTTGCAAAACCATCACTCGATCTGTTAATGAGATATATGGCCAGCGGCATGAGTCTCTTCTGCATATGTGGAGAGTCGCTCGATCCATTGCAGTTGATATCCGTGGCCATGAAGCACATCTACAACAAGCCCTGGGCCTTGGGCTTGATGATAGCATCCAGGCAGGATCCCTTGGGGTTCGACAAATAATCTTCATTACTCGTAAGTCAACAATTGAGATGTTATCTAGCCCCACTCTGACCAGAGCTAGTATACCATCATACCCTACTTCTCACATTTCGCCCGTTCTTGATATTTCGCGGCCATTGGCAGCGCGAGAGGAATATTGCACTCAACCAGTCTAGCACCAATGCCACAAATCTCCCCAGAGAAACGCCTTCTTGGCTCAACGAAGCCTGCAATCATGCCATCACTGCCGCCCAAAAAACACTCCATCTCTTATGTGAAGCTTCAAGAGTCAATAATCTTGTTCTGGTAAATAGACCGAATGTTGTTATAAAAACCCCCACTAACAATATGATAGGAATTGCGATACCATGGGTACTTTTTCGGCAATTCTGTATTTACTCTCATATACGAGTTCATTCACAACCCGAGTGTCGCGCCTGTCTATCTGCCATGGGTTTATGCTTCATTGCAAACCTTGTCAACCATGCGAGCTGGGGACCCGATCGCAAGCTCAATTTCAGCCATGCAGACCGTGCTTCGCAATATCAATCCATCGTACGAATGGGTACCTCCATTAGTAACAACTGGGGATAACATCGGGCCCCAAGGAGGGATAGCGATACAGCAAGGCCTCACCCCCGACCGCAGGCATCGATCACTGCTGAACATCTCTGCAATTCCTCAGAACCCGTCACTAGGCACCCGGCCTGGCATACTGACATCTCCTTGGAACCTTCCACAGGTGGAAAAGCTGGAAAACCCGGAAACCGGAGGTTCTGCGGGCTCCGGGGAAGACTTGCTTGATTTCACTCAGTCTGACATGGGCTGGGATTTTGATTTCTCTACCATGGATCTGGACGCGTTCTTTTCGGTTTATCAATCGAATAATGCCCCGGTCCTTTAATGGGTGCCTCGCATCAGGAAATTTCATAACCTGGAATACAACTCCTTCATATTGTATCCATTTGGTCTCCATCAGTGGGTCATCTACGGACTTAATCGCTAAAAGTTGATCTATATCCGAAGGGTGGATATAATGGAAGCTCTGGAAGCTCTGGAAGGTACAGAAATATAATTCCAGCAAATGAACGGCCGTTTCTGACCAAGTGGGTCGCTAATATATCCGTACGTATATTTCCGAGCAACTCGCCCCAGTGATATCCTCGCTAACACGATAGTGTTTGCAGTTTGTTTTATCCGCTTGAAGAAATATCCGCTATCTATAAACCCCGCCACAGCGATACATACGTGATGTGATCTATGAACCATGACCCACTCCCGGCAATATGGATTTAAAAACATAGCTTCGATAACAAGATCCGCAATATAAGAGTTCTTCTGTGCCTCGACATCATGGTATTTTTCTCCAATCTCACTTTACCTGGTCCCATCGCCAGTAGTCATTCTTTTTCATCCCAGGCATATACGCCTCCGTCATGGAAACTCCATCGTCCGGCACAACAACTCCAGTCGACCTGGAACACGGCGACGACCAGATTCGCAAACGACTGACAGTCACCTTCCGCGATCTAAATGTCCGAGTAACGGCACCAGATGCTGCTTTGGGAAGCACTTTATGGTCAGAGGTGGACCCGCGACAGGTTGGGGCACTGCTGAAGCGCGGCGACCGCCCAAAAAGGGTGGGCATATTCAACCATTAACATGCAGTTATCATATACTGACTTAGCCTCTAGACGATCCTCAAAGATGTTGCTGGTCAGGTCAAGCCCGGTGAAATGGTATGCTCTAACCCGAAAACAGGAATGTTGTAACTAATCAATATAGCTTCTTGTGCTGGGCCGCCCAGGTTCTGGATGCACTTCCCTCCTTCGAGTCCTCTCCAATGATCGGGATAGTTTCGACGAAGTCACCGGTGAAACCAACTATGGAAGCATGGATCATAAAGCTGCCAAAAAGTTTCGTCAGCAGATCATGTTTAACAATGAAGGCATGCAATCATAACTTGAGATCTACTGAACTCAATGCTAACTGCACTGATATTAGACGACGTTCACTTCCCAACACTTACTGTCAACCGTACAATGAAATTCGCTCTTCGAAACAAGGTTCCTAACGAGCGCCCAGAGCATCTGAGAAACCGCAAGGACTTCGTGCAGAACCACCGCGATGAGATCCTGGGGTCGCTTGGAATTGGACACACGAAGAAGAACTTGGTAGGAAACGAGTACATCCGAGGCGTGTCAGGAGGGGAACGTAAGCGCGTTTCCCTTGCTGAGGTCCTGGCTGGCCAAAGCCCAGTCCAAATGTGGGACAATCCCACTCGGGGATTGGACTCGAAATCAGCGGTTGAATTTGCTCGAATGCTCAGACGCGAAGCGGATCGAAACGACAAAACAATCATTACAACTACCTACCAGGCCGGCAACGGTATTTATGACCAGTTCGACAAGGTCCTTGTCTTGGCTGAAGGTCGTGTGACTTACTACGGCCCTCGTCGTATTGCAAGGGAATACTTCGAAGACCTTGGATTCATCTGCCCCAAGGGTGCCAATGTCGCAGACTTCCTTACTTCAGTCACTGTTCTTACCGAACGCACAATACGACCCGGCTGGGAAGAGAAGGTGCCCAATACACCCGAGGACTTCGAAAACTGCTATCAAAACAGCCCCATCTGCGAAGATCAAATGAACTCTATCGTGGATCCTGATAAGCTGAGCTACGAAGCCGAAGACCTTAAGCTGGCAGTATCCAGTGAAAAGCGCAAACAGCATATTCCTCGGAACAGCAGTGTTTATACAGCGAATCTCTGGGATCAGATTGCCGCTTGTGCTCTCCGCCAGTTCCAGGTTATCTGGGGTGATAAGCTCTCGCTGTTTGTGAAGGTTGGGTCAGCTCTAATCCAGGCCCTGGTCTGTGGAAGTTTGTTCTATAACTTGCCAGAGGTAATCAAGAAACCCCCTACTCGAGACACTTCAAGAAGACCAAGCTGACAGTTGAAATTACAAGAATTCGAGCTCAATATTCTTACGCCCTGGTGTTTGCTTTTTCCCGGTGTTATATTTCCTCCTTGAAAGTCTGTCTGAGACAACTGCATCTTTTATGGGCCGGCCAATTCTTTCTCGTCAGAAGCGATTCGGATTTTACCGACCTACAGCCTTCGCCATTGCCAACGCTATCACTGATATCCCAGTTGTGATGTTCCAGGTGACCTGCTTCTCGCTCATCCTTTACTTCATGGCGGCTCTTCAAATGAACGCAGGAAAGTTCTTCACCTTTTGGATCATCATTATCGCGCAGACATTGTGTTTCGTGCAACTATTCCGAGCTGTTGGCGCTGTTTGTAAACAGTTTGGAAATGCATCCAAAATATCCGGCTTGCTGTCCACCGTCTACTTTGTCTATGGAGGTGAGTGTTTTATTATAGCATTGATACAAAGCATTCTAAACTGATAATTTGTAGGATATCTTATTCCATTCCAAAAAATGCATGTGTGGTTCCGTTGGATCTTCTACCTTAATCCGGGAGCCTATGCATTTGAAGCACTCATGGCCAATGAGTTTGTTGGACGCAAATTCACTTGCATAGAACCCGACTATATTCCATATGGCACCGGATATTCCAGCACAGCGTCTGCCCACCGTGGATGTTCAGTCCTTGGAAGTGACGACGAAGGTATTATTGATGGGGCAAAATACATCCAAGAGCAATACAGTTATTCAGTCCATCACATCTGGAGAAGCTTTGGTATTCTCATTGGATTTTGGATTTTCTTCATCTGTCTGACTTCGTTCGGGCTTGAACTCCGGAACAGCCAAAGTGGATCATCTGTTCTGCTTTACAAGCGTGGCAGCAAGAAAACTCGTGGAAAAGAAGAAGGTGAGAAGTCACAGTCTCCAAAGCAGGCAGACGTTGGCGCACTTTTGGGCTCGGTCAAGCAATCAACCTTTACATGGAAAGACCTTGACTACCATGTACCTTTCCACGGTGAGAAGAAACAGCTTCTGAACAAGGTATTTGGATTTGTCCAACCTGGAAACCTGGTTGCCCTCATGGGAGCTTCTGGAGCCGGAAAAACAACATTGTTGGATGTCCTTGCCCAGCGCAAGGATAGCGGAGAGATCTATGGATCTGTTTTGATTGACGGCCGCCCAGTGGGCATCAGCTTCCAGCGAACTACTGGTTACTGCGAACAGATGGATGTGCATCTTGAGACAGCGACCGTCAAGGAGGCATTGGACTTTTCAGCCGTTCTTCGTCAGCCATCGACAATTCCACACGAAGAAAAGATCGCTTACGTCGAACATATCATCGACCTTTTGGAGCTGCGTGATATTAGCGAAGCACTCATTGGAGGTATGTTTGCTTGATTTTTTGATGCTACTGGACAGCGATACTAATAGCCCTCAGTGCCTGGAGCTGGACTCAGCATCGAACAGCGCAAACGCGTGACCCTGGGTGTTGAGCTTGTTGCTAAGCCCACATTGCTGTTTTTAGATGAACCCACCTCCGGTCTTGATGGACAAAGTGCGTTCAACATCGTGCGGTTCCTTCGCAAACTGGTCGATGGCGGCCAAGCTGTGTTGGTAAGTTCTCAGTTAGTTACAATATATTTGCGTCGTACTGATGTGTTAGTGTACAATTCATCAACCATCTGCGGTACTATTCGACGCATTTGACGGTTTACTCCTGCTAGCCAAGGGCGGAAAAATGACATATTTCGGAGAAAGTGAGTTTTTACTCTTCAGGCGATTGGTCACGATCAAGCAACTACTAACTGGTTTGTGATTACAGCTGGCAAGGACTCAACCAAAATCTTAGACTACTTCAGTCGGAATGGAGCGCCGTGCCCTCCGGATGCCAACCCAGCAGAGCACATCATTGATGTTGTTCAAGGAGGTGGTACTACAGACAAAAAGGATTGGGTTGAAATTTGGAACCAGTCAGAAGAGCGCACGCAAGCACTCTCCCAGCTTGATGCACTAAACGAATCCAGCAAAGATGATTCCGACTATGTTGAAGATACTGCGGACTTTGCGACCTCGCACTGGTTCCAATTCAAGACGGTTTCTAAGCGCCTCAGCATTCATATCTGGCGCTCACCAGTACGTCGTTACAATGATATACAAAATTAATTTGCAAAAAGCTGACGTTCGCCTAGGATTACATGTGGAACAAGATCATTCTCCATATTTTCGCCGCACTCTTCAGTGGATTCACCTTCTGGAAGATCGGAAACGGCACTTTCGACCTTCAGTTGAGACTCTTTGCGATTTTCAACTTCATCTTCGTCGCCCCAGGCTGTATTAATCAGATGCAGCCGTTCTTTTTGCATAGTCGGGATATCTTTGAGACCCGAGAGAAAAAGGTGAGTAGGCTAGTGGGATCCTACTGGCATACAACCATCGCTAAGACTAGTTTCCATATAGTCCAAAACCTATCACTGGAGCGCGTTCATTGGGGCTCAGACTCTGACGGAGATTCCATACCTTATTATTTGCGCCACACTCTACTTTGCATGCTGGTACTTCACAGCAGGACTTCCGGTGGAGGCCAACGTTTCCGGACATGTCTATCTTCAGATGATTTGTAAGTTACACCAAATCTTGAAGATTGATTCGGGTATCTAACATCAAGACAGTCTATGAACTACTATACACGTCCATCGGCCAGGCAATTGCGGCATATGCACCGAACGAGTATTTTGCGGCTGTGATGAACCCCGTATTGATCGGTGCCGGCCTGATCAGTTTCTGTGGCGTAGTGGTTCCATACTCTCTCATGCAGCCATTCTGGCGATACTGGATTTACTACCTGGACCCTTTCAACTATTTGGTTGGTGGGCTGTTTGGCGAGGTGATCTGGGATGTTAAGGTCAAGTGTGAACCGTCAGAATTTGTGCAGTTCACCGCACCGTCTGGTCAGACCTGCGGCCAATACATGGCCGATTTCCTCGCCATGCAGACTGGTTACCTAGCTGATGGGAACTCGACTGGGACATGTTCATTCTGTCCGTATTCCGAAGGTTCCGATTACGCGAAAACGTTCAATCTTCAAGAGAAATACTATTCGTGGAGAGATGTGAGTATACCCTGGTTGATTTGGCTTATATCGCAATGCTAATTCTTTATGTTTAGACGGGTATCACTGCCCTGTTCTGCATCTCATCGTACGCCTTGGTGTTCTTGATGATGAAGCTCAGGAGCAAGAAGACGAAGAGTGCCCGTTCTGAATGAGCGATCACCACCAACTTGACCATAGGGCCTTGGTTAATCTAAGATCGGCATCATTCATATATATTCCATTCAAGTTCTGCGGGGTAGAACCACAAAGTTTTTTCCCATTTCGTTCTTTGCTTCTATAGATCATTTCCCTCGGCATTTACTACTCTTGTGTTAGCAGCCAAGGGACACGGCGTTTCTCCAGGACCTCATTAGATTGATCTCTCTTTTATTGTTAATTTCTCCCTTCTACAGCCTCTTATTCAGTCTATTAATTATATTATGTTTCGTTTACTTCTATCTGGGTGGTAACTAAGCTATAATAAACCGTCACATCCATTTGAAATTTACATATAGAATATAATGACCTGTGAATTCGACGTCGAAAATGATAGCTTTTGGCGCCAAAAACGGCTGGCTTTCCACCATACCCCCACTTGACCGCTACCCCAAATCCTCCTGACCTGGTGTTAGTCGCTCGACCTTAGCAAGTGGCTCCCCACGTTTTCCACTAGTGACCAAACGACTTTAAAATGGCCTCCCTTGAAAGCTAAAGTCCGTTCACTCGTTGCTTCGCCTGGACTATTAAGGTGCTTCTAAGATGTTTTATATCCCACCAGCAAACATGTTCCTACCGCTGTTAATATTAATTTCACTTGCATATTTGTTAGGGTTCATGGACCTACAGCTTCGACACCAGTGCCTTCCCCTGTAGAATATGTCGCAAAGATAGGGCATCCCATAATGGGTTTCAGGGAGCAGCGTCAGGAAACCTCTGCAACAATTCTATCTGCGTATAGTTCTCTTTGTCCATTGAGAACTCTTGATTGGCACCAATGCGTCCAGCGAATGGGACGACGGTGGTTGGCGAAGGTAATTCCTCAGTATCATGTCCGCTTCTCCAGAATTTGGCGTGTGGGAGCGTAGTCGAAATCTTTCAAGACGTGAAATACTGGTTCAAGGAACTCAACATCTGCGGATGCACGAGTATTAATACGGAAATAAATCCCGAGGCTTGAGGCTTTGTACGCGTGCTCAGGGGGGCCGTTTAACACGGCAGAGACTTTTCTATGGACAGTTCATGACGTAGACCATGCCGGGAATGTTCACCATGAGAGACGGATCTCTCCGATGATCCACAGACACGGAAGTTCATTATCGTTCAGGTAACGGGGGGCGCACGAGCCATCCTTAAATCACGAGCTAATTCTTACATGTAGTCAAGATTATAAACCTCGAGGGCTGACCAACTAATCTACGTAGGTAGTTAGCTACTCCACTCATATAAATAAGCATATCGGGAACAAGCTCAAGCAGTAGGCTCCAAGGTTTGGGCTTTTACTTAGGTCGGTACGTAAGAATGACTCTTCGTCGACTAATATTGAACCCGCGGCAATGCCAGCCAAGCCTCTAGATTGATTGCGTGGGAATTTTTACTAGGTTCGCCACGGGGGTAGCGTTATATATTCGCACAACTACCACTCCACAGATTATATCTGGATCGTAAAGCAGCTGTCCCAAATTGTCCAATTAGTACTTTCTTCCGCAATTCACCATGCCTCCTGCATACAAACGACTTGACAAAGACGACTGCGTCTTCCTTTTTGTTGATCAACAGGTGCGTTGCATTGTATAAATTCATCGACAATTGGTTTTGGCTGATACCTTCTTTGAAACAGTCAGGTTTAATCCAGCTAGTCCGTGACTTTGAACCCAACGAATTTCACACAAATCTCCTGGCATTGGCAAAGGTTGCAGCTTACTACAAAGCCCCTGCCGTGCTGACGACTTCATTTGAATCTGGACCTAATGGCCCTATCGTCAAAGAGATTCCAGAGGCGCTCCCCAATGCACCTCTGATTCGTCGTCCCGGGCAAATAAATGCCATGGATAACGAAGACTTTGTCAGTGCAGTCAAAGCAACTGGTAAAAAGCAGATTATCATCAGGTAATTGCTGTAATTTACTAGTACAGTTCTAGATCGATCTCGCTAACAACCGGTAGTGGTGTGTTGACTGAAATCTGCGTTGCCTTCCCCGCCCTCAGTTTAATCGAACAAGGCTACGATGTCTTTGTGGTCACTGATGCATCCGGTACCTTTAAAGAGCACACGAGGGAATCTGCCCACAAGCGGATGGTTCAAGCAGGGTGCCAGCTTCTCAACTGGGCAGCTGTCTCTGCTGAGCTTCACAGAGATTGGCGCCGGGATGTCGAAGGCTATCGTGGAATTTGGCGTGATTATGTTCCCGGTTACTGGTGCTTGATGCAAAGCTATACATCCAGCGGTCAGAGTGCCGAAAAGTAAAGTGGCAGCAGAAGCGTCCTTGACTCTCCAAATCAGTGTTCAAATTAAAGTTCTTATTGAGGCCTAGGGCTTAACATCTTCGGCTAGACTTTTGACACTGAATTATATTATTTGTTATCCTCTCGATGTGGGATGCTGTGCTTTGTCCCTCAAGAGTTTTGAAGGTCTCAGTTGAGGATCTCACTTGCACGCTGAAATCGTGATATGATGATGAGATCAGGGTAAATGATGGGCGTTCATTAAATTGGAGGTAAAAGGATTGCGTTATTAGTAGAGGAGACAAAAGAGTGCTGCAGACCACACGCAAATGTAACGGAAACAAATTGCATCTGAGCGCAAGTACAGGAATAATCAAGGCCCCCCAGTCTGCGGATTAAGAACCAGTTTTCTAGGGCTTCGTCCCGCCACCACGTCTTCGCAAGCTTCCTGGATTCCATACAGCCCACCAGGTCGCATTTCCAATGGTGTCGGTGTTACACCGCCAGCAAGAGCCATAGGTAAATATTCACTGTACCACCATTTTGTGAAGGCTGCATTCGCCACCTTTTGGGTGGTCGCGCTGAAAAAGTCGTAGAGGAGGCTGACATTGGCAGCTAGACGCATCTCCTCGCTCTTCGGGCGGGTAGAGACGAATTTACCACCCGCAGGCTGCAGGATGTCACTAATAGCGGTTGCTCCTTTTGCATCTCCAGAAGCTGTCATCACAAAATCATACGGGCCGAATTCCCTCAGCTTATCAACAATCTGGTCATCTTTGTAGTCCAGGACCTCGCACGCACCAAGACCACGCACGTAGTCAAATTTCCGCGGCGATGCTGTTGCCACAACGTCATATCCATTCTGATATTAATGTCAACTCTTTACTTGCCAGCGTATGTGAACATTTCACTCACACTTGCAGCGTACTGAACAGCATATCCTCCCACCGATCCACTTGCGCTCCAGATCAGTGCTTTCCCACCGCGATGCTCGTTGGCTTTACCCATCCCCAATTTCAAATGCAAGGCTGCTACTGCAGTTAAAAGTGCGAAAGGGATCGCCGCAGCGTCTTCGAATGTAGTGTTTTCCGGAATCATGGCAGTCGTAGTTTCGGTTCCCACCACGTACTTTTGCCAACACCCGTATTTAGTTTGTTTCAATTGGTAAATTGGTGTGTCTGATACAACACGATCGCCCTTTTTGAAATTTGTAACTAGTGGCCCAACCTCTTCGACGAGGCCAGCCACACCGTTCCCTAAAATGGAAGGATAAGGCATATCAATATAAGCTTGGCCGCGAACAGTTGCATCAAAAGGCTGGATGGCGAATGCTTGATTCTATTGACTGTTAACAGAGTCGACCGCCGTCTAGGAGAGCCCTAGAGATCACCAGTGAGCATGAACCGTCCGTACACACCTTGATCACAATTTCATTTCCCACTGGGACTGGATACGGGGCTGGGAGAACCTGAAGGTCTCCCTTTGGCTCCAAAATCCAAGAAGCTTCATTTAAGGACATCGTAAATCGATGCAGACCCATATACGTTTACTTTTCAACGGAAAAGTTTTCTGTTCAAGTATTCGATATAAAACCAATAGTTAGCCCGTACGCTGTTGTGACATCACCACTTTTACGCTGCCTCCATTTCTTCGTAATTTTGCGTTAATGCCGTTCCACCGTGTAAATTACATATGTAGGTCAGCTAGGCGAGGATTCGCTAATCATTAGAAAGAGCAGACTCCCTCTTTGGTTTCTTGGCATTTGGAATTGAAACATGTATTGCACAATCTCCATACGAATTTCTAATATCGTCTCCGTAGTGTATTATGGACTACAACTTTGGGAGTATTGAGGGGATAAACCGGAAGTGGTAAAACTACCTGCATACAGCAGTAACACAATAATCTACGACTAGATAATCTATGTGTACCTAAAAAGCCAAACATGTTGTACCACACGATTCACCAGCTACGACTAAAGCTGGAAGGGATGCCATTAGTTCTTGTGTAGATAATTTGCTCTCCACTTGCTATGTGGTAAAGATAATCACCTAGGTTGGGGACCTTGCCGTTGCACATTATATACACATGCATGGATGTGATTGTGGTCTGTGTCATTCCACCAGCGCAATTAAACCCATTAAAACCTGGGATGCTTGAGAGTTAAACGTGGCACAGGACATGATCTACCAATTCAATTTCCGTTGCGTTCTCGGATTTGAGCCGAGCCGTTGAACCTTGTCGCGGACCCCGACGTACCCCCGAGGTTCACAGCCGTTGATCACAGGGAGATTGAGACCCACGTGTTGTACAGACTAGTCGCATCCAAAATATAAAAAGGTCCAAACAACCCCCTGATTCTACACTGGATCAACGTCCCTAGACGCCCTTGAAGATGCGGTTTGACATTCTTGCCGTCTTCCCTCTGGCCGCCAGTGCGGTCAACATCATCTCATCCAATGATGATGGTTGGGCGGAATCGAACATCCGCGCTCTATTCGAGTCCCTAGGGGCCGCAGATCATTCAGTCGTGGTTTCTGCGCCCGCCGAGAACCAGAGCGGCACGGGTATGCTATGCCTTCCCCTCTACATTCCGCTCCTTTATTGACGCGTCACTACAGGTTCAAAGGAAGAAGAGCCGACTGTCTTGACTGAGCCATGCGAGTTTAATAGCTGCCCATCTGGCAGCCCGGCTGTGGGATCTAATTCCTCGGAGGTCAGTATCGTGTCCGCTGTCCCCAGAACGGTGGACTGATCGTATAAATAGCCCCGACTTGGTTATGTCAATAGCTACCCGGTGACATCAATTCAATACGGCATCGATACGAGCGGTCCGAAATTCTTCAACGGCGCCCCGGACTTGGCCGTCACAGGTCCAAATGTCGGCAGCAACATTGGCCTCGCAGTTTTCATCTCCGGAACAGTGGGCGCCGCCACCTACGCTGCGAAGGATGGAATCCCCGCTATCGCCTTCTCCGGTGCTAGTGGCTCCCAGACTTCATGGGATAGCGAGCGGCCTCACTACAGTGATGTTTATGCCGATTTGGCAACAAACGTAACAAACCAGGTGGTTGCTGCTGGCAAGCCATACCTACCGGACGATATCTGGCTGAACGTCAATTTCGGAAAGGTTTCTGACGAATGCGCAAGTCCGGCTGATTTCTCTTTCGTCCTCTCCCGCATCCATATCGCAGTTCCATTGATTACTCCGGATGATGTGACCACGTGCGGGGATTCGAGATTGCCAAGCGAATTGAAAGTATCGCTAGCGTCTGGGTGCTATGCAAGTGTCTCAGTTGGAATAGCAGCCTCGAAGAGGGATGCCGACGCAGAGATGCAGGGGGTTGTTTTGAAGAAGCTAGGAAATTTGCTGACCTGTCTACCATGATTGGTGTAAAAATCGCCGGTGCCAAGAATGTGCAAGAATGTGCAGATCATGTTCCTGATAATCACCACGTGCTATATTGAGCCATGGCGTGTTGTGCCAGAGGATATTAGATCCCTGCAAGGAGTACATATGAAGAGCACTACTGTATATTAAAACCCAGACTAGCTTCAATTAAGGATAGTTACCACCTTGACAAGCGGAGAAAATGCCTCAGCTTGTGAGTAGCTGGTTGAGACATTTCGCATCGGAGAAACACAAACAAACGGCGAATCACCGGGTCTGTCGATCCCACGGGCAAAAAGTAATCTAATCTATAATCAAAGTTTCAAGTGGGACTCTGTTATCATCCACTATACTTCATCGGGGCTGAAGACCGTTTCCATCGGACTAAACCGCCCGAAGGAAGTGGGTCTAGCGACAAGGTACGCATGTCGATCAAAGGGGATGAATACTACAACATTGTACATGTACAATATAAATATTCCGAAGAAAGCCCGTTTGTACATAGCACGAGCTCACTATTCCTGATTTCCATTTCAACATGATTCCTCAACTGATTGCTGCGCTGACTGTTCTCACTGTGCTGCCTGTGACGGCTAGCCCGGTTGAGCTGACGCGTCGAGGAACGGTTGGATCCGACGTTATTGTCGGATTTCCCGAAACAGTTCCAGCCGGTGCTACTGGCGACCTCTATTTGGCCTACCAGCCGAAACTATATGTTGCAAATGGCTGCGTGCCTTTCCCGGCCGTAGATGCAAACGGGAACACCAAGTGAGTGAAAGAATTGCCTCTTGAACAATTTTCTCAACTCCAATATCTGATATATGTGATGTAGTGCCGGTCTCAAACCAACAGGAAGCCCTAGTAGTGGATGCAGCAAGAGCACGGGACAAGTATACGGTGAGTTTCTCTAGAAGTTATTAATAAATAACCTGGGATATATTGACTAACGGGCTTACGATTGCAATCCACAGTGAGAAGCGGTTCTTCGGGTGACAAACATGCCCTGATGTATTCCTGGTATTTCCCCAAGGATTCGCCTTCGACTGATCTCGGCCATCGCCACGATTGGGAAGGGGTTATTATCTGGCTTTCCGACGACAAAAGTACTGCTGCCTCGAACATTGTGGCCGTTTGTCCGTCGGCACATGGTGCCTGGGATTGCAGTACAGACGGCTATACGCTTGATGGGACTGCATCTCTGATCAAGTACGAGTCTGTTTGGCCTGTTAATCATTCTCTCGGCCTAACAACCACCGTCGGCGGCACACAGCCATTGGTTGCCTGGGAGTCAATGTCAAGTAAGTTTCGCAGATATACCCCCAAGGTTTGGAAGCGCAATCTAACCTGGAACGTTCAGCTGTCGTACAAAATGCCTTGGATACAACCGACTTTGGATCAGGGAATGTTCCGTTCAACGAGAACAATTTTGCTTCCAACCTGGCGAAGGCAACGTTCTGAGCTTGTGGCCAGGAAAATTACCCACTGAAGGCATGATTTCAAGAAAGAGTCATTACGAACGGCTTGCTGCCGCCTGCTGAGCATATATTATTTTAGGTAGCTAATACGAATAGACTAGTAACTATAATAAGCTTAAAGGAGTTTAAAGTCATTAGTTTCATCTTCATCTAATACACTACTGAAGTCCTTACTCCATCCGGCCTGTGGTGCGTCGTCGTAGCTGCACAACGTGGTCATCATGCTGGCTGCCAGACTCTCTTCCACTCGATGGAATTCCCCCTTAGAATACCAGCTCGTCTTCGAATATCTTGTATCGCATAAACCTCGGGTATTCTGTTTTTTTCTCCGAAAAACAAGCGGAAAGAATCGAGAACCCGATCTGCGCAATCCACTATCCAAAGTAAATTGTTCGAGCAATTTTCCCTTCCACGAAAGAACGATAGATCGCTGCCGAGAACAAGTGAAAGCCACTCGCGCAATGTTGAAAGGTGAGTCGGTGATTCGTTTTCATCAATCAGGGTATTTTGCATGACCTTTTCCAGGAATTGGCCTACGCATTCTAGTTTATCTTCTTCTAGCTCGCCATCTTCGCCCAGGCTATTTCCGTGGGGTGCTGCTCTTCCGCCAAACTGGCCCTCTACTGAGAGAGGAGGCAGGTCCGAGAACATGTCGAATGATGCAGGATAAACAATGGGTTCTTTCCAAACGACTCGCAGCAGGAGCTGACCCTCGTTAGGGCAGAAACCGCTCAAACACCTAATCACTCAGGCCCAGAAGGCTCCCGGTCCAAAACACACCGGACACATTTGAGTAATCGAGGCCAACTGGTTCCAGGCGGAAGAACAGGGCAAGGAGGACCAGCACAAAACACATTATGAGAATCCCGGGTTGTTTGGGCCATAGTGGTGGGAGCGACCATGATCGCGATCGGACGGAGGGAAAGGACCACGTAAATTTTAGAACAATGGTGTGCGGTTAAGGAAATACTGAAGGAGAGTGATTTCCATCCCAGGATATATTCAGATGTAGGGATTGGGCGTTGGGGAGCACAGCCCTTGTGAGATGACGTGTTAACGCATGAAAATGGTCGGTGATGAGGTTGAGTTAACACGATCTCAAGATTGAGATTGTGATCTGTTGACCCTACAAGGTGAAAAACCAGGGGAGAAGGGAAGAGAGCGGTATTAAAGAAAGAGACGAGCTCCCAAAACTATCTGCTATCTGCTGTCAGGCGTTGTGGCCCGTTCTACGACACTGCCTGACTACATACATAGATACATAGGCATCCATATCAACATGACCTATAGAAAATCCGGCCAAAGTGACATGGTAGTAGTGAAACATGGGCAGTATCTAGTTAATTTTGAAATGGTGACAACAACCAAGACTTGTAGGCTGGGATGAAGACCATATCCATGACTAGAACAAGCGATTAACCAATATATATAGCCTACTCCTCCGCTACAGATCCTATATACATGGATCACCCAACTAAAACCTCGGTGTAAAGAAGAAACATCTGCGATACCTCAAATGGCTTTACATCGTTATCAATCACCACGCTTCATTAATAGCAGCCATTTTCTGCTCATACTTCGAATTCATCATCCAGCGACAGATTTCACATGGGTCTTCTGCCAGATCACTTCAGACAGCAGTTGGAACGCACTGATAATACCACGGGTTCAACGAAGAACAGGCTGCTGGCGACGCACATGCAGTTGCCCCTGTCCAACCGGTTCCTCCGCACTGTCCATAGGGAGTTTGGGTTGCTCCACCCCCGCCAGCAGCAGTGGTGGTTGTGATCTTACTGGTAGCAATGGTAGCGCTAGTGGTGCTTGTGGTAGTCACCAGTGTCGTGGTGGTGGCCTTCGAGGTTGAAGTTGTAGTGGTACCGCCGGTAGCACCACCTGTCCCTGTTACCGGTGTACCGGAAGCTGTGATTGCCGAGGTCGTTTGCGTGATTGAGACAGCACCAGCGTAAAGAGTTGGTCCCGGGACGATCTGATAAATTGGCATTAGAAAGGGAGTGGAATCGGGCGAGCTATTAGCGAGCCTTAACATCGAATAATCACTTACATAGGTTGACAGAGATGTGTAAATGTTCACGAGAATGCCAGGATCCGTTGGACGGTACAGATCAGTACCCAAGACACCTGTTGGCTGGTCTGACCCCGAACCAGTGATTTGTAGGTTGAAGCATTGGGGATAATTCTGGGTCCCACCCTCAGTGGCTGCGCCATGGAGTGCGATCCTTCACAGCGAGATTAGCGGAAGTTTCTCGAGGAATAAGGGGGATTTACCTACATTTCATGTCTCAAGACATAATGCCCAGGTGCGATGTTGGGAGGAATTTCGACCATCCATCCCGAGTCCTGGGCTATGAGCTGATCATCGGCCCAGAATCCTGGGACAGTTGTTCCATCAACTAGTCCCACACCATCAATCTTGAAAAACTCGAGGGTGGTTTTATCCACAGTTTCACAACCACTCGCGCCACAACTAGCGAGGTAATCAATGATCGGCCCATGGTGCGATTCTGGCCAGTCGGGGGTCCACTGAAGGAAGACTCGGTCACCGGCAGCTACTACCGCGTGGCCTTTAGCATTAGTAGCATCGAGATGGCAGATGATATCCGAGGTCGTGTACGCATCTAATTTTGCAAGGTTAGAAAGGGAATTAATTTTGTCATAGAGGACAGCAATGGCATAACATACCGGGAGCAATGAAGCCATTGGCAGTGTTTGGGGTACCCCAAGCCGCCACGACTGGAGGCGATTGTGCATAAGGATAACTGTTTATGTCCCATCCATCGAAGGAGACACCGTTAATGACGATGTTGGTGACGTGACCATGAGCTGCAACGAGGGATGCAAACAGAGAGGGGCCGAGAAGGCTATACATTGCGTTTGTATTTGAAGAACCGGATTGAATAAGCTTAAGTCTCAAAGAAACAGATATATTGAGTGAGACGTTAACTGTGCTTGCCCTCTGTAGTGAAACTGCACGACGGCGGACATATTTATAGTGATCGAGGGGAGTACAACTCAGTTTCATGTGCTGTGCTTCCTGGTCAATATCCCCAAGTGGGAATGTTAATTACAACCAACCAAAACCAGTCGGATACATTACACGCGAATTTGGCAGAATTAAAGTGATCATTCTGCACGGAGAACGACCACGGGATATTGCTGCAGCAAGTCACAACGCCACCAGCGGAGGTCGCGCTGACTCCGTGTCGAGAGTACTCAGGATGCCAATCCATCAAGAAGAAAGGAATCATGGAAGGTAATGAGGGGTCAGGCGCATGGAATTGTGATCCAAACCTGACACACTGGCTCGTCTGGAGTGTTGGTAGGCGCCCTTGGCACCAGTTTGGGAAATGAGCTGTTGAAACAAGATAGTGTATAGTTATTTAACACTTGCTATTCCATGATGCATTCAAGTTATTTATTGATGATCTATTATCTTGTGGTCGAAATTAACGATTTAGTCAGGTGGAATAAACAAAGAAAAGGGAAACAAATAGGTGATACAAGATATCTCCACGAGCAAGATGATAATATATTAACAGTCATGAATCAAGCGCCAAGGCGGACACGACGACCGACGGTGAGGCAATGACCCCGTGAAACTCTTGTGAGTTACCGCGTTGATACATTCTGAAGGTAAGAAATATCGTGGCCATGACCTTCACATCACCGCCATGTGGTTCCAAACAAACTTAATCTAAGCGTTTTTCATGTGGGCTAACTCGACATATATTGAGAATCAATATAAGGTTTTAACTTATGCTATATGGTTGTTCACAGAATGTGGGGTTTGGGTTGTAGGTGCAGGTGCAGGTAGCTAGCTTGATAGTTTTAATTGGACCATAAATCTCGTAGATATAACTTGTGTTTACCAGCATAGTTTACCACCTAACCTCAAGGCTCGGAAATACCACAAGCTGAGACCTTTTGAAATGTCATTTGTGCGTACTGGGAGTTCCATATATAAGAATGCAATTTTTGAGAAGAATAGAAGTATCTGAGGATATAATTAAAGGCAGCCAAGCTTAACAAGTAAACCAGCAAGGACATTGTATACCTAAACATCTACCTTGCGTATCTAGTAAACATAGCGGAAGTTCAAGTTCTCCCGGTCCGTCTTATCCTCGAATGCATGAATGAGGGTTGGATCTGCGGCACTAAGACCTGCCTCAGCCAACAGCTTATCCTTCTTGGCGTTCTCGCGCTTGAGATGGAAGCGGAGGTAGACGACGGCGCAGACCATACAGGCATAGCAAGCCAGGTGAACACTCCAGGCAATGTGGTACCGTGGTGCATCCTTGTCAAGAAACACTTGAGGACCTATTGTTTGTTAACTGGGAACTGAGCTTCTCCACCGGGCATCTGAGATACTTACCAATTGCGTTACCAGCAGCCCACGACACGAATGTTGCAGCTACCACGGTGGACTTCTTGGTTTGACCAGCAATATTTCGCGACACCATAGATAATGTGAGGGTTTGGGCCGACCAGAATGATAGAGTGATGTAGTAACTAATAAGAAGGCCCACCTTGGTGGGCAAAGTAGTGTTTTCGACCGTCATAAGGACAATAGTTCCGATGAAAGATCTGGGAACTGTCAGTCTGGGCTCGCTGCAAAACGAGCAAGGAGAGATACGTACGGAATGATGAAACACAACATCACGATGGTGTTCTGTTTGAACTTGTTCACCAGCCATGCGGACGACAACAGAACAATAATGATGTAAGCACCCAGCACCATAGCAAGCAGCTGAGTTTGCAATACGGTAAATTTGAAGCCCTTGATAATGATACCGAAGAATGCGCCTAAACCGCTGGTAGGGAGAGTGGTGAACATTTGAACAGCACAATAGCACCACATCTGGGGATCGCGGAAAGCCTCCCACACCTGGTATGCATGGAACTTTCTGTTCTGAATACCTGTCTGATTGGATCGAAGACGCTCTACCATAAGACGTTTGTCTTCCTCGCTGAAACACTTTGCACGCATAGGGGAGTCAGGCATATACCAAATGACGAAAAGTCCCCAAAGAACGGAGATGCATCCATATGTCAGGAAGAGTGCCTGCCAAGACTTGAGCACCTTGTCTGCTCCAATAAGGGTGAAACAGTATGCCAATAAGCCACCGACAATCTGCTGTGCACCGTTCATCATGTACCTATTTCGCCATTAGATTAACGAGAGCTCGCTGGTAGACGAGTATTCACATACCAGTATGTCACCGTGGCCGCTTGTTCCTCTCGCTTGTACCACATCGAGGAAAGAGTCACGAAAATTGGCTGACAGCAAGCCTCAAAGATACCCAGAAGGGTACGAACAATGACCAACCCAGTGAAGTTCTTGCAGGCTGCATGTAGTGCCAGAATCATACCCCATAGGCAGATGTTAATGCCCAAGTACTTGCCGAGTGGGACTCTTTGGATGATCCAGTTTGTGGGATATTCGACGATGAGAACAGCGATGTAAATACACGTGGTTAACCAGGAGTACTATTGATAGGAATAGATTTAGCATGTTGATGGAGAAGAAAGCTCAACAAGTATTGCATACCTTTTGCCCATCATTTAGATTCGCGTCATCCTTGATCCCCATAATAGCAGAGAACGACATAGTTCCCTTGTCCAAAGCCTGTAAGAAGTATGTGCAAATCATGACAACAAGGACACGGCGATCAATCAGGCGTTTCAGACGCTTGTTTGTGGCTTCGTCGATTTCCACCTGACTGTGGGCGGCATATGCTTGGATTTCCTTATCCACACGGGTGATATCCATGTTATCCTTCGCGAGGTCATCGGGTTCCGAGAGAACCTTTTCGACATGCGAGATGTCTTGCTTGTTCTCGTACTCTCCCATGTCAATCTTCGGGTGCTGCTTATGCACTACTTCAATTCCTTCAACGGGCGCTGTCTCAATGCCCTGATGAGGTGTTGCCTCAATACCCCGCTGGGGGTCGTCTTTGCCATCAGCCATGGCGAATTGAAAGCAGTATGTGCAAAAGTGCAGTTCACCAGGGGACACAGGGGACAGGAAAGCGAGATATCCACTTAGACTTATAATAGGCCACGCTTTTGTTTTTAGGGCCGTCAAACCACATGTAAGATGATTATCCGGCTGAAAGAGTCATGTGGCTGTCCAATTAGTAGGTCTACCGTATTAACCGGAAGTCAAATCGAGTCAAATCGAGTTAAACCAAGTCAAGCAGTCACGTCCGTCTCCTTGCTTTCCCCGGTTTTCTTGGCAAAGGAGGAGACAGCACGCTAGCGTTCTCCACACGCTGGGGAATCCGGGGATCTACTACCCCGATGGCCGAAAAGTACCTCGCTTATTGTAGTGGGTCTGGATAAATACACTTTCAAGGTATCTCGGTGATTTGCAATTCGGTCGTCTCTCACCCGAATTACGCTTGGCCCGCGCGGGGATGCTTCGTGGCGTCTGACTCGAGAGCTCATTAGTGGAAGAACTTCCACTAACTCTTGTCATTATTGGAGCTTCCGGGACAACATATTATTTTGTTTCCCGGACAAAAAGTCGTGGAAAATCTTATTCGTCGAAAAGACAACAGCCAGTCTCCCAGCATCATACAATGTCGTCCCCTAAGCCCACGGGCCCCGAAATTCACAACGCCGTCAACCTGTTAATTGACAATTTGGTCAACATCAAAGACGAGACAGGAAGATTCCTGTTGCCACTTGCTGATGGGCGCATTATTGATACCAAGTCATGGCAGGGTTGGGAGTGGACACACGGAATTGGACTGTACGGCGTGTGGAAGTACTACGAACTGACGGGCGACGAGAGATTGTTGCGCATCATCGAAGACTGGTTTGCTGCACGGTTTGCGGAAGGTGGCACCACCAAGAATATCAACACAATGGCCGCCTTTTTGACTCTCGCTTACGTTTATGAGAAGACCGGCAATGTCACCTACCTGCCGTGGCTCGATGCATGGGCTGAGTGGGCGATGCACGAACTCCCCCGCACCCGCTACGGTGGCATGCAGCATATGACTTATCTCACAGAGAATTACCAGCAGCTCTGGGATGATACTTTGATGATGACTGTTATGCCACTTGCGAAGATCGGAAAACTTCTGAACCGACCCCAATATATCGAAGAGGCGAAAAAGCAATTCCTCACTCACATCAAATATCTTTTCGATACAAAGACTGGCCTCTGGTTCCACGGCTGGACATTTGAGGATGGCGGACACAACTTTGCAGATGCGCGCTGGGCCCGTGGCAACAGCTGGGTCACAATCGTCATTCCCGAGGTCATCGAGTTGCTCGACCTCCAGCCAAATGATCCTACCCGTCTTCACCTGATAGATACCCTTGAGGCACAGTGCGAGGCCCTTCAGCGTCTTCAGTCATCATCCGGCGCGTGGCACACTCTCCTTGATCACCCCGACTCGTACTTGGAATCCTCTGCGACTGCTGGATTTGCCTACGGTATCCTCAAGGCCGTTCGGAAACGCTACATCGGTGCCCAGTACCGCCCCGTTGCTGAAAAAGCTATTGCTGCGGTGATGGGATATGTGGATGAAAAAGGAGAATTGCAGAATACCAGCTTTGGCACTGGGATGGGTGATTGTCTTGACTTCTACAAGAAGATTCCATTGACCTCAATGCCTTATGGCCAGGCTATGGCTATTATGGCTTTGGGTGAAGCCTTGCGTGCTCTGTTGTGAAGAATGCACGTCTTAATGACTGAAATGGCAATGGAATGTGGGCATGACCTGAATCATAGAGCTGTACATAGGCATGTTCCCTGCACGAACGAACTTGCTAGATAATAGAATGAAATAAAAATACCATGAAATGTGAATATGCATTTGATCACTCCACTGGCCAGCGGCCTTGAACTTTCTTGCCCAGACCGGCTCTTTCCACTACCTCTTTGCTTCTTCTTTGTGCTTCTTGCACAATTTCCTCCTCATCCATCGTCATGAGCGCTCCATTATTGACCACAACCTTCCCGTTGATCACAACGACATCGACATCTCTCCCAGTTGCAGTATAAACAACCGCGCTGACTGGGTTAAACCAAGGTTGGGTGTGGATTCCTCGAACGTCGATAGCCACAAAGTCAGCTTTCTTGCCATTTTCCAGACTGCCGATCTGGTTATCCAAGCCCAGTGCCTTGGCGCCATTGATTGTAGCCATCTCCAGCACATTTTCGGCTGGAACCGCTGTGGGATCCTGGGAGATCCCCTTGTGAATAATAGCGGCGAGTTTCATCTCCTGCAATAGATCGCATGTATTGTTACACGGTGCGCCATCGGTACCCAGGCCGATATTGACCCCGGCCTTTTGGAGATCTGGCACCCTGCAGATTCCGGACGCAAGCTAGATGACGTTAGATCGTTAAGTCCCGCGATCGTATGAATCGAACTGGCAATGCAACCTTGGAACTTACCTTCGCATTAGATGTTGGGCAGTGTGCGACATGCGTTCCCGAAGAAGAAAGAAGTCTTGATATCATCAGTCTCCGTTACATCAATTCACAAATATTCAATCTCACTCAATGTCCGAGTCATCCAAATGAACCATATGAACGAGGACAGTTGAATCACTCAGCAAGCCAACTGATTTGCAATATGACATCGGGGTGTGCGAGACCGAAGCGAAAAAGTCACGATCGGCCTTGACCTCAGCGCAGTGCATGGTAATGGGTATACCCTTATCTTTGGAAATAGCGGTCATTTCTTTATAAAGTGCGTCCGATACTCTGATTTATCATTAGCAAATAACACCCAATGGCAGTCATGTCACATACCCTCCGGGAGTCCTAGCACCAAACCAGACTCTGATTCTATCATCGGCTGCACCATTCCACTTCTCCCACATCTTCAAAGTCCCAAGCAAGGAGGTTTCACGGTTCTCAACAAGGCCGGGATGCATGGCCCAGGCATCGTCTTTAGCATATTTTGCAATGTCCATGACAATCTTACCTAGACAGCCACGGATGCCACTCTCTTCGACAGCGCGACATAGCCCGTCAAAACCGTATCGATCTGCAAACTGCAGTCATGTCAATCTCTAGGCAATCGAGGAAATCGAAGGGCTATAGTACCATGCTCTCCAAAAAGCAGGTGGTTCCCGATTTAAGCATCTCTCCGATACTCAGTCGTGCCGCAGCGTACCCGTCCTCCGCCGTAAAGTTACCCTGAAGAACCCAGATTCTCTCGCATAACCACGAAACCAACTCGAGATCGTCGGCTGTGCCTCGTAGTAAGGTCTGTGCTGTGTGCATGTGGGTCGAGATCAATCCTGGAATGATAATCCGCCCGGAGAGATCGCACTCTTCATCGGCTCCATACTTTCCCTTGAGGATATCTGCCTTGCCAATATCAACAATGACATCGCCAACTACGCGGATTGCTCCGTCGGTGATTATCCGACGTGAAGCATCCACAGTCACAACGGTGGCATGAGTGTATAGCATGGCGAATCGTCTGATGGATCTGAAAACAAGTGTTAAGGGCTGTGAAAGAGATTCCTGGTCAAGTTCTTAATTAATGCAACTTAGCTGAAAAGAACCCCAGGGCATTTATATTTTCAAAATCAATATCCCCGCAAAAACAACGGAGACGGAGTCTGCCGATGAACGAAAAGATCCGCGTTGAGGGGCGTGATAAGATAACAAATGAATGTCGGAATTGACACATTTCCGATGACATGGGGAGACCTCCGATATAGTGGATAAATGTGGTACATGTTACGGTGTCAGTCTTTGAAACTCGTTTGCTTGTGCCAACATTCAAATGGTTTATCTAAAGCTAAACACTAAACTAGAAACTCTTCTTCAGCCACAGAGTCTGCGAATTGCAGTACCCAAGCAGCCCATCAAGACCCCATTCGACACCCATGCCGCTCTGCTTGTGGCCACCAAAGGGTGCATTCGGCGCCACATCAAAGTGGCTGTTTACCCACACACAACCGGACTGGAGTTGATCTGCCATGCGACTTGCGCGTTCGAAATCCTTACTCCAGACAGAAGAGCCCAATCCGGTCTCCAAAGCATTCGCACGCTCAAGGACATCGTCCTCATCCGACCATTTCAGGACGGGCAGGATGGGAGCAAACGGCTCTTCCTGTACCACGCGCGATGTCTCCGGGGGATTGTCGATAATGGTCGGGTGGATGAAGTACCCGGAAGAGTTCTCAATCGAGCCTCCAAGTGCAGCTTTCAGGCTTTCAGTGCCAATGCTGCTGAACAGGTCTTTGGCTTTTTTATATTGCATCAGATTTTGAACAGGTCCGAAGAAGGTATCTGCCTCGGTGCCTTCACCGACTTTCAGGGTCTTGACAAAGGTGACGAATTTGTTCAAGAATTCGTCGTAGATCTTCTCGTGTACATAAAGTCGTTTAATCATCATGCAGATCTGCGAGCTACATAAATAAGAGAGAATTGCAATCTTGGGGATGATAGCATCGATATCAACCTCCTCGCAGATAATTGCCGGGTCATTGCCACCCAGTTCGAGAGTAACTCGCTTGAGAGTCGTGGCACATGCAGCCATAACCCGCTTGCCAGTAGCAATCGACCCAGTAAAGCTGATCTTCTCAATTCGAGGGTGAGCAGTGAACAACGGGCCAAGGGACTCATCACCGCTTAGACATTGAACCACGCCAGGAGGCAGGAAGTTGGTGGCAAGCTCGACCAGCTTCAAGCCGCAATAAGGTGTGAAAGGAGACGGCTTCACAATAATGGGGTTTCCGGTGTATACAGCAGAGGCTATTTTGCCGATAGCCAAAAGGACAGGGAAGTTCCAGGGGACAATGGCGCCCACCACGCCGATAGGTGTGTGGCGTTGCACAATCTTCCTATCTTCGGTTTCCTCGATGACATTGTCGGGAATCTCAATAGCGGTGAGACCACGAATCCATATACCTGCCATACCCACCTCCGCAGATGATTGAGTCAATGGTTTTCCCTGTTCCATTGTGAGGGTTTTCGCGAATCCATCGGCATTAAGTTCGATGGCATCAGCCCAGGCATGCAGGGCTTTACGTCGTTCTTCAAAAGAGGTCTTGGCCCAGCCCTTGAAAGCATGTTGAGCCGCCTTTACGGCCTTGTCAAGATCATCCTGGGTCGAAAGTGGTACGGGTGGATTAGGCTGAGTGTTGGCAGGGTTGATCCCATGCCGGGTTTCCGATGTCGTGGTCAATTGATTATTGATCACATTGTGGAATGTCTATTTCAGCAAAGATAAGTCGTGGGATCGATGTTATAATTTAGAGACTCACAGAAAAATCTAATGTTTTGGTGTCGGTCATTTTAGGCAGCTTCAACTTTCAATACTAAGGGATTGGGACTAGAGAGATGAAAAATAGCGATTTAAATAGAGCCTCCCGCACAATCTAGACTCAGGCGATTGAAGACACGTATTTATACGGCGTCCTGGATGCATCCAAAAGTCGCAGAAATAACCTCTATAGTTTCCGTATGCAGATCTCACTGCATTTATTTGCCCTATTGTTCTCTTCAAATGGCATTTTTTGGACGATCTCTGCAGTACATTTCCCTTTTTGGTCGTGATATGGTGATGTCTCGAACATTGCGTCTTGGCAGAGTGCGGGGTAGATCCCCCTTAGTTTCTTTTTGGCACACCAACAAATAACCTCGGGGGAGCTTTCGGCATCACACAGCCCCACGAGATTCAAGCGCGGTACTTGGCCCCCTCACGACTCAGGCGTCCATGAGACAAGTCCACGGTGGGATCAGCTGACTAGACGCATCTCGCCATCCAGGGCCCTAGATGCTAGGTGGTCTTCAAGCTTTTCCAACATCAATGAGATAGTGACAGAAAGTTGTGCTTGTTAGAGACAGAGCGCTGAGCGTTGGTATGTAACATTTGAAGCACCTCATCACATCAGGGCCACCTGGTATATATATATATAAGAGAGCATATGCAGAGGACGTATACCAGCTTTGAATTTCGGATGGGACCTTGCCAATATTAATGATATTGATTGCAACGAATTCCACGGCTTAACCTGGGTAGGTAACGAAGATGCCGATGGTAAAACATGAATCCAGTTCATACTTTGGTCACTCCGCCATCTTTCCCCTGTCGGGTGGGGCTTTCCTATTTTAGCCGCTTTCCAATATAAAGGCGCTTAATCAGGCTCATTGGTCGGAACCACTAAATTCAATCCATGGATATTATTTAAGATGTCTCGTGCAAAGTATCTCTTCAACCTCATGGATCTCGGCGCACATGATGTTCTAGTTGATTTTGAATAGACTTCCTGGACATTGATCAGGTCGCCGCCGAAAAAAGGAATAATTGAGGACTATAGACAAGATCACGCCCAGGCATAATCATGGTCTTTTTCTTGTCAGGTTGTATACATACACATAACTGACTAGGGCTAACTAACACTGGGTGTGCACTTATGTAACATATTTATAGGTGGGTACAACGTCGTCGCAGGGCTCCATCAATGACGAAATTCTCCATATATAATTTCTCCTTGAACGTAAATTTCTGAAATAGGGCCGATGCCCTAGCCCTGACCCAGCGACAAATATTTAACATCACTCAGGGGAATTCATATTTAATCTCCAAAGCACCCTGAGACCATAGGGATTCACCACAATCCTTTTTGATAATTTTTGGCCCATTCTCACATTTCAAGACAGGTGGAGAGGAAGCCATTCATTCTTTTCCCCCTGCGTCTGGGACTAACAAATAGCGATCGCTGCCACTCAAAACAAACCGCCATTTTACACAGAACTTAACTGGCTGCAGCCGAAGGAACAATATTTCCAGGCACGAGTAACACATGGTAGTTCCCGCCGCCACCAATCGCCCCCCACTGGGGGCAATGCTCCGACTGGTCCAGGTAACTATCGACCCCCGGCATATGCGCATACCCCTGTTCCCCCCGCAAACCACAATACACAGTCTCTATGATGATTGACCTCTTCCCTTTCTGCAAAGAATTTGTTGAATCCGTGTCTATCTACATTGTTTCATATTGGTCTCTGAGTTACTGAAATTGTGATTTTTAATTTGTCATCCTGTTGCAAGATTTATGGCTAATTGTTCTGTTTGCAAAGGTGCAGCTTATGCGATTGTATCCACAGATGGGGAAAGCTGAGATATATAAGGACAGCCATTCGTATATTATTTTAGGTCTTCGTGATCAATTAGAATTATTATATGCCGTTTTCCATTGAAAGTCCAGAATGTTCACTTGCTTTAATTACTTGCTTTTCATTTGACACACTACGAATAGGGGAGCTACTTCGGTGTTGACGTATTCAGGCTCTACCTTGTACCGTTTCCCGATACTCAAAAAGCAAACTTAACCCGCAATAAGTCCTGTTAGGTAACGGTACGGCTGAGAGACATCGTTGAAGTTGAAGGCTGTCCGGCACTAGGCTAGCATAGCACGAATATGTTCTTAGCATGAATAATTGTGACTAGTTAGTAACGCGTAACGGCTAGTGTTATAAAAGGAATGCAGATGCTCTCGGCATATGGAAGGTTTAAGGAAACCAAGTACTACCGATAGCGGTGAATTGCTTCAATTTGTTAAGCTCCAGGGTTATACTCAGACCAAGTGAGAAGATTGTATATTGAGACGCAACATGCTGGTGAAAAGGTGTGGTGACAACCTCCAAATAAAGATCTGTTTATTATATTCTAGCTTGGATAAGCTCTATATAAACTCAACCCTGGAATATTATGCCCAGGTGAACAGATGATGGTTTTATTGTTCTCAACCTTGGAACACCGATGTGTACCTGCCATGTCTTGACTGACGCACAGACCACATTCCGTGACATCATCCCGGCTCTCATCATTTGCCAACACAAGGAACGGCCTACAACTTAATAACTTACGTCTCATGTCGAAATCTTGTTCATGCTGCTATCATCATCATTGAGACGTAGTCCCAATATATATCCCTGTATAAGTTTTCGATCTGCAAGGACGATCTACCAATAACACGTCTTGTTATTTTAAGTAGAATTTTGTCTTCTGCCCTGTGCGAGCTAACTGGAGACCCCTAGAGAAGATCATCATTCGGATGACGCGCCTGCTGAGCGCCTCTTCGTCAACCTCCCCCCATGTGTTATCTTTGAAGGCGATATAGTGCTTGGCGTACGTTTTGTGCAACATCAAAATGAACGTAGGAAGCACCCAGGGCTATGTCTGCAGCTTATTTAAAGACCCTGATCTCCACCTAACTGTCAAAATACAAATCAACTTACTACACTTGTATACAATATACATTCCATATCAAACTCCATACAAAACCCATCAATCTATCAATCCATCACAATGTTTCATCGACGTCGCCCCGCTACCACAACCACTCGCACCAGCAAGCCTACTCTGATGACCAAACTCAAGGGGCGAAACGCGCAATCGCGCACCGTCAAAACCACAACGACAACACATCAGAATCCCACCCACGGCCATCATACTGGCCATACTGGCCATACTACCCATACTGGTCGCACTGGTCCTACTGGGGGCCGCTTTGGTCATAGGAACGCCTATGGAACACCTACTCATACTCGTCATCAGCGCAAACCCACACTTGGCGACAAGGTCTCCGGCGCTATGTTGAAGCTGAAAGGAAGCTTGACGCATCGCCCTGCAGTCAAGGTAAGGAGCGAATGACTCTGGTTCAACTTAGACTCGAGCTAACATTCTAAAACTAGGCTGCTGGAACCCGCCGCATGCATGGCACTGATGGACGTGGAAGCCACGCACACCGTGTCTACTGATTGATACCCTGTATACTATGACGAGTTACGAATGATGGCTTAAGCCTTGGGATCTTGTTTTGTTATTTTTTTGAGATACTATGATTAATGTACCATAAGAGTCAGCCTTGAATTCCATTGTTGAATATCCCCGAACCCCACGTTTTTAAATCTTAAATCTAGAAGTAGATGTTGCTCTGTTCCCCATGCCACACTAATTTCAATGAGCTATCCTTTTGAGTTAAGTCTAGTGAGTAATGAAAACACAAATCGAGACGCCTTTTCTCCAACCTTGGGTAACCGGGCCGGTGCGATAACGTGGGTTGCCCAGGTGCCCCACCAAATTTTTACATAAGTGCGGGACTTCCCCGGGGTCCGATTACTCGGACAATACAACACCTGTGGTCCTTCTCAGCTATATCTATACAATGCCGTCCATCCAAGAGAGCAAATTGGCCTTCATTGGCGGTGGCAACATGGCCTCCGCCATCATTGGTGGTCTGCTGAGCAAAGGCGTCAACAAGCAGAATATCTGCGTCTCCGAGCCGTGGGATGTCAACCGCGAGAAGATGGCCGCACTCGGAGTGCGCACCACCACTTCCAATGTCGAGGCTGGAGGTGATGCCGATTTGGTCATCATTGCCGTCAAGCCCCAAGTTACCAAGGGTGTTTGCGAGGAGCTCGGTGGTGCCTGGTCGCCGCGCGCAACTTTGCCCGTTGTCGTCAGCATTGCCGCGGGTATAACCCTGGATAGCTTGAAGGAATGGTTGACGACTAGCGATAGCCGTACGGCCCACACTGTTCGTGTGATGCCCAACACCCCCGCCCTAGTTGGCGAGGGCGCTTCGGGTGCTTTTGCTAGCGCGGATGTCACCCCCGATGAGAAGGAGCTTGTCAATGCTATGCTCGAAAGTGTTAGCAAGGCTACCGAGTGGGTGGACCGTGAAGATCTCCTCGATGTCGTCACTGGATTATCCGGTAAGTCTCCTGCATCAAAAGCCATATGGCATGTAATCAACGCGTATCAATCTGACTCAATCAGGGTCTGGACCTGCGTATTTCTTTGCCATGGTTGAGCATCTGGTTGCAAGTGCAACTGCTCTCGGCCTCTCTGAAGAACAAGCCACTCGGTTGGCTACACAGACATGTCTCGGTGCTGGCAAGATGTTGGTTGAGAGCCCCGACAGCCCTACTCAGCTGCGTAAGAATGTGACTAGCCCCAATGGCACCACACACGCTGCTCTTCAGACATTCGAGTCCCTCAACTTTAAAGAGATCGTCGACAAGTCTGTCCAGGCTGCCACTGCTCGGGCTGCTGAGCTCGGCAACACCCTCGCCAAGCCATAGAAAGTGCAACTCCACAAAAATGAATAGCTGGAATCTTTGTAACGATGTCCAAGATACTCAAGCAAAATGAAACAAATAAACAAATCCAATGACCCCCTATTTAGGTGGACTTAGTAGACTCCCAAATGTCCACGGGTCGGAGTCGTAGCTCCGACTTGATGTGGCCCGTGCGTATCGCCCTCCTAAACTTGGAACAGCTCGACGGTCGAGCTTCTCCTTCTCAGTTCATAGGCATACTATGTATGTACAATAATGGTTTCTTTTTGGCCCTGGAAGGTGAGATATATGGTACTTGATTGTTTCGGTTTACTGCGGCTAACATCACCAGGGCGATGACAACTCCGCGGCTTCTTTTGAGAAGACACTGTCCACGCTGTCGACGAAGATCGCCCAGGCCACCGCGCGACTCGACCAGCAACGTCAGTCTTCCCGGCGAATCAAGGCTCTCTGGACCCTCTACTCGACATTTGCCTATCTGTTTTACTCCATCATTCTCGCCCTCGTACTGGGATGGGAGAGCTGGGGAATCAAGGAATATGCAGCCATCGTAGGCGGGCCGGTCCTGTACGTCTGTCCTCAATATGCACATTACCACATCGCTGACATTTAGTTCTCATTTCTCTAGGATCTACGGTGTGCGCACTCTCAGCTCCAGAATCTTCGACTATCGAATTTCCCGCATCCAACGCCGCCTGGACGATTTCCATAAACAGCGCGAGGAGACCATCGAAAAGCTCAAGGTCGCAACCAAGTACAACTCCACCCAACAACTGCTAGAGAAGTACGGCGGCGAGTCTCCCAAGCCCTCCCCAGGCCCAAAGGGACAAGCCGAGAAAGGAAAACCTGCCCAGCAACCACAGCATGTGGCCCGCACTGGTCTCCCGCCGCCACCCACTGCCAACATTCGCCGTTCTCCATCTGCATCGCAAACCCAGAACGACCCGCCATCCCCCGACTATCCCTCTCCCCCTCTCCAGTTAACCCACGGCGGCCCGCAAACCCCACAGCAGCCCTCTTTCCCACCTCCTTTCCCTCCCCAAACACCCGCCGATCAACCCAGCTTTGCGCCGAACGCATTCCCTCAGAACGGCGAATTCATCGAACAACCACATTGGTACGACCGTCTCTTGGATGTTCTGCTGGGAGAAGATGAAACCCAACCCCGTAACCGGATGGTCATGATCTGCAGCGCGTGCCGGCTCGTGAACGGGCAGGCTCCCCCTGGTATCAAAACACCGGAAGAGCTGGGCCGCTGGCGGTGTGGCAGCTGTGGAGCTTGGAATGGAGTAGAAAGCGAGACAACAAAGATTCTCAACAATTTGCGTCAAGATGCTGTGCCAGCTGAGGGAACTTGGGAGCCCGTGTCGAAGGCCGAGGCGGATACACCGTCCTCCGAGGGCACGGGGGGAGGATGTCATGGTTGCCTCAAGTGAGGAGGAACAAGTGGACTCCATTGGCTCTGATGCGGAGGACCAAACACAAGAGGAATCTAAGCCCGCCCCTGTGCGGAGGTCCAAGCGCGGTGCAAAGGGAGACAAGGCACAGGAGTAAACCATCTTCCACTACTTTATTCATTTGGAAATTCCAATTAGCTACATTGCTTCCGACGTCACCGAAAGCAGTCCAAATTCAAGGCTTCTCATATGGTATCTAGCTAAGCAAAATCGAAAAGTTCAAGCCAAAATCATACAGATCATTCAGAGCACGCCAATTTCCAAGTCATTGGTTACGAGCTCATGTAGAGACCAACGGGTGCAACGTCAAGTGCTCAATAGCAACATTGGCAACCTTAACTTCTGCCTCTTCAGCAGAAGCACATCCCTCAACCAGCGCGATCTCGGTCTGGTTAACCACCGCCGAGCACCGATACGTAGCCACGCCTCCAGACTCGACCCTCTTCCTCTTAAAGACCAACGTACCCGCTCCCTTCACCATGTTCTGCGCGATATTCCGCGGATGAACAACATTAACCCCGTCGGCAATAACATGCTGGATGTACCACACCAGACCGATACGTTCAACGAATGCGTGACATACATCCAGATCACCACCGCAGTCGATGAAAATCGCCCCAAGAACACTCTCGATGATATCCGAGAGGAATTTATCCGCACGCAGACGAGCGAACAACTCCCACGGGTACTGGCTTCCGTGTTCCAGGGCATGGCAGATCTCAGCGCGAAGACCTTGGTGTCGCTCGAGACAAGCTTCCCGGGCGGAGTTGATATTAGGGCCGTGAGAGCGGAGGAAGCGCCATAGGTGGATCTGGTCATAGTGTGGCACGAGGTTCATTTCGCCATTGGCGAATTGGGTCATGTGTGAAGGTTCGTCTGGTGCGCATAGCTCCATGCAGAAGAAGGCCAGGAGGTTGGCGTTCACGACGGAATGTTTGAGCAATGTCATCGGTCCCTGGTCCATTTCCACGGGGTGGGCTGCTATCACAGCCATGACGACCATGTCGAGGACGGCATCGCCGAGGAACTCGAGGCGTTGGTAGGATTGTGTTGATGTATCGTACTCGCAGGATGCGTGGGTGAGCGCCTCTGTTAGAAGGGCGGGATCTTTGAAGGTGTAGCCAATCAGACCGGCTAATCTGTGATGGTTGATTAAGTTGCTCACGCCTTTTCCTGGTGGGAGGATGAGGGGGGAAATTTCATTTGTGAAGAGATCGATCTCTGGCAGGAAGCGATGGAGACAGGCCTGCGCTTTGCGGATTCCACCGTCTACATATGCTGCGCCAATGAGGGATTCCACGACATCTGCTAGGACCTTGGTCGATATGTTCCTCTTGGCCGTGGATGGCTCCAACTTGTTCCTGATCAATGGTGCAGCCCACTTTCGCGGGGTGAAGCGGCTCGTAAGAATAAAGCAGTCAATGCCAGTGTCGAGAGCTGCGCGGGCAAGGCGAGTGTTCTGGATAAGCTTGTCACGGCTCTCTGAGAGGTATCCCTCGTGCCAGTTGGTGTTTCGGAAAAACAGCTGGCAACTAACGGTGAATTTCAGAACAGAGTCACCAAAGAACTCGTATCTCTGATAGTTTGTACTGGCCTGTGCAATAGGCGCGCTGATAGCCGTAATGACATGGTCGATGTTTTGAATGCCGACTCCTTTCAAAATGGTATCGTTCAAGCGATGTGCGACCAAAGATGCCTCCAACCTGTCCAAAATGGCGGAGATGAAAAGTCCAAAGACAGCCTGTTTTGCTGGGAGTTTGTCGATGACGCAAGCCACAGCAGGAAGAACGTATGACTTCTTTGGTGCATCTGCCTCTCCATCTTCGGCGATATTCATAGCTCGCATCTGGAGGAGGTTTCGTCGACGGGGAAGTGATGAACATTCCACTTCAATAGGCGACGTCTTTGTCACTTCGGCCGGAACGATCCATCTGTTGAATGTTCGTGGCTCGCTGAATTTAGACTGATCACGGACGATACCCGTAGGTGGCGTAGTTGGATTTCTCGAGTAAACTTCCAGCGCAGGCTCTTTTCCTTCGTACACCGCAAGCCATTCCCCTAGGCGTTCGTGTGGAATATCGGGAATGAAGAGAGCCACGAAGTCACGGTCGTCTCCCCGCTGTCGCGAGCTGGGAGCTTGTAGGTAGAGGGCCGTCGTCCTTCTCATTTGATCCAGTGTCTCCGCTGTCGTCTCAAAAGCCGAAATTTGTGGATCAAAGTGAAGTTGCAAGGAGGTTTCGGGGTCCCAGTAAAGAGGGATAGGGTGCGGCGTGGGTGTCAATCTTGGCAAAATTAAGCAAATAGCCAGATCTTCATCGACAGAACCATTGCTGCATATCTTCAAGCGTGTCTGGGACAGCTGACCCGAAGCCCAGCCTTGTGCAAGGTCCACATAAGGGTCACACTGCTCCGCAGCATGCACAATGGATGGGAGAGTGATCTGGTCCGAGAATCTCAACTCTGGTTTTCGTGTTAATGGCAAGAGGTTGTCGTTGATCAACCCATACGAATGCAAAGCTTTGTAGGCTTGAAATGCGGTCTCCTTTCTGGCTGCCCGCTCTGTCCGCCACCAGGCTTTCCCGTTTGTTCGACGAACCGTCGGGTGCACCGAATTTGGTAATGTGACCGTACCCAAAAGCAATCCCACACTATTTTCTTGGAAGGAAAATACGGGTCGGTTGTCGGAAAATTCATCAACTGGTAAGACAGCGCAAAAGTGATACAAATGCTGCAATGCGTCGTCCGCCGTCAACAGAGCACTGCCCAAACGATGTCAGCAATTATCAAGAGACGTCCTGGATTGCCCTTACCTCGTCTTTTCTACCCAAAGTCTCTCTTTCACTTGCTCCTCAATGGCTTCGAGGTCATAAGCTTCCCGACGCTTTCGCTCGTCGTCTTGATACGCTTTCATCATAGCTTGCTCTAGTTCCTGCCATTTGTGAAGACTCAACAACTCATCCTCGTTTGAGATCATGACAGCATATGTAGATTCTCTATGACGAGCACGCCCACGCCGCTGGACAAAGGACTTGAGGTTCGCAGGCTTGTCGTAACAAATGACCAAACTGCATGCGCTTATGTCAATCCCCTCTTCGAGAACATCAGTGGCGACAATGAGGTTTTTGCGGCCAGCCTTAAATTCATCGAGGGTATCTCGCTGCATATCCCGGTGAAGTAGGTCACCGAGACAGCCCTTGCGGTTTCTATCACTCGCCCAACCAACATAAGCAGCACACTGGAAGCGATCTCTGGTTTTGGGATGAAGGGATAAAATGCGAGCTAACACACTGACAGTTGCCCTCTGCTTGACGAATAGTAGCCCGGAAAACCCAGGGCTATCCATTCTTTCGAGAAAGTTGAGAAGCATTTCAAGTTTGATGGATACGTGATTACTCTCCTCAGTTGAACTTGGCGCAGGCATTGCGAGCAGTAGCTCCAACAGGTAGATTCTCTCCACTTGGTCCAAATGTGACATCTCACTAGCATCTTGGATTGAACGCTGAAGTTGGTCAATTGAAGCACTGATGAAGAAGTCGGCAGCCCAACCTCCCAGCTCCTCATAAATGTGACGACTGCGCGCCTGGAAGTTCCTCAGTTGCTCGCTACAAAAGGTTTTACCTGTAGTGAGAGCCTTTGCAAGCTCCACAGTCTGATCCTTTGACCGTAATGATTCGATCCAAGGGTCATCTTCTATGTTATAGGCCCTGCAACTTTCTATGAGAGATGAAAGTAGTCGGCTTCCAAAGCCATACTGTGCTTCCTCAAAGGGTATGTAATTGAGACGCTCTAGATGAGGGCGATGGGTATTTTCCAAGAGCTCAGTGCGATGGACACGTGGAGTCTTGCAAACTGCGTTCAAGTTGGATTCGATTGTTCTGGGGGAAGATTGTTAGTTGCTGGAGAAAGTTATTAGCATGTAGTAGAATGAACTAACTCAAGCTCGTTCTGACTTGAACGGAACACTGGGCTAGCAGTGAGTCCCAAGATCCGAGGTACAGCATTTGGGCCTGATCTCAGTAGGGTAGGATGGTAGTGATTTTGCATAATCTTGTTCGCCGGATGGCGTCTCGTGCAATGATGAGCTGTAGTGCAATTTATATTAGTATGGTTTCTGGGATTCCTTGAAATGTGCCACGTACCCTCATCAAAGATAAGTAGAGCAAGTCGGGACATGCGAACAAAACCATGACCCAAAGCATCAGCGAGGACAGCATATGTAGAGATAACCACGCGGACATCCTTGAGCACTTTGTCCCAGACACCTTGTTCAGTCCATCGATCAACATTGTCCAGACCCGTTAAAACTTTAGTTTTCACAGACAAGATGTGGCTAGTGATAACTTCATGTTGTTGAAGGCTCAATGCCACAGTCGGGGCAAGAAACCAGATAAGCTGTGACACAGGTGAGCTGAGAACAAATATAAGAATCAACGAACTTATTCACTTTCTCTGTAGAACCAGAGTTCTCAAGCTCATCTATAATGCGAAGAATGGCACTAAGACAACTGTTAGGAAAATGTGCCGATAAAGTGAAGTTTCACCTCCAAACATGCATATGAGTCTTTCCACTCCCCGTGTCCATCTATCAATAGTCAGTATCTTCTGAAGCCTCAAACTTCAACCTCAAGAAAAAAACATACCGCGACAATGATATTCTCCTTGCGGCTAGCCTCTAACATTTCGAGTTGGTACCCACGAGACCGGTAGGCAGCACCATCACTACTGAGACCCATGGGATCCATGATAAGTAAGTCTCAAATGAGACTGTAAGCAATGGGACGCTGTATTGCAGAAAGCAAAAAAAAAAAAAAAAAGATGGGAAATGAGAGGAATCAAACGAAGCCCAGCAGGCTGTTTGTCCATGGGTTGGTGGGGGAGCTACGGCATCCCGCAGCGGCCATCGCGCAGCTTTGGTCCAATCGCAGTCAAGGCTCTGATTCCCCTTTGGGTGTTGTATACTTCCTTCAGAACGACAACAGACTCGTTCTTTCTCTATTTGCTTCTTCTCTTCTCATATCAAAAATAGTCTTCATCTTCATCAACCTCTCACTTTTTCTTCTACCTTTCCATCCCTTTTCCTCCATTGTCCCTTAAACCCAATCTTCTTCTATCTGCTTTTTTGATTCGCAATAGCGCTTTACCTGTTGTGACCTCTCCTTCTCGAAATCTAAAACATCCGTCGGAATACCTTCAAGTCCAAACCACCTGTCAACCAACATCTGTGCCGGTGCCATCAATCTCCCCCGGGATTATGAGATGGCGTGCCCTTCCACAAAAGTCTTTGACGACTGGCTGAGGGACTTGTCGCAATGGCGTGAGAGGTGCCAGAGGTGGATTCGTCAGGAGTGGGAGAATAAATGCAACGACCCAGTTGAATGGAAAGAGGGCGATGTCCCTGGATGGAACCCAGGCACCGTGTCAAGCCAAAAAGAGCTGGCCTCCCTCCGTCACTGGAAAATTATGAATCCCCCTGACCGTGCCTCTGTTAAAGCAGAAGTGGCTATAAAGGTCAAGGAGCGCCAGTGGAACCCCAAGAACGTCCGCCTGTCGGATGCAGGCGTCATCTATGCCCTTTTGATCTTGCCCGCGGATTATCGCATCCGACACCTACCCTATGACTTTGATGACCAAGGGGATGTACGCAAAGAACGAGTCCCGAAAGCACCCACTGTTGCCTTCTACCAGAACAACCAGCGGACGCTTGTCGCGTGGAAAGGTGTCTATGTCTTCACAGGGGGATACAATGATGCTGGATGGTTGCTGGCCGACAATTACCCTGCCGGAGCACCATTTTTCCAAACTGGCCTGGTGATCGCATCATCTCATGTGAAGACATTTGATACCCTCAATGTCCAGTTGACCGAATACGAGCCAAGAAAGATCTTCCTCCGCGATTCTGATCTTATGGAGAATCTATGGAAACGTGCATATCACTTGTACGGGATCTCACTCAGGGGTTGCAGCGATGCTTCAGGATATTGTCTTGTGCTTGTAGGGCAGAACATATCTGGATACCAGAAGATGGGTCTTCTCTTTGGCTTCAATATCCTGATTGGTCCCGGCGCCGACCCCAACAATGCAAATGAAGCAATTCAACAATACCAATGGCCTTCCACGGCCTGTAAGAACAAGTTATCTCCAGATGCCGAGTTCAAACGACAAACCAATGATTTCGTCAACTTCATTGGAATCAAGTGGGGGCAATTGCCAATTCGCAGAAAGATCATTGAAGACAACACAACCTGCCACAAGCGCAAAAGGCCAGACAGTGGTAATGAAACCCAAGATTTCCTCCGATTTCCATCGCACTCATCATCGACTGGCACGGAAACGGTCAATGAGAGAAACCCGGACCGACCAGTTCAGGATTCCTACGACTTGCTTACTTTCAAGACACTTTGGGCCGAGCTGGCAGCCATCGAATCGCCCCCTAGATACTGGGAGCTATTCACGGCAGTCGGTACAATGGAGACCATGCATCAAAGGTGGCGTCACAATCGCATTGCTGTTAAAATGGTCCAACATGATATCTCACCATCTGATGCCACTATTATCCGCAACCTTATGCAAACCCTGAGCCCAATGCTGAACTTTTTGATTCTGGGTATTGAGGTGGACGAAGATCGCATTGCCCTTGAAAATGCTTTGAGCTACAATTTAGCCATGGTCTTGTTTCAGCAGCAGGTCGATGTTCTTGAGGAGGGCAATGTTAAACAAGCCTACATGAACTTTTCCTCCTACTTTCAGGCAGTTGCCCTCCGCAGGCTCGACAGTCCTCAGCCATTCATTAAGTTGGAACAGCCAGAGGAAACAGACAGTGGTCTCCGCAGCCAAGACCCTCGACAGTCCATCGAGACCCAAGGGATGGACTTGTCGCCGTCGTAGCCAAGTTTCCCACGCGTCATGCAGCAAGCTCCGATTGTACGTGGATACCAGCACCAGGTCAATATTGAGGAACAATCCTTTTCGACGTAGAAAAAGTGACAGAAATGGAAGCAAATGTTTTACAACCCCTTGTGCCTTGACATGTCCAATAATTGTTATGTCAGTGGTTGTTTTATAGCATATCATTGAATTCAACCCTTCACTTGTCCCAATAACTACACGTAGATTGTAATCTCCCGTTCAAATTGCTTCAATATCCCATACATCGATATATTATGTCACAGTCGAAGATCAGAGAATGGTCGCAAATTATGAGAACCGAGAGCATGAGCGCGGAAATTCTGAAAAAGAAATGTGAAACACTTCTACACTTCTACAGCCCCCGAGATAAAGTGACATCTGTCATCACTTTCCTATCTCTACTTGATAACATAAAAACAAAGCCAAAAAAAAGTAAATAGGAAGGTGATCCACTACGGCTGTTTCCTCATTGGAAGACGCGTTGGGGTAATCTTGGCGTGCGCTACGCTACCATTTTCGGAACGAACGCCTTTTGGGACTTTTGCTTCGGATCATGAAAGATGAAGATAGGATGGAAGGTAATCCATAGTTTAAAGATCTGTGTGGTCATACATCCAATATTACCTTCCAAGTGAAGTTTTTCTCTACGATCTGCAATCGTAGGTCCCCATCCATGATCGAATATATATAGTCGAGTGTAGTATGGCTTTCTTTTTCTTAAATCTTCATCACCCAGAACTCGAAAGCTGATTGAACCCCTGTATCGGACGATAATTCCGAGCAAATCCCCCGAAACAACATCCACAATCATGTCGCAAGCTCTTGATCTATCCCTGTTGAAGGGGTCTCTTGAGGAAAGAGATGCGGTTTCGGCAGCCCTACTAGAAACACTCAAAACGCGCGGGGTGGCCAAGCTAAAGAACCATGGGCTCCCAGAAGATCTGATTGCCAAAATGTTTGACTATGTAAGTTGGCTCAAACGAGGGATTGGACATCCACTAACTGTCTTTACCAGACCCGTCGATTCTTCTCTCTTTCACTAGAGGATAAGATGACCGCCAAACATCCGCCAGAGGCAAACCCCAACCGTGGATACAGCTATGTTGGCCAGGAATCAGTCTCTTCCATTAGTGGTTATGACAAAGGCCTCCCCCAAGGGGCCTCAGTTCGGGATATTAAGGTAGGCGCTTCCTGCATGATCCGCCGTGGACATCCATTCTAATGAGAACAGGAAACCCTCGATATGGGCTCCCCGCACGACAGCCTTGTGGACAACATTTGGGTAGCCGATGAGAAACTACCCGGCTTCCGCAAATTCATGGAGGATTTCTATGAAAGCTGCTTCAAGGTCGAGTTGGAGATTCTCGACGCCTTGGCTAAGGCCCTTGATATCTCGGCACCAGATCTCAAACTACTACACAACAAGGCCGAAAATGAATTCCGCCTACTTCATTATCCAGCTGTGCCAGCATCTGAGCTAGAAGATGGAACCGCCACGCGCATTGCAGAGCATACAGACTTTGGCACGATTACCATGCTGTTTCAAGATTCCACTGGTGGTTTACAGGTCGAAGACCAGCAAAATCTGGGGACCTTCCATGATGTCGTGTCAGGGGGCAAATCGGAGATCATTCTGAACATCGGCGACTCGCTCCAGCGCCTGACCAATGATACATTCATGGCTGCATGTCACCGGGTAACCTATCCGCCCACCGTCAAAGTGGGCTCTGATGTGATTATTCCCGAACGCTATTCTGTTGCCTATTTTGCGAAGCCGAACCGTATCGCTTCCTTGTTTCCCCTAAAGAAGTTCATCACGCCTGCTACTCCGTGCAAATATGAGGATATTACGGCTTGGGACTACAACAATCTGCGAATCGCCAAGTTGTTCTCCTAAACAGTCGTCCGATCAAGATATGGCGTCTAGTCATACATGTATTTTTGTGCTCATGTTACTCTTTAGATTGGAATATTGTCATCAAATCTCAAACAGATGTGTATAGGCAATTTTGTAGCACAATTTATCTCTTTTCGAGTGAACGTGTTAGTGCGCCTTGGATGTGTAGTTTAGACTTCGACGCAGTGACTATTGTTTGACGTCTATACTATTTATTTAATACAATGTTAGAAGACGATTATCAAGACTCACCGTTGGTATCCGAAAAGAGGGGAAATAATCCAACAGGCAAGAAGTTCCGAGCCCTCGATATTCGGTCTCCCAGATCCAACTATTGATTTTTGCGACTCAGAGGATTGTACTTGGATGTGAATGCAGACCTGGATTTGATGATTGTTTATCAATCCTAGTAGTATGTATATAAAAATTAGTGCCTTGTCACTCGGTTATTCCAGGTAGTTGATGTCTGCCATATCGATATCGGAACCACATTCCCATTTGGGCTCCGTCCCCAACGGAGACTCAGAGTCCTGTATCAGAACCACACCGTCCCCGATGCACATCAACCCTCAAGATGCAAGGAATCGTACAGTTAACGTTTATTCACGACAAAGAGGATATTCGATGGTTGAATGCAGGAAATGCGGCGAGGCACCGCCACTCGATCTTCACAGGTCCGCCTTTTATGCAACTCCCATCGGCTATATTCTGACAATGTTTGGCAGATGTCGAACGTCGAGACATGACCCTTGAGATCGTCTCTTCTGTGCCCGATCGGAATCCCGACCAAGCAATTGTTGATCTAGAAAAATTCGAGTTGAATACCAGTTACTCAAAACCATCCTCCCTTTTTCGGGGACCTTTTGGTGCTTTCAGATGCTCACCACCGCTCCCGCTTGACCCATCACCTTCCGATAGAGACGAGCTACCGCTTTCATCCAATGACTGGTTTGAGCAGTTTGAGGAGCTGCCAATAGATGAAGATTTCAACCAGACTTTGTTCAGTCTGGATGCCCTAGATGCTCTGAATGCAGATGACGGTGACGATTTGACGCTAGAAGAGCCGAGTATACAGCCACTTCAGAGTATCGGGACGAACTTCCACGAGCCGAGTCTACAAGCACAGCTGAGTCCATACTTATCCGTGGGCAATATCGAGGGCTGGAGTCTCCTATCTCATTATAAAGACCGAATCATCCCATTGATCTCTCCTTTGCGCCGTGGAAAAGAGACACCTTGGATGAGTCTGGTAATACCATGCGCAATGGCAACTTTGGCAGACCTGATGATGAGTGGGTCTTCCAACCATGCACGGCTTGCCCTATTAAATGCCGTATGGAGCACAAGCGCCTTTCACTTGGGAAATAATTCAGTGGGTTGCCTTGAGCAATGGACAGTCTCGGGAGGGATGTACTTGAAACGGGCCCAATATCACTTCCAACGATGCATGGAGGAAAGCTGTATGTCGGCGACGAAGATGAGCAAATATAAGGAGATTCTCATGGCAATGCTGAGTCTTTCAAATATCTTTGTATGTCATCAACGTGTATTCACTGTACACAGCTAACATCCTCCCTAATACAGATGATAAAAGGAGACCCAGAAATGCGCCGCGCTTATCTCGTCCAAACAGAGAAACTCATTTGTGTGAAGGGACTCAGCCAACCGGCGCTGTCAGCCAACAAAAGAGCATTGCACCACTGTTATGCTTATATGCGCATTATGGCTGAGACAACATGCATTGCTGATAGATTGAGCATCAAGCCGGCCGGGACAAGCGGTACTTTGAACGAAAGCACAGCATACGGAGGAGACTTCCGTGTTTACCCCAATCAAATCTTTTCGACGACCACAATGAGCATGGAAAAGGATCCGGGGATGGCCCAGCGTGACCTTCACCTGGCGATACCCGGTCGATGGAGCTCGACGTTGTTTCCCACACTGTACGGAATCGATGAAATATTTCTCATGTTACTGTCCCAAGTGATCCGCCTTGCCAACGAGCGAGATTTGTCAATGATGTCTGATGCAGCTGAAGGTAGTCTCAGTCTCAAAGAATTTTGGACTCGAGCAAAGGGTCTGGAAAGGGCTATCGATCATTTGCTATCCACTGCGAACCCAAGTTGTGCTCAACATTATGATGGAGCCCTTCCAGTAGTCATGACTGCGACAGCTCAAGCGATGTACACGGCCTTATCAATTTTCTTCCATCGCCGAATATATGAAATTGATCCTATAATGCTTCAGGGCAATGTCGCTGCAATTCGGGGCTACCTAATCCAAATCCAACAAGAGGAAGGCGATCATAAGGATAGTAACAATGCTGCTCTGATCTGGCCGGCTTTTATCACTGCTTGTGAGGCTGTTAGTCCCGAGTTACAGGTGTTCTTCTCCTTGTGGTTTGATAATTGCGCTCGGACGACAGCCTTGGTTCATGCATCGGTCGCTAAACAGATATTTGAGACAATATGGACCAAAAGGCGCGATGTGAGCCTCTGTGGAGGAACATTTAGCTGGCCAGATATTTTGCGGGATGGGGAAATTAAGTTTATGTGCATATGACGAGTTACCAATAAGAAGACATAAGATGTTACAAAAGAAACATGATTGGATTCAGACGAGTATTTGCGAGCTCTTGTTGTCAAACTTCAGGCAACGGTGGAACAAAGCCACAGATACAAAGCACCGTCGCTCAAACAAAAAGTAAAAACTCAGACTTGGACGATGCGACCGGCCACCACAGTTTGGAGGAAATGGAGGTAGAATTCCCAGTAGATTGCCTGCGACTCCTTGCGCTGGATGGTTTGGATCGCACCAGCAAACTTGGTCAGACCTTCGAAGAAACTAATCGCATTGTAAGCCGCAAACCAATTCTCGTAGGTGCCAACTCTCCAAACAATACGGAACTGGTCAGAAAGCTCGGGATAATCTTTGGCCAGAATAGAATACTCTGGGACCTCGATTTTGGAGATACCACTGAGGTTGGATGGCAAGGTCGGCAAATTGCCGATAAGGATGTTGACATCTTCATCCGAGAGAGAGATTGCGGGCTTCCAAATTGGATCCAGACGGAGAAGCGCGCATCGGAGGGCAGTTTCATCGTTGGCGGAAAGCGAAAAGATCTCGTAAAATTCGGAGGGTAAAGCCGGCAACATAAGAATAGCTTCGGAAGATCGTTCGATCAAGTTCGGGACGACAGCCGCCAGTTCTTCAGGCAACCGAGGAAGCACAGCACGAAGCCCGGAAATGTGATTCGACTTGATATAAGTCTTGACAAGAGCGGAGGCGAGTGGGTTTTTGGCAAATGAGGAGTGCAGACTAGCCAGCGTGACTATGGCCATTACCAGGTTAAGCTGGTCGGAAGGTGCGCCGCAAGCAGCAAGCTTCTTCCACAAGTCGGCATAACGCTGGGAAGCTTCGGGTGTCATGCGAAGCCCCATATTGATGACAGAAATAACTTCGCGGAAAGGAAGTTTGGTGGGAAGGCCCCTCTGGCCAGTTTCGTTGGCGGCCATGGTACTAGGCGATAAAGGATTGGAATGAGGTGGTCGGAAGCAGTGAATGGAGATGATGATATGAAAGAGAGAGGAGAAAAAGGAAGAACAACAACAGAGGCTTGAGGTGAATAAATAGGTCCCCGGCACAGATCAGATCAATGGCATCGCCGCGGCGACGATGTCATCACATACATAGGTACCTTCCTAACAACCACGATCTGATCGCAATGCCTCATTGGCCGGTGGGCGCGATCAAACGTTAGCCGCGCAAGAGGGATCGATCCTAACGCCTGATTGGCCGGCAGGTTTGATCAAATGCTGGCTGCGATATGGATCTCGTGTTGATATCATAGTAGGCAACGTATGACTTCCCAGTCTGACTAGGTCGCTATGTCTCACGTTGATCACATGGTATGTTAATGACCGGGCATGTGGGGGTGAGTTCTCGTATGGGAGGATTAGTACCAGGCCGATTTCTTTCTGTGTCCTCTTGTCCCGGAGTCATTGGCGGTATATTATGTAGGTTATCGCTGCTGAAATGTTCAAGGCATTGGGCTTTTTGTGAAGCATCATGCTGTTAGTTTCGCTTTGTGATGGGCCATTGTTCAAACAAGCATCCAGCTTAGGAATTCAAATGTTAGCAGGATATCTCAATCTCAAAGCGTTTTTCTCCCCACTTACTCGGTATCACACTGTCCAATACTATGATATCATGACAAAACATGGAGCCTGGTGAGAAGTTCCAAGATGATTCATTGAAATCGATAAATAACCGATTAGGCAGTTGATGTATGGAAGCATCAATAGCTTCATCCTCCAAATTCTTGCTCAATAACTTCGACCTGAAAGCTTCAGATGCAATATCCAATGACTTAGTCAAAGTATCAGTTTGGTTTTGTGCAGTTTCATGGCTCGATGGCAGCCAGCATGCCAATGGAGAGGTATGCTGGAAGTACCGCTAGACCATAGCAAAAACGCAAAGGATCTGTTCATGGACGGCCTAGGGAGGCTATATTCTTCGTCTGGCCACACATTTCGTTGGCATAGGCAGAGCGCGGTGTAGTTGATGCAATGTGACCATAGTAGACCTACTACCTGAGCAAGTTAGTAACAGCACACCAAAAAATTCGATAATGGATTCACCGATCTCAGTTCATCAAAGCGGGTGTGAGCTTTGTGATACGCACCATAAGTATCAACTTCTGCACGAAGTTTGAGGGTGGACATGTTGGCCAAGTGTTGTGAGCCACGGCTGTCGACTGTGAAGATGGAAAAATATCCATGGATCTTCCCGAGAGATTGAGCCGTAAACCATGAAGCCCATCGAAGTCATGGCGCGTAGGAAGTCCATTCAGGAAACATTGGTAGTTCCAAGGTTCAAACTAAAGCTAGGAGCCGCTAGTCCATATCTGGCTAGCGTCCGCGAAGCTATACCACACCGCCCTGTTTGGTTCGGATAAACCCTAATCCGGGCATTTATCCGGACCAGCGGACTATTATTTAACCAAGCAGTGGCAGAGGAAATCATGTTCAATACATATACGTAGGTATGTACTACCTAGATTGAGGGAAAATATGTGGTATGAATCTTGTATCTTTTATAGTTTTAACATAGGCATGGCATACAAAATATACGGAGGACTTAATGTTTCAGTATAGGAGTACTCCGGAGTAGGAAGGAGTACATAGGTCATCCACGGGTAGACCTCGGGATGGTCGCACGATTTCAAAGTCCAAGGCCCAGCCGCGGGGCTATTCTTAGTCAGATCCGACGGCCAGAACCCTGTAGAGAGTGTACAATTCAACATTCCTCATATACCCCCTACAAATAATGTCCATGGCTCTAGAAATGGCTATTTTGTCAGCGCATCATATATTGAAGGCGAACACCGGAAGCTAGCGCGTCTCGGCGGATTCCGCCAATGAATCATTGATATCTTCGTGAAGCCCCCCCATTATGATTTCCCCGCACGCCCCGGATCTTTTGCTGTGTGGCCAATGATAAAGTAAAGAAATACAAATTGGCGTCATCTTTTTTTATATCTTTCCCTTTAAACTAGCATAGCATGGAAACATGCCCCAAATACAGAAGCTGCTTAATACACGACCCGTCATTGGGTCCACAGGTTGTACCATTTAAACTGCGGGGGTGTCCTCTTCCCAACATTTTTTCCTTTTCTTCATATTCCCTATTTTATTTACCATAACAAATTGCATCATGAGTGAATGTCCTGTTGCCCACAAGAAGAGCAATGTTGCTGGCCATGGCACCCGGTACGGACCCTAGTTCTCCTGCAATCCTACCTCGGCACATTTTATATGCCCCTTGGCACCGTTATGGTTCGAAATACTGATTTTATGCTCCAGCAACACTGACTGGTGGCCTAATGCCTTGAAGCTGGGTATTCTCCGCCAACATACCGATGCCACCAACCCTCAAAACAAGGACTTTGATTATGCCGCTGCTTTTAAGACCCTCGATTACTGGGGCCTCAAGAAGGACCTCCACGCCCTTATGACCGACTCTCAAGAGTTCTGGCCCGCTGACTTTGGTCATTATGGTGGTCTGTTCATCCGAATGGCTTGGCATAGCTCTGGAACATATCGAGTCTTTGATGGACGCGGTGGTGGTGGCCAGGGCCAGCAGCGTTTTGCACCATTGAACTCTTGGCCCGATAACGTCTCCCTTGGTAGGTTTTCATTAATAATTAAGGTGGCATATTTATCATGCTGATATGTATCTTCTATTTCCAGATAAAGCACGCCGACTGCTTTGGCCCATCAAACAGAAGGTGAGTGCTATACTTCTACTTATATACTTCGAGTTTTCTTCATACTAATTCCAGTACCTAGTACGGCTCCAAAATCTCATGGGCAGATCTTCTGCTTCTAACTGGCAACGTTGCCTTGGAATCTATGGGTTTCAAGACAATGGGATTTGCTGGAGGTCGTCCCGACGTCTGGGAAGCCGATGAGTCGGTGTACTGGGGAAGTGAGAACGCCTGGTTTACTAATGATGCCCGTTATGAGGCCGAGACCGCCGAGGAGAAGGCTAAGCAGAGCGATATCAAGACTCGTGATCCCGAGGACCCGCTGGCCGCCGTCGTCATGGGTTTGATTTATGTCAACCCTGAAGGTCCTGATAAGAACCCGGACCCTGTCGCTGCTGCCAGAGATATCCGTATCACATTCGGTCGTATGGCTATGAATGACGAAGAGACCGTCGCCTTGATTGCTGGTGGTCACACTTTCGGAAAGACACACGGTGCTGCCCCTGCTGATAATGTCGGAAAGGAGCCCGAAGCTGCCGGCATTGAGTCGCAGGGCTTGGGATGGCACAACAAGCACGGCTCCGGAGTAGGCCCCCATGCTATCACTAGTGGATTGGAGGTGACCTGGACAAGTACTCCTACCAAGTGGAGTAACACCTTCTTGGAATATCTGTTCAAGTACGACTGGGAGTTGACTAAGAGTCCTGCTGGGGGTAACCAGTGGGTCGCCAAGAATGCAGATGATCTCATTCCCGATGCCTTTGACGCAAGCAAGAAGCACAAGCCTAAGATGCTGACCACCGATCTTTCTCTGCGCCGAGACCCCGCCTACGAGAAGATCGCCCGTCGTTTCCTTGAGCACCCTGATCAGCTTGCCGATGCATTCGCCCGTGCGTGGTTCAAGCTGCTGCACCGTGACATGGGCCCTCGTGCTCGCTGGCTGGGCCCTGAGATCCCTGAGGAGGTCTCTCTCTGGGGAGGATCCCATCCCTGCCCCCACATACGCTCCGATTGATAATGGCGACATCGTTGCCCTGAAGAATGAGATTCTCTCAGCTGGCATTGAGCCCACCAAGTTGATTGCCACTGCCTGGGCATCGGCTTCTACCTTCCGCGGTGGTGATAAGCGTGGAGGCGCCAACGGTGCCCACATCCGCCTCGCCCCCCAGAAGGACTGGGATGTCAACAACCCAGCCCAGTTGCAAGAAGTTCTTAGTCTGTTGGAGAACATTCAAAGCCGCTTCAACAAGGCCCAGAACGGCGAAAAGCGCGTCTCAGTGGCTGATCTGATTGTGCTTGCTGGATCTGCCGCCCTTGAAAGATCCGCGGGTATTCCCGTTCCCTTCACCCCTGGCCGCAACGATGCAACCCAGGAGCAGACAGATGTCGAGTCATTCGGCTGGCTCCGGCCCTTTGCCGATGGTTTCCGCAACTACGGCAACTCGACTCGCCGTGTCCGCACCGAGCAGCTCCTCATCGACAAGGCGCAGCAGCTGACCCTCTCCGCCCCTGAATTGACCGTTCTCGTTGGTGGTCTGCGTTCTCTGAACGCCAACTGGGATGGCTCAAACTACGGTGTCTTCACCTCCCGCCCTGGCCAGCTGAGCAACGACTTCTTCGTCAACTTGCTCGACATGGGCACTGTCTGGAAGCCAACCGACGCTGACAGTGAGAAGTTTGAAGGTGTTGACCGCAAGACTGGCGCTAAGAAGTGGTCTGCGACTCGTGTTGACCTGATCTTCGGTCACCATGCTGAGCTCCGTGCTCTTTCTGAGCTGTACGGTAGCGCCGATGCCCAAGATAAGTTTAAGAAGGACTTTGTTGCTGCCTGGGACAAGGTTATGAATTTGGACCGTTATGATATCCCCTGTTTCCCTGCGACCGGTCGTCCTCGCCTGTGAACAATTTTTCAAGTACTATATCATCTTCTCTAGGTAGTGTTATTTAGCTGAATCATTCAAATACAAAATTGTATGCGAAAGATCTCCCGTTGCTCAGAGTTGCCCTGTTCCACTGCCATACCATGCCCTGGTTCCTTGATTTCCAGCCACGGGCCTACCCAGATAGAGAGTTGAGTCCGAAATTATTTGACTAATAAGATAATATCATATATCCGATTCAAAGGTGGTTACCTGCATTGACAAACCGGTATATTCCGCGAAAAGCAGCAATTGCCCGTTATGTCCGAATTGTGCGAATGCGACCGCCCAAGTTGACCAGCTTGTTACACCTAATATTGAAGTCCAGACTGCGAATGGTTGGACAGAGAAATTGTTTCCTCTCCTAACCTTCTCCTGAATTATCTCTACAGAATGGCTTTGAAAGTCCTCATTTGTGGAGGAGGTGTCGCTGGTCCAACCTTGGCCTACTGGCTCGCCCGAATTGGTCACCAAGTTGTTATTGTCGAACGTTTCCCAGTGCTGCGAGCTACAGGTGCCCAGATCGATCTCCGCGGACAAGGCATTGAGGCTGTCAAACGCATGGGTCTCATCGACGCCGTTCGCAAAAAGCTCGTTGACGAAAAAGGCGTCTCCCTCGTTGACGCTAAGGGCAATGTCAAGGCAACCATCCTTGCCAACAAGTCTGGAAAAGGCGCACAGTCTCTGACATCCGAGTACGAGATCATGCGTGGGGATCTCGTGCGCATACTCTACGACGCAACAAAAGACAAGGTGAAATATATCTTCGGGAAAACGGTGGATGGCTTCACGGAAAATGACCGAGGGGTAGTAGCCTACTTTTCAGATGGCTCTTCGGACACATTCGATCTATTTGTTGGAGCAGACGGGCAGGGCTCGCACATTCGAAGGCACATTCTACCCCCTGGTGTTCCGGATAAATATCACCAGCTCGGAGTACACCTGGCCTACTGGTTTGTCCCACGGATTGAGACCGACGGCAATATGTGCACGTCATACCTCATCCCAGGCGGCCGAATGATAATGTCCAGAAGCCATAATAAAACCGAAACCCAGGTCTACTTCATGATTAGATCCGACTCTGAGGAACTACGAACTATCCCGAAGGCTTCAGTTGGGCAGCAAAAGCATTTTTGGGCCCAAAGTTTTCGCGATTCAGGGTGGCAGGCCGATCGCTTTATTGAAGGGATGCATACTACAGAGAACTGGTTTTGTCAGAATGTCGTCCAAATCAGGACAGATACCTGGCACTCCGGTCGGGTCGTCCTTCTCGGTGATGCGGCACACCGCCCTTCTCCCTTGAGTGGCATGGGGACAAGCAGTAGTCTGGTTGGGGCATATGTCCTGGCTGGAGAGCTTGCTCGCAGTAAAGATCTACCCCAAGCATTCCAAAATTACTCCCAGATGATGCGACCATTTATCAACCAGGTTCAACAGCTCAATATTGGGTGGATCCGATGGGCAGTCCCCAACTCGCAGTGGGAAATTTCGCTTGTTCATCTCGTTGTAGAACTGGCTTGTTTCCTTCGCATACCGCAGCTGATATCACGGTTTTCAGGCGATGGGTATGGAGATTGGAAACTCCCCAATTACCCGGAACTGGAAGTTGATCGGGAAGAAATTCAATGAGAATCAGGAGATGACATTTGATACATGAAGATTTAAGATTACATGTCCAAAATAAGGGGTATCTAAATACATCCATGGATGGCTTGGCGGTATCCGATCTATTAACGTATGCTCCTCCATCCATCTACATCCTACGGTAGCATTTAGCGCTTGAACTTTTTGGATAAGTTCGACGTATCACCCTTCACCGATCTGAATCTGTTGGATGTCGGAGCGGTGAATCTATATATATTTCTTTTCTGTGCGAGTAATATGTGGCCAAAACTTGATTAGGAAAGTACTACGCTTTGACCACTCCTTGTCCCTTAGAAGAGTTACGAGTCCAAATGCCAAGCCTCAACGTCAACATCAATCCATTCCCTTTCTTTTCTTTCTACTCCGAACTCCATATATCTTCAGCTCAATCATCATTACCAATGCCCAAATTCATCATTTCAAGGTCTGGGCTCCCATTGCGGAGCGCCACTAGCGAAAAAATGAGATCAGTGCACAAATTCTGGCTGGGTTTCTTTGTTTGAGATGCCGAGAATCCCTGTTTGGCGCGCCGATAGCCTCTCGACACTTGACCTTTTGTTTGCCGTGTCCAATGAGCTCTCCAACCAACCTGATTAAGGGGGAGGGGAAACTGGGGTTTTTCTGGTTTCCTCATATTCCGCGATTGTTGCTACCAATAGCCGAATTGGAATTCCACTTCGATCATTGATTGTCTAATGAACCGGAACATCTGCCCTAGATCCCCGTGTGCTAGCATCATAGACCGCATTTGCCGGTTTTTTCTCTCATTTATTCGACGGGGCTCGACACCAACAGTCAACCTTATTCCGTCCCACCCCGTGGCCTAAGATGAGGCGCCCAAGGCGAGTCTCCATTATCATCGTATATGTCAGCCAGGTGGGACCTGCGTCCGAGCTGTGATTCAATATATCCTTTTTCTTTTCCCACCGGCTGGTGTATCTGCATGGCCCAACCCATTCTCACGCCATGGATACCTCTATGAGCAACCTCCCTCCGGGGGTGGGCGACCTTTTATTTGCCAACTTTGTAATCGTCCAGGTCATAGCTATGTTCTCGATCGGAGCGTGGAACTCATTGGAAGTTGTGATCGGCATATTCGAGACGTTCAAACGGTATCGTGGGCTATACTTCTGGAGTATGCAAATTGCCGCCTGGGGAATATTGTTACATGGCATACCAGCTCAAATTCGCTACCTGCAGAAAGCCCCTGCCCTTTCCATGTCAGTCCCGTTTATCGTGGGCTGGATCTGCATGGTGACCGGACAAGCGCTAGTGCTGTATTCAAGACTGCACCTCGTTGTGGCCGACATCCGCCATGTACGATGGGTACTATGGATGATTATAGCCAATTTTTTCATTCTCCACATTCCCATGGCAGTCCTCTTTTTTCTCAACGTTGATGATATGCCGTTCAGCCGCGTAGCGGCAATCTACGACCGTTTCCAGGCAACAGCATTCGCCACCCAAGACACAATAATTTGTGCCATCTACGTCCGCGAAGCACTCCGAGCGCTCAAACCCGTCTTCGAATTCAAAGGCCCCCAAGGGCGCAGAATCATCTACCGAATCCTCTTCGTTAATATCTTCGGGATCCTGCTCAACGTATGTATCCTTGTCGCCGAATACAAATTCCACTACATCGTCATCAGCTTCAGGACAGTCGCCTACAGCATCAAGCTGAAGCTCGAATTCCACGCCCTCACGCAGCTCCGCGATCTGACATGCACTTACTCTTGCGCTTTATGCCGAGGGGTTAGTGGCAACCCTCGCAGTTCAAGTGACATCAATCTCTTCGACATGCTGGCCAATAATCCTCCGTCGCAGGATATCGAGGCGCAGGCTCGCTCCAGTGCTTCGGAGACAGTGAGCTCGGGGCCGCATTCAGCCCGCAGCGGCACATACAATTTCCACCAGGCACTGCGCCAGACAATGTCGACTGTGAACTCTGTTGAGTCAGAAGCAAGTGCTCGGCCTCAGATGCACTCGTCGGATACGCAGTCTACGATTGAAATGACATTGCTCGAGCGCCCGAAGTGAAAGCAGATGTTGATAACTTTGAGGGACATGATTTTGCATGCATGATTGTACTTACTTCAAGATGAACTTCGACTATGTACAGTCGAATCATCACTGGGCGGCCACCCTTTTTTTGCTTTATACCCTTGTCGCTATACTTATTGTTATGTGTGTTGATTTTATTAATGTCTGTGTTTTGAAAAGTTTGTACACATTCATATAACATCGATTGAATTGCTGTATAGCCTCCATTTCTTTAGGACGACATTGGAATGTACAGCACAGCATCACGTAGTTACGGGGTGACAAAATATTAGCATGAACGTGAATGGGATATATATTTTCCTGAATGAAATCACGAGAAACGCCTAGATTAAGAAAACCCACAGGCCCAGCACGTGTGACCGGGCATACTTCTGCATATGGAAAACGGTTCATGCATATAACAAAGAAACTCGCCATGGCTATAAAAGCTATAAAAGCTATGACCGCCTCATGAATGTCTGATAGGAAGGATTGTTCGAAAGAGGGGGGAAATGATGTCACTGCCCGCGGAGGTGCAGAACGTGGGCACAGGAAGTGGATAATGGACAGGAAAAATGGATGAATTGCGCGATAAGGTGACAGAAGTCGATGGCTGAATGCCTAACCGGACACGGGTGGCTGCTTCTCTTTGTTTTTGAACCTTCGAACCGTTTAGTAAGAGGCGAACCAACCGCCGTCCTCCCATTTCCCAGACCTATAGGCATTTTCAGTTTGAGGGATTGGGTTTGTCAATCCAGAGAACAGTCGTGGATGATTTTTAACATCGCGAATAAAAAGGGTTTATCACCTAACCATCGAACCATGTGTCGATGTAGTTCTCTCGTTTCTCATGTAAAGACACCTCCGCGGTCATTGTGTATCGCTTTATTGATGAGCGCCACTTCCATGGTCTTTGACAGATTCTAAATGACTGAAGCAGCAGTGGTATCGACCGACACTATCGACCGAATGGGGAAAACTCAGTCGGTAGCATCAAACCCCGTTCTAGGTTCCTGATGGCCCTTGTTATGTATAACCCACTGTGACCAATCCCTCGGCTGTGGACATATTTATACTAGCTCGGACGAGTTCAAATGAGCGGGAATTGCAAAAATCTCCCAACAAGACCACTGAAAAACGAGCTGGATACCGTAGGGATGCTACATATGGACGATTTTTGAATTCTAGGAGAAGTAACTCTCTTATACCTTGGATACGACTTGGAAACTGCTATGTTTAACTTCTGAAACTTGCTAGCTGAACAGCATTATATTGGCATGATCTCAGTTTCCCATCTAAAGAAGATACCGGAAACTCTCAATCTCGCGATCAGTCTTGTTCGATAGCTCATCCTGTAACTCAGCCCCCACCGTCATCTGCTCAGGCGAACCATACAGCCTGTCTCGTCGACGGTTCTCCCATGTGTAGTAGGAATATAAGCATAGAAGGAAGAAAAGGCTCAAAACCAAGCCTGACATAGAAGCTTGAATTCCAGTCTATAGTAAACGGCCGTGACGTTAGTTTGATATTTTGGAATAGAAATTGTAGCAGGAATAAAATGGCCACTTACATGGTACGATGGCTCCTCCGAGGTGAGGAAAAATTGAGGGCCCACGATATTTCCAACACAGTATGCGATAAAAAGCAACGAACTCACGACGCTTTTCTTCGAAAATCCGGCCACATTAGATGTAACGATACTCAATGAGATGGGAAGGTTGATCGCGTAGACAACAGCTAACGTCAATCCAACCATTCGCCCAACTTGATTGTCGGGGTCAAGCTTCCAGATTAGGATCAGGCCCACAATAGAGATGACTGTGTTGAGACACATTCCTAATATACGGGAAGATGGAATAAAGGTCGCGGTGATTGAGGTAATCAGCAAAAACACGATTTGGGCGGCGCCCTGAGGCATTTGCATAATAAGGGCCTTAAGATCAGTGAACCCGAACCCGGCAGTGATAATCGATGTAAACTAAAGCAGCGTAAGCTTTGAGCTCTGTTGATAAACAGGTAAATACTCACGCTAGTAAGTCCACCGTTGGCCAGGTTCGAGGTGAAAGAGTTGACAACCAGAAGCCACGTCTGGGGGTCTTTTATGGCCTCGAGTGCCTGTGACCACTTGAACACGCCGGTATCCATGACTCCGGTCTTGTTACTTAATGTTCGCTGCACAGCAATAGCACGCTCATTGGGCTTCAAAAATATCGCCTTGGAAGGCGAGTCCGGCAGCAAGGCAAACAATACAAGACCATAAGTTGAAGTGATGGCGCCGAGAATAAGGAACAAGAGTTTCCAGTGGGAAATGACTGTCGTGTTAACAGTGCCAATACCGTAGGCAATCACTCCACCAATGAGTACAGCAATACAGTTTCCGAAGAACCAGGCAGATTGTCTGGAGCTTGTCAGTACGTCCTAGGTCCACCCAAATTTGGAAGACTTACCGTAGAGGCTGTTCCTCCCGTTTATAAAACATTCCCGTGAGCAAGGTGAATCCTGGCGCAATGGCCGCCTCGCCTGCTCCTAGGAAGAAACGGACGGTCATAAGTCCACTCCAACTAGAGCAAGCTGCATGACACATTAGGATCCCACCCCAAAGGAAGCTGGTATGGTCAGTCTCATCGTTGGCGCTAAGGATCCTCCAGTGGGGAAAACCTACGCTGAGACTCCGATATATTTTCCAATAGGAAGTCGGACCATAATATATGAACTAGGCCTGTTGTCGAATCAGTATTCATGATGAGAGGTAGAGGTAGAGGGGATTTGAATACATACCAACTCCAGGCAAAGTATCCAAAATAGAAGATCGCAGATGCCCATGAATATTCTGATCCTTTCAAGTTCTATAGCCTTTCGTCAACATGTATCCATCGACTAACACCTGTATATGAATAAATACCAAATCTTGTCGTAAATTAAACAGTGTCGCCTGGCTCAGTGCGAGCTTGTCGAGGAATTGGAGGAAATATGCGATTCCCATCAACGGGACCAGACTTCCTTGGATCAGATACATGCACACATAGGTATAATCTGCCAGAATACTCACATGAGATCAAGCTTCCACAACACTTTCCGTTCCTCCTTAGTCGTTGGTTGCATAGCGAGTACTTGGCCAAGATCGAGGTCCCGGCCAGGCGACTCACCCCCTCCCTTCATGTCCTTCTCATCTAGGCTGGTGTCGTGAGGTTGCATCTTGAAAATGATACAAGTTCAAATCCACTAGATGAGGCATATTCAGTGCCTTCTTATTCAAAAACCCACGAAGCCGGTATCGCTCTCGACTACTTCATCAGAAAGTCTGCCGAGCAAACTTCGCTTGAACTTGCTAGTCCTATGCCCGGTGGTTTTCCGCGGTGGGCCTTATCCTATCTTTAAGAGGAAGTTAAAATGCCTCAACCAATTGAAAAGCATGGTTTGGTTTTAAGATTGTTATCAGAATTTCCCCGCGATGCCAATTCCAGAGAACAGGCGAGCGTGCTAATCGCTCGGCACCCCACTTCCCATAATCCGGTGTCAGTCAATTAAAATCCGGGGGTTTGCAGTCAGGACAGTGCCAATCTGGGGGGAGCATCCACTTCCCCCTCAGCGGATGCTAAGCACGGCAATTGAGTCCGTTGTCGATCATCGGTATCTGCCATAGGGGCCCAAGCGATGTGGTTATGTATGAACACGAGGCGTTCGAGATGCGCTAAGAGTACCGCTCTATTCCGCGACAATTGCCAATCTTCTTTGTACAGATAGGGAAAGTTGTTCAATGACGATTTGTCATACGCTTGCACTTCAATTTCGGAAGGTCTCTGATGAAACATGAGAGAACGCTAAATCCAGCCTATTATTTACAATTCTAAACCTTCTCAAAGTCCGAGTTGATGGCAGTGGCGAAACTTTCATCGACTAAAGCTCTGCACGCCACCACGGCCATTCCAGCTGCACAGTGCAAACTACGCTTGAACCCTTCTTCAGATCCAGCCCCGGCGGTAAATTGTGGCGTATGGTTGACACCATCAGCGTGAATATAGAATCCACCGTGGAAGCCAGGTACTTCATATGAGACGTTGCCTATATTGGAGTGAATAGTCAGCCTCTGGCTACACCTGCGGACTGTAATGAACTTCAACACTCACCCATATCAGTTGATCCTCCGCTAAGACCACCCACCTGCCCTGCAGCATCGAAAATGGTGCTGTGGCCCATAGCGGTCATAGCAGAGACGTAGCTGTCACAAATAGGCTTATTGATTTTCATGTCTTTATAGGAGGCCTCCCTAGAAAATGGGTTAGCGAAGCGTATCAGAATGGAACATGGCCAATGTCATACCATTCGTATTCCACCGTGCAGCCAGTAGCAATCGCAGCAGCCTCAAAGCATTTGAGCACTTTCTCAGTCAATGGTTTCAGCGTTTTTGCAGTCTCTGATCGAATATAGTATTCAACCGTCGTAGAGGCAGGAATAACATTCGGTCTATCTCCACCTCGCGAAATAACCCCATGAATCTTTTGCGTAGGCAAGATCTGCTGTCGGAGCATGGAAATATTGACATAGGCAGACACCACAGCATCTAGAGCATTGATGCCCTCCCACGGAGCAGCCGAAGCATGCGCCGGTTTACCAGTAAACGTCACCTGAACCTTGTCATTCGCAAGATACATCCCGGTGCAGGAACTCGAGCTGATAAGACCCGGGGCGCCGGACAGCACCGGGAATGGATGGACCATGAAGCATGCGTCCACATCTTTGTATGCTCCCGCGTTGATGAGCAGGAGCTTTCCACCACCACCCTCCTCGGCAGGAGTCCCCAGCAGCCGAACTGAATACCCAATTCCATCGGAGTACAAAGTACTCATTGCCTCGCAGGTAGCTAGGAAGGCCGCAATCGAACTTGTAGCGATCAGATTATGTCCACATGCATGTCCCATGCCTGGAAGGGCATCGTATTCTGCATTGAAAGCAACGGTACGCCCACCCTCGCCACGGCTATAGATCACCTCGAGTGCCGTCTCAACCCCATAAGCCTTTCTATGAACCTCGTATCCAGCTCCGAGCGACTCGAAAAACTCGCAGATATTGTCGTGGGCGTTATACTCCTTGAATGCCAGCTCGGGGTTGGACCAGATCTATCGAACGTTAATAAAAGTATGGTGTGCTTGCCAAATATGATACACACCTTTTGATTGATCTCACTGAGCTTGGATTCATACTTATCCAAGGCCCCACAGACCTTGTGGATGATCTCTGCTTGTCCCTGTACTGGCAACATTTTGTTGAATCGCAAAATGAATCCGAATTGTTCAAAAATTTTGGCACTGGGCAATGCAATTTTAAAAGAAAAACAGCCAAGAAAGGAACCCCGTGCCGAACAATACCTCCGAAGATAAGACATCCAAGACACATCCCAAGTGGGGGTGCGGGGATTCTTGGAGGATTCCGCAGTGGAGAAGCAAAGCACGTCCATCCATGAATCTCATTTTATTATGCAATCTACACTCCATCGCCCACTAAGATCCGGAATAACCGGACCCGGAAAACAGACTTGCAGAATGGGCCTGAATAGGTCTCTGATCCAAAAAGATCCGCATCTCAACAATCTGCAGATCCGACTCGTCTCGACCTTCCAGATCGAGCACATTGAACTCACGGACTCGGACTGCGAACTGGTCAGAGTCCTCTCTGAATGTTGTTTCAGATGTCGCTTCAAACATGACCGTGCGCTTCATTTGTATGTTCCCTGCTAGCGGGGAATAGAGCTGTCCTTTTTGGGCGGTTTCTTGGTCTGGGGCGGTCCTGCTATACGATGTCTGGACAGGGCCTATGTCCCTCCCAAGGTCTATATCCCAGGCGAGATGAACATGGTGGTGGAGTTTGCAGATGTGACGGCTGCGCACTTCTAGGAGAGGGACTGCCTGGCTTGCGGCTGTTGGTGGATCACTGCCAATAAGTATGGGAGCGCTGCGTGTGAAGAAAGGCCTGATTGGAGTTTCGTCGGGAGTGATGGAGTCTAGTGCTGGTAGGAATCGTTGGAGAAATTTGAGACCTGGTGAAGCTGTGGCAGGGATGGACTCGTAGGGGCCGTGGTGGATCGAGACGGTGCTTTCCATGCTGCATCGACTACGAAAGAAACACTTTTCGTAGTTCTAAATCTTTTTCAACTAGTTTTGGTCTCTGATGGTATGTCATGGCGACGTAATATTGTCATTGAAGTAGTTACATCATGCGGCTGAAAATCAACAACTTGGGTGTCAATAGACGGGATTAAATTATTATTGCCAATGCAAATGTGGCACATATGAACAACCTACCCCTATGGTGGATCTGGCGGAATTCCGCACAGTGGTTTAGTTGAACCAAATGGTATATTGTACAGTCAGCACGAACCGACAGCAAGACTTTTCGAATCTCGCGCTGGGATGCAGGCATCGATGGGCATCAGATTGTTGACGCGCCGAAAGAGCTGCGCAATCTTTTTCGTTGCGCGAGCGAGATGGAACCAGGGGATTCGGATTCCAATGAGCGGGATTGTGGTTTGTTTTTTGGAAGACTTGTTCAGGCGAGCTTCTTGTGAGGAGCGGATGAAGCAGCATGTAAAATCGCATCCATTACTCCTGAAAGTCTGCAACATATGCGATGCGCAGAAACCTGGTTGGGAGAGTAAACAACCAAAATAATGTTGCTTGTGCCCGTGAAGGATTATTTAGACCTTTGGTCTAAGTGATAGAAAGATTCATGACCACCAGTCCAACCTCAAGATGGATGCAGGCTATTGTCGGTCGACCGGGTAGACGGACGAATTCTGCGCTCGGAAATGGGCAAGCTCTCCACAGATATTGTATTCCAGCCTCTCCGTACCCCCGGTCGCGATTCCCGAGGGGCTGCATGAGTGATGTCCGATGTAATCTGGGAAGGATCCACGAAGCCAGGGTATTCTTCGTGCTCCAGCGAAGTGGGTTGCGATCGAGAACTCTGCACAAGATCGACTAGCTTCCCGAGCACAGCGAACTCGAGCTTCAACTTGATACTGTAGACCATGGACTTCAACGTGGTCTGCAGCGAGTAAAACCCGAGGTATTCCACAAGGAGTAAACAAATATCGAGCAATATGATGACGAAATTGATGGCCAGCAACTCATACATGATTCTGGACCGCCGTTGGTCCTTGTCCGGCATCATTCTGAGCAGCTTCACGGTCTCGACAATGTAAATTCCCGAGATGACAATCTCTTGGGCACAGAACCAGGCCAGTTGCATGCGCTCCATGACATTGTATCCGCGAATCACTGACGGAGTTGCAACGAATGCGGTACAGAAGGTAAGAACGGTGGTTGGTATCAAGAGAATGATCGCGTCGATGATAATCAGCCAAAGAACAAACCGAAGCACTTTGTTGCTATGGACCACCAAATGAAGGCGAGAGTATAGGACCAGCGATTGACCTGGGACCATGACGTAGAAGCCAATAGTGGAGATAGTCAAAGAGAGCCATAATGGCGCTAGAGAAAAGAACACCAGCAAATAGCCAACGGCGTGAGGGATGACTCCGAGAGTTACCGAGAGCAGAAGCGTCCAAAAGTAGAGTCCCCGATAATGAGTAAAAGTCAAAAATAACAATATGAGCAATTCAATGGCGTTGTACAATGCGATGGAGGTGAAGACAATCATCAATGTCCGCACTGCCACATTATTGTCGTGGTACCCATGTAATCCGTCGGGGGATTGTGATAGGTTTGTCATGGTCGCTAACTCAACCAGCCTGGCTGGGATATATATTCAATGTTGGTATTGGAAAGACCGTAGGAGGGATATTTCATGCCCCGCGTGAGAACGCCGGTACACTTTGCTTGAATTGTAGCAGCTCCTTAGCCATGATAGTTGTGCTAGTCCAAGCAAATCATTTGCGCCAATGGGGTGTATACTGGTTCAAAGGTATCGAGGTTTGGGTCGCTAATCGGACAAAAATGGGGGGGTTGCGGGAGGAGATTGAGATCGGTGTGAGGATCTGATCGCAAGTCCGTTTGCCGAAGAATGCGGATGTAACTTTGGAGGTTCTGAGGAGGGTGATTAGGTCAAAGACTCAAGGTAGGAATCGAAGCCAATTGAACGTCTAACAATGCAGTTAGTTATATTGTAATAGTGAAAATTGTTGAGTCGAGGAGAAAAGAAAACTGCCGGGCTATCCCCAGCCTATTTGCCCCCATGCCAAGCTAAGCCGAGAAAGGGAACCCTTGGAACCGCCACACGTGAACTTTGCTCCTTTTTTTTTCCGATTTTAGCGACTGGGAATTAATACGGAGTAGAACCAGATGATCTTTTCCATTACAAATTTCAACCTTGGTCTATTCTCGTATAGCACGATTTTAACCCAAAGTCGAACTTTTAAGGTGACTAGAGTGGCGGTGGCTAAAGTGGCTAAAGTGGCTAAAGTGGCGACGGTACCTACCTTGGCAGATGCAACCTTCTAGTTATAACTATTCCACATACTCCCACAACCCCATTGAAAAAGAAACAAGATGTCTCAAAATTAAATTGCCGAGGTGAATCTTCACCTTCTTGCGCTAACCTCCGGGTGGGGAATATGTTCTCGCTTACAATTGGTCAGTTGGTTTGCGGAGAATCCAGACCCAAAAACAACATGGGAACCGTGCGCGTTCGTCCCTATGGTCTCATGACCTTGGGGACTTCCCAAACCATGTTGATCCCTCATCAATCGGCATGAAAATATGTCCCGTATGCGTACGGAGTATGCGTATGCGTCTTCGGCCCGTGTCCAAGATCTCCCCGTTGCAGATCTGGCCGCACAGGCCATGCGAGCGACTGGTCACTCTGGGGTGTATCATGATAGTCGCAGTAGAGAATACGGGGAATTGTCCTGATCAATAGCGCCGTTACAGCTTTGAAACATATTTCTGACCTATAATTTTTCCGCTCTGCCCTCAGCTCTGGAGCGAAACGTCCTAGCTTCAGAAAATCGATATCCTGCACTAGTCTTCCCTGATCACAGTGTAGATCCCCATCAGCTTGAATCTTATTCTTTTCCATGTTCAGGTTTCTTACAACACTGTCGACTAAATTCCAGCGACGTGGAATCGGCAAGCAACGGGCCTTGCTGTGGGCACTTCGCGAAAATGTAAGTGTTAAAAGGTACTGGACACTATGAGGTTCAATACCATGGATTTAAACCCGGTGGTTACCACTCGAGCCATGCTGTACGATAAATTGTGGCTTTAAATCCCCTTATTTATGGATACCATATCGAAGCTTTGCTCTGGCGTGCCACTAATGAATTAGCCTCAATTTGGGTATGTATTTCTTCGCCATAGGATCTTCATGCATAATCCCTGCAATTTTGAGCTGACTACGACGCTTCCTAGCTTCAAATGTCCATTTAGCCGTGTCATGAATAAACAAATACAATATCCTGTGAATATTGCAGTCAAATCAACGCTATCCTTCTTCCACCCATAATTGATCCCTAGTGGGGGTGCACATACCTGACGACCCCACCTATTATTGGGCACCTACAGGTGTACAACCCGTCATTGTTAGTGTGTTGGCAGTAATGCGCCAGGCAAGGAGGGGTATTCAGCTGGCACGGGACATGCGACAAAGAAAATGTGATATATATTTGACGCCGTTCCCCTGGCCCTAACTAATTTCTTCGCAAATTGCCCTTGACGCTAAAAGACTACCTTCAATATGGAATTTGCAAACCATTACGACTTTGTCATTGTAGGAGGTAATCATGCACCAGACACACATGTAGTCTCCCATGCTTATCACTTAAAGCAGGTGGTCCAGCTGGTTGCGCCCTGGCGGCGGGGCTCGCCAAATCAGCCCAAAGACCTCAAGTTCTACTTCTTGAAGCAGGTGGGCGCAATGATGATAAAGCTTTGCGAGTAGACGGAAAGCGTTGGACGACATTCATGGATGGAAGCCTGAATTGGGGGTACAAGACCACACCTCAGGAACATTGCAATGGGCGCGAGCTCGACTATTCCCGTGGAAAGGGTCTGGGAGGTGGCTCGGCAATCAACTTCGGGGTCTATACTGTAGGCGCGCGGGACGACTATAATGAGTGGGCATCTGTGGTGGACGACAATACCTTCGGATGGAAGCAGATGCAGACCCGCTTCAAGAATTTGGAGACATTCAATGGCAGTTTCGCACTCTCGGAGAATCAGAAATATGCCAGTTATGTTGCTTCGGACCACGGCAATTCGGGCGCCCTGCATGTCGGGTATGCCGACGACTGGGAAAGGGACTTGTCACTCTCACTAGATGCGTTTGAAGCGGCTGGACACAAGCTCAACCTGGATCACAACTCGGGTAATCCCCTTGGCATGGCCGCCACTATCAACTCTGCTTGCAAGGGAAAGCGTACCACGGCTGTTGACTTGCTTTCGGATGCCCCTGATAATCTTGTAGTTGTCACAGACAGCCCAGTACAGCGGATTTTGTTACAGGGCAAAAAGGCTGTTGGGGTACAGACTCAGGGCAAGCAGTGTATGTCTTCTTCTGAACTTTTACCATGCACTTCATCTGATGTAGATTACAGACTTCGCCTCCCGGGATGTGATTATCTCTGCAGGCTCACTCGACACCCCGAAGATCCTAATGCATTCTGGAATCGGACCAGCTGCAGACCTCGAGAAGTTCAACATTCCAGTAGTCAACGATCTCCCCGCTATTGGCCAGGGGCTCCGAGACCACTACTTTGTTCCTCTGATTCTCGCGCGTAACCCGGAGACAAATGACCGCAATTCGTTCTTCCAAGATCCCGCCTCCATGGAAAGTGCAATGAAACAGTGGGAAGACAACAGTACCGGTCTGTGGACCCGATACGGCTGCCAGATCGGCTGTGGTTGGTTCAAATCAGACCGCATCACCTCGACGCCCGAATTCAAAGCACTTCCAGCATCCGTACAAGAATTCATGAACCGCGAAACCATTCCCCACTACGAGATAATCACCCACATGCCCATCCACTTCATGATGCCCGATATGTTCAAAGATTACAGCTATGTTGGTCTCGCGGCATTCATGATGAACGAGCAATCCCGCGGCGAAGTACGCCTGCAGTCTTCCGACCCAGGTATCCCGCTACTGTTTAACCCTCGATTCCTCGATGATCCCTTCGATCGTCGTACCTGTGTCGAGATATATCGACACCTGCTGGAAGTTAGTAGACAGGAGTCTTTTGCGAAGGACACTGTCGGCACGCTCATCGGGCCTGCGTCTGATTCCGACGAGGACATCCTCCAGTTCTGGAAAGACTACCTCTCTTCTAGCTGGCACATGACCGGCACAGTGAAGATGGGCAAGGCTGATGCCAGCGACGCAGCTGTTGACACGCATTTCCGCGTGCGGGGCATGGAGAACCTCCGCGTTGCTGATATGAGTGTTGTTCCTGTTCTCACTAACAACCACACGCAGGCTACAGCTTACGTGACTGGTGTTACTTGTACTGATGTTCTTATCAAGGAATACGGACTTGATGAACAGTAAATGCTAAATAGTATATGGTATTGGCAGGTCAAGGTTGTTCAATAATCTTAATCAGCCACCATACAAACCGATCCACAAATAGATGAAAACAACAACTTTTCCCAATGAATGATTGCTACCGGACCTCTACTAGACTAAACGGGTTTCAAGGAATAAAATGATATAAGGACTATATCACCTGCGGCTAATGCTATTGCATTTTCGCTCTCTATCACATCAGGGATTTGTTTCCCAATATATGCTGCTGCATATAGATGCATGGACACCCTGTCTGTCTCATTACATAGATCCTCGGGATCATGTGTAAGTGAACAACTTTACTAGAAGTGACCCGACTTTGCCTTTGCCTGTGAGAAAGGGCATGTAGCTACACCTCTCGCTTTGATTACCTCAATATCGGATCTCATCTCCTCTGCTCCATGCTCCTTCTGCGGGTCCGGCCCGATCGTCATCAAGTCGTATCCTCCTGGCTGATAGCGGTCTCCTCGCGACCCGGGCACCTTTCCTCCCAGTGCTCTAACCAGCAACGCGCCAAGTCCCCATTTTGACCAGAAGGTCGGTTGGACGTACCAAGGCTGCAGGGTTTTTCTTTGAAAGTTATATAGACGCGTCTCTTGGTTTGGCATGTCCTGCACTAGTTTAACGGCACTAGATGAAGACCGTGGAAGTGCAAGATATCGGAGGTATACTTTTCGTGCTTCTCGGATGAGGCGAAGTAGGAACCAGAGGATTGGGCCCGGGGACTCGAGACTGTAGATATTAGTATAGGAAGTGACTTCCGCACTTGAATAAGAGGTAAAACTTACCAAAGACTCGTTCTCATGACATCGTCCAAGTCATTACCCAGCATCTTTCGTACGTTTGTTCTTATGAACCCAGGAAGCGATGACAGTGCCGAATCAACGTAGACTCGAACGTATTGATCGTTCGTCGCTGTGGGCTTTGCCACTTCTTCTTCATACTGAATTGTCCAGTTCACCAATTCAATCGCAAAGTGGAGGCCATTTTCCCATCCGTCGCCTTTTGAAGGAAGCTGGTCAAAGGGGATTCCCATGTCTTCTCCCAAGTTCTTGTGAAAGATACCGAGAGCGCATTTTTCAACGTCAGTAAGCTTGCGCCATTCTTCTCTTTCAACAACATTCAGGATCTCGGCAAGACCGTCACCCAAAGTATGGAGGAGATCATTATCCGTTATTTTGTTGGCTCGACGGTAACGAGCATGGCTAATGATACTCCGTGTCAGCGAACAGAACAATAGACTGTATTTTTCCCTCGAAATAAAGGCAATATGCGTTCAGGAGTGCATCCAACATACAGATAATTCATTCTGGCCACGGCTGATGTATAGCGATCAGAATCCCTAGGTTTGGACTGCACCTCTCGCAGGAGGATTTCCGTATCAACAGCACGCTTCCCCGAATTGCGCTTGTTGTTTTGACCCGTAACTGCGAATAGTTTGGACATGGTCGGGATACCTCCAGCCTAAAACAATACTTAATTTAGCGGCATTCTCCATGTTGCTGATTGAACCGGTCACAACTCCCTGTCGTACCTTCAATAGAGCAAGTTTGCGAGCTTTAGAAAAAGCATGTGGAAACTCGAGCTCTTGTAATTGGTTCAGGATAGCATGTGCTTCTTTTACCGTCATTTCTGACAAGTCTTTCTTTCCAGGTGCGAATGGGGCCTCAATCTTGGCCATGCGGCGGTACCGAAGAAGGCCAACAAATGCTATATAGCTGATGAAGGCAATAGCAATCGTCAACTGATGTTTGCTCCATAGTGTATAGACCAAACCAGTAGCGTTCAACATTCCGTCAACGGGAGGACACTTGAAGTGTTCGTTCTATGTCACAACACGATAAGCATTCGGCGTAAAATTAGGGTTTCCCATTTGCCAACTTACTGTCCGAGGCTTGTATCTGTGGGTGGGGCGAGGTTTATAAATTCTTTTGCTTTTGCGACTCTAGATGAAGAAATATCTTTGGGATTGTAGAGGATATTTAACATATCTTATGTGGCAAGGAAGAACAGTTCTGGATGCCGAGGCTGCTGGTTACAGTGGATCAATAACCCAACAAAAACTCTCGGTGAACTTCAGGAATGTGAGATATTACTTGGCTCCATATTGTTGGGCTCGCAATTCTCAAGACAACCATGCTTAGAAAGTTGAAAACTTCTGATGGGACCTCGGAGGTTGATCACAGTGATAATGTAATCAGATAGGGCTCTGCCCACCTGGACAGGTGAGCAAGGTAGGGGCCTACTTACATACCTACATACCCAAAATAAATGAACTAAGCACTTCATTTGCTATGCACTCTTGTCAAAGTAACTCATATGACGGATGCGACTAGTATATTGGACATCTTTTCTCCGATTTCTAAGTTTCTCGCCGATCTTCGGTTATTTAATCTTAATTTACCCCTGAACTTATTCATATATTTCATCTGATACTTGAGCATGATATAGTAATTGTCATTTTAAGATAAATTTCGCATCAAGGCTGAGCGAAAGACAGTTTCAACATCAGATCGTCGGAAACCCGGTGCTCGCCCTAAGATAGCCACCCCGCGAAGAAGTCCTATTATTCGTTTTTAGAAACAGACTTTAACATAATATCAGCGCGAAAGCTTACCTATCAAAAAAGATTCAAGATCGAGTACACAACATGATGGTCGTTGGGGTAGTGACGGAACTATGACATCTGTAAACCGTGAGTTCAAGTCTTTCTTGTAAATGAGATCAACTTACCAGTTTGGATATCTGAAAATGATATGCGTTGAGTGTCCAATAAACCGGATTCGAACTCGGATCGACCGGGGCTCGGTGTTAAATTATGCACGATGGGAAATGAACCAGGTCCGTCCAAGTCCACACCTTTCTCCCTAAGATATCCTTCCACATCGCGGCAATCAAACCACTGGCCACCGAACCCACAAAGCTCAAGGTTACTCTGAGCCTGATGGACAGAATTCGGGTCATCGGGAATCCCGGGCATGGGTAGAGTGCCGAGTATTCTTCGAGGGTGCCTCATCTTCGGGGGGTAGATGGGATTCCCTTTTTCATCTTTCGTCGCATAATGTGTTCCAGCTCCCCCGATACAATAAAATGGTAGTGCAGAAATCTCCAGGGAACTGCCTCGTTCAGAAGTAACCAGGTCCCTAAAGTAAGGGTACATCTTTGTCCTATCCCTGAAACAGGGCACGAGTCTGAATACTCGGAAGACTTCAAGTGGATCAGAGCGTGTATCACTAAATATTCGGAAGGCGTGCTCCAGACTGGATCGTTTGAGTCTTCGAGTGAAGGAACTTTCCAGGAATGAATATGAATCGGGAACATTGGCTCCACAAAATCGATCGATGATTTGCACAATGGGTTGGTCATGATCCAATCTTCTCTGTTCCTGTATGACAAGCGGGGATTGACAAAGGACCTTCTCCCCGGTTTTTTGACATGGGTTGACCTCGGTTTCCGGGGACGTATCAATGCATGTGGAGTTTGGCTCAGCAATAGCTTGTTGACCAGAAATAGTATCATTGGTGAAATGGTCATCACACTGGATGTTCTTGGGTGGTTTTGGAGCAGACTTCTTCAAAGTATCTCTCAATGGAATGCCATCGGCGCTAGTTTTCTGATCAAAGTCCTCGGACGCACAAGCCAGAAGACTTAGGATACTGTCAAAATCCCTGAGAAGTTCGGAATGAGTGCCTTGCAGGCTAGACTGAAGAGTGACTCTGTAGTCTGCAAGCGAATTTGCGATTTCTTTCATCTTATGTTCAAGGAAGGCCACTTGTTTGTGAGATTGTTGAAGACTTGCTTCTTTCTTCAGTCTATATGTTCTCTGAGCACGGCGGATTTGGCTTCGCCGATCCTAAGCGGGGAATTAGAATGTGTCTTCTCCACTGTTCCTTATTAATTCCATGGAGACTAAATACCTTGGACAGTATAGCTTCCCCGGGTGCATCGAGCCTGCGCCTACCCGCACTCCTTGGCGGATGCTTTTCATCCTTACCTGGCTTTGTTGCTGAGTCTGTCATCTTGATTCGTCCAACATAAGGGCGCACTAGATCAAGCCGAGGGAGGTGTTATCATTAGTTTTGAAAAGGCGTTTTGTGAGCAGACGTTAAGCAATGAAGTGAGCACATTCTCGATCCCTATACGTGAAAAGCCCAGGAGGCGAAGTGCTGATAATGTAATCCTCCTCGGTCCCCACAATATACTATGGTTGAGTAGTTGGGATGGATACACCAATTGGGTCAGAATGTTGGGCCGGTTCAATTAAATAGCTAATGTCTCTCCCTGATTGTTCAATATTCAAAAAAAAAAAATAAGAAAGAGAAAAAAGTGTCACGGCCATGACGGACAACGGAGATTCGCGGTCTTCCTTCCCCCCCCCCGCCCAAAGAGGTATTTCCGATGCGACCTGACATTTTGAATATAAAGGTGTCACTGGATCTCTAGTCTCTATGCGTAGAATTATTCACATCATTCCAGATATACTTAGTTACGCCAATATAAAATGTCCAAACTGCACAGTCGTAACTATCTGTATCATGCGTTTGATAAAGGCTCGGATCCTCTATCAGGCTATGTCACTTACAATGGATGTATGTAGACTAGTGATAGGTACATCTAGGTAGGTCTGAGCGCTTTGCCTCAAAGGACTGTCTCTGATCGCTTCATGTCAATGGATTAATTTCAACGAGGCCCGAAGATGCCGAGTGGTACTAGGTATTTTAAGGAGTACAACCCACCCAAACCCGATAGCAATGAGCAGCTCAAAAGAACAAGCCTGACTCTCTGCGACATCATAAATTCCTTACAAAAGCGGCGGCATAGGAACCCCACACCAGGCAGCAAAAGTATGCTGGGTAGGTATGGATATCCGCAGCTTATGATTGTCCGATTAAACAAGTAGACAGATACATAGATCGAATTGAATTATGAAACAAACGCGGGGGTAACAATAAACTCCTTCCATCAATCTGCCACAATGGAGGTAAGAAATCTCAAAACACCGCCGAATCGCGAATCCGAAATCAAGAGGATGGAATCACTCACTGCGCCACACACCATTACGCGAAGGGGGAACATGACATAACAGTAAAGGAAAAAGGCACAGGAGATCCAGCAGAACAGGCGAGATAAAATATGGCAAGTGTCGTCAAGCATAACGTAACACCAAAGCAGAATAAGGCATAAGCAAATAAAAGACACAGACGCGGGTATCGAAAGGTGATCGCAGAACGTAGGCAATCAAGATGGTGATGAAAATAGCATGGCGATTAGTTGACCATAGGGAGACCATGCGAAACCTCCTGCTTGTTCACACCATCATTTCCGTCCTGGTTATCATCCGTGCGCACCCGCTTATTCTGCTGGAAGCTGTTGTTGTTCAGGAAGGTCGCATCGTCAGGGTGCTTACGCATGCCAAGTGTTGCTGCAGCAATGCGGTTCAGAGAGTTCATATCATCAGAGACAGAACTGGGGTGCTGACCCTGAGGACCCGGAGCGGGCACCGAGCCCGAGGGGCTGGAGTTCTGAACTCCGGCAGAGGCAAGCGCCATCTCAGTGGTGCGGGGCTGGGTCAAATCGATGTTGGGCGGCAAATCAGGGACTTCACCCTGGGCTTCGAGAAGACGTGATTGCAAGTTGATGATGTATTCGCGCAGCTGGTAGTTCTCACCCACCAGGGACTTGACCTGCTCCTTGAGGGGGTCGATGTTCTTGACCTCTTCCTCGAGCTTGCGAATGTAGGTTTCCTTGCGCTGGCGGAATGCGCGCTGTTATGATCAGCGAAGTTCTCTGTTCACGATATCAAAAGGACATACCTGAGCAGCACGGTTCTGGGCAGCACGCTTGGAAGTGGATAGCTCACGCTTGCCATAGCTCTTGGAGCCGCCGTCAGATGGGGGAGAACCCTGGGGTTGGGTGGGGGTTTGGGGAGCACCGAGCATGGCACCTGAGATAGCAGGGTCAATGTTTGGCTGGTCTCGTGGGCTAGCATTGTTAGGCTGCAAATGCTGTTGCTGGCCCGGAGCACCCTGGGGGCGACCGCCCAGGTGGTGCTGAGCAGCTAAAAGCTGGTCATGGAGGACTATAAAATCATTGTTAGCAATGAGGAACAATCACGTGCGACGCGCATCCCTAATTTGTTCCAGGTGGGATGAGGTAGATCGGGGTACGGTAGGTCTCGGCCCCACGAATCCCTCAAAAGTAATGACAATCAAAGATCAAGAACGCTCTAAACTACAATCACGTACCCTGGTCCGCATGATCCTACAGTCAAATGTTAGTATGAACCATATCAAATAACAGAATGAAGGATCTAGGTGACGGGGCAAGACTGGAGGGAGATTCGACGCGTCGAAACGTCGAGCCCCGTTCCCGACACATCGGTAACGCGACATAATCGCGTTGATCCAAACATATCGAGGAAGTACTCAACGCGGGACCTCATATAGATCTGATGACAAACGAGTTCACGATGCTCTGCTTACCTGAGCAGAAGTCTGCATGCTTGGATGCGGCGCTGGCGCAAGTGCAGGCTGCATTGATTCACAGGAAAGGGGATTGGTGATAGAATTAGGTAGTGTCTTTGCACAGCACTCTTAGTTTCGACAAAAATTGAGAACAAAGCGAGCTTCGTTGCTGATCACAAAATACACTTGAAATGAGGTAAGCAGTTACAGATCCGATGCTGTAAGCAAGTTGATGGCGGGCCCTGGAGGAGGAGGAGGATTACTTAAGGATTCTGAGTCAGAAGATTTGGGGCCCCGGGGCGATCGTCGATTTATGTAAGGCGTTGGTAAGCGAAAGGGTCGCATCAGGCAGGCGGTGAGAGACGCCGGTGGCTCCTACCCCAGGGTTTATCTCTTACGCTTTTTATCACTAAACTGATTTTGATACAACATATACGGGCTGTGATTGGGTTTAACCAAAATCTCATGATGACTCGTCATCTCCCTCCAATCGTATGCTGTCGTCGTACCCATGAACACGTCCACGAGTAAGTTTATTGCTGACTGCTTCCCGCCCACATCCGGCCCTGGGACGGGTTTACTTGTTCCCGACAAAGTCTGCATGACATCATAATCACCGCTTATCTCGACATTTCTGCCTAAGGCACTAGAACTGGACAATTATTCCATTCAATTAGGGACAACCTAAAGCCGTAAATCGAACCAATATCGGTGATTACTGTATCTGTATATCGCGTACTAAGCTAAATTTATACAATCTCGTGATCTCGTATCCACCCCAAAACACAGTCAGCGTCTCACGTCCCTGGCCCACATCCTAACTCTGCACAACTCTGAAGCACTACTGTTGCTTCTTCGTGCCCCCGTTGGTAGGCTGTGCCTGTATAATCCCAGCTCCGATCTTGGCTGACTCCGTCCAGCCCCGCTGGTGCAGCCAGAAACGGGTTGCCGGGTCGGCGCCATGCAAGGATGCACGCCGCGCATCATCTTCAAGAGACGTGCGTGTGATATCAGTTGACTGGGCCATGGACGTAATATCGTCCTCATCCGCCTCCTCATCCGCCTCCGCATTGGTTGTGGACTCAAGATAGCGTTTGCGCATGAGGTAACGCTCAGCGCGCTCCTTGCGGGAATTGGGAGGCTCAATCCTGGCCATACCAGCCTGCACAGCGTACCGCACAATAAGATAGAGGTGTTCCGAAAAGAAGATTGTCAAAAGTAGAGCCCAGCCTTTAATATCTGTCGGCTCGCCATTGGGCCCGTGCTGTGTGTTGCCACTGAACATGTACAGCAGCGCAGCGCTAGTGATACTTCCGACCCAGGAGAGGAATCCCAGGCTATCGAGCCAGGGTCCAATCGTGTCAGTCCGCAATGGCACGGGTCTGCGGAACTCCATGCAGATCTTGAAGAAGTCTGATCGCAACTCAACCCAGTTGTTCACAAAGAACGAAAGGGGAACAAGCGGCCATGTTGGTGAGAAAAGTGCCAGGTATCCAAATTGAATACACATCTCACGTAGATCATCAGTCACATCATACTCGGAAAGCTCAACCTCGTTACGCACACGTGTGAGGAACTGCGCTTCCTCAGCCGGATCATCGAAGGACACGGCAGGTTTTTCGGGCGATTCTTTGTCGCCGTTTCGGTCCATCTTACCATTGCGCTCCTTGTTGTACTTTTTATATTTGCGGAGTGCATGCTGTTTGATATAGGGCACGATAGTCTCCATGGCGAGGCCAACAATCTGCGCTGTGACAGTGAAGTAAACAACCTGGTTTCGCAGGCGAGCTGGGTCGATCTGGAAATGCGATCGCTTTGAGGAGGCATCTTCCTTCGACACGAAAGGCCGAACTGTCAAGTGGAAGACATCGAGGTAAGGGACAATTCGGCTAGCAAATGGCACGTAGACAAAGGCTGTCAGGAAAATTGGCATATATGACGTGATGAAGTTGATAACAAAGACCTTCTGGGTCAATGCAACATCATACGCATCACTTGTCTCATGGTTCTCGTAGTCATTAAGCTTCGTTGCGATAGACGTCAAAATAGCGCTCATGGTTGGCACAAGCGCTGATACAAGGATGGTTGGGATGAAAATCTGAAGGGTAAGCTTTGGTAACAGGGAATGGGAAGGATAACCATACCAAATATGTTTTCAAGGGACCATTGTAGAGCTCCGAGATGAAGATCTCAATGGCAAAGCAAGTCGCAATGATAGCACCCAAAGCAATTGCCGCAAGCAATGCGAATGGGATTTGAAGTAGCTGCCGTTGCATGCGCTTAGTTGCCGGGAAGACACCGCGCATCTCACCGGTGCCCTCATCGCAGACCTCCTTTTCTGCCTTGAACTCTCGTCGTTTGGTCCTAACAGCTGAGACGTTCTTGGTCTGCCACCTGCAGCTCAACTCAGCCTCCTGGCGCTTCCAGTATTCCACAAAAATGATACACCAAAGACAATTGACAATAGTATAAATAATCGAATATCCACCGAGGAGGAACCAACAGGAGAATCCAAAAACAGCCGGGAAAATCAAAAATCGGAAATACGACTGCAGGAATGCGAAGTAAAATCCAACCTGCCATATACGTTAGCCTGGCCCACAAACAACAACCACTGCTGCACATACACTTTCTCCAAACTTGTTCCGGATCTGATCCAAGTCGTCATCAGAGAGGAAAGTCTTTGAGCTCCAGTCTCGCATCCACTTTTTATTTGTATCGACATCATGAAGGGGGAATATAGCAGTGACGTTCTTCCATTCGCCATGGTTTGGGGTGATAGCGGCACCGCCCTCTTCCTTGGGAAGTGTGATCATCTGGTTGATCACCCGCAGGCGCTCAGCCTCGGTCTGGGGCTCGGTTGAGTTGGAAGGTGTGAGCTCAGCATTGCGAATGCCATATAGCCAGTCGCGTACTCTAAAATACAAAGTCGAGATTAGCACATTGGTCCATAGAACGATATCCACATGCATTATCACTCACCGCGACCGATAGACCGCCTGTTTCAGCCGCTTTTCCGAAGCTTTCACAAAAACGAGCAAAGACGACTCATCGCCTTGTCGTACCTCGACCTGTAGACCGACTTGGGCCAGCGCTTGGAGCAATTTTTCTAGCTGTTCAATTGCCTGCGATCGGTCTGCAATTGTTAGAATGTGTCCCCCCGCCACATCCTAGAGCTCTCTTTCACTCACCTACATCTCCGAAGCTGTAACGGATAACATAGTCCACATGGAGATTAGACTCCTGGACATTATCTGGAATTGTGGCCATCACTGGGGTGTTGAAAGAAGAAAGAAAGTGAAACAGGCAAATCGAGGTGATCTGCGGGTCGATGCCGTCACCTGGCGCTAGAGGGCTTTGGGGCGAAGCTGCATTACGACACAACTTGGATGTTTTCTTTATATTCAATATTCAATCACATTAATGACGTGGGATTGAGATTCTTGTATTCAGATATATTTCATTTCCGTTTTTGAAAATATAATATTGAGCCATATGTAGCTGTGATCATAGATATTTGCTAAATGTACATGTATAGCCCACTTTCGCCCTCAACCTGTAATGAGCTCTACAAGGTAAATAAATCATCCTGAAACGATCGTGCCCAATGCCTTTTGTAGTATTATACAGGAACAATCCTCCCAGCCCTATCCCGCCCAACACCAACCCGTACATCGCTCTACACACCCTCCGCCAAACGAGTCAACGCATCCCCCTCAACCATCATCTTCATCCACTCGTCCATACCGCGCGCACCAACCTGCTCATAGAACCTAATGCTAGGCTCGTTCCATGTGAGCACGCTCCACTCCAACCGCCGACCCGACACCTCAAGCACCTGCTTAGCAAGGTACTTAAGCAACTTGAAGCCGTACCCGTGACCCCGCGCGCTGGGCTGCACATACAGATCCTCGAGGTAGATACCAGGGGCAGATCGCCAGGTTGAGTAGTTATAGAAGTACAGGGCCATGCCGACGGGGATCGGGTTTGGAGTGTCGGCGGTAGGTGGCGGGGTAATAAGAGCTGTGTAGACGGCGCCGCGCTTGGGCGGGGTATCGGGGAAGGAGAGGGTTGCTAGGAGGGATTCTTCGGTGGCTTCGACTTCATGGAGGGCATTTTCGTAGTCGGCTAGTTCGCAGATGAATTGGAGGATGAGAGGGACGTCTACCTGGTGTTAGTTGGGGTGTGTGTGTGCTACGCGCTCGGAAGCTTTGAGGTCAATGCACTTGCCTTCGGGGGTCGCGAGACGAATGGTGGGTTGGTCGGCCATAGTGTTTGAGAGAGGGCGAAGATAATCCATGACGAAGTCCAGACCTCAGAGGTCTTCTTTTTTTTCTCGGACTTTTGTACTTGCTAGTATATGCGCGCCTCTTTTTTCTTGGCTAAGCTTCGCGATGTGCCCCAGGATTTTACTATCCCGCATTAGGTAATATTACCCGATTTTTTTAGATGTTGGATTCAACTTCTCTTTCGATGCTTTCTTGACAGGCAAAAAGGATATCAGTGGGTTGGACAGTGTTTTTATGTTGATAGAGGAACATATTATTATCTCTACAGAATGATATTGTACAGAGCAAGGTACTGAGATATGCAATCCACGCCCATGGGTATAAACGCCAATTATTTGGACATGATGGCCGACATCCACTTTTGCTCATCGGTTCTATATTCGTTAGTGACCACTGTTAAAAAAGAAGGTTCAGTCGGAAACTCACCGATCGAAATGGAGCAGCATTCCCAGAACAGGAATCAGCTGCTTCTGATAGTTCTTGTCCCTCTGTTCCAAAAATTGGAGGAGGACATTTTTCAAGTACATGTAGTCAATGGATGCATTGCTGGGTGGACCAAGAGGAGTCTCGCTCCTACCAGGAGATACGACTGCCCGGCGAGAGCCTGAATCCAGAGATGACCGCGAGGATTGTCGACCTGACGGGGAGCCACGCAGGCGAACGTCCTCTCCCAGTGTCTTGTGGGATCTTCGAAGTTTCTCCAGTCGGCTGTTGGTCTCTTCCACTGAGCGACGAAGCTCTGCCTTGTCCTTTTCGAGGTCACGAACTTGCTTCTCACTTTCGTCGAGGGCATCGCGTAGACCAGCCATGGCCTGTCGAATCTCTGTCACTTCCTGTGATGACTTTTCGGATACTGACTCGAGCTCATCACGACGTCGACGCCAGTCCTTTTGCGACTGTTCAAGCTCCTCCTTGTCCTGCTCCGCCGTGCGCAGGGCGCGCTCAGCTTCACGGACCTTAGCCTTGAGCTCTTCCATCTCGCGAGCACGGCGTCGACCTTGGGTGCTGGCCTCATCTTCCGCACGGTCTCGCTCTTCAATAGCAGCCTCCATGCGTTCCTTGAAGTCTCGTACCTTGGACTCCGAACGACCCTCAATATCATTGAGCAGACGGCGCATGGTCTCGCCTTCGCGGGTTCGCTCGCTCAGCAGACGGTGAGCGTCAGCCAATTCTTCATCCAAGCTCTCGCATCGCTCACGGGCCTCCTTCATTTGCATTGCAACTTCTGTGGTCTGATCACGCATACTATTCATCAGGCTCTGGGCGCTGGTGTACTGGGCTGTCTTTAGCTGGATCTCATCTCGGAGGCTTCCGAGTTCTTTATTCAGCTGGGAAATCTGTTCATCCATCTCCCGCATCTTGGCGCGAGTACTCTTCAAACCGTCTTGGGCCTTGGAGAGGTCGCCAGTAGTCTTATCTCTGGCATTGATGGCATCTTGCTTCTTGCTCTCCGCAGAGCGCAGGTTAGATTGGGCAACAGTAAGGTTCTCCTCGGCCTTCAATCGGCTGTCGGTCTCCTGTCGGATCTTCTTATTGAGGGTACCAACTTCTGCGTCACGCTCAGATATCTTCGACTTGAAGGTCTTCAGCTCAGCACGCAGATCTTCATGCTTGCCCTCAAGGGCCTTCAACTCGGAGTTCTTGCTAGTGAGAGTTTCTTTTAGGGTCTTCAACTCCGAAGACTCAGCACGTAGGCTGCGCAGCTCGGGCTGAACCTTCTGAAGAGTTTCACGGAGGTCTGTAAGGTCTTTAAACCGAGTGGTAGCCAGCTGCTGAGCGGCGGAAAGATCAGTCTCCAAGGTAGCAGAGCGGACCTTGAGGTTATCGAATTCCTCTTTGAGTGAGCTGTGCACTTTCTCCGAGTCAGCTGAGGTCGAAGCGTTGCTAGTGCGGAGTTCGGCCAATTCCTTCTCGAGCTTGCTGATAGTTTCTTCAAGAGAACCCTTTTCTGCCGAAAGCTCCTTGATCTTGTCCTTGGCTGCCACATGCTCCTGGCCGATGTTGATAAGGTCATCGCGCAGGGACTCAATCTCCTCCTTCAAATTGTCCTCGCCTTTCAGCTTGGAGCTAAGACGGTCAATGGCAGCCTCCTTTTCGGACAATTGCTGGGTGAGGGATTCGATCTTTTGCTTGAGTTCATCCAGCTCTTTAGTAGCGGTGGCAGGCGCCTCTGGGGGTGATCGCTCTGCAGGAGCTGTATCAACCGGCTTAGAAGGTTCATCCGCTTTGCCACCCTTCTTCTTCTTCTTGTTCTTCTTCTTCCTCTCCACTGCCGCCACCACCGGTAGCTTGAGCAGGCTGTGTCTCTCCTTCGGTAGGGGCAGGAGCAGGAGCAGGAACAGTAGAGGTGGGCTCCTCCTTGACCGGCGCCAGGGTCTTAAGAACCTCATTGAAGTCGGCCAACTCTCCAGCGAAAACTTTCTCCCTGGCAGATACCCAGGACGTGTTCTCTTTCAAGTTCTCATCCACAAAGTCGAAAATGTCTTGTAGTTTGGCAGAATATTCGCACCTCTCGTTATTCTCAATCTTCAGTTCCAAAATTGTAGATTCGGTGTCCTTAAGCTGAGATCGAAGACCGTCAACTAAGCCCTGGAGCACAACTAGCTTCTTTTCGTCGGATTTCTTTTCCTCTTTTGTCCTCTCCAACTCAGCAGCGAGGTCCGTATCAGGCTCAGTTCTTTCGGAGGCCTGTTTCTGGAGCTTGTCGATTTCCTCGCTCTTCTCCTTGAGCTGCGACTTGAGCTTCTCAACCTCAGATGTGGTTGATTTGAGAGAGGATTCCGCAGTTGCTAGCTTCGCCTTCAGGTCATCGACATCGGCCTTCTTGGAGGTTTGAAGAGTCTCAATCTCAGCATCTAGATTGTCCTTGGTTTCGCGCAGCTCAACGAGCTCGCGGGTGGCTGTCTCCAAATTCTGCACCATGCCTTCAGTCGACTCGCGGGTGACAGACATATCGCGCTTGAGCTTCTCGACCTCGGTTTTAAGGTTCTCAACCTCTTCTTGCTTCTCCTTGAGTTCGCCTTCCAATCGGGGAACTTCATTATCAAACGAAAAGAACTCTTCACTGGCCTGCTCCCCAGTTCCGTCTGTCCCCTTGGTTGTCTCCGTCTGGGGTTTCTCCTTTTTCAGGCCAGTAACCTCATCCAACGCCTCCTTGGTAGCCTGCTGCGCTTCTTCGAACTTCTTTCTGAAGTCTTCTCTTTCTTCGGTGACGCGCTTCAACTCTTCCATGACCATGTCGCTTTTCAAGGTTGATTGGTTGAGGTATTCCGTGAAGGCTTTGGGTTCGCCAATCGAGGTGAGCGGGGTGTTCTCGCGCAAAGCAGCTTCGAAGGGTTCAATGGATAGGACGCGCGAGTGAGCGGTGCGGTAAGCCTTGAGCAATTCTAATATGCTCAGTTAGTTTTGCGCCCTACGGTCTGGTTAGGCAGTTGCATACCATGGTATCGGGACTCCAGCTTATCAAGTCGTCGGAGTTTCGCGCGAACATCAGGTGGAAGCACAGCCGGTGTCTCCTTAGCCTCTGTCTCCTCTCCCATCTCTTTCTCGGGCGTCTCCGCCGATTTTCCTTCAACCATCTCGCTCTCTCCCTCGTTAGAGGCGCTTACTTCCGACGCAGCCTCTGGTGCATCTGCTTGGGGAGTACCGGACCTGCTGGATTCATCGTCACCGATGGTGAATTCGGCCTCAAACTCCTTGGGGTCGGGCCCTCGAACGGGGGTGCCGGTATTGCGTCTCGGACGGGAGCGCCGACTCGGGGACTGGTTGCGTCCGGGCGGACGGCGAGCGGAGTTGGAGCGTTCGATGTTATCCTGGGCGGTTTTTTGACGTGCTTGTTCCTCTGCAATGCGAGAGTCGATGGCGTCGCGGAGGCGCTGTGACGAGTGTTATTTAGGATGCTGGGCGCATCATCAAAGGGCGAATAAGTACCTGAAACATTGCCGCGGATCTGAGAACCCAGACGACAATAGAATCTAGAAACGCAAGACCACTAGCAAAGGTGTTTACCAAAAACAAAAAGAATAGCAGTGGGCCGCAAAGGGAAGTGAGGGGGAGCATTGGTTTCCAGGGAAGCGTGGCCAAGGCGGAACTGCCATGTGGAAGGTCCAGATTCGGCTGTCTATGTACCTAGGTACACTCTTTCATATATGTTGAGAGACTTGATTTTCATAAAGATTATGATATTTTATTAACAATTTATTTCTACTCTCAGGTAGAACTGAGTCTAGTGTATTTTTGATTTAGCTTATTATTCTTTCTAGTTGAATTTGGTTTTTGAAAATGCGCGGTCGCATATATATATTTGTGTACTTTACTTCCGAGAACGGGCCACCAAGAACACACGAACGGGGGGTTCTATGATTTCTTGATTCATGAATCTGAAAAAGCCAATATTTTATGTCCTAGATTTCTTATTTTAATCATTGAAATATATGTATAAAATTGAAGTTGTGTTGCTACCTACAGGTACTGTATGGCTTAGAATCTTGTAAACAATTACATCACTGTGGATTGGCCTGTTATAACAGGGATATTTCGGTAGAATCATGGAATCATCGGGTCATAGAATTATAGAATATTATAAAGTACAATATTAATTGAAATACTAGAATAGTAATAGAATAATAGAATAATAGAATATTAAGTAGAATCATAAAATGATAATCTCACATGCCGCCTTGGCTCTTAACGTAAAGTTGCAGGTGACTCGGGATTAACCACCTCCTTTCACCATCCCACCTCTATCCCACCTACACCTACGGAGTAGTACCGTGATGCTTATAATCAGGCCTAATGGCCCCACGGTTGGGTTCGCTTTGGCGTTGGTCTAAGTCAATCTGAGTTAGTCTCAACCTTAGACCTGGAACACAAAGCGGAGCTCTCCAATCTTGCATGTGGTTAACATGGCTGGCCTGGCCCCGTCCTTCTCCCTCAGCCTAGGGGCTCCAACTTCAACCTCAATTAATTCCTTCGCTTCTCGCGCCTCTTTCTCCCAATTCCCACCCCCACCATACCCCCCAGCTCCCTCAATCATGGCGGGGTGGATCGGATGGGTGTTTACCCTCGTATTTCACACCTTCCCAAGCGTTCTTTACTCGATAATCACATTCTCGACAATTACACTGCCCACATGGCTCTTTACGCTCTTCTCTATGAGCTTGACATTCACCATGAATTTCACCACCATGTAGGTCTTGGTCTTGCGCTTAACTGAATCTTTGACTGTTGCTGATCAATCATGACCCTTAGAATGTTAATCTTCCTTGTCATGGCATCGACCATCAGCTGGTTCATCCGTTACCGGTACCTGAACATGTACAGCCGCCTGCCCCCAGAGCCTCAACGCAAAGAAGCCCAGGTCGACTTGTTCCCCGATATCCAGGAAGGGGACTCAAAACCAGGACTTGCCAACTATCTCGATGAATTCCTCAGTGCTATCAAAGTCTTTGGCTACCTTGAACGGCCCGTCTTCCACGAGCTGACCCGGACGATGCAGACCAGAAAGCTGATTGCGGGAGAGACGCTCATGCTGGAGGAGGAGAAAGGCTTCTGCATGGTTGTGGATGGGCTGGTCCAGATCTTCGTGAAATCAGCACGGGAAGGGAAGTCAGGCTCGCAAGAGAACTTCCAGATGGACGATGCCTCCTCAGACGAGGAGGACCAGAACATTGACAACCAACAGGGCTATCAGCTCCTCACCGAGGTCAAGAACGGCGCTTCGATGTCGTCTTTGTTCTCGATCCTCCAGCTGTTTACTGAAGATATTGAGCTCCGCAACTCGAGAAGCCACGGCTCTAGTATATCTAGTCCTATCCTTGGCCAGACTCATGTGCCTGATTCCTTCGCTGTTAGTCCCGGGTCCACCGTGAGAGACTCCAGGAACTTGAACACTGCAGCCCGTAGATCTGGCGATATATTGCCACCAGTGCCTCCGCTGAACCTCGGGGAGAGCCATGCCATGCCCCGACAGGACCCCGAGCAGACCCCGCAGTCGGAGACTAAACAAAATGCCCAGAAAAAACGCCGCAAGTCGGTACATCCAGATATTGTGGCACGGGCTACGGTGGACACGACGATTGCTATCATCCCAGCGAGCGCATTCCGCCGCCTGACCAGAGTCTACCCACGGGCAACGTCGCACATTGTCCAGGTTATCCTAACACGTCTCCAGCGGGTCACGTTTGCTACAGCGCATTCTTATCTGGGCCTGACTAGCGAGGTTTTAGGCATAGAACGGCAAATGTCTAAATTCACATCTTGGGACCTTCCGAATAATCTTCGAGGAAGTGCCTTGGATCGTCTGAAGGACAAATTCACGCGAGAGCGAGATCGATTGGGACCGGAGGAAGTTGGAAAAGGCATTGCTCTTCACAATCCTTCCGTCAGCCGTAGAGGACGCTCGAGCAGTACTCTCAGAAAAGAAGCCTTTTTACAAGCAAAGGTGGCAAGTGAGCGCCCTCTCACACCCTTAAGCCCACAAAGGCCACCGGCATTTATTAACAGGGACTCAGCAGGTGTCAGCCCCGGTGATCTGCTATCGACAATACAATTGTCCCGGTTTGGACCGCGACATGATCATTTGGCCCCTCGCCTCCAGACTCCTCTTACTGAGCGGGAGCGACCTCAATTTGTATCAACTGCTGCAATGAATGCTCTGCCCTCAACTTTCCAGCGAAATGAGTCAGTTGACGAGGACGCTATTTTCCGCGAGTCGATCTTGGACTGTATCATGAAGGGCATTGGGCTCACCGAAGGCACACGCGATACTCTGCGCAAGACCAGCCATTCTGGCGAGGCGTCGCCGAGACTTCTCTCCTACGATAACCGCCGCCAGAAGGCAGTGTTCTCCAATGCCTTTGGTTTCATCGATCCCTACGAAGGGTCTGGTGATGGCGAATCCGAATCCATGATGTCCTCCATGTCAGTGACGAGCGCAGGGGGGACTTCGCCTGTCTTCAACCTACGGGAAGACCTCCGCCATGACATTGAAGTGGTCTACTTTCCACAAGGCTCGGTTCTGGTGGAACAGGGTGAGCGCCATCCAGGTCTATACTACGTCATTGATGGATTCTTGGACGTGGGTATTCCAGCGAATGAGCGCGATGACACCCTTATTGGGTCTTCTCATGGGTCTGCCTCGCAAGCGCAAGAGGAGCTGTTCCCGAATCTGAGACGAACAGCGACAGCATCGTCGCGTGTCCCTGGTGCAACAGGCAGCAATGACCCTCGACGGAAGTCCCAGCCCCGAAAATCGCTATACCTGATCAAACCTGGTGGCATTCAAGGGTATGTCGGTGCTCTTGCATCGTACCGCTCGTACACCGATGTTGTGGCCAAGACGGATGTTTACGTTGGATTCCTTCCCCGTGCTTCCCTCGAGAGAATCGCAGATAGACATCCAGCTGCTCTCTTAACGCTGGCAAAGCGGTTGACAAGACTGCTGCCCCGTTTGCTGCTCCACATTGATTTCGCGCTGGAGTGGGTGCAGGTCAGCGCAGGACAGGTGATTTATCACCAAGGGGATGAAAGCGATGCTATTTATCTTGTTCTGAACGGTCGCCTGAGGTCTGTCCTTGAGGGACCAAACGGCAAGATAACTGTCATTGGCGAACACGGCCAGGGTGAGAGTGTTGGCGAACTCGAGGTCATGACTGAATCTACTAGACCGTCTACCTTGCATGCTATCCGAGAAACGGAACTAGCTAAGTTCCCCCGGTCTCTTTTCAACAGTCTTGCTCAGGAGCATCCTGGAATTACCATTCAGGTCTCTAAACTTATTGCCCAACGAATGCGTGATTTGGTCGAGCATCCGCTGTCTGAAAAGGGGATTGAACAGGGACATGCTGGCGGTGTTCAGACTGCAACCTCAACAGTCAACCTTCGCACTGTGGCAATTCTTCCGGTCATTTCTGGCGTTCCGGTTGTGGAATTTGGGCATAGACTCTTGCAGGCGTTGCACCAAATTGGTGTGACCAGAGGTGTCACTTCACTCAACCAAGCCACGATTTTGAACCACTTGGGTCGCCATGCCTTCAGTAAGATGGGGAAGCTTAAGCTTTCCCAATACCTGGCTGACCTCGAAGAGAAATTCGGAATGGTCTTGTACATCGCTGACACCAACGTGAACGCACCGTGGACTCAGACTTGCATCGCGCAAGCTGACTCTATTCTGTTGGTGGGTCTCGCAGAGTCTTCGCCCAGAATTGGTGAATATGAGCGGTTCCTGCTGGGTATGAAGACCACTGCGCGCAAAGAACTGGTTCTTTTGCACGCGGAACGATACTGTTCACCTGGACTCACTCGGGAATGGCTCAAGAACCGGGTGTGGATTAACGGTGGCCATCACCACATTCAAATGGCCTTCCGTTCGACCACCGAGCCTTCGCACCCGCCGAGTAAGAAGTTCGGTACTGTGCTGAAGCAGCGCGTCCAAATTCTACAAGCCGAAATTCAAAAGTATACGTCACGGCGTGCACAACAAACTCCACTGTATTCCCCGCAAACCCCTTTCAAGGGTGATTTCCATCGGCTGGCTCGGCGTTTGTGCGGCAAGTCTGTTGGTCTTGTACTGGGCGGAGGTGGAGCGCGTGGCATTTCGCAGGTTGGCGTCATTAAAGCGCTCGAGGAGGCTGGTATCCCAATTGATATCATCGGTGGCACATCGATCGGTTCCTTCATTGGAGCCCTGTACGCACGTGACGCTGATGTTGTCCCCATGTACGGGCGAGCCAAGAAATTCTCTGGGCGCATGGGGAGCATGTGGCGGTTTGCATTGGACCTGACTTATCCCACTGTTTCCTACACCACTGGTCATGAATTCAACCGGGGGATCTTCAAGACCTTTGGAAACAGTCAAATCGAAGATTTCTGGTTGGAGTTCTACTGCAACACAACCAACATCAGCCGATCCCGAATTGAGTATCACTCGTCTGGTTACGTCTGGCGGTACGTTCGGGCCTCGATGACGTTGGCCGGCCTAATGCCTCCTATCTGTGACGAAGGCAGTATGCTCCTGGACGGTGGCTACATCGACAATCTCACTGTGGCACACATGAAAAGCCTTGGAGCGGATGTCATCTTCGCAATTGATGTTGGGTCTATCGATGACAGCACGCCCCAGGAATTCGGAGACTCATTGTCAGGATTCTGGTCAGTGTTCAACCGGTGGAACCCCTTCTCCTCTCTCCCGAACCCACCTACACTTTCCGAAATTCAAGCACGACTGGCCTATGTCTCATCGTTCGACAATCTCGAGCGCGCAAAGAATATGCCTGGCTGTCTGTACATGCGTCCTCCCATCGACCCATATGGCACCCTAGAGTTTGGCAAATTCGACGAGATCTACCAAGTCGGCTACACATATGGAAAGGAGTTCCTTGACCGCTTGAAGAGCGAAGGCTCACTGCCTATCCCGGAGGAAACCGAGGAGAAGCGCAAGCTGCAGCGAACGATGGCTCCTCGCCGAGCTAGTATCTAACCGTTTCAACATTATCCTTCAATCCAGCCCTGCATGACATCTTGAGTCCAATGAAGCAATGACTTGACTTTTCGTATCCGGCGTTCAACACTGCATATGATTCGCTGTGCTTGGTGCCGGCTCCCTTTCTTGCGCAAGATACCGGTTGAGTGGCTTCTCTTATTGAACCTGTACATCCAGTGTATACTGCAAATAGCCAGAAAGAAAATAGAAATACAGCTTTGCTGGCAGTCATGACATTTACTTCCAATATTACTAGTACTATATTTAGTTTTGCGAATCAGGCCACTCAGTAGCCGTGCCATGTTGTACACGTTAATTAAGAAAGGAAAAATGTATCACCATATCGAACACCCCAAAGTTTCGACTACGGTGTAAAGTAATTAATCAATTAAGGTATTAAGAGAAAAGAGCACACTGGAAAGGTATCCCCGAGTCTGCGATGGGTATACACAGTACAGTCCATCAAGTATCAACTTCATCCTGCTCCCATCCCGGCTCATAGTAACGTATGTTCAATCCAGCCGCTGTCAAAATCCAAACTCATCAACACAAAATCAAAGAAAATACGCAAAAAAAAAAAGCCCAAAGCGGGTTCCTAAACATCCCAGTATATATCCACAACCATTGACCACGTCAAGAGATAGTAGATGTATATCTGCCCAGGGAGGTAGCCGACATACTGATTAAACAGTTCCAGCAGGAGCTGCAGGCGTATCATGAGGTGGACGGGTCCCAGAATTGACTTTATCCTCCTCGGTACGTTGGGTGGTGGTGTTTTCCTTGCGATAGGCCCAGAGGGCGGCGACTTCAAGGAGCATTCCGAAGAAGGTGAAGATACTGCAATGATATTAGTTTCCGCCAATTCACAGCAGCTGCGGAAATTCAGGCCACATACAAAGCTAGGAAGATGAAAGCTTCATTGGCCCTCTTGCGCTTGCAGTTGAGGCCTGCGGGGATAGCCCAGTAGCACCGCCTCGTGCTATAGTCTTGTGCGGAGAAAATAAAGGCAGTCAACCAGCTAGAATGGATATTAGAGACTTTGATGCAGACAATATGATTGAATGTTGACATACAGGTAGGAGAACACGACGTCGATAGCAAGCACGAATCTGCTCAACACCGAGGGCAGGAATGGCGAAATGAAAGCTGGAAGAAAGAAGACAACCGAGAGGACAGCCTAAGCTTGCAGTTAGAGATTATGGCTCTGTGATGATCGGTTAATCGAAGAACTGGGAATAACGTACAATGACTTCCTGGTAGATAGTATGCTGGCCACGGGGGCCGCGGTTGATGAAGAACGAGGTCAGGCCCATGACAATGACAACGCTAGCCCACTGCATGGTGCGAGTGGCCAGTTGCAGTGGACGAGCGATGGTTGTTGAGAAGAGCATCGTGTGTAGAAGAATAAGAAGTATACCAAACGTGAAAGTAGGCACAATACGGCCGAGTGTGACACGCCTATGAGATAATCCAGGAATAGATAGAGAAAATACAAGCGAGGAAAAAAAAGAATCAACTTCCACGGCAGAAGAGCAGGGAGCAGGATTTTATATCTCGGAGCAGATCATCCCAACATCACTGGTTCCGTGCATCTATCATTTACAAAGTAAACAAACAAGACCGACGCCAGGTGCCTAGGTACAGTGGAACAAAATCCATCACAGTCCAGGACCAGTGCCAGCAAGGACGAAAAGCAAGAATTCCCCAGGTGCGTCATGATGGCCTCTTCATGAAGTCAGAATCAACCATGTCTGGCCCAAATCCCAATTTGGCACTGTCTATTATTCCAGGTTCTTGGAAGAGGCAATTGGAGATCGTGTTTACCTTTTCCTTTGTGTAGCTATTTGAACTATATCGTGCAGTAAGTTCAATTAACTTCAGTATTATACGAAGTCAATATCTGGGCCTATGGCAATGGCAGCATCATGTTATCGTAAGCAAGGAGATAGCCCGAATCAAGGTTTACATGAAGAAAAACTAATAACGTCAAACGAACGAAAGCCCAGCCGGCAGCTTGCGGAAGATAATCCAGCGTCTGGTTAACCTCGTGATGTGATGGTTACCAAGTGCCAATCAGAGCGAGGATGGGTATATTGCACCACCGGTGCATAACCACCGAGGCAGAAGAACAACGAGACTATAATCTGCATCACCCAATAGCGGGGTTCTCCCTGCATGGGCCATGATCGACGGTGGCTTCAGCCTTATTAACGCTTTGTTCGATGATCCCGTTATCCAGGGATAGTGGTATCCCTTTACTCAAGTGTTTGGACTTGGATCAGCGTTTACAATATTCGAGGGAGACAAAATTATAGTGCTATTGTTTGATGATTGCTAGAAATTGTAAGCGATGCCAGTGCTGGCCACACCAAAGTGTTGTGTAACTAGCGCAATAGATCGTATTCGTTCGTACAACGTTGTTGTCTTTGACTGACCATGTCGTAGATAGACTGGTCTACAAGAGTAGTCCGACACAGCCGAGAACAAAAGAGCAGAGCTGTTGCATTTTTACTGGTCAGTGGGAGCCATTGACATCAAACGGGCATGACGTGAATCACCCCAGAGGCCATGCATGTAGATGTCTCAGACCCCCAACTTTAAACATAGCTCATTGATAGATGCAAGGAGCGTGTTTTAGTCTGGGTGAATACTTCGGGTCCCTTGCCATCAATATGTATAGATAGCCCATGTTTATTTGATAGACTGACAGCTGCAGACCACTGCTGTCTCTGCCATTACCCTGAACTGGGCAAAACAAGCTTGATCCATTTCCCAGGGATATCCCTTGAGAATAGAGCCAATATGGTAATGTCGCCTACGGCAGCTTGCGTGGTTTTTGCCGCGTGTTCGGCTTCATCCCCTCAACTGTATTTACGGCTTCCACTTGTCCTGGCGTGAGCCCATTGTTCTTGAAGAAAGTGATAGGCCAGGAGATCGGAAGGAGAAAAAGAGAGAGAAAAGACCCGGGGAGACACAGAGGTTGAGAGAATTGTGAGATGAGGTATACAAGAGGAGCATATACAATAATGTCAGATTCAATAAGAGTGAGAGTCGTAAAAGGGAAAGACGGTTTGTATTAACATAGTTGTAGTTATTCATACGGAGGGCTGAACATGTCATATTTCGCTTACTACCGTCGGACTCTGCAATAACATCTTTTAAGTATCAAATAAACATGCCCTATACCACGCCGGATAAGCAGAACCATTCGACTCCAGTGCGCCCAAGCAGGTGTTTTCGGAACTCGCTTTTTTTTAACCCTCACCATGTAGCATTGCCAAGATCATGCTCCTTGATGTATTCGCTGCCCTTCTCCATGTACTCTTGCCGCGTGACCGAGGATCGTCCTAGGCCATCACCAGAAGCCCATTGTGCCGCGCCCTTCCAGGCATCAAAAACGGGGTCCGATGCCTTGCGTACATTCAGTGTAGCATCAATGGGCAGGAACCCGCGGACTTCCTTACGGAAGCGTTCATCGAAACCGGTGAACAACGTATTTCCTCCAGTCAAAAACACATCCTTCAAAAGAAGGGACTGGTCTGCTGGGTTGGAATAACGTTGGTTAATGATATCGGCCGCAATCTCGATCAGACCAGCCTGGTCGAGGCCAGCAATGGACGGCTTGAACACAACCTCAGGCACACGGATGCGCTCCACGTTAAGATGGAGCTGGTGTGCCTCCCGCTGGCTTTCCGGGTCGAAAGGCCAGGGTCCGCGAAGGAACATGTGCACAAGACTCTTTGTCCAGTCGGACTGTGCGGCGAAAGTGTTGTGCTCATTGAATTCGGGATCGTACTCAAGGAGCTCCTTCTCTACAGAGTTGAGCATACCGTTGAGATCCTCCTCCTCTTCATCGTCACTGCCCTCGCCAACAGCTACGGTGCGGTAAACACCCCAGTCCTCGTCATTGGCACCGAAGTCATCGTCATCCCCGCCACGACGGCGTTTCTTAGGACCGTCGGATGCCAGGTTGGCCAGCGTCTTCATACGCATCTGACTGGCTAGGGATTTGCGATTTCCAAGATCAGCCGTGAAGCGGTCACGGTCTTTGATTCTTTGTAGAATGCCCTGAGAAATATTAGCATGTGAATTTAAAATGTCATGCCTGGCCAACATACCTGGCGATTGTTGCGGCGCTTGGCAATCCAGTTCTCGAAATCGTTCTCACGCGTCTCTCGATCTAGACGCTCCTCTTCCTCAACACGAGCCTTTTCGCGCTCCTTCTCTTCTTTGGCACGCAGTCTGGCATCGACGTTGGACTTCATTAGACGTTGGTGCCGCTTTTCCTTCAATCCGGCCTCATCCAGTTGGTCGTCTGGGATATCAAGCATAGGGAATGTCATTTCCTCAGGTTGCTCCTCGGTTTCTTCAATGCCTAGATCCTTGTTGCGCGAGCGTTTGATAGATTTCTCCAGCTCACGAATCAATTTATCAAGCGCAGCCTCGTCTTTCAAATCCTCGGCTTCCAGGACGCGACGAATCTCCTTCTTAGTCTCGTTGGCTAGATTATTTTGCAGATCTTTCCAGTACTCCAGCTCTTGCTCCTTCTTCACTAGTTTTTCAAGTCGCATCCTTGCGGCCTGTTCTTGCAAGCGACGGCCGCTCTCCTTCTTGCGCTCCGCAATTCGCGCGAGCTCTTCTTCAGTCTTCTCCTGAACAATATGCTCTGTGAACGGGTACTGAATGACGCGGTCACGGTCCTCAAGTCCTGTCCAGTCGAGGAATCCACCCAACTCGCGATCGTAGTCTTGTGAGACGTAACAATGTTTATGAACCATTTCCTCCATCTGTGCGTCCGTCAAACGAGTCGGGAAGGTCGGGTACTTCAGCTTCATGAGCTTCATCAGGTATTCGGCGCTCTGCAGGCCACCCCAGTTGAGACGAGTGCTGTTGGAGAGCATGGGCTTCGAGTTCATGACCGGAATGACATGAGTGGACGTATGCGATGAATCCACAATCAAACCGTCCGTTCCACCATTATAGCGATAGGAGAAAAGGGAGTCGATACCGTAGGCCACTGACGGCGCAGAGTAGCACTCGAAGAGGACCTCATTCATCACTAAAGGAGTGTCAGCAACCACCATACTGGCCCTGGAACCGCCAGATACTCACTCTTCCTTGAATATGCCATATTGGCGATCGGCTCCGTCATCAAGATCGGGCGACCGACGCCCCCATTTGCACCGTCTACGCCCAGCTTGAGGAACACATAGTCCAACACGCCTTCCATGACATCCCAGTTACCGACAACACTGGAACCGGGGTCAAACCCATTGCGCAACTGTCCCCTCGTAGTCGCATCGACGTAAGCATCGTATCCAATAAATTGGCACTGGCGATTGAGCTTGCGATCACGGTATCGGCTCATGACGGGAGGTATGGCGAATCGGGGGTTTTTGTCAAAAGACCAACCGGCCTTGACGAGGTGGGAGCCTGCGCATGAACCACATTTGTTAGAAGGGTTGAGTCGCAAACTATCTGAAATTCCTTACCATTGTCAATGACGATAGCACTGGTGTCGGGATGGGCCTGGCTCTCCTGATATCCCTCGGGTTGCGGAGGGTGGTAACCCTTGAATGGAAAGTCTTGTACGCCGTGAAGTTGTGGAGGAGGCTTCTCAGTTCGTTGCTCAGTGGCATTGGATGCAACGCGAGCTGGTAGGAGGGTCTGCACAGAAGTAATCGTCATGGCGGGCTGCGCTCCGGAAACCAGGAGCTATTGGGGTCGGAGATTGTAGATGGCGAGTAGGGCTCACTGCATGGGAAATGAGGTTGGGATAGGAGGAAAGCAATGAACCCGTGGAAAGGGCAGCGGATTGACAAAGAGGCAAAAGACACAAACGCGGTTGATGAGGTTTGGCGGAGTTGGACCGCCAAGAATGGAGGCTATCACTATCGCTGCTACGGAGTACAGGGATGCAACGATTACAACCATTTACAGGTGCCTATTGAATTTAGAAGTTGGTATCATTGACTAATTGCAGGCTCATCTACACATTTCTTCGTTACAGGAAATTGTTCATCCTCCGGAGTCCTTAGGATGGCTCTTGGAGGTTCTCCGTGGCTATAGGGCGTTAGTAGAGAATTTCAAGGTTGATATAATGATAGTGGAGTAATGTATACCTTCGAGGTGGAAGAGAACATTAGACTGGTAGTTCTTGAACATCTGCGCCACAAGCTCAACATTCATGTTCTGGATGTTGACTTCCTATGATCGAGAGTCAATACTTTGATCATATCAATGAAGGAGTTTCAAACCTACCTGAAGACCTTTGTTCATGACCATGATGGCTTCGTTGAGCTTCTCCTATATTACAAAATTAGCAAAGTATATCTTGCAGATGTGGTTCAACATGACATACAACGTTAGTGATGATGCGAGAGAGCAGCAC